TAATACGACTTTTTCTGCTTACATAACTCGTGTTTTAAATAAGTTTAGTTTCTGTTTAACGTTGGATTACTAACTTATGTGTTTTGCAAATGCATTAGGTAATATTGAGATTACTCGGGATTGCTGTTCGCTCAAAAAAATCCAATAAAGTGAAGGACAAAGCTGATGTCAGCCGCAGCTTTGATGGCCAGACCGGCGAGCTCTTGGCGTAATTTCTCGATTTAAAAAGTCGCTTCTGTTTGGAGGTTTAAAGAGGCGTAACATGACACTTCTAAACTCTCTAAATGTGTGAGTATCACGGGGGTAGAAGCCCGCCCTGAGGCTGAGGTTTTACCATTTCCTGGTTTCTCATAAAAAAAAGGAAGAAGGAAAGGATTTGCGCTGAAGGGGCCCTTGGGAGCGGTCTTAACAAGGAAAGAGCTGATGGATTCCTCAAACTTGTGCACACACACACTCGCAGGGATGGAAATGGATTTGCACTGGGGGTCTCCGGGGGCCAATATGACGCTGGATGCAAAGTAAAACATTTCCAGATCCCCTTTGAGCTTAAATGAGGAAAAAAAACTCAAAGACTCCACTTCGAGCTCGGCTGGTTCACTGGACGCCGACACGTGATCAAATGAGATTTAAATTGGTGCAACATTATCACACACATGCTAACACACCCGGGAGCGTGGATTTCGATCTCAGCTTCTTAATGATGGCGAAGCTGGAGGGATGACAGAGGACAGACCCTCTCACACAGACAGAGTCATGGTCAGCAGGTCAGACTATTAAAAAAAAATCAATACAAGTCTCACTGAAAGTCCGGATCTTGTCTCTTTTTTCCTTCTCCATTGTTTGACTATCATTTCCACACACACACACACAAATACACACACACACTCAAACATGATTTTAGCGTGTCGAGAGCATACAGAGAGTCATCATAGATACTGCAACGCCGCCAAAGAGCTCTAGACTTCAGAATGGCTCATTTACACACACACACAAAAACAGACACGCGAGACACACCGCTCGCCATCTTAACCCCATTACTTGGTTGCCATGACAACAATCCACACCCCATCGACTAAAAGATCCCCATTCCAGTAGTTAACTCTGAGACATAAATCCACATGAACGCAGACGACTGAGTGTGTTTTAGCCTAAAGAGTAGACAGCTGTGTGTGTGTGTGTGTGTGTGTGTGTGTTTGTGTTTGTAATAAGGTATGATAGAGGCGATGACACAGCAGACGGAGGAAATCTGTATTCTTGCAGTTTATATAGACCGTCAAACTGTGATCGTGAGAATTATATGTCAAGTGTGAATTAGGAGAGGTCTGGCTACAGACCTACACTGTCAGGACTTTTTTCCTATGAAAAAAAAAAACAAAAAACACTTACTTCCAGTCTTATTGCTTTTAATTTAAAAGGCTTCGAATCAACTTCCGACATAAAACAACCAAAAAAAAAAAAAAAAAAACAGTCTAAAAGCTTGTGATTTAAAGGCTTCAAAATCTACTTTCTATGTTGAAAAAAACAAAAAAAAAAGTACTCCCTGTCTTATAGCTTATAATTTGAAAGGCTTCAAATCAACTTCCTATGTAAGAAAAAACAAACAAACGAACAAAAAAAAAAATCTGACTTTCTGGTCTTTTTGCTTTAATTTGAAAGGTTTTAATAAACTTCCTATGTAAAAAAAAAAAAAAAAAAAAAAACACTTATGTCCAGTCTTATTGCTTTTAATTTGAAAGGCTTCGAATTAACTTCCTGTTTAAAAAAAAAAAAGTATTCCTAGTCTAAAAGCTTTTAATTTGAAAGGCTTCGAAATCAACTCTATGTTGAAAAAAAAAGGAAAAAAATGTAATTCCCTGTCTAATTGTGTTTAATGTGAAAGGCTTCGAATCAACTTCCTTTGTAAGAAAAAACAAACAAACAAATAAACAAAAAACGGACTTTCTGGTCTTATAGCTTTAATTTGAAAGGCTTCGAATCAACTTCTGATGTATATATAAAAAAACTACTCCGGATATATTTGCTTTTATTTTGAAAGGATTCAAATGAACTTCCATTCTGGAGCCAGACACTCGGAAATCTCTGCCTGCCTGGACTAACTCTCAGATGTCACTCTAGACTTCACTGATGACGCAGAAGCAGCTAAGACTTCCAGGAACATAGAGAGCGGTGAATTATCCATCTGCACAGCTGGACTGATCGATACATCAATCCTGGTTTAGGTCTGGATTTATGTTCTTAGCAACAATCATCCATCATCATATACAGATCATATTTATTTCATGGAGTTTAATCTGTTTTCTCTGCTTCACTTCGACATCAGAGAATATGAATCTATTTGTGGATTAAAGTCAGCCGCAGGTCAGCTCTTTCAGAAAAGCCTCATTTTTGGAAAACCCGTCGCACTCCTCCTGACAGCAGGATTTGCGTGATGCTTTCCCATTTTAAAGCTGGATGTATTTACGCGGTCATTTAAGGGGAAACGTCTAATGGGGGGAGCGTTTAATGAGAAATAAACATTTATACTGTGTCAGGGCATCTGTGAAATACAATAATAATGAAAGCCTTGTGACATTTTGTATTGATTTTTTCTCCTCCCTGCTGCTTCTCGGGCTCGATTCCCATCTGTTTCTCTGCCTGTCACTCATTTACGAACTCTTGTGAATGGAGCAACTACACAGACACTCACACACGTGCACAAAAACCCACACTGACACGGACTTGTACGTAGCAGTGGCACAGCATGTCGTCTGGTGTGGGCAGCTGACATTTCACTGCGAGCAATCTGCCACTCAGAGTTGGACGCAGGATCATATACGCACCAATCTTTTTTAGTCAATGTGGGATTTTTTTTTTTCCTTTTTTTATTTATTTAGCCCGGTTTATGATCAAGCACATGTTCTCTGATTTCTTATTACATAACGCCTCATTCCCCACTCCGACTTTCTGCCTTTTAGTTCTCCATGTGTGCGATGAATCACAGAGCAGCCGCGGTTTAATATAGCCCGCACGTGCAACCTGTTACGCAACAAGCCAATCACGGTGTAATTAATAACCGCCGTCTCTTCCTGCGAGAACCAAATGCTTCAAGAACTTGGCATCGAACGCCTCGTACGCTCACAGAGAAAGAAGTGATAACAGGAGGAATATAGAATTAGTCATTCCTGCATCTTTAAATGGAGATACAGTATGTCTGTAAAAATCTAGTTTGAATGGATTCATAAAAAAATATGGATCAAATAAAAACTCAGTCACTTTTTGTCCACCAGAGCAAGGAAACTGACTTGATTCGTCAGTGACAGGTCTCTTTAAGAAGATTTTTAAAACTTAAGGCCATAAAACGTTTTAAAAAGTCGTATTTTTACTCTAGACTGAAATGTGCTTTCGAATCAGTCCTGTACAGTTCGTGGAGTTGCTCTTTTACGTGACAATTCACATCTTTTATGGCAGAGTAGGACACATGCTTTCATAATCTGGAGATGATCAAAGGAAATCGTAAAAATCCGATCTTTTTTTTTTTTTTTTGTTAATACTTAAAGTGTTCTCAATTTTTACCAAAAATCACGTTACCTGTGTCATTTTCAAGGACTTTTATTCTGCAGAGCTCAAGAAGCTCATTAGCGATTCGCCTCTGAGTCGTGGGCGGAGTCAGCGCTGCTCTGCACACTCGTCCTCATGCTAGCTTGTGCAGCAGAAGTGGCAGGTAACGTCGGAGATATTCAGCTCTCAAGCATCAATGTCTTTGGGGACTTAATGAAAGTTAATATCATAATTAGCTTTCGTACGAGCATTGAAATCCGCTAACGCACACGCTTGTTCCGCGATCATCGTCACTATTTCTTAGTGTGACCTGGATAGTGGGGCTCTGGGGGCGGAGCTTGGATTTGCTACGTATGAAATCTCACTGTGTCTGAACCAGAAATGCAATTTCGCGCTTGTTTTTCTCATGATATGTCCTGTAGCATCAGAAAAATTAACATATGAACATGTAAAAAAACAAGAAAAACATTATTTTTATCAGAGCAGGTCTTTAAAGAAGCAGAAAACGATAAATCTGAGTGACTTGCACAATCTGTAAAAGAAAAAAAAGTCCTAAAAACATGTCTTAGATTTGATTTTTGAAAGTGTACATTAACCTTGCTCAATGCTCAAATGTCGGAAATCAACACTGGTTTTAAATTTTGATGTAACTGAGTTGGAGTACTCTTAGGATGAGTACGGTGACCATATTCTGTTTTCCCAAAAAGAGGACACGACTACACCTGTTTTTCATGTCGGATCGAGTGTCTTTTAAGCGCTTTTAACTCAGTTAGTCCACGTGACACAAACTCAAAACTTACGTACAAAACCGCCGACATTTGAAGCATTTTATAAACTTCCCCGAATAAAGTTGAACAAACCCAGAAAGCATGGACAGCCCCTAAAAAAGAGGACATGTCCAGGAATTCTAAAGATGAGACGGCAAGCCACTTTAAGCGGGAAGTCTCTCATGAGTTACGCAAGAGCCGCAGATTTGCTCAACTTGGGACGTCAGCAGTTTTTAGGCTGTAAATCATACCGTATGACGATGCTACAAAGCTAGTAGAAGGAAAACAAACAGACAGCCACAAAAATGTGAATGATTTACTTACTACAGTTGGATTTTGAGGCTTTAAAACCAGCCTGATTTGTAAACTAATTTTGCTGGGACTAACTGACAGGAGTCAAATAAGGAAACCATTAGAAAAAAAAGAGTAGGTGTAATCCTAAACACTTGTCTTTATTGTCAAACTTAAAAGAAGCTTTTACTCCTGGCATTATTTTATCCACCTCTGCAGGATAATGTGGGCTTAAGATATTTAATGGAGCTTAGTGAAAGTTCAATCAGGAAGAGTACTCCATTCAGCCCTCTCTTTATGACTTCATTCATCACCATCCTGCAGCGACACGTCTTTGCTGCGAACCATTCATGATTTCAAATCCGAGAACGAACAGAGGCCGGCCGTTCAGTCGGAGCGAAAACTCGACAAATATCCTGTCTTTGACTATTTTCAGGGTAAGAACAAGCGATAGATGTTTTCTGACAGCTGTTTTTAGTGTTGCAGCGGGATTTAAAAGTACCACAAGTTCACACACACACTCACACACACACACACACACACACACAGGTGGTTATATAATCATGGTATCTGGGTCTCTTTTTTCCCCTCGTTGAATGTGAATGTCAACTGAACTGTCAGAATCTGGAGAAAAAAGCTGCTGCTGCTGCTGCAAGACGGGGGAAACTGAGACTGTAGTTTTTCTGCTAGACTGCTAATTTAAGTGCGTGTGTGTGTCTGCACGTGACAGGTGTTTTGGTAACCATGGCAATCAGATCGAGGGAGGGGCAGATGTTTTTAGAAACAGTCTAGAGCAGAGGATGATTATCAATTCTTACCTCGACGTTTTGTGAATTTGCTGAATCTAGACTATCAGATAGATTCTCAGTGTTTAAGTGTGACTTTGAATGTTTGTCAGGCGCAATATAACATGGCACACAGTCACGGGGAAATATGACAATGTGCCATGTGTGTGTGTGTGAGAGAGAAATGTGGAGTTTCACGCCATCATTATCTCGCCGCCTTGGAAGCTGCAAGTTGCCGAGAAGTGGGCCAACCTCGACTTAAACGCGTCGGCTCGAGAAGTGGGGAGAGCGGAAAGTGAAAGTGACACGCAAGTTCCAATTGAAAAGACTGGCAGAAGAAAATGTGTAAGATTAAATGAATAAAAATCGACACAGTGTTTCATGGAAATCCACAGATACGGCGGAGCTTTGAGGTTTTTTCATGGGATTGAAATTGAGTAAGACACTCCAAGTAACCTCGGCAGAGAGTTCTTTATCCTCACGAAAGACATGAACAAGTTAAAAAATACTGAACTGAATGTTTTCATAGATGAGCTGAAAAAGTCAATTTTCTTTAAACTTGCAGGATTCTTATCAGTTTTGCAGGTTTTAAATAAATTTGGCATTACGATATCTAATTGTTGCTGTGCCTCAGACGGATCCAACTGGATTAAATTCAGGACAAACTGCTCGTAAATTTCAGATGTTACTAACAGAGAGTAAAAGGTTAATGGAGTCGTGCATAATCAGGATTTTAAATTAATTTTGTAATTTTCTAGGAAAAAGGTATTTCTCTGTTCGTTTTAATTTAATAAAATCAATATTTTTAAAATTTAGAATCAAAGAAAAGAAATAAAATTTATGGATAAAATATTAATTCAGCTTCAGTTGAACTCAGGTGTCATTTTTAAGTAAACTACAGTATGTTCAATTTTTTTTTTTAGATACACTCTAACACAAAACTTAACACTCTAAAAACACTTTTAACACTGTAAAAATTGTCTTAGAACACAAACAAGACTATAAAAAACAAGACTATAAAAAACACTCATTTATATCTATGTAAAAACACTTTGGGTACTGTAAAATTTTAACACTGTAAAAACTACATTTTACACTGTGAATACACTTAACACTATTAAAGCATACTTTGAACCCTTTCAAAAACACACTTAAATCTTCAAAAATAAAACTCAAACCTAAAAAAGTCCAGTTTAACTCTGCAAATAATAATTCTAATTAAAAAATATACCTTTTCACAAAATTTTAAAATACTTTTATACTACTTTAACACTGAAAACTTGCTTTGTGTATTCAGTTTTATAGCAGGAAACACAAGGAGGTCATTTTAATGGAAACAAAGTTAAAGATGAAACAATAAAGATGAAATAATGACGGTCTTTACTGGTTGAAGGGGAAAAACAGCAACAGGTGATTCTGTGAGGTGTGACTGTCGCTCTCCGCTCAGATCTGAAAGTAAAAGGGTTCACGTGGAGGACACTTTAGCTAGCCCGTGCACACGCACACACACACACACACACTCTAACGCAGGGAAAAAAATGATCACCATGGTAACAGCAGCCTTAGCATCAGGATGTGTGCCTTAAATAACCCTCGTCTATTTCTGTCTGTCTGACTGTCTGTCAAGTCTGAGGCGAGCATCTTTAATCACCAGAGCGGGATCCGTTTCTTCTCTGGTGTAAATATTTCTACCTCGAAGGGATCAGAGGTGATTTTCACATGAACGATGGAGGAAATGTTGTTTCAAAACACCAGAATATCAGGAGTATTCAGGCTTATATTCTGTCTTTCTGCTTTGTTGGGAATTACTCTTGTTTATCAGTATATGGACCTGACATTTTTCGGGTTATTTTACTTTACCTTTGTGTGTAATTTTACACAGCTTCACTCCCTTTGTTAGTAAACCCTCTTGTGCTTAAATACCTTGCCCTCAGTCATCTGCATTTACCCTTTAAATGAGTAATCTCATCCTATGAAAGAATCCCAGAGATCTCTAGTTTTCACACCAAGATAAGATTCAACTTTGAAAAAAGAAAAGAAAATACCTAAAATAAAAAAAAGATTAAAAAAAATAAAAATTCTTAAAAATAAAAAAAATTAAAAATAAAAATAAAAAAATTTAAATAATAAAATAAAATAAAAAACTTCGGTACTAAGTAAAAAATAAAATAGAATAAAGTTGAATTAAATAAAAACAAATTTGAAAAAGAATAAATAAAATAAAAAATAAATCATACAAATAGAAATTAAAAAATTAAAAATTAAAATTAAAATTAATTAAAAAATAAAAATACATGAATAAAAAAAATTAAACTCAATTAAAAAAACAACAACTTTGGTACCAAGTCTCAAAACTTGCGTTTTAAGCCACCCAAATTATTGCTTCTCTCCAAAGAAATGCCCAAAATCCAACAAGAATTGACTGTTTTATCTAAATATCTTATCTATTGAATATGTTTGAGTAATAGTTTTATTCTGAAAGGGAACCACCTCTAAATTACTGCGAATCAAGGCCAAAAATCTGTAATGACTTTCTTTTTATAAATGAATTGAAAAGAAAAACCTTAAAATCATGACTGGCAGTTCCACGAGCAGCATCCTTCATTATTCACTGTCACACATTTCCTGGCTAACCTGCCACTAATTAGAGAAATCAGTTAATTAAGGCCAACTAACTGCATGGGCTTCGCAGTGAGCAGCTGGGTCTGAGTGTGTTTGTTTGTGCTCTCTTGACTGACATGTGGTGGGCGTGCAATTGGACACATGCTGCCCAGAGGCACACAGATAGACAGTCTGCTATATAAAGACACAATTTAACTCACTTGAAACCAATTAAGTTTGTAAATTTGAAAGAACCAAGAGCAGGTAAGAAACTGTGAACAGAAGCAAAAACCTAAGAGAGGAAACAAGAGTGTGAAAGGAGTCAAAGATCATCTGAGATAAAGGGTCAGCATGTGCAGCAGATGGTTGCCAGCAGCAACCCGGTGATGTGACGGCATCGACCGCTCTCCTCACATCTGCCACAACATCCCTCTGAGCGTGCATGTGAGTGTGATGGTATGTAATTTCCATGCACATCTGCCGCCGCACACTAAAGCCCTTTCTACATGACGTGACTCCAGCTGAGTGCAAATGTCAGAGTGCAGTAAATCGTCCTCATCAGGACAGTTGACTTTGACTGTCAAAACACACTATCCCCCCTTTAGAGGACCCCGCCCACAGCTTCTAAGAAGGCCAAATACAGCGGATTACAAACAGCAGTCAGATCTCTCCTTTCACACGAGGGCCACACTCAAAACTCCGACAGAGCAGCGCTCAGCCTGAGGCTCAGGAGTACGCCAGAATCTGCCCATGTAGAGATTTCAGCTCCTCTACTGGACTCCAGGAAATAAAGGAGTCAAGATTAAGCATTACAAAAGGGTTAATCCAATAACATATGTTGATGTTACGCCTTTACCAGTCCTAAATGATGGTGTAGTAAAAGAGCGCCGCCTCTGAACTGTCAAAAGCTACGTTTACATGTGCAAAATTTCTTGATCTGATTAAAAATTTGAGGGATTGGATAATCTGAATCCACTGTTTATATGGGTGCAAAATCAAATAATCTGATCATGACCTGCGTATACATGCACCAAGTTTTTTTCAGATTAGTAGCATTTGGACATGCGCAGAGTTGTCTAATTTCACTAAAACAACCGCAGAAGAGGAAGAGTTGTATTTACGCCTGTGCTGTCGACAAACCAACAAACGCGGTAGTGGCTCACTCCATCTAATTCAAGAGTTTTTCCCTGTTAAATGTTGTCACTAGATGGCGCCCTTGCGTACTTATTTTACTGTCCTGTCAAAAGTTGCACTGTGCGTGAAGATGTGACATCATTATGTTGTTTGTACACCTTGTTATGTTATTGGAGGAGCAGACACGGCACCTGTGGTTGTGTTAATAATGAAACCACCTGTACTGGCCTAAATAATAAGTCAAAAGGCTAAAGGGTGAAGATCGAGTCAGGTAAGAGAGTCACAATCGGCATGAACTACACCTCTTGGTTGGAATTCCTGTTTACACGGACTAGTTTCAGAATAATAATCAGCATAAACCACCTCTCCCTATCGGAATGAGTGTTGACATAAACGAGTTGCAGAATATCTATATAAAACACCCTTCTCGATCGGAATAAGAGTTTACATGGATGCATGTCAGAATAGCTATCAACATAAATTACCCCTCTCAATTGGAATAAGTGTTTACATGGACGCGTTTCGGAAAAGCAATCGGCATAAACCACCCCTCATGATCGGAATAAGCGTTACATGCATGCATTTCGGAATAGCAATCAGCGTAAATCACCCCTTTCGATTCAGAATAAGTGTTTATGTGGACGTGCTTTGGAATAGCCATTGGCATAAACCATCCCTTTCAATCAGAATAAGTGTTACATGGATGCGTTTCGGAAAATGCAATCGGCATAAACCGCCCCTCATGATCGGAATAAGTGTTTACATGAACGGGTTTCAGAATAGCCATTGGCATAAACCACCCCTCTCATTTGGGATGCAATTTTATTTCGATTAAGCCAAAGTGGATCAGAATCTTCTGATCGACATGTTTACATGGACGCTTTTTTATTCTAATCGGGCAATTATTTGATTCTTTGTGCCCATGTAAACGCAGCTTATGATTCTCTTCTCTAGTTTGGCTGAAGGCAGGAAACCTGGGTACAGTTTAGGGTGAGCAGATGCAGGGGTAGATTGAGATTTGATCAAATATAAAATACACTAAACTCTAAACTGTGGCGCTTACTTGTTTCCTTGTTAGTGAAATGAATTTTTGAATTCTGACTGAGTAGGACACCCACAAAAACACACAGCTAGACAAAGAATCACAGACTGCCAGTCAGCAATTTCAGATCAATTTGAGAGAAATCCTTTTTCTCCACATCTGCTCCTGAACGTGCAAACAAATGCAATATTCATCCAGTTCAGATCTGACTCTGAGCATTAAAACAAATGCAATACAGGGCCGACTTAAAGGCCAAATCCCCCGATCAGAGTGTATCAGCTACAGGCAGCTGAAGACAAAATACAGGTCTGAGTTTACACACAATACAAACTATGGTTTGACGCTGGTGAATGAGGGATCTTAACCCCGTGTTAAGTGTCTTTTTATTAAATGTAAACAGAGGGATAAATCTGCGTTTGGATTCAAGGATCTTAATATAAATCTTCGACGTCCAAACAAATGAAAGTGTTCAAACCTGAGGGAAAGGAAAAGTCGAACCAGCTGGAGACTCTTTCCAATCATCAGAAAATCACATGTTTAAACACGGGATGTGATCGAACAACAGCTTAAAGGAACTTTATATCAGCTGTCACGTCAAACGTTACCACATTTCCTAGGAAAGCTGCGCACATCAGTTTATTTTCAGCTTCAGTTTGACTCTATTTTTATTGTGATGCACCAACCAGCACGAGCTCTCCGACGGCTCGGTGTTTTCCTGGCCCAGGAATGTACCAGGTGGTATTTGGAGTATGTTTTTCTGGTTTGGTCAGAAGGTAATTATAGCTGAAGAGCAAACAGATGGCAGCTCTCAAAAGTGGTGAAAGGAAACGCAAATTAATGATTCAGAAAAATTCACACAAATATAACCCACTGACTGAATGTTGGCTCGTGTCTACAAAGGTTGTCATCCTTTGTGACCCTGTCTCCATCAGAAAACATCTCACAGGGGTTCAGACAAGGAAACTCCACTTCAATAAATCGTTTTTTAAAAAGCTGCTTTCGCCACAATAAAGACGATTTCGGTAACACAGGCTGTGCCGCGGCTTTATCCAGGACAGCTGATTAATCTGAGCTAAAATTACTCCCAGGGGGAAAATATGTAACAATAATAATAACTTCAAAAAAAAAAAAATTGAGGTTGAATACACTCCTCTTTCTGCCTCGCCTCGAACACACAGATGTTGTTTGTGTTTTTAAAAAAAAGGCCTCCTCCTGGCTTTCCCAGAATCCCTTGTTGATTCTCCCAGCATGCTTGCAGGTTGCAGAGAGAAGAAGGAGGAGCTAAAATGTCAGAGGTTGGCTGTCGAGAATGTTTGATCCGACTTTTTTCCTCTCTATAGTCTAGCACCTCTCTCTGTATACATCCGCCCCTCACTTTAAGATCATGTTTAAAGATGGAGGGACGAGGAGGTTACGGGTTCAAGAGTGAACGTGCGTTTTAACACGCTTCCTCTGGTGTCGAGGGGTTTTAGTTTCTCCCAGGGACCAAAAACACTTTCACAGATTCAAAAACCACACTTCTCTCATGATAAAATCACTAAAGGAAACACAATTCTCACGGGAAAATTAGAAATCTGGTCTCTATTTTTCTGCTCTTCAAAATTATTTAAGCACCACTAACCCCACTTTTAATCTTCTGAACTGAAATGATCTTACTTTTAAAGTTTGAATGTGTTCATCACCTCTTCTACTTACTTATCTTTTCCTTCCACTTAAGATCTCTTTTAAGGAAAACTCGGATTTTAACTTTATACATCAGTCCTTATTATAAACAGTGATTGAAATCTGTATGTTTTGCTCTTACTTTTAGCCACTTTAACTTTAATCTTGCTCAACTATATCCTGCCTGTTGAGAGGTTCACATGAGTTTGTCAGTGAATTAATTGATTTTTTTAAGTTAACCAATTGCTCCACCTGCTGGACAATATCCTACATTACATCAAACTTTTAAAATTTAAACTGCAATCCCAACACTAATAAAAGTAGATTTATTTATTTATTTTTTATTTTTTTACAGTCACCATTTGTAGTGGAAGCCACTGCTTAACAACACTTACATTACGCCGTTACAGTGATAGACAACGTATGTACCTGAAAGGACTAAAAATTTCTTTCATTTCTCAAACTACCAGCACTCTTAAAAAATTTAAAAGCACCTTTTAATTGTTAATAATTTAAAAAACAACTTTTAATTGTTAGAAATGAAATATTGTTACTTTTCAAGTTTGGAGGGTTCATTACCTCTTCTACGTACAAATCTTTTAATTTCACTTGAGATCTTTTAAAATGAAAACTTGGATTTTAACTTTATACATCAGTCTTTTTCATTAAAAGTGATTTAAGTCTGTATGTTTTGCACTTCTTTCCCATTTCTAAATCTTTTGAACAATATCCTGTCTGTATTTTGGGGTTCATATGAGTTTGCCTCAGTGAACTGATCTTTTTAAATTAACCAATTGCTCCACCTGCTGGACAAAATGCTTCATTACATCAAAATCTAAAATTTAAGCTGGAATCCCAACACCAATAAAAGTAGATTTTGTTTGATGTTGTCTGTTTGATGAAAATGTTATGTTTTATAAAAAATAAAAAAAAAACATTTTCAATCAGCCAGCATAAAAAAACTACTGAAAAAGGTGTAAAAAAAATGTTGTCTTAACAAATTAGGTCGATTTTTTAATAGCTCAGTAACATGACTAAATGTAAAATCACCTCTTGCAGGAACAGAGAGCTGTCCATCAGAGTAAATTTGTAGCAAAATCAAGGATTTCAGCACCTTCATAAGAGAATCATGAGAAAACTGCTGTATGCCTGTGATACTGCACAGAAACAGCTCGACTCTGTAGTGGAAGTCACTGCTTAGCAACACTTACATTATGCCGTTACAGCATAGTTAGACAAGATAGACAACATATTTACTGATAGGACAAAACATTTCTGTTATTTCTCAATCTACCAACGCTAACCATCATCTGAAGACGAGCCACAACTATAAGCAATCACATCTAGATGAAGACATCATAAAGCAATCATCATGTATAGACTTACACCAACTAGATCAGATTCACTCTCTCTCATCAACAAGTGAAATGAAAGAGAATTTTCCTGAAACTATTTTAACACCGTCAATAAACAAGTTTTTCTTTTTCATATTCCTTCAGCTCAGAACAGGCTTTAGCTTTATTATCTTGTCATTTTTGGCAGGACGAGTTGGAGTTCACTTTAAAAGGTTTTCCTAGATTTATAACAGGGTAGACTGACATCATTTTAAAAGGCATGCAGTCCCTGTCAATCCTTTTCAGCTTGTGATATTGAAACCCAATCTGAGGACAAAGAGCGGCGCTGTGCTTTTGATTCCTGGAGTCATCATTGTAGCTAACAGCTGCTGGGATGACTGCATGGACTTCAGAAGAACCAGCGGCTTTAAATGGAACCAGTAATGTGGCGTTAGTCCTTCAAACGACTGCTATTCATTTATCAAATTGTTTCATACTTCATATTAATTTTTGTCCACTTAATGAACGATTCTGAACCGTCTGTGTTTGAGACGGTATGCCGAGGCACTAAAGGTCAAATATCTATGAGGGCCGTTTGCAGCGTCTATCTATCAGGAGCTTCGGCTTTCCAAAACACTTGACTTGAAGAGAGAGAGAGTTATTGTCTGAGAATGCAGGCGACAACTGTCAACACCGGATTCAAATCTGTGGGGGTGGTGGGAGTCTGCTAACCGCACAAGTACAGGCACTTACTGAGGGAAATAAAAGTGGATTGATTCATCATGAATCTTGTATTAGATGATCTAAAACGTTTTTCATTTTCATCTGCGTTCATGATCCGACTTATTTTCTATTTACAGCTTTGACTTCAAACCTGAGCTAAGAAAGCAGCTTGAGTTTTAGTCCTCGTTGTCTAAGGTCTTTATCCTTATCTTTTTTCTTATCAGTATCACATAAATCACCAAACAGAGCCTGAGCTTTCACAGAGGCAGAAACTTTTACCTATTCTAATGCACCGAAGTTGTACATTTTTATTGGAGCTCGATAAAATACGAGGTAAATGACTGGTAAAGAAAAAGGAAAGTAAGGTCTCAATTCTAGGTTTGCTACCACAGATTTGCTGTAGCATTGCATTCGTATGAAAAAGGGTCAGGGCCACAAAAAGAGAAAAAATAAATAAAGGAGGGAGATTTTTTCAATTTCCATTTCGAGATCGAAATTGAAATTTGAAGATTAAAGGTGAAATCTAAAAAAGTCGAAATGAAAAGAATCAAAATTTCAAGATTTAAAAATCTAAATTATGTGAATAAATTATGAATTTTGATTTTAATCTCAAAATTGTAGTTTTTTTAGTGTTGAAATTTTGACCTTATTCACAACATTTCGACATTTTGAAAATTTAGACTTTATTGACATAATTTAGATTTTTTAATCTGGAAATTTAAATTTTTAATCTGGAAATTTGAACTTTAATCTCGAAATTTAAAAATCTAATCAGAAAATTTAAAATTAAATCTTGAAATTTCAACTTTAATCACGCAATTTAAATTTTTTATCTGGAAATTTCAACTTTAATTTAGAAAATTTCAATTTTTAATCAAGAATTTTCAACTTTAACCTCAGAATTACGACTTCAATCACAAAATTTCAATATTTTAGCTCAAAATTTAGACTCTATTGACATTTTTTTTATTTTTTAATCTCGAAATTTCTATTTCTAATATGGTAATTTCGATTTTGATCTCTTAATTTCAATTTTTAATCTGAAAATTTTGACTTTAATCTGAAAATTTTGACTTGAATTTTAAAATTTCAATTTTTAAGATCGAAATTTGACTCCATTGACATAATTTTGGTTTTTTTTAATCTTGAAATTTCAATTTTTAATCTGGAAATTGTGTCTTTATTGACATTATTTAGATTAGATTAGATAGATAGAAATTTTGACTTAAATCCCTTTTTCGACTTTAATCTCATTGCTGTTTTTTTTTGTTGTTGTTGTTGTTTTTATGTGGGCCTAATCCTCTTTCGTACATTTATCTTTGGCATTTTCTTGCATCCTGTTAATCATCTATTTTGGGATCTGTTTCGTGTCACAGCTTTTCTCAAGGATCAAACTTGACAAGCCTTTTATGATTAGGTATTAAAAAAGTTGGCTGTACCGACTGAAAAAAAGGGCAGTGGGTGACATTTAGATCGTCCCTGTCCGTTTCACATGATACAACAACAGCTGGAGCTTCGTTAGTGTTGCAATAATTGTGTTTCAGATATTTCACAACTGTCTTCAATCGATTTCTTTGAATTCCTCTTCTCCACACAGTGATGTTGCTTAAATATGACCCTGTTTGTGGGTCAGCATGACTCATGACTAAAGGAGCCCCAGCAGCTGGGGTGTCCTTTCTTTTCTGGGGTTTAACTCGGGGTATCTGTTGATCCACAGCAGATCTCGGCCTCCCCCTATCTTTAGTGAGCCCTGGTCTGTGAATGGACAGCCTAACTTTATCTGACCCCTTGTCATCGAAGCTGCTGGTATTTTTAGGTAGTGGCTCGCAGTGGCAGCAGCTGCGAAAGCATTTAATGTCCCCCTACCACCAGCCCACCCCCCAATTCCAACCTCCTCTCTCACTCTTTAGCCGTTGTACAATGACTGTATCAGAGCTGACGCATGAACCAAGAAGAACTCTGCTGCAAGAGTGTGTTTATATTCCTCACACCAAACTAAAGAGGCACAACCAAGAGACCAGGACTGGATAGATTGGAAGAACCAAATCTAAACCAAACTGTTGAAGAAGAAGAAGAAGGACCAAAAAGTCACAGAATTAACTGATGACAGCCTGAATGTTTCGAGGACATCTTTCTTAGTAAACACAGATACAGTTACAAAATGGTTTAAAGACAGCGACCCACAGCAAAGGTAGGTTCATCCTTTATTGAGATGTTTTTTTCCCGCTGATTTTATGAGCCGTAATATGTTTGTTTGGTATAGATTTACTCTATAACTAAACTTTAAATCGTGGGTAAACTAAAGCTTGTTTAATCCAAAGACCTTTCCAATATCTTACATAACTAATGGCCCATGCTGTTCAGAAGAAGATGTGCATCTGATGGAGAGAGCACAGTGCGTCACACAGCACGGATGTTTGACATGCCAAAAATTAAGAAGGTGATAACATGAGGGAAACAGATGAGCCACATGAGATGGATTACTTTCCGTCGAGCTGCTAGAGTGGATGTCTGCGTCCAGAGAAAAATACTCTAACTCCTTCTGAAATGCTCTGATTCATAAACACACACTCCATGCTTTCACTCATGGGTCAGTTCGTGATTGCAGATGTGTCCCCATGTGCTGTGTGACACATGGTTACTGGTGTCTTTTTTTGGACAGACTACTTTATAAATATACTCTTCAATGAGCTACAGCACCAGCTGAGGGGGCAAACAAGCAGTCTAAGATTGCTAGAAAACCAACTTTATTAAGCCCCCGTCTGTGCGATAACGAGCGAGCTAAACCTCTGTTAATCCACGGGGACTTCATGACGCAGTTTAAATATCTGAAACTTCTGATTTTAACAGTATAATGTAAACAGAAACTTACATTAATAGAAAATATCCAAACCATGAGTTAGGAATTTTGCCAATTTAGGATGCTAACACTCTACTAATGTTTTAAGTCGCATTAACTGGGATAGTTCTGACATTATATCTTGGACCTCGCTCTGAGTAGGTGTTAAATCCTCCATAAAAGACCGGTTATCATCAGGATTTGAAAGACAGCATGATTAGAATTCGGGAAGAAGGAGAAGAGCATTCTATGTTGTTGTTTTTTTACTTGGATAGATTAAAAATTATAAAAATATATGATGACTTTCATCTGTATCTGTCATATGTTTTGCTCATTTAGTTTTCTCCTTGTGTTGTTTATTTAAGTGTATTTTTCCTAGTGTTCCTGTTCCCCTGTAGTCCTGTCTTGTGTTTTCCGATTTTTAGTTTGTGTTTGACCCTATTTCCCTCATGTTCTCAGTGTTTTATTCTTTATATCAGTTTTCAGTGTTTCCTGTTTTATTTTGTAGTAGTTTATTCCCTGTGTTTCTTGTCTTGTTTTACTTTCTCAGTTTTCCCTCCTTAGTAATTGTCTGCACCTGTGTCTCGTTGTCTCACCTGCCTCTCGTTGCTCGTTTCCCTGTGTGTATATATGGTCCTTGTCTTCCCCTGTTTCCTTGTTGGTTCATTGTGTTGTGTGTGTGTTTGTCCAGGTGTGCCTATACCAGTGTCTCCTTGTGATTTTTTGTTCCCTAGATTTTGCTTCTTGTGTATTTTTTGGGAATTTTTCAGTTGGACATTTAAAGTCAGCTTTTGCATTAGGACCCTTTTCCTTTTTGTTTAACTCTGGATCGTGACAGTATCTCCTCTATCAGTTTCTACAAGCTGAGATAATTTTTTCTGCAAATTAAAGTAACGTCTCATATTTTATTTTGTTATTTCACATACCTTGATGTTGCTGTTGGTCATTTAATGGGAGTTGACAGCCTGTTAACTGTTTAGAATCAGCACTTAAACACTGCACTAAGGACGGTACGCAGATGGCTGAGCAGGTTAGCACGCACCACGTATGGGGACCACAGTCCCCACAGTGGTTGTAGGTTCAAGTCTAGCCCTGACCATGTGCTGCATGTAATCCTTCCCCTCGCTCTATCTTCCCACATTTTACCCTATTTTATCATTAAAAATGCAAAAATTGACAAAAAAAAAGAAAAGAAAAACTGCATAAAGAATAAAGTTTATCCTTGATTTCAACAATATTTTAGTTACTTTAGACAATATGTTTTGCTGGTTATGTTGAACATTATGCCTTTTTAGTGAAACTTAAGTTACAAACTATTTTCAGTGTATAGTTTAGAGTGGACTTCACATCCATCAAATCCTTCAAATGTCCGCGGTTTTGGATGGAAGTTTCGAGTTTGTGTCACGCGAACTTACTGAGTTAGAGGCGTGTTAAAATCACTCGATCCGACCCGAAAAACTCAAAATTAAGTATGTGCGACTTTGTGACTCTGCCTCTGCATAGTCATGTCCTCTTTTTGGGGATTCAGAATATGGTCACCCTAACTTAGGGCACAACTTAGAGAAAGCTGGTGCAAAAGGGCAAAATCTTCAAAAATCAACATATTGACTTTACTTAAATTGATCGCCTAATGAAATGCATCTTTCTTTATCCTGCAGCTCTTTCACCAAAGATAAGAAGTACAAATCAAGAGGACCCAACATTCAAAACAAGTTTCTTCATTCAAGCCAAAAAGAAAGCAACATCTCATCATGGATATTTTTGGAGGTGCTCCGCGTGTTTTGGGTTATCCACGCCCTGTAATGGCAAAGTGCGGCACAGTTGCCACACTGAGGTGCCAAATCGATGGGGACCCTCGCCCTGATGTGATCTGGGAGAAAAAAAATGTGCAGATCCAATCTGATGGACACTACAAGCTCTCTGAAGAGGGCAAGGCATACCTGCTGACCATTGCTGGAGTGACTCTGCAGGATGCCGGCCAGTATATTTGCAAAGCCAAAAATAGCATTGGCGAAACCTATGCAGCCGCCTCCCTTAAAGTCGAAGGAGAGGCACAGCCACAAGAAGGGGGGCAAGGGGAATTAGCGGTTAATGGTGTGAGGCAACTGGGTAAAGCAAATGGTGAGGTCCAAGGACACCTGAATGGCTACTGTGCGGTGCAAAATGGTGAACACAGGGGTGAGAATGGAGTGGTGTTAAACGGAGATCACAAGTGGAATGGCAAGGTCAGTGAAGCTCGAGAGGAGGTTGATTTGACATCAGATGATAGACCACGGTTCCTCATTAAGCCCCTCTCTCTGCGCGTGGATCGGGGAGAAGACGCCGCCTTCTCCTGCAAGATCTGGGGCACTCCTCTTCCAGAAGTTACATGGGAGAAAGACGGGAAGAAGCTGAATGACATCTTCGAGAGCGCACACTTCAGCATAAGCAATCAAGATGGAGGCTGGTTCCAGCTTAAGATCTACAGAACTCGGATGCCAGACAAAGGAGTCTACACCTGCAGGGCTGTCAACTGTCACGGGGAGGCCTTGGCCGGTGCTGTCCTGCTTGTTGAGCCAGTTCCAGAACGAGAAGATAGTAAGAAGTCCTCAAATGGTCACACAAACAGCCAATGGTCGCCAAAGCCCAGGGGAGGGAGGCTCAGTTTGTCCAGGATTACCGAGGAGCAACATGTCAACACCTCTAAAGCCAAGAAGTTTGCAGTGGCAGAGGGGAAGCACGCAAAGTTCCGCTGCTTTGTGACAGGCAAGCCCAAGCCAGAGATTGTTTGGAAGAAAGACGGGGTTCCCCTTGAGCCCGGGAGACGTCATTTGATATTTGAAGACAGAGAGGGTTACTACACACTGAAGGTTCTGTACTGTAAAGTGCAGGATACAGGACTGTATGTCTGTGCAGCATCAAATGCTCTCGGAAACACCTTGAGTGCTGTTCATCTGTCTGTAAAAGGTAAGGAAAACCTCAGACCTCCTTTAGCTACACACTGCGGTTTCAATCTGAAAGTGACATTTGAGGGCCTGTCGTCATCCTTTAAAATGGCAAATGATTTAGTCCTAATCCCTTTATGATGGATAGATGATTGTCAGGGTCAGATTCCTTTTCATACACGCAATCCCACAGTGTACCAGCTGCTTCTATGATAAGTGTTGGCTTAGTCTGCTGGTCTTTATATACTGATAATGAGGTGCCATTAAAGCAAGAAAGCACTGCTTCAAAAGCATTTAGCACTGGAAAGAGGTTCAAGTGAACTCAAGTTTTCACTGAAAAGGAAAAATGTAACATCTGCAATTCCTGGGGAGAAGATTGGAATAAAAAACAGCTAGGAATTCTGGGAAATCCAAAGGAAAGTAGAAACTCAGGTACTGAGTCAAAAAAAATTGTAGTTTAAGTTTGAAGAAATCGCCGATCGATCTTCACTTGCGCAGAACTTCTCTGCTTAATTGATCCGAAACATCAAACTTTTTCCTCGTTCTTCAGGCCCAGCCGTGAGGTTCAGGCGTCCGTTGAAAGATGTTGAAGTGAGGGAGAGGGATGTGGCTGTGCTGGAGTGTGAGGTCCCTGACGAGTCAATTCCATCAGCCTGGTACCTAGAGGACCAGCGGCTGATGCCTAGCAGTAAGTACGGGATGGAGCAGAAAGGAACAAGAAGAAGACTGACCATCCATGATGTTGGAACAGACGATGATGGAGTGTATCTCTGTGAGATGCCTGATGGGGCAAAGAGCATTGCAGAGCTGTCTGTTAAAGGTATGATGCACTTTACATTTCTATAATTTAAGATGTGAATGTGGTCGACATTTTAAAGGATCAAGAAAGGTACAAATGAACTTTCCAGTAATGAAAACAAGTGCACCAAAATACGATTCAATTTACAGGTACAATTATTAGAAAGCTTCCCAGGAAGCTGGAGGTCCTAGAGGGAGAGAACGCCGTCTTCTGCGTGGAAGTAGAAAGTGATGACATGGAGGTCCACTGGTTCAAAGATGGTTTAAAGCTACATGAGACTCATCAGACCATCCTGAAGTCTTTTGGAAAAACACACATTTTGGTTTTCGTCAATGTGGCCTATCACGACTCAGGGGTGGTGACCTTTGTTGCGGGAAGGTCCAAGACTTCATCACGGCTCAAAGTCAAAGGTAAACTTAAGACAAAGTGATGTGCACAGCTGTTTCTATGTTAGCAAAATTGGTTTATGGCAGGTTTTCATTTTGCGTAGTTCACACCCAGGATGCATTCTTCCCTATGTGTCACAGCCACAAGACACTGCCCGCCTATCTGCCCTGTTGGGGTCAAAATGGATGTGGATCGACCCAACAGCGCCCTGCTTACCTGGGCTCCTGCACCAAACAGCCAGACTTCCACCCGATCGATCTTTGTCGTGGAGAGACAAGAAGTGGGCTCCCATGAGTGGCAGAAGTGTTTCACCTCAGAGACCACTACCACTACAGCTGAAGTTGCGGGAGACAGCGTGCCTTGTGAGGGTGACTACCGGTTCCGCGTGTGTTGCGTCAACAAGTATGGGCGAAGTGGACATGTGGAGTTCCCCAAAGCAGTCCATCTAGGTAAGGAAATATTCAGATTTGTAAATGCATGTTTTATTGTTTTAGTTATATCTGATGATGGTTGTATTTTTAATTTAATATTCTTCTGCTTTTCTTAGTACCTGGTCCCAAAATTCACAGTAACCTTAAAGGCTGTGAGGTGGTAGAAGGAGAGGATGCCCACTTCAACATTGAACTGTCTGCAACAATGGTTGGAACCTGGTTCCTGAACAGCGCCCAATTGCAGCATGGTGGACGATATTCAATCAAACAGTCCCAAACAAAGCACTCATTGGTTATTCATGAAACTCGCACAACAGACGACACAGCAGAGGTTACGTTTATAGCCAATGGAGTCCGAGATTCAACTGTCCTTAGAGTTAAACGTAAGTGAAATTTTCTGTAATTTTTGGAAATTTTAGCTCATCATGGATGTGTTTATGAACGGTCTAATTTTGGGTCTACTTTTTTGCAGCTGCTGTGATCAAATTCAGTCCTCTGTCAGACCTGGACAGCACTAAGAAAGTAGAAACAGGTGATGCGATTGTGCTCTACTGTGAAGTCTCCCACCCCTTCGCCAAAGTATCTTGGTTCAAAGACGGGAAGGAGCTTGAAGGGACCGATGGCCTTAACATCCAATCAGACGGGAACATGAGGAGGATTGTGATTCACTCAGCTGATGCATCTCACTCTGGAGTTTATACATGTGAAACTTCAGGGGATGTCGTCAAATTTAATGTGGATGTTGCAGGTAAAGGGTTTGACAGAAAATCTGATCATCATTTGAACATTTGTCCGTACAACTAGCAAAAGCAATGAGTCAATCCATGTTTATTGGTACGATTCGACAAAATTGCTGTCAGATTATTTTAGGTTTTAAAGTGAAAAGTCGGTCTAATAGTCTGCCTGGTTTTATTCAGGCCCTCCTGTGGAGTTTACTCCGATCACAGAGGGAGAACTCCATAAAAGCAGCATGGAGCTGGACCCCGTGGTGCTGCTCTGTCACGTCTCAGCAGATGATGCTGAAGTTGTATGGTAAGACGAAGAGGATTATAGGTGATTTTTTTTCCATTAACAGTTCTAGTTGGTCAGTCAAGTTACTGTGTCTTCCTTGGTGTTTTCCAGGTATAAAGACGGCTGTGAAGTTAAACCCAGTGAGAACATCACTCTGCAGGCAGAGGGAACCATGAGAAGGCTGATCATTCGTTCTGCAGAGACCTCTGATGCTGGAAGTTATACCTGCCGTGCAGGAAACAACAGTATAGATTTCACTGTCAATGTCAAAGGTACATTGGGCCTTCTTGTTTGTCTGAGTAATGTTTTGATGATCAAAAGGGAGCCAAAAGCAGAACATATGAGTCATCACGACTCTGCTTCATCTAACTTTTCCCACAGAGCCTCCGGTGATGATTGTAGAGCCTAAGGATGATGTTGTGATGGAGGGCTATGTCTCAGAGGAGATTCACTTGCAGTGTGAGTTGTCCCGTTCAAGCGGGAAGGTGTGCTGGTTCAAGGATGGCCAGGAGGTGGAGGAAAGTAACACCATCCAACTAGTATCTGAGGGCCCCTACAGGAAGCTGAGCATCCTCAAGAGCTCTGTGGAGGATGGTGGAGAGTACGTCTGTGAAACAAATGGAGACTCCATCTTTTTCCAGCTTACAGTCAGAGGTAAGACTAAAGTTTTCCTTTCCTTCAATTACATCACACATTAAAAAATGTTCTCACAAGGTTAAATTTAATTCTCCTCTACCAGAGCCATTGGTCAGGATCGTTTCTCCCAGTGAGGCAGACTTGGAGTTGACCCATTTGGCACCCGAGAGGCTGGAGCTCAGCTGTGAAATCTCCCAGGCAGATGCTCCAGTCCGGTGGTACAAAGACAGCCTGGAAGTGGAAGAGGGTCCTAACCTGAGCCTTGAAGTAGATGGGGCCCAACGCAGGCTAGTCATACCTTTCACCACTGTGGATGACACAGGGGAGTACATCTGTGATACTGAGGATGACTCTGTGGCCTTCCTTGTGACTGTTCATGGTAAGAATAAGATGAAAAGATATTAATTTAACATGATTTATGAAGATTTAATAGGTTGTAATTTTGGAAACATTTCTGTCCTTCACAACCCTATAATACCCTTGATTCTGCACTTCTTTTAGAGCCACCAGTGACACTGAATCGACCTCAAAACATGCCTGACAAACTGGAGAGTGTTACAGGCAAACCAGTGGTGCTGGAGATCGAGGTGTCCCGCATAGGTGCAGAGGTCAAGTGGTGGCTAAATGGCAAAGAAATACAAGAGAGCAACAATGTCACCATCACCGAGGACGGACTCATTCATCGCCTGACAATCCACTCTCCAACTCCTGAGGATTCAGGGAAATACACATGTGATGCTGGAGACGATAAGATTGATTTTCAGGTCAAAGTGTCAGGTAAGAAGCATTCCCATGCCAGCTCCAAGATGACTTCCCCTCCATGATGAAATTTTGATGCCAGTCTGTTTTTTTTTTAATCACCAGAGCCTCCAGTGAAGATCCTAAGAAAGTCAGAGATTCAGACAAATCTGAAGTCCCTGATTTCTGATGACATTGTGATAGAGTGTGAGCTCTCCAGAGCCAACGCTGTTGCCAAATGGTACAAGGATAACTGTCGTATTCAGGGGAATGAAAGGTTCTGCGAGGAAGAGGAAGGCCCTTTCCGCTCATTGGTTATTTTGAACACTGAAGTTGGAGACTCGGGCGAGTACTTTCTGGATGTCGGAGATGACAGCATCAGCTACCAGGTTACAGTGGAAGGTAATACCATTCTATACTGTTCTTCATGGCTTTGGATTTTTGTCCTGTCCTAATCTTTCCAGGTCCGATTTAAGGTCCATTATGTTATATCCTTTTATAATCTGGTATTTTAAATTCAAAAACATTATTCTTTGGCATGGCAACAGTGGAGAAAGCTTCTGAAATGCTGTTTATTTAAATAAATGGTCTGGTTTAAAGGCTGTTCCTGTCTCCTTTCCCTGGGTTTAGAACCTCCAGTGAAAATCGTGGGTAACTCAAATGACCCTGACTATCAAGAGATGATGGCTGGGGACGACCTTATCCTGGCATGCGAAGTGTCCCGCGCCAACGCCCCGGTCCAGTGGTACTGCAATGAACGACTGCTTACAGAAGACTCCCGTACCTACATTGAGACCTATGGCACTTTGAGGAAAATCATCATCTCAAATGTCCAGCCGTCAGATTCGGGGAAATACGTGTGCGATGCCGTCAATGACAAGATGATCAGCGTTGTCAGGATTCAAGGTAGGAACACAAAGTGATGCTCTAAGATATTTCATAATCAGTATCACAACAAGATAATCAATGTTTCCTTCTCTCTCCTTTTCCATCAAAGAGTCTCCAGTTACGTTCGTGAACAAGAAGGATGATGTTGTTGTGATAGGTTATGAAGCAGAGAGTGTAACTTTGACAAGCTACGTGTCCAAGGACAACGCTCAGGTGCGTTGGCTGAAAGACTGGACACATATTGAAGGGGAACGTTTCCGAGCACTCACAGATGGCCATGAGCGAACCTTTACGATTGACCCTTTAAGGCGCTCTGATGCTGGCGAGTACACCTGCGATGTGAGCACCGATCAGATCCACTTCAGCTTATTGGTGAAAGGTTAGCATCTCACTTACATGTCATGATATTTTTATTTTGAGTGGAATAAAAGCCATTTTAATTGCTGCTTTTGGCGTCACAGAAATGAGGATCAAGTTCGTGAGCCCCTTACGAGACACTGTGGCCCACGCTGACGGAATGGTGACCCTTCGTTGTGAGGTGTGCAAGCCAAAAGCAGACGTCCAGTGGCTGAGGAATGGCATAGAGGTGGTTCCAAGCAGAAGGTTCTCTATTAGAGCGGATGGGGTTGAGCGAAGTTTAACCATCCATCGTTTAGCGAGAGAGGATGCTGGAGAGTATGCCTGCGAGTCCAGGGATGATCGGACTGTAGCGACACTGAGAGTAGAGAGTAAATATCCCTTGATTCAGATTCTCATTCTCAGATTTTATCGAGCGAGTCAAAAGGTTCATGATCTTTTGCTTTTCAGTGCCTCGAGTGGTGGAGTTCCTTACAGAGCTCCACAATACGACTGTACTTGAAGGAGAAGATGCTACCTTCAAGTGTGTGGTTTCCCCTGAGGATGTCCAGTTGGTCTGGCTCATGGACAATGAGCCCATCACAATAGGTGGTCGTTTTGAGGCAAATCAGAATGGCTTGTGCCACACTTTGGTGATCAAAAAGTGTCAGACGTTGGATTGCTCCAGGATTACAGCAGAGGCCGAGGGACATATCAGCAAAGCCAGCCTCAAGGTTCAAGGTAAGGCTGTTTTATGAGAGGAATAAAAGATGGAGCAAAACCATATGCTTATTCTGCTGTCTTTTCTCATCATTTTCAGAGGCTCAGGTCATGTTCACCAAGAAAATGGAGGCTGTCATGGCTGAAGAGTTTGGCGATGCCACCTTAGAGACAGAGATCAGTCTTGAGACAGGAGAAGTGCAGTGGATGAGGCAAGGGGTGGTCATCCAACCCGGTGCAAGACACATACTGGCACAGGATGGATGCAAACGCATGTTGACCATCCTGAACCTGACTCTGGCAGACCGGGGAACCTATCGCTGTGAGACCTTGCATGACAGGGCTCAGGTGAAGCTTAATGTGGAACGTAAGTGGTCCAAAGTGTCATTGCCGGGTGCATATAACAATGACTATGATTCACTTCCATTTGGCAAACAGAACCTCTAGCTTTTCTCAGAACTCCAATTTACAATCCAAAACATCAATTCTTCACAGGTTGTTAAAAATCTATAAAGCCTCTTGAACGGCAGCTGCAATTTCATGGTTTATTGAGTTCTTACTTTGGCAGTTTGAGCAGGCTTTGAGACTAAACTTCTGGTTAAATATGGCACCTTATGGACATCCTTTTATAAATTTTAACTATCTATTATTAATGATTAATTACGTAGAAATACATAAAGGTATAATTACAAAAATAATTAAAATTGATTAATAAATTTAAAATAAATACAGGAAGGAGTTTAAAGTTGAAATTTCGAGATTAAAGTCAAAATTTCGAGATTCAAAAAAAAAAATTGCAAAAAAAAAATAAAGTCAAAATTTCGAGACTAAGAATTGAAATTTTGAGATTAAAATCAAAATTTCATGATAAAATTGAAATTATCCGATTAAATTCGACACAAATAGAGACGAAATTTCATGAATAAAATCGTCATGTTGAGGTTCATGGTAATGAATAACAGCAGTGTCGTTCGTCATTCGGCAACATGTCCTCTGTAGAACAGTTTGTAAAGCTTTACTTTAAAATTGGATTTAGTAACAAGGAAATCCTTGCTCTTTCAGCACACAAACACAGTGTGGTCAGAAGTATTCAGACTCTGACAGAAGAAAAAAACAGACCAACTTGAAGGAGGTTGCCGCCTTCGTGCAAAATGTGTCATTTTTTTAAATTTCAACTTTAATCTCGAAATGGAAATCAAAAAAATCTCCTTCCTGTAATTATTTTTTCCTCTTCTTGTGGCTCTAATCCTTTTTCCTACATACTGTATGTGGGTCAACAGAAGAACAGTTTATATTGTAAGGTGTTTTCAAAGAATGTCACAGTGCAAAGAGATCCCAAGAATAGCAGGGCTAGACCTGGAAGTGTGAAAAGGTTTTTTGAAACACAGCCACGCTGTCAACAATAGTGTGCTGAATGACACACAGTGACAATGGAGAATGAAACTCCTGTAGGTGTTGTGTTTGTAACGTGATAAACTAAGCGGGGTTATTTTTAAAACACCTTTTGTTGTCCTTGGAGCACAGTGTTCTTTTCAATGTACAATACAGTCAAAAGTGTTGGTTTTCAAAATACAGCTGTGAGACTGAAAGGTTGAAGATGCATTTGTGCCTATTTTTATAGTTAAGGGAGGTTAAATTATATTATTTTTTTATCTCTTCCAACCCAGCCCGTAAAATCTCCATCCGCAAAGGCCTGATCGACCAAGAGACCTTTGAGCGAGAGACTGCCTCCTTTGAAGTGGAGCTCTCCCACACAGACGTGGAGGGGATATGGCAGAAGGATGGCATCCGAGTAAAACCCAACAACCAGTTTCGAGTGAGCACCAACGGGTTAGTCCACAGCCTGACGCTGTCGAACCTCACCTTGGAGGACACAGGGACAATCGCCTTCTCTGCTGAAGGGGTACGCACCAGTGCAAGGCTCAATGTCAAAGGTAAATGCCAACCTGTGGAGCTCCCTGAATGCAGTGTTGGATGAAAAGGGTTGACTGGTTCATCCTTTTTAAATTAAACATTTACTCAATTATTTAATGATCACTTTTCTTTTAATAGATCAGTGGGCGACCACTTAAAGACCCTTGGAGAGTTATAGACCTAATTTTAAAACACAACTTTGCACTTTTTATAAATTTTCAGAGACTCCTGTGTCTATCCTGAAATCACTGTCTGATGTCCGTGTGGAGGAAGAATTCCCCGCTACTCTAGAGTGTGAATTCTCCAGACAAATTGTAGAAGTCAAGTGGCTTAAGGTAAATTAATGTAGTAAATCCTCTGAACTGTGAACAGTTGTAGAGCAAATGTCAGACTCCAAAGAAATATCTATACCCCTTTGATTTTGACCAGAACGGAGCAGAGCTAAAGCCAGGAAAGAACTACAGGATCTACTCCATGGGCCGAAAGCGCTTCTGTCAGATCATGCAGTGTTCCCTTGCTGATTCTGGTACCTACACATGTGACACTGGGGAAATCAACACCTCTTGCACACTGGAGGTTTACGGTAAGTGTCTGAACAAGAGGATCCACAAGAAAATGATTGTGATCTGAGAACCTCAGCTTTTAAACCTTATGAAATACCCCCATCTAGAGGCTGTAATGACAAACTCCTGGTCTTCAGTGACAGTAATTTTCTACTCCTCTATTTCTAACGAAGCTGATTTAAATCTCTTCACTAACCTTACAGAGCACAAGTTGGAGCTAGTCCAAGATCTGGAGGACCTTTTCATCCAGGAGGACCAGAATGCTGTCTTCATGTGTGAGGTTTCTCTTGAGGATGTTCCCGGGGAGTGGTACAAAAAAGGGCACAAGATTCGGCCTACGAGTACCATCAAGATCCGCACTGAAGGTCAGAAAAAGAGGAAGTGGTTGATTAGAAAACTGGATGGAGCAAACATTTCTGTCCTTACTGCGGTCGTTACTAAAGTTGGTATAACTAGAGAAGCAAGCAGTCGGCAACATTCATCTCTTGAGGGGGTGTCTAACTCGGTGTTACGGTGTGTTTGACCCTAAACTAATTTTACGCCGGAATATCCTTTCAAGACAAAAAAAAACCTTCTTATAACCATAAAAAGGATGAGTCACCAAGAAGTATTTTATCTTGAAGTCAAAACACCAACATTTTTAAATAATAGTTTCAACAGTAGATAGATTATGTCTGTTTGTCTCTTTTAGGGACCAAACACTTCCTGCTTATGTGTAATGTAACACCAGAAGATGCTGGAGAAATCCGCTTTGCAGCGAGGGATGTTAAATCCACAGCTTACCTTGAAGTCGAAGGTGAGTCCAACTTTTATCTTCTTCTGGTGCATTTCATCAGCTTTAAGATGCTCAAATGTTCTCCTCTCACTTCAGAACTTCCCGTCTCCATTGTGAAACCTCTGCGAGATCGAACAGCACTAGAGAAACACCGCGTGATCCTTGAGTGCACCGTTTCCTCGCCTCGCTGCAGTGCCACCTGGTACAAAGGCAGAGAGGAGCTGTTTCCCTCAGATCGGGTTGAGATCCTGGCTGATGGCTGCTCGCATAAACTGGTGATCCTGGATGCGGCTGTGGAGGATGAGGGGACATATAGCATTGAGATTGGAGAGCACACATGCAAGGCTAAACTAATGGTGGAGGGTGAGTTGGATGGAGAACATACATTCTTACTGGAGCCACAAATTCGTAGTCCAACATCTCTCTCCTTTGTTTTTGCAGCCCAAGCCCTCGTCATGGTCAAAGAGCTGGAGAATGAGGAGGTATTTGAGTCTGAGTCAGCATGTTTCCAGTGCGAGGTGTCTGTTGCCATCAACAAGCCACCAGTTTGGACTTTGAACGGAGAAACCCTACAGTCAGGTCCACTCGTCCGTGTGGAAAACCATGGAACGGTCCATAAACTGACCTTGAAAAACACCAGTGTGGACATGAATGGGGTGGTGAAGTTTACCATGGGCAAAGCCAAGAGCAGCGCCACGCTGACTGTAATTGAAAAGTGAAGAAAAGTGACTGACAGAAGAAGAAATAAGAATATCTCACATCTTTTCTTTGGATGGCATTGTTTCAAAGTGAGGAACTCAGAGAAATTGTGCTTTCAAATCTGGGGCATGTCACTTCAGTGAAGTTATTCCTTTTTTTTACAGTTTGGATTATATTTATTCGCCCAACAAAGATTTCTAATTGACATTACACTGTTGTATCTTGATGGAAACTGCCAGAATAAAAGAAAGTTGGGCTCGTTCAAAATGTGGAGTCAAAACATTTTGTTTTCTGTTCAAGAAAAGGAAAAAAAAATATATTTTGAGAATTTGAGCCAGAGCATAATGAGAACTTTCAACCTTTCAAGCTATAACGAAAAACAAATTACTTTTTAATTAAGAAGCACTTTTTTTAAAGAGTAAGCATTAACCTAAAGCTGTGATATTTACACTACTAATCCTTCAAAATTTTAAGAATTTTTACCTATAAAATGTTGATGTTTCCACACTGCACCTGGAGATTTGCACTCAATAATATTGCCCGAAATCATCCAATTTCATGCATCTGTTGACAAGCAGAGGAAAAGCTTAGGTTAGGAACCAAAATGGGGAAAACGTGTTTCTAGTAAACGCTAAATGTAAGTATTTCACTTTGAGTATTCGTAGAATATTAGTAAATATTCTACTATGTCAGCTTATATCACAGCCACCGAGATTTATATTCATTTGAGTATTAAGTCTTTATTTTTCAGGGCTCGTTTTGGAAGTACTTTGTCGCCATCTACTGTCAAATTAAATGTATAATCATTTATGTCTCATAAAGGAAGATAAAACAAGAAAAGAAGTGTAGTTAGTTTATGCACTAAAACAATCTGCTTTATAAATGGAGGACGAATAAATAGACAAACATACTCCACCAGATAACATATTAGTTTTCTTTAAAGACTTCTATAAGCCCAAAATTATCAAGATTATTATTATTTGTTTGTTAAATGAACGCTTTAGTCAATTTTTCTCGTCTTTAATTTCAATTTAAACCATATTTACAATTTCCTCGCGATCCGCCATAACATGAAAGTAGAAGGAGAAGTTTCCCGCTTCCGTTGCACACACCCCCGAGAAAGACCTCCGCTGACTCATTTCCGGTTGTAGTTCATTACGCGCAGGTGCGCCAAACTTTACCTGACAGGAGCACGTAGATAGCGATTCTTGGAAAAATAATAATAATAAAAAAAAAGAGAGACACTGAGAGCAGTATAATATGAGAAAATGTCTCGACGGAGCAAGATGTAGCGGAAAGAGTTTACAAAATGAGGTAAGTCAAGAAAAAAAGAATAAAAAAAAAAAATGTAAAGTAAAAATGTCATAGTATAGAATGATATAAAATTGTCATTGTATAGAATGATATAAAATTGTCATTGTATAGAATGATAATAATCATAGTATAGTATGATATAAAAATACCATGGACAGCTCAATCTGAGGGATAATGTAATATGATAATAATTATCTTTGTGCTTTTGCAAAAATAAGATGTGTACACAGTTGGTTTCCCACCATGTGAACTGTCAGCAGAACAAAATATCTATCCCAAATTATTAAATCCACCATCCCCCCTGATTTTTTTATTTTACAACTTGACTACAGTCTGAAGCAGCATCCAGCAGTGAGGTCTCAGCGTCCTGCAGTGCACAAATTCAACCAGAAGGCGTCAGTATAACACAATCTAAGTGATTTACCAAGCGGCAGTTGCGACAAAAAAATAATATTTTGGGAGCTTTTTAGGAAGATAAATGACAAATAATTATTTAACAAGAAAAATACATTTATTTATCCTTGTAGAAAAAAACTTTTTTTGCACTTTTTCTTCATGTGAAACTTGTGTGCCATATCAAACTACAAACTCTACTAACTAAAAGTAAACAGGTTTCAATCATAATTATCAGTGTATTTTGGTCTGATGACCACAGGGTGGCAGACTAAGTGTCCCAGACTGAGGCCAACAAGTCTGAGGATACACCATTGAATAATTTCTGTTAGTAACAGTACATACATCCATAAGTTTCTAACCTTATATCACAATAGCAGACAAGAGGCAGAGCAACTGTCAGCTGATTCATGACATTTTGAGGTAAATGGCATCAGCTAGTGTCTGAATTTAAGGAGCTGATTAAAAAACACATGTTTTCCCCTCTTTGATAACAGCAGATCAAATCTAAAACAGCGACTGGCTACAGATCGATATAAAGTCTCTTGGGATGTGTAGAATAATGCAGTTTTGTAATGCTTTTGGAATAAAACCAATCATGTTATAATTTCTAGGCCAAAACCCAGAGCCGGCCCAAGCCTCAATGGGGCCCTGAGCAAAATTTGATTTTGGGGCCCTCTATTTCTGCCAATAATATTGATTGTTGATCATTCACACACCTTCACAAATCTCATTAACATTCCATGACATGCAAACAGACCTTTATCTTGGCGTTTTTTCTCTTCTTTTCTTTTCTCTGCTCCTGAAGGATATGTCCTTTTTTGCGACATTGTTTTGCCCCACAACTACCTGCGCTTTGGATGCTCAGTGCAAATTACGCAGCAGGAGGCACATATAAGAATCATAGTTTTTACTTTATTTTATTTTATTTGTACAATAATATACATTTGATCCCACTGAAAGCATCACTCATACATGCTTTTTTTTGAATTGCTCTTTGGGGCCCCCTATTGGCCGCGGGGCCCTAATCAGGCGCTTAGTTCGCTTATGCCTTGGGCCGGCTCTGGTAAAACCAAATGTGTTTTGATTAATTAATCAAAAGTAGGGTAGCCCATCGTTGATTTGCAATTAATTGTAAATGAATATAAAAGGGGTTAAAAAGATTTAAAGGGGGTTAAATTCAGTATTTTTGTTTCTCATTTGTAATTATGACTGAATTTTTGTATACAATCCCAACAACAATATGATTCCTGCATTAAGGATTATATTGAGCTGCAGAAAAGCACATAGTTCACACTACAGTATGTGGGGCTCTGGTGAATAATAGCAACATCTGAGCAGCAGGGGGCAGTGTGAGCACAGGTTTGTGTTACAGTATGCAATCGCTACTGTAAATTAGGCCAGGGAGTCTTGGAAAGATGTTTTCTGGAGTTGTCTCCCCCTGGGCTGAGTAAACAAGACAGCAGCTGTGCTTGATACTATAAAAAAACACTAAATGGAGCCAGAGCGGTAGCAGTGATCCGGCGTGGTGTAATACATTATTGTCATATCAGTCATTCATTGTGTGGATCTGTTGCAGGCTAAATGACACAGATGTTGAGTGCGGCCGACGTTGGATGTACTTGCGGTGCTGATGGGAGCTAATCCAGGCTGACGAGGCGTGCAGCTCCTTAACCACCCTCCGACTCTCCTGGAGCTTTTTGGCAGCAGTCTGGGCGGTGGAGAAATCATTTCCCTGCTGGAGCCAGAGCTTCCATTTTATCAGCCATGCTATGAAATTAACCCGATAATTGTGCTGGATCTGCCTTTTCTCTCTAAGTGCTCATTCAATCTTGAGAAGAAGCAACTTTTTTGGCAGTTTGGGACTTTTAAGACAATCAGTCTTCACAAATGTAGGATCTGGGTGGCAAAACCAATGCTTTATGTCAAGCTGGTGGAAAAAGTCTCCAGAAAACTGCAGCATTTACCAAATGTTACATGAGTTTTACCGTCTCTCTTGCAGAAGCCCTCTGCAGGGAAGAGTGCTTGTCCCAGCAGCAATCATAAAGTATTTTACTACATGCTGTATCATCAGCTCTCTTTTGTCACTGTTTACAGCCGCCTCTTTAAACCAGAGATGATAAATGCAGGTTTCTGCTGGGTTTACAGTGAAAATTAAGTTACTATATTTTGTTGTTCAAGAGAGAAAGTGCTTCTCTGGTGAAGTGTCTGACTACAGAGCGTTTCCGTATGTTTGAAAACTGGCACTAAGATGTGTAATTGGCAGCAGGAGTGTCTGCTAGCACACTAGGCCTTGAGAGCGCACTTGAAAAGTCAGAGACCGGCATCATATTTGGCATGTAATGATTTCATTCAGATAATGAGGGAAAATTAGTTCTCCTCGAGGCAGAATCTTCAGAGTTAACTCTTGATATGTCGATGAAAAAATAAGTTTTATTTTGTTAATTTGGAGGATTCACTACAAGAACTACTAAAATCACTGAGGTGGAGAGTCAGAAACTAGCAATCGGACTTAATTCAAGGTCTGTTTATCCACACTTCTGGAGGTTTAAGTATCTTACGCAAAAGAAACCTCGTCATAAATCACACTCGAACACAATTATAACTAAAAAATGTCATTAAGTAAAACTCTTCAGATGAATGAGTGCCTCTTACTCCAGCATTTCCTTGAGAGAGGGTGCTTTTTAATGAACCACCTATAACAGTCGGTGCGCTAAGCTCACAAACTAATTGTCGGTGGTGGGAAACAACACAGAAACAGATGTGGTTTCAATCATCCTAGTCCAATACACACCTGCATTTATCCATTATCACCATATGTTACTAAAAACAAAGAAACAGGTATCTCTAAACAGATTTTGTTGCCCTATATTCTGGTCAATACGGTAAAAAACAAGTCTCAGCAATACTTCATGAAAAAGCATCATCTTTGTTAAAATGCATTAATTGTTGGACATTTTACATGCGCTTGAAATTAGGTAGTAATCAAACAGGCTGTAAAGGTCCTTACACACCGGGGCCGACGCGAATATAGAACGCGAAATCACGAAATATTCGGAGGCGAATTCTGACGCGCCTGACTATACACACCAAGCCCCGGGAAGACTTTTCCGGGGGAAAGTCCCGCCTCCTTCGCCTCTGATTGGCTAGAAAAGTCGGAAACGTCTTCACACGCTCAAGCCAAACGCAGAGCAGTGGATTAAACACTGGCTGTGTCTCATTTCAGAGACCGCATCGGGATAAGCGCGCTTAGCTGAGTGCACTGCCGTTTTGTGCCGATTTGGGCCGTTATGTACCCTTCCTGTGTCCCATTTCAGAGACCGCAACCGTCGAACGGCGCATCTGAAGCGTGCGTGAGGTCATCACGCGGCACGAACGGTGTCCCTTTTGGCACAAAATACTAAGCGCGCTCCAAATTCGGTCTCAAAACCACACTACCCCTGCCTCTTTTTCAAGCGTCCCGAATAAGGCTTGAACCCACTGACCCATGTGGACACACGAGACAATCATGTTTTTTTTCATATATCACTGTACTTCGTAGGCTCTACACGCAACAACACGCAGTCTGATTGGTCGGAAGTGGACACACAGTATGCGAAACTTTCGACCATGATCCGAAAAAATAAATGCCATAATATCGCCGAACAGGAAAATGTTGTTGATAGGAACACTTGTATTGACAGGATAAAAAAAGATTGACGTCCAAAATAATCGCACGAAAAAAACGCTCCCAGTGTGAAAGGACCTTAACTCTGGCAAATCAAGTTATAGTCACTGACATATACAATGGTATCATCTGCATAAAAATAAACCCTTCAATGATGGTAATATAAGCAGTGACTTAGCCTTAAAATGCATCATTTAAATTACCAGATAACATCAGTGAAAGGACACACTTTTACAAAGATTTTACCTCCTTGTTTTTAAACTTAATTAATTTTGTTTAAAAAGAAAATAAAAAACCCTGCTACCTGAGCACCTGTTTGACAAGTTTAACTAAGCATACCTGCAAGCCCCCTTTTGTCCAAATGAACTGCATATTGTGTTGAATTAAGCTAACAAGATCTCAAGCTGTTTGGGATTATAGCGAGAATAAAACAAACATGACAAATGATTTCAGAGCTGAATAAATATTAGAAAAGAGAGACGACTTGACAACAAAATGAAAAAGAGAGAGAGGGAGAGATTCTGTTCAGTGCTTTAATGTGCCAACGTACAAAGAGATAAATGCTGATTACTGACATCTCTACAGTGGCATCTAAAACATGCCAACACACATGCGCACACTCACTCTCTCACCCCCTGACGAACACACACTTTTCCTCTGTCATTCACTCACAAAAACACACACTTCCTAAATCCCTATGCACATCATTAGACAGTGTTTCTTTCCAGTCTACTGGGAGATGATGCATAAAACAGAGCTGCCTCTGTTTACGAGCCTCTACGTTTTCATCAGGAAATTAATAACCAAATAAATGCTAATAAATACGACTCAGACCTGGGCTAAAACATACAAAAAATTAGCATGGGTGGGACACTCTGGGGCTGGAAATGATGATTAGAATATTAAAGAGTGGTTTCTTTTATGGAGGATGTCATCAAGCTCACGTAGATCCCCGTAGAAATCACACTGAGGGGCCCAACACAAATACTCTTATTTACTCAGAAGCACAGTGAAGTGCTTCATTAAAAATCAAAGCATGTAGGTCATTTCTCAAACTAGCACAAACATATTTGCATTGTCATTTAGAATCAGAGGCTCTTAATTACGATTGACGTGACATTCATTTCCGCTCCCAATTAAGAAATCAAAACAACTTTTACTGCGGCTCGTTCCGGCGACGGCTGCGTTTACTTCCTGCGCCATAAATCTGAAAATGCAGAGTGAATCCTGGTGCTTATTTTACTCTTAGTTAATCCTTTATATTTTAACCCAGGTCTGTTACAGTTATTACCTAAGGCTCTTCTACACCACCAAAGCACAGAGACGTTTCTAGGTTGCAAAAACACCTTCACTAAGCTGTGTGATCATACAGTGTTAAATACAGTAGCGGCCATATTAAATGTCATACTTGCAGTGACGATCTCTATCTGTGTCAGGATTTTTGTTTCACCCTGCCTGCCTTAGCAGAAGTATCAGCACACCAGAGTCGGTGATAAAAAATGCTTCGTCAGTGACCTGACAGAAAATCTGGTGACCCAACAAAACTAAACACTGATTAACCGGAGCCCCATCGCTGAACACGCCAGAGCTGTGACATCTTCCAGACTGATGAAATACCGAAGAGCTGGGTCACATGCTGAAAAAGCGCCCGCTGACCCATAGAGCTGGTATGACTAATGGAATAATAGCTGTGAGAGTAAGTGCTGTTTCTGGTTTCACTCTCTGCTAAATAAAAAGATGGTGACATCCGACCGCTGCGAGTGAAAAAAAATCCACATGAAGAGTCTGACGTTTGGGATATTTTCCCCCGATTTCTGTGAAGCATCCATCAGCTCAAGAGTACTTTATAGAGTTTACATTGTGGATTTACAACATGAGGTCCATGTCAGCCTGAAGCAGGCTTGTTGAGTGAGATTAAGTGGCTTCAATCTCCACTACTCTTCCCACAAGGTTACTCTGGAGAGATGATTTACATGACAGCCTGCAAATTACAGTGGAGGGGTTTTTGAACAGACAGGACACCAACGACCCAGCAAGGAGAAAAGTGCATGAAGTTTGGGGATTACAAGTTTATGTTTAGGGGGTTGTATAGGGAAAAAAAAAAACAGTTAAAGTTTTGTTGAGTTACCCTGTACGTCTTTGGAGGCAGCAACACTGATATGTCACACCTTTTGAAGCAGAAACAGCAAAATGAGTGGAACAACAAGCAAAACGAGCACTTAGGGCTGGGCGATATGTGAAAAAGTTTATCACGATATGTATCACAACATTAATGAAATGAAATTTAACGGTGTGTATTGGTAGCATGTCTTTTGCAATACAATGAGCTACTGCATCTTTGAGGTCTTTGAGTCTCTTCAACGTTTTGTCGTGAGGCGTTGCTCTAGAGAAAGCGGAATGGTCGGCTGTTTTGGCTGCACAGGCGCCATGGGCTCCACTCGGGGTTTGTAACCTTTTGCGTTGCGCCTGCTCCGCTATGTGGCGCTGCTTCAGGTGGTGAAAAAGATTTGAGGTATTCCCCGACTTTGCGAGAACATGTACTCGACATAATTTGCAGTACACATTACTCTGCTTCGTGTCCGACCTCAAAAAAACAAAATACCTCCACACCACAAACGTTTTCGTGCCAGTGTCGTCGACGATGTCGTCATCAGTTGAGCCTTTATCTGTATTTCTGTCGGGGGTAGCACTCATTTCCTTTGTTTCTCACTGACAGTGCTGTCAGCTTCACGTGTTAAAGTGCTGTGGTTGCGTGTCGCTGCTGCCTGCTACTCCGCAGTTGTTTGCAACTTGGTTCTTATTCAGCACATGATTGGTTCAGCACGGCGTGGACCCGGAGCAACTCCCCTTTTCACCGGCTATTCATATAGTCTACCAAAACATGGCAGAATGCCGACTATTGAAAAGGATATTGACCAGGTTCTATATTGATATTGAGGGAAATTAATTTTCAATATCCTTATCGTTTTATCGCCCAGCCCTACTAGCACTTAGAGTTTTCTTTGCAGCACTTAAGCGACTCTCACTGACTGAAGTTTTACATTTGGTACTCAATCAGCAGCAGTTATCTCTCTAAGCTATACCCTGTTAATGTTTGAAGAAGTTTCAGGCGGTTTCAAATACTCAAGTATGATCAGATTGTTCCGGTCATATCAGATCAGATCTCTGCTGCCGAGCTGACAAGCAGAGCTGCCGGAAACTAATGCCTCTTTGTTTCATTAACAACACAGGAAATAATCTTTTCACTGTGTCACTTAATATAAAATAAATAGACCTCTGTCAGCTGCACGAATCATGCGGCAGATGCACGGCTCAACATTTGTAAAGGTGGCGAGGGAGGCAGCCTGGATCCTATTTTTGGTTGACGGTTGCTTGACGGCTCCACGGTAAACATGTGACGATAGAGAGCAAAGAGAGAGACGCTGTCTGTAGCTTCAAAATGTCATCCGCAGAAATCTTATTTAGCGTAGCAGTCTTTGTGAAGTTTAAAAATTTAAAGAAAGTGTTTTGAAGAGAGAGAGAGAGGGGGTCAAAGGGTTAGAAAAGTAATTCAGTGCACAGAGGGAGTTGAATTTGCACATCAGCTGCAGGAAAGGTAAGGAGATTTTGTATAATAGAAGCAAAATATAGCATTATCACCGGCTTTATGGTCCAATCCAGAGTTTAAAATCAGTAATGAGGCTGTAAATTTGTTTCTGCATCTACTTTTACAACCAAAATTGCTCTGGCTCCTCGGCTACCACCTTTGCACACTGAGAACTGAAACGAAATGAAACCGAGTTCAGATTCCAGCCACGATCACAGGACATGATTATTTCTATTTACTCTTCCTGTGAGGTACTGATGCTTTTCTGAACGATCCAATTCTACATTTCGTCTGCAGCTTGCGTCCCGGCATCCGTTACTTCTGACATTTGACACTGCTTGATATTGACATTTGCTTTCCCTGTGCCAACACATGTATGCCAGACTTGTTTTCCCACAAATCTGCACACTCTGGGCTCAGCGCTGATCCCTGACATTTACTGTGGACAAGGAGACAGTGGTTTGATGTTAATGAAATGTGGCCTGAACTTATCAGCAGATACACTCATCTAGTTTATAAATAGTCCGCTCTATTGGCAGTGTTTACATGCACACAACTGAGCAACGAGTCCTCACACTGGGGGTTAGGCGGTGGTCTAATTGAGTCCTTGAGAGTGATAATGTCGCTATGATACGGCTCATTTAAAGATTGTAAAACCACCCCTGACTTTCCAAAGTGTTGTTTTTCAACACTCTTTAACAAAACTTTTGACTTTCTTTCACCTTTGCTTCTAATTTAATGTTAATATCTCATTACTCATTACTTTCATACACAGCTGCAGACGAGGATTTGGTGGATAATCATAATACTACACTTTGCAGATTGGCAATTCTGGACCTACCACACATTGTGGAGTACCTCAAGGCTCGATGCTTGGTCCCCAGTCTTTTCATGCACTGTCTCCTCTTAGGTCATGTAGTTTTTAGATTTAAAGAGACAACAGGCAGGAATATCTAGCCTCAGACTCTGGATGAAAATCATGTTTTTCTCGTTGTCTCCATGTTCAAATGGCATTTTTCTGAAACTACAGGACATATCATGACAGAAGTAATTTAGAAGTAAGTTTTTCTGCTTTCAAATCGCTGTAAATCTCTGTCAGACCCAAACAGCAGGTTCCAAGCTCCACCCCTGGAGCTCTGGTATACAGGCCACACTCAGAAAAGTAGATCACAGAACAACTGTGTGTGTGTTGGCAGATTGAAATGCTCATAAGAAAGCTAATTATGTTATTAGCCTGACTCAGCTAATGTGATTTTTGGTGAAAACTTCATAATCGCAATTTAAAGACCACTGAGAACACTTTAAGTAAAAAAAAAATGCGTGGGACTTTAAGACACTTTTTTCCTGGGATAACAGCAATACTACACTTTTTGAGCCATTAGTTGTCGAGGAATTGGTGACTCTTGACCTACTACACATTGTGGCGTACCTCAAGGCTCAATGCTCGGTCCCCATTTTTTATGCACTTTCTCCCCTCAGGTCAAGTGGTTTTTAGAACATCCACGGTCGGAAGATTGAATACTGTACTTAAATCCAGGAGGTGTAAAGCTCGTGATCTCCGCCGTTATTAAATGCTCCTGGATAAAAAAATAAATAAAAGTCAATAAAAAGCTGAAATCTGCAGGGATGCAAACAATAAAAGAATTGATTACATTTTTCTGATGGACAAAAGCAGTACACTTTCAATGCCGGGTATTTTTTTTTCCCATACAGACAGTAACAGTGAAAAAAAAAAAAAGACAATAATCATGATCATGGCAATTTAAATGAGGCTTCCAACAGTTTGGAGAGGATTTGATTCATTTTTGAGTTGTGTTTGTATCACAGTCAGTTAAAATGTACACTTTATATGCAGATCTGTGATGGGCCACACTCTGGCGTTAAATCCAAACATGCTTCATCTCCGTTTACCTCCAATCTCACATGTGTAAGCATTGCATGATGGTACTGATGGACACTCATGGTGAGTAGAAGGTAATGTAGCGTACAGGGAGGGGTTTTGGATCCTCCCCTTAACTCAATCTATCACCATCTGGACTCACGTCGTCATACCTCTTCAGCTGAACGCGTTATAAGAGTGCACACACCTTCTGTAACCTCTGATGTGCGTGTAAACACGTCCACTGAGAGATCATATCTGTCTGGGTTTAGACAACTCTCCCTTCCCCCCCAAACAAGATGCAGAGGAGCTGGACAAAATGAGGAAGGATGCTTCGTTCGTCATGGTGGAGATACTCGCCTCATCGGGAATCGAAATTTAGCAGACCCTTGGAGGCAGCTGAGTGCAGTCCTGTCTCACACCTTCGACCATGTCTAATCAATCATGACAGCTGCATGTGCACACCCCGTGGGTTTGCTGGCGTTACAGACAAGTGGGTCGATAACAGAATATTGAGCAAGTGTCTTTATTTTACGCCCCCTCCCTTCTTACCTTCACCCGAGAGGAATCAATCTGTCTTATGAAAAGTTATGAAGCGCAACAGTAACGCTTCATCCCCTTCCATGTCCTTGTGAAAGTTTAAGAGCGCCTGAGGACTCTCACAAACAAAAATGCCACAACTTCTGACAATGCACCAGTGACGATGATGATGATGCTCTAGTGGAGCAGGAGACAAGGTTTTCTGATTTTTGAAGATGTCCAACCCACGGATTTAGCGTTTACAGGTGAAGGTACACAGCCTTTGCATGTGCATGCGTGCGTAATCGTGCAGAAAAAGCCATCAACTATGACATTCTGTTTCCCGAGGAACACAGTCGATAGGATGAGCTTTTCCCGGTGACTGACTAGTTCACAGGGAAGAAAGGCGGCATCGTCACGCAATGCGCCGTCCTCTGTTACTGCAGGGCTGTCAGTTTGCCCAGGTGTGTCACCAGTCCCAGGAATAAACTAATGAGACTCCAGTTCTCCCTCGAACCAGTCTGAGAGCTGGAGATTCACAAAGCCATCAACCTTAGAGCTCAAACTTCTGTGGACTGAGGCAAAAGCTCCACCTTCTGAATATCCCCTTGTTGTGATGAAGTTATCGGCTCAGTCCAACGTATAAATGTTCCTCAAAGTTCTTGATAATCGAGCCGTAAAAGGAAAATACCCCCAAACCCCCAGTGAATACCTCTCCCAGCATGTAACAGTCCGGGTCTCTGCTCGAATCAGAGTTAGTAATACTCCTCGTAGTTCTTAGGGTTGAGACAGTACAGAATACCCCCGCCGAAGGAGAAGATGGTCCCGCCCCAGGCCAAGCCGTAGCCCCAGTTGAACTCGTGATAGATCCTCAGGTTGATGCTCTCAATGAACTTGATGGGGTACAGGACCAAGCTGCAGGCCTGGAGGACAACTGGAAGAGACATAAGGAGACATAAGAGAAGGGGTAAAGGGAGTATGTCTTAAAATGATCCTCAGTCACTGTAGATGTGTACGAGGATTATGGATGAGAAGTAAATATCATGTTGTGAAAAAAGCCAAAGTTCATTTTAAAGGGATATTCCAGCATAAAATTAGTTTAGGGTCAAACACTTGCTTCTCATTAATCTTTTCCTTGAAGTAATAATCACTGTGTTAATCATTTTTCACTGCAGACGCTGTAGTTCTTCTTCCTTAGTGTCTCGGTCTGATTGTATTTCCATGAAGAAATGATCATAAATGTTCTTCCTTGAGCTGCGAAACCCCGCTGCAGACCATAATGGACTGGTCTGAGGTCACGCTACAAACAAGCGGCTGCTGGAAGAGAGTGGGTGAGTTAAAAGATGTTTGGTGTCTAGTACTATGGCTGGGACCCTATATGTCCTGTTGATGAAGTTAGGTGCTGTTCTGATCATTATTTGTGGCGTTTTGGTTGAGGTTTGTTTATGGCTCCTCAGACCACTGGGTATTGCTACCGTCCAGTCGTAACTAAAGTTGGTATAACTAGAGAAGCAAGCGGTCATCAACATTTATATCTCAACAGGGTGTCTAACTCGGTGTTACGGTGTGTTTGACCCTAAATTAATTTACACCATAATATCCCTTTAAGCGGTTTAGTCTGATATGCTCTCTAACATTCTCAGTCTGCTCCATGATCATGAGCCACTGTGACACTGTTGCAGTCTGTTGTCTCAGACCCCGCAGTGCAAACACGACCCAGGTCTCAAGTCTCCATAGAAACTGGAGTTTACAGATCGTGCAAAAGAGGATAAGGAGGGAAGGTCAGAATGCAAACCGATCATTACAAATACACCAAAGAGAGAATCTGCATTTAGTCGACAAGACTCCAGCATGGAAGAGGCAGGAGGGTTGTAAATGTAAATGTTGACGGTTCGAGTCTAAAATGAAAATGTATGTGTCATCATGGAAGACGGATATTTGTATTCAAAGATTCACACCAGGAAGGAGATCTCTCAGCGTTGACTAACTAATCTGATGTTACTTCTGAGAAATATATGCCTCCTGGGATGATGGCTAACTTCTGCAGAGACTTCTTGTTTACATCCTAGTCTGCAATTTCTTGATGAAATACACCTTCCTGTTAAAGTGAGAAAAAATTCTCACCTGGAGATACATCTGCAAATTGATACCATCATTTCCTGGTTCACTAAAACCTGTTCATCTGTTCTTAGTGAGTCTCAGTTTCACTGTTTATAGGAAGAAGCTGATTTCCTCTTGATTCACTTGCAGATATCAGCTTTAAGTCAAGATGAAATAACGACAGCTTTATGTGTGTTTGCAGAAATAAAAGTGGAGAAAAAACAACTTTAAAAAATGAAGAGATTAATTAAAAATCATTTTTCTGAGATGTATAATAGGTCGGCTGTAAAGTGGGATTTATTGACCTGCAGTAGTTTTCCTACAATTCTGTTTGCAGCCACGTAAAACATAGTAGAAAAATAGTGGAAATTAGCATCAGCGGGGTGTGGGAGAGAGTTGAATGGCTGCAGGGGAGGGGAGGAGGGTGTCATTTAGCTCTGTTCACTTCATTTAGCACATCTTAGAAAAACAAAATAAATCAAACTTGATAAGGCAAAATGAAAGAGGCGGGGGCGAAGGGGAAGGAAACAAGAAAAAAGGGAAAAACGTGGATGAATGAGAGAGGAGACTGAAGGGTCAGAGGCAACAGGACGAGTCATGGCGGGGATAAAGGGATAAATGCAGGTGAAAAAAGGAGGCGGATGGAGGGGGAGATAGATGTTTCAACAGGGAGGGTGGAGGAGAGATGGATGGCAGTGGAACAAAGAGGAACACATCAATCGGCGCTCCTTCAAAGGGAATTCATCTTGCGGGAACACAAACAAGCTCTGGCACTTTTCTGCATGAGAGAAAAGAACGACACTGATGCATAATTTCTGAAAAAAGAGCGCAAATATTAACACAGATGGTAAAAAACGAGCCTTAAAGAGGTGGCTGGGTGTTGATCCTTCAGAGCCAACCTAAAAACACACAAACCCCTCTGTGCTTCAGCGTCGAAGATAAATAATTCAGACTCTTTGTGTCCGATCACAAGCGAGATAAGAACAATCTGACAGCGAGAGTTTCATCTGACGTTAAGTGGTCTCTGTTTCCACGAACACAAACATAAACTTAATTATAACTGAGTGAACGCCAAACTAAAGTTTAAAAGTTCAGAGTTGAATCAGCATGAGAACTTTTTTTTCCCCCTGATCAGTGGTGCTGAAAATGTCGAACAACATTTACTTTGAACAAATTGCTCCAGATCCCGTTTTTTTGCGAGAGAAATTTCACAAGAAAAACAAGATTATTCATATCTTCTCAGAGGCTTATCCTCTGAGGCTTATCCTCACTTTAGAGTCACTGCGAGTGTTTTAATATTTTATTCTTATCTGTGTTTTTTATTGGTTTCTCCAATCGTATTATTACTATGAAATCATTGTGAGATCCAGTGGGAGATATCAAACTCAATCTCATAGAGTATTTTTGGTTGAGGAGTCTCACTGGATTTATTTCAAAAGTCCCAACACTCAGTCTCCTCCAGCAGATCATTACCACTTGTTCAGGTCATGTTCTAGGGCACCAACATTTTGGTGTACGATACAAACAGAATAAAAGAGTTTATTTGATACTTCATGGTTCAACAACTGCTTCTTGGTGAGTTGATCTTTTTGAGATGGACAAACTCATTTGCTTTTACAGCAAAGTGCTTTGTTCCCACGTGACGGTTGTTTTTCCAGCTACCTGCCAAACCTCATAGTGAAAAACAAAGATTTTTAGAGATCAAACTGGACGCCTTCAAACTAGGGGTGGGAATCAGGAGTGGCTCCATGAAACGATATCACGATATTTGGACCACAATACAATATTATCACGATACTTGGACCACAATACGATATTATCATGATACTCGGGCTACGATACAATATTATCACGAAACTTGGGCCACGATACAATACTATCATGATACTTCGGCCACAATACGATGTTATCATGATACTGGGGCCGAGATACAATATTATCATGAAAATTGGGTCACAATACAATATTATCACGATACTTGGATCACGATACGATATTATATGATACTCCAGCCACAATACGATGTTATCACGATACTTGGGCCCTGATACGATATTATCATGATACTCGGGCCACAATACGATATTATATGATACTTGGGCCACAATACGATATTATCACGATACTTAAGCCATGATACGATATTATCACGATACTTGGGCCACGATACAATATTATCACGATACTTGGGCCACGATACAATTATTGTGAAACTTGGGCCACGATACGGTATTATTGCGATTTTTATCATTATTGCAATACAGTGAGTATTGCAATACAATATATTGCGATTTAAACGTATCCTTTTTGACTGTAGTTTTTCCAGCCACCTGCCAAACCTCATAGTAAAAACTGAGATTTTTAGTGATCAAACTGGACGCCTTCAAACTAGGGGTGGGAATCAATAGTTGCTCCACGATACGATTTTATCACGACACTCGGGCCACGATACGATATTTTTGCGATTATTAACATTTTGCCATACAGTGAGTAATGCAGTACAATATATTGCAATTTATGCAATAATTTTTAACTGTTTAGCTAATTCAGCATTCGGTTTTCCTTTATGTTTGTCTTATTCACGCTGTATTTGATTTTCATGTTACACATCTTGCATCTTTTTATATATTTGTTGTACTAAATTTCTCCTGCTCTATGATGTCACCTCTGCCAACCTCACCGGACAAACAGTTGATTATCATAGATTTAACTTTATATTAGCAATTCATTTGAAAAAATTAATACTTCGTAAATGACGATACGATATAATATCCCAATACTATGCTGTATCGATTTCCTCTCCCACCCCTACTTTAAACCGACAAACATCACAACTTTTTCAGTCCTGTAATGTTTTTTGTTGCAGGTAATCATTCGTTTGTTTAGACCACATTGCAGCAGAACGATCAGGATAGTAAACAAAGGTGTGGGTCTCATTCTTCTCTCTGCATATCTAGAGCCAAGTGAGCTAAGTAGTCATTATGGGCACCTGCAGCACTGCCTGCAGGAAACAGTGACATGGTCTCTCTCAATGCACTATATCTAAAGGGACAGCTGGGCTTGCACACTTTGCAGACAGAGCACAACTCGTCTCTGATGTAACATCCAGTGGCAAGTGGTGCTTTGATTTTATGCAAACAAGAGCTCTAAATTGTACAGAAAAGTCTCCAACCACACTTTGAAATTAGCGTGTGCAAATGTTGTTTGCAGCTGGGCATGGTGTTGCATTTAGGGACTGTGGGAGATCTACTATATGAGAGGACATGGAAACACAGAGTGCAGCTGGTTTGCATTGTGTATGCGTGGTGTTTTTATTTCAGTAATAATTGTGTTTCATTTAAATTTAATGCATCTCCAGGGTTGGGAAATCTCGCTCCAGATGTAGAAAATCCCAAGAAAGGTTAAAACGAAAGTTTCCCGGAGCAGCCGCTCCTCTAACTTTGTACCTTCTTATTTATTCAAGCTGGAAATGTCAGACTGTGTTTGCTTTGCCGAGGCTCTGGACAGAAAACTGCCTTTCAGTCATTACAGCATACAAAGTGACTGTATTCAAATGAGCAGTCAAATGTCAGCCAAATATAATATGGATATCAAAGTTCAATCTTCTGCATTTGCACTGCCCACACATGCCGTAGAAGTAGACTCCCGCTCCACTTAGCCTCTGCAGATCTTCGCACCATCCCCTTAAAGTTAAGAAGATTCCCTCTTTAGTGCTGAATCACGCGCTACTGTACTTCCCACAAAAAGCATCCGACAGGCGACACATCCGGCTTTGCAAAATGAAGCACTTCACGCTCAGAAAAGTGAATTTGAGTAATTATTTTTGGAGGTGAGGACGGGGACAACGTGCACAAACTTGACAGTCGTCCAATTGGAGATTGGGGCTGGCTGGGGAAATTAAACAGACAGGCGTGACGCTCTGCTCCGACCCTGCTGGGCCCGACTCATAAAAATAAGATTTTCTCTAAATGGGTTCGAGGGAGGGAGGAGAAGTGTGTGCGTGTCTGTGCAACTATGCATGTGTGTGTGTGCATTAAATGAGTAAGTACGGATTATCATTTAAATGCATGTCAGTTTTCAATGTGATTACCCCACAACCTTCCAGCTACCTTGTCTAAATTGGCTAATTAAGTGTGTGTGTGTGTCACCAGGTGTGTGTACTTTAGCACATAATGAGTGTGTGGCCTCCGACCCTGCGCTGATCTAATTGTGTGTGGTCTGTGCTCCATTGTGTCTGTGTGTGTGCATGTGTGTGTGTGTGTGTGTGCTGACCTGCAGCAAAAAGCATAAAGGCGACGGGTGCGTAGAATCGCCGTCTCGTGCCAATGCACACAGCAACCAGGGCGACCAGGAATGACATCAGCACCAGGGCTCCACCCCCTAGCAACAGGGCTAGGGTAGCAACCTGCCAGTCTGGAGAGAAGAACAAGGAGTAAGGGGAGTGGGGAAGAATGAGAGGAGAAATTAGAGAAAAGGAAGAAGGAGGAGGAAATAATTGAGGGAGATTGACAGAGAAGTGTTTGTGAAACATGTTGCATAGAAACATTGAGAGTATTCATGAATAAATGCAAATCAGCGAACGCCGGTAAGAGCTGGAATGAAAAGCTGAGGCCAGCCTGAGGGGAGAGACAGAGCCACCGGAGACGTATTATTTTATTTGACATTTTATTTTCTTCCACAAGTATGCTGATTAGGAGGAGAGTGAGGAGGGAGGTGAGGGCAGGAGGAAGGAAATGACAAGGGGAGGATAGAGGGAGGGAAGAGGAGGAGAGGAGAGGAGAAGAGGAAAAAAGTAAAGGGAAGGGAGAGAGGGGAGGGAAGGAGAGGGGGAAAAGGAAAGGAAAGAAAGAAAGGAAAAGTAAGTAGTTGGAGAGGAGAGGAGAAGAAAAAAGGAAATATAGGGAGGAAGGAGAGGGAAGAAAAGAAAGAAAGGAAAGAAAAGTAGGGAAGGGGAGGAAAGGAGAGAAGGGGAAAAAAGAAAAGGGAAGGAAAAGAGGGGAGGAAAAAGAGGGGAAAGAAAGGAAAGGAAGGGAAAGGAGGTAAAGGGGAGGAGAGGGAAAAGGGAAAGGAAAGAAAGAAAGGAAAAGTAAGTAGTTGGATAGGAGAGGAAAAAAGAAAAGGGAAGGAAAGGAAGGAAGGGAAGGAGAGGGAGAAAGAAAAGGAAAGGAAGGAGAGGAGAGAAGGAAAAAAAGAATAGGGAAGGAGGGAAAGTAGGGGAGGAAAGCAGAGGAGAGGTGGGAAGGAGAGAAGAGGAGAGGAGAGGAAAAAAGGAAAAGGGATGAAAAGTAGGGGAGGAGAGGGAAAGGGAAGGAGCAAAGGAAAGGAGAGGGGGTAGAAAAGGGAAGGAAAGAAAAGGAAAGAAAAAAGGAAAGGAAAGTAGAGGGAGGGAAGGAGAAGACAGAATGGAAAGAGAGAAGTAGAGAGGAGAGGAGAGGTAAAAAAAGAAAAAGGAAGGAAAGAAAGGGAGAGGAAGGGAAAATGAAAGGAGAGGGAAGAAGGGGAAAGGAAAGGAAGGGGGATGAAGGGAAGGAGAGGTGAGAAAAGGGAAAGGGAAGGAAAAGAAAAGAGAAAAGGGGGAAGGAAAAGAAGAGGAACAAATAAAGAAGAGGATGTTTAAATGAAAACAGTGTAAGTCAAGAAAATTAGGAGAGAGGAAACAAGGGTAGGAAATAAAGGGGTTGTTAAGTACACTAGAAGGATGATACAAGCGTAAAAGTCATCAAACTCAAGTAAAGGAAGAGAGAGAATAATCGTGGTTCAAAGAAACAAAGAGAATTGATTGAAAGAAATAAACAGTTAAAGGGAGAAAGAAGAGAAACAAAAGAGAGGAGGAAGCTTGAATGAGTAAGAACCATAAAAAAGAAAGGACTCGAGGAACAAAGGAAAAATGGAGAGACAAACTAAAGTGTGGATAAGCGGTGACGAGGCTGATGCACGATAAAAGATTCGAAACATGCAAATGGAGACATAATGTTACAAGGACAGAGAGAGGGCGGCATGAGAAAGAAATGTCAAGAAGAGGTGGAGAGTGGGGAAGTTAGAGAGAGTGAGAGAGAGGAGGGAGGGAGGGAGGGAGGTGAGGAGGGCGTGATGGAGCTGGTGACGGCGCAGTGCTGAGTGAAAGTAATGAAGAGAGAGAGCACTTACTATACCTGAGCTGACAAAAAGCCTCGGCTAAAAAGCTTTGCTGGCATCTTATCAAAAATCTGTCTGCATTCACAGAGAGGGAGCACCGGGGTCTGATGCACTCTGAAATAGCATCCACACACATCCACACACATCCACACACACTTTAACTGGTACCCCACGTTACGTCAAAGTCCAGATTTGTCAGTACTTTTGCTTCCTCACTTAACGTGTTGTCAGATAGACGCTGGGGCGGCTTCTAAAAGCAGCTGATTGCGCACATAGTCGATATAAAAAGACATATGTCGACAATTTTACTGGAGAGAAAACAAAAGAGGATAAACAAAAAAAAAAAGAGGGATGCTTCTGCAGCTTTTGTGTGCACATAATTCTCACACGACTCGTGCTTTCACTCTTGGATCTTGGTCTCCAAATCCCTCAGTGCGGACCTTATCCCGCTCCTGGGATTTCAATCATTGTAGAGTTACAAACCAACAAGTCTGCAGACTCTCAGATATCAAAACATGACTTCAGTGCACGCCTCCCTCTGCTCCCTGCTCCTTTTACTTCCACCTCCCTGACGAATAAAACCCCTAAAACAGCTTCATCTGTGCAATTAACTCACTGCGTCTCATATTTTGCAGCGTGGATTCACTCTGCAGTTGCAACTTGTGGCCTCAACAGTTCCTCCTTAAACAAAACTGCAGCTAATAAGCTTCATCATTACCCAGCTTATCAGCGTCTCTGGCACTCAATGTTTCCTTAAAGGTCAGCGGCGTAGAGTTGGTTTGATGATGGAGGTGCAAATGAGCGTGGATTTAACGCCGTGTGAGAAACCTCAGCTGGAATGAGACTGTGAAATGCTTCTCTTCTATACGTCTGCATGACGGCGCACACATATCACCTTGTCATGTAATCTGTCTTCGCTCGGAGGGAGAGAAGAGATTCGACCATTTCTCTAACCTTTTCTTCCACCTGTCTGCGCTCGCACTCTGATCAGATGTGATGCCGTCAGATTGTCCGGGTTCATGTAAGCTGCTGTAAAACCTCTTTCCTGTTCAGCGCAGCTAAACGAAGAAGCGCTGTATTACAAAAGGAAGATAATGTCTTCGACATGAGGACGTGCTGTAGCTCCAAAGAGGCAAACATCAAAGTTTGAGCTGGGGATGAAGCGTCACTAAACAGGATGATGTGCAGAGATGTGCTTGTCAGTTCAGATTCAAAGCTGCGGGGACATTTATGTGAATTTATTTTCATTTTACATCTGTTGGAGCCGTGTAAATGTAGGCCAAATGGCTAAATTTACTGCTCTAATGTGGGAGAAAACCTTATAAAAGATGGATGGTTTAAGGGGGAGATAGGGAAGATGAGAGATTTAGAGGCAGAAGGATGGGATGAAGGGGTGGAGGAAGGAAATTAAAGATGAAGAGAGCAAAGAGGAAAGATATAGAGATGGTGCAACGAGGTTCTCCAACCTGAAGGTTTCTGACCGTGTGGGTGTTTTCTGCACATGTTTGCATCTGTTTACTTCACATTTGAGAGGAAACACTCCAGGCTAAAAATCTGGAGTCAGCTCAGCAAAACCAACAACACTAAAGCGGTTCTTTCGCCCCCTTGAGAGGAGCCCGAAAAGTCGCCCTGTGGAAATGACGTAACGAGGTACACAAGAGCGGGGATTGAGGGATGAGAGAGGAAGAGGTGGGGGCGAGGGTGAGGGTGAGACGGGGCTCTCGGGGGACTCAGGTGGTTTATCATTCATTCATTTTTAACCTCCTCCGAGCACGAGGCACGGGGTTTAGTCTGTGTGAGCCGACCCAACCAATCAAAACAGAGTCTGGAAAAAGAAAGAAACTTTTTTCATCTTTAACAGCTAAACAGAGGCGCTCTGAGATACAAAATATGGTTTACTCCTTTATTTTACCATTTAAAGGTGGGGTAGGCAGGAATCTATTAAAGACGCATCTTTAAAAAAGCTTTTAATATCAGTCAATAGTTATTAGTCATTGATGACATTTGGTAATATAATGATATCGCTGCGTTTTGTTATATCTGTGTAGTCAACATTTTAAAATTTGGTTTGGTTGGTTGTGAGGCAGACGCTGCTCCCCCGTGTCGTTCAGGAGCCCAAACAAAGTTAGCGTGCGACAATATCGGACTGTAGAAACCAACCAGAAAGTTCGGAAAATTGTCTGAATCCTCCTTTGGCCACGACTGCCGACACAAGTAAGAAAACAAAGTAAATACCGGAGACTCTGGGGGAATAACGGCGCTTAAAACGGAGGTAGACCGGACAAGAGCTAAAAAGCCGGGTCAACAATGATGGGGTACAGGTAAACCGCTTTAACAAAGTAAGACAAGTGTCTGTAACAGAAGTGTTTCTTGTCAAACGGACCTGCTGTAGCGTGTTGTAGCGCCATCGCTAAACTGTCCTCCCTCGGGTCCTGGACTATGTCACTTTATCCTAGTTGTAGAAGTCCTGCAAACATTGTGTTTGCTGGTAGTCTATTGGCATCTACAGTAGCACCAATGCTTTTGACTTTCACCTTGACTGGGCCCCATTTGTAATCATTTGAAGTATTTATCTGCATTATATCTGAATTTAATTGGAACGATACGAGCGAGCAGGAGCGTCTGTTTGAGAGGGAAGGGAGAGGAGGAGCTGGTTGGGAGGGGTAGAGTTTACATTCAAGATTTCTCCCTAAAACTGGCACTTCCTCAGATCCTGCCAACCCCACCTTTAAAAGAGCAAATACGACTTCATATGTGCAAGCCTGTTCCTAATCGCTTCAACCACAGTTTCAGCTGTTCGCAGATTTTTGTTTGTTCAGTCCTTTTTATCCAACAGAGGGAGTCTGCGATTACATTCTAACCAGATGACAGCAGATAATAGAAACCGAGCATGAACTGGTGTCGTAAATATCACTTGATTTGACCTAATTGATCTGTAACCGCTCCGCTAAATGAAATGATGAAGAGACTGAATCTAACGGGGATGCTAATGAGTCTCCTCCTTTTCACCAGGCTAATGCAAAAGCTTTTAAGTCACTTTATGTTGTATTTCAGATGCATACGCTGGGATAAATCCTGCGTTTATCTCCAGTGAATGAAACCTCTCCGTTTCATTGTGGCTGAAACTGTCGCAGAGATCTCGCGCCCACATGAAAAGTGTTTTATCTTTCAAAAGCATGCAAAGTCCGCTCTCTCTCTCTCTCGCTTTATGGCGGGTTTAAATTTTTCAAATTCCTCCACAGACATGGTAACTCCTATAAGAAACTGCATAACTTTCCATATGCGCCGTATAAATCATCCCTCGCACACACACGCTCTGGTCCCTCACACACAGATGCTCGTTGTGCCCCGCCATGAGAAACCTCTCTGACTTTAATGCGAGTGTTTTCCATGTGACAGGATTACCGCACTGAACTGTCACAGTCATTTTTTTCTTTACCGTAAAGCCAATCCGAGCTGTCACGCTGATTAGCGGCTGTGTTGCTCCGGATTTCTGGATCCTTGACACGAGCTGTCAGTCCTGCAGGATCAAGAATCAAACTCGGAGTATTTTTGTCTCAACGTTTCAATCAGCGAATAAAGAGGAAACTAATGATAACATGACACAATTAAACATCTGAATTTATATATTTTTAATTTTTTAAAAATATTTATTTAATTTAAATGCCGGCCCCCCACCCCACGCAAAATTTCGGGAAAATAGTCTGCTTCGTTTGTGCCGTTAAAATTTTCGTTTGTGCTGCTCTGGTTTTTAAGTTATTAAATATTGTTTTAGAGGTCATCCAGAGGTCACCCATTTGTTCCGAATAAACCCGAAATGCTGCCGTTTGTTAGATATGTGAGGTGCATATACTTCTCGACAGGTGTGCGTTGCCATTTTGGGTCCATTTGGAGCAAATGGGGGGCTGGATGACTTCATCGCCGAAAATAAAAATGTGTAATAACTTTAAAACCATAGACTGTATATACAATGGACGCTGTCTGCCTCCTTGCTGGGTGAAGCCACACCGAGAACAGCACCCTCTAGTGACGGGCTGCAGTATAGGTCATAAATCCCGCCTCCTCCAGCAATCCCTATGGAGTTGTGGACAAACTTTAGAAATTTATTACACAGAATATAATTTATTCTCCCCCCTTCTTGTGATGTTGACATGTAGTTATTGTAAGACTGGTTTTAAGAGCACAAACGAAGCACTAACGAACAGCACCATTTTGGGTCCATTTGGAGCAAATGGGGGGCTGGATGACCTCTGGATGACCTCTAAACCTTAGCAGCACAAACGAAAATTTTAACGACTATTTTCCCAAAGTTTTGCGTGGAGTGGGGGGCCAGCTTCATCGAATCCTTTTTAATGCTTATGAGTAGAATAGGCGTAACGATGGCTGCCAACAAAACGCTTCAGGGCGCTTTCAGGGTTCACCACCGCCGCAGGATACAAACAACACAAGAATCCCTGTGGATCACTGATGCGTGCGCTCACTCACGTCAAGTTTCCTCATGTTTTTTTTTTTTATTCACCGCTGTTTTTTTCCCTCCCGTCATCTTGTCTGCGGAGGACGACACAAAGAATCCCGCCTAATTCAGACACAGCTGGAAGTGTAGTTACCTTCATAAAATGCTGACACCAGGATTTAACATGGCTGACTTTTATGAGCCGCTGAACTGCTGAGATTCACACTTTTCTCTCTCAAGTTTAGCAACTGACAGGAAAGTTTCCAAAAATTCTACCTTTGTTTGCAAACTGAGGACTTGGGAGCATCACAGCACGGATGTGAGACCGGTCCAGACTGACGCAGCAAGCATGACCGGATTCAAGCTGTCAGGTGGGATTAGATCATGAAACTGAGCTGCTGATGGAATAAAATGATCGGTTACTAATAAGTTTTAATGATCACTGTTACTAGAGAATGACTGACATCAGTTATTAAGTTCCAGTTTAGCACCAGGACTCTTCTACGACAGAGCCGTCTTGTTTTAATACGAGCAGAATGAAGTCTGGTTCTCTTTATCTGGATGGCAGCACATGTTTGTTTGTGTCGCTCAGCGTTCATGGAGTCATGATTTCCTTTTTCTTCACCTGAGACCATCTCAAAAAAAGGCTCAAGATCATTCACAGATGCAGATGTAAACTATGTCAGATGAGAATTTAATCCCATGCAGCGATCTCCACTTCAGAGTCTGACCTGTTTTGGATGCAGCGTCTCTTAAAGGCCCAAAATTCAAAGCCAGGATTATTTTTTGTCTCCAGATCCTCTGAACACGCTGTAGATGTTGAACTCTTTAATTTTTTTGTAATTTTACACTTGGGAACGTTATCCTGGAATCGCTTGACTGCTCCTCCAGTCCCTCACAGAGCAGGTATCTCTTCTTAGCTTTACTTCACCCTCCCTGGAGTTCCCTTCTTATACCCAGTCATGTCACTAAACTGTTGAAAATGAAGCTCATTAGCTGTGATTTGTGCCTCTGGGTGTTTTTTTTAAAGCATTACGTCACTTTATTAGTGTTTATTTGCTCCTGTCCAAACTATTTTAAATTGTGTCGTTTGTATCCTATTCGAAATTCCCTTAAAGACCCACTTTGATGAAAATCATGTTTTTCTTGTTTTCTATATGTTCATATGGCATTTTTCCGATGCTACAGGGAATATCAAGCAAAGCAAAATTGCTTTTCTGAATATTTCTTCATTCAAATCACTGTAAATCTCTGGCAGACCCAAACAGCAAGTTCAGAAACAGTGAGATGTCTTACGTAACTAATCCAAGCTCCGCCCCCAAGAGCCCCGCTATGCAGGCCACACTCTGCATATAGAGGAGAAATAGAGAAGACGATCGCAGAGTAAACGTGTGCGTTAGCGGGTGTGCGTTAGCGGATTGCAATGCTTGTAAGAAAGCTAATTATGATGTTAACTTTTAGCTGAGCCATAAGGCGAGACTCTCGATTTAGTGGTCGATCTGTGCCGTGCCGATCCTAACCTATGGCCATAACTTGGGGTAATGACCGATAAAACAAGATCGGGATTACAAGCGGCTGAAATGGGTTAGCCTTAAAGATAAGGTAAGGAGCTCGGACGCTCGGGAGGCGCTCAGAGTAGGAGTCAGCTGAGGTGGCTCAGGCATCTGGTTAGGACGCCTTCTGGACGCCTCCTGTTAGAGGTGTTCCAGACATGTCCCACCGGGAGGAGACCTCGTGGCCAGCCCAGGGATTATATCTCTCGCCTGGCCTGGGAGCGCCTGGAAATCCCCCCGGAGGAGCTGGCGGAAGTGGCCGGGGTGAGGGCCGTCTGGGCTTCCGTCCTGAAGCTGCTGCCTCCCACGACCCGGACCCGGATGAAGCAGAAGAAAACGACGACAACGATGACGTCTATCATGTCCCTAACGACACAAGTGTCTGAGAGCTGAATAGCTCTTATGTTACCTGCCACTTCTACTACACTGTCAATGTTAGGCTGCAAGCTAACGTGAAGAAGACGAGTGTTCAGAGCAGCGCTGTCTCCGCCCACGACTCAGAGGCGAACTGCTAATGATCTACTGAAGCTCTGCAGAAGAAAAGACCTTGAAAATGACACAGGTAACATGATTTTTGGTAAAAACTTCATAATCACAATTTAAAGACCACTGAGAACACTTTAAGTAGTAAAAAACTAAAACTACCAGAGTGGGACTTTAAAACACGAACATTTTTCAGTGTCAATATCTGGCGGGAAGTCTTCACACTTCAATCTTGTTAAGAAAGAAACCCCAGTTTGGACATGCCCTCGCTGTAAACAACGCAAATTAACGTTAAACAGAGGACTTAACAGGATACCAGAGGGATTACTACAGTAAAACAATTAATTCTTATCAGGCTGTAGATGAAGTAGATGTTGTTTATTTTGAGGCTTTTCTACGCTGCTGGGATACTGTAAATGCTTTGAAGACGGTTTGATTTGCATCCAAAAAGGATTATGTGTGTTTGGGCACATGAACAACCCGCCTTTCCATCAGTGTGTGAGGAAGAAAAAGTGTTTAGGGAATGGCAAGTGGGAGCTGCAGGTCCCTGGCTATTCCCCTGTCTGTCTGTCTGTCTGTCTGTCTGTCTGTCTGTCTGTCTGTCTGTCTGAATGCCACATCATTTCCCATTCCTCGTTCAGGCGCTACAAATAGAACGGGCATCTCAGGGGGGCTGAGCTCACTGAGAGGAGAGATGGAGACGAGGGAGGAGGAGGAGGAGGAGGAGGAGAGGGGGAGAGACTTGACCCTGGAGAAAATAGAAAGGAGAGATGGAGACAGGGGAAGAAGGAGGAGGAGAAGGAGGGGTGTGAAATTACAAAAGGAAAATGATGAACATTAGAAATGTAACAATGAAACCCTCAGGGAGGAATGAGGAGGGAGGAAACAGAGAGAGGAAAGGAGGCTAGGAAACAGAGAAAAAGACAATTCATTTAAGCGTACAGATGAAAAAGGCCTGGGGAGTGAAAGCTACAGACGGATCAATACGCTGATAGAGAAAGATGAGACGGGCCGGGCGAGAGGAGGCAACATTTTATAGAGGTTTCACTCGTGACTGATCTGAAAGGCGCGACAATAAAAGCCTGGTGAATGTGGGTCAAAACGGGCCAGAAAACCTGCATTACTTTCCACTAAATTTTATTCTTAATCGTATCTTTTCACAGAGACAATCTGTGGGCGGTTATTCTTGAATGAGGAGGCATCGGCTCATGCAAAAATTGGCGAGAAAGCTGCAAAGCTCACGCACAAATAGAGCGAGGAAAGAGAAAAACACAGTAATAGTATCTCAGGTGGTAACCAAATCCAAGAGAGAGCCATGGGAAATCTTCCCTCAAGGTTAGGCGAATGACAGACGCAGCACGCCTATTTTTCCTGCGGTTTCATTGAAAGATAGTAACTGTGTTTTTTTTTTAAGAGTGCAAAAAAACATTTAGAAAACAAAATAAATGAGGTTTGGCGGCGAAAAAGAGGAGAAGGAGGAGAGTGAGTGAGAAAGAGAAAGATGGAGAAGACGACCGGAGGGATGAATGAAGATAACGAGGAGGAGAGAGTGAGAAGAAAGAGAGAGGGAAAGCAGGTACGCTTCAAAGCATCACTTTTTAAGACTCCTTTCAACAGAGTGTGTGTGAGTGTGTGTCTGTCTGTGTGCGTGTGTGTGTGTGTCTGACAGGTGAAAGTTCCCCTGATGTCTGCCTGTAAGGCCGAACGCCCACTACAAGCTTTTTCATCTCTCAGCCTGTCCTGTTTGTCAAAAAAACAGACTGAAGTGAATTCCAGGATTTTTGCTCGGAGCTAACCTGATCTTGATTGTCAGCTATTCAAGTTTTCTTTTTTCGCTTAAACTCCTTAACCACCTGGACTGTGGAGAAGTATTTGGAGAACTGTGTGTTAAAGTGTGGGTTCGTTTTGGCATCCTGCTGCATGAATGTTTGTTTTGGTCGTCTTAGCCAAAGAGCCTCAGTGTGCGCCGGAGATTTGGCACTGAAACACTCGCTTAGCTTAGAGGACCATCGAGTTTAAAAGTAACTTTCCAAAGAAGGAAAAGTGTCTTTTTCTTTGACTCACACACTCTGAACTCGTCGCTATTATTTGAATGGATTTTGTGGTTTAAGGCACTTATCGTACTTTATGTGTCTGCAACCCTGCTGCATGTTTCCGACTGTCTGACAGCTCAGGGTTAGACGGTGAAGGAAGTCTTTGTTTTTTTCCGCATTGCAAACATCCCCAGATCTGACTTTGACTTTAAATCAACCGGTCATCAATCATTAATAGGATTTATTTCCAATTTATTATGGTATGATGATGAATTAATGATAAACTGTTGAGTAACTCTAACCCTAACTCTCTCAAAGTCTCAACACGCTTTTGAAATTTTAATTTGAGCCGTATTTTGTGAAACAGTCGAGGTTTTGATGAAAGGCTGATAACTTAGTTCTTATGGGTGGCACGGTTACTATGGTAACGTGATGAGGAGGGGAGAGAGAAGATTGTCTCTGAGAGAAAAAGGTTTTGAGGTGAAGAAGCGAAAATGTAGAAATCACACAGCTTGACTCAAGAGTTAAGTTGATGAACAGCTGACGATCAAGGCGTAAGAGAACTAAGCGCCTGCTTAGGGCCCCACGGCCAATAGGGGGCCCCAAAGAGCAATCAAAAATAACTATTTTCTATAATTTGCTGTATGCGTGACACTTTCTGTATGATCAAATATATATTATATATATATATATATATTGGCGGTATTGCTTTGCTTCGTTTACTCAGAGGATTATTACTCCGTCCTGGGGTCATTAGTATCAAAAGTTCAATCTGTGTGTATAACAGGACTGGGCGATATGGCAAAAAAAAAAAGATCACGATATATTTTGTCGTATCGTCCGATCTAAATTATTATCACGATTTTTTTAAACTGCTCGTTTTAAAGCCTCTGTACTAAAAACTAAAGAAACTAGAGATTAATTCAACATTTTATTAACATACAAAGTAAATAAATAATAAAATAAGATAAACTTAGAAAAATATAAAAACATTTAAACTGAACAAAACAACAAATATAGTGTTTCTGCAGGCATGATAGACCTAAAATAAACAGATTTCTCCCTCAGGGATAATGAAGACCACCGCCACACAACCGCCGATCAATAACTTCTCAACAATAACATCTTCAGAGGATGACTCAAAGTCGTGACGTTTAGCTCCACGTTCGGTCGTTGTGTTTACTTCCTGTTTACTTCTCCATCAACTTAAAGAAGTGAGCAGGAAAAGCTCGACTCTGATTGGCTGTTGTCACGCACATTTCCGCCATGTTTGATCGAGTAAATATGCTCTCAGCTGATCACGATCATATAATCACCCAGTCCTAGTGAATAATATTTGATCTATTGTGACTATAAAGAGTCGTAAGTATCGGTTCTATCAGGGTTTCTTGCTTTGCCTTCACAGAACAGAAGTGATGGTCTGAAAATCTCCACATTCATCCCCTGACATGACAGGATTTCCAATCTGGGCTGCCCCGATGGTCTTGAGTCACTACTGTGTGAATTTCATATCAGGGTCTATCTATCTTGCAGAACGGCGCTGACGCCAACATCCAAATTATAATTTTGACCACAAAACTCATGGGGATTTTCCAAAAAAGCTAAAAAAAATCAGACTTGGCACACAATAACACAGGAAGTCCTGCAAAGCAGCCAAGCATGGGCGCCCGGTGTCAGCCAAAGTCTGCGTTTAACAAGATTAGATTTGATTTAACTCTCACAAAGATCACCTACATAATCATTAAAACGTCTCAGGTTGTCTAAAGACGTGGACGTTTTGTTGCACCATCTCCTTCCTTGTTTCCTGACGTCTTCTTTCCTGTCAAAACTATCATAAATTCCTCCTAATAGATCCCATGTTGCTGTGTCCCGCTTTGTAAGATCGCTGCTGTGAAACTGCACTCTCGTACAAAAGGCTTCACGCAGTTTTAAAAGGTATAACCCTGCAATAGCACCTATACCAGCAAACAAGGACAGTCATATTCCAGTTATTACAGCTGTTTCTGCTCGGTCTGAGCTTTCCCTTATGTCTTTGTTTTCCTGTCTCGGTCTAATTACTGAGAAGCTATGCGCTGCATGTTTTCAACTACAGATTGCAAACTCTGCTCGGGGTATTACATGATCTGTCTGTGCATACATTTAAGCAGTTTGCTTGTTGTTGGAGGAGGCAAAGGAGGTTTTAAAGACAGAGAGATGAGCTGGTTGATGCTGTCTTGTTTGTTTTAACTCTTTGATGCTCATCCAGTGTTTTTAAAGGGCTCGAACCTGGTCTGATATCTTAAATCCAAACAGTTTTCCTCCATACAACTCAGTTTATATGATTCCCTGAATTCAAAATGACAAAACAATAAAAAGAAATGGTCACAGAAGAGGTGCAGAAAAGGTAAGAGTAGGTATTACCGCCTCATTTTGTTTAGACACTGCAGTATAAAGAGGCGGGGTAAATATATATAGCACAATTTAACTTGCAGCACTCATAAATTAACACTGTTTTTAACTTGATTTTGTGTCTTTGCTTGTTACCTCCGCCAAGGAGGTTATGTTTTCAGTAGCGTTGGTTTGTTTGTTTGTTTGTTAGCAACTTTACGAGTTGTGGTGGCAGAGTGGTGTAGATAGGTGGCACTCGGAGAGCGCAGACCTCCGCCAAGCAGCTCATGTCCCCCCTTAAACAAGAAATGCCCTGACCGGGATTCAAACCCAGGACCTTCTGGTTGTGAGGCGACAGTGCTAACCACTACACCACTGTGCGGCCCATCTACACCACTCTGCCACCACAACTCGTAAAGTTGCTAACAAACAAACAAACAAACAAACAAACCAACGCTACCAAAAACATAACCTCCTTGGTGGAGGTAAAGAAGTACTCGCCAGTGAGAAGTGCGCCACCAAGTGTGCCAATTAGCCTAGTTGTGGAGTGCTTTCTGTCTATGAGGAGAAGAGGAAAATGCCGAAGTCATTAGCCAAGAGCTATCGGTCACGGTGCATCGGCTCCCGTGGGCGCAGTGATACCGTCTCTGGATCTAGTGGAGATCCTGGTACCGGACCTTCACATCGTCTGCAGACAATCAAAGAAACAGTTTTCTGGGGTGTTGTAGTTTTATGTTGCGACGACTCTCAGCTGTCATGAAGAGACCTATCACGATCAGATCTGAGTGGTGTCCGAGGAGGGAGGACCTTGATGCCACCGGTAAAGTAGTTTGAAGCGAAATGAAATAGACGATCAGAGTTCTGCTTTAAGGTCTCTCCTTCGTAAAAATGTGTTTTTCCAGGGTTTCATTTTCCATAGCAGGCAATAACTAAACACAGGAGTGGATTAGAGACTCACTTTTTTCTGGTAAAAGAAGAGAATCAACCCTTTCTTTTGAGATATCCTGAAAGTTATGGAAATTTCTACTGCGGTCAATGATGGCACTGGGTGAAAACTGCAGTGATTCTCGCACTGAATGAGTTAAAAAGTTCCTGACGGGAGCTTTAAAAGTCACTTTTTTATCTACAAGCCCTTTCTGTCCATGTAAACCTGCCTGTCTAAGAATCAACGCTTTAATCTGCGGTCTGGATTTCCCCTTTCTGTCCGTTTGAACTCTACACTTGCTCCAAACATCCAAAAACCCAAGTGCCAGGAGGCTGGTGCCAACTTCAATGTGGCTGCTGTGCCGCTTCTGCTTTCCAACGCAGGAAAGGTGAAAAGACAATTACCCCCCTGCGATCATTTCAGTTCCACATGATTAAAAAAAGAAAACGATCACAATGAATGAAATGAGCGACATTAATTAACAGGAACTGCTGCTTTGGTCCGTCGCCGCCGCTGCTGGAACAAGCCAAGGGAGCTGGCACGGACAGGATCTGATTTATTTTTTTGGATCAGGGGTGTATGTGTGCTGGTACGCTTCGCACAAAACACACCTAAGTTCAGAAACACACCTGCAGACGGCCGAGACATCTAATTAGAGAGTCCTGGTCTGGAGTCTGGGTGTGTGTTTGAGGAGGAAAGGCTGAAAGCTGTGGTCGTAAAGTGTGTAAGGGTGTGTGTGCAGGTCCTAAGAGAGGAGGTGCAGAGATGTAACAACAGAGAAATCAGAGTGTGACATAAAATATTCAGCCTGGCTTCAGAGGAGACTGTCCAGAAATAGGTCAGCTCGACGCGGTAGCCTCTTATTGGCACAAATACTCACACACAAAGTCCTGCACTCGCACACAGAAACTCAGGTTCTTCTTCTGCCAAACACACACACACACTCTAATTCAGTTTTATACACACTGCTACAAACACACACAAACACTGACGCCCCGCCAAGACTGACAAATAGATAAAAAGGAGCTTTGTTGAATTGTGTATCTGCGCTGACATGAATTAATTAAGAGCAGGTGAGTGGGCAACACCCACGGGAGACCTAACGCACTTCACGGCGACCATTATGGTGGATTCGCAGCTCTTCCTGGACCAGCTTTCCTCGCACAGTTTCTTAATCCTGGTGTACCTGCATGTAAGCTTGCAAATCCTCACAAAAGTGTCCGCCTGCCTGTCATCGTCTGGATTTGGGTCCTGACATCCCGCCTGCCATGATATCCCAAACAGATCGAGTTCAAGTAAGTAGGTGTCAGTGGAGAACAGGGGAACAGTTTTGCAGAGTCATTCCTTTAAATCTTCAACATTTATCTATTTGCATTTGGGTTCCACCTTCTCGCCGATACGACACGCTGCAACGGGCGGAAAGAAACGCAGATATTGAGATAAATGGGATGATGCACTTGACAATGACGGTCATGGCAGTTTTTCAGCACTGCTTCTTCGAATCAATTATCTTAAGAGTCAGTGAAACGTGCCTTTAACAAGTCAACCATCTGCATTTAGATCATCTTTCTCTCTTTGCGTGCACGACTCATTGTAACAGACAGACAATAAAACTGATTGTTGCATCTACTTGACATTGGATGTGGTGGCAGATCTGCAAATATATATTCCTGGGCTCTAAAGCCAAAACAAGAACAGTGCATGTCTGGGGCCCAACCTTTAAAAAATGAATGAATGAAACACTATGACAGACTACAAAGGAAGAGAGATTTGAAGAAGGATGGAAACATATCCTCCGTCTGCATTTGGATCCTAGAAATTGAGAGAGAAATTGACACGACAGGAAACTGTTCCCAAGAGTAAAAGCTGACTCGAAACTGACTCGAAACTCAAGAAAAGACCATCAACCACATTCAAGTCTGAAAATAGCGCTTCGTCTCATCTTAAACAAACTAATTCATAAGTGTGTCCATCCTCCCTCTTCATCCACCCTTGTTCCTCATCCAAACACATCCACCCTGAAGGACCTGCAGAGACTTTTGGGTGGGTTAAAGTGCAGATTGGGAAAGGTTGGCATTGGGGGAAAGATGAAGATGCGACAAACAGCTACCGCACAGAGAATAAAATGATTGTGGGTGTATTTGAAGTCTCAGAAAACCTTCATTTCATATTCAGAGTCATTAATGTGGAGATCCCTGTGGTGTCACTGCCTGTCAAGATGAGGCTTTGTTATGCTTGGATAGAAGCAGCAGGGAGTCACCACACTGATCAGCAGCAACCTTTCTGCAGCTCCTGGAGTCAACACACAATCCTGCACACATTTGTAAACTAAAATGTGTGCATTAGAGGAGAGGAAGCATCCCTCCATCCTCACCGCTGATGATGGAGTAGGTGCTGTCATTCACAACAACTCTTTGTTCACCAGAAGACACATGGTAACAGCCCTCTATGCTGGTCAAGTGTACACGGGACACGCAGAGAACACGATATATGAACCCATGAGCTGAGACTTTACCTGCGCCCAGCGTGCTGTTGCACTGCCAGTCCTCGGTGCTCGCGGGTTTCCAGCAGGACTCCCACAGGGACAGGTAGTACTGGTCGTCAGCAGTCACCCACGCCGGGCTCATCACGGCTCCAACATCCAGGCAGAGAGCCAGGAACACGCACACCAGTCCGACCAGCTTCAGCGGCGTCAGCGGGGAGCTGCGCGCTGACTCCTCCGTCTCGGTGACAGCGGACGACATAGCTGAGCCGGGGGGATGCTGATGGGTGTGTTTGTGTCGGTGTATCCCTTCCAGATGTTGCGTTGATGAATGAGAGAGTGGTGAAAGCGGAAGAGACTACGCGGAGAGTTGTTGTCACCGCAGCAGCAAACGTCTGCTCTGCGTTGCGCGCTGCACGGACGCTGCGCCTGTGAGCTCCGCCGCCACCGCGCGCAGGAGGTCTCCACCGTTTACTGCGCTGACGTCAAGACCCCGAGGGATCAGCAAGGTGCTACAGGGTCCTAAAGAGAGGGAGCGAGAGACATGGAGACGTACTGCCGTATCAACGCAAGGGCGTAGCCGGGGTTTGGACGTGCAGGGGTCCTCAGCCCCAGTCCTCTGGCCACCAGCTGAACTCTGTCCATTTGAAGTTTGATTGACGTCAGGCTGAGTTTTCAGCTTTAAACAGAGAACGAAGTCGACAAAAATGTTAAAACTGAGTAAGCTGAAGTTAAATCATCCAGTAGGCTACCATCAGAGTCCTGCAAGAGAGTCCTTTGCATAATAATGAAATAATTAAACATATGTAAGCAAAGAGATTGACACTGAGACAGAAAATAGCTCCTGCTGCTGTTTTATCTCTGGGACACACTGAGTTTCAGACAAATATATAATAGAACTCCAAAACATATAAAGAAATACTAATGTATAGCTTTAAAGAGGTTGACAGACAAAAATAGATGTAAACAGTTATGTGAAATGTGCATAGACTGTATATGTGTGTATATTGTATTACTCTTTATTATTTTATCTATGTATATATATATATATATACATGTAAAGCAAAACATCAAGAGCCTCATAGATGAACAAATATAATGTACATACGACAGTGAATATATGTACATTTTATACATCTGTATCCATGTATCATCTATCTATCTCACTCTCTCTGTCTTTACATATATACATCTATATATATGTATATACATAGATGTATATATATATACATATTATATATATATACATATATATATAAATACACATATATATCTATATATCTATAAATATACATATATATCTATATTTATATATTTATATCTATATCTATCTATCTATCTATATATATGTATATATATTTATTTATTTATTTATACATACATACATAAATAAATACACATACATATATATATATATACATACACACATATACACATATATATACATACAAATACATACACACATATATATATATATATATATATATATATATACATACACACGTACATATGCATACACACATACTGTACATACACACACACACATATATATATATATTCTATATACAGACTATGCTCTTACACATATATGTTTTAATGCAATAATGAGCTTAAAGGAAAAGATCAATTCTTTTATTTAACATACAGGAAATCTAGTCAAATAAAGCCAGAGTAGATTTTGCTACAGTGATACACAAGTCTAGTTGCAAACTAAAGCGGGGCATGTTATATTCAACATGATTGATACTTTTATTCTCTAAAGTATGCACAATACATAAATACGCTCTAAATTTCACTTTCCAAACAGGGAGACTACTTCAAAATTGAGAATTATCTTCTATTATTCAGGAAAATTGATCAGAGGATGAGTTATCTCTGCTCATTCAAGACGAAATTAGATTTTGGATTCATTATTCGAGTCAATGTTAAGGATTTTTTCATGGTGGAGCTGGAGGTGAAGAGAAAAGCATCTTCGGCAGTAGTAGTCGCAGAAAAGTGGGAGGCACATGAAGGAATATTATTGTTTCCTCTGCATACTAATGACAAAGCCAGATATGAGACAGAGGAGACACGCAGAGACAGGAGGAAGGAGAGGAGAGGAGGGCGAAGGGGGGGCAGGGGAAGCAGAGGTGAGCAGGTTTAGGGAGGCAGAGCCATCCATGTGTGTATCCAAGCGTAAAGAAAGGAGGGATGGAGAGGCTGAAGGAGAGGAAGAGATGGCCTTGTTTACTCCCCAGCAGGACAATAATGAGCGATGATAACGGGGGTGAAGAGACGGGAGGGCGAGGGGAACAGATAGAGGTGAAAGAGATGGGGGGATGATGGTTTTATGTTATGGAGGCCTTAATGAATCGGCTCTTTGTTGATGCACATAAGTTATTCAGGGTTTAATAAGAAAATAGCTCCTGCTGCTGTTTTATCTCTGGGACACACTGAGTTTCAGACAAATACATCACCCTTAAACTCCAAAACAGCCTCTCTATCAAATCAATCATGGCTGAACGCTGGAAAGTGTTTTATATTTTTAGGGCGGATTACTAAATAATGAAGGCGGATGCTTGTTTTGATGTGACGCCAATGTCCAACTTTAGCTTCAGATGTTTGTTTATTTCATCAAGGTAGATTTAATACTGAGAAACAAAACGCAACTTCACCAAGGACGATTTTAATTCCTGACTGTGCACCGAGGCCTTTATCGACATCCAGAGGAAGAAGAATGAACCAACTCTGCAAATTGTATCCGTGTTCTTTATGAGCTGACAGATCCACTTTGTGCAGACGTCACAAGGGACGAACATGCATGAGGAGGGGAAACTTCACACTCGATGGCAAAAAACATCCATATGTGAAGTTTCATTGTGTACCAGGGTTCACTAAATGGAAAAATATGTGTTCAAGGACAACCTTATTTACTCTCCGAAAAACATTTTGAATGTATATACAGCACGCTTTCCTCGAGAGACAACAGAGCGAGGCTTCGTGATGCGTTTAAGGTCTTGCGCTGCTGTAAAACTCCACTCTTTTCTTGTTTGGCTGAATATCTGTAAAGACAAAAAAAGAGGGTAGAAGAGGGTAGAAGTTTGCATGTACTGTATTGAGAACACTGTTGAGTTATATCACCACAAAAATTTACAACACATTAAAGCTCCTGTGAAACTGACTGACACTCATATTAATGCTTTTTTGTAATTTCTAAGCGAGTGGTGAAATCAACCGAAACAGAAAGTTCCTCACAGGAGCCGAAAACATACAGGATCCGTATTTGCTCAGTATAGAGGAAACAACAGGCTCACAACAGGTTGTTTTGCCTCTCTGTGGTCTATTTCCTGCTAATTTGGATATAATTTGGATACAACGGGATTTTACAGTTTCAGTTTTTGCAGATTTACTCGTGTTTAATAAAGTAAACTCTGTTCCTTTCTGCTGTGCTGTTACCTTCAGACAGAGTTGGGGTCCACATGGATCAGGGATTGTTCGGATTGTTCTGTGTTACTGATAAATCCATAACCAGGAAGTATTTCTCATCTACATGAACTGATACATCACTCACTCCCTAACCCCTGACCCCCATATGGGGTTTCACTATATGGCTGATTATGTAGTGAGTTCAATCACAGGAGGTTCCAGACACTACATGACATGACGCAATGCATGACGGGATGCCCACCACCGGTGAGTGACCATCGGATGGTCACTACATTTTGCAATGCTCTATGGGAAATTTTGAGCCGACTATATAGGGCACTGGAATCGATCACTGAGGTCTCGGACACCCCTCAAGATGGCGCTAACCCCCATGTAGTCGCCTATATAGGGGTTTTGGGAGTTTGCATATGGTGTTTTATTTTGAAATACCGGATGATATGGGCGATTTTCTTGCTTGACTTCCTGTCTAGAACGATCTTATCCGTGTGGATTGACGTGAATTTGAAGTGCAGAGCAGCATATTTACTGCATTGATTAGCATGGCAGCCTATTTGCTACATGATCACTTAAACCTGTGAGGTGTTAAAAGCTAATTCCATCTGGTCTAAAATACCAAAGTCTGAAAATTTGGAGATGCTGAGTCAGCATTATTCCAACTAGAACTCTAGATCTCTATAGCCATCGCAGTTTTAACCCAAACGAGACCATAAAAAGACCTCAATGGATCGTCACCTCTCAAACAGATGAAATGGAGGTGTTCTTCACATGGGCGATCCCACCAGCTGTACTCGTTGCTGGTGTTCATGGCACCACATCGACTTGAGCTCCACCAGGAAGGTTTTGTCTCAAAGTTGTTGTAGCTTTCTGTAGCTCCAGGCATCCAAAACCAAGTGTCTGCCTTCAAGTATCTTTAAAAAAAAAAAAGGCATTTGAAGTTTCCTAGATGTACAAACTAGCAACAGTCAACCCTGCATGTCACATCCAGACTTTGTACCTGCGCAGGCCCAACCAAACATGCTCAGTGAGGGGGAAGGAGACGTTCCTCAGCACTCCCTCCACCTCCCTTTGCTCCTCCTCGCTGCGTATGCTGAGCAGGTCCCAGTAAAAGTCTCTGCAGTAGAAAAGAGCGTCGGAGCAACACAGCTTCTTCTCCACCACTTCCACGCCTCGACCTGACACCACGGCGCTGAAGGACGGTGAAGGAGCTGCAAGTTCTACAGATACGAGAGATACAGCAGATTTGGTTTAGGTGGCAAGAACAGGCAAATCGAATCACAGGTGTCCTCAGACTCAGGTGTACTCACCTCCATATGCTTCTAACTCACACATCGTCAACACGCTTCCTGTGTCTGTGCTTTCCAGTTTCACGTTAATCAATCGACCAATCATTCCATTGCACACGAACGAGCGCCTACCCCCAGCTGCTATGGAGGGTATAGTCGCACATCTACAACACAAAAACATAATATTCTTGTTTTTTTTAAGATGCTCAGAGCAAAGAAGGGTAAGTGAAAGTAAATCTTTGCGTGATTACATCGGGTTGTTGTTGCCGTTGTTCTCCAGGGAGTTTGATGGTGATGGCTATTTCTGTAATCCTGTACACAGCCGGTAGGAGCAAACTCCACCAGTGGTGGAGTCTGTGTACAGGAACCAGCATTCCTGTCGATTGCATTTGAAGCCGGACCGTGACTGTATGATGATGACTGAGTCGCAGTTCCAAGTGGTGCCACATTTGGCAAAATTGAAACTTGGTGGTGACAGATACAGAAAAAAACCTTCAAAACAAACTCGATTACAAACCATACAAAGCACATTTTAACTTATAGACGACAAAACTACAATCCAAGGCTTGCTTAATTTGGTAAAAGCAGATTATACCTATTAATTCAGAAATCTTTTAAAGTACAAATAACTGTTTCCATCATTGAAAGCACAACACTTTGTCACAATAGGAGCCTGATATTGCAGTTTTAAGGCTGACTTTTGAAGGACATATTTGAAAAGAGCCTCGGCACATTATGAGCATAAATAAATAGCTGGATCCTACCTCCGAGTCCCGAGAGGGGCGGCAACAGGAGGGAAATCACTTCAAAATGAAAAAGATTACGAATTTATTCCTCTAAAATAAATTCAATTTTGTATATTAATGATTTTATTCTCATAAAACAGTTTCATGAATCTTACAACTTTGTTCCTCTATATTTAATTAGGACTTTGTTCCAGTTAATGTACATCTACATTCTAAAATTAAAACTTAATACTTGCTTTATTATTCTGACTGGATTTTTTGTCATTTACATAAATTAATGACTTTATTCTTTTATCCTCATATTGTGACTTAACTCTCATAGACTTTCAATCAGCTCCCTCATTCTTCCTCCAGCCCTCCTTTCTTCCTAATAACTCATGACCTTTTCTTTCTTATCAGTTATTTTGTAATTTTTTTATAACTTTATCTTGTAGATCTGAAACTATCTTTACACTACACGATAAAGTATACTTCTTTACCACTGTACAGTACTGTTATTTACCACATACTACTTTTATCTATTGATTAATAACGTGAAAGTGAATGTAAATAATGCCAATATTAATAATATTAAGGTAATATATAGATTATACTTACAGTTAACGGCTCTGAACATGTTTCCAGCACCAGGAAACCCCACAACTGATTTCAGTCCAGCTCAGTTCTCATAAATGTACCCAAGTATGTACAGAAAGTATGGAAATCACTCAGTGGTCATTTGCCTCTGCAGTGACAAAGGTAAAAAAACCTTCTGACCCAAAGCGTGACATTTAAATGCTATTTATTCAAAGTACAACGCAGGAAGCATGCGAGAAGTCACGACTACGAGGAACCGCCATTAAAATTGTTTCTGACATCAAAGACAAATTCAGCAAAGTGCACAAAATGATCAGCTGAATAAAAATGATTAAAAATGGACTCTGATGGTTCACAAGTCATTTCGATTATAACAGACTAACTATACGGTTCATGACTGTGTCCTTTGTCCTCTCTGTTTTGCTCATTACGTTGTTATATTATTCTTGCTTGTTAAAATTCCTCCCCGTGTTACTTTTAACTCAAGTCTTTCCTCGCTATTAGACAATGAAGGAGCAGCAGCAGTGTGTTTAAGTGTTGCTCCCGGTGAGCTGCAATAATGAATCCACTGATTCCTTAAAAGAGTAATAGCTCTCCGAGGACCCCTAACAAATGAATCGTTTAAAAAGTCCCTCATATTTCATTTGGTGCTCAGTTAACATGATGGAAAAGTGCACGGCGTGAGCCTGTATTCACTTTTCAAGATTGGATTGGAGTCGCTCTGCATTATGTGGCTCTAATATAAAGTGTATAATAACAAATTAGTCCCAGAGAGTATCCGTCATTTAAATGAAAACAGGCTGTAAGCAGTGAGTACCAAGCAGATGATGTTTGCTTTCCCTCAGCTTGAGAGGAACACTGCTGCTGGAGTGTGGATGTGAAGGGGTAGAGAGGCTTCTACTTTCTCTTATTTCTCACGCTGGAGTTCTCTTACAACTCCTATTTGGATTAAATCTCTGCTAAGTGCACCGTTTGACTAAACGGTGGGTGTGTTGTAGCCATCAACCCTAATTTGTTTACACCTTAATGACCAGCTCATAGACTGTTTACACTATGGACAACATGGTTCCGCCTATCAAGACGCATTATATTCTATGTATCACCAATGTGCCTTTATTATGTTTGTGTTTTGACAATACTTGATTGTCAAAAAACACAACTTGGTTCAGATTTGAAGCCGAAAAGCCCTCAATATTTCTGCGTTTTTTCTCCACTTCCTAAAACCAACATTGCGCTGTAGCCTTGTACACATTCGTCGGTGGAGTCGTCGAGAGTCGCTGTGTTGACGCTCGGCTCAAACAGCGTATCCCACGGGTGAGCTACACAATCTTTGTACACCCATAGGCTGTATCAAGTGTCAATCATAGCAAACATGAACCCTCTAATAACTTTGAAAAATGGAGCTGTACAGAAAAAAGAGGACTTGAGCACAAACCAGTTTTAAGGTCGTTTTTGTTTTGTGCGATTATTTTGGATGTCAATATTTGCAATATTCGAACCCGTATCCTGTCAATACAAGCGTTCACATCAGCGATGTTTTCCCATTCTGCGATATTGCGACATTTATTTTTTCTTATTACGGTCGAATTTTTGCATACTGTGTGTCCACTTCTGACCAATCAGATTTCGTGTTGTTGCGACGTCAGATTCACCGGTATATCCAACATGGCCGACCGGCTGATTGTTTACGTGTCGGAGAACAGAGTGATTTTTGATAAAAGACACAAACATTACAAAGATAACGACCTGAAGGACAACTCGTGGAGAGTCATAGCGTTGGATTTCTCATATGTTGATGGTTTGTGTGCTTTAACAGTTTGATAAACGTCTTTGTTTTAACTTTCATCTGTGCTAAGTAACTTTAGCTCGTAAGCTAACCTGTTCAGATACAACATACCATATGTATTTTCACTGTCACAGCACCATTAGGTCTCTGTTGTTACCTTACGTTTATGGATTATAGTTTAATGTTCTTATCTGGTACTGACCCCGACTTAGTACATGCTATCATGACAGACAGACATCTCAACACTAGTGCGAATATTTCATAATTTCCCGCTGTATATTTGCGTCGTTCCTGGCATCTAAGGACCTTTACTGTAACTTCATGTCAACATCGCAAGCAGGGAGGAGAAAAAATCTATATTCTGTGTAACAAATTTCTAAAGTTTGTCCACAGCTTCATAAGGAGGCAGGAATTATGACCTATACTGCAGCCCGTCACCAGAGGGTGCTGTTCTCGTGGTGGCTTCACCCAGACAAGCTGCATCATGGGTCAAAGATGCTGCCATAATGGTAAGGGCATTCTGGAGGGATGCAGAAACTTACTGCCTGACATGTTGAATGACCACAGTGGTCTAATTTGACCAATCAGCATTGAGCCTCAGAGCTCGGTGCCCTGCTGAAACATATTTTACTTCATTTCTCAACACCAGCTAAAGTTCCTTAAAGTGAAGATAAGATACTTTTAATTTAGTCATGAAACAAGGTTGGAAAAAAAAGACAAAATCCTCTGCAAAGTTTTTCATTTTCTCTCTGCGGCGTGTGATGATGGGTTATTATTAATATGTCGGTTCATTAGCATATTTCATATCCTGCTGCCGAGCGTTTCCAGCCCACTATCTGTCTCCATCGGCGGCGGAGAAAAGACACAGGTGCTGAGCGCTGTCTGAGGATGGTTTCATGAGAAAACCCAAGACAAAACATGTGCTCGGAGGTAAACATGTAAACAACACGAGCTCATCGGTCGACAAGATGAGTAACAAAAAATGTCAGTTGGTGTAAGAGCTTCAGATTGGAATGAAATGTTTACACGTCAAACGATGAACGTGTTATCTGTCACGCCATCAAAAGCTGTGCCTCCAAATGTGTCGCCAAACGTTCATCCAAGCCAGACGAACACGCCGGCTGTCCCTCTCACACAAGTGCTGCTTTGTCAAACACTCAAACAGAATGAGAACTCCGCAGCAGCAGCGGCATGAAATATGGAACAATGTCTCACAGATGAGATGATATTTTATGTGTCAGAGCTGAGTTTTCAGGCAGTGGAAAGGAGGGGAAAGAAGATGAAAGCTGAGCTGAGCAGCTTGTTCTCTCTCCACATCTCTTCTGTCATGTTCACCAGAGGGAGTTTTGATAGGTGTACACTCGCACACACACTCCGGCGCACACATTAGCTCAGGGGCGTAAGAGTAGACACACACGTGCAATGTTCTCGAGGAGTGTGGCAGCAGTAATTAGATTTTACTTCAAAGAACCACAGAGTTGTTTCAGCGGGAGAGCAGGCTGATGTTTAAAACGAGCAGGTTAGGGACTGTGGGTGCTCCTACATGGTACCGGACACTTCCTGTCTCACCGCACTTTATAAGAAAGTATTATACCAACGCCATACTGAGCACGCAAATCGAAAGGGAGGCCAAGTCTGTGAAGCAAAGGCAAGTCTATTGTAAAGCAGATGAAATATTTCATATTATTCACTTCCCCATCAGGAAGTGACCTTTAAGTCTGACTGCAACACGACTACACACCATCAATCTGTAGAAAGAGAACCAGTTCAGTCAAAAAGATCTGCATACAATAGTTATATTTAATGGTATGGCTCTGTTTAGAGAGCTCCCCAAAGCCTGAGGCAGGGAGAGCAGCAGCAAAGTAATCTAAGGAGCAGACCAGAGCAATTGCCGTCGCATGTGTGACGGTCGTACTTGCGTTGTGTAATTATTTCAGGAGGGCAGAATATTCACACAGTCAGGTCTCACACAAGACATGCGGCCTCTCTTACACAGGCAAGCAGCGCAGGACAACTGTTCAGTACATTTAAAGTAGTTTTAAAGTAGTATAACAAAATATATATATTCAAACTCTGTACCTGGCAGAATATTCAGACAGTCAGGTCTCACACAAGACGTGCGGCCTCTCTTTCACTGCAAGCATAAAATTACAACATAAGTACCCTCTTAAATATGGAAATTAAAAGATAATCAAAACAAATAATCATGGAGATCACGACATGTGGACTTACCAGGCAGGCAAGGCAGGACAACTGTTGCTGCTTACCTGGGGTTCAACTCCCAAATCCCCAGGGGTGTTGCATTTGAGGGCTGCAGGAAATCTGAACATCAGTACTAATCATCCTTAATAAAAGAACCCAATGCGAGTCATGGCAAGTGAAATCACTAAATATTATTTCTAACTCCGTTACACATGCAATAGATATACTTTGTGTTAGGCTCTGTTTTTAGAGAGCTCCTAACCTTTCCACTTACATACTTGCAATATCAAAACATGAGGTGGGGAGAGCAGCAGCAAAGACACCCAAAAAACAGAGCAGATTAGACTGTGTTTATTTATGCAAAAACTGTCATGAAACTTAAAATTAACTTTCAAAAATGACTCTAGAAGTTGCTGTAGTGTATTAACGCATATATCTACATTGATTTTATACATTTTGAAAATGTTTTTCCACTGCAAGTTTTACTTTTTTCGTTCTCTCTTTAATTCTATAGAAGCCTAGCCTTGGCAGAGTGAGAGCTATGTCTAAATACGAAACATGATTCACTAATAAAGGGGATAATTAACTCACTTTAAAAAGCATAAAGAGTTCCTACAGCTCTGAAAAACCAGACACATGCTGCTTTAATGCTACACTGACAGGTAATGGAAATAGGACCAGAACATGGCAGTGAAAAGTGTTACCTGTCTGCAAGCGACACATAAGTGACAGGCAGTTTATTCTTGATTGCAACAAGCCTGTGTACTTATTACCCATGGTGACATGCGTCATATGTGCGATTTAAACACAAACGTCACTTTGTCAATCAGGCTGAACTTTTACAAGACCGCTGCTATAAACTCAGGAGGGGGGTGGAGGACAAATGTAGGCAAGAACCCGAAAGGAAGGAAGGGGGATAGCTATCTAGTGGAAAATGTAAAACTTAATTGCTTCAGAATCAATGAGTTTAATCTCAAGCTGAACTTGCTAACAGCTACAAAAAACTCAATAACAGTAAATTAACTGTATCTATGTTCATATTTAGACTTCACTGACAAAAACAGCAGAAACCGTCCATGTTTGTGGACCTGTCTGCTTTGTATAGTGATAAGTGAGGATGATATAAGACAAAGTGAGAGTATCCTCCTCCTTCATTCTTTTATCACCCACTCTCTCGCTCTGACACGTTCACTTCTCCCTCCTCCTGGCAGGCCGTCAAGTAATGTTGTGTGCATTTCAGGGAGACACAGCCCCCTGCTTAATTACTGCCATGCTAATTGAATCCCAGTGTGAGTGATGCGCGGGGATAGGACTCGGTGTGACAGAATGAAAATGAAATAGTATTAAGCAGCCAAGTAGATAATCCATTTAGGAATGTCTGGGAAACGAGAAGGATTAGCTCCTGCAGCAGCATATGGCTCCCCTGTCAAGCCACATCAAAGATACTCGACATCTAAAATGTTATCATTCTCAGTCGCTCTCGCTTAATTCTTCAACTTCAGCCCCAGAAATTGAAAAAATATGATAGTTTGACAAAGGTGCATCATCACGACCCTTTCTATCAATCATCTGAGAGGAGAAAATACTTCATTTCTCAGGGTAAATTCGATTGATTCCTGCTCTTATAGCGCCATGCATAGAGCTATTTTTATCAACAGAAATGACCCCTATCTGTAATATCTGGGAGAGCTTCAAAGGGGGGAATAAACTGTGAGGGAAAAAGGGTTATAGGAAGAAGATAAGTGGCTGTTCTGTTGGAAACAAATGCAGTTTATGCTCTCCTTCAAGGTCAAAAACAAAAGTAATGAAAAGGTTTGTCACAAGTAACAATTTCTGCAGTGGAATGGTAATCTTTGTAACTCTAGAGGTGAATTTTAGCTTTGGAGACTACACCACTTTGAATCCTCCTCTTGGGAATACTGTCACCACTCCTTCTCCATGACATCCTATTACTGTTGCCGTGCAGAACAGCCACACTTTGTCTCCTTCGGTGTGGTTGGAAAACTTTTCTCGGAACAGGGATTTCATTTACGTAGGAAAAACTTTGGACATAGCAACCGACTACAGCTGTGTTTGATGCACAATGGCGCACAGAAGGACTTCTGCAGGACATGCAAAAAGAAAAAACAATATGCAAAGAGGGTGGCGTCAGTTTGACCTTATGATCATCGAACCTGTGGTCCTCTTTCTTGTATATCACTCCCCACTCTCTTTCTGCTGCCGGAGTAAAAGGGTAAAACATCCAAAATGTGTTGAAAAGGAAGTAAAGGTGTCCTGCTCTCCTTACCCTTGAGCAAACACTCTCCAACGCTGTTCCTTTTATCGGCCGCTCTCATCGTTTCCCACCACCCCTTAGCCGACTACTCCTTCTATCATCTATTACTCCAACCACATCCTTACTTCCTTCCTCTCTTTCCTTCCTAACCCATCCTCGTCCTCTTTCACTCTCTCCCTCCTTCCATTCTTGCCCCATAAGGCTGCAGATGGAGCTTAATGGAAGCATAACTGAGCGTAACTGCCTCGTGAATAATTCCACAGGCACAAGGTGAGCCATAGGACAGCTCTGTATGTGGATGGCAGAGGTAAGTGCACACGCACAAACACACACACACACACACACACACACACGAGGTGCAGTATGTGGTCCACATATCCATATTTTTTCCACACTTCCAAACTTTATTACAGAGCCGTGACTTTGTGCGTTTGCATTTAAATCACAAGTTATATCTTCAAATGTGAGGAACTGATAAATTACACAAGCTGTGAATGTAGTATGTTGTAAGTGATTAGAAAAAAAAAGTTATGGCGAATCAGTATTACCATTAAATTTGGTATTAATTGAAAAAAAGAAAAAAAAAGAAAAAACACACTTTTGCAACATTTTGTGTCATCCAGTGCCACATTTGAAAGGACAACAGGAAACACAAGCCACTGCTAAAGTAGTTATGTTGGAGGTAGAGTTGTGTTGGCATACCAGTGGTCGTGGATATTGTATTTATCCGTCCAAGTTGGAGCAGGTCAATAATGAATAACAGTGGGATGATTATAAAGCCCTGTGGAACACCACGTGAAACGAGAAAAGCACTCGGAGAGCGCAGACCTCCGCCAAGCAGCTCATGTCCCCCTTATATTGTGATTCACACCAAAGCTTTTACTGTTACGTGTCTTTTATGAACTTTTATTTGTGTTTAAACTGGTATGTTCACTGATCATAATGTTCCTAAAACAAGACACACACTGACCAGGATTTGAACCCAGAACCGTCTTGCTGTGAGGCAACAGTGCTAACCACTACACCACTGTGCCGCCCATTGGTTATCTTTCAGCATTGAAAATTCCAACGACACCCTTATTACCTCCGCCAAGGAGGTTATGTTTTTGGTAGCGTTGGTTTGTTTGTCTGTTAGCAACTTTACGGAGAAACTACTACTACTACTTTCATGACCTTGCAAGCTGTTAGTGGAAACAGGCCCTTAAACTGCTTGAGTGAAGTTTCTGTCTTTCTTTTTTAAATTGTTGACCGGATTTAGAACTCAACTTTAAATACGGATCCAAGAATCCAAGACTTATTTATGTCCTTTACAAAAATGAAATAATTACAAACTAAAATTTGATCAATAATTTAAGACTTCCCTTCACATAATAGAAAAACAGCAGCGGTTGGTGTTGTGTCAGCTGCAGCAAAATCGTTGTATATTTCAAGGTTACTCTGGTTAGTGCGATATAATGTGTGATGGGAATATCTGTGGACTGAGAATCATAAAAGGAAGGTGTGGATAGAATAAAGCTGGAAACATCTTACTTGAAGTGGACTCTGAGGCATAATAGGGACCTCATATCCATTACTAGCGTATATGGCTGGTCGTACATCTGAAAGATGCTGAATGGGTAAAAACTTCAGGGACACTGGCTCTTTTCATGGGGAAGAAACCAGAAGAAGCCATTCTACCTTTATGGATCTACCCATTAAATCTACACTCATAATGAAGAATGACGAGGAGGTGCAGAGGGGAGTGTTTTTCCCACCTCATGCCGTGTAATGTGTTCCAGCATGCGTGATGATGACTTTTAAATGTGTCGCCAACAGCTTCGGTATCATCATGCGAAATTCTGCCACATAGTGGACCAAATCCCCTGAGTATTAGCAGACAGATAGCTTATCCGAACTGCTGATGCGCCACTCTAGTACAAGTAATGAGGCGTTTCAGGAGGAAAAAGGGCAAACCGATCACCTCAGTCAAAGGTGACAGTGGCCCCGTTTACATGGGTCCAAAAATCCTATTTACAATCAGATTGAAAGGTCGATCAGATTCAAAATGTCTCATATAAACACCTTAGCCAATCTGATTCACCCGGATCTGATTGTTAGAGGTAGTCTACACCGATTGATAATCCGCTCCATGCTCCACATATACGGCTGAGTGGAGCGGATTGGGTTTACAGAGAGGCTTGTTCGGTCTGCGCAGGCGCTCGGTAGTACGTAAAGGCACGTAGTGACGTACGCAGAGCGCGCCCAAACGAAAACAAACATGGCGAACAAACAGAAAAACTGGACGGTGGAGTGTTAAAGTGTGTTGTTTCGTGCGACTGACGAAGCGTACACTTCTTGCTGTGTAACCCGGCTGGATTATACTTTTATTAAACTTCAACACATAGGGTTCCTTACTCTGCTCGGTCTGGGAACTCCGGCGGTGTCACACACAAACACGTCCGTGTGCAACTCTAAAACGGAACTAAAACAATGGTTCCTATTAACAATTCCCATTGATACAATACAAAACAACTGGATTCAGCTGGGGCCATGAAAACGCGGACTGAACGTGGATCTCTTTACTTAAAATTCATGTATACAGATGGAATCAGATTCACTTAATCCGATTGATTTCAATCAGATTGAGGAAAACTACTCATGTAAACGGGGCCAGTGTTTGTTAATCAGACAGAAATGACGATGCTTCGCTGTATCAGCGAGTGACGGTGTTCTTTATTCGCAGGTTTTAAGAGGGGAGGAGTTAGCCAAGTGCTGTTTACTGGCCGGGAGACGCGAGGAAGAGCTGTCTTTGGCGGACGTGGTACAGAGGGGCAAGGACCCTCTTACGTCGTAGGTCCACTCCATATCTGCTGCCTGTAAAGAGACGATGAAGATGTCAGGCGAACTGACATAAAAGTGGGAGTGATAAGCAAAGAGGGATCATTAAAGTACCCGGATGATCAGTCTGGTTCTGCGCTCGCTGTCCGTGTCGGGTGTAAAGGACACGGTGATGAGGGCGCCAGCAGATCCAGCTGGAGGTAACATCCCTGAAGTTGGAGTCACTGTGAACTCAGTCCTGCTGCCAGGATGGAGCTGCGCTGTGAACGGCTCCGTCCTCCTGGAACCAAACACCTCAGAGTCACTACATGTTGAGATGTGAGGGAAATGGCATTACACTCAAAGCTGGTTATATTTTTCACTGTTTGCTATTTTGTGACTTTTAAAGCAAAGCTGTGATATTGTTTTTTTTTCCCACTTGCTGTAGAAAGTGTGTCTACGTGAGCGTGAGATCTAAAGCAGACAAATGAAAAGAAATGGAGCAGCTAAGAAGGGAACTAAGCGCAGAAAGTGGAGACGGAAAGCTTAATCTGATGGTTGTTTCAGCGTGATTTTTAGACTACAGAGGGAATAAATCATACTTGGAAATAATATTCTAGTGGCTTCAATGTTTGCATATCTTTGCATCCTTTTATTACATCCAGCATGTACCAGCTCACACAGAGAGTAATCGGATGGCTGTTTTCATTTCCACTCAACGTTTCAAAGCAACTATCGTCTTTTATTTTTTAATGAGACTTATTGATCTCGTCCTCGCAGAACAAACAGCGAAACACAGCGCAGCATTTCATCTTGTAACTCCAGTAAAGAAAGAGTTAACCTGGACAAAAACACACACCTGGTAGTGCTGGTCAAGCGGAAGCCCACAGCCGAAGTCTTCCCCCGCTCGGCTTCGATCAGGATGACGTCGTCAACTTGAGGCTCCGTGGCGACGAGATGGACGGGAAACTCCCAGATCCCTCCGGATGCACTCTGCACGGCTAAGACGGCTGCACACCTGGACAGGCAGACACTTTTGAAAACTCTTCAAGAACTATTTTTACTCAAGAAAAGTGATCGTATAGCAGCATAACCAATACAACAACTGATTTATTTTGAGAAGTGTAATTTAAGCATTCCTATTTATCCAAAGGAGGGAAAAAAAACCCACTAAACTAGTCTTTAATATTCCCACTTTCAGCTCATGATACTCGGTCTCCTCGTCTGGCTGCCCACGGCACAGAAATAACATGTAGATAATGGAAGAGCCTATTAGCGGCGCCACACCCCCCGTCATTTCCTCATGGAGAAGTCATTAGCTCTCCGAGGTATTGATTCTACCGGGGCACGCCTCATTAATGGACTCCACAGATGAAGACCGGCGCTGATAAATGAATGCCTGCCTCACTCAGCGGGATGTCACATGCAATGTACAGTGATGAGGCCGGAGGAGGAAAGAGTTAATTGTGAGTTGAAACCGTGAGATCAGACAGACGAGTTAGCGTGGAGAAACTAGAGCGGAGGAAACAGAGGTGGGTTTTTGGACAAGTATATCAGGCGTTTATTGTTTGCACTACAAAAGAAGAAACCGTACCCCTGGTGTTTCGCGGCTGAAAAGTGTGTTTTAGGTCACGCCAAAGTTAATGTATTATCTACAGAGATCTGACCTTACATTTCAAGCTCGGTTTAAGCAGCAGAGCAGCTAATGAGCAGGCCTCCCCCCTCTACCTCCGAGAGCGCCCGGCATCCTTTATCCACAAACATTAAGACTCAGCACAAGGCGACAGGTTGTAATAAATGAATGCAGAGGCCACACCCACCTGAGAGAGGAAACACTAAAAGGAGAGGAGAGAGTGCTGTGGTGTAGGGACGCTCAGATGAATGAATGCAGCACTTCTACACGCTGCTGGATTTAAGTCTTATCTACAGAGGGAGAGCAACAAACAGATTGTGTTTGTGTCTGCGTGTGTGAGAACGTTCCCGTGACTTATTATTAGCATCCTTTTGTTTTTGCGTCTCATACAGAGGTAGTGGGCATGTTTGTTTCTCTGAGTGTGCGCAGCTTTGTGTGTCCTTTTTGGACTCTTACAGCTTAGTCTGCATTATTCTCGCACACTCAGGCCCGGACTACACTTATATAGATATTTATTTATCAGGATATTTTTGTACTCCCGTCTAAATAAATGTATCTGTCCACACGTGTTAGTTCTCAAAAATATCTGCGTCCGTGTGTGTGTGTGTGTGTCTAACCTGTAGGACCTCATGGGAGTGTAGACTACATTGAGGGTGAGTGTTAAGATGCCAGTTTCAGGGTCAACCCTCGCCGCCTCAATGGAAGCTGAAATGGAGTCTGGGACGTCCGAGTGCTCTGCTTCACCGCTCGGGCGAACCTCACACGTGAAGTCTTCTGCTGTCACCAGAGAAACTGTCAAGAATAAAAAAAAGCATGTCGACGTTTATGCCTCATTGTTTTTATTGACACAAAGTGAGCTCGTGAGTCACAGCAAGATTGAGAAAATCAACCTTTTTTAGTCCAACTATGAAAAATTGACTCGATGCGATTTCATCAAGTGCTATTCAGGTCATCTGGTGAAAATTCTTGTATTTTTTAATATCGCAGGGTCGAAAAAAATCGTGCAGCCTTATTTCAGAGTGATCAACATCAGACACAACACTCTCTAAGATTTCTTGTTTTGCAGCCCACAGTCTATAACACTCATAAACACGCTGTCTGCACCTGTTGCACTGAATATATGGTGTCAAAAAAGACAAGAATATGTGGCGTCATATGAATGGCAGCACTGGCTCTGATACTCTCGTTGGCCGCTCTGCGTGCAGCTGAGCCACCAGCAAATGTTGCTGATCTAATGACATTTGGCGTGGCGTGCTACCCTCGAACGGCGAAGAATGCCATCTGCCAGTTTTTGCAACTTGAGCCTTTTCGAGGGTGTGACGATCCAAATCTCTCTGCGATAAAATCCAATTTTAATCATTAATAACTTTAGAGTTTCCCGTCATTAAAAAATAAAAACATTTCTGATTTCAAGTCAACTTGGGTTTTAACAGGAGTATGAAATTAAAACAAAAAAACTGGCCCTCACCCTTGTCTCCTTCCCGGTCTTGATGCCCCGGAACAAACCCAGCGAGCTGCACAGCCACCTTCTTCTCCAGCTGGCAGCCCGCCTCACAACGCAGCACGCCAATTGGTGAGTTCTCAACAGGCGTTTCCATGGGAATCCCACGGAGAGGGTAAGTCCAACAGATGGTGGATGATTCCTGCTCTGACCTGAAAAATCATCGGAGTGCGTTTTTAATTTATACAACTCGGAATTAAAAATGAACCATGACATGAGGAGACTGAGAGCCGTGATCTGAAGGTGGTTTGTGTTTACAAGTCAGTGTTGCTGTCTTGCATTTGGACGACCTCTGTGTGTGCAAAAGTGAGGATGAATGTGCACTGTGATAAATGAGCAGTCAAGATCGGATCCTCTATCCAAACCAAAGCACACTGGTGAATAGAACATGCATTATTTTCAAATCTTGCATATATTTCACTGGAAAATGCAGCTGGTATCATATATGAGATCATACACCGTTAAAGAAATCTGCAATGCCCGATGAAAACGCTGCCATGTGGAGCTTTCCTCAGCCTCAGCTTGGTATGAGACGAACATGTCAGGCCTTCTCTGGGGACCTCGGCGGCCTGGTTTGTCATTGTCCTGTTTTTTAAACATCCGTCCTGTATTCATATTCAACACTGTGCATGCAGGAGAGGACACAGAGGACTATCTGCTGTCTTCCTGTGGGTGCTGGTCAGACCTCATTTTAGCTCTTTACATTATAGCAGACCATCCATTGTTGATTTTTTTACTTACAGGGTGAAAATAAAAGTTTTTTTTTTACCCAGACATTTAAAAATATTACACCACAAACTTTTAAAACAGTGATATTTTTGCTTACAGTTATTTTTCTGTCAGAACCTGAACAGTTTATATCAAGAAACTCGTATGAGACTCACTTTAACTTCTTTTGGGGAAAGTTAGACACACACACACACACCTCAGGTTGTCTAAACTGCAGGTATTGTTGTTGTTCTTGTTGTGGGGCTTCATAGTAATGCAGAGCCAGGCTTGGTGTCTATCCATGGAGTTTGGTGCAAACACCACAGGCACATCCAAACTGGCCCCTTCACTGATCCGAACACCTGCAGCCAGAAGAGAGGACAGCTGCACAGTCATCAGAAAGTCAGGATGCAGTCTCAGCTTGATTTATGCAGAAGCTGACAGAGACTTAAAGTTGTTTTATCATAATGTGGGGAAAACTTATCAGCAAACACACCTTCAGCGCGGCTCATAGGGAGCGAAAAAGCCTCCGTGTGTGCAGCAGCTTGATGGCAGTTCGGGCTCCCGCTAGGATCAGCATCTGATAGACGAAAAATACACCGAGAACGCACAGTATCGTGAACAAGTCTGTGTCAAGAGTGAGGAGGTGTGGATGGGAGAAAGACGGGGAGTTCCTGTGACCTGTGAGTGTGATGCTGAGCTCGGCCGGGAGCTCAGTGGGGTTTGTGAAGGGGATGGTGACGGAGGATTTGGAACCAACGGGGGATAATATGCTCAGAGGTTCCTGGCTTTGCGGTTTAAGGCCTTGCCCACTCAGCAACACACACCAGTCCTGCAACTGAAGTTGAAGAAACAAACTTTTCCAGCATCTTTTGTGTTTGTGTGTGTGTGTGTGTGTGTGTGTGTGTGACCGCAGGTGACGGTGATCTATGTTATCTATTTCCTCTCTGCTTGCTTGTGTGTGTGTGTGAGAGTGTGTGTATTCACACCTGAGGGCACATAAAAGTGATCTTCCCCACATGTTTCCCCTCCCCGATGGATGAAGGGCTGAAGCGGATACCAAGCTGGGTGTGGGAGTGGGGCTCCACAGCAAGCTGGAACACACACACACACACAGATAAACACAAAGAGTAGCTTTCATGGGGACAGTAAAAGGAGGATAAACACACTCATGCTTTAAGAGATAAATCCTTGAAATCACACTGCTTGGCAACCCACTGCCTTTCATCCGGCTACTCTCTCTCTCTCAGTGGACCACAGAGATTCCTGTTTGTTTTATCCTGACGACAACTCTGTTATCGAGTGTCGAACCGTACTGCATGGTTTGTTTAAGATATCAAATGAAAAGGAAATACAATCAAATACCTACTGAACTACAAAGAAGTTTAAAAGTCCGAACAGGCAGGAACAAGGTAACTTTGGTTATATCAGAGGACAAAATGATGAAACTGGATAAGGTTTTGATAAAACCAAGTATGATTGTGCAGCTTTTGCACCTGCTAAACCAGCACAAATGAGCCAAAAGAGTAAAATACTCTGCGAACTACGCTGCGAGGCAAACAGCATCTTTGAGCTCGATTAATCTCTATTATTCTTCGCATGTGTTTAAATGAGCCATCATGTGTTCATTTGAAGCAAAATAAAACCCTTTTCATGCAAACAGACTCTCATTAGGAAAAAAAAAATCCAAATCAGGGGACTGAATCAGTCTGGGCTCAATTCCTGGATCAATTTTTTTTAAAGCCAAACAAGCTGCTTTTACTTGCGTAGGAAGTCAGCTACAAAAGTGTCGCATTTTTCACACATACATTGTACTGTCAAATAGAGAGGACCCCTCCCCTACATGCACATATCCAGCTTATCACATCGGCTATGTGGATATGGTCAATAGTGTTGCCAGGAAAAGAGCGCACAGTGCAGCTCTGTGCAGCAGAGTGTGAAGATAACTAAGGCCCGGACTACAGGTATATAGATATTTATTTATCAGGATATTTTTGTACTCCCGTCTAAATAAATGTATCTGTCCACACGTGTTAGTTCTCAAAAATATCTGCGTCCACACGTAGCCTTCAAACTCAATCCCATCTGGTGCTGCTTAAAAAAAATTCAGGAACAAAGCTACCTGATTGGCCGATGAATCGGAAGTTTAGCTTCCATTCATCTGCAGGCACAGCCCCTCTAACGAAGTTGTCCCACCACTTGCTGGTCCGACCGGGTTTGACCCAAAACTTACCATCTGGCGAACATTAAAACGCCTAACGTTAACGTTACGATTGCTCTCCAATGAAAGTATTGGGCGCAGCAGACGCCTCTGTGTATATTGTTGAGTGTGGTCTAATAGTGAATGGACGCCCCCTCCCTTTAGCTTACTGTACTCTTTGAGTCCATCTCCAGTGTGAAGTTTCTGGGGTTACTGTTCCTTACAGTCACCTCCAAAGTCTCAGACGTCGGATTCAGCACTGGAACAGTCTGCCTGGTCCACCTGATTGTTTTGTTTGGGTGAGTTGAAATAAATGCAATTAGGTCTTAAAAGTGTCAAAGACGCGAGTGCAAATACCATAAGGAAGGACTTCAAGGTCAGATTCTGAATGTATTAGCGTGCGGTCTATAAACAAAGAGGCTAAGACTTGTGTCGAGGCAGAGAGAAAAAGCAGAATTAAAAAAAAAAAAAACCCTGAAGGTAAAGGAATGAACGCCTGAAAGGACCCAAATGTTGTATTTATAATTTACTGAGCTAATTAGCAGTGTGCGCAACTGATATGCAGCTTTAATTGCAATTCATTAGTGTGGTAAACTGTCTCTGTTTAGGAGACGTCCTTATTTCACCTCAGACTGCTTATAGCTGCGTACAAACTTCCTCTCTACCTTGAACAAAACTGTTTGGCACTGAACTTTTAAATGCAGTACTTTAGTTAACAAACAGGGTTAGACGAGCATACTACTAAAGAGGATGCAGGTCTGACACATAAACACACAGCCATATGTTGAAGTCTTGTTTATATTTTGATACCTTTCCCAAGTACATGGTGATATTACTGACGGCCATATTGAGGTGCTCCCTTAGGAGTTCAACATGAGCGCTAACCGTGCTTACATGTGTTTATCGTTGATGGCTTTAGCATGGGGCTGACGTCTTTTGTTAACAATTTGTGAATATGAAAAACTTTGTTATATTTTCTTTTTGAATCTTATTTACTCTCTTGCAAAGTCATCCTTTTCCTTTTGAACATGAAGGTTTTTCTAAGATGTTTTAGAGCCAGCCCAGCTAACACGACGCAGAGGTGTGGGAAAATCCTGCAGATGGGTTTGCAGCTTGGATCGACTCCACAGTTTGTTTATACAGTATGTGTGAATTTAATCCTAGCCAATAACCCCTGCAGTGACAGTGTTTGGTGGTGTGTGTGCACTTACTTGCCCAGCGGACAGCAGGCCTGTGGTAGTGTGATGACTGGAGGAGGGAGAGCGTACAGCTCCAGTTGATACCAGAACTCCCCATCCAGCTCTGACTGGAACAACACACTAGTACAAAACACACACACAGTGACACCGTTATATTCAGGCAAGAATGCCTCTAACTGTCCATCAACTCAACCTACACCGCTTCTTCTGCAAATGTACGTTTGGTAACCCTTTCTTTTACGGTACACTTATTACCAGGTAATTAACTAGTTAACAACATGATATTATCTGGTAATTACATGATAACTACTAAGTCAACACTGTCTAGTTTTTCTTTTTTCTGTGCAGCTCCATTTTCAAAAGCTATTTGGGGTTCTTATTTTCTATGATTGACACTTGATACAGCCTATGGGCGTGCGAAGATTGCGTAGCGATACGCTGTTTGAGCCGAGCGTTATCACAGCGACTCACCCGCCGAATGTGTACAATGCTACTGCGCAAGTGGTGGTTCCAGGAAGCGGAGAAAATCCTGGAAAAACCAGAGCAACTGCGCTTCGAATTTGTATAATGATGGAAGGTTACCTACCTGGTAGCTAGACAGTATTGACTTAGTAGTTATCATGTAATTACCAGATAATTTAATGTTGTTACGAGGTAATTACCTGTTAATTACCTGGTAATAAGTGTACCGCAAAAGAAAGCGTTAGTGTACGTTTTAATGTTATTTTAAATATACAGTGTGTAGAAATGTGCACGTCCCTGCTCCAGACTGTAAAGAAGCAACAGTGGCCCTCCAGGACAAGAAGCTCCTGCAGTGCATGTTGTATATGATTCCCTTATTTGGTGACATACTTATGAGTCTTAGTATTAAGTCTGCTAAACATTGCTTAATACTACTACATACTGTACCTATCCTCGGGTTGCAAGATACAAGGCTCTGCAATGGCTCATTTTCCATCGCTGGAGTTTGCTGTTTGATTGCCAAACATTCATAAATGGTACACTGGCCTAACGTCTCTCCACTAATACAAATAGCAAATGTGTATTTAGGATTTTGAAGCTGTCAATCAAATCTCAAGCCTCACCCAAGTCACTCATCTCCCACCCATCCCATCATATACAAAGGATTCACCCTCAGGATTATATAAAGGGAACATAACTGTGGTGAAAACTGAGGATTTCATTAACATTCCCATATAGAGGTCTGCAGTGTATTATATTCCCAAGAACTCTTTACTGCAAATGTGTCTTTTTAGATCGCTCACACAAGGGAAAGTATGAACTCAACTTCACTCCAACTTACTCTTATTTTTCCTTTACATCCTCCTTTAAAGCTGGCGGGGTCAGTTACAGTGCGTTAAGCCTTACCTGCCTGTGCTTTTCCCTACTTTAACAGGGGAGAACGTAGCTTTGTAAGCCAGAGTGTCCCGTGGGGGAATCGAAACCCAGTTGGCTCCGCTCAGGTCATCTCCTTCTAGGAGCACATCCAGCATCAGCAGCTCTCTTAGCGGGTTGCTGACAGGGATCTCTATGGCAACGGAGCTCTGGGAATATTTCAAAGATGACACCTGTTATCGCCTTTCTCTGTGATGTGGAGTTAAGTCTTTTGATCAAAGTGAAGATGGAAGATGAAGTTTTACAGTAAGAGTAGCCAGCAGCGGGAGCACATCTGCTATGATGATGATAATTCTGAAGTGAGTGTACTTCATGCAGTGTCCTTCAGTTCGTATCAAGCTATACACCAGTGTTCTTCAGGCAAGGTTGATTTAAGTGCCTTCTCACCTCGCATGGCTTGACCGAGGGAATTCTTTTCTCTCACAGTAAGCATATCTCACTTCTTATTTGGAGTCATTCCTCTCTCAGCAAAAAAAACTCTAAGAAAATAATCTTCAACCTCGTTCAAAAATGTTGAGACACCGTGTAAAATGTCAACAACAACCGAACAGACATGGCTCTATGGCGAAGGTTAGAACCGCGCATGCACAGAGGGAACACGATTCAGAAACGCCAGGACTTCTCTTGGCTCGTTCACTTGTTTAAACTGAGTGAACTGAAGTGATTGTTTTGTTTATTTCTTTTGTTGAAATATTTCCTCATATTAAACCTCCATCTTCAAAAGCAAATGCACCGCCGTGTGTTGTTTTGCGCTCCACTGCTTTCTAGACAAGAGCAACATGTGTTTAATCAGTCCGCCATCTGCTCTCTTTTGTGCTAGTCAGATGAACTGTGGATGTGCTCGTTTACATGAACAGTCTAAGTGAAATCTCAGCAATGGTAACAAAGAAAAAAAAGGGAAACTGTCAATAAAAGTAATATGCAACCAATTAAACTGTTTATTAGTGCAGGAACTTACCTGAGCTGCACACTGCACGTGAATGACCTTGATGGGCGCTGCTGGCTCACAAATTATCTCAAAAGTGAAATGCACTTTGTAGGGTCTGAGTGCATTTGCTGGGTCCAACACACAGTAACACAGAGTGACAAACAAAAACAGAATGAAAGCATTTACACGACTATAATTCTGAGTATGCTTGTGATCAAGTCTTCATTAATCTTTGGATTTTTTAATGGTCTGCGTGTCTTGCAGTGTCTTACCCGTGTTCTTTTCACTTCCTTGCATGCCATCACTTTCAAACGACACACATCCTACAAGAAGTTTTGTTCAGATTAGCTCCTTGAAATGCATTTGTTGTATATATGCAGATAGTTTTCAATTTTCCAGATGAAGTGATACATAAATCCCCTGCAGTGAGCACTAGTTACACGCACAATTATCCAAACCCTTATATTTCTCACTCTATATTCTACAGAACTCCAAATGTGGTTATACTGAAGATGTTTGGGAACGTGTATGAGTACAATCTGGGTTTAAGGCAGACAAGATAAAACTACATATAAAAACACTAAGTATTCAAACGTAGGCATGTAAATGGTTGGAGAAAATATAGTAAACACATTTGGCTGGCATTGAACCGACTTACAAACACCAAGTCACAGTCACACAAATGCAGCAAGAAAGACTCACCTGTCTGTGTTCCTCGTTTCCATGGTGACACAGCCAGGGTGTATGGAGCGTTGTGACCAGGTTTAATCTCCAGGGAGAAGGTGCCACTAACGACGGATAGGTCTGTCAACACCTGAAACGCATTGACAGGAGAGACGAAATGCTCAGGCAGGGACACATACATCAACATGTGGCGAATTAACATGTGGATTTTAGTGATGGGGACACATTCACAATCTCTGCATGAACCACGAGTCTTCTTTGCCCTTGCTCTCCCACTGTAACTGTTGCTGTGAAAGAGAGTGGGAGGTCCTTTATATGGCCCAGCTGACAAGTGCCTCTCAGACCACCTCTTTATGTCAACTAAGGGGGGAGATACTTGGTTCTACCATAGACGTTATGCAAAAGCAACATTTTGCACAGGTTTTTACATTGTATTAACCAATCAAAATCATTGGGTTATTTTCCTCTGCACATGGCCAAATGTCTTATGAAGACATCTACAGTGGATATCAAAGGCTACACACCCCTGTTCAAATGCCAGGTTTTCATGATGTAAGAAAATGATGGCAAGAGAAATATTTTCACAACTTTTTCAACCATTAATGTGACCAGCTTGAATATACAGCAACGACACTCAAAGTAGAGCTTCCATCTGACTTATTTTTGCAGTTGTGTGTATGACATGTGCGATTATGCCTTGAGATACTGTGTCCTCTGACTGTCCAGGTCGACAAATTCACCGTAGTTCAGTGAACCTCAAGAAAAGGCTTCGTTTTACTTTTGATAAATGCTTTTAAGTACAAAGAAATGATTTTAACTTCCTTTTTAAATAGAGTTTAACATATTTTTGTCGCGTATGAGCCTTATTATCGAAGAATTTTTGGCTTCCAATATTTATTAATTAATAAAAAATGTTTTTTTTGTGATTGACAGCCTTTTAAGACCAATAAATAAATTACATTTTATGAAGGCGACAGTGATTGGCTTATTCCCTTAATAAGCCCCGCCCACCTAAGAAGTCTTCAGAAATGCATTGGTGGTTCAGTGGTAGAATTCTCGCCTGCCACGCGGGAGGCCCGGGTTCGATTCCCGGCCAATGCAATACACTTTTCGTTTTACATAGCTGAATTGAAAACAATACATTTACATAAAAATAACAGTCGAACAAGTTTACAAATCTGTTTGTCCTTTGAAAAATGTCAAGTTTATGTATTTACTGATTAATTTCCTATACAAAGGCATATTTGTATCTTTTTTGCATTATAAATCATTCCACTATGTTGCAATTACTAAAGCTTTACTCATCATTGATCCTTATTACTAAGCATTATGTGAAAAGCTGTTGATGAAATTTAAGCATGAAATTTACATGAGCTGCTATAGGAAAGCTGGTTATAGGTCACATTAAAGGTGGAAGAAGTTGTGAATTTATTTATCTTGATGTAACTTTTTTACATGACAAAAACCTGGCATTTGAACAGGAGTGTGTAAACATTTTATATCCACTGTACAATATACAGTTGAATATACAGCAACGACACTCAAAGTATAGCTGCCATCTGACTTATTTTTGCAGTTGTGTGTATAACATGTGCGCTTATACCTTGAGACACTGTGTCCTCTGACTGTAGTTTGGGACATCCAGAAGGGTGTTAGCTGTTTTTCCGACAGGACAATGTAATACAACGTGGTCCACAGGTAGAGGATGCTCTCCAACTCCTCTGAGGGTGAATAACTGCATCGTGCCGCCGCGGTCATGGAGGAATGACAGCGTGCCCTGTTGGAGTTTGTACAAAGTCCAGGTCGACAAATTCACTGTAGTTCAGTGAACCTCAAGAAAAGGCTTCGTTTTACTTTTGATAAATGCTTTTAAGTACAAAGAAATTATTTTAAACTTCCTTTTTTAATTAAGTTTAACATATGTTTACCGCGTATGGGCCTTATTATCGAAGAATTTTTGGCTTCCAATATTTATTAATTAATAAAAAAAATGACTTTTTTGTAATTGACAGCCTTTTTAGACCAATAAATAAATTACATTCTAAGAAGGCGACAGTGATTGGCTTATTCACTTAATAAGTCCCGCCCACCTAGAAAGTCTTCAGAAATGCATTGGTGGTTCAGTGGTAGAATTCTCGCCTGCCACGCGGGAGGCCCGGGTTCGATTCCCGGCCAATGCAACACACTTTTCGTTTTACGCAGCTGAATTTAAAAGAAAACATTTACATACAAATAACAGTCGAAGAAGTTTACAAATCTGTATGTCCTTTGCAAAATGTCAAGTTTATGTATTTACTGATTAATTTCCTATATAAAGGCATATTTGCATCTTTTTTGAGTTATAAATCATTCCACTTTGTTGCAATTACTAAAGGTTTACTCATCATTTATCCTTATTCCTCCTGAGCATTATGTGAAAAGCTGTTGATGAAATGTAAACATGAAATTTACATGAGGGAGAAGTGATTCATGGAACTGATAGAAGAAAAATTCACTCAAAAAGCTACCCCAGGAATCACCAGCTTTTAAAAATGCAGGACACTGTTATCAAAATGCTTTTTTAAAAACAAAAGTCTGAGCAGCAGTGATAATAACACACATTTGTCCTTTTAGAGAAACACAGGTTGCCACAGATGATACTTAAATTCATAAGTATCATCTTAACAGCCTCATGGGCCAGACAGAGCGCCGCTGAGATTGGTGTTGGTACTTGAACTGACTGTTAAGAGGAAGGAACATCGGAGGATCGTGATAAACACGAGGACTATGTTGATGAGTATTGGTAGCAGGGGGATTTTTAAGAGGGTACACCCTGAGTGCACTCTTACCAAATGATCACAATGTTAAGATTTCATAACAATAGAAAGTATTCATCACAAAGACACGAATAACAGGGTTTTATACAGCTTTAGAAAGCCCTAAGAAGGAAACTAATAAAAGACCGATTAAAAAGCTGATACCATGACTGCGCACTCTGCTTCAGGCTGGAAGGTGAGAGGGTAGTTTGCTTTAGTCCCTGCTGGCACGTTCACAACCTTTGGACCGGAGAATCCTTCACCACACAGCACAGCATGCATCTTCCAGTCTTGGTGGGTTTCATTGTGCTGGGAGAGGCATTTAAACACAAGAAATCATTTCCATAAGCCAGAGTTACTCTAGCCTATTAGTTGTCCTTTAAAAACAGTAATTATACATTTTCATCCCTCTCACCAGCGGGATGTCTTGTGTGACTGATCGATGAGCAGGCGTCTTGAAGTCCAAGTGGAAAACCCCCTCCTGTGGCGACAGATGAGAGAGTTTTGGCAACGTTAAAATAAACCGCACAGACCGGCATGCAACCAAGCTTGGACCTCATATATTTGCAAACTGAAGATGATTTCTACCTGTAAAGAGACATTTGCCTGCAGCATGTAGACTCGGGTGTCACACCAGGATCTGAGGACCACCTGGCAGGTAAATTGCCCGACAGAGTCCGCTTGGAATCGTATGGGGATGTCCACACAGCCACAGTCTGTTAAAAAGAGATACGATGCACTTGAGAGGGGGAATGCAAAGACAGGAGGAGGATGTGAGCAATTTACACGAAATCTAGAGACACTGGCTGAAGGATCATTTGTGAAACTAAGAGACTTAACCCCCATTTCAATTGGACCGACAACAAGGTGCTTAAAAATGTCTCCTTGAGAAGGGACAAGAGTTCCTGGATATCAAGTATCTATGTGTGTGTACCTGCAGGATTCTCCAACGCTATACTGGTGTCTTCTTTTACAGGTATTCTGACAGTAGAGGGTAAAGTGAAGTGTTCTGGCAAAGACACCTCCACTCTGTACTCCACTTCTTTGCTGCCTCGATCACCTCTCGCCTGTGCAGCCTTACACAACACAAGAGCAGCAAGTTTATTACTCTCGAAAACGCAACCGAAGCCCTGCCTCCGGAGTGCGTGAGAGTGCACGAACCTGCAGTCGGAGGAGCTTGCGAGCAGCTGTTGCCCTCATGGTGCTGCTGTGCATGGTGTGTGTCAGCGTCCGCCTCCTGCGTTCGTCTGCGCTCATGCTGTGCTGGGCCCAGGTGGACAGAGCTTGTTCCCAGGCCATATTGACCAGCGGGACACGCAGTACCTCCTCACACACCTGCCCCACCCTGCAGCAAAGGCTGAGTACTGACACACATACAGATGGGTCTGTTGGCAGAAAAACAACAGTTGAAATGTATATCTTAAAATAAAGAGTAAAAGTAAAGTACGATTTATTTGTTGCCTTGTTTGGTTCTTACCAGAGTCCTGCGGGATGGAGACAATATTAGAGCTCGGCTTTGCAGTGAGAGGAGAGGGAAGCGGCAATTCTGCTGTGGCCTTCACCAAATACACCATATCCCCCACCTGCACAGTCACATGCACAAAAATGATTAAGGGTTTCTCACAGCACTGGCTCCTACGATTGAAAGACTCCAAATACAGTCAGCATGCAGAGTGTGACAACCCTAGGCTGCATTATGCATGGACGGAGACTCAGTGACTGTTTTAAAATTGCACACTGCCTTCAATATCATGCATCTACAAAGCCAAAAGCTGCAGTGTCAGGACTGTAATTCTGGGGCTGCATTTCCAGGACTCTCACTGTATGTTGTTGCAACACAATGCAATACATCGCTGAAGATTCTGCCGCATCTGTTATGTTAGAGTAAAATGTTAGAAGAACCATTTGCCGTGTATGTTAGAGAGGAAACCTTCGAAAAGGACGTCTCATATGACCTGTGGTAAACCGACGGATGAAGAAACCTTGAAAATATCATTTATTGAGCCGCTTAGTAAGTTTTAATGACCGTCTCTCTGCTGCTTAAAACTTAATACCAGTTTTCCAATAATAACAAGAAAAAATCTCAACAATGAGCAGACAGACCAGCACTCTAACCTGAGGGCATATGAGCAGCACAGAGCAGTATTTGATGCCTGGGCTGAAGGGCAGGTAGTGGATATTCAGAGTGTCTCCTTGGCCTGGCTTCAGATACACACTCCTCACTGCACTCAGGAACTCCTTGGCTTTACCATCTGGGAACGGGAGCAGACACAAGCAGACCCAAATGAAGACTGTGGATACACACTTGTGCTTAAAAATTCATCACGGCAGCTCCTGTGCATGTGTGTTTTCCTTCTTACTGAGATCTGAGGGTTTCTCTTCCATCTCCTCCTCGCAGCTCTTGTCTAAAGTCTCCACGCTGAACACGGAGGCGGGGGAGAGAAAATCATCATCATCATTCATCGTTTATGGATATCAGACTACACAACTCGGTTCAGGTGCACCTCAAATGACCTCAGATCTACTTCAGATCCTCATAGTCGACTCTTCATGAGGGGGTGGAGGAGCTGGAGTGTCTAAGCTTTGAAGAAATCTCTGGTGGGTAGAGTTGCATGCTAACCAGCTAATCATAATGACAACCCGGTACTCTCCTGACGCTGAAACCTTTACCTTATCTCGCACTCTGAAGCTGTGACGGACAGACAGGGGGGAACTGACTGATTTAGCGGCTGTAAAACGCCCGAACACAGATGACTTCATGTGTTTTTCTCTCAGTTTGAAGGTAAATTTAAAGCGTCATTCTTGGCTCCGTTACAAACTCCGCCAACCCTTCCTCTAAAAGCTGAAAAATGCCGAACTTGTCAATGTCAATCTATCCCTTTCACTTTGTGGGTTCAAAGTGGATATACAGTATGTCTGCTAGTGTGTGAGTGTGTGTGTGGGTGTGTATTATTAGCTCTCTGTGTTTTTGTGTGGGCAGTGTGTGTGTATGTGTTACTTGGCCTTGGACGAGGCCTGCTGAACCAGACTGTCTCTTTTCTTTTCAGGCTCCAGTGGGTTGAAGGGAGACTCTACCAGCACCACCCTAGACACACACACACACACACACACACACATACACACAGCAGAGAGGTTTGGAGTCAAGACTGAAACACAAAAATATGCTTTACAGGGATTAAGAAAGACATGCTGCATTTAATTGTCGATGTATTTGTTTTGCAGATGTGTGATCCTTTTGAACACTAACTCAAAGTGAAGCACTCGTAGCTCTGCAGACAGATTTATATAGAGGAGAAACTTAGTAGAGATGTTCAAAATGCATCCCTTAAAGCTATGGTCTACTATTTGGAAGCTTGGTACTTATTATTAACACCGTCTATAAGGCCGTTACGGTCCTGTGGTCTGATTTACGCAAAAAAAAGATAAAAAAAAACGAAAAAAATCCATTCAGCATATCCGCTGCAAAAAGGAATAATAATCGACCAATCCGAACCGCCGTACCCTGGCGGTTCGGAGTGGTCCATAAGTCCATCCAATCCCCGCACCGTCCCGCCCATGGTCCCGCCTTCCCCACTACCCCCCTCACGTACATGTGATTAGCGAGCTGCAAAGCTACTGAAGCATAATGGAGCCAGAGAAGACAAACACCGAAACCAGGAGGCCGCTTCTGTTACCCTCCACATCGAAGGGAAGGAAACGTAAAAGTTTCGAGGAAAAGGCCGAAGTAAGGAAGAAATATGAGCGATACAGGTGCCAACGGAGAGTATACATTGGAGAAGCAGAAGGATTTGGGACTGAAAACTGACGCTGAGACAGCCGAACTTCTGTTGAACGGGTAATTACTTTGTTTGTCTGCTGAATAACTCTGGTTAGTCTGTGCCTATACTGGCCAATGACTGAACGTTGATGGTCAGAACTTGTAGGCTCTGTCAATAGCTTTTAGCATCAGTTAGCCACACATCTTTAGCACTGTAAACTGAGCTGGTGAAGACACGCCCAGAAAGGTAAAGCCTCGCCCACAATTGGCTCTGCTCTGACCGGCTAGCAGTGGCGACGCCAGACCCGCCTCGCGCCGGTCCAACTGAAATGGCTACCACTGTGTACCACTGGTGATATTTTCTGCCGCCCGGGAATCTTGCTCTATCGGAGGAGGCGTGTTGCTAGGAGGCGACACGAGCTAGAGGGGGCGGGATCTTGGAACACGGAGGGGAAGGTTGAGTGAACAGCCGAACTGGTTTTCAGATCGTAGACCATCGCTTTAAGACCCCCTATGAGTACGCCATAGCTCACTGGCTAACCATTAAACCTCTGCTCCTAAAAGGGTCTGATGTTACTGTTTGGTATTAGCCTAAAAGCTAACTGTTCCTTTATTTATCTCCCCGTCATGTTTCTTCAATCTGTCGTCTAAACAGCTAAAAACTCAAGAGCTGTAAAGGCAGACATCTACCTGAACTCAGCGTCTCTGTTGAAAAGGTTGGTTACAGGCACTTGGATCACTTTCAGTTGGTAGCAAGGAGACTTGCACTCAACAGTTTTCTGAAAAGAGATAAGTGACATGATTAGTCGGCAAGCTATCAGGTCATCAGACAAGAAAACTTATCAGTGTTTATTCTTACAGTAGGTTTGATGCGACTGATGTGCGTCTTCAGCTTAAAGGAGAGTGTGGTGCTGCACAGGCCGACAGGAGGGCTGGAGAGGAGCAGCAGGACCGCCTCCTTGGGTGATATGAAGGAGCAGCTGTACTGGACGGTCACTATGGTGCTCGCACTGAGGAGCAGCAAAACAGCAAACTTCACACAGAGATTCTTTGACTGAACGAGCGTCTGTTTCCAGGGTTATGTCAATGATGATTCAGCAGGATTTAAATACTCACACACAAAAACAGCATATCTGAGAGTCAAGCTGAGGATTCAAAATGGGGACATGGGCTATTTTTACAGAGAGGTTTCACATGAGAGCAAAAGCGGTACATTTTAATGAGCTGCAATCTCCGCGGAAAACTACACTAACTTAACTTGTACTCGGAGTTTAATCAGCTGAAGAGTTTTTTCGTCTTCAGTGCACAAGTCAGCCTGACACGAGTTATTTGCAGACGCAAAGGCAGCAGTTCTTAGTTAACGATACAAGTTTCAGCCAAGACTTTGTTGTTGATGCACACTACAAAGGCACGCACTAGTGTTTCATAATTAGAATTTCATTGCAACGCTCCTCTTTTCACATGATAATTTATGCTCTAACCTGAAAAAGCATGAATAGTTCATTAAATATGTGTCCTGGGTGCGCTGCGTAAACACTGAGAGTACAGTTTTCAGCTTCCTAGTCTGAATAACCACACAGCCAACTGTCTTTTTGAAAGTATGGATGACACGCCTCGATCTCATCCATAATAATAAACTACCGCTAAGATAAGTGTTGCTGCGGCGTATGCAAAAGGAATCACGTTCAGCCCAGGTACAGCCCACATCAGATTGACGCTAAAGCTGCGTTTGAGTTACCTCGGGAGTCAGACGTCGGAAAGTTATTTTAGTGCTTACCTTGTACTTGTCATATTCGGACAAGACAAGCACTAAAATGACTTTTGTAGATGTAGCCATCTTGTTTCCACCCCCGATTTAACGTTTTTTCCGACTTGGTAACTGAAACCCTGATAATTCAGGTGTGACGTCATTTTCAGCCCCAACATCTGACTTCTGAGGTAACTCGAACGCAGCATAACCATAGACTGTATATAGAACGGACAGAGTCTGCCTCCTCGCTGGGTGAAGCCACTCTGAGAACAGCACCCTCTGGTGACGGGCTGCAGTATAGGTCATAAATCCCGCCTCCGCCAGCAAAGCTTATGGGGCTGTGGACAAACTTTAGAAATTTATTACACAAAACAGAAATTTTTTTCCCCCCTGGTTGTGATGTTGACATGTAGTTATTGTCAGACTGGTTTGAGCTCAAGTCCTCTTTTTTCTGTGAAGCTCTGTTTTTAAAAGTTATTAGGGGGTTCATGTTTTCCATGATTGACACCTGGTACAGCCTATGGGCAAAATCCCGGAAATATTGAGACCTTTTTGGCTTCAAATCCGTGTACAGGCGAGAGGCGAAACCAAGTTGTCCATAGTATATACAGTCTATGAGCATAACACTTACAGTTATGGAAAGTTTGGTGACTCTGTGTTTGATCCAAAAAAGGACGACTTTAACACGACTCCGCTTAGATTGGCATTTTCGAGGCGAGTTACATACTTGGGAGGGATGGTGACGGTGGATCCACCTGGTAGGGTGAAGAGATGGGCGTCCTCTCCCAGAAGGGACACCTTGTATTTAACAGGCTTCGAGGACGGGCTTTTCAAGCGCACCTTTAGTGCACAAAAAAACACATAAAAATCCAGATTTTATATGTATAAATTCAAGCTTGCATAAACAGAATAACACGGACTAATGCCTCTGCCAGACGACAGTGTAACAACAAAATCAATCTTGCTCAGTGTAAATAAACGGACATCTGTTTTGTCATTCTTACAATGTGGCTTAGACCAGATATTGTGGATCATTACCCAAATCTATATTTGTCTGTTTCTGTAATCCTGTTAGTGTGTGTGTGGCAGCGTCTATAATCCTGTTAATATATATGTGTGTGTGCCCATAATCCTGTTAATGTGTGTCATCTCGGATGCAGTGTTTGTGTGTTTCATTGTCTGTCCAGGAGGCTATTACCCGAGCCATTTCACTCCCACTGTGCTCATGAATTTCATTTACTAGGCAGGTAGTTTAATTCTTATTTAGGTGCCTTTTAAGAGCAAAGTTGATACTTTGTTTGTGTGTGTGTGTGTTTGTGTTTGTGTTTGTGTGTGTGTGTGTGTGTGTGTGTGTGTGTGTGTGTGTGTGTGTTACCTGTTTGCTGAATGTGCTGTGCAGGCTTCCTGAGAGAGTGATGGTGTCTTGAGGCAGGCACTGAGGCAGCCTCTCATACAGATGAACACACAGCATTAGCATCTGCACAGGGTTGGGGTCTGACAAGTCTGTGGGCTAAAGATCGCGCACACAGTCAAAAACAACCTTTGAAAGAATGACAGAGATGCATTTAACATTCGTAATTACACCGAAGAGAGACTCTCAGACCCCAGAAGATTTAACCTCATGACAGAGCCAATTTTCTCTCCATCATGTCTGTCAAGAGCTGAGAAATAACGTGCAATAATATCTAATCACTCTGAAGTTTAAATGCCTTTAGATCGCTTTGCTGCCGTCTCCTCTTTTGAAATGAGTGTAATTACTGACTGGAATAACATCAATTTAATGGTGAAGCTAATGAGCTGTTAGCCGGTGTCGGGTCAAACTGGAGGTGAAGGTTCAAGAGAAATATTCAGAACTAGTGAAAATGTAAATAACTTCAGTAAATTCAACACAATCATATAATTTGATCATGAATCTGTTTGCAATACAAATACTAATATTCTAATCAAACTGAAGACGGGCACATAAAACACGAAAGCAGAATGCCAGAAAGGAGACACTGGGTTTGTGGAAGTGATTCTGCTCCAGGGACAGGGCAGTGGTTGCTTCACACCTGCACATACTGTAAGTATATGATATATGGTTCAAAAACTGTCCTTTCCATCGGCCAATCTATTCATCTTGATTTCTGTGCGTATTTGCAAGAGGATCCTGATTGGTGGCTATGATGCACTGTGGGTACAGCGGCAGATAATAGATGAATCCATAGATGGAGTCCTGCCTGATATTTACCTGTACATCCATGTTGAGACCGAGTGCAGTTAAGGCCTTGACCACAATGATGTTGTTGTGGAGGATCTGCTCCAGGCTGCGAGTCGAGGTGTACATCCTTCTGAAGTGGCTGTAGATCTGATTATAGAGACACAGTGGAAAAGTGGAATTTAATGACAAGATTTATCGCAACCTCCACATGTTTCATTTGGATGATCTCTCCACTTTATCTGGCGTTTGGTTGATCGCTCATAAATCAAAAATTTCCACCTAATCTTGAGCTTTCAAAAAGTTCAAAGTGGAGGTTTTGACAGATGTTTCTGAGTTTTAACTATCAGAGTCTTACAGGAAAAACACATTTACTTAAACGCAGAGCAGATTGCACTCTCTCCCTGACACACACATTCACACACACACTCACTCACACAAAACACTGCTTAGAATGATAAGAGGCTCTCCTAATCTAGTTCAGGACTAATTGCGTCCTCATCACATCAATCAGAGTGCCACTTGCAGGCATTAGCCACCATCCCTCATTGACTCTCATACACACACTAGAGAGGGTCCACACACAATTAGCACACACACACACACACACTTAGAGATAAATGCACACACACTGACCAGGAACGGGCAGTAAGCGGCAAGCAGAGCAGCCAGCACCAGCCCATCTGTCAAGTCCAGGTCGAAATTCAGGATCCAGCGTGCTGATGGGACATTACCTGCAAACCATTACCAGGCAGAAATTACCTGCAGATCGCTAATTCATATGAAGGCCTCAATCAAACATTAAATCATGCTCCAAGTGGTGAGGAAATGCCTTTACAAAGTTGAAACAAATCCAAATTGTAGGATATGCAAAAAATGTAAAATAAAACTTGACAAATATAAGCACTTAAAAATGAAACAAGAGTCCAAAGAGAGGTTGGAAAGCTGCAACAGTTCAGCTGACGCTCAGGAGAATAAGCAGAAGCTGTAAAGGCGTAATTGTATTACTCACCAGAATTGATTAATAATTCAAAACGAGAAGGGAAAAGACTCAGAAATGGATGAATAATTGAGTAAAAAAGTAGCGATAGGGATACTAAAACTATTGCTTTTGGGGGTTTGAAGTATGTTTTTGTCTGGTAACTGCTCTGTTAAGGGATTGAGTACTACAGATGGATCTGGTGTAAGACTACAGTATGAAGCTGATGATCTTGAATTATTGAAAGAGTTAGAACAGGGGGCCTCAATTCAAATTATCATCGTTTGAATGGGTGCAGCAAAGTTTCAGTATGTTCTTTAATGAAGTTCAACACACGGCTGCCTTCATTAATGGCATACAGTGCAAAGTACTCACTTTCTCCTTGTTTTGTTATGTTACAGCCTTATTCCAAAATGGATTAATTTCCCTTTTTCCCTCAAAAATTCTACACAAAATACCCCATAATGACAAAGCCAAAAACTTTTTTTAGAACATTTTGCAAATTTATTAAAAATAAGACACTCAAATGTTGCATATATATATAAGTATTCACACCTTTTACTCAATACTTGGTCGAAGCCCCTTTGGCAGCGATTACAGCCTCCAGTCTTCTTGTGTATGATGCAACAAGCTCGGCACACCTGGATTTGGGGAGTTTTTCCCATTCTTCCTTGCACATCCTCTCAAGCTCAGTGAGGTTGGATGGGCAGCATCAGTGCACAGCTACTTTCAGGTCTTTCCAAAGATGTTCAATCGGGTTCAAGTCTGGAGCAATTTCTGGAGCAGGTTTTCATCAAGGATTTCGATGCTGCCACCACCATGCTTCACTGTAGGGATGGTATTGGGGAGGTGGTGAGCGGTGCCTGGTTTCCTCCAGACATGACGCTTGGCATTCAGGCCAAAGAGTTTGATCTTCATTTCATCAGACCAGAGCATTTTGTTTCTCCTGGTCTGTGAGTCCTTCAGGTGCCGTCTAGCAAAGTCCAAGTGGGCTGTCATGTGCTTTTTACTGAGGAGTGGCTTCTGTCTGGCCACTCTACCATAAATCAAGGCTGATCAGTGGAAACAGGATGCACCTTAACTCAATTTTGAGTTTTATAGCAAAGGGTGTGAATACTTATGTATATGCAACATTTGAGTGTTCTTATTTTTAATAAATTTGCAAAAGGTTCTAAAACAAGTTTTTCGCTGTGACATTATGGGGTATTTTGTGTAGAATTTTTGAGGGAAAAAAGGAATTTAATCCATTTTGGAATAAGGCTGTAACATAACAAAATGTGGTATGAATACTTTCCGGATGCACTGTATGTAGTGGGTAGTGGTGCAACGGATCACAAAACTCACGGATCGGATCGTTCCTCGGATCAAGAGTCACGGATCGGATCATTTTTCGGATCAGCAAAAAGAAAAAAAAACAAGACAAATAAAATATATAAAAGTAGTGCACAGGGCATAATATCTTCTTTTTAACATAATTATTAATGAAAAACAACTTAAAGTACAATATACAGGCATATCTCCTTCCTTTAAAATGTAACAATGAACCAAAAATGAAGTGTGTGCGCGATGGGATGTCGTAACGTGGCTCAAGCACTTTCAGCATGTTTTTAAAGCACTCGTTTTGCACAACTGAATACGGCCTCATGTCTGCAGCTATAAACACACCGATAGAGTTTGTGAAAGCTTTAGCCTGGTCGGATTGCGCAGGAAGAGGCTGCTTAAATGCTGCGGTGATGAGCGGTTGTTGGGCAGCTTTCGTTTTATCTCAGGTGTTATGCCAAAGAATGCACCCCTGCCGTATAGTGCACCCCCTAACGGGAGCGCGGTTGAAAGTACATAACAAGGCGAAATAATACAAGTTTTCCTTACGTTGGATGTATTCAACAGCGTTTGCCTTTAATAATTTCATTCAGGCTATTCATATCAAATATGAGATCATTATCTCCACTTTAAGAAGCTAACGGGTGGAGGGGATGCAGGGGGTGCGTTCTACGGCAGGGGTGCAATCTACGGCACAACACCTGTCAGTAAAACACCCGGCTGATGTCGCTTCAAATGCGTGAACATGCTCGATGTGTTTCCACTGTCATATGGCTTTCTTATGCCACAGTGCCTACACTCCGTCGCAGTTTTGTACACTGACCTCTTTCCTTCTTCATCATAATTGACAGGGAAGCCAAAATGCTCCCATACAGGGGATTTAAGTGTCGCGGGGCGTTCGAGCTCCTCCTTTCTCCGCTTTCAGAAATCGATCCGCGGATCACATGTGTGCCGAACCGAACACGTCGATCCGAACGGATCACGGATCAATGATGATCCGTTGCACCACTAGTAGTGGGACCTGTTGTCACCTAACTGTGACGAGCCGTTACCTGGTGTCTTTATTTATCAAGGTGTCTTTACTGAAGCTTTCTCACAATGTACATAAGAGTAGAAAATCACAGTATCATACACAGGAGAAAATACTGTACGTACAACACACAAGCTCTCTATATTTTTGTTTTTATCATCATTACTTTTGTTGCGTGTTTGTGTACATGTAGTTCTGCGTACCTGTTCCCCACACTGCCTCCCTCATACCCAGGTAGTGTGTGTTGAGCCAAGAGAGCAGCTGCAGCTCCTGAGATGAATAAACGTTACTGGCCAGAGGCTCTGAGCTCGGAACTTGAAGAATCTCAGCCAGGTCCTCCAGCTTCGGAGTTGCGTTAAGACCTCTCTGTGACACACGACTTAACACCAACACCTGAGCGTACGCGGAGAAAGAACAAATACTCGACAAGATCAGATTGGTGTTTCTCAGCTTGACTCCACTTTATATTCGCAGAGACACGTTTACAAGCTGTTTCTGAGCGCGGAAATGTTCTCCGGCTTCCATTAAGATGTCAAGATCTGTCAGGTCAAAGAGTTTTTATTCAACCTTTGATCTAACCTTCACTTGACCGTCGATAATAATTCATTATTTATAGATTGCTGCCTGAAGGGAGAGCAAAACAAAAAAAAAGAGAGACAGCTTGAGTAGAAAATGTTTCAAGGATTGACGGACGAAGGATTCCACTTCCATTTTATTACCTGCACACTGTGGCGCTGAGTTATAAATGTACGGTGTATAACAGGCTGTGTATACCTTATAAATTTGGAGCAGCACGTCCATCCAAGACCATTTACTTAGAGACTCATAGTTGATGCTGCTGTAGTCCAGACTGTTTTCATCCTTATTCACCTGAGAGGAACACACAAATGCGTGCAAGTGGCATAAGACACCATAAATATAAAGAGAGTGCATGAAAACATAAAAAAGCTACTCAAAATTATAGATGCACTACACGTGGTTCCACGACTGTGTGGGTGCGTGAGTGTTTACCTGCAGGGAGCGCCAGTGTTTGAACTCCTGCAAATCAAGCAAGTACTCGGGTCTGATGTGACAAAGGGAGGCACCTTGCACCCTGAAGAAAGAGTCTCAGTCAACAAGGAAAAAGGTTGAACTTCAGAAGGATGAGAAATGTGATTTAAATAAACACAAATGCAGAATTTGGGGGGTTTTAGGGTTCGTTTTGGCATTGGTGTATGGGATCGTCTGAGGATTCACACCGAATGGGGTTCCACAAGGGTCGATTTTAGGGCCCCTGTTCTTTTCTTTGTATTTGCTGCTCCTGGGATCCATCTTAAGAAAGCATGGCATTTCTTTTCATTGTTATGCCGATGACAGTCATATATATGTGCCACTTAATAAGAAAATTGTTTTCTCCCTCACTCCACTTCTGGCATGTCTTTTTTACATTTCAATGAGAGAAAAACAGAAGTGATGGTCTTTGGTCCCGGTGGCCCTTGTGAATCCCCTCCTGTAGACTTGGGTATTTTAACAGACTATTTAAAGCCAACCGTCTCAAATTTGAGTTTTAAGATGGACAGTGATTTTAAATTCGACAGGCAAATTAGCTCCGGAGAGAAATCTAGCTTTTACCATATTAGGCAGCTGGCGAAGGCAAAGCCTTTCCTTCCACGTAAGCACTTTGAAACAGTAATCCACGCCTTTGTTACATCTTGGCTTGATTACTGTAACGCACTTTATTTTGGAGTCAGCCAGTCCTCCCTCTCACGTCTCCAGTTAGTACAAAACGCAGCCGCCCGGCTCTTAACTGGAGTACGTAAGAGGGAGCACATTACTCCCATCCTGGCCTCCCTCCACTGGTCACCTGTGCATTTTAGAGTTCATTTTAAGATTCTTTTATTTGTTTTTAAATCTTTAAATGGTCTGACTCCATCTTACCTCTCTGAGCTTCTCCACCCCTTCACCCCTACTCAGTGCCTTAGGTACCGAGGTCCAAATTGAAGCTCAGAGGGGATAGATCTTTTTCTATTGCAGCCCCAAAATTATGGAACGATCTACCCCTCCAAATTAGACGAGCCTCCACACTGTCCATTTTTAAAACTCGTCTTAAAACCCATTTTTATTCATTGGCTTTTAATCCTGCATGAGACTCGGCTCCTGTTTTAGTGTTTTATGGTTTGTTTTTAGTTATTTGTTTCTATTGTTTTTAAATTAGTTTTTAAAAACATTGAAACTATATTTTACTTTTTAATTCTTTTATTTTATCCATTGTTTTAATTGTTTTTTGATTGTTTTTTACGTTGTTGTTTTGTCTAGTTATGTCCAGCACTTTGTTCAGTTGTGGTTGAGTTGAGAATGTCAGGCCTACTTAAGGAAAGCGAGCATGGCTTCATGCTGTTGTAGCAGCTGGGCGGTGCGTGTGTCCACATCATCGCTAAAGGTCTGGCAGATTGGGATCCCCGGCATCCGTTTGCCCGTCAGGTGATGAAGCATGTCCACTACAGACCTAGATGCAACAACACAATAAAGTTATGTCCCCTGCAAGCGGGGACGGATCAATGCCCCCACTGAGAGGAAATTAAATCCCACCAGAGCGTCAGTTCAAGTATAATCGATTATTCCCCTTGACCTATTTGAGTTTTCTAAGAATTAATAATCCATACAAACCTGAAAAGGCTGCCCATCGACATTTGAAACACAGACAGACATTTTTTGCACATGGCAGACTGTTTACCCTTGAGTTCTCCATAAAACACAGTATTCAGCAGGTAGAGCCATACACACCTTGAGTCTTTGCTGTGACTGACTTGAAAGGCCCGTCCGTTGGAGGGTTTTGTCTGAATTGTTGTCACGACTCTGGAATAGAGAAGAAAAAAAGAGTTCATATTTAAGTCCTTTAAGGTCAAAACTGTCGTGAATCTTCTGAGAGCGGTGGCAGAGAAATCTCTTGGGTTTACTTTCTGAGCGTGCGTGGCACAGAGAGAGGGTGCGGCCCACTCGGCCAACCAAAGAGGCTAAACCACCTCTCCACAGCCAGTAGCACATTCTGGTAAAAAAGTCCTTCCTCTGAGCTGGCAGCGGGGAATCCGAGGATCCCAAGATTGGTTAAGGTGACTCTATCAGGTGAGATGTAAGTATCCCTGCTGCCCTGGCTGCTCACACTGTCACCGCCTTGATAGGAGTCTGGGGAGAACAGATCGATACACAGTAAGAGTCCAGACAAAACAGAATACTAATGAAACGAGTGGGTTTAAACAAATCACACAAACAGACACTCAGAATTAACTGTGAATTCACTTTTCTGACCTAAATCTGAAGACTTGTTTGTGGAGCTGCTCTGATCGAACACCGAGGACGAGGATGAATCAGGACCGAGAGCAGGCCTCGGTGTGTGGTAACGCTGAAGGATGGCCTTGACAGCTGTGGCCTCTAAAAGTCGCATAAACCAATCAGATCCAAGGAAAAAAGATGAATAAAGAGTCACAGATGTTGGCTGTTTATTTTAAAACCCACGAGGTTTCATATATCACTGTGAAATTACTCCATACGGCCACACGGTAACAAGTGTTCATGGGGATAGGAGCCTCATCCATCAGTGATATAAGCGGTATAAATGTGAAGTGTGTCATGTTTGTGTGTTGTAGAGTACCAGTCTTGAGAACTATCTTCTGATCAGAGCGGCGTAAGGCCAAGGAGGGCCAGACCGTCAACTGACTAGCATCGGCGGTGGCACACAGCTTGACTTTGAAACTATAAAGAGACACAAAGGGGGAACACAGATCCAATATTACGAGTTAGAATCAACTTTTAAAAGGCGGGAAGGATTATGGTGAAAATGTGAGAGGTAAGGCTGTTGAAAATGTTATAACCAATGCTGTTTGATGCTTCAACAGGAGAACATGAGACACGACAGTAACCGTTAAAAATGCCATCGCCTTACGTCCTCCAACTGGTCTGTTGGACTCAATTTTTGATTGTAAACTTGTCAGAAAACAAACGAACTATTAGCACAATATATGAAATACTGTATTCCCATAACTTGATGCCTTTGGACCTCCTCAAAAATAAATGGGAGACAGATTTAAATGAGCGAATCACAGATGATACTTAGCACAAAATAATACAGGGAATTTTTTCATCTTCTATTTGTCTTAGGCATGCTGTCATTCAGTTTAAAATCGTACACCGTCTGCACTGGTCGAAAGTACGGCTCTCTAAGATCTAAACTGATATGGACCCCGCTTGTGATAGATGCGGGCGAGATCCAGCAACTCTCTTCCACATGTTCTGGACATGTCCAAAGCTTTACACTTTCTGGTGGTCCATCTTTGAGACCTTTTCTAAGATATTTGCAAAAAGGCTTGCGGCGTCTAACCCAGATAGACTCCTGTCTTGACATGAGGGAAAGAGGAATGGTGGCTTTCTGCTCTCTACGAGCTCGGAGACTGATATTATTGAAATGGAAAGACCCAGTACCTCCAACATACAGTCATTGGATTAGGGATATCATGTACCATATCAAGTTGGAGAAGATCAGATACACAGTCAGGGGGTCTACTAGGAAATTTTAGAACATTTGGCAGACTTTCTTAATGTTTGTTGAAGATATGGAGGCAGACAGTATAGTGCTGTGAACCTCTACTGTTGTCCTCTGTCATTATTTATTTATTTATTTTTTTGCTATTATTATTATCATTTTTTTTTAATTATTTCATTTTATTTATAATTCTATTTCTCTTCTTGATCTGGCTATGTGAACTCTGTATTTTGAACTATGTATTTTATATTATATTTATATTTTTTATATTTATATTTATATTAAACTGCAAACTTTAACTAGTAAAACTAAATAAAAACACCTTGATCAAAAAAAAAAAAAAATGCCATTGCCTTAAAACGAGGATGAAGAAAGCAAGCGAGCCGAGGAGACAAAGGTTCAGAACAAACAGATATAGCAGATATGAGCTACCTGTTCTGGAGGTGGTCGGTAAAGGTGATCGTTGTGCAGATGGACAGAGGGACGGCAGAGCTGAACGACACACAGAAGGTAAGAGAGGTCTCACAGGGCTTCTGGTCCTGGATTCCACCCACATGTCCCTGTGTTTGCAGATAAAGTAGCAGAACAACCAGATAATTACACAGGTAGTGACAGCTCTTCTGCTAAAGTGACAAGTGGGACAATCGGCTCAACTTCTCTTATTAATACACCAGACAAAGCCGGTGACAGATTTGGGCGGATTGTCAAAAATAAGCAGGGAGAAATCAGCCTTGTGTTGTGAGTAAAACTGATGAAGAAATGATGTTATCTGTGAAGTGTGAGAATGAACAGTAAACCGCAGAACCAAACCCTGAGGGATTATGGGAGTGTGGAGGAAATTACAGATAAAACAGCTATTGTAGATGCAGCTGCTTTGAGGCTCATTGTAAGCTTGGATTAATATGTCTACAGGGAACATCACCGCAGAGACGCTAGATAAGGAAACAAACAAGAGTGAAATTCATACAAATCATGTTGAATTTAGCAGAAAAATTTTGGATATTTAACAACACTGGAGTAAGTCGTACCTGATCCTGGTTTTGAGCAGGGATATTGTTGCCGTCCGGAAAGACGACAGAAACAGGCTGAATCGTTGTTCCATCCTCCATTTTGATCTCATCCACTTCAGCCGACACAGTAGTTCCACTGCAACACACATTTACAGGAGATGTGTAAAAGAACACGTTGAATACTTTTAATATAAATAGATTAATTAGGCTTGACATGTGTAACTGTAATTCCTCAAGATAAAACTTGTTACCTCCGCCAAGGAGGTCAATGTTTTCGGTAGTGTTGGTTTGTTTGTTTGTTTGTCTGTTAGCAACTTTACGGAGGAAGTTACAGACGGATTGACCTGAAATTTTCACCAGAGGTGCGTCTCAGCCCCAGGAGGATCCCATGACATTTTGGTGGTGATCCGGACAAGATTCTGGATACTGTGATCCAGAACACACAAAAATAAGGGTGTCGTTGGAATTTTCAATGCTGAAAGATAACCAATGGGCGGCACAGTGGTGTAGATAGGTGACACAGTGGTGTAGTGGTTAGCACTGTTGCCTCACAACCAGAAGGTCCTGGGTTTGAATCTCAGTCAGGGCATTTCTTGTTTCAGGGGGGACATGAGCTGCTTGGCGGAGGTCTGCGCTCTCCGAGTGCCTTTCTAGTTTGTTGTTTTGTTTGTTTGTTTGTCTGTTACCAACTTTATGGAGAAAGTTACAGACGGATTGACCTGAAATTTTCACCAGAGGTGCGTCTCAGCCCCAGGAGGATCCCATTAAATTTTGGTGGTGATCCGGATCGCCTTCTAGATCCAGGAATTTTTTGAAGGATTCTTTATCATTGTGAGATAGGGCACATTTTGGAATTTTTGCATTTATCTCTATAAAAATGTCCAGAGTCTTTAGTAAAAAATGACACAAAAGGATCTCAATGAGTTTTATGAGGTGTCAAAGGTTGATCCTGATCCAGACAAAATTCTAGATACTGTGATCCAGAACACACAAAAATAAGGGTGTTGTTGGAATTTTCAATGCTGAAAGATAACCAATCCAGCGTCTTTGTGTTTTTGAAAAGCGCTTTATAAATAAAATGTATTATTATTAATGGGCGGCACAGTGGTGTAGATAGGCAGCACAGTGGTGTAGTGGTTAGCACTGTCACCTCACAACCAGAAGGTCCTGGGTTTGAATCTGGGTCAGGGCATTTCTTGTTTTAGGAACATTATGAACAGTGAACATACCAGTTTAAACACAAATAAAAGTTAATAAAAGACACGTAACAGTAAAAGTTTTGGTGTGAATCACAATATAAGGGGGGACATGAGCTGCTTGGCGGAGGTCTGCGCTCTCCGAGTGCTTTTCTAGTTTATATAGTGTGAACATGGGCTTGGCATCCTTACACTGTTTGATTCTCCGAGCTGAGATTTTTAGTCAAACCTTTGCTCTCCGATGCTACATTATAGATAAGCTCCTGAAATGTTGCCTGGGAGCAGAGCACATTTTCATGTATGTTATGTTTTGAGCTATTTTTTATTTTTACATGATATTACGGCATAAAGATTGGCCTACATACACGCTCTTCAGGACTGTATTCAGTTCAGTCACAGGGATATGGGTCAGAAAACGCTGCCAGAACTGTAAACAGTGCAGCCAGATTTCTGTCTACTGTGAATATCTGACTAACAATGAAATCCACAAAGGAGCAAGGATTAGCTTTTTGGCTTACAATGTAAGTAAAATCGAACATGAGTGCCAGTAAATGAGTCCTGGTTTGATTGATAGAAATCCCACTGAAATGAATAAATCAGTTTATGTTCCTGTGTTTACTTTGCTTTCATTCAGCTCCAACGGCTCAACACAGCTGCTAAATTGCCTCAGGCTGGAAAATAAAGTAAATACAATAAAAATCCATCACTGTTAATGCTCCGCTTAAGTGAAACACAGATGACAACAACTGTGCAGTTGTGTGTAAAGCATCAACCTTGGATATCCTGATGCCAATAGGCTGACTGAAGCACTTAAATCGGTTTCCAGGGGTACAGGTGTGAGGAAAATTTGAGGAGGGTGGGTGGTGATGCAAGGAAGCTGGTGAATAACAATGATGGACAGCTCTCTGTAGGGTCGATTTTCTCGCTGTCCTCCATTCTCCTCATTTCCCTTGTGCTCCAGGTGAAGAGGGAGCGACAGTTTGGTCGTGTTTCCTGGAAGGAAAAATGGTACGAATCAAGCTTTGGTGGTGCAATCACCGGGTCTTCAATCAGCTGACATGACACCTTTCCATACCAGCCTCCAGCGTTGTTCATTTATTTCTATTTGATTCGGGTCTTTTCCTTTTTATTCCACATTTTTATCCTACTGACATGTAATCACACGGGAGAGAAGAGGTTGCATTTCAATTATGATATTCATTCCAACCTGACAGTACAAAGAGTAATGAGTGATTCTTACCGGCTCTGGAATAAACTACAAGCCTTACTGAGGGGTTGTTGCTCCACTATGCTGTCTCTCACCACAGTCCTTTTAAAGGTACCATGTGTCCTTCCATCTGCAGTCTTAAAATGGTGTGAGAGCAACATTAACGTGTAACAAATCGCTGCATAAAACCTTCTGCAATGAGCAGCAGACTGTTGCAAAGTAATCACAAAAACTATTTGCTTTTGTGCACATCGAACTGGACGCTTTTGTTCCACAATTAAAACTCTTCCATCTGCTTCAAACTTGCCAAGGTCTGTGCAGCGCTACCAGCTTTTTTCTGATGTGTCTCTCTTTTAAAATCATACATACAAACACCTTTTCTTCTATTTTAATGCAGGATAACATGCACTAAGTCGTTATGTTACCATGCTGTTTCAATCAAATCCTATTGTTCAGTTATGGCTCTTCATAAAGGCAAACTGAGGGACTATTTCGTCTCCAGGTTGTCATCAGAAATTGGCACAAAAGGCAATCAAATATGACAAACGGGGAAAATATATGAGCGATTAAAACAGCATTCTCGACGTACTTTTATTGAATTTATGGAACAATAGTTGTATTTGTCTGCAGATGGTAACTTTCTAGATCATTTCCACTTCAAATAAAATCATACACTGCTTCGCATGGAAAAACATAATGCCGCAAACAAAGGGAAACCTAACTAAAGAGAACAACATCTGTTCCTGGTATTATATTTGAGCTGCTTTAATCACTTTGGAAAGTCTGCACTGGCAGAAGGCGGTGAGCTTCCACAGTAGCAAACGTGATCGTGGATGATTGTCACACACTCATGGAAAACTGTAATGATAATGACAGTGAGCAGGTGTGTTATGTTTAATGCAGAAGAAAATCTTTGCATTACTTCTAGAGGATAACACAGCAGTGGATTACAGGCCACACTGAGGTCTTAAGTCATTGTGTCACCCAATTAAAATAACGGCGTTTGTCATTTTGTGATGAAAATCAGATTTTGGCTTAAATCGTTTCATGAAAATGCTGTCCGTCTCTGGTAAAATCACCCAAATCCTTAGTTGAAAGGATCATAATAATAATGCATCAGATTTCATATAGTGCTTTATCAGAGACCCTCAAAGCGCTTTACATTGGACACATCACTCATTCGCTCACACAGTCACACTTTAGTGGTGGTAAACTACCTCAGTAGTCACAGCTGCCCTGGGACACACACTGGGAGCAAGGTGGGTTAAGTGTCTTGCCCGAGGAGACAACAGACAGACTTGGGATTGGGGGGAATCGAACCGCCAACCTTCCGGTTATTGGACGACCGCTCTACCTCCTGAGCTACTGCCGCCTAATCACGGCATGGATCATGGCGTGATCCATTCAACTAAGGATTTAGGTGCAAATAATCTTGGTACTTTCAGCCACTGCAATCTGATTTTAGTCAATTTTCCATTGAGCCACAGTTCACAGTACACATGTAAAAGGGCTACAATAAAGCATTTTCACTCAGCTTAGTGGGCTAAAATAAAAAAGAACCACTGGCGTGTTTCTGGTGGCTCCAAGTCAAGAGCTTCAGTATTTCCCTCATGGGGCAGGGTGCCAAGATAAAGGATGATTATGTGTTTATGGTCCATAACAAAAGATTATAAAAACCCAATGGATCAGATTACGACATCAATTCAGATTTAATTTCTGTTTTACTTTCTCTTTGAGGAAGCCAATGTGAAATAAAACAACATATTCACAACGATATCAGATGTTTGGATGTGTCAGATGAGGGACAGCAGTGAATCTGTGTGTGTGTTAAATGACTTCTCACCTGTTCTGAAGGCCTCAGGTCTGACGCTCACCGCCAAGCAGATGGACTGTCCAGGCCCCAGATGGCCAGAAGTTGGGAAGATCGTACATATACGTCGCTCCCCCTCTCTCGCGGTCTTTGTCTGTGCTGCGGTTGAAGTGCAGTCAAACCGCCAGCTGACATACTCTCTGACACCTCCACGCCAAAACACGCTGTCTTTGCACACTGCTGTCAACTCCACTGTCTGCAGAGGGAGAGAGGAGTTACAGACAGAATGGGACTTATGCAGAAACAGCAGGAACAAGGATTTCCAGATGAAAAGAGAGGGAGAGGATTGAGTTACTAAGTTTATAAGTATTAAGAGATGAAAAAGCAGAAATATGGAGGGAAGAAAAAGGTTATGCAGATATTGATACCTTAGTGACAACATCGGATTCCGGTGCCAAGAGTTCCACATGGAACTGTAGGCCACATGGGGACATTTCCAGGGGTGCACACGGCGCTAAAAACGCACATTTAGAAACTTTATGTTAGGTTGCAAAACAAACAGAGATGAGGGGAGAAAGTGTATAAAAACACATTAACCACAAACATAACTCCAGCTTCTACTCAATTATCCAACCTGTGGCCTGTATGTGCGGTGGCAGTTGTGTTGCTATGGTGACAAACTGAACACCAGGTTTGACGGCACGGTGCCTGCCACCAGCTGTCAGCAAGGAGGGAGTGGAGATGGATGAGGAGGAGGGGGAGGAGGGTGGAGTCGGGAGAGGAGGCCAGCTGACACCGTTGACCTTCAGGGGCAGGTCGAAGTCATAAGTGGCCGCCTGCAGGGAGACATGCCCTTGACTTTACACATCACTTTGAACTGATAAACAAGAATCTCTCTGTCAGTACTCATGAGCTGTACGTAGATAAAATTAAAGTTTACTGCAGCAACTCTACCACCTGCTACTGTTTGATTATCAGATGCTAGAGACACAAGGTCAAACCCACCACCTGTACTGTCCTCTGTATTTGGGGAATTTGCTTTGACAGTTTAAGTGTGCAAGTTTGCAGGAAGGTTGGAAACAAGGAAACTGGATATTAATGAGAGACTGCAGGATGACAGACTGGTGTGTAAAAAGACATTTCAGCACCAGTATTAGTAATATTACTAACCGGATTACTTCTCTTGTGTGAATCAGTGCTTATGGAGGTCAGAATCTCACCTGAGTGGGAGAGAACACTAGGGAACAGTCTAATGTCTGGTGGCCTTGGACTTCCACAGCACTCACACCTGGTTCCTTAAATGCTTTACAAAAACACATGGAAACAATCACAAAAAAAAATAATCAAGCACAGACGAAGGATCTTTTCAAACATGTAATGATGTCCATGCATACTCGCTGAGGGTTCAGGCAGCTGCACAGAGAAGTCCGTGTGTTCGGACAAGTCGAAGGTGACCTGAGCTGCAGCTGGAGAAAGGTTTCTCAGAGCAAATGGAATCGCTCTCCGGGAACCAGTATAGACACAGTTAAACTGGAAATGGGACTGAAAAGACAGAGGGAGGAGAAACAAGCAAACGAGTTAGTAATCTCAGGAGTTAGAATAGAAGAAAACCAGCCCCTTTTCGGTGTATCCATATGGAAAGTAACCGTGACTTTAAAAACATCCCAATAATTTGAAGGTTTACCCAGAAACTAATGTTTAGTGCATAACAAAGACAACGACAGAAACATTTCATGCTTCGATCAACTGCAGGCGCACAAAAGAAGAATATCCTTGACCTCATTTTATTCAAAAGTGCAGCAACAGAGTTTCCAAAGACACACAGGCCTTTATTCACTTACTGACACACTCTTAAATTAAAAAAAACTTTACTGTCTTTCTCCATAAACCACCACTTTACTTCAGTCTTTTACTTTCAATGTATAGAAGCCAAGGATTTGTCACATCTGTGGATATTGAAAACATTTAAAACCATGTCATTGTTGTTGGTTTGAATGTTCCGTCCTTGAATGTCCTCAAACGTTTTTCTTTTTCAAACTAATAACCAGAGTGAATTAAAGATAAAGTAAACTTGATAAGTGACATTTCAGATCAGTACACATTCAGGTTGTACAACTCAATACAGATTTGCAGCTCTTCGGAACAGACCAAATGCTCCTGAAAACGACCACGATGACTGCACAGAGAAAGATCAAGGTATTTCTCTTCACAGATGCAGGATGGTGTCTAAAAAGGATTAAGGTGGAGAGAGTGAGCTGATTCAGGACTGAGAGGGAGCTATCATATTTGCTGTAGCTGTGAAAAGGCTGGAGATGAATGAGGAAGTGGAGAAGTAAGTATGAAAGTGATCAAACTATCTTTTTTTCCCCCGTGGCTTTTCAAGGGTGCAGGTAAATACTGTACAGAGAAAACTGCTGCTGGGAATCTAAACTTAAGGAGACCTCAAATGCTGACTTGTATTTTAATCTCTGCAAACAGATACTGTACAGACTGTAGATGAACGCCAAGACACCCTGAGTGAAGGAATCTAAGTGTCTTGGGGTCTTGTCCATCGAGGCACCACCTCAGTAGTTTGGGAGCAGATCCAGGTAGCACATGTAAAGGCGAGAAATAAGTATGTAGGTCTTCTTCGCAATCATTTTGCACTGCAAAACCAATTACACCCAGCAATACCGAGGTACCAAGGTCCAAATTGAGGCTCAGAGGGGATAGATTTTTTTCTGTTACGGCCCCAAAATTATGGAACGGGCTACCCCTCCAATTCAGACGAGCCCCCACACTTATGGAGGACCAAAAATGACATAAGTAAAAATAAATAAATGAATAAATAAATGGATAAATAAAAAATTTAATGCAGGAATAAATAAGTAAATAAAATACTTTTTGGGAAATAAAAGGTTATTTTTTTATTTTTTGCCTTAATTTATTTTATATTTATTCATATTTAATTTTATTTATTTATTTGTGTATTTAATTTTTTATTTATCCATTTATTTATTTTTACTTATGTCATTTTTGGTCCACCATACACTCTGTCCATTTTTAAAACTCGTCTAAAAACCCATTTTTATTCAGTGGCTTTCAACCTTGCATGAGACTCGGCTCCTGTTTTAGTGTTTTATGGTTTGTTTTTAGTTATTTGTTTCTATGTTTTTAAAAACTAATTTAACTATATTTTCCTTTTTAATATCTGCTTTTATTTTATCCATGGTTTTAATTGTTTTTTGATTGTTTTTTATATCTGCGTTGATTTGCCTATTTATGTACAGCACTTTGTTCAGCTGTGGTTGTTTTAAAGTGTTTTACAAATGAAGTTGAGTTGAGTTGAGCAATAATGGATGCTAACTACAATAAATGCAAGAGAAAAAAAAAACGTCTGTTCAGTCCACACCACATTTTTTGACATATTTTGTGGGTCATCAATGGAAAACTGATGACAATAAGATGAAAAAATAGCCAAACCTGTACACAGCTTGCTTATGTTAGTTCTGCTTTCTACAGTCTTTTGTTGAAATGTGCCCGTGATGAAACAACAGCTGCACAACACTGAGGCTGATCTTGTTAAATTTGGACAAAGTGCAGTTTGACAGTGAAAGGAAGTCATGTAGGTGGATAATAGCATTTTTCTCTTTTTGTCCTTCATCCTTTCAATGCTTTTCTGTGTCTCACCAGCGACACAGGAGATTCTCCACAGTGATGTTTTGCAGAACAGAATTCGTGTAGGACTCTCATACACATTCTGGATTCAAGAAATACACTTTGTACTTTTTGGAGAGACAATTCAAGAGACCACCTACACACAGTCCTGGTTTTATCTAACAGTTTTATAGTAGACGCCAAACAGCTGATTGGTATATTCTGCATGTAAAAATGACAAACACAAGTTCTAACAGAGAGCTTGACCTTTATGAACAGCTTGAGTTGATAAGAAAGGGAGCAAAAGCAGCTGATTTGTTGCTTACACTGAACCTTTAACAACTCCAACAGGGCCCTCGGATGCTTTGGACAACCTCTGGTAAATAAAAACAACAGCCTGTGCAGAATTACAAATGAGGTGACATCAAACATAGTAACAAAAAATCATCCATCTTTTTGCTTTTATCTAAAAAACACTGCCACACTCTGTCTTTCTATAGAGCCTTGGATGGACTCCAGTTTTGCCCACACTCTGCTGAATTTCCACCATCAATACACCCTCTTGTTTAAAAAAACAGCCTCTATTTAAGTGTCTTGAGTTATGTAAATGGTTTTCTGAATCAAATTTCTCCTTATTATTTTATCCATCATTGTTTACAAATGAGTCCTTTGTGACAAGTCCAATCAATACCGAGAGCAAACTGTTCATTACACTGATTGCACTTGCAGCATGAGGCAAAATATGGATTGATTTATTTGACAACAGGCTTGGTAAATACAAGGCTGCAATCATCAAGTCCTGGAGTTTAATTAGATTGTGGTGGATGCAAATACAATAAAGTTGAAAGCATATTCAACTGACAACACGCCAGTCAAAGGCTGCTGTAAAGAAACATTTCAAGAATAATAGAAATTAGTGCAATTAGATTCATGACGGAACATTTACCAGCTTTTTTTCTCACAAGTTATTTTTTTTTTCTCTTTTTATCACCTTTAAAAGGCCAATAAGTCTTTCACACCAATCTTTTCATCTTTTGGGCGAGTCCCAAACAGAACTAACTGGTGTATAGGTACGTTGATCTGACACAGCATCATATCCAGGTGTATGCTGAGCTGGTGCACTCAGTTTCAGGAGCTATTTTTAGGTTTTTCAAAAAAAAATGTTGTTGGCTTGCTGGTGTCAGAGGGTGATTAATTATCAATCCTACAGTAAGTGCTGAAGAAAACAAGATTTATTCTCATAAGGTAAGATTCAGTTCTTTAAAAAAGACCTTTATCACAGTACGCGGAAGTTAGCATTCTGCTCACTTCCGGTGTTAGCGTGTGGTGGAGCCACTTAGCATCGCCCATAGACGTCCATTCATTTTTCACGATATTAACAAGCTCGCGACTCGTTTTTTTTAAAGGTAATGTAAAATTTTGTACTTTGTGCTGTTTTACTAACTACTGTTCTTCATAATACTGTCCGGATTTTGTACTTTACTTTTCGGGAATTATGTTTAATAGGTCTGAAAATTTTCTGATGATGGTAACCATTGTTCTTAAGTAATGACCTATTAAACATAATTCCCGAAATGTAAAGTACAAAATCCGGACATTATTATGAAGAACAGGAGTTAGTATTACAGCACAAAGCATAAAATTTTACATTACCTTTCAAAAAAACGAGTCGCGAGCGTGTTAATATCGTGAACCGGAAGTGAGCAGATGCTAACTTCCGCGTACTGTGAAAAAGGTCTATTTGGCTCATTTCTGTGTCAACGAACTGTAATTAAAGCGTAAATAAATGCTTCTGTGATTTCTGACTGCAGCATATTTTTATTGAAATGCAATCTCTTTGACTGCTGTTGTTTGTAGAGTTGTTATGACACAATGTTGTACTAAGAAGTGTCAAAATATAGAGTACTTCAACAGCCCAAGATGCGCCACTCCCACACTTAAAATGGTGAATATTAGCAAACTCACCACATTGATTTCTATATTTGGAGGTTTCACTGATCCAACAATTCTGAGCTCAATGGACTTCATGCTCTTCAAAGCTATCTGTAACACACACACACACACATGGGCTTTAGTTCATTAATTCTCTTTCTTTTCTCATACAAAGACAAATCAAAAAATGTGAAAAAAGCTCTCTCTCTTCACTTCTTTCTTGCTCTTACCTCCACTCTTGCGTCAAAGTTGATAACAGAGTCAGGGTTGAAGAGGAGCTTGAGTGTAGCCTGCCCCCCGCTTGGCACAGTGCCCTCTGATGGACTCACTTTCATGCCTGGCAGAGGGTAAACATCCAGGACCTGGCTCATACAAACAAAAAAGAAAGCAGAATGGATGTTTTTCTTTCTCAGGTTGCACAGTTTGGGATGCTTAAACAAGAATCTGCATCTATGTGTGCACCTGGTAGTAGGCATGGTTCTGCCCAGTGTTGTGTAAGACTGCAGTTCTGGTGGAGGACATGTTGAGGGGCACTGATATAAATGAGACCTGCTTCTCTGCCAGCTGGACACAGGTACTTCCAACCTAAGAGAGAAACAGGTAGAAAAGCTGAACGTTGCATCAGCGTTATGTGTCATCCTCCAGTTACAAAGTATTTTGTTCTACAGTTCTGCAACACCCACTCTCATCAAACCTGTCTTGTCTAATCCAAATCTAGTCTCCACGTCTCCACATTTTACAAACACGTTTTTGACAGCTCCCAGAGAGTGTGTGTATCTGAAGCATTTTTATGACTCAGTGAGAGAGAGCAATCTACAGATGACGACACACAACAGCATGCAAGAGTGATTTTTCATTGAAAACAAAAAAGCACAAGAGTCACAAGCCTAACTTTAAACACAACACTGCTTAATGCTGTTCTGGTCCACTGGGGCTGCTGTCAGAGGTGGAATCAATAGCTGCCTCTCTGATGGATTTGGCCTCGTATGATTGTTGAACTTTGGTAAAAACAAATGGGCTCTTTCTATTCAGTCGGTCATTTCATTTCTTTTATGAATCGCTGTTAAAGTTGTGGAAAATCTTTTTGCTATTAACTTTTTATTATGGCTTTTCTGAGCTATTTCAAACAGACATCATATAACTGAAATGTAGCCACTCATTTATGAATGGATGAAAATACTACTAAAGATACCACACCATAGGATACAATACAATCAATATAATACGACACAATATAAAACAATATACGATATAAACAATGCAATATGACACAATTCTATACCATACTATACTGAAACATATCTTAACAAATAGGGTTGGGCGATAAAACGATAACGATATATATCAAAAATTAATTTCCCTCGATCAATATAAAACATGGTCAACATCCTTTTCAATAGTCATGTTTTGGTAGACTATACGAATAGCCACTAAAAAGGGGAGTTGCTCCAGGTCCGCTTCTCACTGAACCAATCATGTACTGAATTAGAACCAAGTAGCGAACAACTGCGTAGAAGCAGGCTGCAACTACACGCAACCATAGCACTTTAACATGTGAAGCCGACAGCACTGTAGATGGGAAAAAAAGAAACAGGACAGACAGACAGCAACGCCACAAGATGATGCAGCCCCTCAACAAGTGTCACAGTGAGCGCTGCGGAGGTTGTACCCACTGGTAAGACAAACATCCTTTACTACAAATAGACACTCACATAAAATTCATCTATTTAAACCCCACATGACGAGGGTGGGTTGTGCGCACAGATCACAACATAAACAAATTCCAATAATGACATTCAAATTGGAACCACCTGTGCGATTACAATATATGATATTCAACACCAGCAGCATTGTAAGTATACTGTTTAAGCCATATCCAGAGTATAATCCCTTCTTGATATTTTCTCCTGCTTCTAACACGAACACGTTACTTGCATTCTTATTCAGTTTGAGGATGCACTGAGCTCCTCCATCATTCTCAATTATGTGACAGTGTTGTCTGCCAAACAACAAAGATGCTATCACAACAATTCAAATCATTGATCTACTTCATTATCCTTTCTACTGCTTCCTGTCTGCGCGACAAACAAGCACAGCCCCTGATTCGTATTCATGTAATGTCTTGGTAAACATCCCATATTCTGAAAAATTTCTGTTTTAGTCCCAGACTTCTGAGCTTTGTCAGTGTATTTAAGCTCCTTTTCTCTGTTTTGCCTTGAGGTGCTTTTATTCTGCTTTACTCTTTTTTTCTCTAGGTATTAATGCTCCTGACATATTCTTTATCATAAATATTTCACCTGAGCGGCATAAAGAATGAACTTCCCTTGGAAATGCAATAAATATTTTTAAAAAGGACTGAATAAAGACACCAGTTCCCAGCAACTGAGGTTAAATAAGTGTCTGGCATATGTGGCCCAAAACCCACACAGCACCCGCTCACCCACAAATGTAAACTCACAGAAAAACTTTTAACTTTTTTTAACTTTTAAAACTGTAAACAGACAGGAAAAGGGGATCAAAGTGCAGGACTGTGTTGACAAGTTTCGATGTTGTCAAACTTTTCATTATCGGTGTCTGTTTTAGCCTCCATAGATCTGACCGGAGCTGTTCTTCTCTAAATCTTTACCGAATCTAACCTTAGCAACACAGTGCAGGCGTTGTGTATCACCCTCATGGACACAGAGGTCAAAGTCGCCTTCTGCAGAGGAGGAGAAGGATGGGTACCACACCACCTCACAGTCCAGCTCCCTATATGGCTCCACTGTGCCTGAGGAGTGATGGAGAGGATTAGTTGAGTCAAGTCCATACATTTTTGAAGTGCTTTAAATGTGAGGTTTCAAAAAGGTAAAGACTGCGACTCCGGCACCTGTAGCAGGTCTGATGGAGAATGGGATGCCGCTGTCTGTGACTATAGGCCTCCATCTGAACTCAGCAGGGTGGTTATACTTGTTTCGAAGAGTAACTGAGCTCCTGTATCCTGATTGGGCGAGCAAATTTGGAGTGGGACGCAACACTAGCAGAGTGGTGGACAGCTCCAGAGCCACTGGGACCACCTGGGCCTGGACTAGTATCTGACCAGGGTGTGTCTGGTTCACAGTGTAGGAGACAGGTCTGGAGGGGGAAAAAAGTCCAATGTTTTAAATTTGAACTGATTATTTTGTACTTTAAATGTATTTCTCACTGACCTGTAGAAAGGACCCAGCTTGCTGGTCTGAAATGCCAGGGGTAAGGTGTAGTGAGAGCGGGGTGGCAGCACATGGGAGAGGGGTAAGGAGCTCTGCAGCTCAGGGCAGTCCACCTCCAGCTGCACCCACACAAACACTGACAGATGATTGATGAGCTCCAGCTTCTCAACACACACTGAGTGAGCACACACCTCGCCAAAGTCCACCAACAGTGGACCTAAACGGGAACAAGAAAGGTTTTTACCACATTTTTTTACATTAAATCTAATTTGATGTTTTGAGAGAGGGACAACCATTACTTGTGATAAATCCCTTCACCTATTTCAACTTGGTAGAGCTCCTGAGGTGTCAGAGTCTTGCGGCAGTCTGCCACCTCCTGGCTGGTAGATGGAACTGCATGCATCACGTCTGAAACCTTAAGAGGATAAAAGGCAGCTTTGTTTAAGTGATCTGTTACCCCTGGAGTTAATTAAAAGCCTTCAATCCTCTGTCTGTCCTGGCTGGTGACCTGTCTAGTCTTGGATGTCATGTCTCCAGGGCAGCTGCCTATGATTTCTTGGGAAGCTCTGCTCCACTTGGGCTTTGTCTTTAAAATCTTTTCACTCTGCAGGTCACAGATGTGGAGCGAAGGAGGGACTAGACCTTGAGCAGGAACAATCCCAATATCCACGTTGTTCTCCACTTCCTCCTGCTGCCTGACATTCAAATAAAAGAAACTATTTACTGCTCGAGTTTTTACTGCAGGACAAAATCCTGAAATTGGCATCCAAGGTCAGGAATAAGAAAGCATACTTTTCCTTTATTCTCCTCAGACGGGTCTGTCTTGACTGTTGGATGAAGTCTTTGTAAATCTGTCGATGCTGCTGTCTCTGCTTCTCCTCCTCCTCAGTAAAGGAGTAGTCGGTGTCCATATAGCAATAGCGGCGAACACCAGTGAAGATGGTTCTTGAAACAAATTAGACATGATTTCTTTAAGCAATACACACTTTAAAATAAAACACTTTCATTTCCAGATTTGTTTCTTCTACATTTAAGACAGTTAAAACAGTGTTAAAGGAGTGTGTTTCCTTGACCTTCACCTGTACTGTCTATGTGCAGACGCAGGCCTGATGCTCGCTGCTCGGTCATTGGGGAAAGCCAGAAGCTCCTCGCTCATCTTGCCTCTTTCTCCTTCTTTCTGCCTCCTTTCCTCACTATGCATATGAAGTTGTGTTTTGTATGCATTGAGGACAGCAGCGCGCGCCATCCCCCGGCAGAAGGCCAGTTCACTGGACTGAACATGAGGCCGTGATCCTGTTGGGTTGGTTATTGTTGGAGTGATGCCTGTGAAACAACAAGAAAATCACTTCCTCAATGCCAAGGGGTTTTTGATTTGTTACATTTGAGGTTCACCTCCCTGCGTTTACCAGGATTCAGTTGAGGCCCAGGGTTTGTGGTCTCAAGGCAGCAGACAGCAGATAGGTGAAGCTTGATGGTGTGAAAGCTGCAAAGTTCAAGGCCAGTTTCATCTTCAGGGACCTCGCTCTCCTTTGCCACACGACCTAAAACATCCAGTTTCTGTAACACCTGAAAGCTCCCTTGCTGCCGTGCAGTGAAAGACAACACTACATCCTAAGGGGCACACAATGGAAAGGAAAAAAGTCACTTCTTTTTTTGGATTTTAAACAAGTAACTAATTCAATTCCCATTCTCACCTGGCATTGGCCTGGGGATATTGTGCCAGTGGAGGGTTTAGCGCTGAAATGTGCAACCTTGCGGAAACGAAAGGTTACAGGAAGTTGAGGGCAAAGGTTCTGTAGCACACACAGCAAGTCGACACTCCGGCCCTTCACACAGGTCAGGAAATTAAACCTGTTAGAAGGACTTGGTAGCAGAGACACGGGCAGTCCAGAGCCAGTCACAGCAAGCTCCACGCTGCTGTTAGCTGAAGACACAAAGAAAACATTAAGTTCAGTCTGATTAATCTCAGCTAATGAGTCTGTAAGTAAGCTGCTGTCATAGTTATATGAACTGAAGACTACATGAACTTCAAACAGTCATCAGGGCAACTGCAGGGGCTTGCAATATGTTATGCAATGACTACAGAGTGTGTCTGCTGTGCTTACCACTGTGGTGTGTGAAGCCATGTCTACTTCCTACCGACTCAAACAGCAGAAAAAGGCAGTAGTCTTGTCGGCTGGCTGAATAATCTCGCTTCTTCTCTTTAAGTGTACTGAAAAACAGAGACAGCTGTTCACTGGCAATTGAAATAAAACCTAGCCAGATCCCCTGATGCCGTGCCTGCTCCTCGTTAGTATAGTGGTGAGTATCCCCGCCTGTCACGCGGGAGACCGGGGTTCGATTCCCCGACGGGGAGTAATATATTTGTTTTTTCTTCATTTAAGGCAAAGTAGCAGTAGTCGTTCAGTCGTCGTGACAATACTAAATCTTGTACACAACATGGACATTTCACACAAAATCCCCAAATCAAGAATCATGTGTTGAATATTGACTGAAAAGGCAGAATCAGACTGCTTATAAAAGCCTATCCTATGTTGTCAACTTCTTTAGGCTACCAACCCCCAGAAAAGCAAAGAAACCACAACAACAGATAATTAATCGCACTTATAAGTTTCAAAAATAGCTTTACAAACCATTTTCTTAATGGTTGTTTTAAGATTTATGTTGGCATCATTCCAGAATTTAACTCCAGTGATGGAAACACATCTCCTTTTCATACCTTTTTTAGCTTTTTGTACAGTAAATTTACAAGCATCTCTGAGGTTTTAAGGACCATCCTGAATTGAAAAGAACCTCTGTATTGAGTTAGGGAGCATTTTTGATTTTGGTCTAAACATTATTTGCATTATTTTATAATGGAATTCAATACTTTTCTCGATTTGTACAGGATTGCAAGTGATTTTGAAATCTTTTAATGTATTCAATGTCTTGTTTCCATGTTAACTTTTAATCAATGACAACCCCAAGAAATTTAGACTCAGTAACTCTTTCAATGTCAACATGACAGATAGGACACAGTAGGACACATAGAGAGACAGTTTACCTCTTACAGATGGGGCTGAAGCATATTGTCACAGTGGTTTGACCATATGGACCTAGTAGACCCTGTCCCGGAACACATATTAAGACCTGAGAGAGATCCGGATCAGCTGGACTGCAGGACCTCTTCATTCCTTCAAGCAGGGTGGCGTCGGTAGCCTTCTGGAAATCTGTTCCCTATAGAGTCATCACACTCACAGCTATCACCTCTTCCTGACCAGTTATAATGAGATGGACTATTATATATGTACTTATCACAAACGTGCCTGACTGTTTGTGAAGACAAGCAGCCACACATACTTGCCCTGAGATCATTACTCACCACCTCAGTCCCAGCTGCTGCCTTCTGAAGTAAACAGACCCAGTCGCAAGCCTGGGGTGCATTGTTTTTAAGAACCACACTCTCAATGCGAGATGTCCCATAATAGGCCGGTCCAAACCAGAGACAGGACAGTGGAGCCCCCTTCGTAAAAGCCATGAATTATTGATTAATTACAGTCACAGCGGTTGGCAAAAGCATTCTTACAATGCTCACATCCGTAGAATACCTGCATGTCAAAGATCTCAAGGCGCTGGTCCACCACCTCAGCTCTGATTCTAAGAACTACAGATGAGCGGTTCTGGAGTTTCACCCTAAAAAATTGGGAATTTTTACTAAAGCCTCAGCTGACATTGTTAGAATTCTACTGCCCTATTAATCTAATATAAAAATCATTTCCCCAAATCCCTCCTCGAAAGTGTGACAAGTTAATTTTCCATAAAGATTAGATTAGATTAGATTAGGAGGAGACGAGATTAGATAGACTTCATTGATTCTTTTGGAAAGGTTCCAAATCAATATCATTTGTTCATATCAAATGTTTCTCTAGTTTTCTACTAAGTTTTACTCACACAGCCTTCTCATCGATCAGCCTCGGTCTGTCTGTTTGCAGTTCCACTCTGAGCCAATAGGTGGCACAAGGTGCTATAACTCCACTGCTGGGGGACAGTCTGACTGAAAGGTCTCCATTGTACTGAACCTGGAACAAACCTTCAATACACAAACGCATGCATGAGCATATATGTATTCTCATAGGGTATATTTAATTTTGATCTGAAATGGTCGATATATTTGTCTCTGATAGCTTCACACATAAACTTAACAAATATTTCTTGTCAGAAAAAATAGCAATTATCATCAGTTTACTGTTTTTAGTGTTAGTCACTATTGTTTAGTGTTGTCACTATTTTTCTTAAATCTGTGGACATACTGTTTATATAGAAGACTGACCTCTAGTTCTACTTGATATTCCCATTTCAGTACCTTTACAGGTGTAGCTCATCCTAAAACATGTTGAGTCCCTATGTCTGCAGTTACCTGGTGCTGATCCTTTATTGGTTATACCATGATGTTTGCTGATCACCTTACTGCTTGCAGCGACACAGCCAAAGTCTAGTACCGAGTCCATCAGAAGGGAACAGACCTTTGGAAGTCTGCAGGCACAAAAAAATCAATCAGATTTAGGTTTGTTAGGTGTATATGTAATACCTCTAACATTTAATGTTTAATCCAACATATCACAACCATTTGTCAAATGTTAATGTATCTTGCTTACGCCAGCACTGGGATTTCAATGGTGTCCGCATTGTTTATGTTTATGAGGAGCTTGTCCCTGACCTCCTCCTCTTCGACAGGAGTGAACTCCAGCAAACCACTTACAGACAAACCTGGGGCGACCACCTCTGCTGAGCTGTTAACAGTGAACTGGAACAACTGCTGGGCCAAAGAGAGTCAAGACATCAAATATATGCCATACATTATACAAGATAATAACTGTTATCCCAGTTTAGATAGATAGATAGATAGATAGATAGATAGATAGATAGATAGATAGATAGATAGATAGATAGATAGATAGATAGATAGATAGATAGATAGATAGATAGATAGATAGATAGATAGATAGATAGAGTTTACTTTACCTTTGATGTGGGCTTTTCAATCACTATTTTCTTCGAGGTTTTCCCCACATTTGTTGCTCTAACCGTCCTCCTGTAAACTTGCCCGACGTTGACGCCGTGAAACTCGACGTACGGTGGGTCGACTCGAACACTTACTTCAGACATGTTGTTATAACTGTTTTGTAGTTATGTATGCGCGGTCGCGTTAACACATTTCAATTTTTAGTCATAACACCTACTCATCAAACACTTCGTCGTGTAGTTTTGTTCACTCGCTGACTCGCATACCGATAGGCAAATAAACCGTTGCTACCCAAAGTTCTGACGCGTCGCTCAGCAGGGGTTGACAGCGCCGGTGTTGCGCCGTAGAACGCACCCCCTGACGGAATCTTCTGACGGGAGCGCGCCTAAGTCAGTCGGTTCGAAAAGTACAGCAACTAACTCGAGTTGCTACAAGATGAAGCGGAAAACTGATAAAACTGATGATATGTGTGCGTTTGAAATACATCACAAGAACAAGATTCATAATGACGAACACATCGCCATTCTTTTCTTCTTCCATGAAACCGCATTCTGTATGAATAGTATACTCAGCTGTAATGAGCCAAGTAGCTGAAATCACTCCTTTCGGTCGTTTTTTTTAGTACATGACAAGGTGAAATAATCCAAACTTACCAAACCACTGGATGGACTCAAAAGCGTTTGCCTTTAATGATTTCATTCAGGCTATTCAGATAGACCAAAAACAATAGCCATCTCATTCGGAATAGTTGCTGTCCCGAAAATATAATGTTCTCTACCTTGTCAGATTACTGTACAGTTTATATACCCAAGTACATTTATATGTGTGCATTTTTGAGCGACATAGAAACAGAAACATTATTTGCTGGTCCATTTGACATGTTGTCCTGATCCAATACTCGTGTTTTTTTGTTTTGTTAAATTTAAGATCATTTTCTTCCACTTTAAGAAGGTAATGAGAGGATGGATGTATAAATAAATGAATGAATCAGTGAAACTCACCTTGTTATGTACTTACAACCGGCCGAAAGCTGTGATTTCAGCTACTTGGGTCAACTCGAGCTTGTCGCTGTACTTTTCGAGCTGGGTGACGTAGGCGCGCTCCCGTCAGGGGGTGCAATCTACGGCACAACACCTGTTGTTCCCAGGCAACGACCCCAGCAGAGGCGCTCGATTTAAAACCCGTGACAGTTCAAGTGGACGGTGCAGCTGTTTCTTCACAGTTAGAAAATATATAAACCAAGGATTTCTTTATCAAATAGGAGTTTATGTATTTGTAAAACGATTGGTCAAGATGGACTAACACTTTTATGAGTATCAAAATCACTGGCATGGCTGACTTGACTGACAGGCAGGCACACTCCCCGCCAATTTTCAGCGTCTTCCTTTACCAATTATGTACTCATCTGTGTTAAAAATGAACTCAAAGTAAATATCCATCTCAGAGGCTTTAATCAACTGATCATCACAAAGAAAAATAAAAAAAAAACAGACTCTTAAAGTATAACCAAAAAAAATAAAGTCCATACATTTCTGTCTTTATACAAAAGCAGCAGGGCTCTCCCATATTTCATCATCATAAATATTGGGAGTATCTGCGGTTGAAACATCCATTCTGTGATAGTCTTTTGTTGTTTTCTCTTCGGCACTGTGGGGGAAATCTCCTGCACTCACTGCTGAGTCCACGCAATCCTTAAGTGGTTCTGTGCATATCTTATCACTCTGGAAAGTTGTGTTTGAATCCTTTTGATGACCAACATCGACTGAACTTCTCTCTTTACTTACTGGTGAGGGGGCTGTGGCTTGTTCTAATTCATTTTCATGCCCCCCTTTCTGATCTCCAGTGTGGATCACAGTTGCTTTGTTTTTTCTTTCCCCTTCCTTGTCTTTGCCCTCTAGTCCAAAGAAGTTGTTTTGGACGACATAGCGCACACACTGCAGCAGCAGATTCCTCTCATGGCGGATATCTGAGGCCAGTAACTAAAAACAACAAAAGGCAGACAGAGAGGGTAAGACGATTTGTTATTTTCACAAATCTTTTAATTCTGAATTCATAGTCTTGGACTTCTCTCCTTACCATCTCAAGCAGAGTTGGCCGACGTGTCTGTGGAGTAGCTTGGTGCCTTCCTCTGCCACCCCTTCCTCCCCTTCCCCCTCTTCCTTGTCTGTTGTGAGGTGTATGAAGGGCACGGTCAGACTGGGATGCTTTGGGAGTTTCTGTACCCCGGGAAAAGCCCTCCTGGCCTGAAGATGGAGCTCTTCCTTGGAATGGTTGCGGTGTCATGTTTAAGAGCGGTTTGTTTTCTTGTACCGGGTCCGTACCGGCTTTCTGGATGGGAATGGCTAAATTGAAGGGGAAAAGGATATTGAAAATGCAAGTAAAAAATGCTAACTGCAGGATGGTCATCAACAGTAGAGGTACCATAAAAGCAGAGGTGATACAGGTAGGAAAAACTAGGTAGGAAAAGCTAGGTGGGCGGTGCCGATGGTGTTTTCTGTACCTTAAATTGCTTCATAATTAGTCCCTCATTGGGCCATTGAAACCTGTGTATGTTTATTCTGTAACACATAAAGGACAAACTCACCATCTGGTTCTCCATCACTTTCACTCTCTGTACAAGAGCCATAGTTTGCCATCAGGGATCCCAGAGCTGAGCTCATCTGTTTAGGTGCCACGACTACAACACCTGTCCTTGACTCAGCAGCTGTGTCCTCTCTGTCAGAATCTGGAAGCACATGAGGAGTTAGCATTCCTGTTTTTTAATGTTGCTTGAATACAAACCATGGAAATGGTAAGATCTAAAAAAGTGTGATAAAGAGCTCAAAGGGAAGTCACTCGCCATGGTCACTATCAGCCAGAGCTCCTAATGGATCCCCCTGCTTACTGGGCTGAGTAAGGGGTGGAGGTCTCTCTGTAGCACTGCTGTCTGGCGGGTGAGGGCCTCTGTGGCGTTGCCCATGGAAACCTCTGTTCCCCCAGCCACGACCTCTTCCTCTTCCTCTACCTCGCATTCGACTGTGAATACATGTTACAAAGTCTAAAACTCTGTACATATGCTCTTCAGGGGCATGATTTAAACATCAAATTGGCTCTTTTACCCAAACTGAGCTGTGTCTAACACCGCTCCCGTCTGCTCCCGAACCTCCATCACCTTTCTCTTCTTTTCTATATTTGATAGAGTTGGATAGTTTCTAGAAAATAAGAGAAGAAGAAAATAACACTCAGATCAAAACTTGGTATTATATTAACATTGTGGTAATCTAGGTTCATGCATCAGCCTCAACGGATAGTACTAACCTGCGTCTCTCGTCCCTCCATTTTGCAATCTCATCTGGTGTGTCCAGCTTGATTCTTTTGGCTCCTGGTGCATGGTTCTACAGACAGAATATTAAAACGGTAAAAACAATAAAGAAAACATGAAGTAAATCAACTTTGTGTTTTTTTTTACTCACATTCTTCCAGTGGATGTTGACCATCTTTTCATGTGCCATGAAGCTGCAGTCAGGCACAGAGCACTATAAAGGAGATTGATTTGAAAAGTTAGTAATTGTTTTAATATCGTTTATCTCGCTTAATAGTTATGTTTTAATATCTACTTTTATTTTATCCATTGTTTTTTTAATGTCTGCATTGTTTTGTCTATTTATGTACAGCACTTTGTTCAGCTGTGATTGTTTTAAAGTGCTTTACAAATAAAGTTGAGTTGAGTAATTACCTTGACATGTTGTGAAACATGTTCGTCATACTTCTCCTGGTTCTTGAAGCCACGATCACAGGTGTCACAGAAGTGGGAAAACTCTGGCTCCTTCTTATTTTTCTGCTGGGTGTTACAAATAAATCACTCATTCTGATGGGGTTCTATGGTAAAAACTGCTGGCTAAGGTCATTGCTGTAATCTCTGACACTACAGTGGATAGAAAAAGTCTACACAGCCCTGTTCAACTACCAGGTTTTCGTGATGTAAGAAAATGACAGAAAGATTAGTATTTTCACAACTTCTTCCACCTTTAATGTGACCCAATGTTACCTTCTTCCCATGACTGTGAGGGCCTCCATGATTTTGCCATCCACCTCGATATCCACCTTGATGCCATTCACGACCGGAGTTTTGACCTGATCAGGATGACAAAACATCAAACATGAGCGAATTTAACGTGTGAAAGTACATTTTTGTTGCCTGCATTTGTGTGACTCACCATGTGCATAGTTCCCACGGTCTGACCCTCCTGCTTCCCAGTGATTCCACCCGACCTGGCCCCAGTGGCCCCAGCTGGGTTGCGAAGGTGCATCGGACCAGCTCCACATGCTGGGGTGGAAGCTGCTGGAGCGGGGCTGCTGTTGGTGCTGGATGGAGTTCGGAGGGGGGCAACCGAAGTCCGGCGGAGGAAAGTGTCCCGGTTCGTTCATTTTTTTCCACGCCCGAAGCCTGTCTTCGTGTCGATAGCGAAGTATTGTCGAAGTAAACTCTGGTATCTCACCGCGCAGGTCCCACATGGGAATGTTTTGCTCCGGTTTGTATGTTCGTCACTTCCGCGGAAACAGGAAACACGTTAAAAATAATAAAGTGCTTAGAAAAAGGATTTAAAAAACTGTGATAATAATTTCTTAAAATTGTGTATTTTGTACCTATCACGTTAAACTGTAACTTTGTGTAATTAGTGAACAAAATCTTTTTGAATATTGTCTCAATCGACACTGGCATATTTTGGACAACTTCTCGCGAGAACTTTTATCGCGCTCCTTGTCTGGTTGCCAAGTTGGAGAAAAGAACCCGCATCAAAATCATTTTGAATTTGGATTGAATAGTGGATCATAATAAATTTGAAAGAAAAGGTTTTTAAGCGGGATTTAATATTTTGAAAGATTATTAGTACGATTAATAATAACTATAAAAGGTACACTAAGCCTTTAAGTATGAAATCGGATCGATGAATCAGTTCTCTTTGCTCACTATGTTCGAAAATACAAACAAACGTTTACTTTACTTGAAATATTTTGGTAGTTTAAGTAACTTTGCAAATAAATAAACTATCAGCGATTCTAAATCATGTTTACGGTGTGTCCAAGAACAGATTCGATGTTTTATTTTACAATGAGGCGTGTGGTAGAAACGGATGCCGACAGAAAGGACCTGGCAACACAGCTCCCAGGCTATTATAGACATTATATACGTAGACGCCTCAAATTCTGACGCTTCCTATTGGAGCACACGTATCAGCGCGGCCGGCATCTTGGATGAGTCCCCTGTGTGCCTCCAGAATAACTCTCTGAATCTCTGCCCGATTTTCACACTGTTTGGTTTGTTACATCGGCAGGGGTGTAGCAATAATACAGGACAATGTCACACATTAAAAATAAATCAAATTATTTTTCAATCCTATTTGTGAAATGTAATCCTACGTGATCTGGTTTCAATACTGCGTCGGGTTTTTCAACCATAGAGTGCAAAAAAAAAAAACGGGCATAGTTGCTCGTTCTCCATTGACCCCGTTCGGCTCTTGAGCGAACCTTGAGTGGGGAGACCCATCCAACATGGCGGTGACGCTGGCTTACGCCTCAGCACGTAACGAGGCGTCTACGTGTATAATGTCTATGCGTGGGTGTCCCCATTAAACCTCGTGCGTTGCAGTAGCAGAAGGTTCATCGGCGTGGTGACTGTGAGGAAAACTTGGGTGCTCTCTGTAACGAGGGCGCAAAACCTTAAAAAATTGACTGAGTCGCCGCCAAAATGCTCGTTTTATTTGAGACCGCAGCTGGATATGCAATATTCAAAGTATGTATTCAACTTTTATTTCCTGACAGGTCAAGAAAGAGAGAGAATAACGCATTATGGACCGGAGTTAGCTCAAGTTAGCTTCTCCGCTATTTACCCAGGCACACGTTGGTGCAGTTTTAGCTAAGAGAATTGGCACTGAGTGATTAAAAATGATATATGTTATTGTTCTCGGTTACTGAAAGTGTAATTATAACAGTCCCAGTGTAGAAGAGCTTCTACTTAAGCATAAGCACCGCTAGCAACGTGGTGGCCTTGTAACCACGTGTGCGTGTTCAGGGCTAACCTCCAGTTCCCACAGTTTCGTGTTCATCTACTCCGTGGACTTATAGCAATTTTAACGTTTTTTTCCAAACAAGTGGCACTCAATTTCGGTGCAACTTGCGTAATTTAGGTAATTAATTTATATTTAGTCGATAGATTAGTCGATTAATCGAAAAATGAATTATTAGATTAATCGATACGAAAATAATCGATAGGGGCAGCCCTAATATTTACATGTTGTGACCTTCTAGTATGCCTGACAGTTAACACATATTTGATTTTGTGTTTCAGGTCCTCGATGAATCAAAGCTGCAACAGGTTGACAGCCTGTACAAGGAGTTCGATACTCCTGAGAAGGCAAACAAAATGTAAGCATTGAGAAAGCATGCCATCAGACAGCACATTGTCTTTTAAGTGAATGTAATACGCTGTTTTGTAGTGTACAAATCAGTATTGAGCTAAAGTGGGTGAGCAAATATCAATTAATCAGATTTTGTCTATATATTGCCAATTCACAACAGTCGTCATCCCGAGACGCTTTCCAAAGAAGAAGAGCAGGTCTAGACCGTGCTCATTGTTTGATGAAGTATCAAGACCTAACCAAATATGGGATTTGGCCCATCTCATCGAACATGAGTGACAGTGGCAAGGAAAAACTTCCTTTTAACAGGCAGAAACCTTGGGCAGGACCAGACTCATGCCAGACAAGATAGAGGAAAGGAGAGAGAGAGAGAACAAGATAGAGGGAAGGACAGAGCTGGGGTACTCCCAGGAAAAGGCTGCAGGCTGCTCTGAGCACTAATTTCAAATTTTTTCCTCCACTAGTGTGAAGTTGAAGCACTTTGAGAAGTTTCAAGATACAACCGAGGCCTTAGCAGGTAACCACGATAACATTTGTGCATATACTAGATTCAAGGTCTGTGATGCATTTCTGTGTCTGACTAAAACATGAGGCACCCTACAGTATTCGTCACTACCACTGAGACCATACCGTTAAAATTTCTTTACATTTGCATGAAGGAAAAATTGTGTTTAATTGGATGTTTAACAATACCCTTATAGGCCTTTCCAGGGTTGTACTGAATAGATTGGTATCTCTCCCTCTTAGCTGCCACCGCTCTCGTGGAAGGAAAGATTGGTAAGAGCTTGAAGAAAGTGCTCAAGAAAGTTGTCGCCAAAGAGGCTCACGAGCAGCTGGCCATCAGTGATGTGAAGCTCGGTGGAGTGATCAAAGTAAGTCGACATACATATACAGCAAGAATATTCAAACCGAGGCTTAAAACACTAGATGTGTTACTTACAAGTGGATGTTGATTTCAGGAAAAGCTGGACCTGAGCTGCGTCCACAGCCCGGCTATCGCTGAACTGATGAGATGCATCAGGAGTCAGATGGAGGGCCTCATCACTGGGCTTCCTCCTAAGGAAATTAGTGCTATGTCACTGGGGTTGGCTCACAGGTGAGTTGGCAGATACAGCGTTGCAAGAATGAGCACGACTGCTGCCGATGATTACACTTGCTGTCTGAAACCTCGTGTAGATTTCCCTCAGCATTCGTCACTACCACTGAGGCAGCAGTCTCTCAAAGCAGACAGGAAGGAAAGTCTGGGATATTCAAAGGTTAAGTCCTCTCTTTTTTCTTTTTTTTTCTCTTCAGTTTATCCCGCTACAAACTGAAGTTCAGTCCTGACAAAGTGGACACCATGATTGTGCAAGCCATCTGTAAGTCATATTTCTAAGTTAAACCGATACACTGCATGTTTTAAAGCTGGTAATAGGGGTGTAAATTGAGCACAAGTCAACAAACCCAAATAATTGTTTACCTTTGTGTCTCCAGCTCTTTTGGATGACCTGGATAAGGAGCTCAACAACTACATCATGCGGTGCAGGGAGTGGTACGGCTGGCACTTTCCTGAGCTGGGGAAAGTCGTCACAGACAACTTGGCCTACTGCAAAGCTGTCCGCAAGATTGGTAAAAAAAAGTCTAAATTATCTTTTTTTTTTTTGTTAATGGTATACTATTGATGAATAGTGCCGTGCCCCTCACACCTGATTCAAATGATCAGCTCGTTATCAAGCCATTACAGAGCTTGATAACGAGCTGATCATTTGAATCAGGTGTGTTGGAGCAGGGAAACATCCAAAACATGCAGGACAGTGGGCCTCGAGGACTGGACATGAGAACCACTGACTGAAAAGATTCGGTTCTTTTGAAAGAATTGTTCGTGAACGACACAACACTATTGATGAAGGCATTTTTGGAAATTCATAAAATGCAGAGAAACCAGTCCATGGCACCCCTGCATTGTGAATCAGCACTATCCATATATATGTCTATGCACATCTGCCTCCTGTTGAAGAGGACTACTATTATATGGCCCTTCTTATACTCTGATAGAAGCTACTTCAGTGCTAGTTTGTTGCAGATAAACAAACTTTTTTTATCATCATCCTCAACTCCAAAATTTCACACATTTCCCATAATGCAGCTCTTGGTTTACATGCATCAACCAAAGAGTAAAAGTCTCTAGTTATTTATAGGCTGAGTGTGTCCTTGTGTGTCACCAGGTGATCGTACAAATGTGGCCACCACCGATCTTTCCGAAATCCTCCCGGAGGAAATCGAAGCTGAGGTCAAGCTGGCTGCTGAGATCTCCATGGGAACAGAGGTGTCCGAACAGGACATCGGAAACATCAGCCACCTGTGTGACCAGGTATGTGACCGCTTTTCATCCTTATAAATCCACACCGGTACATATTTTATTTCTTATATTAACACTTAAATGATGTAAAGCTCTGTGACAGTGATGATGATGATGACAGTTGTCTTTTTTCCTGAAGTGTACATGTGGGTTTTCAGTCACTACCTCATCTGAACAGTCACAGATTCTGATTCCTGAAAGCCCAAAGCTGTATCTAAGATTGATATTTGTGACACCAACCTTATTTTCTCTTTTATTCCAGGTGATAGAGATCTCAGATTACCGCACACAGTTGTATGACTATTTAAAGAACAGAATGATGGCGATCGCCCCGAACCTGACAGTGATGGTGGGTGAGCTGGTTGGAGCCCGTCTCATCTCACATGCAGGTAAATTTAAAATGGAGGCAGTGTGAAAACCGTCTGAGCTATGATGATAACGACACTAAGTCACTTTCCTGAAATCGCTGATGCTTTTAAGTCACTACCTCATCTGAGCTCAAAGTTATGAGGCTCAACGGTTGCGTGCATGAAAGAGCTTCAGATTTACCCTCGGGCCTCGCTTCTGTTTTCAAGGTTCTCTCCTGAATCTGGCCAAGCATCCAGCCTCCACAGTGCAGATCCTGGGAGCGGAGAAGGCTCTGTTCAGAGCCCTGAAGACCCGCAAAGACACGCCCAAGTACGGCCTCATCTACCACGCCTCCCTGGTGGGCCAGACTGCAGCCAAGAACAAGGGCAAGGTACATTCAGGACGAGTCGTGGCCCAAATCTGTTCATTAAAAGTCAAATGGCTCAAAAGCTGACCCGATCTTTGTCCTCTGTAATGTGTCCAGATCTCCAGAATGCTGGCAGCTAAGTCTGCTCTGGCTATCCGCTACGATGCCCTGGGAGAGGACACCAACGCAGAAATGGGCGTAGAGAACCGTGCCAAGCTGGAGGCCAGGCTGCGCCAGCTGGAGGAGAAGGGGGTTAGTACAACAACAGACGTGTATACAGTAAAACCATCATAGCACTATTTGAAGAAAGCAGTTGAAGAAATTAAGACTTCATATTTACTGATTTCTACTGCGGTACAAGAAGAACACTTAAATCGTGTAACAAAATGATTTGGCTTAATTTGCACTGTCAAAACCTTCATTTTAAAGACATCATTTTTAACTCGAATGGGTCAGGAAAATCTGCTATAAATTCTGCTGTTTTAAGATTTTCTCCTTTCTCCTCAGATCCGAAGAATCAGTGGTACAGGCAAAGCAATGGCAAAGGCAGACAAATATCAACACAAGAGGTGAGTATTCACAAAGTGCTCATTTTACAGGAAATAACACATGCATACAAAGGTGTTTACACTCTTTATTTTCTCTTTACAGTGAAGTCAAAATATACGATCCATCAGGTGATTCCACTATTCCTTCCACGTCAAAAAAGAGGAAGTTTGAGGAGGTCAAGGAAGAGGAGGAGGAGGCTGGTGAAGAGCCTGTAACGCCGGTGGTCAAATCCAAAAAGCCCAAAAAAGAGCCGGTAGCAGAAGGTAGGCAGAGTAAACATGAAGTTAATGTGTAAAATAAAACATGGAGGAGGTTATGATACTCAATCCGCTTTTTTTTCCCCTCCCATTCAGTTGAAGAAGAAGAAGAAGCACCAGCAGAGGAGACTCCCAAGAAAAAGAAGAAGAAGAAGAAGGACAAGAAAGCAGAGGCGGAGGCTGAGGAAGAACAACCAAAAGCAGAGGAGGCGGAGGAGATGGAGGTAGCAGCAACAGAGGTACGAGTTGATCTGGAAGTTTTATTCGAAGTTTACAAGTGTAAAACTGTTTATTTTAGCGCTGATATATCCGGCTTTTGTCTCCACAGTCGAGCGAAAAGAAGAAAAAGAAGAAGAAAAAGAAGGTGAAGGAAGAAGAGGAAGGAGATGAGTGAAAAGAAAAGTGAATGGTGTACATATTTCCAGTTTTAGTTTTTATATTTTTATTTGTCTTATGCATTTTACATGGAATTAGGGCAGTGCTGTACTGAGTGCCTGTTTCCGGACTTTAAATAAGAGTTATTTCTCGAGAAACATCCATGATAGACCTCTTTTTTTTTTTTTTTTTAAATTACTGAGAGTAAGGAAGGGTCTCTGTTATGAATTTGGGATTGTGAGTTTTTATGTTGATTATATGTGATCATACCCACACCGGACAAAATTCAGCACAACAGCAGAATTCTGTGTCTCAGTGTATCGTCTGACTGAACATCTGCCCTGGTGAAATAAAATATCGTTTGCCTTAATGATGTGTTGTGGTTTTATACTCTAAAGATGTCAGACCTGATTTGGGACAGTGTGCTACATGACATGAACAAAGGTCCACTGCTTTGACTTTAACAAGATAGTCAAAATACTGATTGGTAACAGAGTTTTTAACCTCTGCAAAGGTTTTTATCTCTTTAAAACAACTCTGGAACTGAAAGCTAAAGCTAGTTTCCAAAAATCTGCCATTTTTTGGAATTATTTCAGAATTATGCGATTTTTTTTCTTGACCCTTTTTTTTCTGTGTAAAGTATAATTATATAGATTAATGAGAAAATTTCTAGTGTAATAAAATTTACTGTTCTGAATTAACATTTCCTGTAACTCAGGAATACAACAGAATCTTCGTGTTTTTTTCGTCAAGTAAATGCAATATGCTTATGCTTTATATATGTGTGTGTGTGTTTGTACAGGTGCATCTCATTAAATTAGACAATCAAAAATTTGATTTATAAGTAATTTAATAGACCTTTTTCGCAGTACGCAGAATGTAGCATTCCGCTCACTTACGGTTTTAGCGTGTGGTGGAGCCACTTAGCATCGCCCATATACGGCCATTCATTTTTCACGATAGCTCGCGACTCGTTTTTTTGAAAGGAATTATGGGAATTATGTGTAATAGGCCTGGAAATTTTCTGATGATGGTAACCATTGCTCTTCAGTAATGACCTATGAAACATAATTCCCGAAAAGTAAAGTACAAAATCCGGACAGTATTATGAAGAACAGGAGTTAGTAAAACAGCACAAAGCATAAATTTTTACTTTACCTTTCCAAAAAACGAGTCGCAAGCTTGTTAATATCGTACGGTGAAAAAGGTCTATTCTAAAAGTGAAGATCAAATTCATTAGACACAGTTAGATATACAGTATTTCAAGAGATTATTTCTTTTCATTTTGATGATTATAACTTCAAACTAATCAAACCCCCAAATTCAGTATCTCAGGAAATTAGAGTATTTCTTAATGCCAATAGAATAAAAAATTAAAAAGTGATTTTCAACACAGAAATGTTGGACTACTTAAAAGTATGAAGTCCAGGAGCAAAAAGTACCAAGATAAAAGCACGCAGAGGGCGTAACCACAATAAGGATTGAACCCACTGACTCATGTGGACACACGAGACGATCATGTTTTTTTCATATATCACTGTACTTTGTAGACTCTAGACCTTCAAAATTTACCAAGAAGTGGGCAAGGTGGGACTCGAACCTACAACCTGGAGTCCCAGTCAGTGTTCTTATCCTCTGAGTCACTCGGACACACAGGATTATACCACTTGTTTCCTCTTTCACTTTCCTGTCTAGACACTAGACTTCAAAATTCACCTTGTCCAGAAAAAGGCTCGAACACACCACCTCAGGAGTACCAGTCAGTCTCCTTATCCCATGAGCAATGTGGACACACAAGAGAAATGTGGTTTTTTTTTTCACATATCGCTGTCCTTTGTGAACTCAAGACTTTAAAATTCACCTAAAACTAGGTAAGGTAGGACTCAAACCTACGACCTCAGGAGTTCCAGTCAGTGTTCTTATCCTCTGAGCCACTTGGACATACAGGGTGATACCATTTGTTTCCTCTTTCACTTTCCTGTCTAGACACTAGACTTCAACATTCACCTTGTCCAGAAAAAGGCTGGAACACACCACCTCAGGAGTACCAGTCAGTCTCCTTATCCCGTGAGCCATGTGGACACACAAGAGAAATGTGTTTTTTTTTTTCACATATCGCTGTCCTTTGTGGACTCAAGACTTTAAAATTCACCTAAAACTAGGTAAAGTAGGACTCGAACCTACGACCGTAGGAGTCCCAGTCAGTGTTCTTATCCTCTGAGCCACTTGGACACACAGGATTATACCGCTTGTTTCCTCTTTCACTTTCCTGTCTAGACACTAGACTGCAAAATTCACCTTGTCCGGAAAAAGGCTCGAACACACCACCTCAGGAGTACCAGTGAGTCTCCTTATCCCGTGAGCCATGTGGACACACAAGAGAAATGTGTTTTTTTTTTTTCCACATATCGCTGTCCTTTGTGGACTCAAGACTTTAAAATTCACCTAAAACTAGGTAAGGTAGGACTCGAACCTACGACCTCAGGAGTTCCAGTCAGTGTTCTTATCCTCTGAGGCACTTGGACATACAGGGTGATACCATTTGTTTCCTCTTTCACTTTCCTGTCTAGACACTAGACTTCAACATTCACCTTGTCCTGAAAAAGACTCGAACACACCACCTCAGGATTACCAGTCAGTCTCCTTATCCTGTGAGCCATGTGGACACACAAGAGAAATGTGTTTTTTTTTTCACATATCGCTGTCCTTTGTGGACTCAAGACTTTAAAATTCACCTAAAACTAGGTAAGGTAGGACTCGAACCTACGACCTTAGGAGTCCCAGTCAGTGTTCTTATCCTCTGAGCCACTTGGACACACAGGAGTATACCATTTGCTTCCTCTTTCACTTTCCTGTCTAGACACTAGACTTCAAAATTCACCCTGTCCGGAAAAAGGCTGGAACACACCACCTCAGGAGTACCAGTCAGTCTCCTTATCCCGTGAGCCATGTGGACACACAAGAGAAATGTGTTTTTTTTTTTCACATATCGCTGTCCTTTGTGGACTCAAGACTTTAAAATTCACCTAAAACTAGGTAAGGTAGGACTTGAACCTACGACCTTAGGAGTCCCAGTCAGTGTTCTTATCCTCTGAGCCACTTGGACACACAAGAGAACTGTGTTTTTTTTTCACATATCGCTGTCCTTTGTGGACTCAAGACTTTAGAATTCACCTAAAACTAGGTAAGGTAGGACTCGAACCTATGACCTCAGGAGTTCCAGTCAGTCTCCTTATCCTGTGAGCCATGTGGACACACAAGAGAATTGGGTTCTTTTTTCACATATCGCTGTCCTTTGTGGACTCAAGACTTTCTCCTAGAACTGGACAGGGTAAGACTTGAACCCACGATCTCAGCAGTACCAGTGAGTCTCCTTATCCCCTGAGCCATGTGGACACAGAAGACCATCATGTTTTGTTTTTTTCATATGTCACTGTCCTTTTTGGACACTAGATTTCAAAATTCACTTAGAACTGGGAAAGGTTGGACTCGAACCTATGACCTCAGGAATCCCAGTCAGTGTTCTTATCCTGTGAGCCACTTGGAGACACAGGATTATACCATTTGTTTCCTCTTTCACTTTCCTGTCTAGACACTAGACTTCAAAATTCACCTTGTCCCGAAAAAGGCTTGAACACACCGCCTCATAGTGGGGTCTATTAACTTGAAAAATGGCCAAATTGTTATGCGGTGGATAAAAGCACCAAATTTGGTACACACATTCTTTAGGGTGTATCTCATCATCTCAGAAGGGGTGCCCAAAAATGCATGAGTGAAAATGGCTCAAATGGAGGTCGTATACCTGACCCAGTACAAAAGTCTCTCGTTGATTTATTTAGCAGGAAAAAGGGAGTCGATCTCTGCTGCTCTGAAACCACATCTGAGTCCAAAAACAAAGACAAAGAATAACTTCATACTGCAAAACCAAGTGTGACGCCTGTCAGGAAACCTTATAAATCACAGCATGAAGATGGCGGGGGGTTTTAGTGTCGGACATCCTGAATTGGCTCGTCCCCAGTCTGCCGTGAAATTGGTTGAATATTCAGAGATTTCTGAGTTTATGTCAAAATTAAATCAGATCAAATTGCTGCAAAAGCTTTGTAGTAACAACTAAACTTTTACGACCAGCAGAACTCACTTATTTTTCCTTATAAAATAAATAATTTGGTTGTGCTCGTTTTTGACATGATATGGCCTTGTTGGAAATCAGATACCCCGCCATTTCTCTGCTGAAAAGCTGCCGTTTCCATCTTTTAAAGTGCGTCTTAAATGCAGGTTCTTGAACATACTGAATAAACTCGTTTTCTTTTCCTTCCCAGCCGCCTGCGGTCTGTGAGGACAAGCAGCAGCAGCAGGAGAGCGCCATGGAGGAACTGAAAGGCATCCTGGTAAAAGGATCTAACGTCAGCTTTGATAGAGAGGTGTGGTCTGAGGGGACGGTCTGCTTCCAGATGAGTTTAAAACTCCATACAGGAGCTTTAATAAGTTAATATTATTGCCTTTTAGCTCTTTAAACACCATAACGGCGCTGTCAGGATATTACTGTATCCACAGAAACCATCTTTCCATTACACTGGCGACATGAAACTGCATTCGCCACATTTCAGAAGTAGCGCGCTTCAAAATAAAAGCTCATATCACAGGACAGAATAAAATACCAAAATAAAAGCATGACAAACAAATGTTAAATAATGTCTTCAGTCAGAGAGCTGATGATGGATCATAAATCTGAATATTTTTAGACATGAATAAAAACATGCTCCACTCTCGGTTTTACTGATGGAGATGTTTTATTTATCGTCAAGTTTTCCATGACAGGAAAATCTGATATTATGTCAGCCCTACCAGGGGTCTCACCTCCATCGATAAATCCAGCTGCAGGTGCAAGAACAAGTAAATTCATTAGTTAAGATAGGTCAGATTATCCAGGTTTACACAACCTTTAACATGTGGATAATAAATAATCTTAATCTTAATCTGTGTTGGCGGACAGTCAAGTCTCTGCAGTGACGGTTGTGTTTTCCCGCAGGAGACTGTGAAGCGCAGTCCCAGCCGAGGATCTCAGGAGTCAGGGCCGTCACCGCCTGGGAAGAAGGACAGCGAGCTGGAGGTCATCCTGAGACGACGGCGTAACAAGGCGGGAGAGGCTGGCTCTGGAGGTAAACACAGAGACAGAGGACGATAAAAGCCTCATGGTCTCATCTTTTTTTCTTTTTGTTTTGAACTAAATCTGGTTTTTATCTTTACAACAACGAAAACTAAAGTGGTTTCATGAACATTTTTGGAGTTTTAATCTACCCCTTAAAGTTGTAAAAATGTGATGTCAAATCACTGATTCACTTAAAATTAAGACAATATTCCTTTACAGGAACAAGACTGGCATTTGGAGACCTTCGGAGGACTTCCTGGTGGAGTTGCCAAATGTCCAAAACAAAAAAAAAAAAACCTCAATGTTGTCCTGATCCTCTGCTGTAGTTTTGTCAGCTGTTTATTTCTAATGTTTTTGATTGTTGTAGCAGAGCGGATCAGTTGTCTCTAAATCTATAATGTTTGGTTCGGTGATTCGATGAACGAATCTTCAGAACGAATCTTGTTGGTGAACTGATTCTAGTGATTCAGTACATTTAAAAGAACTGCAGTGCCCATCAATACTGTGGGGCTGTATATGAAAATGTAAAATGACGGAATAACTCAGCCTGTGGAGGGCAGCATTACGCTCCTTTCGTAAATTTATAAGAGGAAAGAAGAAGAACAGGCATTACAGGTCGAGCACTGATACTTCTCAACAGTCAATCGCTACATCTGTGCTCCATTGAAGTGCCTTGCTGTTGTACCACATGGCATGCCAGACGAGCTCCATGAGACACTCAGATGTGTTATGAAGGAAAAGATTAACTCTTGAGCTATATCTCTCATTTAGTACACCTATTTTAAATCGAAGATAGAGATATAAAGAGATCAAGATGTCGCAGTTACAAGCGCGGTTCTTCACGGAAAACAAAAAGTAAGTTTTTCCCTTTAAACGCAACACTAGCTGGATTGCTAACTACCTGTAACACAGATTAAACAGAAAGGAATTGGTGTTTATGGACACTATGCCTTTTTATCCATAATAAGTGTAGGGTTTGGGCTAGCCCCCGACATTGTCAATAGCTTCTGGTTAGCGTTTTAATGTTTTTAGCTTGTTGTTGTGGCTTGCTAATGCTAACTGCTCCTTCATTATGATGAACCAATTTTCCTACATGCATTTTGACGAGTTCAGCTGGTATTAAATATACTAGTAATGTCTGTCTTTATAGGTATGTAGTAGATGATGTCCCATTCTCCATCCCTGCTGCGTCAGAGGTGCAGGACCTCAGCAATGTCATCAACAAGCTGCTGGAAGCCAAAAATGGTAAAATCACACTTTGACTCTCAGGAACCCTTTTCAGTCTGTAATATTAACAGTCCGCCTGGTCATTATTCTTTTTTAGCTGTAAATGTGTCAAAAAGTGGCTTTTTCAGGTTAAGTTCAACTTTGAAAATCTCTCAAGTATTTTACATTTTTAACATGTTATATATATTTAAACAGTGTGAAATAACAATAAAAAAAGAAAACGGATTTGAATTTTTAGAAAGTTTTGTATTTGTGAACACTTAAGATGTACAGGTCCAAAGATTTTGAGATGACAAAAACATTATTTGAACTATAATACAACAACTCAAGAAGATTTGTTTTCCTGGAACCTTCTTTTTACCTGTTACTGCTTGAAAAAGTCTACTAATAACCAGGCGTTTTTTAGGAATGAAACTCCCTGAGGCAAATCCTATCTAATTGAAGGCAAAGTCCAACTCGACACTCTTCACACTTCCAGGGAATGGATTGTTTTCTCCCCTGGCTGGCTCTCTGCCTTTTCTCCATTGATTGCCTGCTTGCTAGAATAGAATAGAAAACTTCAAACTTCAAACTTCAAAACTTCAATAGAATATTCCTTTATTGATCCCCCATGGGGGAAATTTTTTGGTCACAGCAGCATCACAGACAAAAATAGTGCAAAAATGCAGTTATAAAAAATAAAGATTCTTATATTAAGAACTTAAATAAATGTAATAATTAAGAAAAAAATTAGAAAAAGGGAGAAGAAAAATAAAACTATCTATAATATACACAATTTAAATGCTAGAAGTGGTGGTGTAAATCCAGTTATTATTACAGTTCGTTGTAAAGTCTTATTGCAGAAGGGAGGAATGACCTGCGGTAGCGCTCCGTCTTGCAAGGTGGAAGTCTCAGTCTGCTGCTGAAGGAGCTGCTTAAAGTCCCCACAGTCTGGTGCAGTGGGTGAGAGGGATTGTCCATGATGGATACAGGCTTTGTTAACATCCTCCTCTCACCCACCTCCTCCAGGGAGTCCAAAGAACAGTCCAGGACAGAACTGGCCCTCCTGACCAGTCTGTTCAGTCTCTTCCTGTCCCTCTCGGTGCTCCCTGCCCCCCAGCAGACCACTGCATAGAAAAGTGCAAATGCTACCACAGAGTGGGGAGCTTGGGCGGTGGAGTGAGTGGCACACCAAGCAGCTCGGTACACAGCTTCTCCTGGAAAGTCTGGCGTGTCATGGGCTTCCTCTTCTGTGTCACGCAGATTTCTTTGTGGAGGACATAGCTGTTTGTTGCAGCTATATCCACAAGGTGTTGAAACACAGTCATGGGCCATCTTCTGGTCTTCCTGTGGACAGAGTTGGTGCCCAACATCTAGTCAGAGGTGTCCACCCCTCCCATGTACCTGTTGGATGAGGGTCAGGGTCTGCCTCTGTCTTCCAGGCCTCCTGCAGTTGTGGTGAATGACATGCAGAAGCATCACCAGCAGCATCAGGACCACCACTGCTGCTGCTGTGCCGCCTGCGTTGGCCACAGACCAGACTCCGTCCCCGCCTTGTCCTTTTTGATGACCCCTCATCAGAAGAATCTCTAAAAATATATTGAAGATATAATAATCATAAATAAAAGTATTTATGTATAAAATTATGACTTCAAATAATGATATCATTATATTAGAACAAAATTTGGGAATAAATATGTAGAGTATGCAAACTATTTACTTACTGTGTTTGGGATGGAGACACACCCCCTGCCTCCTCCACAAATTGAGCTGGAAGTCAAGAACACGGCACAAAACACGGCAAAACGATACTCAAAACTTATAAAATGAACTCTAACACTATGATAAACAACAATAAATATAGTATATACAACGATTAATATAATATATATATAAAGATAAACAGCTAAATTGCCTCTAAAACTCCGCTAAATATCCGCTAAATCTCTCAGATCTGCACTCTCTCTGCTCCAACGTCTCCCTCTCGTCATCTCTTGATCCGCCTCTACCGTAATGTATCATATATCAGCGCAAAGCTTAGATTCTCAGCTTTCAGAACCCATTGGAGTTATGTCGATAGCGCAAATGGTTCAAGAGTTACGGTACCAAAAATGTACCTCTTACTTACCTCACTGTCTCAGTTATACTTCAAAGTTTACAGCTTTTGCTTCTCTTGGTATTATTCCTGCAGCATCTCACACCACAGTGGAGTTTGACTTTCTGGTCAGGGGTCTGTTTCTGCGAACACAACTCTCCTCTCACATGGAAACAGAAGGAATATCTACGGTAAGACAAGTTTAGATAATTAAAAATATATTTATGCTGGATTACTTTGGGGCATATCTGATCATCTGTGGACCTGAGGGTGACACCTAATGTTCATTTTTTTCAGTAAATTGAAGACCTACCTTTTTAGTCTGGCTTTTAGTTGAATTTTGTTTTAATCTTTTAATCTGCATTATGTGATTTTTACTCGACTATAGTCCTAGAGTAACTATTTTGTGTTTTATTGCCTCTTTTTTAATTTACTTTTTATTATTGTTTGATTTCCTTTTAACATTTTATCACCTTTTATTATATTTCAAATACAACTTTATTTGTATGGCACTTTTCATACAAAAAAATGCAATTCAAAGTGGTTCACAGAGGCCGAAAACGACGCAACCCTCACACCCACAAAACAGAGCCACACAAGAGCCACACACCATGTGACTCTACTGTATGTAAAATTGGCAGTCTGCCTCCTTGCTAGGTCAAGTTAGCACAGCGCCCTCTGCTGGGCTACAAATCCTGCCTCTGCCAGCAAAACTTATGGGACTGTGGACAAACTTTAGAAATTTATTACACAGAACATAATTTTTTCTCCCCCCTGCTTGTGATGTTGACATGTAGTTACAGTCAGACTGGGTTGTGCTCAAGTCCTCTTTTTTTTTAAAAGTTATTAGGGGGTTCATGTTTTCTTTGATTGACACCTGATACAGCCTATGGGCGTTCAGGGATTGCATACCTCACCTGGGGGGATACGCTGTTTGAGCCGAGCGTCATCACCATAGATATAAAGAAAGACTAGATAGCTTACCTACGCAGTGAGCCAATGGGGACTGACGTCGTCATCTTACCATCTTACCTCGGGGCTGCTGGCCCACTGATAACATAAATGTCTATGGTGCATGTACTGTTTCAATGACCATATCCTGCTCAAACTTCAACTGATTTTCAAACGGATTGGTTTGTTATAAACGCCAGAGATGTAGTTATGTTTCTGCATATTTACGGATAATTATAACCATGGACTTTCATATTGAATTAAGAAGGAGATAGCAGAGCAATACCTGCCATAGCTGCACACATACACACACAGTGAAATTAAATTGTCAGTGTTTTTTATATTAAACATTTAATAGTTCGATATTTTATAGTTCTATTTAATCTGTATTTTTATTTATTTTATTTCTTTGTTTCAAAGTATTGAAGCTCTTCCTGTCCAGTTGCCAAGAAACCTTTTTATTATGTGCTTTGACATGTGTGTGTGTGTTTCAGGAAGATGTTGTGGAAATAGAGTATGTGGAGCGGCTCACAGCCCCAGAACCAGAGGAGTGTATGATGCATGATGACTGGATCAGCTCAGTTGCTGCAGACTCTGAATGGTTAGATTACTTTTTATCACCACACGTTTGCAAAGTTGCCATTAATTCTCTCATAATTCGTTTTTTATTAAATTGTATTTTTTTTGCAGGATTCTCACAGGCTCATATGATAAGACCGCAAGGATCTGGTCCGTGGAGGGCAAAGCAGTGATGACGGTGGCCGGACACTCCGATGTGGTCAAAGATGTGGCTTGGGTCAAAAGAGGTAAGCCATAGGAAATAGAAATAGTCAGCGTACACTCAGATCATAATTTAGACAGTCCTCCTGACTTCATCCATCTCCAGACGGTCTGACCTCGCTGCTGCTGACGGCCTCCCTGGACCAAACTCTGCTGCTGTGGGAGTGGAACTCGGAGAGGAACAAAGTGAAGGCCAGACACTGCTGTCGGGGGCACACAGGAAGCGTCGACACCGTCGCAACAGACCCCACAGGCTCAAAGGTAAAGAAGGAAGGAGAGAAAAGAAAATAAACAAGCAATCGGATAAAGAAAAGCGACTGAAGGGCTATGACGAGATGAATTTGAGCACTTGTGTTTCCTCCACACAGTTCTGCAGCGGCTCCTGGGACAAAATGTTAAAGATCTGGTCAGCAGGTAGGTCACTCTCAGGGATTATCGTAACTTTGGCATGGCAGAATAGAGAAAAGGAGGTTAAAGCTCTGTTATAACCTTTTTCTGGTGCTGTCAGTCCCCACAGACGAGGCAGACGAGGTGGAAGAGCCTGGCGACCGACCGAGGAAGAAACAGAAGACCCAACAGCTAGGCCTCACCAGGGTACGTGGTCCTAACACGATCATACGAAACAGGGTGTGCAGGCTTGCATGTTAAATGTGTGCCTCATATTTTCTGACTCCAACACAGACTCCTCTAATGACGCTATCTGGACACAACGAGGCGGTGTCCTCCGTCCTGTGGTGCGACAGCGAAGAAGTTTGCAGCGCATCGTGGGACCACACCATCCGTATGTGGGATGTGGAGACCGGAGAAATGAAGACGACGCTGGTAAGGAATAGGTTTGAAGTCTGGTGTTTTAGCAGATTTGTTTCAGAATCGGTTGAAGAATCTGAAGTCCTAAAAAACAACACCATGACTCTGTGGTGGAAGTCGCCGCATGGACTCTGAAAACCATCATACGTGAACACATTGCAGACTTATCTTGTTGTACTCTCCCCACAGACGGGCAGTAAAGTGTTTAACTGTATATCCTACTCGCCGCTGTGTCGCCGGCTGGCCTCAGGCAGCACCGACAGACACATCCGGCTGTGGGACCCTCGCACCAAAGGTACCACTGCGTGCTCTCCTCTTCTAAATCTAAATCTCTTTTCTTCTCTATCTCCGCTCACAAACATCTCCTTCTCCTCATTTGCAGACGGGTCGCTGGTGCTGCTCTCTCTGACTTCTCACACCGGCTGGGTCACAGCGGTAAAGTGGGCACCTTCACACGAACACCAGCTGGTCTCTGGTTCCCTTGACAACCTGGTTAAACTTTGGGACACCAGAAGGTAAAGCATGAAGTCATACATGTTTTTTTAGCTTTGTGTTTTTTTTGTTGTTGTAAGAATAAAGTGAACTTATTGCTTTCATGTGTCGCAGCTGTAAGGCTCCTCTGTACGACCTGGCGGCCCATGAGGACAAAGTATTTTGTGTGGACTGGACGGAAAGTGGGGTAAGACTTTGTTAACATTCACAACTCTAAATAAGAGCTTTCACTGCTTCAGTACGAGAAGAGGAAAACACAGTACAACAAAACTGACCTCCTTTCTCTTTTGTCTGTCTCCTGTTTTCAGCTGATGTTGAGTGGAGGCGCAGATAACAAGCTGTACACCTACAGATCCTCAGCCTGTCAGATGGATGTAGGGGCATAGGCTCCACAGTCGACACCAACCCCAGAAAGTTACCTCATCTATCATCACAGAGACAAAATAGACAGATTAAAATACACAAAATCAGTGTTTGAGTTTTAAAATGAGACAAATGGTTCCTGCTTTGTCCTTTACCCTTATGGTTTATACTCCACCTCCTTTTTTTTCTACACATGTTCGAGGATCGTTGTTGTTTTCCCTGTATCCTAAGAAAACTTTAAGTTAATTTTGTCTCCTCTCTTAACGTTTGTTTTATGTGTGCCTGTTGGAAATGTTTGATATTTGATAGTGGCTGAGATAACATGAAAGTTTCCAAAAATGACTCAGTAAAAATCTAAAAAAATAATAATTGATTATTGACGTTCAGAAAAAGATTTTCTACCAGTATATGTGAATTTACCTCTGACACTCTATGCCTGTATGACTGTCTCCATGATCCTCAGACCCTCAGGTGGTCCCACATTAAAAACTCTGTAGAGGAAATCACCGCATGTGCATCTCAGCAGTCATTCTGGACAACCTTCACACACAAATAACTTCCTTGTATATTTTAGTTTTACAAAGAAAACCAGTAGACTTGAACAAAAACGGACTCTTTTCCTCCTCAGACTGGTTTTACCAAAGACAAAGACAAAAGAAGAGCTCTCACTCGGATTGATTTTGTTGGTTCATAGTGGAGTGAAATAAATGTCCACTGTAAACTTTTCTAAGTTTCCATTCATAAAATCTCTTATTTGACCAGGTTTGTCCCATTGAGATGTGAGGACCTCATTTGTAAGGGAGACCTGACCAAGAATGGCAGCAATGTGTAATCCTTTAACTAAGATCAATACGGAGGAGATGTATCTTTCCAAGAATGTCTTTGTAAATGAAAACGTACCAATGACCAAGCCGATGCTTAGCACCTTAACAATGAGGTAGTTAACTACCAAGGGTGAAATAAGGTGGTTCTACATGTCGATGACAAACACGATGCACTCTAACCTTCCACAAAATGAAAAATAATATTGTAAAATAAGGAAGGAGAAGAACTTCATTGATCCCTGAAGGGAATCAATACAGGAATAGCTGATAAAACAACAAAAATCCATCATTACGAATATTATTTCTAAAAATGAAATGTTCCCAAAAATACTGAAATAAGCATATTTTACTCATTGCAAGCACCATTAATTACTAAATAGATTATGAAATTAACGAAAAAAAACGCGTTGTTGAAGCTTACCGTACTTCTCTAGTCCCACTTCCACCTCTCTGAGCGGCTCATCTTGTTCAGAGACGATCTCTGGTGTGGCCTGTTCAGCAGCGCCCCCGTGTGTTAAAATGGCGCCTCCGCTCCTTTGCATATCCTGTTTCTCTGAGTCAGACGATGACGGCCATCGGGAGAGGAGGCTAGCGTTGATGCTCGGACAGCTGGACGGAAACAACAGAAAGGTAAAGGTTCTTCGCCCTCTTTTAATACAAAACACGACTAAAACGAAAGAAAAAGATTCGTGTAATTAAAAGTTAAGACGGGTTTCAGCTCGAGCTTGGATACTTGATGCTGTAAGCTAAACTGCTGCTAGCACCAAAGCTCCTTCTTTGACGTTTCCTTGCTTGTCTCTTCCACACTTGTGTCCCTTTTTTTTCATTAATATCCATTATAAATAAATACCACATTGACTCATATATTTCATATGTATATCAGTGTCATTGAGGTGTCATTTGTTGTAACTAAACACCTGCTCGACAGCCAGCTGGCTCTCTTTTCTCCTGACTCCTGGAAGTCGCAGGTGTCTGATCCCAGCTCCAAGAACCATATTAGATTAGCTTTTTAGCCTTTAGCTGTGTTTGTTTTGGTCCAGGCACAGATAAACGTCAATGATTACCTCTTATAATCAGATTATAAAGCAGAAGAGGACCACTTGTCACCTTTGTTTTTATGCTTTCTTGTTCTACATCCCTGTGAAATCCAACAGGAAAACCAGGAGGAGCAAGTTTTTGAACATTTTGTCTCCCATTTGCATTAAAACTAATACATATACAAACAGTTTTTAAATGTGTACTATTTAGAATGAATAATGTTCTCTGTGTTGTGTCTTTAGATCAGAAAAAAAGCTGGATTCCCATGATGGACGGGTATGTATACAAATCCTATATCTACAAAACCCAATTCCACTGAAGTTGGGAAGTTAGAATTTCATGGCAGCAACACGTGACAAAGAAGTTGGTAAAGGTGGCAAAAAACACTGAGAAATTTGAGGAATGCTCATCAAACATCTATTTGTAACATCCCACAGGTGAGCAGGTCAATTGGGAACAGGTGGGTGTCATGATTGGGTATAAAAGCAGCTTTCCCAAAAATTCTCAGTCATTCACAAGCAAGGATGGGGCGAGGTTCACCGCTTTGTGAACAACTGCGTGAGCAAATAGTCGAACAGTTCGGACAATTGCAAGGAATTGAAGGATTTCAACATCTACGGTCCATAATATCATCAAAAGGTTCAGGATATCACCACATGGGCTCAGGAACACTTCAGCAAACCACTGTCAGTAAATACAGTTCGTTGCTACATCTGTAGGTGCAAGTTAAAACTCTACTGTGCAAAGAGAAAGCCATTTATCAACAACATCCAGAAACGCCGCCGGCTTCTCTGGGCCCGAGCTCATCTAAGATGGACTGATGCAAAGTGGAAAAGTGTTCTGTGGTCTGACGAGTCCACATGTCAGATTGTTTTTGGAAATAGTGGACGTCGTGACCTCTGGGCCAAAGAGGAAAAGAACCATGCGGACTGTTATTGACGTGAAGTTCAAAAGCCAGCATCTGTGATGGTATGGGGGTGAATTAGTGCCCAAGACATGGGTAACTTACACATCTGTGAAGGCAACATTAATGCTGAAAGGTACAAAAAGGTTTTGGAGCAACATCTGCTGCCATCCAAGCAACGTCTTTTTAATGGACGCTCTTCCTGCTTATTTCAGCAAGACAATGCCAAGACACATTCTGCATGTGTTAAAGAGTGCGGGTACTCGACTGGCGTGCCAACAGTCCACACTTGTCTCCCATTGAAGCGTAAAATACGACAACGGAGACCCCGGACTGTTGAGCAACTGAAGCTGTACATCAAGCAAGAATGGGAAAGAATTCCACCTTCAAAGCTTCAACAATTCGTCTCCTCAGTTCCCAAACGTTTATTGAGTGTTGTTAAAAGGAAAGGTGGTGTAACACAGTGGTAAACACGCCCCTGTCCCAACTACTTTGTCATGTGTTGCAGCCATGAAATTCTGAGTTTATTATCATTTGAACATTAAATATCTTGTCTTTGTAGTGTATCCACAATTTCCCACCTTCATTGGAATTGCGTTTTGTAATATTTTGATAATTTCATCAGCGTAAAAATCTGAAGGTTGTGTCCCTGAAGCGTCATACAGCGATTTCCTTTTGTCCGCAGGTTCCAAGGAGACATGCTGAGCGGCGGCCGGACCGTGCTCGGCGAGGACAGCTCGGTGATGGCCCGCATGCAGAAGAAATTCTGGAAGACGAAACAGGTCTTCATTAAAGCCACGGGGAAGAAAGAGGACGAGTACGTGGTGGCCTCGGATGCTGATCTGGATGCAAAGCTTGAGGTATTTCTGAATGTCGGAGTCTTACATTTTATTTTTATTTATTTCTACATCAGGCGGATTGTTATTGTTAAAGCCAGTGGATGTTCACAGGTGGTGTGGACTCATCAGTCTCACAGTTAATGGTCTCGTCCTGTCAGGAGCATCTCTTTAACGCTGGGGGGCTTTTGGCTCTGGGGCTGCAGCTGGATACATCTCTTAAAGTTTGACTCAACTAAACAAACTGTTTTGAGTCTTTATGTTCCATATTTGCTTAAATAAACTGGAAAAGCTCTAGTATTTTTAAGCTTTAACCTCTCTTCTCTCACTCTTTTAATCTTGTCCGCTCTTCACTGTTGTGATGACGCGCAAGATGTCTCACACCTGTGAAAAAGATGTCAATGATGGGACGCTCTGTCCTTGCACTTCTCACTCGTTACTCACTGCCGTGGTAGACAAGAGTGGACACGTGTAATTGGCCGAAACCCGGCTGGCACTTCGTTATGACAGGCTGTCTGATGGTGCGGTCCTGTGAGAGGGAGACGTGGTCGAGTTTCAGCGAGCCGTTAAGGAGACACTGTGAGGCTTTTGTTTGCTCTGGAACAAGATCAGGCCTCTTGCGTTGTGTCCCGCTGCTCTCTGTGTGCGTCTCTGCTGTTAGACTGAGAAGTCAGAGGAGACGGGGAAAGTGATAATGGGCTCAAAATGGACGAAGGCTTTTGTGAATTTCATCCTGACTGTGTGCCTTTTGTGGAGGGACCCAGAACCAGATTAGGAGCCTTGAAGCTAACCTGGTTATATCTCAGAATTGCTTCAGTGCTCGTTCAGATTTCATCTCTGCAGCTTTTGCTTTATTGCATGTAAACCTCTTTGAATAAAAATCTGACCAAAATTGAATTTAAACTCTTTTTCTTATACTTTCTGTAAAAGTCATGATGAGGGTTCGATTGTCGATCAATCGGACGCTAAGACAGGAAAACATTAGTGACATTCACACAGCGGGGATGAGACTCGGACAGGTGTTTAGCTGCTGCTGAGGCAGACAGAATGGAGGCAGGGACTGTTTATTCTGCTGTTAATCAGTCACTACACATGCTCATTTCAGCTCCGTTACTGCCTCAAGACGAGCAGCAGGAGCAGACTTAAAGTGTTTGCAGTTAAAGCTGCTGCAGAGGGAAAAGTCTTGGTATACCTCTATGGTGTCCAATATTTATGTTTCCAGACTATATTACCACATTTCTAAAAAACTGTTTTCTAAAATAGAAAAGTCGGTATTTCCAAGAATAATTCAAAATGTAGGATATGGAAAAGTACGGAGATTCCAACTGAGTAGGAACCCTGTAACATTTGAAGCTGAAATCAGTGTGGACTCTTTTATACTACATTTCAAACAAATAACTTTATCTAACAGCTCTTAATTGTAGTACAACGGTGTTACTAACTATTAGGCAGCCACAGGTGGAGGGAGGAGAGCAGGGAGAGGAGCAGGAGGAGGAGGAGGCAGGCGTGTGTTTTTGTGCGTCTGAGAAGCAAAGGGACAGAATGAGCATGACGAGAAGGAGAGGCGGTGTTTCTGTGGTGCCAACGAGGTCACGACTAGAGGATTTATTACCTCCGCCAAGGAGGTTATGTTTTCGGTAGTGTTGGTTTGTTTGTTTGTTTGTCTGTGAGTTTGTTTGTTAGCAACTTTACGGAGAGAAAGTTACAGACAGATTGACCTGAAATTTTCATCAGAGGTGCGTCTAAGCCCCAGGAGGATCCCATCACATTTTGGTGATGATCCAGACAAAATTCTGGATACTGTGATCCAGAACACACAAAAATAAGGGTGTCGTTGGAATTTTCAATGCTGAAAGATAACCAATGGGTGGCACAGTGGTGTAGTGGTTAGCAATGTCGCCTCACAACCAGAAGGTCCTGGGTTCGAATCTGGGTCAGAGCATTTCTTGTTTAAGGGGGGACATGAGCTGCTTGGTGGAGGTCTGTGCTCTCTGAGTGCTTTTCTAGTTTTATCTGCGCTCTGGGAAATAAAGCCAAGCAGAGAGATTTGGAGCTGTCCCTGCGAACTTTCAGCCTCCAGATACACAATCAGCTGCCTTGGTGTTTTTATGTCTGCTTCTTGAGAATAAAATAAAACCCTGGCAGGAAAAACTTGATGTCGCCTGTTTTGTGTTTCGTAGTTTTTCCGCTCGGTTCAGTCCACGTGCACTGAGCTGCTGAAGGTGATCGAGAAGTATCAGCTCAGGATCACACGTGAGTTCTTTCTTCTGTCAAATAGAAGATCCGGTCTCAGTGTTTGTCGCAGGAACTTAAACCTCAAACTCCTCTTCCAGGTTTGTCCCAGGAGGAGAACGAGCTGGGCCTGTTCCTGCGCTTCCAGGCTGAACACAACCGCACAAAGGCCGGCAACATGATGGACGCCACCAGCAAAGCCCTGTGTGCTTCAGCGAAGCAAAGGTCAGAGGGAAACGCCGAATTCTCACCTGTAATGTTCTTCTCCTTTTTTAGATTCACTCCTAAAGATCCTCTCCCTTTGTCTTTTATTCTCCTCAGGATGGCTCTCTGTGCCCCGCTCCACCGTCTGCACCAGGAAGTGGAGACGTTCCGGCGGCGCGCCATCGCAGACACCCTCCTGACGGTCACCCGCATGGAGAAGGCTCGCACGGAGTACAGAGGGGCTCTCCTCTGGATGAAAGACGTCTCCCAAGAGCTCGACCCGGACACCTACAAACAGCTGGAGAAGTTCCGCAAGGTGGGAGCAGATCGACGCTCTTTTTAAAGACGGCGTGTCGAGGCGCTTTGTTTGAACTGTGGCGTCTGTTGTCAGGTTCAAGGCCAGGTGAGAGGGACGAAGAGTCAGTTTGAGAAGCTGAAGAACGACGTGTGTCAGAAAGTGGATATGCTGGGAGCGAGCCGCTGCAACATGCTCTCTCACTCCCTCTGCACCTACCAGGTATGTAATGTGCTTTTTTTTAAAGACCGGTGCACCAAGAATCTCGATCCTCTCGTCTGAATCTTTAATTCGTCTTTATAGACCACGCTGTTGCAGTTCTGGGAGAAGACAGCCAGTGCCATGTCGGGAATCCACGAGGCCTTTAAGGGACATGTATCATACCAGTTCACCACTCTTAAGGTAACAGGAGCTTAAGGTGGAGATCAGCATGTTTGTCCGTCCTGGTGTGACATTTGTCTGGTGTTACCAAATCCTGCAGGACCTCAGAGACCCCCTGGATGACATAACGGAGCTGCAGAAACGGGAGGATAAGAAGGAGAAGAAGAAGAGCAACACGGACAGGTGAAAGTCAAACAAAATCACCCCTCGTATGAAAGTAGCCTGACTCGTTCCCTGACTCGTTCGCACACATACTGCTCGTACCATCTGTCTCTGTTCTCATCGCTCTTTTTCCATCTTTACATCCTCACCTCTCCGTCTGCTCTGTCCTCTACTCGTTCTCCTGCCTCAGTCATGCCTTCATCAAACACGAGGCCAGTGTCATGCCCATGTTTACTCATGAGTAAGTGTTACATGTGACGATAGGTACGCGGTAGCTCAGGGATTTAGAGCTCCAGATCAAACAGAGGCTGTGGCATCGCTAAAAATAGCAAAACATGTCTCGCCAGCTAGATGAAGCACTTTCTCATTCTTTGCCCTCCCTCTTTTCTTCCTTCCCTCTCAGCCTGGTGTCCTTGGATGACGACAAACCATCAGAAAGTGCCTCTGACTCAGGTAGGCGCTGCCCCCTGCAGGCTGAAAGAAAGAGCCGCTTTTCTGTTTGCTTTGGGAAACTATTTCTGAATTTGAGAAGAAAATCGAAGAATCTGGTCTTTGAATTAAGGGTTATTCTGATGTTCTCCCCTCTCTAGACCCCGCCCACAGCAGTGACAGACAGAGCCAAACCTTGGATACCGGTGAGTCTCCTGGGAAGTGTATGTTTTCTCTGTTTTATTGATATTTCTGGAGCTGATTGTGTGCTGGATGCCTCTTGGCTTTATCATCCTCGACCCCAGTGCACCCAAACACTCCCACACCCACCACTCCAGCCCTTCAAGACCTCAGAGGACTCTCTACCAGCTCTGACGATGACCTCCTGCTCATGGCCCTCGATATCCCTGAGCCTCCTGCTCCTCCTCCAGCTCCTGCTCCAGCTGACATCCCTCTCCAGCCTCAGCTTCTGCCTCCACTTCTAGGCGGAGATCTCACTCAGCCGTGGGGTTTCGAAGCCCTTCAGTCTGGTCTCACACTTCAGCCGGCCATGGGTAAACAACAGACCAGCTGTCTCCGAACGCTCCTGTTTCAAAGATTCCTCGCTGGTCTCTCCTTTCCTCGCTTTCTTGCTTGATGTGGCTCACACTCACCTCCCCTGGATTTCAACTTCTGGCACTTTCTTGTGGCACTTTGTTCTACCTTTCTTATCCGCTTCTGGGACTCACCTCTTCGATGGGCTGCATGAAAAACTAGATGCAAGTGTGTATGGGAAATGCATTTCCAATTGTCCACAGATATGCCATTTTTTCAGTATCTGAGGATAAATCATTGCAAAAAGAAACAGGATGATTATATCTCTCTTGTTTTGGACCTCCTAGGAAACACTCATGAGTTCAATTTCCCAAGTATACCTGCAAATCAAAACACAGGTGTGGCCCATTTAATGTTATGATAAACTGTTGCATAACATGCAGGCAAATATTAACCCTGAAGAAAGCCGAAAGCGTTGATTATCTAACTTTTCTGCCATGCCGCTAATATTTCATGAACACTTTTCTTCATTTTTGACTCAAACTCTGAACTTTGTAGGACTTCTGCAGTCTCAATGCAATCCATAATCCTTTCCTCCCACTCCCCTCAGGTGGTCCGTCTCCTCTCTCCATGTCAGGCTTGAGACCAGAAGAGGAAGACCCTGAACGCGGTGACATGGCTTTCCTCAAAGACCTCCTCAGCCCGGGCCCGGGAGCCAGCGACGAGTTCAGTAGAGAGTGGCAGGACGCTTTCGGGATGTTTGACCCTCCTAGTGTCCCTTCATCCGTCACAGGTGCTGGGAGTGCTCTACCGACAGCTCGTCCGCCGTCCAATCCTCCGAGCCCCACAGGCTTCCTGCCGTCCCAGCTGCTGGATCACAGTCTGAGCTCTACAGGTGAGCCCACTCTGCTCTGAAAAGGATAGAGACATTGTGGCAGCATGCTGGACTACTCATAGGTGGTTATGATTTTACTTTAGGGATTCCTCACAGGTGAGATCTCACAGAATCTTGATAAAAAGTGACGAACCTAGACTCAGAAGTTAGAGGAGGTCTCAAATCAGATTATTAGGGATGGCAAATCAGGCCTAATATGTGGCAAACGCTAGTTTTGGTGTTTTTGGGGTTTTCTTTAATAAACCTGCGTTGTCTTCCAGGATGGGCAACCCCACCCATGTTCCAAGCCCCACCCCTGCAGCCTCCTCCAGGTCAGAACCAACCAGCTCCACCCTCTGCTCCAAATTCAGCAGCTGGTAAGCTCTTCCTTCTTTTTTTTTTTTGTCTGTGTTTGTTTTTCTCTCAAGAGCTGATTTAGGTCTTTAAACTTGTGATAACCTATGTATTGTGAGGTGGTTGTTATGTGAATTAGAACTCTGACAGGGTGAGACAAGAACCCCAGAAGCAAAGTGGACGTTTGCGTCAACCGCCGGAGGTGAAATGTGCCGTAGCTCTCTTCTACAGTTTGAACTGATTCGATATATGTGGTCTGATCATTTGCGCAGCTGCTCCGGCTGGATCCAAGGACATGTCTGCCTGGTTCAACCTGTTCGCAGACCTGGACCCTCTCTCCAACCCTGACGCCATTGGACGCTCTGCAGACGAGCTTCTTAATGCTTAAGATCTCTTCTCTGCGTGTGTGTGTGTGTTAGTGTGAGTGCTGCGGTGTGAAATCTCCCTCAAAGATTCTGGATGTCAAGTTTTCACGTCGACGACCAAGTACTACAACTCTCTAACAGTTTAATACACACGTATAGTCATTGGTGCGCACACTCGGTAGCAGGCAGGGGAGAAGGGTGTGTATATCCACATTTGCAAACACACACACACATATTTGTGTAACACTAAGATGTTATTTCAGACTGGAACAGAAAATACTTTCAGTTAAACGTTAATTGCTCTCCTAAATGACTGTTAACTCCACATGTGAAGCCACAGACTTTTATGTACACAGCAGACCTGCTGTGGTTTCAGTCAGCCTCTCTCTCTGTAACCTGTGGAGGACATTTTGATTACAGGTTTATTTTGGACATTTGGTGTTTTTTTTTTTTGTGTGTGTTCATTCATGTTTGTGCTGTGTGGGTGTGTGCAGGTTTGCTGTGAGTGCACACACAAAAAATGGACCCAGGATGTTGAAATAATATACCTATGAAGTGTGTTAGTGTGCTGTTCGTACACGGACGGGCATGATTGTCATATATGAGTTTATTTGTAGGATGAAGTATATGTATGAGAGGAGCAAATGGAGGTAAAGCTGCATCATAATGGGCCTGTATCACAGAGCAAGATGAGCCTGTTACCAAGCTAGTGCTGCGTTTGAGTCACCTCCGAAGTCAGATGTCGGAGCGGAAAATGACGTCACACCCGAGTTCCCAGAGTTTCAGTTACCAAGTCGGAAAAAAGCGAAATCGGAGGCCCGAAACAAGATGGTTACAGCTACGAAAGTTATTTTAGTGCTTGCCGTATATTCGGACAAAGCAAGCGCTAAAATAACTTTCGTAGCTTTTTTTCTAGCTCGAATGCAGCATACGCTTAGATCACCATGGCAACCTGTTATTTCCATATAGTATAGAAAAGTATACCACTATAGTATAGTATACTACTATAGTATACTATACTATAGTAGTATACTATAGTATAGTATACTACTATAGTATACTATTAGTATACTATTAGTATACTACTATAGTATACTATACTATAGTAATAGCTATAGTAGTAGCTTTAGTATAATACTATAGTATACTATACTAGTATACTATAGTATACTACTATAGTATACTATACTATAGTAATAGCTATAGTAGTAGCTTTAGTATACTACTATAGTATAGTATACTATATAGTAGTATACTATACTATACTATAGTATACTACTATAGTATAATATACTATAGTATAGTATGAATGCTGGTTAAAAACTTGTTCTTTATGGAGCCATGACCCAACATAATAGAGATTTAATTTCAAGTAAGCAACTGTTGCACAACAGCTCACTTTAGTTTAAGAAACTACAAGTTTTGCAGCTGTTTTGGTTGTGTGTATATAGATTATATCAACATTTAAATGATGGCAACAGCTAATAGGACTTGTCCGAGGTGATAAGTGGTTCACCCATGCTGCCAACACGCTTCTTAAATCACTCAATAAATCTATAAATGCAACTTCTCAGTGAAGCAGACCTGAACTACAGCTGTTAATAGCTTTAGCTGTAATTACAGCTTCACACATTAAAATGTGCCATATAATCTAAGTGGAATATTAAAAAAAGATTTACAATAATCCCCCTATAATCTCTTACCACAGCTTTTAATTATGCACTGGTTGCTGGATTTGATTCATTCTGGGTATCCTTCCGTTTATCTCATATTATAGAAAGTGTCCATTAACCTGGTGATGATGTGTTTTGTGATTTAACCAGATTATGACCAGATTTAGGGTCACTCTTATAGAGGATCACAGATATAAGGGAACTGATTTATTCTTGCTTTGTGATACAGACCCTGCACACACGATGTGGACTACAAGTTTGATGTGGTTACTCGATGTAGTCTTCTGTCTCTGGGTTCGATAAAGGAAAACCAGACTGTGGGTGTTGCCTTTGTTTGAACTGGACACAATGTGCTAACACACTGGAAGATCATCCCACCTTGAACCCATATTCTCATAGCTGAATGTAGTAAATGTAAATTACAGGATGATCTCTTTATTCCCATTCATTGTGATTTAACAAAGTCCAATGCCAAGGAAAGCGTGTGAAAGGAAAAGATTTATTTCAAGGAGGATTTAAAGTGGACCACTGAAGTTAGCTGGATGTTAGTGTGGGTGACAGCACCTCGGCTGCATCAAAGTGTATTTATTTTCAGATTATATTACTCCTGACAACTGTACTACTGCTCATGTCTTGTTGTGCTGCACACTGAAATGTAACACTATGTAAGAACACTGTAAAATATTGTCTATTTTTGGCTCTGCCTGTTGTGTATTTGGAGAATTCCCAGATGGATTTTATGACACCAAAAACTGTTACTGTGTCAGTAAGCGGATGACTAAAGGGAATAACAGGACCAAGACTGACATTTCTGAATGTTTATTAGGGAACAGATGCAGAATGGAGACTTTTCTGGGTGACGTATGTGAGTTTTTAAGATGCGAAAATGAAACCAAATCCTCTATTTTGACATTAGTGTGCCTCTGTTAGGTTACTGGAGCTAGATCAGAGTGCATTATGGGAAAAATGTCATCTTTTGTGGGTCAGAAATGTATTATCTTAGCTTTTGGGGGGAGGGGGGGGTCAGAAGACGCAAACCATTTCTCATGTAACTGTCTTTTTCATGATTTTAATGTGATTCTTGGACTTTTATTTTGAAGGAAGAAACCGCTGATCCCAGCGCAGTGGTAAGAAGGGAAGCTGTAACCATGTATTATTGTGAACTGTTTACTCTTTACTTACACTCTTAAAAAAAAAGATTGTATCACTGAAGTCAATCACGAACACTTTGTTTAATTCAACTATGCCTTTTTATTTCACTCGAGGGGTTTAACAGATGAAAACTTGGCAGTTCTGTTTTCAATAAACTGGACAAGCAAACAAAGAGTATTTGTGTCGTCTTCTTTTGAGCCTCATTCCAAAATGCTTCCACTTTGAAAAAAAAAGCTTTGTATCTGAAATAAATCTGTAATATCACATGTATGAATCTACTCTGATACTACTTTTTTTCTTCTTCTTTGTAAACAGACGTCTAAAAACGACAAAGAGGAACATGTCGCTCTGTGTGTGATTGTTTTTCAGCAAGTGGATATCTCATTTTGGAACTCAGTCGTATTTTAGAAACATGCCAAATCAGGTCACTGGATAAATGACATCCACACTTCTCTCTACTTCTACTCTGCTACAGGTTTACATCAGTCACATTTTCCGTTAGTGTGAGGCTACATAGATAGCAGCTGTTGGTTTGCTCTCTTTAAAGTAGTGTAGACTTGTTAGTGTGCGCTGAGAAGTTAGTATATCTTTTTCTCTTTGTATCCTATTCACTACAACCTGAGATGGACGATGTAATCTATTCTGGATTAAAATTCTCTGCAGACCCAATTACACTTCTGATAAATAAATACATTATTATTCACAATAATGAGACATGTAGTAATTCACAGTACTCAGCGGAGAGAAAGCAGGAGGAGGAGGAGGAGGAGGAGGAGAAGGAGGGGATATATGGTACAACTGTTAACTCATTCAGATACATATCTTTATCAGCCGATAATACAAACACAGTGCGCTTCTATATTTACAAATCCAGTACATTCCTACCCCGCCAAAGCAGGCACAGTCAAGTAGTAGTGATAGTAACAGGGAGACAGGCCAGAGCACGGAGAGAAAGGGAACCAGTATACTGCACCGGGTATCAACCATAGACTGTATATACTATGGACAACGTGGTTCCGCCTCCCGCCTGTATACGGATTTGAAGCCAAATAGCTCTCGATGTTTCCGGGTTTTTTCTTCATTTCCTGAATCTGTGTTGCGCAGTCGCCGAGAGTCGCTGTATTGACGCTCGGCTCAAACAGCGAATCCCCCCCGGGTGAGCTACGCAATCCCTGAACGCCCATAGGCTGTATCAGGTGTCAATCATAGCAAACACGAACCCCCTAATAACTTTTAAAAATTGAGCTTCACAGTGGGATTTATGACCTATACCGCAGCCCATCAACAGAGGGTGCTGTTCTCGGAGTGGCTTCACCCAGCGAGGAGGCAGACTCTGTCCATTCTATACACAGTCTATGGTATCAACACTCATTTAACATTTTACAACCAACTAGAGGTGTGCGCTGATAGCCAAAAACCAATTAAATGCCTCTAAACAGATGTAAACAAGCACAAATAACAGCAGGCTTTTCATAGTTTGGCAGTATTTTGATCAAGAAAATGGAGATAAAGTTGTATAAACTCTGACTGGTACCACTGTCAAGCTCTTAGTGCTCCTTGCCTCACATGGTTGTGCTGGTTACACAGCGCTCTGTTTGGTTTATTCAATTCTGGTCATGTTCGCCAAAATGTTTTAGATTATTTAATTAAATTATTTAATTAAATAAATTAATTAAATTAAATTATTTAATTAAATAAATTAATTAAATTAAATTATTTAATTAAAACTTAATTCTGACTTTTCAAATTTCTTTTATCTTAGTGGAGCATCCTTAAAAATCACGCAGAGTACCACAAATTATACTCCTATATGGATAATAAACAACAGATGTGCATGCTGGCTCAGACAATTCAAAGAGCCAATGGTAGTCCTGGATTTGGGTGGTCTGTCAGACATAATTAGAACCCATGCCACCCCTTAAGATCGCCCCTGGATCACCAGACCTGAGTACTTAAAGCCATTTTCAATTCATAGGATTGCCAGATGCAAGAAAAAGATTTTTGAACCACCCCCAAAAAAAACACAAACCCTTGTTTCCCACTTTGAATCATCACTTCATTCATTATGTGTGAGACTATTCATGACTTGGTGTAAATTATCTACACTTTTAGGAGAATTATCCTGCGGTTGTTTATTTTGAATAAACTTTCATTTTAGTTAATTTTCGTTCAATTTGGGATCTCAGGATTTCCAGGTTCGTGGTGGTTAAGGCCACCCCTCGTCATCACCCTGGTTCCAGCCCTAGAAATGCCATTTTGTGCAGTATTTGGTTTCCCCCAGCCTCCCCACGCTCAGGGCCGAGCAACGCCAGAGGAAGCCTGACATGTGAGGATGAGGCCTCCCTGGACACATTTTACAACAACACAGAGCAAGACGGAAGGAAATGAGCGCTACGGTGAAGGTGAAGGGGGGAGAAAAGGAGCGAAAGAGCTGGGGAATGAGGAACAGAAGGGTGTGGTTGTGATGGAGGTGGACATATTGAGTGTAAAAGGCTGGCGCTTGGAAAGGAGGGGCAAGCAGACACGGGTTGAACACGCTGCACACATCATAGCCCTGGCCTGTGTTTCCCATGGATACACACTGACAGGCAGGGACTGAGTCACTGCTACCATTTGGTGTAACAAAGGCATCATTTTGCTCCAGATTAAAGTCGGATTTTACACAAAATTTCTGATCCAAGTACAAAACACAAGTCTGGAACAGTCACAGGTGGTTTTAAGAAGTCCCTGCCCCTCTGTGTGTATCTATAGTCGCCGTAGTGCAGACATCATGTGAGTCACGCTAACCAGACTAACATGATCTACGCACTACGCCACATTAGCGAAACTGAGCGGTCTCAAATATCAGGCACATTTTAACTTCTCCTTGTCACGACCGTTCAAGTTTTGCTACGATAAATCTGGCAGCACCAATATGAGCCTCCGTGGTCAAACTCTCGGCCGCCAAAGAAACAAGCGGCCTTTTTTTTTCTTAATGGAAGGCATATTTCATATCAAGAGAAATAACTACAGATAGAAAAAGAGATATGTCCGTGGAAAGGCGCCATGGTATAATACGATGAAATAAAAGAGTCTGTCCTTTTTTTTTTCTCGCCCTTTTCCTCCAAAAAACAGGAACATAACCAGCACTAAAGGTAGAAGAAAAGCGATGAAATGTTAGCTGCAAATCCCCGCGCTGGGCTGCAGGACTCTCACGTTGTAGTCATCTGAGGAGGAGAGGCAGTGGGAAGCGCTTTTTCAACAAGAGAAGGACATCAGAGAGAGCTTAGCTGGCATGCTGAAGGCATTTGTTTCGGAGCAGAAGGGTTGTTTCCAGTGTTTTCTGATTTCGTGGGGGGGTAGGGATTGAGAGGGGGTCGGGGTTCGATGCCCATCAGAAACTCTCAGGCTCCTCCAGGAGGCAGGGCTGGGTGGACAGAGGCACCAGGGACGGGGACAGGCTCCGGAGGCCCACCCCGGGGCGGAAGTTGAGGTCCGGGGCGGGGAGTAAGGGCTTGAGGATGCTGACGAGGCAGAAGGCAGAGCCGCTGTTGGGGATGAAGTTGACCTTGTTGCGGTCGGGACAAAGAAAGGGAGGGATCTCCTGCAGAGGCTTGGGCCTGGAATCACAAAGGGACCGTTAGCCTTAAAAAAAACACTCTACGATAATTTGACAGAGCTTTTAAGAGCTGTTTTGGAAACTTGTAGCTGACAAAATACACACCTTATTACAATATCAGGCTGGTAGTAGTCTATAACTTGCAAAAACATTTAATAACCAAAGATATTTAACAGTTTTATTGCTCTATTAGGCAAAGATAGATCTAGTTTTGCAAGGTCAGTTCATTTACTTTTAAAGATCGTTTATTCGAGTTAGTTTTAGGTGTTCAAATGTAACAGTTGAAGAGACTTGAATCCTTACATGGACTCCTCGAACACTTTGACCTTCTCGCAGCCCTCTGGAGGTTCCCTCTTGAACATGTAGCTGTTGTTAGGTCTGGGAGAGGCGGCGTATTTGGGCAGCGGGGAGCAGGGGCCCAGTTCTGCAGGTCAAAGATCGATGTCAACAACAGATCAGACTCAAAAGAGAAAAAACACGAGCGTGGGCGTGTTTAACAACATGCGGCGCGTGTCCGCCAGTCACCTTTGTCCTCGTAGGGGCTGCCTCCACCCATGTCGTTGAGGACGGTGAGGTAGGAGGGCGAGATGGAGTCGGGGCGGCTGCTGCAGTTGCTGTGGTTACCGCTTAGGCCGCCCCCTGAGGGAGTCTGCGTGTCGATGCTGCGGGTGCTGCTGCTGCGCTGAGGAGGGACGGGTGGGGGTGCACGGTGCCCATCTGGGACGTCCTGTGGCTGCCGTACAAACAGACAAATGAGGTCAGAATAACAATGATGCACTGACGGGGTTACAGCCTGTATGACACTAAGACCGCAGCTCTGCAACGACGCATCAGGACAGAGTCTGCGAGTTCAATTTCCTGCATGTGCGTGAGAAACTTACAACGATGATCTCTTCTTTCTCAGGAGTGTCCTGAATTGTGATGCGTTCGATCTCCTGGTTCAGACCCTCCACGCTGTTACGAAAACGAGGGGCGGATGATTTGGAGATCGGGATGGGAATCAGGATGGTCTTGGGCATAGGCGACTGTAAAAACAAACACGATCGAGGTTATTCTGCACAGAAGTAGGAAGGAAGTCTTTCTAGTGCGCTCCAGCTGTCTGGTGTCTCTTCGAATCCGCGATCCGGCTCATCAACCTCCTCTTCTTCTTCTTCTTCTTCTTCTTTCTGTTTGTCTCATGGGGAGGCCCAGAAAGCAGGACAGCTGCACTCCAGCAGACTCCACAGGGAGCGCAACAGAAACATGACAGAAGTGGGCACTAAGACAACTCTGTGAGTGTGTGTTTGTGTGTGTGTGTTTTTAAGAGAGGAGCCTAGTTTAACTGACATCTCGGGCCCGGCGTCACATTTTAAATTAACCAGGACACACACACACACACACACACACACACACACACACACACACACAAAAACAGCCAAACAGGAACAAGAGGAAAAGTGGGGCGTCCTCAAAACCTTAAAATCCAGATTCAACCTAGTTCCTCTCAGAGTTGGAGCCACCTGGCAGAAAAACACACACACACACACACACACACACACACACACACACACACACACACACACACACACACACACACACACACACACACGCACACACACACACACGCACCTTAAAGCAGACTCTCTGTGTGAATTACCTGCGACTGGATGATGGTGTGGCTGCCATTGAACGGGGACTTGCGCTCCTTGTCCCTCCGATGGCGGCTGCTGCGTTTGCTGCGCTGAAGCTGCTGACGCAATTTGGCAATCTGAGGACAAAAGCAGACCAACTGACGATTCAATCCAGACGTTCAGAAGTTTGCGGAAATAAGTGGTGATTGTATTCGGCTGAACACAAAAGATGTATCTTCTGACCTCCTTGAGTTGGTCGGTGCTCCCACAGGAGGCCGAGCGTTTGTGAGAGCCCCTCCTCCTCTCATCTGCCCAGGCCCTGGGGGTCTGAAAGACAAACACACACACACACACACACACACACACACACTTTAGCCCTTAACATAAAATACGCCCCAAAAAAGAATAGCATCACTGGCAATTTTCTTCTTTTTGGAGCAGCAACTTTAATTTTTCTTTAAAATATTTGATATTTTTTGCACCTCAGGTCTTCAAAAACACAAATTTTTTTAAAGTATGGAACTTTTACATGAGGTTGTCTGACTTTAAGGACTCCTAACATGAAGGGATTGACCCCAAGGAGGCTTAAACAAACACTGTAAGCAGCATAACACACAAGTCACTTCAGAGTACAACAATATAGTTTCACAAATAGTTCAGAAATGTTTGTTTCGGGATGTTTCGAGGAGGTTTTTTAAACATCTTTGTGACCTCTTTACTTCTTTGACTGAGCTGCTTTTAAAGAAACACCGAACAGTTTGTCACGTGTGCTTCAAAGTCAGTCTGAGTGCCGTAGTTTCAGGCAACACAGTGTCATGATGCAACCAGCTGCAATCTCTGTTCAAGTCCCTGCAGTAGTTTCCTGCCATGTCAACAGGAAACATTTGCAAGCATAGCTGGTCTGGAAGAAGGATGTAAACATGCGAATATAAAGATTTATTTAGTTTTTACCGAGTTTGGAACGAATGAAATGGATGTAAATAGTATGACAGCGAGATTCATTCGCTCACCTGCGTGGCTTTGTCCCTCATGTAGGGAACGTGTTGGTGCTGGCTGTCGTCCTGAGGCCAGGGACCTATCAGGTGAGAGCCAGCGAGCGCGCCCTGTGAGGGCCACAGCTGGACGCGATGGCGGGAGACGGCGAGGAGAATGAGGTGCTGAGGCGTTCGCAGGGGGGAGAGGCGGGGGAAAGCGGTGGAGGAGAACCGCTGAGAGATGTGTGCGGTTAAGGCCACTGATGCAGTCTGAGGGGAAGACGTAAACAAGTTGTTTGTCAACACGTGGTAAGCACATCAACAAATCAACAGACACAGCTGGCCTGGAGGATAAGCTCGCTCTGTCTGTCTAGCATCGTATGTGTGTGTGTGTGTGTGTTATTGTCTATGTGTGTGTGTGTTCCCTGGATTGATGTTAATCCCTCCCGTGCTGGGCTGAGTGGATATGCCCCCCTCTTTCAGTCTCCTACAGACCGCCCCCCTGGTTAATGGCATTAAAACAGCTTAAATACTGCAGGGAAGGGGCACTGAGGGCAGGTGCTCGTTTCTGCCCGATTGACCCTGATTTACAGCAGGGAGCCGGTTTTGCATGGATACACAGGTCCACTGACACCCACCAAACTCCACAGAGAGCTGTCCGACAACACCGAAAAAGCAAATTTCCTTTATGAAGTCTGTGCATCTAAACCTTCAGGAGCTTTTAATTTGATTTGTTTATCCAATAGTCAGCTGTGTTCAAGTCTGAGAGGCAAAGTGAATGAAAACAAGTCACTCAAGAGTTGGCTGAGCTGTTTTCTTGTGTTATTAACAGTCAAAAACAGTAAATCAATATTGTTTAATCAATGCATTGAAACGAGTGCTTTACACTTGAGAAAAAGCATTTAAACATTACATTACAGCCTTTTATTTTATGAGCACTATCAGCTGTTTGTACAGCAGAGCATGAATGCAGCACAATTCTATATATTAGCTCAAATCTGGGGATATGATTTGCAAAATGATTGGCTTTTAAGACTTAAAATATTGCATTTTACAGCTCAACCGTATGCAAAGCAGTAAAAGAGGAGATTTTTACAATGTGCATTTGCATGAGCATAAAATATGCATGACAACTTGACTCTCAGGATCTGCTTTTGTTGTATTTATTATCCACTGTGACGTTCAACAAAGAAATCTCTGCATCCTGTGTGTAAATATTTTGCTGCATTAATGCAACCATACATGCACATATAGCGTAAGGAGGAATCAACCCTGGTGACTGCAGAGCATCCTGCAGAGTAAAGCACAGCACACATCTATATTTTAGCATGGCTGCGCCCAACGGGACCCAAATATCCACACAAACCTGTGTGCATGAGGCATGCGTCTGTACACATGAACACACCGGACTGATTGGCAGCACAGGCCCAGGAGCTAAATTTGGCAGGAGCCTTGACCAGCGCACATTGCTGTTGCTAGGGAACGGAGCCTACTGATCTTCACCCAACTGCGCCTGTGTGAGTGTGTGTGTATGTGTGTGTGCGTGAGTAAACAGGGGTTTTTGGGCATCAGCAGTCTACAAGCAAAATGGAAATCTCTCTTTATTTTGACTGCTGGTTTGCCTGTCTCAAATCAGCGCCTACAGCCATCTACTACAGACCGGCTGCAGTAGAAACACCAACAGCAGTACTCGTCTAGCGGCTCAGCATGATGTCATATTTCTATACAATTCCCCCTTAATGATCATGAAGCGTTTCTTTCATAACAACTGCAGCAAAAGCAGATTTAAAAGGGTCTTTTCCCTTTAAAATCTGATGATACATTGAACCAGACAGGCGACTCAATTAAAACACATTTTATTGATTGACCATGAGCAAAAGTGGGACGCTTACCCTGACACAGAATGTAGGTTAAACTGTTTCCCCTTAATAATCTTTAATGGATTAAATAAGATAAACATGCTCCAATAAAAACTCCCAGATTGATAACTTAGGGCTTCAAATCCTACAAATAGTCTGCTTACTATCATATGATATGATATAAACACAATCAGACTAAATATGTAGGACAATATTTACATTTTAAAACCCAAAACACAATTTTTGACACTTTTGAGGAAAACTATGGTTATTTCAGTTTTTGCCCTTGATTATAAAATGATTCAACAGCTGTATTAGTGTGTTTTGAGCCCTTTTCAACCACCTCAAATCAAAGTAAAAACATTAATTTGGAATACACTGTGAATGCATTTAGACATGTTTATATACTTTTAGTACAATTTAAAAATTACAACTTTTAATTCAGAAAAATCTCATCGTCTGTTGGATCTCCATTCAATCGCCTGTCTAGCACAATGCAGGTCAATTTTGTTTACTGCAAGAAAAGCATGTACCCCCTCCCCTTACACATATATAATCACAATCACCATTGAAATACAATGCATGATAAAATAAGCCTAAATCTAACTCTATTTGCCAGTAGACATATTGATAGCGTTGCAGGGAAATGAATCTTTGTATGAGGGAAAAACACTCACCTGCAGAAATGGACTCTAGGTGCGCTGCATGCAAAGGGGGCACCCCAGCAGCCCCTGTTGATATCTACCGCTGCTGGAGGATGCTGGAAACATGCAGGGCAGGAAACAATCGAGAAAGACCTCTGAATTCTTCTTTTTTTTAAAAAGCAGACAAAAATATAATTATTTCACGTCTTCGTGGGCCCCGTGGAGATACAGTAGGTGTCAAAATGGGCGTTGCTGTATTCGCACCCTGCCTCCTTGTCGTCGTGGATGGATGTTTTTCTCTCCCGGCTGATGCGGCACGACGGTCCAAGCAGCTACCACAACGCTTTCCGATCGGGGGAAATATGAGTATAAAAAGAGAGATTCGCGTCGTGCATTTAGAGTGGTTTCTAAAATGCCGGGAAGAAACGACGGAAAAATTAACAGAAGGACAGAAAAAGCAGGAGGGATAGAAAGAAGAAGGCGGTGATGCTGGGCTAGCCTCGGTTGACACGAGAGGAGAAGGACCAGTGTAAAGCACAACACATAAGAGAATTACACTTCCGGTTGTGCTTTTCACAGTAAGGTATTCACTACGGAGCAACACGTGCATAACAGCAGTTTTCAGCAGTATTACTGTAACGAAGCAACTCTGTATTCATAAACTGTTATTACTTAATTTAGCATCGCAAAAAGTGTTCTAACGTCCACTCGCAACACTAAGCCTGTTTTATTTTGAATAGAAATCGGTCGATATCCGGTATCAGCCTGCCTTCCTCCGAGTGGCTTGACGCAGCTCTAACAGAGCAGTGACGTAGCGTCCCATCGCAGCGCGGCTCGTGCTGATGCTGCAGTTGCTAGGGCGCGTGGAGCAGACGGCGGAGAGGAGAAGTGAGGTAAACAAGCGAAAAAGAGGAAATGTCGCCCTCTTGTGTCGAAGTTAGTCACTTAATGTTTTCCTTCAAGACTTAAAGGTACTTAAAAAAGCAAAAAGTACCAAAGTTTTGTCTATTTCGTACGTTTTAATTGATTTAAAACAGAGAATTCAAGCGGCTCGTCATTCAACTGTCGCCCTTCGCCTCGACGGCCATTTTCTCTAAGCTCTCAAAGTTTAAAAACGGCTTTTCTTTCTAGGAAAAAATGTATTAAATGCTGAATAAGTTCCTTTTAAGTCTTTATAATGCCCTTCTGAAAGCTTTATTGTAGTTTTACACGGTTAACAGTTATTAAAAATGCTTTTGTACAAACCCTCTGCTCCAGTTTCCCTATAAATGCTTAATTAATTTCAGCTTCTGTCTCATTTATGCCTGCCCAGCTCTCTGAAAGCCTCCTCCACTGTTACCACTCGACAAAGTCTCATTTCTTTGCTTAAAATGAGAAATTAAAAAATAAGGCCTTATTACTTGGAACTCAAATCTGACCCCCCAAATATAGAAAGAAAAAAAAAAGGAAACTGGAGCAGCCTACCTCTTTTCTTGGGATTACAATGTAAAATATGAGAGAGCATTAAAGCACCTCTTCTATAAGAACCTGAGCAACACATAGAAGAGGCATGTAGCTTCTGAAGGGAATTTTTTTACAGGACTAGTCCTCCATTTTGAAAATATAAAATGCTATTATCTCCCAAATTGCTCTCTCAAAAGATAAAACTGTCTTTTTCTTCTTCTTCTTCTTTGCAGATCCAACAAACATGTGCTCAGAAGAGGCAGAGCCAGGACAAGTTCAACCATAGATTGTATATACTATGGACAACTTGGTTCAGCCTCCCGTCTGTATACAGATTTGAAGCCAAAAAGCTCTCGGTATTTCCAGGATTTTTCTTCATTTCCTGAAACCAGTGCTGCGCAGTAGCGTTGTGCGCATTCAGCGGGAGAGTCGCCAAGAGTCGCTGTGATGACGCTCGGCTCAAACAGCGGATCTCCCGGGTGAGCTACGCATTTCCTGAACGACTTGAGCACAAACCAGTCTTACAGTAACTACATGTCAACATCGCAACCAGGAGGGAGAAAAATGTATGTTCTGTGTAATAAATTTCTAAAGTTTGTCCACAGCCCCCATAAGCTTTGCTGGCGGAGGCGGGATTTATGACCTATACTGCAGCCCGTCAACAGAGGGTGCTGTTCTCGGAGTGGCTTCACCCAGCGAGGAGGCAGACTCTGTCCATTCTATATACAGTCTATGGGTGCTACCTTCACTATTCAAACTCTCCTGGGCCAAAACTCTCAAGACATGCCATCAACAGATGTAACTAATTATATAATTATTATTTCATACATTTATTGAGAATTTTTTCTTTCATATTGACTCGAAAATGTTTACAGAAACTGTACCGAGCAGACGCATAGCAATGGAATAAAAGGCCGTGTCCATTGAATGCAAAAACATATTTCCATAAAAATGATGCAAATATCAATGCAATACACATACATATGCTTTTTTTTCATACAAATTACAGATTACAAAAACATAATTGAGATCTTTTCATATGCCCTGAAGCAGCGCTGAAAATACAGAATGAGTACAATGACATTTCAGCACGCCTGTACAGCGCTAGGCCCCAACAATGCTAATGCTTGCCGACATAAAGAAACACATCACATCGTGCACGCTTTCTCTCTTTCTCACGCTCACACACACACTGAACCAGTCATCTGTATATCAAGGGATGAAACAACGAGAAGCAGAAATAATATCCAGCGTGCTTCAGAAGGGTTTGGTTCTTTTTTTTTTTTTTTTAGACTAGTTTCTGATTTCCGACAGAGTTCAAAGAGCAGAATCTGGGCTTTCTATAGTGTTTCTGATCTTTCAGTCACATTTAGACAGCTATAAACACAGTCCACAGTGAGGTCAGGTGATAGTGGTACAGTGATTGCATCGGCCACTGTAACAGATCCCTCCATAGATTAGATTATGGTGATTGTAGTGTGAAAGGACCCCAGAGTTTGAGCCTTTCTGGGTGTTATTGTGCAAGCAGAGGAGTTCCACAAAAACCCACATTTTCCAGTCAGCTGGGATTGATTGTTAGTGTCTGTGTGCCCCTAAAAATAGTCCAGAGGAGAAGGAAAGAGTGGAGGATTGTCGTCCATTTTCTCCTCTTGAGTCAGGGCATGATAGTGTACGGTGGATTGTTTACGAAACGATTGTGACTATTCATAAGTGCAACAGAGATTAACATATAAAATAATGACAGGATAAAAACAATAAACAAAATAATGGAAGCGATAAAAACATCGAAAGCATCTAAAAGCTACATCCTATTGCACAATTAAAAGTTATGATACAAAAATGGATACATAGTCGAAAAAGACAAATAAGGTATTGCATACAAATCAAGGAAATAAAAAAGTAGTTTGTTCTGTCTTTTAAGACCGTCGATTCTTTTACAGAGCATCTCCTCTTGGACGTTGCTCGATACAGCAAAGTTCAAGAGCGCTCAAAGTGTTGATTGTTTTTCACCGCCTTTTTAAGTTTAGAGACCACATTGTGTGGTGGTCGCAACAGACAGGACTTCTAAACACTGATTTCATGTGAAAAAGTGCAACATAGGGATAAAAAGAAATCCATTTAAAAGATTGCTATGCTTATGAGGATGAAACGTGAAACGAAACGAGGAGAGAAGATTAATAAAACGTGGAAACAGAAGCGGATGAGAATGCTGCATAGCTGGATTCCATTTAAAGCAATGCCATCATTAGAAAGACACACAGGAGCGAGACAGACCTAATTACTGTACACGATCAGACTGGACTGTTTGTTCACAAGACACTCCATAGCTTCCTCTTGCTGATTCAAACCAGAGAGCTCGATGGACAGAAACAAAACGCTCTCTGTTTTTTTCTTTTTTAAAAGTCTTGTCAGAAGGTCCAAGTTCAAACTTGCGTGTCGCTCGGCTCGCTGGCCAAGCTGCCCCCTCGCAGGAAGATAGCCGAACTGGACTTTGGCCGGTTCTGGCTGTGACCCTGGCCACGGGAGGAGCCGTTGTTGTTGACCTCCGGCCCCCTGCTGTCTGTGGAGATGACCCATGTGGTGGGTCGCCACTTCTTCAGGGAGTACGGCGTTTTGACGCGCTTTTTGATTTTCTCTCCGGTCCCGAAAGCTCCGTCTGGCTGCACTAAGCCTTCGCCTGGACAAAAGAGAAAGAATGATGATCAGTATCGTGGGAAAAGATGCCCAAAGGTCACATCTGCGATAGTATGACTTATAGGGGCATTTCAGCAATTTAGTTTCACGCTTTCATGAAGCTCTGGGGGTTTACTGGAGGCATATTTTAACCCCTCATATTAAAAAAACACTTGATCCTACATTTCTCTCAATGCATCAACTCTGCTTTTACTGAACCAGACTCCATTCCTGTGTGCTGCTGCACCAGTTCTGTGTAAAGCTGTATCTCAAATTAGGGGTTAATGCGTTGAAGACTCAGTCAAACCAGTTTCCCAAATACTCCAAAATAAAAAAGAAAAGACAGAAGCTATGAATGCAGGTGTCACCCCAGGGTGTGCAGCCAACTGAAGATGCATTGTAGAGAAGGTAGGCTTAAATTATAGCTGTGAAACAAGCTCTAAGAAAGTTCAATAAATCTATATCCTCCATCAAAAATTCAAAAACCATAGTTCATCTTTTCTTATGTTTGAAGTATCCAGTCAACAGTTTTTCAAGAGTTTCATTATTGATGAGAGTCCAGGGGCAAACATTTTTATGGCTTCAGGGGAAGTTCCTGATGAAATGTTGTAAGAAAGTCTGTCTAAATAATACATCAATGCTCTAACCCCCAATCTGTGAGCTGATCTTCATGTACAAACCCTCTCAGGCTACAAGTTTTAATTTTAGGTGATCTTTTGATAAGGAAGTAAATAATGTATCTGGGTTGAATAACTGATGCCTGACATGGAGTTCGTGATATGATCTGCTCTTGTGTGAGGTGTAAATAAAATCACCTAGTGAGGCCAGGTCCTGTGTGGTGAAGGACAAGTCCAGAGAGTTGGGTCTCTCAGGCCTGCGAGCTCTGGGCTGCCTAAGCAGGGCCTCGCCTCTCATGGTGACCGGAGCGTCCCTCTGAGGATCAGCACTGCCAGACCCCGTCCCCGAGCTTTCTCCGGGGGGTCCTGTCGTTTCCCTGCTTCCTCCCTCTCCACCCCCCTCCTCCTCTCCGGCGTCACTCTCACCTCCGCTCTCGCCGTCCCCCTGGCCGTGGCCTGTGTTGCTGTTGTTGTTGTTGGTGTTGGGTCGGGCCGAACGGAGTGCTGCGACACTCGGGGTTGTGTCTCTAGGGTCAGGCTGTTCTCGTTCGCGGCTGAGAAGTGGCTCATGTTCGTCTGGGCTGGCTGTGATGACACCAAGGCTCAGCCGGCTGTCGTCCGACCGCAAGGCTCCGGATCCGTTCTGAGTTATGCTGGATCCACCGAAACCCGTGGCTCCAGCTGATGTGATGGAAGAGATCCCAGCTCCGGCATGACCGTTAACAGCCCCGTTTATGCTGCCATTGACATGTGTGTCTCGTAGGACAGGTGTGTTGTTTGTGCCATTGCTCCGATGAGCCTCCACAGCTGTGTTTGTGCCTGCTACCACACCAATGTTCATCTTTTGTCCCTCTACCTGCCGCAGGTTAGACTTCCCAGAGCGTCCAAACTTGAACCTGAGAGAAGACGATGACGACTCCTTCTTGGGGGGCTTGTTGCGCAGGGGCAGACTGGACGGCCTCTTGGGCAGGTTTTGCTGCTTAGGTAATGGGAAGATGGTGGCGGGCATGGCGGCCGCAGGGTCTGACGCCCCTGTAGCCTCAGTGGCCATCTTGATGAGAGGGTAAAGAAGGCTAGAGCTGCCCGGGCTCAGTGGATCTGGAGAGCAGAACTGCTTTTGCGAGTGCTCCATCAGATTCTCGTCTGAGCTCTCCTTCAGGTTCTTATCCACCTCTTTTGGGTCCAGCTTGGTGGTTTCCAGGTCTTCTTGTGTCAGGTGGAGGCAAACTGGGACTGTGGGGGCCCCTACAGGACCCTCAGACTCAGATATAATGGTGGTGGTTGTGGTGGAGGCTGAGGGGCTGCCTCTCAAGCCCATGCTGGTGCTGCTGCCCTCTGGGCTGGGAAGGCGGGCGTTGGCTTGCTGCTGGCGCTCCTGATTGATGGAGTTCCTGTTTCTCTCTCCTGTCCCACCTCCAGCTCGACCACTCACGGAGCCGGTGGTGTCAGCCTGCGTGTTCTTCGCCACACCCTCGTGCTCTTCGATGTAGGTGGAGGGATGGTCTGCGTACGGGCCAGACTTTGGCGTCATACGATTTCTGGAAAAAGGGTTGAATAAACTTTAAATCAACTTTCATAATTCTGCATTTTTAAACACTAAAAAGTGTTAGTCAGGGTTCGGTGTTTGTGCCTACCTCTCGTTGTGCAGTGTCGTGGACATGGGGTTCAGTGTCGGGCTCACAGACTTGGAGCGGTCCCATATGAGGAGCAGTTCTGCCAGTCGCTCCTCAGCACACTGAGCTGTGAGACGGGCCTCTGCATCCTGGTCCCAACAGTCCTCCATCGTCTCTTTCAAAGAACGAACCGCCTGTTGGAAACATGGAAACAGGTTTATTATCAGCAATAACAGCAATGGAAACAATATAAACACTGTCTGTAATGCAAACATGACTTGGAGTTTGTCCCTGTTCTCTTGCAAAGAAAACACAGATACAAGTTGAAAGCAAATATTTAGTTCCTCTATGAGTATCAGCATTGTTTAAGCAAACAGACCTACATAAACAGACGTTATGTACAAATGTGAAAACATGTCTTAGTGTGGCCAGACTTGTGGAACGGAGCCGAGTAACATATCTTTAGATCAAATCCTACAGGAATGATTCACCAATTATTGATGAGACAGAATTAATCTTCATTTTTTACAGCATTTAAAAAATATTGTCTTAAGGTTGTGCATCAACAGACAGATTTCCTGAAGTTGTTTCTGATTTGTTTCTAGTTTACTAAACCTAAATAAATAAGTTTTTCAAACACTGAAACATTTCCCAAACTTGTTGTTCCATGATATTTTTGTGCGTTGGGAAATGTCTATGCACTCAGCTGAACTTTGTTGTTTGTAAAATGTTGTTGCATGCCATCAAATATCTTGGTGTTTCATGGTATATTTCTGGGTATCATAACGTTATTCCTGCTATTCATGAATTTTTTTCTAACGCGGCAGTCAGCTAAATGTTTTTTGCATCGTAAATGCTTGTGCAGTTGACCTTTAGGGTCACCGTACAAATCCCATGTAAATATGAACTGCCCCTATAGGTCTGATCATTTTCACAGGCTGATAGTTTGGAAGCTCTTCAGTTTGTACACACACTGAACAGTGCAGTCCCACATTAGGCGAGGCTACTTAAAGCCTCACACAAACAGGCTGGTGCTATGAATTATTCATTAATATGCCAAAAAGACTGGAAATACCACCGTCTAAGTTTATAACCTGGAGCAACAAACAAAAATAAACTTTTATGTGCAGCACATGCTGTTTCTTTTTATTGCCAGAAAACAGGCTGCAGGTGCTCTGAGACTGAAAACACTTCCTCTTGCAGGACATGTACTGACAGTAGTGAAGATTCTTGCATGCTTTTCTCATATTAGCAGATAGCAATCTCCGTTCATAGAAATTTACCGCAGTTTCTAATGTGCTGACAGTGTAAATCTACTTATCACCAAGTTATAATTAGATTTTGACTCTGTGAAGACACAAACAAACCCACCAAACTGTTCTCTTTCCAGGCCTCAGGGAATTTGGGCCGTTGCTTCTCCCTGGATACAAGGACCTGCATGTCCTCAAACGTCGGGTGGTTCCCTGCCTCCGCCTGGAAAGCCATCTGGTACTCTGGCACAGACTCTCCTAGAGGTAGGACAGGAAGAGGAAAGATGAGGCTTAGAAATCTTTCATGTGGCAGAAATATCCATTAAGCTGATGAATGTGCTTAATAATAAAGGCTCAGATCCCTGGCCTTGGCTCACTCTTTGGTAATGCATATATCTGCAGTATATAACAAAGGCGGGACGCGTTCATGTTTTACTGGAGGAATGAAAATTATGCTGCAAACATTTGTATATTGGATCACACAACTCAAAATTCTCTCATAGGTGTGTCTCACCGGGGAAGAGGTCGGTACATCTCATGAAAGTCTCCCAGTAGATCAGGCCCAGTGCGTACATATCCACCTGCTTCAGCGCTGACTCGCAGTCCCTCAGGTTCACCGCTCCCTCCAGCACCTCAGGGGCCATGTACCGGATTGTCCCCACCTGGTAACCGAGGCAGGTGTGGAAGATGGGGTAAGAAGCACAGAGAGATTTAGACACTATGAAAGATGATGCTACAAAGTTAGACGCGGCTTTTCCGCAGAAAAATGTATTCCTGTTAGTTGATCTTTTCCTGCATCAGAGAGGAGCTTTCTTTGAGAACACACTGCACATTTTGTTGTTCCGGCAAGGATTGATTCTGTGCTTCAAAATCTATAACTGGCAGTACAACAACAAATTTGAGCTGATAGATTGAAAAGGTAGAAAAATAAACGAGGAGCAGAAATCTGAGGGGATAATTGGAAAAAGTACCGAAACAAACAGATGGAATCAAAAACAAAGAGATTTCTTTATGCACATCGCAGTCAAGCACCAGAAAGACAAAAGCAGACATAACCCGAGACAGTGAGTATACGAAACCTCCAAAGCATGCCACATATGTTCAAATTAGAGGCTTTGTTGTTGTATGTGTTGTAACGTCTCTGTGCATCGACACAAAAATCTGTAGAGAGAGACGCCATTCCTCTCAAGTGGACACACTCTGCTTTGATTACAATAATGTAAAACCAAGGGAGCAATTATTGTAAAGCTTTTAAAGTAAAAAACCAATCAAACGGACATGATTACCGTGGCATCTAAAGCCTGGTGCAGAAGATGAAAAATCACTGTTTTTCATAAGGGAATGTGCCAGATTATCCAGGATACAGCAGTGTTTTGACTCCTAATTATATCTAGTCACCGCATTTCTATTCAGAGTATGTTTTTAGCTCCACATTGCCAAGGTGAACGCATAATTTTGGCAGCAGATGAGTCTGTTATGTGAAAAGCAAGCTGCGCTTTGACCTGGAACAGTTGCTGCTTGTCAACAAACAGGATTGTGGTCACTTTAGGTGCCGCAGGATGTAAATCTTGCTTAAAATAATCCTGCTGCATTAACACCCCGCAGATAGAATAAGTTAAAGAAGGCATGAGGATGTCATTTTAATCCATGTGTAAAATAGCATTTCTACTTTTCCTTTTTGGGGATTTTCTTATGCTTAAAAAAATCTCATGTCAGCTCCGCTTCCTCTTGAGAACTGACCTCACTTATGGCAGCGTTTTCCTCCTCCCCGTGACGCGCCGGCCTGTTTCCTGTCAACTTCATGGACAGGCCGAAATCGATGATGACACACGTGCCGTCAGTCTTGACGAGAACGTTCCGGCTGTTCAGATCCCTGTGGGAAACTGCAGGCTTGTACAAGTCTGTGAGGAGGACGGCAAAGAGAGGATCAGAGGAAAACACCAGATACAACATTTGGGCTAATTTACCTTTCATTAAATATTTAAACCTGCGCAGCACTCCCAAATTTCCCTGCCTCCCAGATACATTGTACTCGGACACTTTTTGTGGCATTGACTAATGAGCGATAACATCCAGAAAATCCCTTCATATAGCTCGCCATTCCCCCTCATTACTCTTTGTTCACCAGAGCAAGCTGCACTGTCAACAGACAGCTAAACCCACTAATCTAATCTACAACAATGGGATTAAGACCATATCAGAGGAGCCTCTTCCCTGCAGTACGATACTGTCCAGCAGAGGGGGCAGTGAAGCAGAGGGACGCAGGAAGTTGTGGCAGCCACCACAGTTATCTGCTGCTTGTTGTTGATGTGAGGGAGAAGTGGGGGAGGATGGCGACGGTATCAAAGCCTGAGAGACCCTGCTGTTAGCGGCTACGCTCTGCCCTCTCTTTCTCTCCTGTCACTTCCATGCTCTCTACCCATCTCCTCAGGCTTTGAGAGGGGAGAGAGAGACACCCCCGCTTGTGTTTGTCACGTGTTGTACGGAACAGAAAACTTCTATTCTTTTCCTGCAAGTGAACTTCTGAGCCTGTTTGATGTGAATCTGTGCTGATAACGAGAAACGAGCGCAACCACTGCTGTCACATCGGCCTCCAAAGTCTGATGTTATTGAGCCACAGGGATAGTCACATGTCATCTGAATCCCTATCTCTCCCTTGCTTTTCCTCCTTCCCCCTCTGACTTTGTCCCTCTCTGTTTTTTTTTTCACTCTCTCTGAGGCTAGCTAGAGGCCAGTCTATAAATACTCGTGGCTGGGCGTGCACGCCGTGTGTACGTGTGTCAAAATGCAGGGATGCAAAGCGCTGCGAGCCAAACAGACCCACGTGGAGCTGCAGTGTGCAGGTCACTTGAAGCTTCAAATACACACACACACACTATCGGAATTTTAATGGTATCAACAAACTTGGCTTCGCACTTAGCCTTCCCATTTTCCACCACAATTCTTCGAATGTGTTTGTGTCTCGGAAACAGATGGAAGCAGCAGCCTTGGAAGTTGAGCCTCAGTAAACTGTGAGCGGTTATGTAATTAGCTGTGAGAGAGTGTGTGTGTATGTGTGTCTGTCTGCGTGCCCTGAAGCTCACCTCCTTTAAAGAGCTCAGTGTGCAGGTACGCAAGGCCCCGGGTGACGGAGTGAGCCAACCGACAGCTGCTGACCCAGTCATTGGTCTGGACGCCCAGGTAGCGATTTAAAGAGCCCTGAGTAGGAAGAAGGGAGAGGGAGGGGGGAGAAGGCGGGATAGGAAGGAGACGGATCAAAACAGACAGAGGAGGGGAAAAAAAAAGAAGCTTATTTAGTCGCTCACAAGAAGAGCACAGAAGAAAACAAGCAAAAGTGGTGACTACAAACAGCAAGCGATTGTGTGTGACAACAAATACTGTGGAGTCATATGCATATAAATGATTTTTACATTAAGTGAATGTTTGATGAATTAAAAAAAAAAAAAAGGTAAAGTTCACAGGAATGTCCCAACCTGAATCTAAACTATCACATCAGAACTAATTTTAAAAACTGCAAGTTTAGCCAATCATCCCACTTTAGATGTTGTAAATTGAGCACAATTTGCAGCAGAAAGCAAACGTGCAAGTATGAGCAACCCCGTGAGCAGTGTGCAAATATTACTGAAGAAACTTGTAATACATGTCTGTTGGGTGAGGAGCTGCATTCAATATTCCTAATTTGATTCATGAAACTAAGTTTAAATGACACGGGATGAGAAGTTCACTAAAGTCACAGAGGAAAAAGCCGTTGAGGTAAAACAACAAGCTCTATTATCCAGGCATGTATCAGATCAGGATACGACAGAAATATCAGATTAGGATCAGGGGGCTAAATTAAATTAAATTAAATTAAATTAAATTAAATTAAAAAATAAAATATATTTAATAAATATATTTCATTTTATATCTAATATTTAATTATAGTTAATATTTAATTACCTTTATATTTAATATTTAATTTTATCTTGTATTTTTTTGCTGCTGTAACGTGAATTTCCCAGTTTGTGATCAATAAAGTATATCTATCTATCTATCTATCTATCTAAAAGGCCTATGAGGACATCCTTAAAAGTTTATTATTATAGCAATAAAGAACAAAATTCATACATTTAATCGATACAAACAGATTAACTAAAGGTAGATGTCTTTATAAGGTAATACATCCAGTTAAATTGAGATTAGTCGGAGCTCAGCTTGCAGTCCCCCCACACACCCAGGATCTCTTAGAGACAGATTATTTAACCTCTAGCTGCTTTATTCAACCATTTTAGCCATTTTTTACAGGGTTTGTTTGTTTAATGAGGACAGCTACAAAAAAATACAACTAGGGGAAAAAAAATAACTCGTTAATTTATTTAAAAAAACGACCAAAAAAAAGATGAAGCTCGTTAGAACAAGCTGTGTGATTGTTAGCTGAGGCTCAGCTTGCCCTGGACATTTTGTTCCCCTCACAGAGGGCCATGAAGACCCTGGCTTCATAAGCGTGATCCTGTCATTTATGAATTGTTTTTAATTGGGTAATTAAAAGAATGCAGCCTGCTGAACTCTGTATTCAGGCTTTCATCATTATCACTGTACCCCTCAGACTTAGAGCATAATCACATCACACTATTGCAATAAATAAATCGTTAATCCTAAAAAACTTGGAAAACTACATTTTTCAACATCATCCATGTTGATTAAGCCAGCTATCTTGCGAAAAGGCAATTACACAGGGGGGCTGACTCATTATTTCCGGAGACTGTGCGTTAGGCTCATCTCAAACACAACCACTCACACTAAACCGATCGGAATTTTCTAAAAATCAGAGTCCTTGGAAGACTCGCTGTTTATAAACCCAAAAAGGTCAGGACTGACGTACTGCAAAACAATTATCATCACATTTAAACCTCAGGGCTTTAAACAAGGCTGACTTTGTGCTCTGACCTCCCCGTAGAAGGGGCAGAGTTTCACAATAAAACTGACTTACAGAATATTTTATCACCATCCAATAAAGGTCTCAAAGTTCCCTGGAGTGATGAGTTTTTGTGGGAGGAACAGCCGTGTGTAATCCTGGTTTAAATTGTGGCATTAAAGTAAAGAATCCCTGTGAGGAAAATCAGCCACTCTGCTCATATTTCTACCAGCAATTATGGTTGATATTATTAATTTCCTTCCTCAATTATCTCCATCAACCTTCATAATCCATTACCGGCCTGGCCCTGGTGCACAAACAAACACAACCTTACATACACAAGGAGACACACGAGCACATACACTTAATGTTTTCTCATCAGAATCAATCATAGAGCAATTCACGCATCCGCTAGCAACAGAAATTACATTAGAACTGTTCATTTTGAACAAATGATATTATCATTTACTAGCATGCATAATGCAGTTCACTTTTCTGTCCCGGCTTGAACCCCGTCTCCATGACGACGCGTATTAGATTAATGGTTATGATGCACGACAAGCTCCATTCATAGGCCGGCTGGGTGTCAGCTGACTTGAAATGGTAAAGCTAAGGGCCATTTTAAGGAACTTTCACACTGATATAGAGGAGTTCCTCGAGGCAGCCTTCAGCAGTCACTGTCAAAGTTTTATTTTTGCTGCATCAGCTGTGCGTTCGTTTGTCTGCAAGAAGAGCTGAGGCAAGGTGAAAGAATTAGACTTTCATTTTCGGATGGCTTCACCTCGAATAACCCTCAGAATCCACACTCGAGTGGGGAACAGAGCTGAAGCAGGCCCAGCTATCCTCCAAGTTCAAATGTATACTCTTAAGAGCCAAAAAGGGTTCTTTATCTGTACAATATACTTAAGTTTCCTAAATGTGGACGAGGCAAAGATCACTTAATGTTAAAATTATAATCTGTATGACCCTTAATAGCCATTGCACGCACACTTATACTGTAATCACCTTGACGTTTCTGTGCTTCACTTAAATTGCCATCTCATACACAATTCACTTTAGCAGTTTGGGATTTGATCACACTGATATCCGCTTCAAAGCTGTAGATTTTTTAGCTGACGCTTATCAGACATGACCTACTGCTGCTGCTTCAAATCAAAAGCTCTCAGCTGCCTTTAATTTTAAGTTAGTCACAGAAAACATCCTGTACAAGTCAACGCTAATAGTGCTTTCCCTTTATTTGTCAAAGGATTAGTTATAAATATGTCACGGAGAAAAGAAGTCGCAGCCTTTCACTGACAGTCTTGGTTATACAAATTTAATCAGGGTAAACTAGGGCTGCACCAGTTGTGAGAATACGCGCTGATACAGATAACTTCTTGGTAAATGTGCCATGTTTCACCAACTGCATGTAGCGGATCTCTCTCAGGGACAGCGGCAAAGTCCCACACTGTTGACATTTTCTATCTTATTTGACCATGAAAACAAATCAGTTTGCCCAACAGGTGTGTCCTTCTGCCCACTAAAAACCCCCTTCCCTGAACCAGCAGTTAAGTATACTTGCTGTGTGATTGGTCGACCGAACATCTGAACGTCAGAGTTGCTAGTTGGCTAAAGGAGTTATTGATATTCTCATCCCTGCAGGCTTGGAATGCCTCATATTCCTAACATTTTGTAACATGTCTTCAAACGTAGAAATATCTGCAAATAATCATATTATTTATCAAGTGTGTGCAGCTGCTGGAACTGCATACGGTCACAAATAACACAAACAACTGTATGTTATTTAAACACACACACACTATCTACATACATTCCTCTTCCCTCCTACTTACATGTGGGTAGTAGTCCATGACCAGCAGGTACTCGGTGCGCCCCTCTGAGCCCGTCCGCTCGTCGGCGGCAACAAACCGTGCGATGTTGTCATGCTCCAGCAGCGGTAGCCGGTAGATGGAGCATTCATTGAGAAAGTTCTGCCGGTTGGCCGCGGTGAACACCTTCACAGCCACGGGCCGTTCGTCCAGAGAGCCGCAGTACACGGCGCCATATCTACCCCGCCCGATCAGCTAAAAGAAATAACAGATTGATGGATTATTTTGTTGTAATTGTAGACCTTTAGATCTGGTTTGTCTAAAAGAGGAAATATGAAGTTGGCAATTTTGTTTTCTGCTTTGAAAATGCTTGGGGGATAATGACGAGTCAAGATAAAGATATCTTTAAAACGACAAAATCCAGAAGCTGCTTAAGAGTGGGACAAACAGAAATAAAGACAGGCAGGCAGGCAGGGAGGCAGGGAGATAGGAAGCAAACTACATTAAAGGCAAACAGCAGGGTCAAACAGTGAAAATGGCCTAAAGTCAGTTCCCAATCATTCAATTAGTGTCCTGAATTAGCCAGAGCGCAGCATGCCATTAAGGGCCAAACATTCAGCTTTAAAAGTCATCTGCGTGAGCGTAAGAAAGGAAAAAAAAAGAAGAGTGCATTCATTTCTGTGTGGTTTCCACCTCCACGTCTGCCGAACACATTTATCTCCAGCTATAAAACATACTGTGAAAGCGCTGGACTGTTTTGTCTGTGAGTAAGGATAACTGCTGGCCCCCCCTTGGTAACCAGCCTGATGTGAAAGAACGTGTGCCTGCATTTGATAAGGCACAAGGACGGCGTTCTGAATTCAGATCCTGCTTGAAAAGATATCACAGCCTGTCTCTGGTCTGAAACGCACTAAATAGATGTCAAAAGATTGGAAGAAAGAAAGCTGCCTCTCAGAAGTTGGATGATTATATTCTGAACTGATTGGCTGCCTCTTCATTGTTTCAGGAAACTGAAGAGAAAGTTCAATCTCTGAGGAAGGTAACATTTCATGTAGGAGGCATCATGCTGCCCTGTTCGATTTGTGTTTTTAGAAAACTCACCAAGAGTCATATCAAGATAATAAAACTTTGGGCCGTTCCTTTAAGCAAACTCTGGGTTTATCTTTCTTATCTGTCTCTTTAGCTTTCCAGTCAAATGCCACCAAAAATTTAAGTCGTTTTCAGTAAACCTGAAGAGAGTTGAAGTGCACTTAACAAGAGATAACTCTATGCTTGGTTTTGGTGCACTGCAGTAAATTAAACACACAAGAAAACAAGATCCTTGAACAATAAACCAGAGAGCTAAAATGGAAATTTTGTCAAACCTGCGTAATGAAGAGCATTCTGAGTATGAGTAATAGTCAAAATGGACCCAATTAGGTAATAGTGAAAGCTTTTCCTGCCTTGAACTGCTAGTCCCCGTGTATGCGGTTTCGCCTAAATTTTTAAAACAGAGGTAGAGAGTGCAAATTTTTATAACTCACAGCCAGAGCGGGCCACGGTTATGAAAACAAGACCCCAGATAAAAAAAGGTGGAATTTTCTGGCTTTCATCTGTGAAAAAATTTCTGGCGTTTCAGCAGTTAGTCTTTCAATTTAAAATCCCGAGAAAAAGAAGTGACAAAATGTAGAGATGGGAACGTTTTTAGAAAAGTTCAATTGCGTTTAAAAAGTTGCGCCTGTCATCTAGGTGTCTCCTTTGGCTGGGTTTATTCAAATCAGTCACCGCGCTCGTTTCTCCTGCCTGCCTCCTTAATCCCTCCCTCCTTCTTATAATGTCACTGCGGCGCTCTGAATATCATCCGGGCTCCATTGACTTCCTATCACAATATGAGCCTCCCTGCATCCCTATCAGGTTTTCCGGATCTGGTGTCACTGTAAGCAAAATCCTATTTTTGTGCGCCCCGCCATGATCCGATGATACAGGTCACATTGAAACGACAAATGTAACCCTAAACCTTGATGTATTTTGAGTTTATTTTTCGCCTCTGTGCCTTTGGTTTCTCCTTTCTTTATCTTACTCTTGTTTCTCTCCCCGCTCCACACACACGCGTACACGCTCGCTGTTTGTCAGGGTACTGAAGTCTGCGTGAGCACAACATGTCTAAACCGATGATACAAGCTTTCATCTTCTAGAAACAGGCAGTAGAAATCTGCAGGATTTGGGGTGTAAAAAAAATGTAGTGAGTCATCCTGTGGAGAGGGATTGATTTTTTTGATGCTACCGTATACATCGCCGCTGCTATCAGGGAGAACTAACCCTCTACACACATCACGAGTGTGTTACTAAATCTGGATTTGTTTAATTGCCTTTAAACTATTTACAATCCCTGCTGTAGCTGCTCTCGATTGGCTCGTTTTGTAAGAGGGAGTAGTATTACACAGTGATGTTCTGGCACTCTGAATACGTCTCTGAGCCAAAACAAATTGATTCATTTGATGAGCACATGACTGTTTTGACCTACAGTAAAAAATTTAGAAGACACAGACATGGGCAGATGGACGTCTTTGCACGCTAACCTCCAACAGTTTGAGATTCTCAAGGTCCAGGGAGCTTTCTAGTGTTTCTCCCCCGGTGGGCATGCTTCATGTTTGGCATGGAAATGATTCCTTGCAAAACACTTTTCATGCAGGTAAAGGACGAGTGTGTGTCTAGAAATTCAAATAAGAGCGCAGCATGCCTCTAAACGTGTCGGATTAGTTCTACACATCTCTCTCTCTTCGTTTACACCCTTTTCACAACTCCAGTTTGTTTTTTTTTCTTTGAGGTGTTGAAAAAAGACTTAATAAGGGTCACAGACGGACAGATGTGCGTGAGAGGGCACTGACCTCCAGCAGTTTGAGATTGTCCAGGTCCAAGGAGCTCTCAGAGCCAGCAGCCTCCATCATATTCAGGTTGTGCAGACCCTGCTTACCGTTTCCTGTTAACACACACACACACACACACACACACACATACACACACACATATAAAGCTTAGCAAAATGCCAAACATGCAGATGCATTTAACATGAAGATCATCCCGTTATCCCCTTTACTAAATTAATTGAAAACCCAACAAAAAAAGCGTTTCAAAGAACGGCCTTGAATAATAAATGTTCCCTGCTCGTCCTCACAGCATGGCGCCATGGTAACTCACCGTGCATCTTGCGGTAACAGAAGAAGGCTGCGACAGCGAGCACGGCCAGCATGGAGACTGTTGCCAGGGTGATAATTACCGTCTCTTCGTAGCCCAGTGTGCGAGTGTCTACAAGAAGAAGAAGAAGGAGGGGACACACACACATCAAAAACAAAAAGTACAAATTAGAGTGCAACCTTTACGTGGGAAGAGCGAGGGTCTCCGGTCTTGCACTGGGTCTTTGATTTGTGAGCGGCGAGCCAGAGGAAGGCCACGGCTGACAACCTGAGTTTGTAGTTTATGAGGCATACCTGCACGATCTGATGCAATCCAGGACAATGGATGGGCAACAGAGTCGAGTGTTGATCCACCCCTGCCTCAAGTTTTTTCATGAGATAATGAGCCTCGGAGAGACATGTATGGGGTCGAGGTCGATAACAAGGTGGAAAAACAACACATTAAAATGGTTTCACACAGCAGTGACTGGCAAATTGAGACAAACAGCAGCACTGTTTGTTTATGGCACGCGGTTTACGCTCCAGCTGAAGCTAATCTGGTCTTAATCTATTATTTTTGTGATCAGCTGAGCGGGAGTTTAGTCCAAAAGAGGGGTTGCAAGGAAATGAATTAGAGATCACTTCACATCAGTGCATCTAGAGTTAAATTTAGATAAACCGTACAAATGACAGACTGTGTCATCAGTTTTCATCTTTTCCTCGTTACCATACGACCTCTGCGGTGATTACGAAAGATTCATTTACCGTCAGTAGCAGCAGATGAACTTACAGAAGCACAGGCAGTAATACGTGCATACAGGTGGACTCATTTTCTGCAGACCAGCTGATTTTCACGTGTTCAGCTTCTAGCAAGTGAAACCCACAGTCCCACACAGACTCACTTGTGCATCAAGATTACACGCTCGATATTTATGGTACCGGGTCAGGGAAGCTCTGGCAGGAGTGGTAAAAGAGTTGTATTGATTCCACACTCTAGAGGAGGATTTGGACCAAGCCTTGATTCAGACCACATCCCCACTAATAACTGGGAGCCTAAAAATTACGTTGCCGATCTTAAACCTATACTTCCACCAGTGGTCTGAGCACACCCTGTTGACATAGGCTGTAGTTCTTGTTGCAGGGATTGCTAGTTGAACTTCTGGCTACTACCCTTCCCTGACTCTCTGCTCCATTCATTCAAGTCATTTCTCATTTTTTGTCACGCTTATTCATTTTTATTTAATGTTCTGAAAGCAAGAAAAGCATCATACTACTGCTTAAGTCGTATTTCTCTGTATAAATTTGTGAAGATTCAGCAAACAAAGAATAATTTTCCAGCTCAAGTTGGATAAATACATATCAAACAAAACAACCCAACAGATTTGGTGTAGTTTGTGCAGCAGAACACCGTCAGGTCCCTTTTAACAAGTTCTACCATCCTCCTTCTTTTTCGAGTCAACAACCAGCGTGCTGTTCAGTTTATACATTGTTATATCGAAAACATTGTGCCTTCTGTCTGTGAGAATTATTTCTGAATATTTAGCGCCGCTCAAAGTGACCAAACTCTGTACAGTCGTAAAGTTCAACCTCCGTTTTTACACCTTTAGAACTATTTTTTGAATGGACTGGTAAGTGGACTCACGGTGTGTTTGTTGTTTTCCTTCCACGTCAATAATTACACACGCCAATGGCGGACTTACACACACCGAAATGTCTTGTGCAATGTGTGTTTGCGAACAACCACTCACGCTGTGGAGCGCGTGAAGGAAAAAGGAGGGAAAGAAAAAACATCAATTAAGCCAAACAGCCATGAAGCATGGTCAACAGACTGGAAAAAAACGGTGCAGGGAGAGGAAAAAAGAGAAACAGAGGATGTGTGGGAAGTGAATGGAGAGAGCAGGAGAGAAAGAAAATATGTAAAAACAGAGAGAGCTGGTCAGATGGTAGGTAGGAGCAGTTAGCTGAGGAAGCTGCAGTTTTAGCTGTCTGGTATTTGTGATTAATGAAGCTGCATCAGCTTTAAGTGCTACTCTGGAGACAAAACACGCACACACTCACACAGAGCTTAAATATAAGAACACTTGCTTCCCCCTATATACCACTGCACTATACCCTACACTGCAGAGACTCAATTCCAGAGCAGCTACACTGAAAAATAAAACACTCCTGCATTCTCTACGTCAGACAACACGCCGGCGCTGCCGCGAGACACCACCTTTATCAATAATTGATGGCTTTGAGAGCCTTAGGGTCGCTTTGACTGACACACTAGTATGAACATTGCACGCACACGCACACATAAACACGTGCACCCATGGGGGTTGACGTGGTTCCCTCCGAATGCTGGGGTCAGCAGGTTCATGATCAACAAGGGGGCCGCACAGGAAGCTTTCTGACAAACACAGGCTGAAACACATAAACATGCACTGGGAGGTTGTTTAAACTATCCGTGGTATTGAAAGCTTGTCTTACATGTCAGAGAAACATGCTGAGTCAGGACACATGAAAAGCTGGGATTGACAAGTATTTGTCAGTCTGAAGTGAGAATAAATTATCATAGTTTAATGTTATTTCAGTATTATGCTCATCTCTTGGTATGGCTAGCTTGCAAGCTAACAGTTTGTCTGATTATGTAAATGCAGATCATGTCAAGTTATGACATATCTGAGCCCTCACAGGTTGTCCCACTTTATAAGGGGAGGGGGAGGTTTCACCAAGGGCACTTCAAGAAAAAAGGAGGTAGGAGTGGAAATGAGCCTTGAGTATCTCTTAAACTTGGCTCCTATTTGTTTCTGTTCCTCTTATTTGTAATGCTTTTTTAAAAACCTGACTCTGCAAGTTTTATGAGGAAGGAAATACATCCAGAATATTAACAGGACCTCCAGGACACATACAATGTGTATTATTGGGAAACATTTAATGTAAACAAAACTTTAGTTTGTTTACAGAAAAGGCCACAGGGTGCCTTTAAAATTAGCTCTACTGCTATAACTTACTGAGCCGATTCTGAAGACTGAAACAAGCCTGGGAGTGTTTCACTCTTTGTACTTTAGCAGCTGCGATATAAGTTACGCTTACACAAGGATCTTTGTACTTTTACCCTTATGTTATCAAACCTATACTTGCTTCCTTGTTTATGTATATTTCCTGTAACATGATACTGCTTCTTACGCTGCCATAAAAGATGTAAGTATACCTTCTGACACCTTCCCACCTGAATGTCGTCACCCATGCGTCTCGGCTTAAGATTACCCAGACGTCCAACTGACACGAATCATTTCCTACTTTGCAAAACAACTGACGATCTGACACAGATCTGCCCAGACATGTCAGAACCGTCTTTCTAACCACACAAACATGGTTTAAGGTTATGAGATGACCCAAACTCAAGCTCCTCTGATCAATTAACCCCTCTCCCTGACACCAAATTATTATTTTCTGTGTGTTTTGTCTCGTCATCTTTCTGCCCGGCGCAGCAGTCACCGACACGCCCGCAGACAGACAGATAGAGCAGACGCCTTGTAATCCGTGGAATGCGGAGCGACGACATGGATGGTGGAGAGTGTATGTTTGTGTTTATGTGTGGGCAGGAGAGATGATGAGCCACCGCCGTCGCCACTGCTGCTGCCACCCTCCCCCAGGTTCCCCTCCCCCTGCTCCTCCTACCACACACACAGCTTTCATTCAAAGCTAACGCTTTAAGGGAAGGAACAAATAACAATACGTCTGTTTGCTTTGTTTAACACCTTGCTAAGAACACACAAGCAGCTTAAAATAAATCCCTCAGTGGACTAGCATGGAAACAGAATTCAATATCTGCCACTTTCACGGCCTTTTAGTGCATATAATCTATAGCAGCCACACAGGGAGGACACTAAAAATGCAACAAAAGCCTATCTTCCGGTGAACCAATTCATTCTTGCAATTCACAGTTGTCAAGGTTCATAATGGAAGGCAATCAAGGAGCTTCATACTGAGCTGTGTGTCGAATGATGAAGCAGAGGAGGAGGAGGAGGAGGGAGAGAGAAAAAGTAGCTACAAGTAGGTGTAGGTGCAGCAGCTCTGATGATATCAAACATCCTTTCATTCTTCCCCGTTAATAGCTTTGGATTTCACGACCGTGTGGGCGCACATTCGTTATTTCTCCCGCTCTTTGCTTTGTTAGTCATTTCTCACTCATTCATTCATTTCCCCCTCCGCCCTATGAGCTTGGTTGTATAAGAGAAAGTTATAACCTCTGCAGGAAAGTTCATTCTCTTGGAGCATGGAGTCAATTTAGCTGCTAAAGATGCTTCGTCAGGTTGAATTCAGATATTCGCAACCGAAGTCGTGCTTTAATGTAATTCTTCTCAGAAGTTAAAGTGACCTTTTGATGGAGTGATTTCCCTTAAAAACCTCTGAATGTGGAATTAACCTTGAAAATCACAGACTGTAACTGGAGAAAAGTTTTAAACTGTCCCCTCCTCTTCTTCTATGATCTATTGTGCTTATTTGTGCTTACAGGTGGGTTGTGGCGTGGTCGTGCCGGGCGGCGGGAAGTCCTCGGTGAAGTTGACATTGCACATATCGCTGCCGCAGCAGCAGAAGTGGTACGTCCCGTTCTGGATCTGCGGCGGCAAGTTGGTCACCACGCAGCGGTCTTTGCGGCAACCCTGATGGTCACCCAGGTGAGTCCAGCAACCTGACAGAGAGGAGGGATTTAATTGAGTCAGGAGATGGTGACGAAACAGAGAGAGGAGGTTCACACTTATCAGCTCGAGAATGTTCTGTTTGAGAAATCGAAGAAGCTATTAAACACACCATCGCCCAGGTCAATATAGTGAGGCGTTTGGAGATCACGGCCAATAACTTAAGAGAGATAATGTTTCCTGACAGACTGAAGAAAGTTTTCTGACTGATTGCAAAAGTTGCTGTTATCTCATAATACACAGGCTCTAATACTGATCCTAAACCTTTGATACCAAGTCTAACTCTAATCTCATTATCAAGTGTGATAAAAGAATTGTACCGTCTGCTGTAAACTAGCCTTCATCGTCTGCAAGCACCAAGTTGTTGCTGTCATCTATCGTTATATAATAATAATAATAATTCATTTTATTTGTACAGCGCTTTTAAAAACACTCAAAGACGCTTTACATAGTACATAAAGCCCAAGGTAATAAAACAAAGACATAAAAACAGTAGAAATAAAATGAATAAAACAGTTAAATATTAAAAGCAATTTTAAATAAATGAGTTTTTAAAAGGGATTTAAAAGTCGTGGGGTCAGGGCAGTGTCTGATGGAGAGTGGTAGGGGCAACTGTGGAGAATGCCCGCTCCCCCCAGGTTCGGTGCTATATGATGAATTACCCTCATCAGCAGCTCTGTTTGGCTGCTTGAACCAGCAGCAGTCATCGTGATTTAATTACCTTAAGATGCCGGTTACTTTTTTTAGGCCAAAAAATTGAGGGTATCTAATCAGTGCAAAGGTTAGGTGATTTTCTTTCAATGCCCGCTGGTGTATTTTAGACCTCTCCACAACTTGGACCATTATCAGACAACTCGACCTGTAATTGTCACTTGTAGCTGCAGAAACAGCCTTTCAGACTTTCAACAGTCACACTTCAAAGGTTGGGGGTTAGTCACAGAGGAAATTCAAGCACCCATTACGAAGATATCTGTGGAATTCGTCTGCATGACTCCCTCTCGTACAAATACTACACTGTCTCTCAGGTTGTACCTTGTTTAACTAGTCGTACTTCGCCCGGGGGACTTTTCTCCCACAGGCCAAAACAGTGGCTGCCCTTGGCACATCGGATGGTTGTGTTTTCTGGAGAGACCCGGCCTTCGCCCCCCGCCACTCGCTCCACCTCCCACTGCTGCTGCTGGTCCGTGAAGGCACACTCCCGCTCCTCCCCCTGCGCCGCTGTGAAAAGACAGAAAAACGGGTTGAGTCGTATCTCATTTTCTCGCCAAAAAACGAGGCTGCGCTTTGCAGTGCGACAAAGTGAATAGGTTAGTTTGATGAAGGGGGGCAAAGATGTTTAACTCTGAAATGGTGGCAGTGTCTGAGTTTGCATTAATGAGGACATGAAGGGAGGGGAAAGCGAGTAAGATAGCCTTACAGCTTCATTAATTCATGTCAATTCATCACATTTCTTTATCGATTACGCTCATTTTACCGACACAGAAGCACTTTTAATATGCACATTTAAGATGAACACTTCTCAGCATCGTGAACATGCAGATCTCATCTTGTAAAGAGTGTGTACATAATTTATTCATTATAATCCATACACATACAGACAGACAGTTCTTGTCTGCTACAAACGCTACAGTGATAGATTGATACTGCGTCTGTCTACACAGGAAGAATAATCCACAGCTGAAAAAAAAAAGCGTCTGCCTGCAAAGACTGCTGCCTCTCACAAGCCAAAGATCAATAGAAAAACCAATTTAAACTCTCGCCTGAAGGACGTAACACAAAAACATGCAGAGGCACAGAGGAAAAGTGGACATTAAAGCTTGAAACAACCCTCATTAAAATCACACTAAAAAACCTGCAATATGTCTGTGAGAGGAGAAAATTCAATGTCAGAGAATCAGAGGTAGAAGTCCAGCACCAAAGCGAGAGCACCCACGTTATATTTTATGAACTCCTTTGTAGCTTTTTGGTCAGAGTGTTTTCTTCTGAGCAGTGAACTTAAGTTGGTGTCAAATTGTGTGTTTAAGAGAGAAGAAAAGCCTGCATATGGGTCCAGTTGCTTGTAGATTAGATGCCAGGGAGGAATAGTTTGAGCCTGAGTCGGTGTGTGTGTTTGTGTACACCGCCTGCTTCGTGGGTAATTTCAGATAAGAGAAACATGATGTGCCAGTTTGTTTCCCTTTCTCCCAACTCCTCCCTTTCCTCCAGCTGGGGGGAAAAAAAGAGCGGTGGGGAGAGGGGGTGGGGGGGCGTCTGTTATGGAGGGAGGGGAGGGAGGGTGACTGTGCCCTGCCCAAGGTCAAGCTAGCCTGTGTGGGCAGAGAGTGACGCGATGGAGTGGTAGCGCTCCTGGGCAGCGCGCCAACTTTCCTCCTCTGCTCCCATCCGCAGATAAAGCTATCAACCCTGGCCTACTGTGGGCCTCGGCTGCCCTCAACCTGTGGGCCTTTGCTGCCTACTGTTCTGTGGGACCATCTTTGCCTACAGGGGGAAGCACAGCGCGCGCACACGCAGAGTGGGAGAGGAGTTCAAACTGAGGGTTAAACTTGTGGAGGAATTTTCATTTTGATGAGGAAACTGAATTTTAATGAGCTGACAAAGTCACCGGCTGGGCTAGCGGTTAGATTCCCAAAAGAGCAGACAACACTCCTCTTGGATGTTGTTTCAGCACATTAACAAGCTCTGGGTTAAAATGACCACCAAATGGTACATGTGCTCCATAATTACCATACATAATGTGTCATACTGTGCGTGCTCTTGCTCTCAAAGCACTGAGAAAACCAGGCGCCAACATGGTGAGTGATTCTTTAGCAGATAAGCGCAAAAAGTAACACAACCAGCTGTAGTTTTTTTGATTATAACTGATCCAAAAAAGGCTTGATTCCCCCAAAATGAACAACAATCCCACCATCAAACATTCATTCATATTTTACCACTTTTCTCTCGAGGGCACAGATCAAGCTCACATCTTGTGGCGTCTGGCAAAGTTCCTGATCGATGCGGCCGGAAAACACTTTGTTCATTTACTTCTAATTATTGTAATGAAGTTCAACGTCCATTTAAAGGGCTGCAAACACTTCTAGTTTAAAGATCTTTTATTTAGTAACTTAAAGGAAATGGAGGCTTATCTGCTGCTAACACAGCTTTCATCTGTTCTCTCTTTTTTTTTGTCGTCTATTTTCTCCGAGCTGAAAATAAGCATTTCAAGCTGCCCTTGCTTCTGGAGGACGTGTTAACAGAGGAGAGCAGAGAAGAGTTAAAAAGAAATAACCAAAAGAGTTTGGTAAAGTGCACTCTCGCCTGCAATAAAGACAGATATTAGCTGCTTACAAGCTTTCTTCACATAAAAATAGCCGCATATAATTTCATGCTCCTTTGGCCTTGGGATGTCAGTGATACAATAAAATCTTTATTCTGATGAAACAAAGCTCATGAACAACAGTGGTTAACGCTCAACATCCTATCAAGCCAGTCTGTGGGAAAAAGCTGAGCACATATCACCTCTTCATGTCGACACTGCAGCAAATACATGGAGGATATATTTCTAATATTTACGCAAAAATTTAGATTCTTAGTTAAGAGCTGACAAGTCACAATAAAAAATAATAGAAGATAAAGTTAAACACATTAGAGGCTTTTGCAGTGTTGGAGACCTGCCTGAGGGAAAAGAAAATGCCACAAGTTACAGGGCAGATGATTAGCTCCGGGCGCAGTGTCTAATCTTATGCAACAGTTCAGTAAACCAGTGATGTTTTAACTCGACTGTGAAAGAAAATGTCAATTTGAATGCTAAATCAGCCGGAAAGTAGGCTGAAATGAACGAACGATTTCCATGAAGGTGCTACAAACTGTGGAATCTGGAGACCCTTTTTTCTAGCTGTACCATTGAATTATTTTTTATATGAATAAATTTGAATCTTTAGAGTCAACCTAAGCCTTTGTTAGTTGTCATCCTATTGTGGATCAACTGACTATTTAAAATTAATAAATGAAGTTAAAGCTCCTGTGTGGAATTATTTGATATTTATGAAATAAACTAAAATTCATACTGATGCTTTTTTTTTAAAATATACAAAAGTAAACAAGACTATTAAAAACAAGATTAGCTATTTTTATTCAGTTATTTTTAACACTTAAAAAAGGTGCGAGGGGGTAGGTGTCAGGAGAGCAGCTGAAAAAACAGCCCTGATATTTACAATATGATATATTTAACTGTCAAGAGTCAGTAGGGTGAGGTTTTTTGGAACAAGATGCCACTTGAGCATGTAGGGGATAAAATAGGCAAAGATTGCTTCGTCCACAGGGGGCGCCAGAATTGACCCAAATAGAAAGTTCCTCATATGAGCTTTAATTTTGAAAATAAGTTAGCCAAAGACATAAAAAAAAGTCAGAGTGAGACTTTTTTTTTGCTTTAATTGCTCACTAAGTACAACTATGACAGTCCACTCACAACAGTTGTCATTAAAGCTGAAAAGTTCGATCTCGGTAGGAACCTGCTTCTGTTTTTACACTGAAATGACAGCTCTATTTCTGTAGAATATCACTCTGTTTTATTGTTAGCCATCTCCAACATCCTTCACTTCTATTCCCTCACTGGTTTCATAATAAACTTTTGGCCAAATGATTTACAGTGATGGTGTGAGAAGTTGTGCCCCTCCCTTGATGGTAATCTAGGCTAAAAGGCGACATCCCGTAACAGCTTCAACAGTGATCTGTTCTGTCTTGAATGCACTTCCTTTCTAATTACCAGAAATGGAGAGGAGTGGGCGATGGCTGGGAGGACAAGAGTTGCAGAGAAGAAACTCTTGGGAAAAGAGGAGAAACATTAAGAACAATAGTAGGAAGTTCCTCGCTTGTGACAACACCCTGAGACAGTCAAACCACACAAACTGACCTTGTGTGCGAGAATTGGGAAGAGAAAAATCCATAGAGCAGAGTATCTCCTGTCTGCCTCCCAAAGCTGGGTAGATACTCTATGCCTCAGCATTAATTATTAACGTTTTTACTATAATTCAAGGCTATGAAATGAAATCCCTCATAATGATGCTCGGTCTAGAGGAGCTCACAGGCATGAAAAACCCGAAAAGCAGATAAAAGCTAGGTTCTCTGTCTAGAAATTAAAGATGTGTTTTCATTCACAAGACTTTTGTGGTTGTTAATGGTGTTTCAGTGTGTTTTTGTTGCACTGATGGAAAGACCAAAAGCAATATGCCTTTGTAAACAGATCACATTGTAGCTGCTCCGTATTGCAAATTTCCCGCATTGCTGGACTATATATATTGGGTTTAGCAGTTCAATTCAGCAAACAGTGAACAGAAAAGAAAGTCAGTGTGGCATGTATTGGAGCCCAAACTAAAGCAGGTTTTGCTCATTTGCAGTCTGAGCCATGGGGGCACTTTTGTAGACACATTTCATTGGTTTGTCTGTCACCCTGCTCGGTCGCGGTTGGTTCTTTGACTGAATTCTGTCTTTCTTCTGGGAGTTTCTGGTTGGATGCCAATCTCTGTGAGTATCTCTGATTGGCCGAGGCAGGCTCTGTCCCTGGTTCTGCTATGTGGAGCTTGCTGTGTGATCTTGGCTTTCCACTGCAGTATTGGATTGTGGGTCAGAGTATGCAGGCAAGGCCAGTGGAGCGAGTCAGATGAGAGAGAGAGGGAGAAAGAAAGAGAGAGGGTAGTCATATCAAAAGGCTCTGGAGTAGTTTTCTGCTCCAAGCCTGCTCATTGGATGAATCCCCAGCACTGCTGAGTGTTTACCCATGGCCCAGTTATTTGCTAATCTCTCTCCCCTCCTCCCCCAATTGGCCTTCGGTGCACCCTCCCATCCCCTCCCGACTCTTGGACTACCCCCGTCCCCTCAGCCTCGCTGCTAAAAAACAACAGCGATCTAATCTGGCTCTCTCCTTCCTCGCTGCCAAGGCCTATAGGAGAGATGTAAGACACGGCAGTCTGAGACTTGATTAAAAGTCACAGAGTGCCGCTGATGTGGTGACTGTTTTCTCTCCACAACTGCCTCTGAGTTCACAGTCAAGATTAGAGACAGGAATAGAGGGTGCAAGGGCAGGGAAGCACTCTTGACTACAGGCTAAAACGTGCTTGATGCACTAGTGCACACAGCATCTCCTCTGCAGACATGCGTGCCCTGTCCGCATCCACTGAAGTATTCAAGCAGCGCTCTCTTGCTGGGGTATCATGGGAAGAGCAGGGATGGTACTGGCTGCAATGTCAGGGCCTTTGCTGACTGTATCTAAAATGTATGCTGTAAGTATGGCAGTTAGTGCTTAGGGCCAGAACCTACCTTATAAACTCTTGACAGCTTGATTTCTCAGGGGAACAATTTTGGCGAGCAGAAGTGCAATGCCAGTAAAAAAAAAACAAAACACTTTGATACTGGAAACCAATCATGGCCATAATGATAACCATCAGTATTTTGATCAGAATAGAGATCACAGTTATTTATTGGTTTTAAAGACACTTTTTTTCTCCAGTGGGTATTACAAAATGATATATATGCCCTTGTAATACTTGCTTTCGGGGCTCACTCTGTCCCTCTGCTTCATTAACACACACCTGAGCCAAAATTATTATAGGGATTAAAACCAGACTAATCCTGCTAGATACACACGCTGTATACTAATGTCTAAGGCAGTAGACGGTCTTCCTCTCTGTTTGCTTTCGCTGCTGGGTTAAGCAGACAGGATCCCACCAGAAACCAATAATGTGTCATCATGCGTGGCCGGCATATCTAAAGATAAATGTATGCCCATGTGCACGGTCTTATCGTCATCCCAAAAGCTCAAGCTGCCACACACCACCAACCATCAGAGGCACGTGCCGCCTTATCCTACCTGCTGCTGCTGTTTGGGTGCACGCTTGTTGCTGAGCCAGGATGGATGCGTTTCGGGGGGCTATTTTGCTGACACTCCCTGATTCCCCAAGTCCCCTGCTTGAGTTTAAAGATGTCGGGGTGGGCAAAGAGGAAAAAGAAGGGGGGTTTGGTTGGTTGGTTGGTGGTGGACTTTAATCTGCCCCATCTGTTGCCTCGGGACTGCCCACCCCCCTCCCTCAAAAACACCAGCGCTCAGTCTGTGTCTGTCTGGGTCTGGTACAGTTATGCTAATCCTGGGGCTTATGCTACCCTCAAAGCTTAGAGGCCTCCATTATTGACCACGATGCATTTATACCAAAATTCACCCCCTCCCTCCCTTCCTACCCTTCCCGTCTTTTATACCTTTACTTTCCTGAATATGCGATGAAAACACAGATGACCAAAGTGGTGTTTGCCATCTCTCAGCAGGGGGGTATAATCTCAGATTATTTATGAACAAGCAAAAGTTTAGACTCAGGCTGTGTCTGAATTTAGCCTTTGTTTAGACCCACATCTTTTCCTTGTAATAAAAAAGAACAACTACTACAGATTTTGACAGCTTCATGATAGCTTGACAGGCTTGTTTACCTTTTACATTCCACCTATTTTAGCATCATCATCACAGGAACCTTGTGGTTGTCTGGTATGTTGAGGGTTTTTTACTTTATCTAGAAGCTTCTGATGCCCTTTTAAAATCAGTAGTGAGACATTTTCAAACCAAAATGCAAAAGATATCTTAATCCAAATCTTAAATTGTTCTAATCTACCAATTTTCTGAGTTATTTGCCGTGCCGTAATCCTTCTGAAGACAGAGGTAGACAAAACAAGCTCAGTTTGAGCTTCATAAAGTGGTGAAAAATCTCTAATGCAACTTTTTATTATGGATTAGCCATCCTGGTGATACAAAAGACAGTGTGAAGCAAACAATGCTGCACAGGGATGCTAAAATAGGTTTCAACTCATGGAGTAATAATGTCCACATGACAGCTCCTCTATTTTCTCCATGTGAGCAATGACCAAGTTTGTTTTCATAATGTAATTTCTAATTCAGGATAGAGTTTACGCTCTGCTAACGTTTTAGGTTACAGCCGAGATAGTCACATCCTAACTTTGATTTACAGCTTAGCTCTGAGTGTATGTGTGAAATACTAATAAAACTCTGAAGATGGAGAAGAATCAGAGGGTTTTACCTGCTGATTACATGTCCTCCGTGATACATTTCATTAATTCAAAAAGTATTCATACTCCTGATTTTGTTTCCCATGCACAGAGATAATTACTCACTGTTGTAGCTGTGGGTTTCACTGCTCAATGTCACTAGCAATGTCAATGTCAATGTAGCTGCAGATTAATGATCACCTTGTCATGATGTTTTGTCACTTTTTACAAACCTCTGTTTCTGCGAGTTGATTAACAGGCATGAGTCAGCACTAAAATATCTGAAGTTTCACTGTTTAGCCAGAATAATTTTAAAAATCAGATCTGCCGCAATATTTCGGTTTAGTTTGGACGTTATGCTTCACTAGTAAAGATGAACCTCAAGTCTGCATGATGCAACCAAAGCTACAAACTCATGAGGACTTTGCACCTTAGTGTTAAACACAACTTAGGCAGAGCTGGTGAAACAGGCCACTAATCCAGAAAGTATCTGGGTCACAATTTAAGTGATTAATCAATCAAAATATAGAGAAATTGTTTGGAGAATTTACTATAAAATTATTGACATTGGCAAATATGTGAGTTCATCATGTTCAAAATACATAAATATGTTTGTGTCAGTTTTGCTCTCAAGCACCCAGTACAAAGCAGACTATATTTATCAACCCCCAAAGCAATCTTTTGCTCCCCTTCTGGTTTTTTCAGTTTCTCAGAGAAACGCTGTCAGCACGCTATTTGCCTGAAAACCTGCACCTTTCATCAGCGACGGCTTGAAACACTGAGATCTAGTAAATGCACTCTTCTTTGTTGCTGCGGCTGTGGTAAGCTGATGTGAGTAGAAACACATAAGCCCTGAGATATACTAGGCATACAGGGGACAACAACAAAGACGGAGCAATACCCACAGATGTGACATCCCAGCTGCCGGGGAAAATAAATACAGGATCAATATCACCTCAAAGCCTTGCAGTTGTGAACAAGTCACCCTCTATCAAAGAAAATCCAAAGCATCCTGCACAAAACTGCTCATCCATACTCTGAGTAACATTTTTTGCGCGCTCTAGACTTATTGTCTCTGCTGGTCAAGGAGAACGCTTCGTGTTAATCATAGGCTGTCACTCCGAGTTACCATCTCAAGGCTGCACCTTTTGTTTTCTAAAACATCCACTAATTTCTCCTTTTTGCCAAACCAGAAGGTTGGCTGAACACTGCTCTATTGTATCTCGCTTTCTGTTTTTACCTCTTCTCAGCGCTCAGACTAAGGTACTCAGAAGAAGAGGCATTGATTTTTTCTCATCTAATAGAGTACGAGGCTGGCTGTATTAGAGCCCAAATGGGCTCCAAGCACCCTCCCTCCATACTAGCCTTCATTGGTGTGTTTCCAGCTGCAGTCAGTGTCATCTCTTCTCACGAAATAATAATGCTGACTGAGTGCTAAATATCATGGAATCAAAGTGGGCGCAGTCTGTGCTTTTTTATCCTGCAGCCCTGGCAACTTCTTCCTTATTTTCCCGTCTAAATAACATTGCTCAGATTGTAAAAACACGGATGCCAAACTGATGGCTGGAAATCAATGCATATCATTATATTACCTCTATTTTTGCTTTTACACACTGGTTGGTTGCCTTGGAGCTTTACGGATGATTTTAACAGTTTACAAGCCACTTTAACACATTTACTGTTCTTGTGTTTACTTCCATAGGGATGCTGACCATAATGCACATTCAGCACACAAGCTTGAGAGTAAACGGTGAAGCAGTTTAGCAAAAGGAGCCCCTCGGCTCTCAGCATAACCGGTGCTATTAATTGCAGTACACACACTGACATCACGTGTGTATAAAAAATTACCTGGATTTACCTTATTTATTTTGCTTTCTTTTAGTACTCTTGTTTCACTGTGAGAAATTAGATGACTCTTCCAGTTTCAGACAGTTACTAGAGTTTTATTAGAGAGAATTATAGTCAGATTTAAAGAGACCTGACTGATGTTGCAGTTTTATTTTATAACATTGATAGCCTTATGAGAATATCGGGAATAAAAGCAGTTTAACGACACTGCAGATTCAGAGACTATATTACTCTTTTCAAACGTTCCTCTTTGACAACACCAGATAGAAAACCAGATTACCCAGAATAGGACTGAATAGTGCTCTGTGTTATTCTTGTGATGGCTAATGTAGTTGAAGCCTCTGGCATTAAGCAGGGTATGTTTGATCTTCTGATTCTCTTCAAAGCTACACACCAACTTTTTCTCCTTGTGCATCTCAAGGAAATGCTCAATCAAATAGAAACGCATCAAGGGCCTGTTCCCACTGAAGCAGCTGTGCTGGCAGCGCCTGTTGTCCATTCAAACCAAATGCAGATCAGCATTTTCAGCACTCACTATCAGCTGATTTCTATTGCTGCACTCACAGCGCTCTCGGTTGAAAATATTTCAACTTATTTTATTTGGAGAGTCAATGAAGAGAAAATATACAGCAAATAGAGTGTTTTAAAAGCAGTTTCTCAAAATTCATACATCTGATCGTTCTATTTTATTTTCAAAATGTCTCTGCTGCACTGTTATTGAGACACACTCTTGAACATGTATCGTACTTGGCATTTAAGCCGATGTTAATCATCCTCAGCTCATTCTTCTCTAACTAACTTTGTCACAAGAAGCATCGATGAACTGCCAGAGCCGACAGCAGTCTGTACCCAGCTCACTGCATTTCGTATGCGCAAACTTCAACCAGCAGACTAGCCGCCATTTAGAACGAGTCTATAATCTTGCAGCCAATAACTTCACTTTCTTCTGAGCTGCTGACGTGACCCCAGAGCCGACAGTTTCAAGAGTCTCCCATTGGCTCAGGGAGGCAGGGGCGACGCGGCCCAGTTGCCAAACAGTGGGCCCTGTCAACGCCACAGTATGCAGCCCACGAGACACGGCTTCACAGTTTGGACAAGCGGAGCAAATGAGCAGCATTTTTTTATGCTTTGGTATAATACTTGCGCTCTAATCCTCTTTGGACCCCTCAAACCCCCAGCTTACCTGGAACAACTGTAAAAACGGGGCCTGAATGTGGGTTGCGGCACACATTCTGAGCACGCTTGTGCTACAAGCTGAACTACACTCCAGAAGAATTTCGGCTCAAGTCGTCTAAATCTCGGTCAACACTTTAGAGCACCTATGGTCACACCGCAGGTAGCATCTGTTTGAAACTATCTTTTTCGGTTCCAGATTTGGAAGCAGCCGGCACACACCCACACACTGATTAGTCACAGGGGACAAGGAGAAGAAAAACGACCAGAGCCCAGCTGCAAACAGGTGGAAGGAAATGAACGTGTAGAAGAAATTAGCAGATGTAATAAGCGAGTTGGAAGGAAAGGATGATGGGAAGCTGTAGCGAGACAGCGAGAGCAAAGGGAAAGGTGTTGGGTCAAAGAGATGACTAACACACTCCCCTGGACGATTAAGCCCTTTGCTCGCTCTCATCATCATTATTACAAGTATCATCCTTGGAAAACGAGCACTGGGAGATCTCTTCTTTTCCCATTCATGAAGCGAACAGCCGCTCAGACGGAGTGAGCGGTTTGTCTCCTGTCTCCTTACACCCATTATGCCAACAAAGTCTGACTGCTGCCCTAATTAATTTCGCACAGAGCAACAATTTGAATTTATTGGCTGTTTACATGGCTCGCGTGCATACAAGTATCCATTAATCGTCCTTGTACTGATTATTGAGTGAATCTGTCAATCCTCTGACAGTCAGTGAAGCTGTTAAACCGCTCCAGGGGGATACTAATTTGCATGTCAACTCTCATAAAAGGTGAGCTTATCACGGCTGTAATATTTCCAAGTGATGAGAAATCTTTCGGCGCTTGTTCTGGAATGATCAATGCCTGTTTTGCGTTTCGCCAAATACTAAGACTTGGAATGAAATCTGCACTCTTCCACCCCCCATCCCTCCCCGTTCGGATCCTACGTCACAACCTGACACATCATCCCTTCAAGAGATGCTCCATGTCCTGCTCTCTCTGCTGAATCACCTCTCTGTTATTTTTACCTCTATTAACTCCAGCGTTCCTAAAATGAAGCTAAAGCACCAAGCCTTCCTCCTCTATTTGTTTGTGTACAGTTGTTATGTATAATCAGAAGATGTCTGTGCTTTACAGCAATTACACTTGCAGCCCTTGCTTGCCATTTTATCTAAGTGCAAATTAAAAAACACTCAGACTACCACTTGTCTGTTAAATGCAAATGTAAATGCAAATAGGAGCAAAGTCTCTCTGCACGACCAGTTTTAAGTAATGAACCCAGGCACAGTATGTATTCAAATTACGGTCACATCCTGTCCTCTGCAACAGCACTTATTAGTCTGTTTTTGATAATACCCTGTCTATGAATGGACGTACAAGCCTAAGCAAAAACACACGCTCAGAGACATCATGATAAAACATGATTATTAAGAAGCTGCTTACACTCACATTTACACCCCTGCACGCAATTGTAGCGCCAGATGAGCAATTTAGACGCCTAAAACAGCTATTTTCCAACAACAATCCAGCTAAATTACCCATCTGCAAAGGTACCTGTTTTTGCCTTCCCACACATTCCTACCTCTCCCCTCCTCTCATGCAGTGTTCTTCCATCTCTGTGCAGCCCGGCTACTATCTTATCATGCTCAAGGTCTCACAGAAGCCTGGCTTCAGCCCAAAAGTCTTGAACAGGGGGCACAACTTGGCAGACAAGGACTGCGGTATGTTTGGCAGTGTTTTTCCAGGCCTTTGTACACAGAATGATTAAATGGAGCCAAGGGTGCTTTCGCTGCTCTGTTCAGGAGGAGGTATCTGTAAAGGTTTGCTTGACTATAGAGAGATGGGCTTCACAGATCACTCCAAAGATGAGCCCGGCAGACAGAGAGATGGGAAGATAGATTAGGGATAGACAGGCTGGCTGGTGTGCCAGACAGGCAAACACACAGGGACGATATGATGATTTAGAAAACGTCTGATTTAGCCTGTCTGTAGGGCAGATTATCGGTGTTAAAATGGCACAATAATCCCACAAATACACCCGAGTATAGAGCTGTCCCAACCCAAAAAAAGCATGGTTTGGCTTGCATTTTTAAGCAACATCTGCAACACAGCGGCGAGAAATCCGAAAGAAAACATCAAAAATTCATGAGAGGCACATTTTCCTCATTTTAAAGAATCAATTCACTAATATGGGGCACTTACCAGCCACAGAAGTGAGGAGGATCGTCAGGCAAAACCCAAATTTAGCGAGAGATTTCATCGTGATTCGGCCCACAGCCATGACAGTGTGCGTCGACTTTGGTCTCGTAGCTGGAGCTCCTCCAAGTCTTGTTGTACTTCTTCTTCTTCTCTTGTTCTTCTTCTTCTTTTGCACTAATTTTTTCACCTCCTCTCTTTTTTTTCTCCTCACGTCAGCTCAATAACTTGAACTGACCCCTCAGGCATGGAGCACATCGAGAAAACTGTGCGGAAAAGAGGCGCTGTTGTGTCGGGGGGTCGGATGGCGTGATTTAATAACTACCGTGTACTGTCGCTAAAAGTTGAGTTAGTCCCGCTTTGAGCCGCAGACATAAAACCGAGAGAGGCTAACTTGTTTGGCGGATCAGCCATCCACGACCAGCCAGGGAACAACATCCATCTCTGCTAGCTCTCATGCTAGCTGCCCAGGGCGACTGTCTGGAGCAAGAAAACTTGGGCAAAGAGGGTAGATCACGCACAAATAACCGACGCACAGCTAAATAATGCTACCACAAAGCATTCTCACGCGTAAACTTTGAGATATCCAACACTTTCCCGACAAAACAATGAGGAACGCAGCTTTTAAACAGTGGCCAATTAGCCCGGTTGGGTTGCAAGCTGACTGCTAACGGAGCTAACCGACGCTAGCCCTCAAAGCTAGCCAGTCAGTCCTCCTGGTCCCGTCTCATTTCACGATCTCCGGTGTTGAGGAAGAATTATTCACAAGTCAACGGCGCCTACAGTGAGCTTTTCTGGTGTGCTACAGAGTGAGATCATTACTCCCGGTCAGGCAGACGACGGGGTTGAGGGGATGGATGCCTCTCGGTCTGATCCTCCCCGAGGCAGTCGGCGGCGTTTGGCATTGACGCTCTCGAAGCTCCGCTGGGCAGACAGACAGACAGGCAGGGCGGCTGGGAACGCCTCGTTTGCTGGCTTGTCTGGACCGCTCGTCTCCGGTATCAGGTTGCTGTGGGTTGGTGTTGGGGGTGGAGGACAATCCTACACGGGCAGGAGGGGTGATGCAGCGCCGCTGTGCCGCAGACTATGGATACAACACCCTGGAAACATACGCTGCGTTTAGGTTCTCCACCGTGTTTTTAAAGTAAACACTGCACGTTAAACTGCATTTCCACACAACTTAAGTGAGGAGCATGCAACTTGTGTATTGGCGTGCACTGGCGGATGCAAAAAATCATTAGTTTATATTTTGCAAATATTGCCAGACTGTAAAGCAAAAGGCTACGAAGGCTCAAAAATAGTCTGTTACGCACAAAATATGCGTATTTTTTGTTATTTTTATGCAAAACGTTAAAATACGTTAACACAAAAATACGCATATTTTTGTGCATAACACAAAAATATGCAAATAAACACGAAACTATTGACCAAAACAAACAAAACAAAAAATCCCTAATCAAACAAAAACATGTTTAATAAGATAAAAAGTAATGTAATATAATGTGAACTATATAATAATATATAAACTATTGTCTTTTTTATGTATTTATAAAACGTTTTATCGCAGTTGAAATGAGGCAGTAAAATTATACTAAAACAATGTGTGAGGAATCATAAGAGGTACACATTTTAAAATATATTTTATTCATTTATGGTCCCATTTCTCATCAATGTATTTAACAAAAAAACACAAAAATATTTCTTTAAATGCAGGAGCATGTCGTGTAACACAAAAATATGCAAATAAACATGAAACTATTGACCAACAAAACAAAACAAAAAAACAAAAAAGTAATGTAATATAATTTGAAACTATTTCTAAAAATCCGGTTAAAAAAATCTAACAAATCTTGCATTCCTTTACATGCTTTTGCGTGTTTTAATAAATGTTTTTGCAGGTTTGCTAAATCTAATATTATCTTTTTTATCCGTATTTATTAATTTATGTAATCTTTGTGCAGCTGACCTTTGTTAAAACTTAACTACAACAATGTGTGAGGAATTATATGAAGTACACATTTTTTCTACATATTTTACACTATTATGGTCCTATTTCACATCACCGTATTTTAACGTTTCACGCTCATGTTTTGAAGCTAAAAAGTCCGATTGTCAGTGAATGCAACAACAGCTCTTGAACTGTTAATGTAACTTTACTGCCTCTGTGTGGTCAGATAACTTTATAAAGAGTTTAAATCCCTCAATAGAAAGTGCAAATAACCACAACACCTATTCCAGCAGGTGGCGATGTATGCATGCGCTTATAGCTGGACAGTGTACCGTGCACAGTTATATAACCTCGAAATACGATTAAATACAATTTAAACACATTATAATTAGGACGTATAGCAACTTTAAAGGACCTGGACCATAATAATCATAAAACGTGGGACGAAAATGGTGAAAACGCAGATGGAAAGTGCCAGAAAATAGAGTCGGGACACTGTTTTAGTTACCAAAGAGTTTCACATAGCAACACTGAGAAAAACACGGTCGTTTTATACACAGTAACATGAACTGGTCCCCACGTTAAGCCTCGAAATATGATGGAGGAGTTACATTGCTTTTCCCGCTGGTCATAATTACGCCGAAGAGGGGGGGCGTGTCAGTCTGAGAAAGGGACCTCCGCTGACGGGACAGACCGGAGCGAAGCAGCGTTTGGATGTTTCCCTCTTCTTGCTGTCGCTCAGTCAACTCATCGTCGGCTCTCCTGGATTGCTGTGTCTTCTGGATGTGGTGAAAAGTTTACAGAAATGGCGGGGTAAAGCTGCGTCAGGGTGCATTTTACGCACGTCGGACATCCTGGGGCGCAGGATATCAGCCTTCGAGCCGCCACCTGGGACAGCCTCGGTAGGCTACAGCCTGTCTCTTCTCAGCGCCTGTCTGTCTGTCTGATGAAAGGAGGACTACGGGATGGCTTCTGCTCCACCTGAGGCGAGGAAGTTCACTCGAGGGCTCAATAAACCGGGCACCGCTGCAGAGCTGAGACAGAGCGTGTTGGAGGCTGTCAGGACGTCAGTGTTGGTGGTAAGAGAAACGCTCTCATGCACATAGCACTGTCTGGTAGAGGCTTTTTCCCTTCCATTAGGAGGTCAGAGGTCATGATAGAGGTTTAATGCCTTGCTCAAGCTCGATAAAGTCTGGACCATCTCCTGGGTATTTGACTGTAGTATTTATCTGGAAATGGTGGCATTTCTGTTACTCTGCAGTCATTTGCTGTTGTATATTCCTAATTTCTGCTTCTGCAGGGTGTCTTTTGTTACAACTTTCTCAAAAAGGTTGCCAGGTAACAGAAATACACACCACCACTTCTGAAGGGACAAGAAAGGCGACACACATGAACGCGTGCACACTTCTTCAGTTCCTTCTGTCATCTGACCCTGCAGGTGCACACTGCAACCAGATATGTTTTAGAGAAACAGCTGAGTAATACCAAAGCAAGAAATTGCGAATATACACTGCATTTGTGGTTGTTTCTTGATAGGCGGCCCGGCTTGTTTATAATGAGGACAGCGATTGCATTATATAGGCATGACACATCCACTGTGATAAATCTGGTTCCCCCTCAGGTCCTTGAACTGCATTAATGTTTCTGCAGACTGCATTTTTCTGTTTCAACTCACCCTCTTGCAGCATGCATATCCTAAGGGACTGGTCCACCACGGCTCTGACCTGACTTACCCTATGACTGTGTCTTGTTGCATAATAGTGATCAATACATGCCACTTTTCTGCAACTAATGGCGTTTGCTGTCAATTATATCTCTCTCATGGTCCCAGTGGCCTACTGATCTTGTAAGGGAGTCATCGAAAGCTACAGACTGCCAGCCTGAAGCAGAGGCTTCAGTTATAATGCAGCATTATAAAAACTGCTTATATTCACACAACATTTAACTTAAATCCTTGAAAATAAATCTAAACATAGAGGTAAATTCCCAGTAAAGAGTCGATTAAGTTCATTCAAAACGGCCTAAACTCAATGAGTTTTTGTGCATCATCTATAGCAAGGATGAATTCAGTAGACTCCACCCGACAGAAGCTCTCCATTTTTCACATGCGGTCTTATGATAGGGGGAGCTCAGTGGTCCAGGCCCTGATCAGTGACCATGACATCATCTCAGTGCTAATGAGACTGTAATGGGGGTTGGGTTTGCGTCATCATGTTACACATGCATTTTGTGCATCATCTGCTTCACAGTACAGCGAGGCAACGTGCTTAGAAAGAAGTGGAGCAGAAATGAAGCCTCCATGTTGTGCAATGTGATAGGTCCTCATAAGAGTCAAACATTACCTTTATTTTGTGTTTTGGGTGTTTGAATTTTAAATTGTACAGTTTTTATGGCGTTTGTTCAACAGAGATAGGATGACAATTCTGAGACGATTGTAACTCATGGGAATAATTTGACCTTTTGAAAATCAAGCTTATTTGCTTTCTTGTACGTAGGTGATAAAATACTTGGTAAAGTCTGTTCAACACGATGAAAAATATTCAAAATGCCACACATAACTCACACTACCTGAAAATTTTTTTGAACTGTAGACTGGCTGAGTTTTTCTTGGACTGTTTTTCAGCCAGGTGTAGATGCAGCCAGGAGTCATTTAAAGGTGCGGTGTGTAGTACTTTGTTGGTAAAATAAAAAGACTTCACATGTCCTAAAAGGCCTGTGGTGTGGTAGATAGGGCCGCCAACTTTGGGTCATTTGGTTCTGGGTTCAAACCACGAAAAAGGGCTCATATGTGCGCAAATGGTGCAAGTTCTTGACAGCAGGCCTTCAGTAGGGAAGAATAGCATGTCTGTGGTGTGTCAGAGAGGGTTGCTGCCTGTGTACCAAACAGACCTGGGTTTAAATCCAGAGTAGGGTGGTGGACAGGCAGCCATCTTTAAGTCAAATGGTTGTTGGTTCAAACCCTTGAGTAAGGCTGCCATGTGAAGGACGACTGAAGTGCTGTATTTGTTGTTTGAAATGGTAGGATGGAAAGACGAGCACAGCAAGGCAGACCTGTGATGCTGTCTGAAATCAAATGGTTGTGGGTTCAAGCCCCAAGCAGTTGCTACCCAAGAGATGGAGGAAGAAAAACCTTGTTCTGTTGAAGTCTGAACTTAGTTTTGAATACCAGAAATAACTGATGTAATAGAAAGGCTTAAAAAAGGCAACTACTGCCAGACAGGCCTGTGGTGTGGTGGACACGGCTGCTGCCTTTGCTGAAGTAGTCCTGGTCTCAAACCGTGCACAGGCGTTTTCACATGAAGGAAGAATGAAATGCTCTCCATTTACTGTAGTTTTAGCCCAGCTTTTGAAAACCCATAATAAATTGGTGAGATGAAAAGACTGAAAAGGCGACCACTGCCAGGCAGGGCTGTGGTGTTGTGGATAAGGCAGCTTCAATTGAATCAAAGGGTTTAGGGTTCAAGCTAAGGGCAGGGAGAGAGGGAAAGCAGAGGGACAAACAGGGAAAAGTCGAGGAAGGAGGATTCACAGACTTTACACAAATGACTGACAGAGGCTTTGCTTGAAAACTGTGTGATTTTGAAACTGTGGCTTTCTACACACCTTGAAATCAGCAGCTGGCCCACGCCTCGTAGAGGGTACCAGAAGCAGAAACTGCACCTTCAAGGTCAATCACAAGGTATGCATCTGGGTCCCATTATATTCTTGTAATGGTACATCTGCTGCCCCTCTATTTTTGACTGTGTGCTTATAGCGCAGCTGCTTCCCCTGCCCGTTTGACACAGAGACTGACATGCTGGTATGGCTAACGCAAACACTTATAGAATAGTGGACATCGAAGTATTTCCTCAACCACTCAGATTTCACCCAGCGAGACGAAGCCTGGACTGCTGGAGCTGGAAGTATTTTGTAGATGAAGGACAGAAGTTTCCATTAAAAGAGTCTCAAATTTAAGATACCCCTCCCCCTTCTGGAACATAATCCATTATTCAGTCTTAATCTTCGTCCCCACACTTGGCAGTTATGTCATAGCAGCCTACTAATTCAGCCTTAGCCCACAGTGTGTGGAGTGGCATAATGGATGTCAGATCAGATCTCGGGGCTGTGTTTAATAATGGATGAGATGATGGTAGGTGTCCTGGCTATTTTTAAACGTGCCCTCTTTCTCCTCTGTAACTCGGTGTCACACTAAGCACCCACGGGACTATCAATTATGAATACCTGCATATGCGATAAATCATCCAGGTTCGGGACGGAGGCCGAAACATGCACCGAGTTGGACTCTTGCACAAACACACATTATAGGTAGTTAGTGCAGGCGTGGCTGGCGCTGAGCTCTACTTTCGTAAACAAAGTGGAGGCCAAGCTTTAGAGCAGTAAAGAAAGCTCTCGCTGGCTTAATAATCACTTCCAACTGTGGGAAATGCTTGCTTGGAGGTTTTTTATACCTCTAACTTCCTTCTCCCTGCCTTGCTGAGTTTTCTACATTCACCGTAATCACACAGGCAATAAAAAATGCATATAAACACCCAATCTTGCCTTTTCAAATAGTTTTTCTCCTGTCTCTTTTAGCTGCGACTCAGACAGCTTTTTACTCAAACACTAAAACCTGTGATGCATATCCTGTAGCCATGATAAAAGTTAACATCCAGACATAGAGTAAAAGCAAAGCTATCGGGCATTTTAGTTGAGCGAGATGTATTTCACCACTTCCAACACCTCCCATCACAGCCACCTCACACCAGCAGCTCAAACCATGGAGTCCCACCTAAGAGTGAACTCTCCTCCAAAGGATTTGGTCTGATTAGAGCATCAAAAACCTGGCAGAGATAATCTGCAGATTTGTAGATGCTGTGGCACTGCTGACCTATATCAGTGTCATGATACGGGATCTGTGCACGAGCGGGTATTTGGTCTGCTGCTGGGGTTTGTGGGGGAGTACCGAGTTGCCGCCTCTGAAAGCTGAGGCTGGTCTTGCCATGTGGTTTCCACGTCTTCTCTATTTAGGCTGCTTCATCCCCTGTCGTAAACACCCTCTGTCTCTTAGCTCTCACAGCCACTCTCTCATGTGTGTTTATATCTGCTTTGTAATTTGCCTGCTGATGGGCCTCAGCCTCGATCGCTCCCTCCACGACAGGATTTTGACAGGTTTCCAGTTTCCATAGTATTCAGCAAACAGGGCCAGCGTCATTCTTCAGAGCCTCGAGGCACATATATGAAGAAGTCAGTTCTTGTTCAGAGCCACATCAATTTTATTAGGTGGTTGCTACATGTTTATGTTTCTCCTACGTTGGTTGCGGTGTTAATTTAAGGGAGCGTGTGAGAGAGATTGCAGCTCATTGCAACAGTGTTTTTAAGGGCTCCTTTGTGGTTTATTTGGCGGGAATCTGCCTGAAAATGAACAGACGATAACATACATTTCATTCCTAGAAAAGGAAAATGTTTATATATTAACCCTGAATTTTAGCTTTGGTTTATAAAAATTCTGTAGACAATCTGCAGACAAAACACAGCTGAATTTCAAGTGCGCTATTGATTGACATTACATTATTCTTCCACAAAGCAGTGCACAGGGGAAATAAAAGAGCAGCACGGAGCTTAAAGACATTTACACAAATAGTGGGTGTTGAAGAAAAAAGCTGCAGAGACATCCTTTCAAACAAAAAAACACAAATCCTGTTTCTTTGTGGAGTTCAGCTGACAGCTCTGTCTGATATCACATGTATTGTCTGTAAAATATGGCAGAGGTGAGTGGTAATTTATCATATTTACAGCCAACAAAGCAGACAAATGGAAACAGCAGCGTGTGCTGAATGTGGAGATGCAATCATTGGAGATTTCGATGGTACGATTTTAGTCTGAGTCATAGTCACAGTTTTGCGATTATCATGATTAATATGCATTTATAAATTTCACAGCCTTTCTAAGGTATCAAATCACATGGTCTTTGTTTTTAAGATGAGGTTTTGTGAGTAATTAATGTAAGACAGATGATTTCATCCATCCCACAGAGGGATAGATACACTTAGTGCAGATGTTCATGTGCCTATAATGTGACCATGTGATTGCAGCATTAATACTCCTCTGCTGGTGCATTAAGAAGATTAAACTGTTTATGGTGGACTCGAGGCTTACAGGGGTAACACTTTTGCACTCTTGATTGCATAATATCCTCTTGTGCTTTTGAGTATTCAACCTGGCGGTAAAAGCACAAGAGGGAAATCTACATTCCCCACAATGCAACATAAACAAAGCATAAGAGGTTGGATCATGTCTTGCTGGTTGATTCAAACTCCATTTTTAGTTTGTGACACAGACCGTGTGCGTCAGAAATAAATGTATTGCCAACCCAGGCTGAAATAACTGGGATGATGTCAGCCTTTAAATGTCCCAGGCCTGAAAAAGCTCGGGCGAGCTTTTTAGTGCCCCTCTTTGACCACTAGATTGACTTTAATGTGTAAAATTAGTGGTGCCCCCTTAACTCCACTCCAGTTATTCACACAGTAATGTGCCTTTAATAAACCCATGATTAACATAACAGTTGCTCGTTCAATCTGCAGTGCAGCCTGCCTCGTCTGCAAAAATTGGGCACTGACCATAAAAAATTCCTCTGACCCAGTTGACACAGTTGCACATCCAGTTCTCCGTGTAAAAATAGCTTTTTTACGTTAGCATGGAAAACATCCACGAGCCTTCTGGCTGCTCGTGGATCCTTCCATCTCTATGTTAGGCTCAAATAGGTAGAATCAGAGCATACCAGTGGCCTAGATTCACTATAATAGAGACAAAAGATATCTAATTACTGTTTGGAGCAAAGTTGAGCGCAGCCAACAGCTCCAATCAGGATCGATCCGGTCTTTTTCCCCTTTTTTTTTTCAGAGTGCACAAAGATCCTGTTCCAGTCTGCCAGATTACCTGCAGGCTTTTCATGAGACTCCCAATGCCCAAATCACAAGAGTGTAACCCAGATTCAGCAGCAACCTTCATTATTGTTTGCCTAAATTTAGATCCCTGGTGGAACTATTGGCACAGTTTTCAGAGATGAAGAGAATCACAGTGAGAGACTTGCACTGTTTAAAGTCAAAGCGCAATAAGAGCACGATCTGGGATGCTTTTGAGTGACATTTTTGAGTTATTCTTGCACAGTTTTGGCCTCAGATTTAGACCTAGCATATGATTCATGAGGAGTTACCCCACTTTTAACAGCCAGTTAATTAGCTGGGAACTGTTCTCATAATGCTTTATACATTGTGCGATATATTTAAATGTATTTTGCCTTGTAGGTCCCTGAACATGATTTCCACCCGTATAAGCAAAAACAGAGCTCAAGCCCATGAAGTATCCCACTCTGAGCTTTGCAAAACAAACCTTTGATAATATTGCCAATGAAACTTTGTGTCTTAGAATATGAGTCAAACAAAGCTTGCATAATTTCACGTCCCACCCTTGTTTTTGTTCAGGCTTGCAGCTGTTTTGACATCATTTTTTATGTTTGCTTTGATTCATGTGCTCGCGTTGGCAGCATGTCTCAAAATTCTCATGAAAAGATGAGGTAAGAAAAGCATGGCTGGGCCTTTTTTTTAAGTGTTGTTGCAGTGTTTAGAGCAGCCTGTAGGGGGCAGCAGTGATGCATACTCTATTTTCAAGCTTTGTCACCCATCCTCCAGTGGAAGTGACAGATCCAGCTTAAGTATTCAAAGATGCAGAGTTAGTGAAATAATGTTTTCTTAAAGAAGAAGCATTTTGTGCTCTTTTTAACTGTGTTTTTATCCCACTTTTTCATTAAGTTGTAAAAGAATATTTTTTCCATGTGGTCATTTACCACAAAAATCTTAGTCATGGCGAGCTTTGATTTATTTGCTTGTTTTCGCTTGTGCAAAGAGAAACGCTGACGTGTATAACCATGAGTTCTGGCAGTACACCAAAACTGCTCTTCATTCACTCTCCTTTAAACAACAGCGTCTCTTAGCCAGGAGTAATCCCTCATAATTAACTGGGACTTAAAGACAGTGTGTTGTTAAAGGTTGACCACACTGCTCTGAAGGACTGAAACTCTCATTACAATGATGATAAAGTTTATGGAGTGAATTTATGACAGAGGAAGGATATTTTACAATGTGAGGATGAGCATCTGAGAAGAGCATTATCTTTCTCGCTGACTCAGAGGGATTTTCCACCACACTCTGTGAACTGTTTTTATTAGTAAACACCACATGGACATGACTGATTCATGTGTTTTGTGGCTTCTGATAAAATAATGTTAATAATGCCTAAACCGTCTGTGTGAAAAGGTCATTGGGTGCATCAGGGGCTGCACTTGGATTCATTAGATTAATGCGCTCTCAGAGGACTAGCACTAATTTATTGAACAGCGCTGCTGAGTATTTTCTAAATGAGCTCCAAACACTGGAATTGCTTTTTTCCTTATCTGTATGAGTGCGGTTTAGCAGCTAATTTTATAGTTGTAAGTTTCAGGGTCTGTTTTTGTTAAGTGATTTAATTTGTATTCGGAAAAGGCCATTTCCACAACAGTTTTCAAATTAAGTATTAAAGCAACCCCATCAATAAACCAGAAAATTAGGTGTATAAGATCACAGGTGTATTACTTTTTTGTGGTCTAAAAAGTGAGCTGTGTCCTGCAATTGGAGTGTCAGTATAAGATGCAAATAGAGGTATTGAACTGTGCGATAAGATGGCGAACAGCTGCTTTGCAATGGACAAAAAACTGGATACAAAGCAAGGTGGACTAGGCTAGTGTCAGCACTAGATAAGCCTCATGGAGTGCTGGCTTTGTCTCATATGGAGTCTTAGTTGTTTTTATTTTAATGATTTGGGTCCACGACTCATGAAAACCAGTAAGATTTTGAACATTAGAAAGGTAGGTTTGTGTATTCTCTCAGTTCTTGGCTGGATTGTTCAGAAGACATGACACCCTGGATCATCAGACTGCAGCAGCTTCACTCTGGACTTCTTGATGCACCGACTCAAGCTTCAGACCTCTTCTTGTGAAGCTCCCACAGGTCCTTAAACTCCCTTTTCTTGAGAACTCCTTCAAGGCTGCGGTCATCCCTGTTGCTTGTGTAACTTTTCCACTTCCCATTAATATTCTTCAATACACCACTCTGCAAACAGCCAGCCTGTTCAGCTACGACCATCTGTGGTTTATCCACAGTGTAGAGGGTGTTGCTGATTGACTTCTGGACAACTGTCAAGTCAGAAGTCTCCGCTTTGGTTTTATTTCTCTCCTGAAGCAACATGATTCTTACGCTGCTTGAAAGTCAAACTTTGAGATATGCTTGAATTTTCACCTTCTCAAATAACTGACGGTGAATATCAAACTCTTTAATGATGTTTTAATTCATTGAAATGCACCGCATTCGTCAAAGTTGCACCAGCTTACTTCAGCGCTGTTTTTGAGTCAAGCCCCTTTGATTCCACTCATGCTCTTTCTTGCCTGTTAACGTAGTTTTCCATTTTGCCCGTTTTGCTGCATCATCCACTTAAAAGTAGGTGAGTGTGTCATCGTCTGATGAAATATTTACGCCAGCCACTAGAGAGATGCAGGAGAAAATTCAGAGGATTGTTTTTGAGTGCATGTAAATCACCCTTACGTTAACAACCCTATACCCTGCTGGAAATAGAGAGAGAGAGAGAGAGAGAGAGAGGATGCTGTGATGTTAACAAGATGATGATTGGGTTGCCAGGTTTGTCCCAGTTGTCCTATGACGCATCATTCTTAATGGATCAATCCAGTGAAGTGTTAATGGACATGGGCCTGGCATTGCAGGTCAATGGGAGTTAAATCATGCCTTTTTATGTCTTGGAGCGCATGTAAATGACCTCAGAAGGATGACTGCATCGCTTGTAATTTCATTGAAAGAGGGAGAAAGAGGAAGGAGGGAAGGAGGCAGGGTGAAAGAGTAAAACATTGTCTGCAGGAGCCAGTGTGTGTGGGTGAGAATGTGTGTGCGTGTGTCTTTGTTGGGAACAGTCTGCTTTTACTGTTGACAAAGCGTGCAGGGTCAGAGAAATGACTAAGCTGCGATAGAGAGAGGGAGGGAGAGAGGAGGACAGAGTGAGGGAGAAGTGAAAGTGACAGACGATGGAGAGGGATGGAAAAGCTCAGGGAAAAGAGCGAGAAAAGAAAGCACACCAGTGATGAAAAGAGAGAGAGAGAGGAAGCGAAGTGAGAGCGTCTTAGCATCCCCCGGCAGAGGGTGGAAGAAAAGGAAGAGGAGTCAGAGAGTCGACGCCCTGCTCCGGCTGAATGAGCAGCTCTGCTTCCTCTCCTCTGTGTGCTCATCCCTCCATCCCCGCCGAGCTGCACACAGGAGGATACGACTCAGCGGACTGCGCTCGGACTGAGATTTGTTTCTGGAGATAGTGTTTCAAGCGGAAAAAATGGGAATCCTTTACGGCGGGGGGAGATGAACTGATACCTGAGTGAATTTGAAAACCTGCCAGTCGGTGCACCTGTGGGAACTTCTCTCTGAAATCCTGCAGAGGTGAAGTTGCTGCATCTACCTGGTGGAAAGTGAATGAATTAGAAAGATTATCCCTCCCTGCATGGTTTTGGCGTGTGTTCGGCGGCACTATGGGATGCACCACCAGCGTGGTTCTGTTGGAGGGGCTGCGCTCCATCCTTGAGAGGAACTGCGGCTACATCAAGGGGGCAGTGGAGCTGGGGGGTCTGGAGGAGGAGGAGGAAACAGTGAGTCTGAGGGGATCGCAAGTCTGGATACCCACCACTGCTTTGGTAAACACACTTGCACTTACTGTTATGTGTATCAATTGTTGCATTTTGTGTTTTTAATTGAACACAACTTTTTGATTTTGCAGCCTTACTTTGCAAATTTACAGCTAAGGATTTGTTTACAAGTAAAAGCAAGAAAGATTTATGCTCTGGAATATAATATAGAGTTGAAAACGAGTCATATTTAGTGCGGTAAACGCCCTCCTGTTTAAGTCCAACTCATTTTTAATTAGAATTTCTTTGCATTTTCTGGCTGTAAAGCGTCATGTCTTAATCAAGGGTGGAAACGACATAAAAATGAATCATGTACAGATGGAGCAAAGCCTTGCTGGATTAAACATGAGTTACTGCACATATCAGCAGAAATTCTGCCTAATATTCCTCCTAATAGACTCCCCTGAGGAACCAGATTTAGCAGCGGCGAGTATCTTCAGTGGCCCCAATCACACAATTACCCCTGAAGCTTCAAAAGCCGAATACTTGGCCGCAAGGAAATAAAAGAAACATTTCAAGATTTTAGCGATTTCGCGTTTTTCTGTGCGAGCAAAACAAAAGTTGGATCTCGAATTCATGTCCACCCTGGGTCTGTATGTGGGATTTATGCACTACTTCCCTCCAGTTAGCTCCATTAGCCTGCAGCCCGCCCTGTGTTAAGTCAAAGAGATTTGATGGACAATCAATAGGGAGGGAGTTAAGTAGGATTGCTCGTGCACGTTAAGTCAAGGGCATCAAGTATGAACCATTATCACTTTTGGATGTTTTCTTTGCAGCCATTAAGCTGCGGTTGGCCTCCTGTAATCCTTTCCAATGATTACATCTGCAGTAGCCGCGGAAAGTATCTGTCCATTAACATCCAAATTATAGTCAAGGCTGGAAAACACCAGAAGGGTCCAAGACTCGGCCTTAATGTTGAAAGTTTTGAACTAAAAATATTGACTTTCTCTGCATTATATATGTTGCCGATAGATGCCCTGCAGTTCTCGAATGTATTCATTAATTCCGTAGCCCCTGAATCTTGGTTTCAGATTAGATATGTATTTCTTCATCCTCAGAAGAGACAGTGAAGTGATTCAGTCTCATAAGTGAAAATTTCCTCCCTTAAAGAAGCGAGAATTCGTGTTTATTCTCAGAAACAACACAGCAAAGACATACAGCATGTCGTGGATCTCCAGCACTGTTTATTTTCACTTCACCAAAAACAGACAGTTTTTCGACAGGGTATTTCTTTTAATGAATGGTGTTATTTTACCATCCATTGAGCAACCAAAGCCACCCTAAAAGCCAGCAGCAGACAGTCCCTTTGCCTCAGCGACCTGTTTGCCTCTCTTTGAAACACGTTTAAAGCTACTTCGAGGAGCTTTAACCCGTTATGAAACAGACTTGAATCCACTTTGTGTCCTCTCTTAGTGATAGGTCACTCATATATAAAACAAACAGATGCTGTGTTTGAGGCCACAGGTTTTTCTCTCTGAACGAACCCCATTTAGGGATTTTCTGGTCTTCATTTCTCTCTGCACCTCCGAGAGCTCTGACATCATTTAGAGACTCAGGAAAATCCCCTCTCTGGTATGGTGGTTAACTTCTCCCACATGTTTTTTGAGTATCACCTGCAGCTACGTTTAATATTTCTGACCGCTGAGCTCCTCTCTGATTCTTTGATTTGAGGAGATCCTGCAGTTTTGTGTGACAGATGAGTGGTTGCAGCTAAGGACGCGAACGAGTGAGCACATGTGGAGGGGGGATCCGTCTGGAGGGGAAGTTTCACCTCTTTTTCAGGCAACACCCTCACACTTTCTCTCTCTGGGGCGCCTGCAACGATGATCAGCTCCCAAACATTACGTCAACCGGCGCTTATGCAATTCTCCGCAGACTTCTGTGACGCTTTACGTCTGCATATGCGTGCGTACACGCCTCATGGGAAGGGTGTGGAAGGCTCACATGTCTTAATGGGTTCAAGCTGTGCAAAAACAAATGGACGCCATCCTTCTCCCCCTCACTTTCTCTCTCCAGCAACTCCTTTTTGGACGTCAAGCTCCTACGCAGACAGTCTTGTAAGCTAGTTTGCACTCCCACTGTCCGACACAGACACACACACACACACAAACTCACACATCCTCGTGGTATTGCTGGCATGGTACCAGCCCTAGCTCCAGGAAGCGTGATGGTGTGAGGGCACTCCAGAGATGTGGGTGAATGAAGCAGGGATGACCTCAGTGCAGGCAGGGTCTCTGACAAGAGGCTGATTATCACGCTGAGCTGGTGACGCTGTCACTGAGGCCTCCACAGGACCATGGCGGGGGGGACAGTACAGTCAGCAGTCTATTAGAGACCGAGGCCACAGGAAAGTCAAGAGAGAAACCTGTGATAGATTTGCTTTGAATATTCCATCTGAAAACCTCCTTTAAAGCGAGCAGTGAGTTTCAACATTTCCTGGAATCCTTCTTGAATAAAAAAGGCTGTTAAAAAGGAACAAAACATGCTTCATTAGCCTCAAAATCTGAGGGCTGAGGAGGAAACAAGCTGATTTTTGCTCTGAATTCGAAAGATTAGTGAAATCCAGATCAGACATCTATAATGTGAAGTTTCTATGCAGCTGTGTAGCTCTCCTGGTGCTGTATTTATCCTTAATGAGGAGTTTCCTATCCTGCCAGCTTCCCTTTCTTTGGACCAAAGAAGAGACAATCATCATGAACATTTTTCACTCTTTTCTGAAGCCAAATCACAACTGACAACATCAGCACAAGTGCAATAAAAGTGGTTACCAGAGGCAGCTCTTCTGTGCTAACGCAGCCCCCGTCACTCTTCGAGGTTTTCCATCTCACCTCACTTCAGAGATGCCCTGAAGACCACGTGGAACAACATTATTTCACAGCCCCCGTGCCGTTTCCTTTGGTTTTTAAAGACGCTATTCCTCTTAAAGGTACATTTCAGCGAGTCCTTTTGAAGCGAGTACAGTTGAGACAAGTTATGCTAATGATGCACGGTGCCTCACACATCAGAGGAGCCTGCCGCACTAAAAGTGAATGCCACACACATGAACACACACCCTTGACTGCCTTTGTGCTACCTTTTGTTAGGGGGGCATATCACTGAGACTGTAGGGCTGAACTGACGGCCTTTGAAGTCACCCCTCCTCGACTCTTCTTCCAGTAGATATAATTGGATGAGTTATTAATCACGCTTGTTGAGTCAGAGAGATACAGTGGCTTGTAAACATCTGCGCGGTTAAGGAGTTTTGTGTGTAAGGCAACAAATGAGAGAGAAAAACCCTCCAAAATGCAGGATTTGCATAAATGGGCCCTCAGTAATTCCTCCCTGAAAACTCTAAATGTCATCGTTCTGAAACACGCTCTCTCTGCGATAGAAAACAGCTGAGCCGAGGCGCCTCCATTGCTTAGAGATAAAAGAAGAGAGAGTCTCCTTTGAGACATCGCTGCTGACTGGATGGAGAAACAAGGGGGCAACTCAAACTCTTCCTGAAGCAGCAGGAGAGTGTGTGTGTGCGTGTGCGCCAGTGTGTGTTGCGTATAAGAGCCGGATGAAGGGAAAGTGTGTTTTCTCTGACCCTGCTGTGGACGCCTGCTGCTGCGGATACGGTGTGTAAGAACGGTTCAAAGCAGAGAAAATATCAGCGGGGAGCAGAACTTTAACAACACAGACTGAGTGTTTAAAGGTTGGTCACAGTTATTTTAAGAAATATCAACAGTAACAAAAGATGTCTTGATCGGCTTATTGGGCCAACCACCCCAATCCTATTCTGAGTCCTGATTCGGTACTTGTGTATGTCTTGATGACAGAGCTGCACAAAAGGAGGCAAATCTAGTAAAAGGGGTCTTTAGCTTATTCAACCTGTATCCACTATCATAAATCTGGGTGGGACGTCCAGAGGTAAATTCAACCACTCACTCTCCCGTGGAGCATTTTTTGGTCTAAAAGAGGTCTAATAGACGTCTAAATGTGGCCTAGACAACTAAGTCAAAAAATGAACGTTTTTTTTAAGACGTCTAAATTTAGACCAAGTCTAGACTAGCTGGCTAACAGTGGTCTAACTGTATATTGCTCAACAGCAATAGTGAGTTGCATAACTGATCTCCAAGTACTTAACCAAACTTTGGTCACTTTTTTTAGTTACTTTTAAACCAAACAAAAGCTTAGTGGGAAGTGTTACAGTAGAGAGGAGAAACTTAACAGACAGAAACCTCTAGCAGAACCAGACTCATGTTAGACAGTCATGCTGAGACTGGGATTAACCCAACTTCTTTCTTTCACCTTTTTATTATCAATGTATCTACACACACACACACACGCACGCACGCGCGCGCGCGCGCGCACACACACACACACACACACACACACACACACACACACGCACACACCCATGTAGGCAGGTGAAGCAGGCACATGACAACACGATCTCTGAGCCTCTTCCAAGTTTTTAATGAGGGAGTGGTTGAACTCTGCTCCCCTCCTCCCTGCAAAAATCGCATACTGTACATACACAAACACACACACTCATACATCCACACACTCCCACAGCTGCACAGCTGTAAGGGAGGGAGGGGCCGGACCCTCCTGATGAGAGACAGAGCGGGAGAGAGGGAGGCTGGGCTATTGTGATTGAGCACAGAGGGAATCTCACTGGACGTCTGCAGAGCTCTCTCGGTTATCACACACTGCAGGCGACTTTAAACCATGGCCGAGTGTGTGCGGTGAGTCTCTTCACCTGACTGAAGGATACACACACACATACACACTGAGGCAGGATTGAGCAGCATGCAGGGCCGGGCAGGAAAAGCCCCTAAACGGGAGATGGTGATAGAGTCCCCGCAGCAGTACAAGAGCCTGGCTGAGATAGAGGCAGAGGTGGAGGCTGTGTCACAGGTGGCAGCGGTAAGTGTCAACTCTGCCATCTCAATATAAAGTTTTTACAAGATTTTGCTCGGAGAGTTTCTCACTTACAGGATCTGATTGTTTGAGCAAGTTTTTTATCACTTTGGATCCTCTTTAAAGAGCAGCTTTGAAGACGTTTTAAAAGGCAGAGGCGGAAATGGGAAATAGCAGCTTCAGGGTACACCTCTCCAGGGGGCTGAAGTTGATCTTTTTTTTTAAGAAATAGGAGCACTTGTGACTTCCTTTGTTCATTAACCATTTCTGCGCATCAGAGTCAGAGAGTTTGACAAGTTGGAGGCTCACATGTGCTCTTTAAAAAGCAGTATACATTTTTCTTTCTTTAGTCATTATGTTAAAAATACCCTTCAGTTTGGATTATTTCTGATCAGCAAATCAAGATTAAAAACCGTTAGGTAAGAGTATTATTACACTGACAGTATTTGACCTCACAAAGCAGAATATCTACATTTTCATGAGCTTTGAAAGTTGAACTTTATCCTCACAGAGCTGCTTCTATAATGTATTCATGCGATAATTACGGATTCAGGATGAAGTCAGGGTTCACAGCTGCTTGTTGTTATCTTCTGTCTGGATGGAAACGATCCAACTGGGAGTCAGAGCCGACGATTTACTGCTTATCAGATGATCTTTTACATCCAAAGAGCTGAGAGATGTGGAGGGATATTTTTTCATTGCGTCATCAGGGGGATTGGTTGGACTAATCAAAATGTAAATCTATGTTAAGACGACTCTTTAATTGGCCTCTGTGTTTATTGGAGATGAACCAAAAGGCTAATCCAAATAACCTGGACTGTAGCCACGCCTAGCAGACATTCAAGGTCCAGGAGGCATTAAATAATATAATGATAAGTTAGGAATTACAGCAAGATGATTGAAAACTTTATCTATTATTTTTCGTGAAGCTGATTTCCTCCAATTTTCCTGATTTTACTGCCGCGGTTATTTACTATTGAGATGAACGAGTTAAAACAGAAGCGAAAGCTTGTTGAGCTAATCTTGGTGAAAGGCTGCAGCATAGTTAATGAAGTCTCCATGTAAACAGATGGGGCATGGCTCAGACTTAAAAAGAGAAAATCAAACCAACTATAAAGACAGAAACCCTGAAAAGCGTATCAATTTCGAGTGTTTTCTGGGCACTCTTGATATCTTAAGACTCATCAGCTGGTCTGAAACTTGTTTGTCAATTTGTTACATTAAAAAATCTCTGATAAGAATTTTGGAGAGTCGCTTTAAGACAGAGCTTGGGCGGTAAAAGAGTTGTTATCTAGAGGCCAAAAATGATGCAGTTATACTCATCAGTTGGGAAAGTTGAATTTTATGTTCAAACTTTATTTTGAATGTTATAAATGTTTGTTTTAACTACTTGGTTACCAGTTGTATCTTCATGCTTATCAAAAAGTCGTCATATTTTTCTCCTTTTTTTGCGTTGTGTCACTTTAAAGTCAACATAATTTGGAGTTATAAACTGTTTTTTATTTTTTTCTGAGAAGAGACGCAGCTTTAAATCCTCCCCATGAGCTTTAAGTAAAGCTGCATCAGATAGTACTCTCATTTTCATTCATAAACTTGGCCTCTCTGTGATACTTTGTAGAGGAGGAAATTGAAGTAGGCGGATCAGCTCTCTCTTTTTATCGTAGAGGTTGCACCGACAACTTCTCACACGCTTTCCTTTTCAGATCCTATTACTTTTATTCTCTTAGTTAGACTTAAATCTGTCTCTGCTGATCTTCAAATAGATCAAAGCATTGTTTACTTCCACATGGGTGTCACATGTGAAGCTCTGCTTTCATAATATCACAGTCAGGCTGGTTGAGGGAGGACACTCCGGAGCGATCTCTGGGGACTCCTCTGAGGAATGTAAGAGCGGACGTCTGCAGAGCCGAGGGAGTTTAATCTGTGCTGGATCAGGAACCGGGCTGGACTATTTTACCTACAGCCCCACTCTGATGTTAACAAAGCCCACTCTGTTATCAGGATTTATGATATGATGAAGTAAATGTTTGGATTGTGCGTCTTCCCCCTCTGGGTGTTGGTTGAGGAGGTCATGCCCATTCCTGAAAAGTCTCAGAAAACAGATCGTAAGAGCTGCAGAGACCACGAGAGGTTTTGAACGTGAGCTCATGACATACTGAATGGTACAATGGCACACACAGACTCTCGCTCATCCCTCTCCTCTCACATCTAGTGTCTCCTTTTCTGCTAACCCACATTCATCCCTGTCTGCTGCTGCTGTAACTGTGAAGGAGACAATAGCAGCTTGTTGGCCAGACAGCATAAATACCCCTGATCTCCTTCTGTGTCTCATCCAACAGCCCGTGTCCTAAAACCCTAAAATCCACCATATGAAAACAAATATTTATAGAGAGGCAGAAACAATAGAAGATAAAGAACAATGATCCACTGCTGTGTTTATTTTCTCCAGGTTAAGCCGAAGATCATCGAACCTCTGGACTATGAGAATGTTATTCTACAGAGGAAGACGCAGATCATCAGTGATGTTCTGCGGGACATGCTACAGTTCCCCACAGATGACTTCCAGGTAAGACAAAAAGAGTTATTTGAGTCCTAATGGTGAATATTGGTTAGAAGCAAAGCACTGGCCTTTAAGGAAATCAAGGCCGTGACTGTGCTCCTGCAAAGGTTTGAGGACTTTGTGGTCTAGGAGTTTGTTGTTTGAGCTTTAAAACATGAAATCTGCTTGAAGAAGAAGCGTTGAATCATCTTCAAAAAATCTTTTAACCTTTTACAAAACATAAGATACACTTACAAGCACAGCTGGGTAAGGAATTGATTCATTGACAGACAGATAGGTACTGCAGGTAGCCGACTACTCCTGTGTCACAAACCAGAACTAGAAAAGCACTTGGAGAGCGCAGACCTCCGGCAAGCAGCTCATGTCCCCTTAAACAAGAAATGCCCTGACCGTGATTCGAACTTCTGGTTGTGAGGCAACAGTGCTAACCACTACACCACTGTGCCGCCTATCTACACCACTGTGCCGCCCATTGGTTATTTTTCAGCTTTGAAAATTCCAACGACACCCTTATTTTTGTGTGTTTTGTCCGGATCACCACCAAAATGTAATGGGATCCTCCTGGGGCTGAGACGCACCTCTGGTGAAAATTTCAGGTCAATTCGTTTGTTAATTTCTCCGTAAAGTTGCTAACAGACAAACAAACAAACAAACCAACGCTACTGAAAACATAACCTCCTTGGTGGAGGTAACAATCGACAAACAACTTAGCAAGATGAAGGCAACCGAGGGCTCCTGCACGGACTCCTCCCTCGATTTGGAGGAAGAGCAGTTTGTCTTGTTCACACCGGGGTCAGCTTCTTCCAGATTCCCAGACTCTGTTGGCTGTTTTGAAAAAAATGGTTTGGCAGTTTTAGACAAAACCAAACAGGCCATTAAATGAAGCTGACTTCATAGAAACACCAGAAAGTCTTTTTGAACTTTTCGATTACGCTGATTAACTTTCAGTCCACCGCTCTTGGCTCGTGTCCGTCCAGGAAATCTTCACCTGCAACGGCTTAGCACAGCTGATCGTAAGGACTTAATGACTTGAGGATCCCATGTGTAAAATTCGACTCGTTCATTTAGCGCATGTAATTCAGACTCCATACATGCTTTGTATCTCCTGTTCAAAGTTTAACTCGGAGACTGTGTCAACATTGCGTCACCGGCGCGCTCCGATGGATCTCAGAAGGTCCACTCCCAGAGAAAATAAAGACAGTCTCAGTGTTTGTCATACCTCAACCCTCTTGAATCAGACTTAAAGGATAAGTCCGCTCATATTCAATATTTTTCTGATTGACAATGTACACAGCAAAGCCAACTGTGGACCTCACCACCTAGAAGTAAGCCCTAAAAACCTTATAACTCCATTCAACTGAGCCCCATCATAGCCCAAAAAGTCCTGCTCATATTTCTGACTGCAGTGGACCCACACATTGTCATATTTGTCGGCTCAGTTGTGTATTAAGTGTTCTGTTTTTGCAGAATCAACAGAGCATCAAATGCGTACTAATCCACCGCTAAAAATAGTTCCCAAAATAAATCAACACTTTACTCGGTGTGGGAAACTTTCAGTACATGGCTGTTTATGAGACGCCTTATTTAATCGCCGATCTCCGTCTCCGCTCTGTCATTTCGGTTTGCTTACATGTCAAAAATTGTGTAAGAGTCAAATAAAACAACAAAACAGACTAAAGACACTCTTGGGAGTTGAAGTTAATAAAGCAATAACAGAGTTTTTGGTGGGAAATCTTCAACCTACAGTCTGCTTCGACCCACGAACTATTTCACAACCAGGAGATGATGAGTGGTTTTCATTACGAGCAGGTCTGCGGAGCACAGCCATTAGAACTGCCCAGGACTCCTCCAGTATGTGTGTGTGTGTGTGTGTGTGTGTGTGTGTGTGTGTGTGTGTGTGTGTGTGTGTGTGTGTGTGTGTGTGTGCGACCCAGAACGTCCATCTGTCTAACCTGCCATATGTTTCACATCAGTGGGCTGAGAGAGTTGGAGGGGGAGCCAGCCAAACATATGCGCCGAACATGTGCACGTGCTGCGAGGACACACACATACACACACACACACGGATACAAACTTCAAGTCAAGATAAAGAGAGGAGGTTTAATGTAGAGGAGGAAGTGTCGAGTTATTGATTTACCCTGCTTTATCTGCATGCTAAATTAAAACATTTGGTTTTAAGGTCAATAAGCGACAAGAATTAAACCAGAGCAGATGTTTGAATATTTTGATCCTGCACACGTGGATTCATACATATGCATAGAAAGGACACTCGCTTTCATCTTCCAAAGCAGGAAAAAAAAAAGACATCTGACGACTCTCTCCTCCCTCTCTCAAACCACTCAACTCCTGTACCCCTTAGTGCAGAGTTTAATTCCTGTCTGGCATCCCCCTCTCTCTGCCCCACCATGTCACTGCCTGTGGAAACACGCTCCTCTGGCCCAGTGGAAGCCATCACAGCCACAGTTTAATGACTGTAAAAGGAATGCTGTTAATTGGCAGGCAGCAGCTCCTGCGAACAGTTGACTGACAGCGGTGCGCTTTAGTCAGAGTCTCACTTGAGTGGCTGAAACAGACAGGCGGCATGTGTTGAAGGGTTTGTTTTCACTGAGTCGGCATGTAGATTGGCTCCATAGATTTGAAAGAAGTGTCATACTGGATGATTCAGTGGTATGCAAATAGGCAAGTCAATCACAAACTAAAATCCAGCTGAAATATACTCGACTCAAACATACTCGTGTATTAGACTCAGTTCAAAGCGTGGCACAGGCCCCGTTTGACATCTGAATGGCCTCCCAAGGTGCCACCTCAAAACCCCAAACTACGATTGAAGCTAAAAGAGTTGAGTATGCCACTGTGTCGCACTTAATTTATCTCTTTTTTACAATCTTCAGTAAAGCTGACCAAGTGGGCCGAGCACTTATTTGCAAAAACATCAAATATTTTAGACCAAATGTGAAAGTGGTGACAATGTCGCCCTCCAACTCACAAGAAGAAATCAAATTAGAGTTTTCCTCAAATACAGATTCAGCTCAAGTTCTTTCATGACCCATATAATCCTCCCTGCAATCGCTTTAACACATGACTGGTACGGCTGATCTTTATAACAGGATATACAGGGCTGAATAAACTTTGCTAAAGGCACGTCTTTGATCGCTAAAACAAGAACTGGACAAATGAGGGCAGAGGCTCAATAGCTGCGTGTGCTCTCCAGTGTGAGAATCGCAGATATATGACAAAACTGGGTCATCGTGCCACTGTTTCCCACTCATCTCTGTGGGCTGAGTGGGAATGCTAAGTGGGAGCAGTGGTGGCTGCAGCATCCAAAAGCTTTGAAGGATAGGCGGCTCAACCGTCTTGACACCCCCAGGGCGCCTTGTGCTCCTCCTCGGCGAAGGATCCTCTCCCTCGTCTGTCGGGCTGTATCTGTCTAATAAGACAAGCAGGGAGGAGAATTAGGAATAATACAGAACGCAGAGCCTGGTCTGCATTTGCTTTATAACTTTGAAATGTAACTTTGCTTTTTAGAGCCACAGACATGCAGTAGATGTTAGATTTGATAGCAACAAGCTGATGATTGAAAATTAAATGCATATAACTCTTATCTGCAAACGTGTGCAGTCTACTTTTGTAACTTCTGTTCAGTTATGTGGTGCAAAAACTCCTCTTAAATATCACCTTGACAATAATCACGGCGAACATCCGACATGATTTCAAAACCTAGAAAAAGATGGAAGGTGTCAGAGCAGCATGGCAAGTAGCATCCTTCATCCTAAGTGTCCTTGAGTACAGCACTTACCACAGCCGGCAGGAGTCTGCAGCTCACATTGATCTTTGACCTTCCTTTGATGGAGACTACAAAGAGTACCGCCCTGTGGGGATTAATAACATTTCATATAATCACAAGGAGCAATGAACCCGACTCTGAGCAGCCAGAGCAATAAATGTTTCACAGGGTGAGTGAATTTGCCCTGTTGTGTATAAACAGCAGCAGTCTGTTCGTGCCAGTCTGTTTCTCATGCCTGCTCTCCCTCTCCTCCTCCTTCAGATCTCCACCCTGAGGCGCCAGGGCAGGACTCTGTTCTCCACCGTGCCGGACACTGCTGAGAAAGAAGCTCAGTCGCTGTTTGTCCAGGAGGTAAAACAATACATACCTGGGTGTTAGCGTGCTCTGTCCCTGCTTTATCCCTCCATCTCTGCTGAAGCTTTAACCTCCCTTTGAAAACCGCAGCCTGACCTATCTATCCTTTTGTTTGGAGCACTGCCATGTTTTCCTCTCTTTTCACACAAACACAGGTGCTTATAGCCTCTGTCCAGATAACACAACAGACTCTAACACCCTTAAGACCCATTGGATACTGGAGCTGGTGAGCTAAAACATGTCTCCAGCCAAGGGTTTGTTCTGATCTGTTTATGGTTGGATTTCAGAGGGAGGTCAAAAACCTTTACAGTATCCAAATCATCTCTACGAACTTCCATTTACAACCTCCACCCTCACATGTTTCCTGACCACGTAGAGGATCGTCCACAGATGGAATCCACAGTTCACTGTCAGTTCACATCGTGTTGTTTCAGGGGAGATGTGTGCCGGGTTTGGTTGGGGTGCGGTCCGATGGAGCCTGATAGGGGATAGTCCCCCATGGCTGCGGCCAGAAATTACATCAGGACTACATCTGGAGCAGCTGTGCAGCCTCACATACACACACGACTGTTCTTGTTATGAATTTATTTTTCCTCGTTTTAGTGACCCCTCACCTCAGTCCACATGGGTATTTTATGCATACGCAGAATAAATAAGCACATGTTGCAATATCACAAACCAAATCACTCTATGTGGTCGACAAAATCCCACAAAAAACATGTTGACTTGCAAACTTTTGTTCCGCCTAGACGGACGTTTATTTTATCACGATGACTAAAAGAATCTGTGAATGTTATGCAGGCTTATCATGTGACATAAATCCTTTCCAAATGGGAGTGATGTTTTCATTTAACAAAGCATGAAATCCGATTTTTCTCCTCTCTTGTGCTTTTCTGACATGCATGATTTGTATCAGGAGCATTCAGACACAAGAACAGTATTCTTTAAAAGCATGATGCATGCTAAGATAAATGTTTGCCTTGCTAATTCAGTCAAATGTCATGCATTTTTACAGGCTCTGCCTTGTTGTGTTTACTTAAGCTCCTTTGAACATGAAAGCCTGCTTTAATGGAAACATACTCTTTCCAAATGCAGTCTTTGTAACCCAGATTTTCCAAAGCTGTTATAGAAATCTGCTACCATCTATGTCCGGACTAATAATCGACAACCTTAATTAAAAAAAAGCTGCTTTGAGAATGAAATAGCTTCAAAAACAAATTTTTTTTTGGTTGTATATAATAAAAAACACATTAACTTGAAAAAAGTGCAAAGACAACAAATCAAATACTGAAACATGCAGCATACTAATTTAAGATTCTCCTTGTATGATGCGGTTTAAACCTGCATCAACAAACTGTGACCACAATAAAAGATTTTTGTGGGGAATCTTGACCCTATGCGTTGATTTCCACTCCAGAGTCATACCTGTTTTTAACGCAGTGCATTTCTCTAGGTTCTTAGCTTCTCTTGATCACCCCATTTTGTTAATAACCTGTTGCTTATTAACCTATTTACCCAAAGTTTTTTACAATATTATCTAACTTTCTCCCTGATATGTTGTCTTTGCACATTTTTTTTGTTAAAAAAAGAGTTTATATCATTTGCATATCTGTTTTTAGCCACTTTTTAGACTTTTTTCCCATCAGGGTGGAGGTTAATGTCTGAATTTGCTCTTGTTAAAAAGACCTCTTTTCACTCTCTGTCTCTGCAGTGCATCAAAACCTACAAGTCTGACTGGCATGTGGTCAATTACAAGTATGAGGAGTATTCTGGAGACTTCCGCCAGCTCCCCAAGTGAGTGTATGCGGTTAAGAGGGTGGGTTACGTACACTGATTGTCCTCTTCACCCCCTGTGAAGCACATCATGTCTCAAAATCCCCCCAAGCAATATTTTTAATCTCACTGTGTTTAGCGACTCTGCTCTTTGTTTATAGTGATCTCAGTGTTTTGGCCAGATCTCTAGAAAGACTAGAAAGACGGAAGCTCGTGCCTCCGAGCTCCTCCACAACAACAATAGGAGCCTTCCTATGTTTTCTTACCAAGGATAAGCAAAGCTATTCTGGGGCTGCTGTTGATTGATATCATCTAAGCTTAAGGGAAATCCCATGATGCCTGCAGCGTCCTTGGTCGAACCACTTTTCCTTGCGGATGAGAATGCTCTTCACAGATGTTGTGTGTCATGTTTAAAACATTGTAGAGTGAAAAAACGGACAAGCCCTGGCCTTGGCCTTGACACTGTTTATGCAAGTTGTCCCTCAGGGAAAGTTTGGTCTTGCAGAGGTCAAAGGGCAAACAGTCCACCTCGGGTTTTGAGCTACTTTATGTAAGCCGAGCGCCCTGAAATGAAACAACAAATTTCTGATTTTATTTTAAATATTGTGGAATTTAACAGTGTTTTTTGTTTACTTGAGAATAGTTATTGTTACCTCTCCAAAAGGGTCATGCATCAGGAAGAGTTATTGAAGAAAACAAAGGAGATTTTGAGGTTAAAATTATAGTTTTAAGAGAAAAAAAAGTCATAAATAATGAGAAAAACATCCATAATTTAAGTTTATGGTCGGCCTAAATTTTAATTTGAAAGAGAAGATCAAAAGAGAAACCATCTGTTCGGACCAAAATGAGAGACATGAGGTATTTTTGAAGTGAAACTTGAGCCATTATACTTTACAAATAACAAGATACTCAGTCTTTTACCCCATTGTAATAGGAATCAGGAGTCTGGATAGATTGTGCAAGAAACTGAGTCTAGTCTGGCAAATAGACAGCCTGCTTTTGCAACTTCTGTTCGTCTACAGCTGCCGAGTTTGGGATCCACATTCTTCATTTAAGTACAAGCAGCTATGTTATTGTATGTTATCATACAGATAGATTATTTACAGCCTGAAAAACAACTTTTTCTCGTAAAATTACATATTTTTCTTGGAAGATAATGACTTTACTCTTGTAGATTTTCAACTTTTTCTCATAAATTTATTTCTTTTTTTTTTGTACAACTTTATCCTCATTCTATCATGACTTTACTCTTCAAATCTCAGATTATCCTGTACCCTTAATTCAACCCTTGTATGTCATCAAAAAGAAAAAACTTGGTATGTAAATTTATGTAATGTAACATGATTTTACAGCATCATTTTCTGGACCTGACTTGACCTGATCTTATTACATCTGCAGTAGTATTTTTGCAGTGCTAGACTGATCTCAGATTCCTCTTTCTGTCTTACAAGAATCTAAGTGGATCCCTCCTCCTTCATCTTTCAGAGGCAGAGCTTTTTTTCCACCTCTCTGGGAATAAGCTCCCACTTCAAATTCAGGTGGAGGACTCTTTTGTTCAAAAGCTCGCTTTAAAACTCACCTTTTATTATGGCTGGGTGACCCAAGGGGCTTCAAGAGTTGCAGAGCAGTTTGTGAAGAGATTGTTAAGTAGTGTGATTATAATGAAAAAATTTGAAGTTTGACTCTCAACTGCGACCCTCAGCTGCATTTCATTACTCTCTCTCTGCTCTCCACATTTTCTGTCTCTCTGTAAACAGACGAAATTTTGGATTAATAGTTGGAATACATAGCGAGCCAAATAAATTAATAAAACCTAAAGAAGCATGTTTTCAGAAGGCTAACATTTGCACATTAGAGATCATGTATAGTGAGCGGGTGGTGAGCAGGACCCTGATTATGTTTTTGCCACAGCGTGAACAGGCAGTGGTGAAATGTACCTGCTTCTTTCTGTGGATTAATTTTGTCTGGTTTGGGGGGTCAGGTTGTCCCTAGCTTCACTACTGTTAAGAAATAACACACTGTTACTCTGGCGAATTAACCAATCAGAATCAGGTATTTATTTATTTACTCAATTGGCTTTTCTTATAACCTTCATATTAAATCTTTAGACATAAAATACTGAAGTTCCCTTTAAACGAACAGAAATTTGAGATGGCTAGTTTTGATTTATGTTTAACTCTCATTTCAGTAAAGTGTTGAGACCTGAGAAACTGGCACCTCACCTGTTTGAGGTGGATGAAGATGTGGAAAAAGACGAGGTAGGTCCACCAATCATCAAGTTTTCTTCCTCTTTGTTAACCCTAACGATACAAAACTACCATTACTTTCTCTCTAGGCCTCACCAAACCCCATTCAAAATAACATGATTTTAAGATGGAGTCATAGAGCACAAACATCTAATTATTGCTCGGTGTGTTTTCATTTCTTTCTTTCTTCTCCATCGATTTTTCAATGTTTCAGGCCCCAACAGTTTCCCGGAATAGCTAACATCTTCATGACATTTCTAGTGTTTTAAAGGCACATCCTCGTCTTATAATGACCTCGCTTTAGGCATCGATTTTACCAAAGGCCAGTAACCTTTAATTGACACACCATCATGGCTGAAGTCTCCTGAGATTAGAGGAGTGCAGCGTCAATGGAAATGTTGATCCTAATTAAGAGCGTTCTTCCCAGGACTGAACAAACAGCCGATGCCTCCCTGTCTATCTGCTGGCCCCGGGGGCAGTCAGCAGATTTCAAAGATTGAGTTAAAGTTTTAAACTGTTTATGTTTCATCTATTAATGAAGAGAAAGACCTAAAGACATGTAATGGAGGGATTCTTATCTGTTTAGCTTCATTTAGCAGCTGAATTCTCGTAATAATGCGTGTGTTTTTGTTGCCTCCCCCCTGCAGGACACGGCCTCCCTCGGATCACAGAAGGGAGGGGTGACCAAACATGGCTGGCTGTACAAAGGCAACATGAACAGTGCAATCAGTGTTACTATGCGGGTGGGTAAAGGAACAACACACAGCTTATCCAAACCCCTTCTGGAATTGTTACTGCTTTTTCTAAACTTTATTTTTGAACCATAAAGTCTCTGGAATTAAAGGGGTGTTCCGCAGGATTTTCCTTATTATATAAATGACTCCTGTTATGACTGATCTTGCTAATTGCATCATTGGAAGTGTAGGATCCACGGTCTGTTTCTAATTTTCACACATATGAAATCAAGAAACTTTAATCTCATCATACGGAAACAAGCCTGTGCTTTTTCACCCACAACTTATTGTACATCTCCATCCCACCCTTGAGCCTTCCCATGCCCCATTTTCACCCTTGTAGTATTTATAGAGAGGATCTGGTCACTTGGGATGCTAATATTGTGCATTTCATCCTCCAGTCCTTTAAAAGGAGATACTTCCATCTGGCCCAGCTGGGAGATGGATCCTACAACCTCAACTTCTACAAGGACGAGAACACCTCCAAAGAACCCAAAGGCACCATCTTCCTCGACTCATGCATGGGGGTCGTTCAGGTAAAGGTCTAAATTAGAAAAAAACTTGTGTGCATACTGAAAGGGAGAGTTTTAAGCGTTTGTGTCCGTGCAATTTCAGAACAGCAAAGTGCGTCGCTTCGCCTTCGAGCTGAAGATGCAGGATAAGAGCACGTTCCTGTTGGCTGCAGACAGCGAGGCAGAGATGGAGGAGTGGATCGGCACCCTGAACAAGATTCTCCACAGCAGCTTTGAGCAGGCAATGCAGGAGAAGAGGAATGGAGACCTGCATGATGGTGCGTGTTGGATGCATGTATTAATTTGCTGCTGTACGGTGTTGTCTGATGCGTGCTGCACCTACAGGCTCCTTTGATTCTCCAGGATGTTTCATATGAAAACCACTCATGCTTGATAAACAACTTCATTATTCACATTTTCTCTCATGTAATCCTCGCCTCATAACAGAGAACCAGTCAGCAGCACATCACTTTAATCTAATATAATTGCACCAGCTAACTGGCCTCATACTGATCTCTCCAACAGATGAGGAGCTGGGAAAAGCAGACCTCTCTTCCGGAAGTTTTCAAGACAGCTTTCAGGTAGCCTGTTTCCTCCATCTGTATGACCGTTTACAAAATGCTGACCACCTCTGTTTGACCACATAAAAAGCAACAACATGCGGATTAGTCGACAAAACTGTGGAGGTGTTTTGGATGCCTAAAGGTGCCGAATGACTTCACTGACTTTTAAAAAGGGTTTTGCTTTAAGTAAAGTTGTTTAACAGCTGTGTTTTGTAAAGCCAGGTCCCCGCATTTTCCTGTTGGTGCTCACCAGGCAAACATCTGGTTTAATGTGCATGCTCCCCAAATGTAGAGGCCAGACGAGGCCGCGTCCAGCAGTGGAACGTGGCAGTCATAAATACAAACAGTTAAAGGCATAATCTGAAACCTGCTGTATTTACAAATCAATGAATTTAAGAGCTGAAGTCTAATCCACGGGTTATTTTCACACAGTTTGCAATTCCAAGGGCGGCTCCAGTGTCTTTCAGCTACCGCTTTGATTTCCGGTTTGCAACTGTGATATTTTGGTCCATTCCTGTAGCTATTGTCAGCAGTGGTTCAGCAGCAGGTGGCTGTTTACAGTGAATGCACTCTGACAAAGCTACCGTACAAATATTTTTGTCATGATATGTTCTGCTCAGATATGAACCTGGTTTTATTTGAGTGCATTTTCAAGTGTTTCTGTTCCCCTGTTGTCCAGTCTTGTGAGTTTTCATCACCAGTAACTGATGAAAGCAGAGGTTCCTTGTGTTAGAAATATACAAGCTGATGCTGCAGTTAGTGTGCATATATAGTTCTGCATGACTCAGCAAGTTAACCCTGTTTTCTTTTTCATATAACAAGCAGATTAAATCACTTTTTTCTTGCTGTGCACTGGACAGACCGCCAGAGATATCGAGTCTAAAATGAGGAGCGAAGCACGCCTGAAACTGTTCACTCTGGATTCTGACACACAGGTGAGAAAGATCACACCCTCTGTGAAGTATTGTCGAACTTCCACCGTCACACGTTCAGGCTTTTGACTTTATATTTCCCCAGAAACTGGACTTCTCTGGCATTGAGCCCGACGTTCGGCAGTTCGAGGAGAAGTTTGGGAAGAGGGTCCTGGTCAGCTGTAACGACCTGTCGTTCAACCTGCAGGGCTGCGTGGCAGAGAACGAAGAGGGACCGACAACTAATGTACGTTTTAATAGGACACAAAAATACAAGCCTCGCTGGATGTGTTGATTACAAGCTGTCTTCATTTCATCAAAGCTGACTCAGCAGTCACACCTCCGTGAACTCGCATGTACTCGCAAGTCTCTGTGCACATTTCCACGAGCTAACGAGGGCGAGCTTTAAACCAGTTAAGAAGATCACAGACAGTTCAGATGGCCCACTTGGCGGGCCCCTGTCGAAACTAGTGTTGTTGGCATGAGGAATTGAAGTTACCACGGCAACCAGCCTGGGCCTCCTACCGAGCATTAGCACCAGTCTGAGGCCGGTTTCCTGCTGTCACTCTCCAAGGTCTCTGTCTCTGTGAAGGAGAAAACTGCTACAACACTCGGCGCTCAGCTTAGAGACCGCAGCTATTAGCTCGCACATGCACACACATGCACGCACACACACACACACACACACAGACAAATGGGTTGTGTAATGGAAATGCATGCTGGAAAATGTGAACGGGAAGATGGATTACATCTATAGTACACTTTGACTTGAGGGAAAATGAGAAGTCCATTAGGAAGTGTAGCCATCCCTTAAACTGCTGCTCTCTCCCAGCACAAAAATATTTTCTTTCCTCTGTTCTCCTCACAGGTCGAGCCATTTTACGTGGTCCTGTCTCTGTTCGACGTCCAGAACAGTAGAAAGATCTCTGCCGACTTCCACGTAGATCTCAACCACCCTTTAGTCCGACAAATGACGTCAGGCTCTGGAAACGCTCAGGACTTGCGCATCGACAGCAGTGGAGACAGTCCTCTTGCTGCTCACAGGCAGGCCTGTGGGCTTCCAGAGGGGGCACTCAGGTACCCTAAACAGGGGGTGTTCTCAGTCACATGCCCACATCCTGAGATCTTCCTGGTGGCGAGGATTGAGAAGGTGCTGCAAGGAGGGATCACTCACTGCACCGAGCCGTACATGAAGAGTTCAGACTCCACTAAGGTACAGAGATCAGGCTGTGGATTGCATATTGCACAGTGTACCCCCCATGTATGATCACTTAAATGAATCCACTGTTGTCCTATCGACTCTGTAGATGGCTCAAAAGGTACTGAAGAACGCAAAGACCGCCTGCAGCAGACTGGGACAATACAGGATGCCTTTTGCTTGGGCTGCAAGGTGCGATAAACTCTGGAGTATTACATTTGTTGATCACTAGAAAGACAAGTTTGAGTTAAAGGAGGAGTTTTAATTTTGGGGGTTTTATTTGCTGTGTTGTTGTCTTAAAACACTGATTAGGTTGGGTGAGGTTGGTGCCGTTAATTAAAATAAGAAAAAAGGAAAACAAGATTGAATGTACCAATCATAGCACAGAGTAAAAGGATAAGGATAACAGCTAACCTCACTGCCCGCTGCAGCTAAAGCAAATTTTTTAATCAAGCTTTGTTGTCAATTGATAAAAGAGGCAACCTGACAACTCTTTTGGGGAGCTAACTAGCTTGTAGCACGTCTAACCCTGCTGTAAGATGAGACGTTTTATAAACTTGTCTACAAAAATGTAGGTCGAAGTTTTTATTATGGAACATGATTAACTTTATCAAAGCAGTAAAGGGACATGCACTTTTCAGTAAACTTATAACCCCTGAAAATCAAATAGAGCTGTTCTCTTTTGCCTGTAGTCATTCAGATTTAGGAAGCTGCATATGAACTGTATGGAAACTGTCAAAGCAAAGCCTGCCGGGAGATAGGAATCTTTAAACCACCCGTGTAGAACTGAAATGTTCTCTTTCCGCAGCCGTTTGAGTGATTTTGTCTCTCCGCTCTGTCTCTGCAGGCCTGTGTTCAAAGATGCATCAGGAACTCTGGACAAAAGCACCCGCTTCTCTGCTCTCTACAGGCAGGACAGCAGCAAACTGTCAGACGAGGACATGTTCAAACTGCTGACGGACTTCAGAAAGTACGCCTCGTCTCCTCCCTACCTCTGAAATAAATCAGTGTCATTGGTTTGGATGTTTAAACGCAGCCTCTTTGTTTCAGGCCCGAGAAGATGGCCAAACTCCCCGTGCTCTTGGGAAACTTGGATGTCACAATCGACAGTGTGGCGCCGGATGTAACCAGTAAACCCTTTAAATATTTACAAAGTCATTATTAGTCTCTATTAAATCTCAACACACTCAGCCTTGAGCTCCCTTTGTGTACTTTGTGCAGATTGTGTCACTTCCTCGTACATCCCTGTGAGGAACTTTGAAGGCAACGGACCCGACAGCGCTCTCCTAGAGGTGGAGGAGTTTGTCCCCTGCATCGCTAAGTGCTCCCAACCCTTCACCATCTACAAAAACCACCTTTACGTGTACCCAAAACATCTCAAATACGACGGGCAGAAATCCTTCGCTAAGGTACAAACATGGATTATTTATGTGATGTGTATCAGTTTTTTTATCCTTTATGTAACAAAAAATCACCCAAACACGGAAAGGGTTTGTTTTTGTTTGGCTGGTTTTCTCTCATCGTCATCACTTTGTGCTCCGTCAGGCTTAGAAAACAACTGGCACCCGCTCCAGGCTCAAATAGCCAAGCTTCAGAGCTGGATAGATTTATCCAGCTTCTGATTAATACATTAATACTCTTCTTTTGACTGGGTCAGCTCCAGAAAGGAAACCAACCTGCCTTCTCTCCTCCCCCCCGTCTCTCTGCCCTCTTTTGTTTTAAGTGAGAGCAGTGCTTCTTTTCCTTCTGCTTCATCATTGAGAGTAATGGATGACTGTAATGGAGGCAGAGAGGCACAGAAGACAAATTGGCAGGAATTGGCTCCAGGCTAGAAGAGAAATCTTTGAGCTCGTTCCTGTTTTATAGTCAGCCGACTCTGTAACTTTTGTCTTTTCTGTTCAGGCAAGAAATATAGCCGTTTGCATTGAATTCAAGGATTCAGATGAGGATGACGCCGCGCCGCTAAAGGTACATTTTAAGACTCAATACTTTTGCAAAGCCCAATTTTTGCAGCAGTTTGTCCCTGCAGTGATTTCTTGCACAAGCTCAAGAGGAAACAGTGTTTTGCATTGCATACTAAGCAAATTCACTCTTCTGTGGTGGCAGATATGATCATTTATAGACAATAGGAATTTTTTTATCCTTCTGTGACCTGCAGGAACCCTCTCCTCTCTTTATTATCTCTGCACCACAGGAACTATACATCACATATGCTTGAAAATAACAGCTGCAGGGCTTAAACAACAGCTGTTATTTTAAACATCAAATCCGGTTGTGTTTACAAAGTATAAAAACATGTCTCTTCTTGATGCCTGATGTCTCCTGCTTTTAATTCTTCTATAGTGCATCTATGGTCATCCTGGAGGTCCTCTATTCACCAAGCAGGCCTATGCAGCTGTCCTGCACCACCAGCAGAACCCGGAGTTCTATGACGAGGTATTTTTCCACTCCAGATACTCATTTTCAGCGCTGCCAACAGAACATTTGATTGAATTATTCTTATTCATCGCAAAGACGGAGGTGAGAGCAAGGACATGAACTCAAAGTCACAGAGGTAGACACATTTTAGAAGCAGTGGAGTCTCGTTTTAGAGCGAGGAGTTACCCCTCACCATCTCTTGTGTAGTCTGAGAACATTTCATCTCGACACTGGAAATCCTCTACAGGCTTTTTCACTGGAACAAAGCTCCCTCTGAATTAGAGAACCGACTCTGGTTATCTGCGTTTTTTTCCCTCCTTCAGATAAAGATGGAGCTGCCAACTCAGCTGCATGAGAAGCATCACCTCCTGTTCACCTTCTTTCACGTCAGCTGCGACAGCAACAGCAAAAAGAAAGACCTGGTGGAGACTCCAGGTAGGCTGCAGCTTTCAGCAGAACAACCAGCAGATGTTTTAAGCACATGATAAAAATAAACACTGAATTTGTGTAAACAACTCTTGTACATGAGGAGGGAAAAGCAGTTTGATTCTCGCATAAGATACAGAGTGTTTCTTCAGCTTTTCAGCTCTTCCCTGTAGTCAGAAATCTTTGAAATGGTAATTTTAAAGCTCAGGCAGCAGCCCCAGTATTATCATTATTTAACCAACATGTGACTGCACCTGCTTTTTTGCCCACAGTTGGTTCAGCTTGGCTGCCTCTGCTGAAGGACGGCAGAGTCATCATGAATGAACAGCAGCTGCCTGTCGCTGCAAATCTGCCCGCTGGGTACCTGAGCTCTCAGGATGGTGGCAGCAAGGTAAAAAAAGTACAGGATAGAAAGGATCAGTTTTAGATTTTGACCAATTTAAGGGAAATTATGCAGAAAAAAAGGAGCATCTTTCGGCCTCCAGGTGGTACAGCATATCTGTAGTGGAAGTCACTGCATGGGCACAAACCATGTCTTTAAACCGCTGTCTGTGAACTTCACTGGCATTCTTTTTTGGAAATCATGGACGCCACATCCTTTGCTCTGAAGAGAAGAGGGCTTGTTATCAGAGTCCATCTATTTCATAAGACAATCAAAATTGAAATATGTTGTTTTGCTCAACCATCAAAATCGGCCAATCTGAGCATTTGACACATCTCTTATGGAACTAGGGTTGTATTCCTATGCTCTATGTTTAAGAACATGACGCGTTTGCTTCAGATTGAGTCGTTTTATAGTTTTCCCTGGACTGCCCCTCAAACAGCTTCCTAATTTTTGGGATAAGATCCTTTGCATTTCCAAATCGCCCCAGATGCAATTTCTGGTTGATGGATAATCATCTGATTAGTTGAGATTGGATTTGGGACCTTGTTAAAGTGTTCTCATGACAGAAATCTGATCAGGATTCAATTTAATAGATTAAAACTATCAGTGTCATCTCACAAAAAAGACCCTCAGTGCTGGTTTGTGGTGCAGTGCTAATGGGATTAGTATGCATTTAATTAAAGCTGCTGTATGATTACTAAAGTGGATCATCAGGTAAGCTTCAGGGCACAGTGGCTAGTGCTGATTTGAAATTCATCTGCATGCATTAGCAGGAGATTTCTTACAGGTCTCCATTTATAAGGAGATGTATCTTGTAGCACACTGCAGACAAATGGTGAGACAGATGCCTTCTTATCCTTGGGAAATGATATGATGTTGTTTGTGCTTAATACAGTCTAATGATTCAACATAAAGGAGTTTTAACTCCAAGTTTGATGCATTGATTGCTGGTTGTCTGTCTTTGCAGCACTCTGGCTCTGAAATCAAATGGGTAGATGGAGGAAAACCTCTTTTTAAAGTCTCAACTCATCTTGTTTCTACGGTTTACACTCAGGTAAATACACAACGGACTAATCTTCTTCATTCTTGTCTTTTATTTGACCGAGAAATCGAGTCTACATGCTTTTTTAAAAATGCAAATGAAGTGATGTTTTCTCTTCAGGATCAGCACTTGCACAACTTCTTCCACCACTGTCAAAGCATGGAGATGTCAGAACAAGCCTCAGAGGGGGAGCTGGTGAAATACCTGAAGGTATTGTAATCCTTACTCCTATCAAACACCCCGGGGAAAAGTGAACACACCCTTCTGTTCATGCCTCATCAAACACAACCCTGTAATGCAGCTTTCAAGTGAATATAACCAGCCTGAGTTTACACTCCTCCAATATATGTTTGATTTTCTCCGCTCCCAGAGTCTGCATGCAATGGAGGGTCACGTTATGGTCAACTTTCTCCCCGCCATCCTCAACCAGCTCTTCTGCGTCCTGACCAGAGCGACACACGAGGATGTGGCTGTCAACGTGACGAGGCAAGCCCCAGAGGAAATACCTGGTGTACAGAGGCAGAAAGATGTGCCTCAGAGGGATATTTTTAGTCTCTTTTAACAAACCTCAACAACAGCTCTTTCATTTGAATTTTACTCTTTTTTTAAATAATAGCCTGGATCCTTCTTCTCATTAAAACTCACCTATGGTTTCCTCACTCCTCGTGTATGTTTGATAGCTCGGGTATATATGTGTGACTGGTCTTTGAAGTCCCGTAGGAAGTGTATAAATTAGGAGGCCATACCTTTGGGGGAATTAAAGTAACTCCTGTCAGTTGGGTGATTTCCTCTCATGCGCCTCATTTCCATCTTTCTATTCTCTTCTTCAGGGTGATGGTTCACGTGGTAGCTCAGTGCCATGAAGAGGGGCTCGAACACTACCTGAGATCATACGTCAAGGTGCGCTTTGACTCATGACGAACTCGACAGGATGTTTAAATGCTTCTGTGCAAAAATAACCTCATTTCTTTTTTCCTCTTTTCTCAGTTTGTGTTAAAGCCAGAACCTTATTCCTCTAACAACGTCAAAACAGTTCACGAGGAGCTGGCTAAGGCCATGACAGCCATCCTAAAGCCATCGACAGACTTCCTGACCAGCAACAAGCTGCTAAAGGTGACTAATGTTCTTAGAAACTTCCCCCAAGAAAGGAAAGAGGGACAAATAAAAGCTGGGGTTTCTCAGTGGTAGTCACATGACTCCACCTTGATTGTGTTTTCCTTTTAATTTTGTTGATTAGAGGGTAAATAAAGTTCTTTGCATTGACTCTGATTCCTTACGTCGCAGCACTCTTGGTACTTTTTCGAAGCTCTGGTGAAATCCATGGCTCATTATCTCATCGAAAGCAGCAAAGTCAAGGTAGGTTTTATTTTAGTTCTCTCTTCTTAAGCCTCTTTCCTCGACGCCTTAACTCATCCGACTCTTTTCTCTCCCTTTTTCTTATCCAGCTCTCCAGAAACCAGCGCTTCTCAGCGTCTTTCTACCACGCAGCGGAGACTCTGGTGAATATGCTGATGCCACACATCACCCAGAAATACAAGGACAACCTGGACGCAGCTCGCAATGCCAACCACAGCCTGGCGGTTTTCATCAAGGTTGGCACTCCTCCTGATGCCTGCGGTGCTGGATTGCCCTTTAATATGTAGATGAGTTCGCGAAATCGCCCTTTAGTTTAGTTTACGTAAGCCACTGTCGCTGCAGATTTTTCATGATATACTTGAGTTAAAGGAATAACGCCGTGTTTACTCACTTTCTCACAATCAGCGCTGCTTCACCTTCATGGACAGAGGCTTCGTGTTCAAGCAGATCAACAACTACATGAACTGCTTCATGCCTGGAGACCCAAAGGTTAAAAGACTTCTCCACTTGATTGTTTTCTATTTCATTCATCAGTAACTTGAAGCTAACTGCGTCTTTTACTCTTTTCAGACTCTGTTTGAGTTCAAGTTTGAGTTCTTAAAGGTCGTTTGCAACCATGAGCACTTTGTCCCTCTCAATCTGCCCATGCCTTTTGGAAAAGGACGAATTCAAAGGTTCCAAGGTAAAAGACGAAAACTTAACGTCACTTTAATGCAAGTGGAGCAAAAGCAGTCCGGACTCTGCTTGTTCTCTTTATCTCATTATCTCTTTGGATTGATGCCTCCTCACAGATCTGCAGCTGGACTACTCCCTGACTGACGACTTCTGTCGGAACCACTTCCTGGTGGGCTTGCTGCTGAGGGAGGTGGGCGGGGCTCTGCAGGAGTACAGAGAGATCCGTCAGATCGCCGTCCAGGTGCTCAAGGGGCTGATGATCAAACACACATTCGACGAGCGCTACGCTGCGAAAGTGAGTCCCAAAGCTCTCGCCCACCTCGAGTGAGATCCAGACCAGCTCGTTTATTCATGTATTTTATGAATTTATAATTATGAAAGGAAAAACATGAAAAGGAAAGAGGAACTGTGCCTGCTGAATACTTTACTTCTATATATTTCTCTCTAACTATTTCTGCAGTTTTTGTTTGTCTGACTCATGACTGCCTACTGTGCATTTCCAGAGCCAGCAGGCCAGACTCGCCACCCTCTACCTCCCTCTCTTCGGCCTGCTCCAGGAAAACGTCCACAGACTTGACATCAAAGAGTCAGCCTCTCTCACCAACCACAATGTAAGCCTGACATCTAGTGGTTGTAAACTGCGTTGCAAGACTTACTCTTGCTTCAGAAGATAAACCACAAGATGATGTGTCACTCTCTCAAATGTGAGCTGAAAGTGTGTTTTTATCCCGACTTCTTTTTGCGCCAGAATTCCAGAGACGACTCTCTGGTGCCGAATTCCATGGTGACTCCGCAGAAACCTGGCAGCTGCATTGAAAATGCGCTCCACAAAGATGTGTTTGGGGTCATCTCTGGGACAGGTAAACACTCCCTCCACTCTCTTAGGATTGTTAAATGCAAAGTCAGAGTGTAAAGTCGGAGCTAATGTGGCAGGAGATTCTTTCAAATCTTCATAACGAGGAAAACGTTCTCTCACAGATGTGTGAGACTTGGGTTATTACCTTTCTCGGGAACTGTTTGAGTCTAATCATCAAATTTAGCCCATAAAACTAATAACCCTTGAAAATACATGGACTTTCTTCCTCATTGTACCACATTAATCAGTTTTTCTAAGCAGCAAATTTATAATCTCTCTTGTGTATAAACTTTTATTCACTAATCTGTATTTTTACTTTCTGTCCCTTCAGCTTCTCCTCACAGCTCCACTCCCAACGTCAGCTCAGTCCACCACGCAGACTCCAGAGGCTCTCTCATCTCCACCGACTCTGGAAACAGCCTGCTGGAGAAGAGCAGCGACAAGACCAACTCCCTGGAGAAGGTAGAGGCCACCCATGACTCGAAATATAAAATCCAATCAAGGGGTGTCAGTCCTCCCTGGGTCATCTGCATAGCCAGATGACACTAGAATTCATTTTATAACATCTGGCATCACCATTATTATTTAATACGGCAGCCAACTTGCTCAGAAAGCATGAATTTCAAAGATTATACCAAAATAAATCGGTCACTATGATCATTTTTTGAGTTTGTGTTCCTGCAGAATCCCTCAGGTGATTTTTGTACCGAGTATAACAGAATTATGCGTATCACTAAAGAGGCTAAAGTTGATATTTCACCGCTCTTCCACGAACTTTACGTTAACACAACATTATCTGCACTTTCGGACATCCACCCCCCCCATCCAGACCCCTTCTCCCTGCTCCGCAATCTCCCAACACAACCCGAAGGAGCGCTTCACCAGGAGGCACTCAGTCAACGTGCCCCCTCTCCCTGTGGATCCCGAGGACCCACCCCTGAACCGCGGCGCCAAACGCGTCACCATGGACTTCTCCCTCCTGTCCGTGCCTCTGCCGGACCTGCTGCAGGACAATGAGAGCGATAATTGCAAAGAAGCTGCAGGCGTGAGAGTGCAGGAGGAAAACACACCCTTACAAGTATTCAGTCTGACCTGTGTGACCACTAAAGCGGAGACTTTTGGTCGGAGATGTACAGAGTCCAGCAAACTTCTCTAAATGACTCAGTCAACAAGATGCTTTTGGTGCCGTCTGTGGTTGCAGATATCTGTACAAAATCCTCCCAAAGTCCCTCCCAACATTCTTCTCCTCTGCGTGTCCCACTTTAGGGAGTGTGCGTGCTTTTCCCGAGGCTGAAGTCGAGATGACCTTACAAGCCTCCTTTCCTTATTTCCTTAGATGCCGTAATGCAACTATTTCTTCAAACCTGCATTGATGTTGCTATCTGAGAGTGCAGAGCTGCTGCGGCAAACAGACTGTTTCCTCCTGCTCTCGTGTTCTTTCCACCCTGAAGGAAAAGACTTGACATTTCTCTGCTCTGAAGTTTTGGGGTTGTTTGAGCCTTTATCCCTTTGAAGTTTCTGTTTCAGTGAAAGTGTGCCGTCCGCGCCCTATAGAGCTAAAACTCTCTCCCTCTTATTTCAGAACCAGTGCGCCTCAGCTCTGGGCAGCTCCGTGCTGCGCTGCGACAAACTGGACCGCGATGAGATCAAAAACCTGCTCATGTGCTTTCTGCATATCCTCAAGAGCATGTCAGAGGGTAGGACAGCCTGTCGATACGCCTTATTCTAAAAAGTGCACATGAAAACTGGTCAATAATCATCTTCTCTCTGTATTTTTCTCACTGTTTCATCACCTCAGAGGCCCTGTTTGCATACTGGAACAAAGCAGCTCCCTCAGACCTGATGGACTTCTTTACATTGATAGAGTGAGTACAGAGGAACCAGAGAATAAGACAGAGGACAATTCAGAGAGCTTTGTTTGAATCCAACAGCATCACTGAGAAGTCTAAGTTTGCTCAGAGTTCAACAGAAATGTAGAAAAAGTGAAAGAAAATAGTAACTCAAGCCACAAATTTTCAAACCTGACATTAAAAAAGTTGTTCCACATTGAATTTCCTGAAAGAAAACTTAGCAAAAACACACTTGAAACAGTCAAATATCTCATTTATTCTGAATATGTTGTGTAAATTGTAAAAACAGCTGTGATCTTGCTTTTGGACCTTGTGTCATAACATCAAAAACTCCTCACTGGAGCTTTAAAGAACAAACAGCCACACACATGTTGGATCATGCATAATGTGACTAAAGTTTGAGATGCGTAGCTTAGCCTAAAGTAAAACCTGAAGTTTGGAGGAAACTGTCCGCCTATCTTCTTCAGTCACAAACAGCCCTAACTTTAGATTTGTTTTATGTTTTGCTGTTTACGTATATTTATGTGTTGCTAAGCTAAACGACTTCCAGCTTTAGCTCTGTTGTTAACACACAAAGTGGTATCGATCTCTTCTTCCTGTAACGACATGAGAGCAAACAGAGACTAAAATAACTGATGTTTTATCAAGTAATTGTCAGAAGATAATGAGAAGAAAGCACCAGTGCAGATAATGCTATGTGCTCTGTATCGAAAAGTAAGTTTGTTTTTTAATCTCAGACCAAATAATGTAATATTTACCATCGTTTGTTAATGTTGAAAACAATTTATTATCAATGCATTCCCCCCTTAGAGTGTCTATTACTTATTTTTCGCTAATCGTCACTATCAGAAAAGGATCATGTGTAAATATCAGATTTGTACTCAAGGACAGCTGATTTCTACCTGAGATGTGATATACGGACATCTACTCAAGTATGGCTCTCAGGAACAGCATCCACCACTACGACTGTACACAATTAAATTTACAAACTCTGACTGAGCTTCATGTTTTCGTCTTTGTCCTGCAGAGTCTGCCTTCACCAGTTTAAATACATGGGGAAGAGATTCATCGTCAGGTAATCTAGAGTCTAATGTCTGTTTTCAAGCTAAATTAACTGGTTCTTACACGACATGAATTTGTGCAATGTCTCTCACAGCCAGGCTTACACAGACTTACAAACTTAACCTTGTGCTGGATCTTTTAACCCCTTTTCTTTTGGTTTGTTCTCTCATGCTGCAAAGTTGATTTGTGGTTAATAATGCCGCTCCTGGCCCCTCCTGCATGGGTAAGAAATGGCTGCCTTTACTTCTCACTTTGCTTCATTTTAAGCATGATACTACCATTTATTGAAAGACATCCCAGCCATGTTTCTGTTCCCTTTTTTATCTCGCCATCACTTGATTTGTCGACATTTGATCCTCTTATGCCTCTCCCTGACATATTGACTGTGTCATCTTTTATCTTAATCTCATTTCACTGGTGTTTGTCTCCTCCTATCAGGAGCCAGGAAGCGGCGGCGGGGCCTGTAGCTCCCGACAGGAAGTCTCTGACTCTGCCTGTGTCTCGTAACAGAGCGGGGATTCTGCACGCCCGTCTGCAGCAGCTGGGGACTCTGGAGAACGCTCACACCTTCAATAACAGTACGCATCTCCACCTGTCCTCACACACAGAATAAACACTTCATCGCGGAGTCATAACTCAGTGAAAAACACAAGTTATCTAATGCACAGAGAAAAAAGAAGCTGTTTGGATGGTAAATTGCAAGTGCACCACATAAATGTACTCGTATGTTGTCTACTGACCCCTACTGGTAGAAAGTAAGTGCTTCAAAAACAATCTTTTTTTTCTCCCATGAAAAGCAAAATTAAACATACTCAGCTCCCAGGCTGTTTCTTTATAAAAATCACATGTACCTCTCCACTAGAGTGATATTTTGCTTTGTTTTGTGCTCTCTCTGCAGTGTATCCTCATACTGAAGCAGACGTGAGCAGCCAGTGTCTCCTGGAGGCCAACGTGTCCACAGAAGTCTGTCTCACCGTCCTGGACACACTCAGTATCTTCATCATGGGGTTCAAGGTCTGAAATCGCCATCATGCACGATACATTGTGATTCTGAGGACACATTTAGTGAATTGGTTTCCTGATATTTGATTGTTCTCACAGACGCAGCTCAATTCAGATCTCGGTCACAACCCCCTGATGAAGAAGGTTTTCCAGGTGCATCTGTGCTTCCTGCAGATCCCGCAGTCTGAAGCTGCGCTCAAACAGGTCTTCACCTCACTCAGGACCTTCATCTACAAGGTAAATGCAAGAAAACTGCAAATTGTTTCTTTATTTACTGTTTTTCTCCTTATTTCCACTCATGGTGCCTTATTCTTTCTGCTAGTTCCCCTGCACCTTCTTCGATGGCCGGGCCGACATGTGTGCCTCTCTGTGTTATGAAATCCTCAAATGCTGTAACTCCAAGCTGAGCTCAATCCGCAGCGACGCTGCCCATCTTCTTTACTTCCTCATGAAGAGCAATTTTGACTACACGGGGCGCAAGTCTTTTGTGCGAACACACCTGCAGGTTTGTGTCTCTGTGGTTGTTTTCAGATCACACTGTTGAGGTCAACAGGTATGCTAGCCAACATTTGGATGGTTGTCCTTCGTTTTGTTGCACCAGGTGGTGATTGCTGTCAGTCAGCTGATTGCTGACGTCATCGGCATCGGTGGGACACGTTTCCAGCAGTCTCTCTCCATCATCAACAACTGTGCCAACAGTGACAAATCCATCAAGGTGAGACATCTCACAGTCACTTCCATATACATATTCTTTTGTTTATGTAAGAAAAACAAAAAAAAAACAGATTGCATATTTCCTATTAAAGCAGACTGAAAAGCTTTATTCCCTGTCCACTCTGGCAGCACACAGCGTTCCCGTCGGATGTGAAGGACCTGACGAAGCGTATCAGGACTGTCCTGATGGCCACAGAGCAGATGAAGGAGCATGAAAACGACCCAGAGATGCTTGTGGACCTCCAGTACAGCTTGGCCAAATCTTACACTAGCACACCTGAGCTCCGCAAGACCTGGTTGGACAGCATGGCTCGAATTCATAACAAGAACGGAGATCTGTCCGAGGTACTTTGCAGAAAAGAACATTTTTAAAGGAATATTTCACCTCAGTTTTACAGTTTTGAGCTAACATGTTCCTTTTTGTATTTCACCTGCAGGCTGCCATGTGTTATGTGCATGTAGCTGCATTGGTAGCTGAATATCTGTGGAGGAAAGGTAAGTCATTCACGTCGAAGTGTGATGATGGTGTGTGCTTCATTAGTGCATGCAAAGTGACTTTTAACTCCACTCCAGCATTTCTATTATCTCCACTTATAGAGGCCATATAATGAGTAAGTGATAAGAAGAAGATAAGTACCAAATCACTGTTAAACAAATATAATAAGATTTATTTATGCACTTGTTACATAATGGAGAAAGTCATAAAATTGCTCAGTGAGCTAGAAATATCAGAACAAACTACACGTACTTAAAAAGATTCAGATATCTCATGCCTCTTTTTACTACTTGATTCTGTAACTTGAAGAAAACTATTCCGAAGTCCCACACACGCCCACTCACAGGAACCCACGCCTTCATCTTCCACCTGAGCACCCGTGCAAGGGTCATGTGTTCATTCCCGTGTTAAAAACACTCCAGCAGGGCATTCTTGAGATAAGATCCTCCATCATGTTTCTTATCATTCAAACAGGTGTGCAGACTCTGGAGGGGTTTGTTTTATAACGTGAGAGGATTTTATTAGGGGACAGGTCGTCGTCAGGCCAGAGGAGGTTGACTTGAGACTGATCTCTCACTGAGTTACACCTTTATCTAATATCTATCAGCTGTGAAATGAACACATTAGATGCTTTAATAATGCTTTTTCCTAATTAAGAAAGAAATAGAGAGTTAAAAGTTAGGGTCAGTGCTAATGTTGGTAAAATCTCAAAGTCAGATATGAAAGCGTGTGACAGGAATCCCAAGATGAGCCCGCTTTGTACAACTTATTCAAAAAGCGAAATCAACACAAGCTTTCCCCTAATTTGTGACATCCTAATTTCCTAATAAGAGGGTAGTGACTCTAAAACTGGCCAAACAAACATTCTGTTTTGGAATTTTCTTGCCCATTCTCTGGACCTCCCAGGTCAGATTTAGGGTCTGAATTTTGGCTACAGAAACACAAATTAACCTCTGACGCTGCTTTTCAAAGTGTTCTTGCATCTCAGAGGGGATGTTTCCAGGGATAATAAAGATTAATTGAAGAATGATAAGAATTTACAAGTCCACTGACGCTGCAATATTTAGTTTTGTTAACTATCAAACCAAACTTTGATGTAATGTGTCGTTTAAAACCCTAATTTTATATTAATTTTTGTCTTATTATCAAAGGTTTGATTTGATTTTGAATTCCAGGTATGTTCAGGGTGGGCTGCTCCGCTTTCCGTGTGACCACTCCCAACATCGATGAAGAGGCGGCGATGATGGAGGACGTAGGGATGCAGGACGTTCACTTTAATGAAGTACGACTCCATATTCTAGTCTTTTCTAAGACCCTTGAATGTCCGCCAGTCTCTCTGTGCTGACAAAGCATGCTGGGAGTTTTTTTAAGACTCCTCATTGATGACACGTGTCACACCACGACTGTCTGTTAGAGCTCTTATCTCTATTGGATACCAATTGCCCTGCGAGGTGAAAACACCGGAGACTTTGCTCAGGGCTTGGTTTGTGTTTTGTTCATGGAAAAAAACACTCTGATCAGGCAGGTGGGACAATCGTGTGGAAATGTGACATGGGACACAGAGGTTTTCTGCTGAAGTGATAACCCTGTGAAATTGAAAGTGACGCCTTGAGACCTGCAACCTTTTATGAGACAGTCAACAGATCAAGAGGCAATGAAATCTGCTTTTATCCTCCATCTGCTCTGAAAACCTTTCCTCAATAAACGGGATGGACATGATGTGCCCATTTCCTCTATCTTTACAGGAATACTATGCTCAGTTGAAGTAACTCGAGCCTCTTAAATAAATAAAAATGTGTCTTTTTGCAACAGCTGCAGGAAGGAGGGGAGCTAAATGAAGTTAAAATTCATGTCTGTGTGTGCTCAGGAGGTGCTAATGGAGCTGTTGGAGGAGTGCGCTGATGGCCTGTGGAAGGCTGAGCGCTATGAGCTCATCGCTGACGTCTACAGGCTCATCATCCCCATTTATGAGCAACGCAGGGACTTTGAGGTAAAGAGGGGTCGCATGTCTGATGAGAAGTGTGGTTACTTTAAATTCAGAGTGATGCTGCGTACGTACATATACAGTAGTGTTGTGTTTGTATTATCAGCTCTGGTGTAGCGACTTACTGTAAAATCTACTCCCTTCATGAGACAGACAACATGTGTTTAACTGCAACATCCAGATTTTGTATTTAGGGATGCTTTAGATGTTAATTGTCATTCTTTTGTTGCCATAGAAACTGACACACCTGTACGACACCCTGCACCGTGCCTATACCAAAGTGATGGAGGTGATGCACTCTGGAAAGAGACTTCTGGGTACTTACTTCAGAGTGGCTTTCTTTGGACAGGTGAGAGGCGGGGCTTCAGAGCGAATCTCATAAGAACACATTAACTTGATACAGTAAATTTGTTTACATGAGTAGCATTAAGGCTAGCTCAATTCAGACTCTTACTACAAGCATAAAGCAGTCTGCTCGATGTTAGCTTTTACCCACATGGAGGCACATGAACCCTGTAATTCCAATCCGCTCAACTTAAACCTCTCTCTTTAATTTTCTTTTCTCCTCCCTCTCCAAGGCTGCGGTAAGTGCCTCGTGGTTTAGCTGTGTCTGTTAGCCTGGTGTGCTCCACCTGCTTGCATCATTGTACTGCTTGGGGCTCATGTTCAGATTTAGCTTTAGATTTCCCAGATTTAGTGTCTGATTTCTGAACACTAGCTTAAAAAATGGTGAAATAGTATTTGAATACAATCAGCAGTTACTCTCAGTGCACAATGGAAGAAGCTTGCATTAGCATAGCCCCCCTCCTGTGTGCTATTTTAGCTGACCTCCCTATTAACTTGGAGTGATTCAACTAGCCTGCTTCCACCCACACAAACTTTAATGTACCATTTTACCGACACGCTGCGAAAATGAGTTTTATAAACTCCCAGAAACTTTTGTCTCCTTTGAAACCAGCTGACGTTTGCATGTTTGATGATGTTTGTTTTGCTCATTAGCATGAGAGATTTAATTTTTTCAATACAAGTTCCTTGAGCTTAGTTCGTTTGATTGTCTGTTCAGTAGCTTTTGAAGTGTGTGTTTTCGTGGTAGTATTTTCTGTCCATTTGTTGTTGAATAAACTCCCCTTTTACAGTCGTAAAGCTTATGTTCAAGTTCTTCTCCTTCACAGGGCTTCTTTGAGGATGAAGATGGAAAAGAGTACATCTACAAGGAGCCAAAGTTCACTCCACTGTCCGAGATCTCCCAAAGGCTGCTGAAGCTCTACTCCGACAAGTTCGGCCAAGAGAACGTCAAAATTATTCAGGACTCTGGCAGGGTGGGATCATCTTTGCATTTCAGCTGCCGTGAACAGAAAATCATCAGAGTAGTGTACCAGCTTTGGCAGGACATGTCATGTTCAGGATGTAGTAAATGCTTAAGCATGAAGATGTAATAGGACTAAACAGAGACAGAAAGGTGAAGGAATGGGGCTCGGACAGCACAGCACACTAAGTGCTCCATGGAAGGAGGCTGTAGTCCTCAAAGCAGAGGTTTTGGGTTTAACTTCTGGCCACGACCCTTTTCTCTATGTCTTTCCCCACTCTCTGCTCCCCATGTTTCCTCTCTCTTTTTGAATAAAAAGAATACAACTTTAAATGAAAAAATTCTAAATACACATGCAACTCTCCATCTTTTAACCTTGAAAGTAGCAAAGCCAGCATTTCCAACCTCTTTGGCAGCTCATTTGCAAAGCTAAGCCAATTATTATCCTGGATGAGGCTGTCTAATTTGGCACAAATGCCGAAGTGGTAACAGCCTCCTTCATGCCAGGATAACAAAACCATTAGACTATTGTTTTAGCACTTAAGGGGTTTCAATGACGTCCATGTCTGAGCCAAAGTTTGGTGGTCCTGAAGGTCAGATGTAAAAAAAAAAAAGTGAAATATTTTTGTATTTTCTTAAACACTTTTCTTACCTGTTTAAAAGTTTTTGTTTTGTGAAGTAGTTTTCAAAGTTTTGCCAATGTTTTTTTTTCTCATTTTCTTGAAATATTTTTGTAATTTGTGGTAAGCATCCAAGTTTCATGAAATAGTTTTTGCATTTGTTCTATTATTTGAAAAAATTATGAGATTTTTTTTTGTGTGTTTCATGAAACTTTCCTAAATTTTAGAACGCATTTTTGATTTTTTTCATGTAATATTCATCAATTTTTGGGGATTCATTAAGTTTTTTTTTTTTTCTTTTTATCTCATTTTTTAAACATCCGGTGAAATATTTTAGCAATTTATGAATCATTTGTGTGGTTTACCTGCAATAATTAAAAAAAAAAAAATTTAAGATCTATTTAACTTCTTTAAAATATATTTATCTTTTTTTAAATAAATATATATTTTTCATATATTTATTTATATATTAAATATATATATTTTTGCTTTTTTCTAAATTTGTTTTTATAATACTCGATAATCATCCAGTGAATAGTATTTTATGAAATGTCAGTGTAGTTGACATTCAGAGCCACTTTACAAAATAGTAAAGTTTTTGTCTTTTTTGACCCTCAGGTGAACCCAAAGGACCTAGACTCAAAGTACGCCTACATCCAGGTGACACATGTGACACCGTACCTGGATGATAAGGAGCTGGAGGATAGAAAGACTGACTTTGAGAAGAGCCATAACATCCGGCGCTTCGTGTTCGAGACGCCGTTCACCGTGTCGGGGAAGAAGCAGGGAGGGGTGGAGGAGCAGTGTAAACGGAGGACCGTTCTCACCAGTAGGTGACACAGGGGTTAGATGTAGTTACCAAGGCAGCAGCTTAAACATCAGGAGGTTATGATCAGCAATGTGAGGAAGCACAAGACAAGAATATCTCCCACCTGTTTTTGTTGATTACACCTGAGCTGTGAGTCAGATAAGGCCAGGTGAGGTTTATCATTTTATTGTCCTCCTAAACCCAAAGCTCAGGTGTTATCAGGTCTTAATAATCACACGGATTGATAGTGATTTTAACTGTTGTACACTCTGTCTTTATTTATTACTCTATAATCCTAGCCTCACTAAAACAACCAGGCCTCCAATTTAGCTCCTGTCTGTAAGTATTATTCATGCCCTCCTTAATTCTTTTCCCATGCAGCCACCCACTGTTTCCCCTATGTGAAGAAGCGTATTGCCGTCATGTACCAACACCAAACAGACCTGAGCCCCATCGAGGTGGCCATAGATGAAATGAGCGCCAAAGTGGCCGAGCTGCGTCAGCTGTGCTCGGCGTCTGAGGTGGACATGATCCGCCTGCAGCTCAAGCTGCAAGGCAGCATCAGTGTTCAGGTATGAACTGCAAAGTTCCGCTGCCGTCAATAAGGCTGTAAATCACTTTGACTTCCTGGGAATGACTCCTAACTAAGGATCCTTGACCCGTGTTGTTTTCCAGGTGAATGCAGGTCCACTCGCTTATGCAAGAGCCTTCCTGGATGACAGCAGTGCCAAGAAATATCCAGACAACAAAGTCAAGCAGCTCAAAGAAGTGTTCAGGTACTCATTACCAACAGAAACATTTGCATTTGCAAAACCACGAGCCTCCGTTCTCTCAGTGTCCTCTGACAGTGATAGGCTTTTGAACTGACTCAACTGTGTCATTCTAATGTAAGTCCCTGTGAGGAGTTTATAGATGGATGTGAACCAGACTGAAACTAATACCGGTGCCTGTTTATGGGCTATAAAAGCAAACAGAGCCATCTGCAGCATGATTCACTATTTCTGTTCATTTTTCTGTCAATTCCTTGAAACTGCTGTTGGAGGTAATCGTCAGAGGAGAGGATTTACAGCCTGCCAGGGGAACAGCCTTTTTAATTTTTCCGACAGCAAATATGATATTTTGGCAGAAAAAAATGACTAATTCAAAGAAGATCATCGTACGGATGGGACTACTTTGTCCACAGGAGGCGCCATCAAGCTTTTTTCTTCACCAAACATAAGTCTTTAAGCTCAGCTGGTTTGAATATGAACATGTGTATTTCAGTCGGTATATATTTGTCTTTTCCAACTACAAAGAAAAAAACAACTTCCGCTTTTTTACTCTCTAGTCTTTCCACTTTCCCTTCATCAGCAGAAACACTAAAATTCTGTGCATTTCTCCGAGACAGGCAGTTCGTGGACGCCTGCGGTCAGGGGCTCGGGGTGAACGAGCGGCTGATCAAAGAGGACCAGCAGGAGTATCACGATGAGATGAAGGCCAACTACAGAGACCTGACCAGAGAGCTGTCCAACATCATGCACGAGCAGGTAGACACATCTAACACTGTAACTCATCAGGAGTCCAGGTAGCACTCTGCACGCTGACGGATCAAGATGACTTCTGTAGACTGACAAGAGAGGGTTTCTTTCTCACTTCTAACCTACGATTACACAGAAAATATGTTGCATAAAAGCTCCTTAAAAGACCGTACTAACTACTAACCCTGTTTCTCATGTCTTCTCTTTGTGCTGGCCGGAACAGATTGGATGGTAACGTTGCTTTTGTCATTCACTCAATAACTGTAGGGTTAAGATGTGGAGAGAAGTAGCTGTTCTTGTTGAATAAATGGGATGTTGTACTCTGCAGAAAAGTGCACATATGAGCTCACAAACTTTCATCATTTTTAAGCCTTTTTTGTAAAATCTTGAAATGGAAAGTTAAAAAAGTGTCTACAGATCTCCCAAAAAGTGGGCTAGAGCACCTTTAGAAAAAAGGAAAAACAACCGGTGCTCTGACTCCCTTAATTTTTTGATAGTTCCTAATCTGACATGAACGTGCATGTGTGTTTTTTACACTTTTAAACGCGCCGAAAAAGTATTTTGACATTTTCCCTTCCTCGTTAGATAAACCCGGTGGAAGACAGCACACGGAGCGCGCTGTCTGACTCGATGGGCATCTTCAACGCCATCAGCGGCACACCGTCCAGTGCCAACCCACACGGCTCCACCACCTTACTCTGATACGGAGGTTTCCAACCAGACTCATGCCTTCTTCACCACCAAGTTACCGATTTAACTACCTTTGCAGTTAAGAGGAAACATGTTCAGTACCTTAACACAACCTGAAGCCATCGTTTGTGGGTATTTTTTCACCGTTCATCATACAGCGTTACGCCTGTTTATCTTGTTTCCTATGGAGACCACAGTCAACTTACACTCTTTGAAAATCAGTGATTCTCTTATCTCCAGATTTGGGTCCTTCTGCATACTTTTTCAACAGCATGTTAGGTTGGGTTCGGCGTATTTGACGACGCAGCAAGTTTGAATCTAATACCGTGACTTTCAACAGGATGTTATCTTAATTGTCCTGATGTCTTCAGCTCCACCCGAAGGATGTCGCAACATGCTTGAGGGACTTCAGTAATTAGCCTTGACCCGAGTCTACAACTTATCTGTTTTTTACCTGCGGGGCTCCTGTGTGTGTATGAGAGTTGGAGCCGATTTTGAGTAAGAAAAAGCTAAAAGCAGCTGCTGTAATCGTGCATTCATCCCTTTGCTGATGCTCAGTATTTTTACATTTATACTCCGACGTGTTACAGCAGATGCATCAGAGTTTATCTTTTATCTCACTCTCGCTCTATTTTAGGCCAACGGACGTCTAGAGAATCAGTCTAAAGCCAAGTGAACCACAATGTTCGAGCCTATTTTCTGTAAAGAAACGTGTGCAATATTTTCTATTGTTACCATGGCAACTCCTGCACAGAGCAAACACTCTTGCCAAAGACTCAAGAAAATAACTGTGCAATTCAAGACAAGGGTGCGACTATTTTTAACCCCCTTCCCCTCCTTTTTGTTCTCTGTTGGTCATGTAGATGCCTTTTGTTATCTGTGAGGGTAAAAAACTTTTTACATAAGGACTGCTCATGTACATATGTTTATGACACAAGAATTAAAAACCTGTTATAATAATAACTTTGTCAGTGTTACTTTTGTTTCCTCTCTGTATCAAGAACATGATTGATGTAAAAGAGGATTTTATTTCAACATATATCCTTATCTGACTCAGCAGAGCTGTTGCTCAACTAAACCTCATTGTCACTTGTGAATGTGGTTTGTCACTGACCTGTTATCGCTGATAGTTTGTCATTTATTTTTTGAAAGAATAAGGATCTACAGAAGCTTTACAGGATCTACATCTCAATCTAAGTGCTGTGAAGCTACAAGTTCACAAAGGCAGTTGCAAGCATGTAGATTTTCTGCAAGTGATGCTTTCATGTCCACTGAGGTTGGTGAGTAAAGAATATAACCATAGCAAGACTCTGTAGATCACTTTAAAATGATCATTAAGAATAATGAAAGTACAGAGTAGAGGTGTAGACGTGTTCTCAGAGTTTTCACACTGTCACCCTTTGGGAATCCAGTCTTGTTTCAGACCCGGTTCAAAGCTGGCCCTTATCAGCAAAGCAGAAGCTACAGTCTCTCAACTGTCAATTTGCTGGACAATTTGAATACACAGTGCAGACAGGGAAGTCCAGTCATCACATGCAGAAGAAGAAGAAGGACTCTTGATGTTCATGTGCAGTGTGCGCTATGATGTGTAAGTATGAAATAGGTACCTGTCTTATCCTGTCCGTATCTGTCTGAGTAGACTAATTATTAGTTTTGGTTTTTAGATGTAAACAAAAATTTCAGTTATTTTAACGTGATATGCTTGAAATTTCAAGAGCTCACTTTGCTCAGGTTTCTCTTCTTTCTTGACAGTTACAGTAAAAGTTTCCAGCTAAATGGAATGAAAGGAGCATTTTGATTGGCTTAGTAAAAATAGTCAGAATGTAAGAAGTATCCTCATAAACCAAATAATAGGAGCACTCTGATTGGACAGGAAAACTAGCACAGCAACTTTGTAATAGGCTAGGTAATAGAAACCATCTGCTTTATCCACTGAAAGAGCATTCTGATTGGCTGATTGGAATTAAGTCTCTGACTGGCCAGAGGACCTGCTTTACAAGATCAATTCAAACCACATATTTTGAAAGCAGTTGTTCCAGGCTTATAGAAAATGCCTCTTTCCTGTATTTGAACTCAAGACCGTTTTGATTGTAAGGCAGCAGCCTGAACTACTACAATACAGGTTTGCCTGTGAGTTTGTGCTTTTATTTTCTAATTGATCAAGTTCAAAACTACAGCTCAGTATAGATATGAATTTAGGTGTCACGTGATGTGGATCTGTCCTGGTCTTGAACTGTTGATCCTTCCCTTACGAGGCAGCAGCCTTCACCACTTTACCACACATTTGCCTGTCAGCTTTTTAAAGTCCTGATTTCATCTATTTTCTGACAGTGGAAGTTTAAAACCAGGGTTTTATCTGTCAATGAGGACAGCATTGTCTTGGAAAGTCCCTGTTCTGGATTTGAACCCTGAATCCTTGTGTGTTTATGCATAAGCTCGGTCCAGACTGAAGTTTTAGGAAACCCATACTTTCTAGTCATACAAAGAAAGTCCCCTTGCTTGGATTTTAATGATCTTTACATGAAAGAACAAACCCCTGATTTACATATGAATACCAGTAGCTGTGTGTAAACATTCACACATGAGAGCTTGTTCTGTAAAATGATGTACCTACACACGTTTGGTTTATGACTCAGTTTTCTATATCAGCAGGTAATTTTGGGCGTTAAGATGGTTGAGATGATCCTGCTTTCATTGCAAAAGGGTTCTTTATTTACACACAGGCACCAACTGAGTAGAGAGAAGCACAAGGCAAATATTTCCCATAACCTGATGTTCTTGAGACTCAAACAAAGTTCCTTAATTTACCGAATAATTGTCCTGACCTGAAACTTCAGGCCACAGTGAAAATGCAGCCAACGCCGAACCTGAGGTTTGCCAGTTTCTTCAGAAGCAATGATAAGCACTTTATGGATGTTAACATTATCAGCTGGCTTGACAAATCTTCTGTATCAGAAAGGGTAGAGCAAGTCATTGCACCTGAGTCCCCTGAGTCATAAAGACACGCACACTGACTTGTGATGATGATAACAGCGGCGTGTTTGGAGGCGGCGTTAATGATGACATGTTGGGAGTCACTGCACAAGATGTTCACGGTGTGTGGGATCCACAGTCCAGCATCAGGGGGGCGTTACGGGAAGCTTTATGGGACATTACATAAGAGACGGAGGACACCTTAACTCAGTCTTCCTATTGTGGATGTGGACAGGAGTCATTTCTCTCTATTTGTCTTTTTGTTGAAGGAGAAGAGTCATTAAGCAACCATGGCAGGTAAGTCTTGGTCCACCTTTTTTAAATAACAGGATTAATTTCTTGTTAACTTTAGAGGATTATTCATCGTTTGTGTTGTTCTCTACACTTCCCCCTTTTATTTTATTGTTATTAACAGTCATTTCTTAAAAATAACCCTGTAAACCTTCTATATTTTACCAACTGTATATGTTGATTTGCTTTCTTTTGCCAGTATTTATCTGTTTCAGTTCACATTTGAAGAATAAGTTAATTTACGTAATAATTGTGTGACCTTTGTCCTCTAATTCTGCAGGCAAAGAGGAAGATAAAAAACAGAAGAAGTCCAAAAGTGTGAGTCCAACTGTACTTTGTGTTCACAGCTATTATTTTCCTGCACAGATACCTGACAAAACTGAAATATTGTGATTATTACTCTTAAAATCACAGACTTGGGTTGTTATAAACTTGTGTATGAGATGGTTTAAGTGAATGTATAGGAAGAAATTAAACTCATTACTTCACTTTTTCACTTCTTCTCAACAGGCGGCTGTGTGCGGTTACCCGATCAGCATTTTCTTCATTGTGGTGAATGAGTTCTGTGAGCGATTCTCCTACTATGGCATGCGAGGTAAAGCGTTTACTTCTACATCTAACACTGTTTATTTAGTGTAAAGTCATTCTGTACTGCATTGTGGGTATTCAGTTCATTTATTGTTACTGCAGTTAAGATTTGACACTCTAAATATCACATTTCTGGATGCAGCGGTCAGATAAAACTACCAGAGGTTTAATGTTCATTCAGGACTTTTTTCTTGTTGTTAGAATATTTGTAAAGTGTTGAATCTCTTCTGTTGCTGATCTGAATATCGTAATTCTTCTGTTTTCCTCAGCCGTGCTCGTGCTGTACTTCAAGTACTTCCTCAAGTGGGACGATGACTTTGCCACCACCATCTACCACACTTTTGTGGCTCTCTGCTACCTGACGCCCATCCTGGGTGCTATTGTCGCTGATTCATGGCTCGGCAAGTTCAAGTAAGTCTCATCATGTGTTACTTCATGTACTCTACTGTAGTTTCATTAAAGGGTTAAAGTATATCTCCAAAGTTCATCCTTGGATTTTAGACCTTTCTTCATCTTATCTCCACCTGAACCTGGTGTACTCCCGTTGTAACCCCTCCTCCTTCTTCCTCTGCGCAGGACTATTGTCTACCTGTCCATCGTTTACACGCTGGGACAGGCAGTCATGGCAGTAAGTGCTGTCAGTGAGATCACAGATACTAACGGGGATGGCGCAGCTGATAACATGACCGTCCACATGTGAGTTAAGCACGCTTGGATAGTGTCAAAAATATCACAAAGACAGAACAGATTCAGGCGTGTGATAGCTCTGTGTTTGTTTGTTCTTTCACCTCAGAGCTCTGTCCATGGTGGGTTTGATCCTCATCGCACTGGGAACAGGAGGCATCAAACCCTGCGTGGCTGCCTTTGGTGGAGATCAATTTGAGGACCATCAGGTTAGAAGTCGCTTAAGCACATGAACACACACACACACACACACACACACACACCTTTTGGACTTATCTACTGAAGGAAATCTACACAGTCAGATAAAATCACACTGTATTGCATTACTCTGACTTTTAAGCTTCATGATGATGATTTACAGTCCAATAACCCTAAAAAAATTAGTCATGAGTACAAGAAAAGCTGTTAAAGAGATGATTTCATTTTACAAGGTTGTTCTTATTATAACATCAGCATTAACGATAAAAGTTTATTCACAACTATGACATCTTATAGTTATGAAACAGGAGTTTTAAATCTCAAATAGTGTAATAATAATCAAACTTATGATCTCAGCTGCAGACATGCATTATCAGTGATGATATATAAGGCTGTTCAAATGATGCAGGATGAGGTTTTTGTCAGAAGTAGGACTTGGACCTGCACACAAAGCTTGCATTCACACTTTTAAGAAGAAATATACATGCAAATATACAACATACATGTACTTACTTACAGATATTGACCTTTTCTGAATGCACACACATGCACTCATGCAGAACACAAGTTCATCAGTCTTATTTTTTCCAGACACATGCAGCAATGAACGAGAGTTATCAGTAGATTCTTGTCAGCACTTGTTGTATCTCTGTTTCCCTGCTACTCGCTGTTTATTTACTGATAACCTCATGTGCATCTGTTTTAATTACACTTTATTTCACAAAGATATTAATGCTTCCTTATAGGGTGTTGCATCCCATTCAAAACAGTAACGCTACAAAGTGTTTGAATTGATCCGTCTTTGTCCAACAGGAGAAGCAGAGAAGCACCTTCTTCTCCATCTTCTACCTGTCCATCAACGCTGGCAGTCTGCTGTCCACCCTGATCACCCCTATCCTCAGAGGTAGATTAAAGCTCATAACAACAGGGCATCAAATAAGTCAGTAAGTTACATGTTATTTATAATATGCTTGTGTGGTTTGCAGCTCAGAAGTGTGGCAAATCCTCAGACAGTTGCTACCCACTGGCGTTTGGCGTCCCTGCTGCTCTTATGTTGGTCGCTCTGGGTAAGAAGGATCGACTTCTGGAGATGAAGAAGATCTTTTTGGTTGCTCCTAATTTCTCATCTCCTAATTTTAAGATATGATTCATCTGGTTTGTTTGTGTTTCTGCAGTTGTGTTCATTGTTGGAAGCAAGATGTACATTAAGGTCCCCCCTCAAGGAAACATCATGGTGAAGGTCTGCAAATGCATCGGGGTAAGTGGCTTAAATACATATTTTTTGTGTGTTTTTTTTAATTTATTCCTCAGCTTTGAGTTGAATATAAGCAGTAAACACAAAGACATTTTGTCACGGATTGACACGGAAACGCCCTCTTTATTTCCTGTCTGTAGTTTGCCATCAAGAACCGCTACAGGCATCGTTCTTCCAGGTTCCCCAAGAGAGAGCACTGGATGGATTGGGCTGAGGAGGGATATGACGTAAGTGCCTAAAAAATGCACAAAAATCCCAAAATATAAATTGCTGTGAATGAAAGTGTAACCTTTTGGTATTTTGCCTCCAGAAACTGCTGATTGCTCAGGTGAAGATGGTGCTGAAGGTGCTTTTCCTCTACATCCCTCTGCCTATGTTCTGGGCTCTCTTTGACCAGCAGGTAAATACTCGATTTCTCATGTGCATGACCCAGACTTAGCCGTGATTAATAAAGACTGAAAATAAAGAGCTGTGTCTCCATCATCACAGGGCTCAAGATGGACCCTCCAGGCGACCACCATGACCGGTGACTTTGTGAGTGTTTAGCTTCGCAGTCTTGCTCTGCAGCCTCTTATGATCACACACAACAAAAACGATTGTTTTTTAAATGGGATTCTGTCTGCCTCTCCTCCTCTTTTTCAACAGGGACTTCTTACCATCCAGCCTGATCAGATGCAGGTAAGATGACTCTCTACACTTTGTTGTGTTGTTCTTTGGATAAACAAAGAAAAAAACTCAAAAGAGCGACTCAACTTCTTCCCCCCCAGACTGTGAACCCAATTCTGATCCTGCTTTTGGTGCCGATCATGGACAGTGCCATCTACCCGCTTATTGCCAAGTGCAAACTGAACTTCACGTGAGTTAATCGACATTTTTCATTGTAATGAAAAGAAAATACAATGCCTAATTTAATGATATACTTACATGCTGATGTGTGTTTATTCTGAAGTCCTTTGAAGAGGATGACAGTTGGGATGTTACTGGCTGCTCTCGCATTCGTCGCCGCGGGGCTGGTCCAGATAGAGATTGATGTAGGTGCAGCAAACATTTAAAAACATTCAGGGATAATATGAGACGCACAGTTCACACGCTCACCCTTTCATTCCTCCTCCAGAAAACCCTGCCAGATTTCCCCTCAAGCTCTCAAAGCCAGGCAAAATTCATCAACATGCTGGACAAACCGCTGCAGGCCACAGCTGGAGAAAACGACCTCACCATACAGCCTTTTAAGGTATTTGAGCACAGATATAGCACAGCGCACCAACACCTACTGTTTGAAAAGTTTAGAAACTCTTGAAATTAAAGGACTATTGATGATTGACTTGTACTTTTCACAGGCCTCTGAGGGTTATCTAACATTTGAAAACGACTTGGACCTCATCACTCCAGAAGCAAACTTCTCATTCGCTTTGAATTCTAGCTCACGTTATACCGTCGTCATCTTTCCGGACGGAGTCAGTAAGGACGCTCTGCAGGTGAGCAAGTGCGGCAGCAGATCTTAACATATAATAACTCAACAGAGATTTTCTGCTATTTTATCAATGTGAATCTTCTGTGTAAGCTTTTTCATTTGAACATTTTTGTTTCATATTTTGACCACAGAAAGTTTAAGTACACATGAATTATATTAAAGCTCTGGTAAGGGTTTTTTGACTGATTATGAAACAGACTGAAATTTATTCTGATGCCTTTTAACGGCACGACTGATTGCTATTTACACATGTAGAGGATAAAATCAGCAAAGGGATTGGTTTAAGTAAAGCTATGTCCACAAGGGGGCGCCAAAGTTGACACACACTAAACATTTCTTACAGGAGCTTAAAGTCCACAAATGGAGGCCCAATCCCAAACCGTCCGTACACACTCACCCTTCACCAACGAGTGTCACTCGTCATAAAGTTACACTTGCACCTGTGGAGTGCGCCTCAATTGAGATGGGAGGGTATAAACAAGTGGGGCAGGTACGGGACGCCCTCCTCACTCCACCGGACGGAGGGAGAGTGTATAGGGCGAGTGTGTAGGGGACGGTTTGGGATTGGGCCTAAGTTTCTCTTTTAGAGAAATGGACAAGTAAATGACCTTTAACCTTTAAACATATCAAAATGTACTGAAGTTTATTTCTTCCACCAGTTCCCAGACATCAACAAAAAGCCAGAGCAGGGTAATAATGAAATCAGGTAAGATTCAAGTGGTTTTATTATTTTTTAGTTCGAGGTTTGAGATTATTTGTGGAGATGACACTGTTTATTTTTCTTATTTCATTTTAATAATCGTCTAACTCTCTTTAATAGCTCAAGTTAAAGTGAGTTAAAGTGCTATGAGTTAAAGTGACATGTCCACTCTCGGTTTCTGAACAAACTTTATTTTTTTAAAGAATTTTTTAATGTTAGAGACGTCAGTGTATCGTATCAAACAAGACTGTGAGGTGCTGAATGTGTTCAGACATGTTTTAAATCTCAGGTAGTGACGCGAAGACTTTTTCGTTTTCCCCAGATTTTTGAGCGGATACAGCTCACTTTTGAGCATAACTGTTGGGAGTCTCTCATTTGGGAACGTCACCTCCAACAACATGTCGGAATATAGATCAGTGCCTCAGGGAGAGTAAGTCTGAACTTTTATCACATATTTCACATTCATACTTTCAATATTAGAGATTTTCAGGCCATCTAATCTGTGTTTTCCTGCTGTAACAGAGCAAAGTTTGTCATCAAGGATGATAGTGGAAACGAGTGTACCTACGATCTAACACTGGGCTTCGGCAGCTCGTACACCTTGATCATCCCGTCTACTTTCACATTTGGACCAACTGTAAGTCATGACCACATTTTAAAACCGAGTCTTTTGATCGAGGCTGCACATCTGAATGTCTGTGTTTGTCATGCAGTGCAAAGACAGCATCAATGCAGAGTTAGATATCAGCCCCAACTCCATGCATATGGCCTGGCAGATCCCTCAGTACTTCCTCATGACTGCAGGGGAGGTGGTCTTCTCCGTCACAGGCCTGGAGTTCTCCTACTCACAGGTAAGGATGCAATCTTGAATACAAGCGCTGTGGAAACAACAGAAAATACAATTAAAGTTCTGAATGTAATGTATCTGAATGCAAGTCTTGTTTCTTCTTCTCTACAGGCGCCCAGCAACATGAAGTCAGTGCTGCAGGCTGGTTGGCTCTTAACTGTTGCCGTAGGTAACATCATTGTGCTCATTATCGCTGAGGCTGCAAAGCTCCCAGAACAGGTGGGTGGATTTGATTTGTCCTTCTGTAGGCGTGTATTGGCCCCCCCTCGCCCTGACAAGGCCGTTTATGTGATAGGAATACACAGAAATTTTGCAGAACAGAGTAACAAGGGTTGTGAAAGAAAAGGTGAACGCTTGGCGTCTACACGGGTTTTGTTACGAGTCTCATCAGACAGCTTGAAGTTTGAAATCTCTGCAGCATCAGGGAGAGTTTTCCTCATAAGCCTCTTCATTGAGGGAATTCAAACACAATATTTAGTGGTGATGAAGAAACAAAAGGGAAGGAAATTTATCAGTCACAGAAACCTCGTGATTGACGCTCAAACTTGCATAAAACCCCTTCGTAACGGGGACAGGTGGCAACAAGAACTGAATTGAAGAAAAAGGAAAGCCGTTACACAGAGGAAGGAAGCAGCTGAGAAAGACTGAAGGTAAATACGTTGGTTTTTAAGTAGACTAGCTAAGGAGATAGGTAAATAACGAGGTAGATGAGTAGGAAGGTAGATAGGCAGCTGGGTAAGGTGGTAGGTAGGAAGCTAGGAAGAGATAGGTAGTTTTGACAGCAGCTAGGTAGGTAGGGAAGGGAGTTAGAAAGGAAGTTTGTAGGTAGATTGCTAAGTAGGTGGCTGGGTAGAGAGATAGGTAGGTAGGAAGGTAGTATGGTAGGTAGGTAGGAAGTCATGCAGATTAATGGACTTGTCTTCCAGTTGAGCGTCAAATCAGCTAATTTTGCTGATTTTTTTTGTTTACAGTGGGCTGAGTACATCCTCTTCGCCTCTCTGCTGGTGCTGGTGTGCATCATCTTCGCCATCATGGCCGTCTTCTACACCTACACTGACCCGGCCAAGATTGAAGCCCAGTTCACAGATATGGAGCCAGAAGACAAGGAGAAGAGGAAGAGTGTGGAGATGGCCAAGAAGGACCGGCGGAATTCTGACTCCAGTGATGATGATGAGGAGAAACGCACTCAGACCAGGATGTAAAGCCGACCGACCCTCTAACCCTCTTCTCTAAGTGAATGCTGCTCGGTTCGGTGTCTGGCATATGGACTTTTGGTCATTCTGTGAAGGTCGTCTGGTGCACTGCTGGACAGAGGTGGTAAGTATAAATCAACGCCCTGAAAAAAACGGTGCTGAAGTTGGAAGAACTCAGAAAAAGGGCTTTGCTGGTTAAGCTCCAGGCTGGACAGTGTTAGTGAAGGATCTCTGCAGGGAGGATTGAAAACACTGGATGATATGCATAATTTAACTCCCTGGGTCCTTTTTTTGTGAGTAATTTGTGCTTTTGCTGCCGTAAATTTGTTTTTACAATGAATTATTTTGCACTGTGTAGCAAAATCTCCAGATTTTGGTTTCATAAGCTGACAAACTGGAGCACACGAAAGACAGAAGACCATTTCAGCATTTATATTGACGTCCAATCACTGTGTTGTACTTACTGTAACATACTGTCACTTTTTTATATTGATATGACATTGTTTTCTGCATCAGGATAAAATCTATGTAATTTATAGAACTGTCTGTAAAGTAATAAAATGTTCAATCATTCATGGCGACTCACCGAAGCCTTGAATGAAGCTACAAGCAAAGCCTCATCATTCAACATGTAAAATACAATCACTTGGATTCATCCTCTCAGGACCATGAATGTCCATTAATATTTTGTGCAAAGCAACCTACAATTTAAAAAAAAACCTGAATAACTAACACACTTACCCTGATGCTGGTCTGAGATTAAAAAATAAAGTATAGTGAAAGGGTGAAGGTCAGATCTTTAAGATTCACCCTCTGAGGACCATGAACCAGGAGATCGCTCTCGTCTGAAGGATTCACCTGCTGCCAAAAATGAATATTTGTGAAGTTTCCCAGGATTAAAAATGAGCCGAACACAAAAAAAATCTCAGTTAGCATTAGATCTTTATTTCTCATGTCACTTTGAAAGCTTACAAGGAGCTTACATTTAACTTGGGAATTCTCAAATGACACAAGCAAAGATTATATACAGTACTATAAACTGTCAGCTATGATAAAGGAGACCAAATGTACACATTTTGTAGTTATTTCCGTAGCATATGTTTTTCTGTAAGGTATAGATATTTTTTGCCAGAGGCAGGTGCCCATATCCATAAAGCATTCCATATTTCCATACTTAACTCTTTGCAGTTATAAAAATATCTGATATTTCTTAATTTCTTTCAGTCCCTGTGTTGACAAGTGCGTCTTGATGCAACTCCTCAACATTATTGCTGCATTAGCACAGTAGTAAATTCTGGAACTCTTAAGTAAACATATATAGTAAAACATGGCTATTAGCGACTTTTTTCTTTTTCCCCCCCCTCTTAACGGGTCTCTTTAAATACTTGACACACTTTCAAAGTGCAAAACAACTGATCTGAAAATTAAAAAAACAAAAAAAAAACAAAGGTGCAAATCATACTACAAATGTGGTGAAAGCGTATAAGAGGACATGGCACTTTCTAGTGTGGTGTGGAAGTGAGAACAGAAATGTTTTTGGAGCGAGGGGACGAGGATGGCGTTGATTTCTGCAGCTTAGCTTCGCTCTGGTCTGGTTTTGGCCGTGGTAAAGAATCAGAGTGTGATTGCCTCACCTTCGCTTTAGCTTTAAAGGATAAATTACAAGCCGGGGGAAAAATAATACTCCCCGTGATATCTGCATTCAGCCGCTGATGGTGGTTCCTCTTTGCAATTGTTCAACTCAACACTGTTATTCAAGAGCCGCCGCCACCACCGACATAGACCTACCTTCATTCTTATACTAAACAATTTCAAAACTGACTTAAATTGTCTAAACATAAGCACAGGTAGGAGTTCTCCCCCTGCCTACGAAAGCAAAGGAAATCTCTGCCTCTAAACAAAAGTACGCTTAGTATCATAGTTAGTCTGATGATTGAAATGGAAGATTGAAACTCAGTCACTTAAGAAAAGAAAACACTGATGGATACTGAATCTCACTCACGGACGAGTAAAATAAAACAAACTTCGGATGAAATGCCAGAACGTAGATGTGTGTATCTCAAAAAGGCAAGGCATTTTCAGTTTCCGTCTGTTGGAGTTACCTCTGAAATCTTTAAATATCTACTTTGTTTTTTTAAACATTATCAATATCTACAAAATGCGCAGGACCATTTTGTACACAGTGATTCATTTCCCGCAACTTGAAATCATGTACAGCATGGCGACAACCCCCCTTCCTCCCTCCTTCTCCTCCTCCTCCTCCTCCTCTTTTCAATGCCTCGAAGTCCACTTAAAGCACTTTACCTGAGGTTTCATTAAGAATGCTGCAATTTGCCTTAACAGGGAATCTTACATACGCGAGAGCACGCACGCAAACACGCTCGCAAGGGTGCCCGTTTGAAGCACTCACACACACGCAGCTTGCGCACTTGTATCCCTGCAGGTTCATCAAGCATGCTGTCAGAGGTTCTGGGGATATGACGCCTGCATTAAGAGAAGGGGGTTGAAGAAGTCTGGGGGGTTTTTCCGGGGTCGGGAGGAGGTTTTCGGCTTCTCGTTGGACAAATTCCATGTGGCGAAGTCTCTGAGAGGTCTCACGTGGGTCGAGCCGACTTTGAGTCTTGTCCTGCCAAACTTCTGATTCAAAGAAGCTCTCGGAGTCTCTTTTTTTTATCCTCCGCTTTGGAGTTCGGTAATTTTTTACAGGCTAGGTAAGCTCCCCCACCTTCACGGGAGGCCAGTCACGGTCAGCTGGTGTTGAATGACTTGACCTCTGACCTAGAGGTGGTGTTGGAGGAGAGGTGGGGGCCTGGGAGAGCAGGGCTGGGGTAGAGAGCCAGATACTAAGGGGAGGAGGAGGACGTCCTGCTTGTGGAGAAACTGTAAGACGGAGAAAACAAGAATGTTAGTTCACTGATAGAGATGTTTAAAATCTGCATCGCTTGATGGGATTCTGTTGCGCGAGGTTACCTCTGCAGCCTGTGCACCATGTGAGCCACCAGCGAGTCAGAGATACCGGGGTACGCCTCCTCAGCCAGCAGGATGGCCTCCCGAAGCTCGTCCAGGACCATGGGGTTCCCGTTCACCTGCTCCTGTCTCGCCTTCAGCTAGGGACAGATAGAAAGGTGATGAAAAGGAGCCCTGAAGCTGGGCTGAAATGTACTCATTGGTCGTTTTCTCTTGATCTTCATGCACATTTAGGTGGTTTTTCTGATGCATCATGAGGGCCTGTTGGATTGACCAGCTTTTGTAGGAGCTTTGTGATGATTATAAAACCGATATGGCAGAAAAATAGCAAATCCTCTCCTGTCTCTGATATCTCAAGCTGGACTCCTGCACACAGCTGATAGCAATGCAGTGTGGACAGAAAGGTCCGTTCTATTCGATGCTATGTGGTGCTTGTGTGCTGCTGGGGCACGGTGTGAGAGGTAAAAAATGAAAATGAAAAACCTGAGGATGTGAGTAGTGTGGGCTAATATAACAGCCGGGGGTCTAATCCTTGTATGAAACAGTTCAATCCAGTTTGAGTGACAAACCCTTGAGCCCGAGAAGTGCCCTTACCTCGGCTAGTGCAGGAGAGATGACTGTGGCCAGGCTCTGTGAATAAGGCCTCTTTGGAATGTCTTTTGTCTGTGAAGAAAAGCAAAAAAGAAAAGACAACGGGGGAAATTTTGAGTTCACTGTTTCTCAAAACTTGCTCTGTTTAAGTAGGACGGCTTTCAGCAACTAATCCGCACCTGGTCTGTTGCCCCTGACTGCCCCTCCCCGTTCTGCAGCTTCTTAGGGTCCTTCTCTCTGATGGTGAAGATCCAGTCGTCGCTTCCGAAGTCGTTCCCACCTGACGCCTGCCCGTCCTGCTCCCTGATTGGACGGACATTAAAAGAGGATTTGAAACGACTTTCAGGGGGAGTAATGAAGTCATGCGAGTTAAGTGCTTAGAGCTCATCGTAACTGATGTGGGAGGAGAAGCAGCACAGAAAGTGTTTATCTCTTTTGGCAGGGTGCGCTTGTGTCTGATCGTGTCAAAAACATGCAGAGAAAACCGAAAGTGGCTTACGAGTCAGATTCATCCGAACTGGACTCTGTGGTTCTGGACTGCTCGGCCTTCCACCTCTTGTACTTGTCCACCAACTCGGTCAGGTAGGAGGTCTTTTTCGCGTGTCGGACAATCAGCTTATGCTTCAGCAGCTCTTTGGCGGTTGGCCTCTGCGGGAAGTAGATGGAAGCAAATCAGAGGGAGCAAAGCGAGTAAATATAGCGCTCCTTAAAAGGTGGAAAACTACGTACAAAACTGGGCTCCTTGTTGAGACAGGCCTCGACAAACTCCTTGAGCGGTTTGCTGTAGTTGCCCTCGAGCGTGGGCGGGTTGTTCTTTGGGATGAGGAATAACACCTTCATTGGGTGGAGCTCTGAGTGCGGCGGCTCGCCTTTCGCTAGCTCGATCGCCGTGATGCCCAGAGACCAGATATCGGCCTGCGAATCAAAAGCAGAAACACTGAGAACTTTGCATATCGAATATTTACACAGCAATCACACTCTTCCCTTAAACTTTCTGCAACAAACCACCTCCAATTATTTTTAGGGCTTGCACATATCTCCTTCATGTTTGACCCTCCTGAGCATCCATACTTTGGCTCTATTGCTTTTTAAATTTAGCGTTCCAAAAAAGGAAACTGCACTCATTGTGAATCTCAGCACAACCTCTGTAGAGACCCTTGACCCGTTTATCAGAAGTGGGTGCAGCAGTAAAAAGGTGGGCTCAAAATAACTACCTGAGTGAGTGCGGAAAAGCAGCCAAAAAGCCGACTCGCGTTATGATAAAAGTCGGCCATAGGCAGCTGAAAATATCACTGTACTTAAACACAGCGTGCACACTGAAAATCAGAGGTCTTCAAACTTTAAGACTCACTCTGAATTTACTTGTTAACAAATTTAAGACCTGTTTACACTCTGTGATTCTGCAGGAAAAACCACCACGCTGACACTTCTTCGTCTGATCCCTGTCTTGTTTATTCCCATGTTTACTTCCAATCTTCTTTCCCCTCCTCGCTTTTTCTGCTGCAACCCGACTGCAACATTTATTTCCTTCTTGAGCTGCCCATTTGTACTGCTTTGGCACAGTGAAAAAATGGTGCAATTTTTAACATTTGGTACGACGTCAAAACCGGATAAATAAGCGACATAACCAAGAAGGAAAGCACCGAGACATGTCTGTAAAAGGAGAGTGCTTCATTTTTGAGGTTTTAATCTTCAGCTGAATATCCTGTCTGTAGGAAAATGCGGTTCAATGTCACTAACAATTGAAAGTCATGGAAAAGCTGCACATGGAGGGGGCTTTAAGATAAATACTAAAGCCATTATCGAAGACACTGACTGAAACCTGTGAGGCAGTGGTCTCCTGAGGATGTTGGTGGGTCACTCTATCAGACGTTAGTTGGCATGCTGTGTAAAATGTTGATAAAAACAGATTTCGATACGCTGCAAGTCATTGAAATCCACATATCAAATGTTGAAACACAAATAAAAAAATAAAAATGTTATGATCTGATGCAAGCAACATTGTCCATGTCTTTCCAGCATTTCTAAATCGTGTTTATTTATGGGTTCATTTTGACAGGGTCCAGTTTAAGCAAGAATTTATGAACTGTATCTACAAACTAGAAAAGCACTCGGAGAGCGCAGACCTCCGCCAAGCAGCTCATGTCCCCCCTTATATTGTGATTCACACCAAAACTTTTACTGTTAAGTGTCTTTACAATTTTCCCTTGACTTTATACCTCTCTTTCTGTCCTTATAATACAATGAAACACATTGAAAAACGTGTAGAGCACAGTCTGGTAATTAACCTGCTGTACTTTTTGGCATTTCAAACAAAATCAGATCTAAATTGAGTGTAAAAATGATGATAATGGGAGAAGTTTTACAGCCTCTATTATACAAAATTATAAGATATTTAAGACTCCAGCTCAGTTGAATTACTTTTTGATTTCAGGATTTCAGCTCTTGAATCACACAACTCTCCATAAAACTGTTGTGTGGGTCTGTTGCTCAGACTTCTTTCCAACTGGGCTCAGAATGTCCTCCTGGAAAATTATTTATTAATTTAGAGAGAACATAACAATGATGATGACGCTCCAACACAAGGATGGCTAATGTCCTACACAATAATTGTTGCTTTGTGAAATGATCAACATTGAATAAAAAGTCGATGAAAATGTTTTTTGAATCCCCGCTTCAACGAAAATGATAGGGGTTAAAAAACTTTGTTACATGACTTTGTCACCATGTTCTGCAGGTCCAACAATGTGACACTGTTTCAAGTCTGGTTGAGTCATTTAAATCAGAACACCGGTGCAGTCGGCTGCAGTTTCAGGATAGTTAATAGTATTCAAACAAGGCTTTTTAGTCATTCTACTCGTGTGAAAAACAATACAGCAGAGCTTTCCTGGCTCTTCCTGACTTAAACCTATTAATAACATCCAACGTGTCGCACCGGTATCACTTTTTTTGCATAGTGAGAAAAGAAGCAGGAGCAGCGAGTATTTTAACACAAAACTGGTGTGAAAGTGGAGTGTCTACCCAGCATGCATGATCGAAGATACCTTGCTTGTGTTGTCTTATTGTTTAACTGTCTCTGTCTTTACCTTGGAGTCATACGCTGACTGTTTGATGACCTCCGGCGCCATCCAAAACGGTGTACCGACAAAGGTGTTGCGTTTGATCTGAGTGTCCGTCAGCTGTCCCGCAACGCCAAAATCCGCCAGCTTCACCTCCCCCTGCTCGGACAGCAGCACATTGGCAGCTGCGGAAGGAAAAAAGGGGATCGAGCTCAGACAACACAGCGTGAGAGGCTTCACGCCGTCATCGATGACTCCTGTCAGTGTCGTTTATCTCCATGGCCAATTTATTTAGCAAAGAGGGAACAAATGTCAGAAGGCTTTTAGCGAGCAGCTGCTGCAGCTCCCCTGATGAAATGTGAACTGTATAATGAATGAAACCGTAAGTAGACGTCAATACCATTAACATGCTATGTGATATTTGCGCGTGCTCTAATAGAAGCTCTCTCCCAGTGGGTCGGCTACCTTTGATATCCCTATGGATCTTCTTCTCAGAGTGCAGGTACTCCAGGCCCTTCAGGATCTCCCGCAGGATTGTGGCGATCTGGGTCTCGTCCAGAGCTCCGGGCTCCATCTTTCGAAGGGAAAACAACATTAAACAGTGAGCTGCGGGGTAAGACTCAGTCTAGACTCACTTTTCTTGTTTCTTGTTTTCTAGTTGTTGCCGTTTTTATAGATGAACATCTTCAAGTTTGAACCTTACACCTTCCCTCATCTAATGGTTATTGACCTGAGTCTTTCATTGTGATTTGATTTAAATAATATTGTTCCATTCTCACATCAACAACAAGAATCATTACGAAGAGCTTGGAGTGATGTGAAAAGTTCCTCCATTTAGAGAGTCATCTCAGCCTCTGTATGTGCAGTTTTATCTAGACTCACTTCCCTCTTTCTCTTCCTTTTCCTCCTCCCTTTTTCTGAAAACGAAGCGAGCGCTTTTCTTTTTAGTTGGGTGTAAATAAAGAAAATAAAAGTGGACATCCCACAAACCCCACGAACATCAGGTTGTGCAGGAGGTGACGCTCCCAAATCTACACTATTCACACAATAATCTGGGGAAGTGGAAAAGCTTCTTCAGCATTTCCTGATGTGTTTTACCTTTGAGGCGCCATGCCTGAAATAGAGAGTGCCTTCTCATCAAAACTGCTGCATTTTTATTTCATTTAAAAGGTTTCTTGGGATTTAGGGAAAAAAGGGGCTACAATATGGTGCAAAATTATGAGCTGAAGTGAAATCTCTTTGGAGGTAAATACTATTGACTGATTCATCAAACTTATAAACCATTAAAGCAGCTTATACGGACAAATATCTATGAGTAAAGAACTAGTGCCCAAAGAAACACAAAGCAGGAAATAACTTACCAAATCTAGCGCTGATCCTCCCCCTAAATACTCCATAATAATCCATAACTTTGTGTCCTGGAAAAAGAGAGGAGAGTTAGCTGTCAGCGATGAAGAAATGGGTCAATAATAGGTGCTGTGGTGTATTTGTGGAAAGATATTCATAGCTTGATTAGCAAGCTGGGTGCTGGCTTATTGTGAGGTGTGGAAAGTCAGGTGTGTTCGTAAACAAGACATGATGACAGTAATAAGGGCCCGGTGGGTGTCTGAAGTCAGCTGAGGCTAATCCCTGGTTTTAATTTAGGATTATTCCGAGGAAAAGAGAGAGTCTTATCCCATTTTCTCAAAACTAGATGCAAAGAAAAAGAGAGAAACTAACTGCATATTAGTTATTTTGCTGAGACATTATACCTTTAAGTATGAGCCATAGTATTTGGTGACAAAAGGACTGTCACACTGGCTCAGCACTGTGATCTCCTGCTGAATGTCCTCGATCTCGTCCTCCGCCTCCTCCAGGTCGATGATCTTGATGGCCACCACCTTCTGCGTGCGATTGTCGATACCTTTGAACACCTCGCCGAACGAACCCTTGCCAATGCGCTCCAGCTTGGTGAACAGCTCCTCCGGGTCAGCCTTGGCGTTCTGGCGGCGATCAGAGGGGGGAACAAAGCACGCGGGGAGGAAAGGGCGGATTTAGTAAGGGAAAAAAAATTATAAAGCAATGTTTGAAAAGAGCTGAATTCTTGGAAGTGAATCGGAAACACCAGCGGGGTGCCATTCTTACAGGATGCATTAATTCACTCATTGAAGCACCTTGTGTTTGTATTTAGAGAAAGAACAGAAGAGGGGAACGAAGGTAAAGACTGCAAAATTTAAATCTTTTAATATTTTCTAATAGCAGTTTTTTTTCCTCTTAGATTTAGCATTTTTTTTCTTTCTTGTTGCACAGGAGGACAAAACAACACCTATACCAAGACTTCTTCACAACTTTTCTGGAGCAGCTCACTGTAACAAGCGTATCTGAGTGATGGCTGAAAAAAAAAACACCTCCTGAACGCTGCAGGAAGCAGACTAGAATGACTTAACCCTCCAGAGGCTGCTATGTGGGAAACACAAGAGCAGGCGCTGACAAAAACAACTTCCTTTTATGACCTCTTTTAAGCCAAGGAGAGGTCAATATGCCCGTTTTGAGATGTCTAAAAACAAAACCGCTGCCTTGCACATGAAGAGGTGCATCCTAAGGAGGAACCTTATGATACAATAACAGGGACTTATTAAAGGAACATGATAGCTAATAAAAGAACAAGAGCTCCAAATGAGGGCAGTGGAATTTTGAACTTGGTGCTGGATTTAGGAAGAGTTTTGCAAGAGAAATCCTCCCTTCAGCAAAAGCATCTCTACTACTGGAGTTATTTCTTCCTTAATGCGTGAAAAAATCTCAACTGGTGCCAAACATGCAGTCCTTTTTCTACATCCCCCCATGAATCTGTTAACAAGCCTGCGCAGGGACTATAATCTGGTGCATGCAGTTTACATTAGCAGCAGTTATCTCCTTCGGTTATCTACCCACAATATCCCCCAAAGGCAAAAATCCTAAAGATAGCAGCAGAGGCTAGAACAAGGCTCATGTGTGCAGAAAAGTCTCTTTCTACAGGGGGTCTAGGGAGAGGTCTTTCCATCAAATCATGGCTACAAAATTGAAGCTTTTCTTGCATCTGCAGCAAAGATGCTGCATTCAGGGGCATTTGCAAAATGGCTTTAATAATGATGATAACTTCAACTAAATTGGGGACACATGGCAATGTATGTGTTGGACTAAATTTTGTGGTTTTCAGCACAATTTCCTCTTTATCACAATAGATTTTTTAATATTTGGGGGCGTCATGTTAATTTACACACAACAGGTGTTCTGCTACATTTTGCTTCCTATCAAGAAATGCCGCAAATGCCGTAAAATGACACCTTAACAGGCAAACAAACTTTACATGATAATAAAAAGACGTGCTACGACCAAACTCTTTAATTCATTAGCATTTTTTTAGTTGTTTAAGTAGAGCATTAAAACATTAGCGTGTTATTCTTAAAAGGTACGATTATTCTGTTCGTAATCAAAACGTTAATACAATGGGAAATTGGGACTCCTGCGGGGGGACACATTCGACTAGGTAGTAAAACTCGACAGGACACCGGTAGCGTCAGAGTTAAATTCTCAGACCCGAATCACTTCGTTTGATAGGTGTGCAGTAAGAAACATCGCAGCAGGGGGTCAGAGAGACCTCCCCTATAAAATGTGGAGCAAGTTAAGAGTAAGTGTAGCTCACCTGCATCCCCGGCAGGTTACCCTGGACAGGAGAATGGGCCATGGTGATGCTGACTGGATTTGCGCCTCGTCCGACGACGCTGCTCTCTCCTCGGCTTTACTTATGTTTACAGTCTCGGCTTCGATGCCCTCCCTGGTAGAAATTCTAAAGGCCTACTAAGAGCCGCCTCGGGTACTTCTTAGTAGTCAGAAAAATGTCCTTCCACTCTTGGTCCTGTGTCGGAACAACCCCAAGTCATCCAAAACAGCTGAGCAAGCTAACAGACGTTGGCTAACGCTGCCAACAAGAAATCCGCAATGTTACTTTGCTAACCAGCTAGCCAAGCGTTAACTGGTGCGTTAAATCCGCTTTTCCCACTCAGGGAAGTTTTACAGCTACCACAAATGCTTACTCTCAAAGTAAAGAAGTAGCAACAAATATTTATTGAAAAAAATACCAAACTGTCACTTTCTTTGAGCGTTTTCTCTCGCTAACGGTCTTGTCAGCTAGCTAACATGGTTAGCGCACTAGCTAGCTAGCCGACGCAGACAACCTGACAAACGTTCCGTCCGCGAGCTGGCTCGGAGCACAGTTCGTCTGCATACCCGCAAATGTCACCCGCAGATCCGAGTCCCGAACGAACCCAGTACCGAGCTGTTGTCTTTGCACTAACGCGGCTTCGGCTGCTTTACAGGTCTGGCATCTGCGGCAAGGATATCTCGCCTGTGTTTTTGTTTCCTCCCTCACATTCGTCCCGTACTCTCGGCCATCTTGTCGGTGCTGTGACGCCTGGCTGCTGGGCGGATCCGGATCCGGATCAACAACAACATCCTGAACTCCCCTCTTAACAGGTGCTGATGCAAGGTGGATGCGCCGGACCCCCCCTAAAAGTTTACAGGTGAAAGAAAATCGTGAAAAAGTTGAATATTTTCCATCAGCTACTCAAGACTGAGAACAATTGATTCAGAATTTACTCATCACATGTAGACGAAAAGGTTAAAAGCATTTTTTTTCCACTTAAATTTGGATAATTTTGGCCTGAACCAGAGTCAAGGTCCAAGAGTCTGGAGAAAGAGTGGATAGTCACAGGATTCAAAGTGTTTAAAGTCCAATGTGAAGTTCCCACAGTCTGAAAAGATTTGGAGTGCCATTTCATTTGTTAGCATTGGGACCCTGTGTTTTATAAAGTCCAAATTCAATGCAACCAGTAGAACTTCTTGCTTTTATGGCCTGGCAAGCTTTATGGAGATGCTGGTTTCCTTATTCCCCTGCCCACAGTGCCCTAACTGGTTTGCTGACCAAGATTTTACTGAGCCAGCCAACTCACTTGAGCTGTCTCAAATATAAGAATATCTGATAATTTATCTTTTTGAATGAAATATTAAAACAAACACAGTTCCATAGGATGCCAGTTTAATTAGATGCACCTGAATACAGAAGTGAAGACATCCACATCAAATCAGGCAGGTGTGGAGAATATCACCCAAGAAGTTAAGGGTGATCATGTCATGTAATCTGCTCCAGCTGACATGAGAAGGTAAATTTAAGCAGATGAAATGTGTATCTTCTGAAAATGTTAACCAAAAACACCTCTATCTTTGGGAAGCATTTATTTAACCAAACTGACAAGCATACTACAACCAACTCATTATAAAACACTTTGTTTTGGGCATGTTATCATCTATTATAACGAGCTTCTCCACAGCACTGATTCGAGATAGTGTAACGCAATTTCATTCATCAAATCTAATTTCATTTATCCTCCATTACTATTGCAATTGCGCGTGTTTAACCAGTAGATGGAGCCAGTGTACAGGGTCCCTAAATCAGCATCCTTGTGTAATGTGGATGCTGATTCCGGTGCACCATCGCGTGCTACTGCTGCAGCTACAGATAACGATTGGATGGCCGGCGCAGTGCCTCAGCTCAGTCAGCTGGTGTTATTTGTGCAGGATTATCACCCTGAAAATGTATTACAATGAAAATAATAATAATAAGCGTGTGCAGGTTGTGCTAACAGAGATGGCTGCGGCAGAGAGGGCCTGTGTGGCGCAGGCCGGTGGATGAAAACATCCACATGGGTTGCTCAACCAAGACACGTCTAGTGCATGTAATGAAGCCATAGCAACATGATTGGAGTCCTACAGCTTGAAAAGAGGGATCCGACCTCTGCAGGTGAAATTAAGCACCATCCACTCGACCTGTTATTTGCACGTATCGCCTCTTAACGGGGATACAATTAAGCTCTCCTAAGCACGAGGCACGTTCAACTCAATTATCTGAAATTGGTGCCCCAAAATGATTGACATGTAACCAAAGAGTATTCGTGAGAGTCTGCACTCACAAAAACCAAAATATATCCACGTGTGTGGCAGGAAATACATATTTATGGAGGATTATCCCACAGAATATTTTCAAAAGTCTGCGCACACGCGTGTAATGGGAAGCACTGCCTCCCTCCTTCATGCGTAAATTATGTAGGGCAGGACGGGAATGCTCTGCTACCTCCATTTGAGAAAACCCGGCCGGTGAATGTGAGGAGAGAGGGGGGTAAAAAGGGAAAATCACCAAACAGCCCACCTCGTCTTCTACCAGCGTTTGACAGAAGAGGAGTAGCGCATCACGACGTGTCTATTGTGAAGCTGAGGAGGAGAAAAGATGGACATCACGGACCAAGGAGCTCAAATGGAGCCGCTGTTACCAACGGTAAGACAACATTCACATGCTATTGTTGTGGTGATGGTCCTTTTCATGAGCTGTAGCCTTGCGTGTACCATTGTTCATCGTCTTACCTCATTTATATCAAGAAAGAAGCTGTTTGGATTAAAATATGATTCATATTTTATATCTGTATTTCAAAATGACCCATATTTTGATTGATTTACCGGTTGCGTGCCTCATGGATGTAACGCCAAACGTGGATGTTGCGCACCTTGAATAGACATGATTTTCATGGCACCTCTCTCGCCATTAACGCCTACACCTTCACACAGATGGCATCTGTGATACAGGTTGATACAGTGTTACACCGCAGCTACAGACATTCATTTGTTCCAGGCTGCCTGCACGCAAAGACTCCTTAACATGTTGCCTTTCAGCCTAATCATACCGACCCAGTTTTTAAACCTGCTGTCAAGCTGTTGCTTTCCAGATCTGCCTTTCTAAGATGTTACACTGAGATAAGAGCACGAAGTGTTTGATCCTGACAGTGAGGAAGCAGAGGGAGGTAATATGCCCCATCAGTTGGATGTAACAAGCTCAGGATGTTATCATATTTCCATGAGGAGCTTCTCTTGAATTCATAACCAATTTGGCCTATTAAAATGGATTTAAACTCAATTTTTTGAAGTAAGTGTGCATGATGGTGCCGCTATCCGTCCTCTTTGTTGGAATCAGAGGTGGTATCCGAGGATCCCAAAGTCGTAGTTTCACCAAAACAGTTTCCAAAAGTGTGGGATCATGAGTTGTGTGGAGCTCAACAACAAACTGGAAAGAGTCCTGTCAAGTAGCCTGTTACAGGGAATGAAAGGTGTCAAAGATAACATAGAACAAAGCATGGAAAATAATAAAGGGAGAGGATAGTGAACAGGCAAGTGAAATACCACAGAGAGCCTACATGTAAAAAAAATAACAAGAAACAAACATTTCAAATTTGACAGGGAACAAAAAGGAAGCAGACAGGTATAATATTGCATGGAATAAATTTGGAACTAACGGGTCAATATACCAGGGATAAAAATAAGTAAGTAACAGGTAATTGTGAAAGGTAACAGACTCAAAACAACAGGTCAAACATCATGAGAAAAAAAAAACAGCTTGATAGAGTATTACAGGGAACTATCTGTTCAAGTAGTACAAGGAATGAAAGGGTCAAATATAACATAGATCATTGAGGGAACCAACAGGTCATATATGATAGGAAACTTATAAGGAACCAACAGGTCACACGTAACACAGTAACAAACAAACAGGTAACATATAGCGAAAGCTATGAGTAAAAGGTAACCAACAGGTAAATATTATCAGGGAGTAAACAGCTTAATGTTGAAGGGATAACGTGGTCAGACACAACAGGGAACAAGCAGGGAACAAACAAAAGGATAAATGAAAGTAATGCCCTTTCGTAAGAGCTTTTTCAAACAATCGTGTCATAAACATCACACATTGGTCCACTTACAGGCAGAGCCCACTTCTGCGGTCAGCCTCCCCTCATTAGCATTCAGGTGAGACTGTGTAGATACAGGGGAAAAAATACCCACTGCCTTAAATGAACAGAGGGTGAGGACGAAACGTATTGCTTTCTGTTCACAACATTAAATGGCAACGATTGCTCTTTATTCTGATCAATACTCTCATTGTTTGTTCTATTTGTGGACGTGTTACATGAGGACTTTCCGGAGCTTACAGTGAAGCCTGCCGGGGGCTGATGTGGCGTGGGATGGCTGCTCTGCCTCCCCTGCAGTCTCAATGCAGTGTGGTAGATTTCCTCTTGTTGTAACTCATTGCTGCCCCCTCCCCCCCCCATCCCTCTGCCTACACAGCAAGCGGATGCGTTGCCATGGTTTCACCAGGATGCGTATGTGTATGTGAGGTGTTAGCATGGCGAGGATCTCAGGGATTCCTCGGAGTGTCGCAACACAAAAAAGCAACTTCACTGTATCCCGTTGTGGCAGGTTACCAGGTTCCCAAGGTCAAGCATGGGAGTATGTTTAATTTACAACAGGAAAAACTCCGCCTGAATGCAAAGAAGTTTACTACATATTCAAGCGTTCCTGAAGAAAGCATCTCACTTGGAAATAAAGTCTTCACACGCCTTTCTTTTTCCCCTGTGGACTGATTTTTTCATGTTCTTTTTCTTGTAGGACCAGAGCCCCCAAGAAAACAAAGACGTGGTGAGTACTTTTTTATCTTACATTGATTTACCCAGAAGCAACAACAATAAGTCAATTTGATTCGCTTGTGAAGTCTACTTTTAAACTGTCGGAAGCTGTCAAAAAATCAATAAGAAAAAAGAGAGATTAAAAAGCAAGGAAAGGGTAAAAAGGGAGGTCAGATGAAATTACAGTTGTTAGGAGTTGTAACAAGTGAGGCGAGCAGTCGACAAAGTTTTGTACCAATTTTTCACCACAATGCATCATTCAAAGGGAAATATCGGTCATCCTATAGATATGCAGAAAATGTTTTTCAAATTCTCAACATTATTATTATTTATCTTATTTCCCCCCTCCCACAGTAATGTGTCCTGAAGTTAACATGGTCATTAATGGGACGACTAAGTATTTCTATTATTAGTTATTCTAAGTGCCTGAAACCTTTGTTGTGGTTGGTTTGGGACACACATATATTTTCACATTCGGACTATGGCATGTGAGCAGATGTTAGAGTTAGTCAATGATCAAAGTCAGATCTTTAGTCCGTAATTAGACCGTTGTTTTCTCATAGCATTGCTGAGACACTGAGAGGAGGTGGCTGGACTTTTGACCGATACTGATACCAATACTAGTACCAATAATGATATATTCACACCTTTTTTTCCATTGCCAAGAACATTGTCTCTCCAGCACCAAAATGTACATGCAACTCTTATTGTATCAGTCTATTTGTTTCAGAAAAGGAGCACTTAAAACAAGAAAAGCAAAATTTGATTCCAAAAAAAAAATATTACCTTTTACATACAGACACCACACAGTAAGGTGTCTGCTGTATGTTTTATGACACTTTAAAAAATTTCCATACAGCTGACATGTGATCAGTGCATCATCGTATCTCCCCATAATGATATTATGCCGATAATATCCTGCATCCCAACAGATATTGTTGGACTTTGACTACAGGGGGCGCTGAACTCACAGAAACATATTTGAAAAAAATAGAAACGAGCTGAAGCAGGTGAGTTCAAATTTCAGTGGGTGTAATCAGTGCCGGTAAAGTCAATTAAAACAAAAAGTGTAATCAAGAAAACCATGAAACATATTTTTACTCAAGGATTATTTAGAGTTTAACACAACAATAATTATCAACGTAATTATTAAACACTGCTCACTATTTCAGGTTATTCACTTTGCTATAAAAAAAATCACACTTCAGCTTTGCTTAAATTTTAGCACTTCTGCTAAAATTCACTTCTATTAAATTCACGATGGCTGAATTGATATCAGAGGATATTTACCACAGAGTAAGCGTTTTTAGTCTTACAGTTAAAGGACACTATGTTGATATCTTGTGTATAAATTCAAACCCAAAGTAAAATAAAATTCAAACCCGCTTTGAGTACTTATGCGCTGAAATTCACAATCCACAGTAAAGTTGCACTCGTGTTCTTTTGTTGTTGTTGTTTTCTTCTGTTATTAGCCTGCTTGTGTAGCAGATGTCATGTATTTTTGGATCACAAGAATCACACATGCCACTATGCATCTGGCAGCGACACGCGGCTGACAACACACTGGGTAAATAATAGATAATGGGAATTTAGTGAGAAGGCTTTGAAGAGCTCGCAGGAAATGAGTGTAAACAGACAATCGAGGCGGTCGTACAGAGGAGTTTTGATGCATGCATGTCATCTGCTCTGACAAAATATCGCTTATGCAACTGTGGGCTGAGAGCCAGCGTGAGGACAAGGCTGAGCACAAAGTGTGTGCCAGTGGCCAAATTGTGTAGCCTTGCCTTGTTCGGACTTAGGACTTCCACATCCCTTATTATTCGGAGGGTGCAGGGATTTTAGTCGCCCTTGATTTTAAACCACTGTAGTGTTAATCTCTATGGTCGCCTCTGGCCAAAGAGAAAAATGTGACGTTGTTGTCACGTTGGGATGAATTCTAGTACATTAAATCCATTCATTTTTTTCCAACTCCATTTTTGTTGATTGCAAAAGTAGTGTCCTGTTGATTCACCTGTACCAGAAAAAAACAAACTCTGAGATAATAGGATGCTTGGTTTGACCTTGCTATAAAACTTTGTGTCCTGAGTCTTGGTTTTGAAACATCTCTGTCTCAATTTTAACCAACTAAAATGCCAAAACAGTGCACCATGCGCACAACACAGATTTGTTTGTATGTCAGTTAATATCAATGCTGTTCAAGGCTGTTGTTATTTCAGCCCATTGCAAAACATCCCTAATGTACTGCAAGTCAAAGTCCAATCCAGATTTGCTTCTACATGTGTCAATCAATCTTGGCATGTTGCTGTTGCTTCGCTAACTCAGCTTATCAAACTGACAAGACCTGCTGCATAATATTGTACAGGCTGGCTGTCATGCTGGAGAGGAAGTCAGCATTTTCCTAAGAGCTCCAGGTTACTCTCCTCTAGTTTGCATGTGAGGTATTTTTCCATGGTTCAACCGGTCTCAAAGAAGGAAGAGTGACACTGATATCATGCCTGTATGCAACATAATATGCTAATGCCAGCAGCTGGCTGGCTAAGAGGGAAGAGACACAACCACTCTCAAGAGATCACCCAAGACATGACTCCTTGAAAACAACAGTTTAATGAGTGTGCCTCAGAGATTTGTCCCTTTCATTGCCCGTGTGTGACTACCCCGGTCGTAATATTCCAGTATTGTATATGGTATTTCGTGTTTATCTCTGGCCTGGCTGTGTCTGGTGTATGTGTGGTTTGTGCTGTGAATTTGTCGCCTATCTTGTATGTAAATTAGCTGGCACACCTAACTTTGTCCTCGCTTTTTGCTTGGGTAAGTTTTTTGTGTCATGGTATTTCTTGGCTTTCTAGGTGTGTGGAAAGGTACTTGTCTAACCTTGAACTGACATGGAGTTTTCCATGTGATGGACATCATAAAACCGGGTCGTAATATTCCAGTATTGTACATTATTTTTCATGTTATTCTCTGGCCTGCCTGCCTGGTGTTTGTGTGGTGTACATGTAACCTATCTCATATGTAAATTAGGTGTGCCATCGCGTGCTCCCAATTGGCAGCTTCAGTTCCCATGCGATTAGTTCAACTTTACGGAGAAAGTTACAGACGGATTGACCTGAAATTTTCACCAGAGGTGCGTCTCAGCCCCAGGATGATCCCGTTACATTTTGGTGGTGATCCGGATCGCCTTCTGGATCCAGGAATTTTTTGAAGGATTCTTTATCATTGTGAGATAGGGCAAATTTTGGAATTTTTGCATTTAACTCTATAAAAATGTCCAGAGTCTTTAGTAAAAAAATGACACAAAAGGATCTCAATGAGTTTTATGAGGTGTCAAAGGTTGATCCTGATCCAGACAAAATTCTGGATACTGTGATCCAGAACACACAAAAATAAGGGTGTGGTTGGAATTTTCAATGCTAACCAAATGGGCGGCACAGTGGTGTAGATGGGCGGCACTGTCACCTCACAACAAGAAGGTCCTGGGTTTGAATCCGGGTCAGGGCATTTCTTGTTTTAGGAACATTATGAACAGTGAACATACCAGTTTAAACACAAATAAAAGTTAATAAAAGACACGTAACAGTAAAAGTTTTGGTATGAATCACAATATATAAGGGGGACATGAGCTGCTTGGCGGAGGTCTGTGCTCTCCGAGTGTTTTTCTAGTTACTATTGTTGCACCCTGAGGAGGTGATTATTCTTTGTTCTGTACTCATCCTGTTTGTTTGTAGCTTTAATAAATTACCTCTTTGTTAAAACCCTGAAAGTTTTTGGGTTTTGTGGCTGTTTGAGAGGTGGGTGAAATGGGTTCACTTTCATGTTGTGTCCTAGCCACCTCCTGAGACAAAACTAGGCTAGTAGACCATTTGCTAAACTGGGCTTACTTACTGACAGATTCAAGCTGCATAGTTAGCTTCTTACAGAAAAGTATCAACTCTCATCCAACAAGAAATAAGTTTAATTTTTGAACATTTAAACTGAAGAACTCCACTGAATGTCCACATGCCTGTTACAGGTACACCTCAGCCACTTTTTGATTTGCACTCAAGTTGTCCAGATCTGCATGGATTTGGCTTGAACTCCACAAGCACAGCCTTAATTACAAACCCTGACATGACAGCAGGCTTTCCGCCAGGCTGACCAGTCAGGGCTGGTTGATTGTTTGTACCGTAGAAGATGAGTGAGAACAGACGGAGGAAGTCTAACTGAGCTGCCCGGGTTTGTTCTTTTGAGCGTGGTGTTCTTGGATCAGTGTGAAATCGCTGGATCGTTGGTGATCCAACTGTGCAAAACTGGCAGGCAGGCGGGCGGGCAGGAAGCCTCCCTACAGCCCCAGCTAGGAGCTTGAAACGGCTGTGCTCCCTGTGCATGGTTAATTATAGCAATGTCAGCGGAGAGGAGGATGAAGAGGGCATGGAAAAAAGGTAGAGGGTGAACTTTCGAGGAGACAGATGGTGACAGGAAGAGAGAGGGATTTCAAATGTGAGATTTGTGGTGTTAAACGAGATCTTGATGTGTCTTCTGAGAGGGAATTAGTTGTTGCGGTTGATATGAAAACTTCTGGAAAGATCAGATGACATAAAGCTCAGAGGCAGCAGATACAGAATAGATGCTTGTTCTTCCGGATGTGTTTTTAGCACACCATGCCTAGATCACAGTATTGCTGACAATGCACTACAGTCAGAGAGCAGCTTCTTTGCCTCAGGTAGGTTGTGCAGACGCGCACACTCAGACTATCACATGCACTTAAAGATGCACATACTGTATACAGTAGGACCGCAGCGCCAGCCCTCTCCTCCAGCACGTGTAGCTGTTAGCTGTGCAGGGGCTGTGTGAAGCCCCCCTCGTGCAGGATGGTGCCGTTTGACTCCCCATGACCCTGGGCTCCTCTTAGGTAACAGAGCCACAGCGATCTGAGGCTCAGCAGAGCAGAACTGTGCACGGCACAGCATCGGTGATGTCAGAGCGTTAATCTCTCCAGGGGGATTGGCGGATGGACGCTTGTCAGAAACATTTGATGCTACCCTGGATGAAAGCCGTCGGAGGCAGAGAGACAGAGACAGAGGCAGAGGAAGAGTCGGAGCTGCACCGAGCTCCCTGCTTTTTGTTTTTGATGTTGTGTTTTTGGAGTGAGGTTGCTGCCGTACACCAGCATGGGAAGAGCAGCTGAGGAGAGCGACTGAGGAAGGGAGAGGGTTCAACTTCTAACCCCACTGAGGAGCCATCACTATCTGCTGTTCACTCTGACTCTCATTCACAATCACAAACCCACACTCTGAGTTCAGAGTGGGGCTCAGGCCCTGAGCCTTTGCCTCTCATCTTACCATTGCTGCAAGCACAAGGGGAGATAGCGGGCATCCTCACAGGAGCACCATGCTGACAGTGGACCATAGTACAGGATTTATTTACCAGGTAGGTTACACTGATCTTGAACTCCTATAAAGTTAAAGAGAATGAGGATTTCTCTGTTACTCTTTAAATTGGACAGATTGAGCCACCAATGAGCATCATGATGGAATATGCATTTGATACCAAGGCGGTTTTGGGCTGATATGATTTATTCTTGTTCTGTTAAATATACATAGCAAATTAACAGCGGGTTTCTCTCACTGCATCATGTAAATATATGTATGGTTAGTGTAGCACTGCAGAGGGGGCCAGTTGTTGTGTTGTGCATGCGAGAGGTCCCGAGGAGGTTGGCTGACAGATGGAGCTGGCGTTCTGGGGCGTGAGAGGAGCTTATACCCGCTGCACTGACCCCAGTGATCTCTAAAGGAAAAACAAGTAAACAAAAGCTAGGAACATTGGATTTGTTGAAGCATTTCGTCCTCTCATTGATTTTTTTTTCTCTGATCCTTTTGCACTTTTACAAAATACGGGGTGTTTCATCTTGTCGGGTCGAATCTGAGACACTCTTAAAAATCTCCCTCTCTGTTTTTGGAGAGGAGAGTCCACGCTCTCTATGGCTCTGACTTTGTCTGACAAGGTTAGAGTAAAGTGATGATGTAGAGATGGACCCTGTGTGTTTTGCATATTCCTCCCTGTGATGCTGATCCTGCTGCCATTGCCACGGTAACCATGGCCATCTGTAGGGATGAAAACCATGACAACGGAAGCTGTCAGCCAATCATGGGGGTTGTAGGACTGCTTATAATCCATGTCCTAGCTCCTGGCTAGCCATGAGCTATAGAGTCCCTGGCTTTTAGCACATGTAGAGCGCTCACTAAAGCAGATTGAAAGTAAATAGACAGATTGTTCTTTAAGCCCCGTCTTGAGGGCTTCACATGAAACGCAAAGACTGGACTGTGGAGAGTCTATGTGCTCTAACTCGGTATATATGATATGGCTTTTACAGCCCATCCCATGGCCTGGATCTCAAGGTATAGCAATGTATGCATTCATCATCCCCGCTGCTGTGAGAGCCACAGGAGAGCTCCCTGAAGAACGGAGAAATGAGGTCACATATCTGCCTCCCTGAGCGCGTTGTGTTAACATGCACAGATTTCTAGAAAAGACTCTGTGAGAATCAATAGGTCTGTGATTTATCCTGGCAAAGAAAATGGAATATAAGCTCTCAGGCAAATCTGGTGTTGACACCCGAAGATGGCCTCTGTGTTGTTTTATTACCTGCCCCCCATGAAAAATAACACCACCGGATAGTTAATATGCCCAGCTAGTGTTGCACTTGCTGACATGATTTTATTCCATTACGTCTTGTGTTGTCCTTCCCATCCACTGGTGGTAATCCAATCGTATGAAAAAAAGTTGACTTGAGATGAAAAATTTTACTTTCATTTTTGTTCTGCAGTCTGATCTTTATTCCAAATGCCGTTACTACTTTCCTCCAACCCTGAAAGCTGAAGAATTTTCATCCTCATATCAATTGCTAAGCTCTTGTTGGGCAAATGTGTGGTTTCTCACAGCTAAATGTGAACCACTAAGTGTTTTAATTTTTTTGTAGTTTGCTTGCACCCACAACTGATAACAGAAATTGGTCTTTGGAGAAAGGAGAACATGATTTGTCTCTACTTTAACAGCAGTAAGAATCTATATATAAAAGTTTGTCAAATCACCCCTCTGAGTTTGTGAAGTGCTGTTATTTCAGAGGATAGTGCTGTAAATTGATAATTACTTTCAGGAGGTGTTTTGGAGCTCAGACGAGAAAGATAAAAAAGAAGGGCCAAGATATCCTAAGAAACTCCACGAGGATGGACAGTCTGAACAGTTGGGGTTTGGCGCCTGCTCAAAGTCGCCTCAGCAGTGCTCAGGAGTGAACTGGCACCTCCCAGCTATGAGCGTAATGTCCTTATTTGGTTCATATCAGGACATGAACCTTCCTGTCCCAAAGCCTCAACAGACTGGTAAAGTGATACAGTCAATATTTAGAAAAAATAGCTGCTAAAAGGTGTTCTTTAGATTGGCTCCTGTTGTGATGTAATGACACGAAACAACAAAGTTTTTTGTCCTCAAAACTGAACTCAACGTGTAAAACTGGCCGAGCGCTTCTTTGGGCGAAAACGTCGCTGTTGGTCATTAAAAGTTTCCTTCGACTATTCCTGTCGTTACGCGAAGGATAATAGTCAACAAGGTCAGTTCCTACAGTAGCTCCAGGCTGTACAGTGCGATATGCCAAGCTGAATTATTATCTTGCAGGCTTGGTACTCTACATGTTAACAAATACTGACTGGGCTGTCACTTTGCGAGAGTCTCAATCGAGAGGCGTCCACCTTTAACCACAGTCACACAGAGGGGTCAGAGACAGGAGGAAAGTGGAGCACATTGTGGAGAAGATAGAGACGTAAATGCAAGTGGAGGTGAGATGAGTCTTGTTGGAGTTGTGTTCAAGAGTTCAAGTTTCAGGCCAGTGTCAGTGTTTGTTGGGTTTATTTTATGTGGTTGTAGAGGAGAGATCATGAGATGTTACAGGATTAAGCGAGGACATATCTTTAATATCCATGTTGGGTTGAAAAAGATGAATGAATGTGCAGCACTGTAGTTGTTGGGATTATCATTCAGCTTGTGCATGTACTGCAAAAAGGACGGATTGTTCTGTTCTTACTTTCCCACGATAGCTGGCTGTTTTCCCTCTGATTTTCCTGCAGTAATCAAACCTGTTTACAAAAAAAGCGAAGGTGACGGCTGCCTGGTGATTGTGAGGACACACCGGCTCTGTTGGGCCCTTTTCTGGTCAATCCCTGGATCCTCTGCAGGCACTGTTTCACAATGTGCGATGTGAAACTCATTAGGAAGAGTGGTTTGGACGTGGAGTGCACGTGTAGCACCCGGAGGTGTGAAATCAGGTGCTGAGAGGTGGCGGATGAATTGGTTTTAGGAATGCCTCTGGTGTTTCCCCTGCATAGATGTTAAAAATGCTTCACAAAGTGCAGATTGATTAAGACGTCTACTAGAATGGGTCTTTTTGGGACTTTGTTTTGGCTTTTTCAGATGATATTTCAACCTGTGGGAAAACTGTACATGGCTGTAACTACTTGGACTCATGTAATTCTAGATGCAGGACTTCCAGGGACTCCTGTTCTTCAGAGAGGAGCACTGCGGGTAATCCTGTAGGGATTTTGGGATTCAGGCTTTTGTGGAGATTTGGATTCTCAGTAAATGTATTATGTTTATGCCTGCTTGGAACAAAGCTGGAGTTTAATTGTTAGCTCTACGGCAGTGCCATGAACCTGAGTGTGGATAGATATTTACATTTCTGTATGAAAGGATAATTTGTTTGTCAGGTTGGATATAGAAGAGACAAAATTACACTCTGTAGCATACATCTAGGCTGTAAGTAGAGGAGTTAAATGAAGAAGCATGCTGCGAAACCAGTGTTTGCTTTTTCTAACACACTATGTTGCAATAAGACAGGGACTACTGTGATAATTAACACCACGAGCAGCTCGGTTTTCCGCTATTTTTGGCACATCAGACAGGTGCCACAACTCTGCACATCACAAAAAAGTTTTACCAAGACTAAACGCTTCATGCATGAGACAACTTCATAATCGGATCACTTTATTTAGCACAGATGTAAACATTAATGTCTGAGTTTGTATATGCGAATAGATCTTTAACTCTAGAATATCACTATGATTGATTTAAAGTAGCACGTTTTCACATTATGCGAAGATGTGACACATCATTATGACACCATGCATTTCATGTAAATATTTGAGTTTAAAAATCGGCCGTAGTGTGGATCAGATTTTCTCAAAGCCTCTTTCTTTAGATGCAAACATCAACTAACATTAGCAATCAAAAGATCCTGCACACTAGACAGATTTTTCGATTGTAAGAAGGTTATCATGATCTGTCTTGTTTCCAAAGTAACCTAAAAATACTCTATTTCATGTATAAACAAGATAAAATTAACACTTTTCAATAGTTCCTGCCCTTGCAACAGTCATTTAATAATACAAATGTTTGTGCAGCTTGACTCTAAATTAACTGCAGGCATCTACAAACTGTGCAACGAATTAAAATCAGATGCAGCCCAATGTCAATCCTTTCCCATGAAGGTCATGATGCTCCACTTAGCATAGCTGCACAAATTCTTCCACTGTGCGCACACACATTAACACACACACATGCACCCTTAACTCTGTGTGACATTAAGGACTTCCTCTGGCCTTCAGTTCGTGTCCAGGCCTGCAGCCTTTGCCCCTGTGTGCATTCATCCACACAGCTCTTTCCTGTCACGGTGCTGTACATTAGCAGGCCTATACTGTACATAGTGTGCTTCTCCAAGGGGCTTATGATAAGAGAATGTCAATGTAAACAAACATTTATGTAATGTTTGTGTTGTTCAATTCATCATGGCTGCTCACATGTCTACAATCCTCCCCACTTCACCCATCCCGACTCCCCCCCGGGTCTCGGTCACATGGTCGGCGCTCCCTTCATCACCGACAAGCGGACCAACCGAGAAACGGCTGATTTAATTCTCCCAGCTACGCGAGGCCCTCCATCACTGATCCCATGGCAGAGACGAGGTTTTATCCCGCCGTGGAGGCTCGCAGATTAATCTCAACGCAGATTGGTGAGCGGGGGTTCGACTCTCCATGCTGGTCTGGGGTCAGCATCATGAGGTAGAGGAACCGGTGGCTATAAATAGAAGCAGGGACCTGCAGGCAGGAGGATTCTGGCTCAGCTGTCATACTGAGCATGCTGGGTAGAGCTTTGTTAGGGATGGAGGAGAGAGGAATATAGCATCAGAATTTAAATATATATTAATGACATTATTTAGGTATTCTAAAACACAACAATCCTTTAGGTCAAGGACATTTATTTATCGTTTAATATACTTGTGATAAAGCCTCGTCTTAGATGTACCGAATCAATTATAGTCCTTTATTTGAGTATGGGAAGAGTTCTGTAAGACAAAGACATAAGAGCACTACTACTTGACCAACCTATGGCGGCCTATTTAAACGAACCAGATAATGTATTTTCATTAAAACAAGAATTTCTCAACTGCACTTACAGCATTCATCGGTAACAGAGATGCGTTCCTCTTCTGGGCATGCTGCTGTCTGCTCTTTGTCACTTCATTGCTCATGGATGCACCTCTGCATGCAGCCGTTGCTAATGCCCCCTTAAAAAGGGAAATTAATTGACCAGATCCAGTCCCATTAACCTGAATGGATCTGACGACGCCTGGCCAAAATGACAGACTTAATGAAACAGCTGTTTTTGAATAAACACATAAACCAAATATAAAAATATATGACTGGATAAACATATTAACAAACAAGAAGATGGCATGAAATACAGTTTAAAAATGGTTTTATTTGACTAAACTTTGATATTCGGTCAGATGGAACACTGTATAGGAGTGCTGGTTAGGCTCAGTGGTTATATTGTGCACCACATATAAAGAGGCTGTAGTCCTCAAAGTGGACAACCTGGGTTCAATTCTGACAAATGTCCCTTTTTCTACACTTTCTTTCCTTTTCCTTCTCTATCCACTTTTCTTTCTTTAAAAAAAAAAAGCGCTTAACCTTAAAAAAAAAATCTAAAAAGTAAATAAATAATTACACAAGCATGATCACAGCATTAGTGTGTTGCTGGTTATCTGTACTAATTATTTGACTTTTTTAGAGTTAAGACTTTGATTTGAGAATCCTTTTAGTGAGTTCCAGGTGTATCATAGAGTCTCTTTTTTTAACAGCTTTAATTACGGATTGTTTCCTGTATTGCAGACTGAATTGTAACACTCCTCTTAGCATACCCAGAATTACATTTTTCTTGTGTATGAAAAACAAAATGAAAATAGAGAGTAAATCTGACCTGTTGAGCTTAAGGTGAGAAATTTGAGTATCATGAAGCTGGCTCTCCTAACTTGACTTAATTGCCATGGTAACATAATCAAAACAATAGTTATCTGCAGGACTCCTCTCTTTCCTGTGATCGCCTTCACTCACATGACATTTGCCTGTTTATTCTCATTATATCAGTGTTACAGAGGCAGACAGACGGCGATTAAAGCGTCAGAACTACCAAAACAAACATGATAGGAAGGTGGCAGGATGTGCGGTTCTCCAAGAGGACTGGTGGTTTTGTAGAGATGGCAAGAATGCTTTTGGACGTGTCCCCCTGTTTGAACGACAGCAGACAGGAGAGCAGCAGCCCTCGAATCCTCTGGTACTAACCCCTGTCAGAAATGGGGCTGTGAATGTCTACAGCCCTACAGATACCCAGGTTTAGCAAAAACTCGAGTCTGTGACAAACTTAATGTGTGACTCCTGACACATAGTCTGTAGATGTGAGAGGGTGTCAGACTCGAGTCTTTTAAAAGTCTTTCAAAGTTCTTCTTCTCGCGAATGGAGGGTATTAATATGCTGAACACTCTTTGTGGTTTCCCCCCTGATCTTAACGAAGATTCAGTTTGCATGTAAATGGATTTATTTTCCTCCAAAATCTAACAAACAAAATTAAACTTCTCTTTTGGAGACGACTTTTGAGCAGTAAATCATTTTAACAACGCACAACAATGCAGTAATAGCACAGGCTTGTTTTTCCCTATATTTTTATGGCTGCTCTGTTTCTTTCCCTCAACAGTCGACCTGAAAAATACTGGTGCAGTGACCACTGCAGTGATGATGCAGGGGAGATGCAGGAGAGATGAAGGGGACTGTAGACCCGGCTATCACACTACCTGTTCGACTTGTATTTGTCTGATTCAATTTAATGCAACAGTGGTTTTAAAATCCTCATCCTGTCACCATCAGGTCGCATCACAGCGGGCCTTTGAACTGCATACTAGCTGTATTTGTGTTTGTGTACCGCTCATGGACTGGGGACAGGGGAGACACAGTGTGTTACTGAGACTGAGGGAGTCTCCCCGGGGACCTGCAGGGCCAACCGGCGGTGCCAACCCCGTGCTACTCTCCCAGGCCTGTCAGAAACACTCACATGATTTCTGTCATTACAGCTGCAAGGCCCCTAAACTACAAGAAACATAGCTTCTAGACTGGTTTTTCAGTTTCTCTTAAACATATTTCACCACTCTGCCATCAAAATATCACTCCTCAGGGTTAAGTACTGATTAAGACCTTGATTCCTCTCATGGTAGATAGTGTGCAGTGCTCGGCCTTAGTCTGTGGAGGGTCGGATAAGAGAGGTTTAGCATGCAGATGCTCGGATAATGACAAAATTAACACATTAATAAAATGTCAAAGTCTTCCAGATTACTATTAACCATCTGTCAGGGGAAATCTAGGGAAGTCTGTCTACAGGGACTCATCCAGACCTGTTTGCATGTCTGTGACAGCATGAGTCCTTGCTGGGGTTTATGTCCCTAGGCATGTACAGTAAGCCCACCATGTCAGCCCTCAGCATCTGTCCACACACTGCTTTGTTTCTCACATGGTCGTCCATGTGTGTGTGTGACGGAGTGTCGTACCACCACTGCTTTCGCTTAATCTCCCAGGATCAGAGATTGATGGTCAGCATCAGGCGCCTTTAGCTTGTCACAATGCAGTGAACCACATTTCTCCTGTTGTTCTTTATTGCATAATTTGGACGTTACATTTTTGGCTTTCATATTCTTGTTAGATTATTGGTTTAGGCCTGAAATTCTGTTCATCTTTTGTGTCCAATTTGTTGCTCAACCATCCAGTGTATGACTGCTGCTGTAAAGGTACAATGCTGTACTTCCTGGATGTAAACAAACACAGATTTAGAGCAGTTTTTAGAGTTACACGTACGCTCTATTTGTGCTCGACTTTGGCTCACACTTAGTGTTGGCTTCAGCAGCTCAGATTCTCATTAACAGTTTTAATAATGAGTAAATAGCAGTCGCACTCAGACAGGTAGACTGGCAGACTGATGATAGTAACAAACATCACATTCTCAACACGATGTTTAACTTTATAAATATCACCGATGCCGGTGGCTTTAAAAGCTCTCAAAAAGCCAGCCATCACCCTCCAAGTTTAAAGAACCCGAGAGACGGTTTAGTCAAAGCAGACTCACTTCATCCTCCTACGCCGATACTGAAAACCTGCCTCAGACCCCAACAGATGTTGTCGACTCTGCTCCTCACTTAACATTTCCATTCTGTTGACTCTGTTCCTCTTTTAGGGCATCATCATTTGTAAACAAAATGAGTAATTTAGCTCGTCTCACCCAAGACATAAACCATGTGGGAAAATGAAGGTATGACGGTTGGTTAGCAGACAACTGAACACCCAGGATTATCAGAATAATTGAATCGTTTTTGAACACAGTGTTAAAAGCATAAGGTTTTAAGTTAAAGGTCTTTTTCTTTTCCTCTCAAAACACTTAAGGCAAAGTGCACGGTAATCCTGCTTTGAAAAAGTCACTGCAGTTTTAGAAAACTGTTCTGCATATTCTCCTCTGATGCACTTTTGTGGTATTGATCACATGGAGGGCAGTTCAGGACGCCCCGGAGAGATCATACTTGCAAACAATGCAATATGGATGAAGTGAATGAAAGGGCTTTTAAGATGCTTAATCTAACCCACAGCAAGTTGTAAATGATTAAGTTTAGATAAAGGATGAAGAGCTTTGGGCAAAATTCAGCCAGTATTACAAGGATTTATAGCAGAATGGCTATTTTTCGTAAAAAGAGTTTTTACTATACTTATGAAGCTTATGACCGTGATGTAGGACACGGCGTACAGTCATATGATTCGAGAGCAAGAGTCACCAAAACCAGACACGCACACATCAACCCGAGACAGTCAGAGGCAGAGGCAGGAGAGGAGGGAGAAGGTGATGGAAGAGGCATCACCATGACAACTTTCATTCCAGTGTCGCTGGCCTCAAGGTGTTGGCGTGCAGAGTACATTCACGGGAAGCCAGCTTTCTATAACCGAACTACAACTGTCAGCATCACTGTCCGCTGGATTAAATGGCTGTGATAGGATGCATGCAGTGTCATGCTACCTCTAAGTCAGGGATGTTGTGTTAATATGGCCTTACTTAAAGCTGATAAATGTTGATGTGAGACATCGCTCTGATTGAAGCAGACAAACAGGAAATGAGGTGTTGATTGTTTTTGTGTTAGAGCCATTATTTGTATCTGAAGACGAGCAAAAGTCCTGAACTGTTGATATTTGTTGTGTTTTCTATCCTTACTCTGCAAATCCAGTGTAAACAGGAGCTGTATTTGCTGACCAAGCTGTCTGTCATGATATTAGACCTCTTTTTACTGCAATATATAATTATTTTAAACCTCTCTGGCATGAATCCGCTTGATAAAAACTAACTATGATGAAAGCAACTGTTTAGTTTTAAAGTTTGTCTTATTTGACTTGTCAACATGGAGAGAGAGAGCATCTTTTATACAGCTCATGGCTAAAATGGAGACATTGTCTGGGTTTTGTTACCGTGTTTTATTGATTTTTAACTACTTTCCAATGTTACGTCCTTAAATGACAGCATGTGTAAGGTTTCAATCAGGTCACAAACATCAGAAAACGGCACAAACAGACAGCCCATGTTTTCACTAAATATCAAAAGCAGAGCAGCTTTCAAAGATGAGACGCTGTGGTGAATTTTTCAAGGTCAGAGCTATTTATAGCCTTGAGTTACCAGAAAAAAAAGCACTTTATCACATGCATTAGCAGCAGACTTTCCTCTTAACAGATTCCTCCAGCCTTGGGTTGTGTGTGACTAAACGTTTACATCATTTCAGGTGGACACCTGATGACGCACTCTTGATAAAACCTTGACTCAGAAGCGGTGTGTAATCTGGCTCTCAGGGGATGAGCAACGTGGCTTTTTTCAATTTTTGTGATTGGGTGCCCTTTGTTGCCATGGTGACGACGAGTGAAGTTAGCTTTGTAACGCAGAGTTTTTGTCTGAGTGTGTGTGTGTGCGTGTATTTGTGTGTTTTTATTCCAGGACACATCCTCCCACTTGGCAAAGGAGGGTGGTGTCCGAGTTCTCTTATGTAAGGACTTGTAGCATTTAAATGAAATATTGGTTTTGCTTCAGTGAGGACAGAAAGACTCCCGAAACAGATTAAATGTTGTCTTATGTGTTCTACGCAGTGTATCGAATCATCATGTCAGCGTGTGTGCTAAAATATCCTCCCTGTCTGTGTGTCTCTTCCAGAGAACCGATGAGGAGGCCGTCGTGGACCGCGGGGGCACACGCTCCATGCTCAACACCAACTTTGAGAAAGAGGAACTAGAAGGTAACATCCATAAGCGATGATGATAACGCCTCGCTCTTATTAAGAAATATTTTAGCCCTTTTTTTCTATCAGGAGCCGTCCTGTTTTTTTGCTTAGTTGCCATGTTTAACTGATGAGCTGTCACAACACTTCCATCCAAGCAGTGAAAGAGTTTAACCGCAGAAAACCTGTTTATCCTCGCAGAATCCCTGACAGCTGAGCTTACTGGTACGATAAATCTTTTTCAACCACCTGTCTCATTCATAACAAACAGATATGAGGTTTTGATGCTGCATCAAAGAGCAAAGGCTTTGTCCTCCTCACATAAGTTTGCAGCAGCGTTTCATCCATTGTTAAGGAGGTAGAGATGCTAGTTTCTACACAGAAAACAGAGTTTGGTCCAAAAATTTCATCCAAAGTTTGAAACTTAGCCGTGTCGGAGAGATAACTACAACCTGGTTAAAAGTAGTTTTAAATAACTTATTACATTCCTTATGTTAGATTTGGATACAGAAATGCAGGGAAGTGAACAAAGAAATCAAAATCATGAAAATGCTTAAAAGTCTGCGACAATTATAACTAAAACAGCAACACACAGAAAGAACAAGCAGACAGAAGTAAGCCTGTAGCAAAGATGGAGGTCACTAAGTTAAAGTCCTGTTTTTAACAGAGATGTCAGCATTAGCATTAAATTCAGATTCTTCAAAGAACAGGAATGGTTAGGAATGGTTTCAACCAAAACATGATTGATTTGGCCGGATCGAGAGAAGAAAAGCAGCATATGTGAGTTCCTCAAGGCACTATTCTTGGGCCTCTTCTTTCCAACATGTTACAGTTATAACTCAAAATGTTTGGATGTTTCAAAGGCTCTCATATCTTGTCTGCCACTGACAACATCTGGTACCTACATAACACTTATTGTGTCTCCAATATGAGTTTATCATGCTGGTAGTGGAACCTGAAGTTAAGAGCCTTAAGCAGAGAAACAGAGCAACCTAGAAAGGACCAGTACACTCTCTTCCGTCTAAACCAACATCCCCAGATTAATCCTATTGTCAAACTTTTTGAAATTAAGCGGAGTTCCCCTTTAATGTGGAGGATTTAAATGTAAGATTTTTGTCTTTAAACCACACAACAAATCCAATTGTGACAGCTTGCGTAACGGAGATAAACTCAGGTTATCCATGTCCATCAGAAACTTTCTCATCAGGATTAGGCCCCTGCATAAATCACACCCATGTAACATGTTGTCTGCGTAACTCTACGGTACTGAAAATTGCTCTTCTATATTAGCATATCATTTACACCTACTACTGCTGTTACTATCTCCCCACCTACATGTCTAACCCTGTTGAACTAATGTGCCAGCATATAGTCTGGGTGTAATTGAAAGATACTTAAGGACACAAATAGTAGAAGAGGACGACACGCTGAGGGAAGGTTTAAGATTTATGCTGGGACATTTGTGCGTTTGACAATACTCAAAACTTATGATTATTTCCTGTCACTTCAAAAACATCTGTCTCAAGCAGAAATCAATCCTCTTTCTTTACTTGCGATATTCCCGTCGCCAGGCAACAACAACCAAGGCAGCTTGCACCGATGTCACTCTTTGATTCTGACACTCATGCCGGTGAGGTGTTGCTTTCATCTGAAGGACCCTCGTCCCCAATGATGGCTGCTTTAATGACTAGCTCTCTGTCTGGCACTGTGGTAACGCTGATACTGCGTCAGCACCACGCTGGGAGGGGGGGGAGAAGACCCTCTGAAGTTATCTCGCCTCGAAGCTCACAGCAGTTCAAACACTCACCTGCTTATTCATTCATACTTTCTTCAAATACAGGATGAAAAGAGGAGGTTAGGGCGAAATCATCTGTTTCTATTTTGAGTCCACTGGGATTAAAAGTCCCAAAGCTGTGTTTGTTTACTACCACATGTTACAGTTTGGGTAATGCTGTGAGATGAGAGGACACTTGTGTTCCTTATTTGGCATGAAAGCAGAGATGAAATGATGATGTATGGACACTGTAGTCGTAGATTTGTGGTATCCAGTAACTGCAGCCATGAGTATTCACTTGGAGGAGTCATTGTCCTGCTAGATCAGAGTGATGCAGCCAGAGCCTGTCCCAAAAGAGAACCTCACAATCCCCCCGCCCAGCCAATCAGAATTGCTGTGGAAAGCAGTACATACATGAATACACACAATCAGACTTAAGCAAAACCCAGCCAGCGCTGCATGAATTCAAGCCTCCTCTGACTGAAAGCCACTGAGTCGTGGCGGCAGAAGAGAAGAGAAAAGACATTCTATGACATCAGCAGTAGTGCGGGCCCGAGGGAGGAGAGCTATTTTTGTTAAGTCCGCCACTCATGAGTTTTGACTCATGAATTTTAAAGCTCCAGTGCTCCGTTCTTCTGTTTCCCTCCAATACTCGATTGTTTCTGTCTGCTCACATGTGACTGTCTTTCTGAATTTGGCTAAATGTGCAAAGTCAGGGCTCCTGGTTCCTCTACTTCTGACGTGAATAATTCACACTGTGCTAACAGCAATCAGCTCTGGATGGATGCATCGACATCGGTGCACACTCTGAAATATACTCCCAAAACACACTTTGACATATTCTCATTACACCCCCTGGGACCTCGCTTAACCTCCAGACTGCGTTCCTATTGGTGGGTGAGTTGCTCTTTTCAAACAGTGATGTCAGTGTCTCCGAGGTGAGTCATGTTATGTCTGTGCTTTGCTTAAACCTGATTAGTGCGCTGTAATGTGATTAGTCATATCTTCCAGCAACTGAAAACAATTTTAACCTTCATGTGGGATTTTTCCCCCTGAGACTGATTGAAAATACACCGAGCTTTCCTCACTGTAACTCAGACAATAATAAATAGATTTAGCTCATTTATTTCTAAACCTGAACAAACAGCTTAACTCCAGAGAGGGTTTAAAAAATAACACTAATATAAAGGCTATAATTTAGTCATCATAACCTGCTTAATGGACCTTATAATTACTGATTATTTTTAATGACACGGTAAGAGAGATAAAAAATAATGGGGACTACTTTCACCTATAAATGAAGCCTGATGACATGTTTACAGCCTCTTCACAAGCTAGCGCTAGATCCTGCATGTGAGGCTAAAAATGACTCAAAATAAGTTCCAACCAAGCAATCTGATTGGACGAGAGGTATTCCACGAACGCTCTCATACAGCACCACATCACTAAGTTTTTACTGTGTGTATCAGTCCGTCTCTGAAATACAGTTAACATTATTATTGATATTTTACAAGTTTGTGCTCCTTGATGAGTCATAGTGTAAAGGCAGTATCACACTCAAGGTCATGATGTTGTATTGATATCGATCCTGATGTGTTTATCTCAGCCCTCTTATGTGATGCTACTTTAATATAAAGCTGCCTGTAGTTCAGTTATTAGTGCTCTTGGTTGATTCCTTTGTTTGTTTATGGGGAGCTGATGGGAGTGGTGGTCCATTGCACGCTGACTTTGCACCTCCCCAGATTTTGTTTATTTCGCCCAGGGTCTCCAATCTTGTTTCCCTTGTTTGTTTTCTGCTTTTTGAACACTTTTGGGGTTTTAAAAACTTATAAATCTCTAGCAGCAGCTCTTTTTTTATGTTACAGCCTCCATTTTTCAAACCTACAATTTCTAGCAGCAGGTAGACCATATCAATCTGAATTCAGCCCCCATAAAGTAAAGGGACACGGCCCTCCATTTCAAGAGGGAAAAGTCACATCCTTGCAGTTAAATGAAGGCAGTTTGAGATCTTTCTCTCACTCCAAACAGAGCCATTGGACTCCCTGTACTGCACTTTTATCATAGAGCTGCCAGAAGTGAAGAGAACAGAATATATCATTACCAGCAACTGTTGAAATATTGAATCAATTTATCATCCTCCATCGGAACTCACTGCATAGCCTCCAATCATCGTGCATCTTGCGGTATCACTTTATGAGGGACACTGCGGCGCCACATATGGAGCAGGAGGCAAATGTAGAGAACAGGGTGTCTTGTCTTCGTCCGGCAACTGAGCTGAGGGCCTTTGGGAAGGAGGCCACGCCAGGGCAGCTCGGCTGCAATAACTGAGAAGACAGTCAGCTCGCATTATCTTCACGCTGACCCAGTAGTTGCACACACACGCACAGACACACACACACATCAGAGAGATGGCCTTGTGCTCATGTTGCAAGATATCCCTCCAGAACCCCAAACTCCTTATTTGTTCTATTGATTCAAAATGAAAGTACATCTGATTGTGAGACCGTCGAGTCAATTCTTTATTGATTGGATGGGACAGGAAGACCTTGAGATACCTGCAGACTGTCACTCAATCATACCCACTTGTGTTTCTCTTCTTGCTACATGCTCTTAAAGCCCCATGGTAGCTTTTATAAATTATGGACTTCTTCTTGTTTCACTGAACCGAGCCTTAATTTCCTCCGCCTCAAAGAAGAAGCTTTCTATTCCCAGAACAGGAAAATTACAGCAAGAAGGATGTTCAATTATAAAGAAGCGTTCTGAAATCAGGTCAAAGAAAACAGTAAAGTGCTAAGATTTGACATCTGAAGTCTTTGGTTTAAAGGACGGATGAAGAAATGAATACTTTTTCTGTTTCTTGTGTCCAGGTCACCGCACTCTCTATATTGGGGTTCACGTTCCTTTGGGCAGGAGGTCACACAGACGTCACCGCCACCATGGGCACAGACACAGGAAGAGGTCTAAGGAGAGGGACTCATCAGCCGACGATGGGAGAGAGTCTCCCTCACATAGTAGGTCTTCATGACAGACAGGAGCAGGACGAGTGGACATGAAACTGTCTCAGCTCCGCGCGAGCATTTTCTCTCTTGTCTGTCCCTTTCTGCATTTACATTCGTCTTCTTTGCTGCAGCAGACACGCCAGCTCAGAGGGTGCAGTTTCTTCTGGGAACAGAGGATGGCGACGAGGAGCACATCCCCCACGCCCTGTTCACCGAGCTGGATGAAATCTGCCTCAGGGAGGGCGAGGACGCAGAATGGAAAGAGACAGCCAGGTACACCGCTGCAGTCAAACACATGGGCTGTGTCTGGCGAGCTCTGCCTTTTTTTTCCTCCCCGCTGCACCTGAGAGCTTTGGTTCTGTTCGTGTCGAGCACAAGCTTTTATCACAAGACTGTTCTTATCACGGCACATCACACGAAATCCGTCTGAATACATGTATTTACCGAGCTGTGTTTTCAATGTCTGCAGGTGGCTAAAGTTTGAGGAGGATGTGGAGGATGGTGGTGAGCGGTGGAGTAAACCCTATGTAGCCACTCTGTCTCTACACAGTATCTTTGAGCTCCGCAGCTGCATCATGAACGGCACAGTGATGCTGGACATGAGGGCCAACTCGCTGGAGGAGATCGCAGGTGAATGCTTTGGGCTGTAAAAAGCACCTTAATTTTGTTTGGCTCAGTGGTTTAAGCTGAAAATGTGTGCATCCCTACTATAAAACAACATGAGGAGTCCCCCTGGGCTCTGTTCTTGAGCCTCTATCTTTTACCATTTTACAGGTTTAACTCTAAAGAAGCTCTGATGGGTTTTTCCCTGTAAAACCTGAGACTTTAAGAATGCACCAGTTCAGTTGGAGGGGATGTTTTAAGGACCAAAGTCGGGGCTCTCATGTCTCACCACGATCTTAAGTCAGCATACATACAGGAGGAGCAGGGTCACCTAAATAAAACTTAAATATTAAAGGATAACCATCTCAGCAGACTTAGAAAGGCTTGTCTCTGCTCTTATATTAAGTCTCATTCCGGCTCTAAGAGATTTGTACTTGCTCTCGATGTGTTAAAGAAGTGACAGCTTCTATTTTTATTTTTGGTTTAAGGCCAAAATACATGTCTTGTCTGCTGCTAAGTTGGGGGATGTCCAGACCTCTCAAATCAATATTCTATTCCCAAGGTTAGAGCTAAAAACAGGAAGTAGTGATCGATTTCTTTTTGGAACAAACTCAAATGAGATTTGAGATCTGCTTTCTTAGGTGATAGCTTTGTTTTGATACCTTAATGATGTCGAATCAGCAGACCTTGTTTAGAGAGAAAGAAGGGAACTGTGTGCTGTTTATCTGAGTGTTTATCTGATTGTGTGAAAAGTGTTCTGCTAGAGGGATCTGGTGAACTTAACCTGGTTTTGTGCGATTAAATCAGCAGCAGTGGGTCATTTTTGGGGGAAAATAATCAGCTTAACATCGCTGGCTGCCACGTAGAGACAGACATTATCAAAAGTAGCTTTTGTGATTTGAGAATGAACAGAATGTGGAAACGTACGTGTGTGTGTGTGTTTCTGTTTCATAGACATGGTTCTGGATCAGCACGAGGTGTCGGGCCCTATCGGTCAGGATGCCAGAAAGAGGATCCGCGAGGCCCTGCTCAAACAGCACCACCACCAAAACCACAAGAAACTGGCCAACCGCATTCCTATTGTCCGCTCGTTTGCTGATATTGGCAAGAAGCAGTCTGAGCCTCATTCCATGGACAAAAATGGTTAGAAGATAGTCGCATACATACCTACACACCGTCCTGTCAAACACTACAACCTTTTCTAAACTTCAAATCAGCCTCTAATTTCTCCAGGGTGATCATATATGTCATCTGTAAATATTTAAGTACATTTTTCTGCATCGTCTGGTAATCCTCCGCATGCTTTTTCCAGTGTCCATCTGTGATTTGCTGTTTTTTACTGCTGTCCAAATCTCATGTTGTCTTTTTGTTTGTGTTTCTCTATGTCTCTGTGTGTGTCTCTGTTTGTGTCGCATGTGTGTCCCTCACTTAACCAGTAAACGGCCTCTACTATGAGACCATAAACACACCCAGTCGTTCGCCTGAAAAGAAAACACCCAAGAGCGCCTCACCGAAAAACGCCTTTTCTTTCGCTGCATGGTTGCGGCATGTATGTTGTGTATCATGTCTTCCCGCCCCTGCATCACCTTCGAACGCCAATGGTAGCTGTGGCAACATGACCCCAGACACGCACTTTGGCATAACTGAGACCAAACGTCTTAGTTTCCTCCAGGCAGTCGCACAAGGCTACTGTCCGATCACACAGGAGGAGCAAGAATTCTGCACAGGCAACCGTAGCTCTTCTCAAACCCTAGATGTGTAGAAATAGTCGTAGTAGTAGTGTTGAAAAGCACACATAAAAGTGGAGAGTATTATCATGAGAGAAAAGTCATTTTTTAATGACACAACTCACAGTTGTGATGCCGCTCTTGCTGGCTGTAAAAATGAAAGTGCACGGAAGTTTCTTATTCTTTTAAACATCTTTGAGAAACTCTCGAGTTAGCGGAAGTAATGCCGCAGAATTATTCATGCACATTGCTCTTGCAGTGTACAAAATTCATTGCAATGCTCTCCCTTCCCTCGACCTGTCAGCAATACACTCGCTCACTAGATTTAATAGAAGACATTTGACTTGTACTCCACATTAACAGTCACTTAACCGCCAGTAACGGTCATCTCTCGCTGTAGCCTCATAATTCAAAGATGTCTAAGTTTCTAGAAAAATGCAGCATACTTTTTCACTTTCTTGCAGACAGCTGTAACAGAGTTATCCCTTTGACCTCGGGGTCCTACGCTCTGCCACGTTGTTATATTTGTGAGCGTCATCTTTGCAGCTCGAACAGCAATTGGAAATAGACGGTTGACTTTGAGACGAACATTTCAGATACTGATGTTAAAAGTCAAGAATGTGTCAGCAGGCTGTTCGCTTTAGGTAGGAACACAAACACTGCCTGGAATTAGATACCTGATTTATTTAAAAGAACATTACAGGAGAATTTAGATACCTGGGAACGTGGATAAACTCCCAGATACACCATATAAGTATAAAAGCCCATTAGCCAAGATATGGAGGCAAACAGGGTAATTATTAGCAGCCTCTTAGGGTCTTTTTGCACACGACTATAAATCCAGTTTATTTGGTATAATATCAACAGTCATGTGTTTAATCTGCACAAAAGTTTCATGCATTTATGTGCCCAAAAAAATGACTTCAGCAACATTCAAACTAACACAGATTTCATCATGTCACTCTTAGTGGATTAAAAAAGTATGAATTATTTCTCTGTTGTGAGTAAAAGTGTCACATTTCATCCATTTAAAGGCTGAGTTCAACACGATTTGAACTAAAAATGGGCAATCTTTGACCTCCATGACTAAAGATTCGCCTTTTTTTAGTTCTTGGAAAGATTGAGCCTAAAATCAAGCTAACATCACAACCTTTAGATTAACCCCTTTCACATGGTACACTCTGAAAGCAGGTACAACTTTGTTTGTGTCTTTTGTCACTGAGTCTGAACAGCATCTACAACAAAAGCAGCCACTGTTGTATCGCACTTTTCAGAGGATTGTAATTGTACCTGTTAATCACTCTCTGGAGACCTGTATCCCTGTGTGGGAAAGTAGTATCATGATCGGCTGAAGCTACGTGAAAATTAACGCGCTGTTGTCTCCCCGACAGGCCAAACAGTCTCGCCTCAGTCCCAGCCGGCTAACAATGAAGGCAAACAGGACGTCAGCCGGGAAAACAGCGCTGTGGACTTCAGCAAGGTGAGCAACCAGACCCACTGCTGATCCGGCTGTTTATCCACTGGTACTGATAGCTGGACTCATAACTAGTGCTGATTATTTTACCAAGATTGGGTTACAGGTGAAATGGTCACCGTACGCTGTCTTCCCTGGGAAACTGAGTGGAATTTAACAGGAGTAAAGCTTGTTTTCTTTTCTCTTATCCGCTATCAGATCCAGCTGGTACTTTGTTTTTCACCTTTAGAAGATTTGCTCTGAAAGATACTTCAAATGTATATAAAACATGTCAAAGTTGTGTCCAAAAATGTGGTGTTTTGGTCTTCCCCTGTCTCATAGATCGACCTGCACTTCATGAAAAAGATCCCACCTGGCGCTGAGGCTTCAAACGTCCTCGTAGGGGAGCTGGAATTCCTCGAGCGCCCTGTGGTGGCCTTCGTACGACTGTCTCCCGCTGTGCTGCTCAATGGCCTGGCTGAGGTTCCCATCACCACCAGGTTATACACCAGCTGCTCTGTAATGAATTGAAGAAGCTGTTTTTGCCCCCGAACCTCCTTAGAAGAGGATTTCACTTTAACAAGAAGTCTGTTGTTCTCTGCATTGCACAGGTTTCTTTTCATCCTGCTCGGCCCTCTGGGAAAAGGGCCGCAGTATCATGAAATTGGAAGATCTATCGCCACCCTGATGACTGATGAGGTGAGGCTGGAGTGCAGCAGTGATCTTAATAGATTTGGATACTTTCCTAGACTTTTTGCTCGAGTAAGAGCAGCAAACAAGATTTTGAGAAAAGATCCCTACTCTTACCAAATGCTACTACAAATTTCAGAGTTAAGCGAAAGGAAAGCCGGGCAGACTTGGCTTCGTGACCTTATAAATATTAAAAAACTTCTTGGTTGTAGTTTCATCTTTTGGAGTGCTGCCAAACTGTCATGAATAATAAACAATATAACCGGAAAGCACCTTCAACCCTGGTCACAGGCACCAAAGCAAAATGGAGGTAATAGTCAAATCAGCAGAGACAAATTAGCCTGCCTTATAAATATATAAACAAGTAGCTCAGAATTCCCCTCCCCCTGCTCTGCCCCGCTTCTTTTCAACCGTGAATATGACTCTGACACAAATAATTTATTCATGACATAGTTCCTGCTTTAAGTTTGTTCCATTAAACTGCACAAGAATAAAATCACCTTGTTATTTTCACTGCTGGATGCTGTTTCTATGACTGAATATCTGCTTTTTGAGAGATAAAGAGATCAGGAAGTGAGGCTTTTTTATGTTTAATAATTTAATAATTTAAGTTCGATATCATGTTATTAGTTTATATAGTTAAATATAGCATTAGGTTGGTTTGGGAGGTTGGGGTTTGGGAAACCATCCAACTACCAACTCTGAAGTTGTTTTTTTTTCATCCAAACGGGCTCGACATCTGGCCGCAGGAGAAGCCTGTGGGGATCAGCAGAGTATGACGTGAACACCCTGACAGGATTTCCCACAGTGCAGCTATGAGCTGATGTCACTGACCATCAACAGGGCCAGATGTTGCCTTACTTTTTTCAATGGCAGCAGCCCTCTGGGATGCATATAAATAGATGCCAACCTACTTCGTCATATATGGGAATAAACTGTACCCATGACTATGATTCACTCTCTTGCCATTTTGTGCAACAGTCTATTTAAACGAACAGTTATTCTGGTGAAAAGGATGAAGTGGTACCTGAAATATGATGAGATTTCTGAGGCAGCTGAGGGATGATTCACTCTGTATGATAATGTTTAAATATGTCACAATGCTGTTCGCTTCATGCTCTGTGATGCATGGAGATTTGTACAGAGATAGGAATAATCCCTCACGGAATAAACCTTTTATACCACTGGCAAATTACTTCCTGCTTGTAAATCCGTGGGAAAGAAATGAAGGAGAGCTGAGCAGAATATTAAAAAGTTACATTTATCAAGTGAATCATGCCTGTGCCACACCATAGGCTTGTAACCTGACGTTATCGTATTTCTCATTGGACTCTTTTGCAACCAGTACAGTCTCCCCCTGCTGGCCACTAAAAATAACACATGATTAATGTTCTTCCATTTGAATCTATGTGCCTCACACATATCTTTTTATTCACCTCCTCATCCGCTCCACAGGTTTTCCATGATGTTGCATACAAGGCCAAAGACAGGAACGACCTGGTTGCAGGTATCGACGAGTTCTTAGATCAGGTGACGGTGTTGCCTCCTGGAGAGTGGGACCCCTCCATCAGAATAGAGCCTCCCAAGAACGTGCCCTCTCAGGTAAACCTTCCACCATTTTTATTCACACATCCTCTTGCTCCTGACTTATCCCGTTCACCGCCTCACAGCTAGAATAAACTATTAGACTGTGTGAGAGCGACAGTAAATATAACCCTTCTTTCATAAGTCTCCTCTGCGTCATCCCCCCCTGCTGAGAAACTTTTCAAACATCTGCATTCTCCTCTAATCTCGACTGCGCCGTACTTTGTGCTTTGATGCCGCTCCCCGGAGTTCTGCTCTCAATCCTCTCCAAAACCGACGTTAGTTTTCTCTCCTTAGTTATTTTGGTCGACTTTGAGAAGTTATCCGCCATCTTGTTTGTTGTCTGAAACAAAGCTGCTTCTTGATTGTAAAATTCCCCTCTTTGTCATTAGGCACCTGTAGTGACTTAATGGCATCCTGTTGTGCAGTTAGATTGTTCTGCTGCTGAATTTAACGACTGATGAATGACAGATGAGAGATTTTGGTTTCTAAGCTGAGGGAGAATTATGTTGGATAACTTCAGGGTATTTGTCATTGTTCCTATGCTGATGTCCAATTACTGTTGACTGACAGTGACTTTAACCGCACAGGAAAAGCGGAAGATCCCCCCTGTTCCCAACGGAGTGACAGATCTCGGAGAGTCAGAGGAGCACGGAGGGCACGGCGGCCCCGAGCTCCAGCGCACAGGGAGGTGAGTGTGAAAGAGGAGCAGCGGGAATGATGCCGTGCAGCCCCAAGCACTTTGAGCTCCTTTTGTTTCTGTCCCCAAACTGTAAATTTTGCTGTCTCTGAAGAAGCAGACTACCCTACTGGCCCATTATCATCCCTCACACTTCAACTCCACAAAGAGCCTTTGTTTCACTTCATTATGAGTTCAGGAATGAAGTGAGACATGGAGACATTATCTTATGAAGTAAATCTTACATGACCGGCAGCTGGAGGCGAGCATTTTGCAGTCACTCAGAAAATAAAGTAGAAATTGAAAAATGATTGTCTCGACTTTGGAGGCTGCCTGAGGTTCGAAGTGCTATTATTATATTGAACGGTGTTTCTGATTTATGCTCCTCCATGTTTAGGTGAAAATTTAAGGCAATAAAACACGTCTACTTCAGTGCAAGACTTTTAAACTTTCACACTACAGTGCACCTGAAAATGACTGCTTGGCATCCTTGTGTTGTCATTTTCTCCACCATTGAAGTTTTATACTTTCCCATCAGAGAAAAGATACTCAATTAAATACAAGACTGTAACTTTGAAATGCTGCTCAGTGTGACGGTGTAGTCCAGGTGTAGTGTCAGAGAAAACACCCAGGTATTAAAGGATTAAAACTGTTCATAACTCCTCCTTTTATACCAAATGAAGTCCCGACCTGCAGAATTTCATTTTGATGTAATTTTCTGGCACTAACAGACAGCCTGATTTTCAGATAATGAGATTTACACTTTGGATTAAAGAGATGACAACCGGGCGAAACAATGAGGTGATAGCGCCGTGTGCAGGAGTGCGAGGGGAACTAGCACCTCAGTGGTTTAACAGCAGAGGAGTGAGTGAGTGAGTGATGTGCTGCTGAGCTGCAGTACACTGCGGCGCAGCGTAACGCAGCGCTCGTATCCTCACTAAGACTGGCCATCAGCCCAGTGTCTGCTATCGCATTGCTCCTTCCTCCTCCTTCTCCTCCTCCTCCTCCTCCTCCTCCCGGGACATGGCATCGCTCTCCCGCTGCTCCTACTGAAATAAGCATTATGTCCCGCCCACTGTTGCCAGAGCAACCACCTCCAGCTAGTTTGCCATGGTGGTGCTCGCTGCAGCACGAGAGCCTGCTCGCCGAGGCGGAGAGCTGTTAAAAGATAGATGCATGAGTCTGCAGAAATTCACACACACACACACACACACACACACACACACACACACACACACACACACACACACACACACACACACACTCATAAAAGTATAAATACGTGCTAAACTGGAGACTGGTTGTAGAGGGGGTACTTCTCTGTGTTCTGTCTGCTTTTTCACAGGAGTAGCAATGTCAGTGCACTGAAATGTATGCGTGTTACACCTCAGCTGCAAGTCTTTCTGACAAACTTTGAGATCATTTACTTTATTAGTCTGAAAAAAGTACAGTAAGCTTTTTCTTTAGGATAAAAACACATTTTCTCACATTTTAGAAATCTTATTTTTCTAAATACTTGGGTCTTTTTGAGCCAAACAAACAGTCAAATATGATCAAAAAGAGGAGAGTCATCCTGAATTCACTCTGGCAGATGATATGAGGACAAATGCTGCTCTTTTATTATGAGACTCTGTCATGAAATCCTCTGTCCCCCCTGCAGGATATTTGGCGGTTTAGTCCTGGACATCAAAAGAAAGGCCCCTCACTACCTTTCCGACTACACAGATGCCATCAGCCTGCAGTGTCTGGCCTCTTTCCTCTTCCTTTACTGCGCCTGCATGTCACCTGTCATCACCTTTGGAGGACTCTTGGGCGAAGCCACAGAGGGACGCGTGGTAGGAAACAGCTTCTTAATTATTCCCCCTAGAATCGATTACTGTCTGTTGATTTGGAAAGTAATTTGCGTTTGTTTTTTCTGTGTTTCCAGAGTGCGATTGAGTCCCTGTTCGGGGCCTCAATGACTGGGATAGCCTACTCTCTGTTTGCCGGTCAGCCTCTCACCATCCTGGGCAGCACGGGGCCCGTTCTCGTCTTTGAAAAAATCCTCTTCAAGTTCTGCAAGTAGGCTCTTTTTCTTGTTTTCCGCTCTGTACAAATTGTGTTTTTGTTCCATGAATATTTCAGCCTTGATAGTGAATGTGTGTGCTTTCTGCTTGACTTGGGATGCCATATCTAATCGCCCATCCCTTCACTCATGTGTATGTGGATGTGTGACCCGTCTCTCTCAGGGAATATGGCCTCTCCTACCTCTCCCTGAGGGCCTGCATTGGCCTGTGGACAGCCTTCTTCTGTCTGCTGCTGGTGGCCACGGATGCCAGCTCGCTTGTTTGTTACATCACACGCTTCACTGAGGAGGCTTTCGCTGCGCTGATCTGCATCATCTTCATTTATGAGGCTTTGGAGAAGTTGCTCCACCTGGGCGTTCATTACCCCATCAATAAAAACAATAACCTGCAGAAGCTCACAATGTACTCGTAAGTGCGCCTTTGAAATTCAATTTTAATAACGTTTTATTATGATCGTACTTTTTCAGCCTTGGATGAAAATGAGCAATTTTGAGACGCATTTTGTCTTGGGAGCGATGAGCGCAAAAACAAATAGGAAATTTGCACCCTTCGAGGTGTGACTCAGGGAGAGTTAAACACAAACATTAGAAAAATATTTTCAGATTTCAGCTCATGAATCAGCTTCAAATTCAGAGGAAGGATAATGATCATGTTTGGACAGCAAATCCTGTCACAGATAGATCTGAATGTTTCGTTTATACAAAATCCAAACTCATAGGATAGTTTTTGTGTCCTCGCTTTCACTCAGACTCTTTCTAGAAATGTTATCCTGATGTTGTAATTGTTGTCTCAGCCCCTTGTTGAATTCACAGTCCCCCACAACTTAGCACATTCGCACACACGTGCTCGAGGGTTTTGCTGCATCATCAAACGACAGATGGCGCGGTGATACAGTAGACAAAGTATCCACTCTTTTTTTTTCAGTAATAGCTTTTGCTTTATGGTGAATAATCCCGTGGTGAGTGTGTGTAAGAAGCATCAAGCATTATCCTACCACATGAGCTGGCGAGTGTCTCTGTGGAGCCGAGTGCTCCTTCTGTGGGATTCTATTCTGGTGGAGTGGACAGCAGGGGATGCTGACATTTGTTTTGTAAAATGCCAGCAGAATCAAGAGTTTGTAGTGATGAATTGGAACGAGCGACAATTTACTCATTTGGACAAATTTTTCTGCAAATTTGCTCATATTAGAAGCTCAAAGGGAGATTTTTGTGCATCTTAACTGATGACCCAGAACAAAATCAGAATCAGATCACAGACAAACAGAAGGCTGCATGTCAGAATTCCTATTGAGCTGTTCAGGGATAGAAAGTAGTAGACGGCTCATTAAGGGGTGTTTATGCAAGTTAGATCATCAGACGTGATCCTGTGGTAATACGTTTTTAGAAATATATGCAGGAAACACAGTTTTAGACTACTGTCACATGGCCATCAAACGAATTTGTCGGTCTCATCTTTCATAATAGAGAGCCTGAACAAATGTAACCGCTCCCCGAGTGGGCTCCACTTATTTGCATACACTCCACTGCTCAGAGTTCTGAATTTAACAAGCAGGACTGAGGTTGACTTTCTCCTCTGAGGCTAATTATGTTTTGTTGGAGGTTGATTGGGATGTCAGATTGCTGCACTTGCTCTATCGGTGTCAGCCAAGCATGTGCTTCCACCTATTGGTTGTTTACTGACATAGCAAGATAACCCTGCAGTCTCCGTATTTATGATTAGTTTTGGAGTATTAGAATGGGGATGGGATTTGCTGGTTTAATTTCAGTGTAAGAGCATGTGAATTATTACAAACTATGACTGTAGGTGTAGTGTAAATGTAAACTGGATGGCAGTCTGTCTCTACGAGTCAACCCTGTAGATTAGATAGTCAGGATTAACGCCACCTCTCTTCAAATATCAGCTTGGATTGGATGTTAACTGAGGAGTTTTAACACCAAGAAATATTTTTTTTGCGCAGTACAACCCAACACAGTCTCAGTCGACGACTGTCCAACATGAATCTGGTTCTGCCTGAGGTTTCTGCCTGTTGAAGGGTGTTTTTCCTCGCAACTGTACCTCGTTAAGTGTTTCACTCATGTAGACAAAAAGTGATGGGATCGGTTCTGATCTGACAAGATTGGGCTTAATCTTATTCCATCTTTGTGTTGGGTCTTCCTGTAATTATCAAGGACTGTGGTCGAGACCAGAATAGTATATCTATATCGTGTGATCTATTTATTAGGGCTGTCATAATAAACTAATGTTTGAATCACAGCTAGATCGCCAATCAAGATGGGTTACACCTTTAATTGCATGTTAAGAATCGAATTATTTTACTTTTAAAAACAGTTTTAAGTTCATTTTAACAAATTCTTATTAGCTTAAAATTGAATACATGCAATTAAATGTACTTAGTATCCAAATAAAAGCTGCACTGCTGCACCTTTGTGCCTCAAAATGTTTACTTTTTTTTTACTTTTTAACAGAGCTTGAAGGAATTTTTGTTAAAATGTGAATAATACTTACAGCCCTACTTTTTATACAACATTATAAACCCATTTTTTTGCATTCCCTTTAACTTTATTCTGTAAATGTTTCCCATAAATACCTTGGACAGGTGTGAGTGTGTGGAGCCCAGGAACCCCAGCAATGAGACTCTGAAGTACTGGGCGGAGAGAAACATCACAGCCTCTCAGGTCAACTGGACTAATTTGGAGGTTAAGGTAAGGATCCTTGACATTAGGAAAAAAACAGCAGCACATAAACTACAAATGCTTACTAAAAGTAAACCTGTAATTATTAAGTTTAACTGGATCTGGATCTGATTTAGGATGTTTATCAGGTCAGGACCTAACAGACTTGAGGAAATGAGGCTTATTTCTTGCATCCTCTGGCAGCGTGTTGTGTCTGACTTTGCTCACTCTGCCTTATCAGGAGGCGTCATAAGTCTAGGCGGGGATTAAGAACGTGTGGGCTGGATTTCACAGGATTTAGTTGTGCAGAATGAGCGTGGAGATCCAGCAAGAAGAGTTGATTCTCTCGCTGTCAGACGCAAATAAGTCCTGCCTGTGGTGGCATGTTGTGTCGATCCTTCACATGCTTTGTTTGTAGACTTATAGCAGCGCTGCTATGGGAGGCAGGATCACAGGGGGGGCCTTTGGATTGTATGCAAATGGATGAATCGTGTACTGTGTGTATAATTCAAAGTGTAGGGTACACTTTAGAACTCAAGGGTTGTTGGCATTCAGCTTTCACTAATTCATCAACGACATCCATCATCATTAATTATCCCATCATCATCACCCTCATCATCATCACCGTGTCCTCTGGTGCCAGTAGGAGTGCGAGATGTTTCACGGAGAGTTCGAGGGCAGTGCCTGTGGCCCCCATGGCCCCTACATCCCTGACGTCCTCTTCTGGTGTGTGGTCCTCTTTTTCTCCACCGTCTTCATGTCCGCCTTCCTCAAGGAGTTCAAGACAAGCCGCTACTTCCCCACTAAGGTATGAATCAAGTCCTTTAAGCCCAGATTAATCTGAAATGGAGTTTTCCTGACCCGTCCCTGAAAAATTAAACCTCCATCATCAATTTTACAGTCCTGCCATTACTTCCCATTTTACCGAGGGACTGAAATCACACTGGAGGTGTTTTCCATGTCATTGCCTCTAATTTTGTCAATTTAGATTATGCCGCCATCTACTGGTGGAATCAAATCACAGCCGATATCCTGCAGTCGCTGCTGCTGTTCTATTTTTGCCATTTCTCTGATTTATCATTGAGATGACACTCATGAGCGTAATGTGTGGCGTGATGCGGCTGCGTTCTCATTTACAGAGCGTCAGCGCCATCTGGTGGTGATTAATTTGACACTACAGCTATGATGTGGTAAAAGTATGTAAGTTCATGAAGGTTTCAGGTGGATTTGATTCAACAGAGCAGCATTTTGATTGGACGGGGATGTTCTAGCCATCATCAAATACACAAAATATAATCCTGATAGTCTCGCTGATTAAAGCACATCAGGAAAATGTCCTTTGACACCTCTTCGGAGATAGAAAATACACAAAATCTATGCAAACATACTGAATATAATGTCAGAATAAGATAACAAAAGACCTGGAGGCGACACTCAGAGCTTGTCTTCATCCAGCTTATGTGAAAGTGGACTTTGAGTGTGTCTATTTTTACTACCTCTCCAGGTGCGGGCCATCATCAGTGACTTTGCCGTCTTCATCACCATCCTCACTATGGTCTTGGTGGATTACGCCCTCGGTATCCCCTCTCCAAAGCTCCAGGTCCCCAGCAAGTTCAAAGTGAGTGCACATAAAAGTCACTGTGTGTGTCTATTTGATTATTTTACCCACAGATACTCAGTTTTAGTCCAGTTTTGTGCCCTTGTATTGTCATTTAGCAGCAACCTGCATCAACTGTTGATGCTGTTTAACTACATCAGGCAAATTTCTGATTTAAGCACTCCGGTTAATAGACGTTTATTGCCCTTACTTTAATAATAAAGCAAACTAAACAAACACTTACCGTCTTAGCAAATGAGGATGGTGTTTAATGAAGCCTCAAAGTCAAACTCAGTTAATTACCTTCGACTCTAACACTCAGCAAACGTCAAGATGAGAGTTAAATGTAATCTACATTAGCCTGACACTCTTTCTGCTTCCTCCTCCTATTTTAGCCGTGTCTCATTTTACTGTGTTGTGAGTGTTATTCTGTTTCATAGCCCTGAAGGTCTTCGCTTCTGCTCTGCCTGCCACAGGTTTTAGGACTCTCCATAGGCATCAAGAAGGGAGCTTTTAAAACAGAGCCGTGACCTCACTGAAAAACATGTAAAAGAAAACAAAGGAGGGCAGGAGGTTTCATAATCAGACAAAGGAAAACAGGAAATAAAAGTTGGATTTTTCAGCCTTACAGGAATTTCAGGTGCTGAAAACATACGTTAAAATCCCTCCTAAAAGCTACAGCCAGAGAGTTTTCAGCATCTCAAACATTCACTGATAAATAATTGATGAACTGTTGAATCTGTTTAATCCAAGTATATGTGCTTCACATTCTCCTCACTCTTTTTGTCAATTCAATCTTTCTTTTCCTCTCTCAGCCAACCAGAGATGATCGTGGCTGGCTTATAAACCCTGTTGGACCTAACCCGTGGTGGACCACGATCATCACCTTCATCCCCGCTCTGCTCTGCACCATCCTCATCTTCATGGACCAGCAGATCACAGCTGTCATCATCAACAGAAAGGAGCACAAGCTGAAGGTTATTTCTGTTGGTTGGAGATTTTCCGTGCTGTTGATGATAAAAGGCGAGTCTGAATTATTAATCAAAGTCCGTTCTCTCACCCCTGCAGAAAGGCTGCGGCTACCACCTGGACCTGTTTGTGGTGGGGGTGATGCTGGGAGTGTGCTCTGTGATGGGGCTGCCATGGTTCGTGGCGGCCACTGTACTCTCCATCTCCCACGTGAACAGTCTGAAGCTGGAGTCGGAGTGCTCGGCGCCCGGGGAGCAGCCGAAGTTCCTGGGCATCAGAGAGCAGCGCTTTACAGGCCTCATGATCTTCACTCTGATGGGCTGCTCGGTTTTCATGACGTCTGTGCTGAAGGTCTGTATACAGACACATATTCACAAAGAAGAGGCTTGTGTTGGTTCTCAGTTTGGGTCCTGACCTTGACTTCTGATCTGTCTCCAGTTCATCCCAATGCCTGTCCTGTACGGCGTCTTTCTTTACATGGGGGCGTCTTCGCTCAGAGGCATTCAGGTGCGCTCACACTCAGCCTGCTGGTGTTTTATTTTTTAGAGGAGCTGATTCAGAAAAGAAGCTTAAATGTTCGTTTTTTTGCAGTTCTTTGACCGTCTAAGGCTGTTCTGCATGCCGGCCAAACATCAGCCAGACTTTATCTACCTTCGTCACGTCCCGCTGAGGAAAGTCCACCTCTTCACTATCATCCAGCTCAGCTGCTTGGTCCTCCTCTGGGTCATCAAGACCTCTAAGGCCGCCATTGTTTTCCCCATGATGGTAACTTTTAGGCGTTTCTGGGTATTTATCCCTCTGTTTTAACTTGATGTGTTATTGGTTAATCCGGCCTGTTTTTCCACCTCAGGTCTTGGCTTTGGTCTTCATTCGTAAGCTGCTAGACTTCATTTTTACGAAGAGAGAGCTGAGCTGGTTGGACGACCTGATGCCGGAGTGGAAGAAGAAGAAACTGGAAGATGCAGCACAAGAGGTGCAATAAAAGACTTTGATGTAGAGCTTTTAACATTATGTATTCAGTGTTTTGTAATATATTCTTGTCCTTACCTGCAGGAGGAGCACAGTATTATCGCAGAGGAGGAAGGCATAGTTCAAGTGCCACTAGAGGTTAACCTAAAGTAAGTCAACAAACAGTCTTTTTTTACTCTTTATTGCTGTATATGTGTAAAACTGGAGAACTATGGGACAAACTGGTTTAAAGGGGACGACTCCGAGCTCAACGGCAGCAGTCAGAGAATCTGTCTGTTTGTTAAGGGATCGTTTCGACGGATATATCTGTTTGACTTTTCCACAGACACTCTATAAAAGATGGACATGACTGCTCAGTTATGGTTAGTTCTTATCAGGCCCGAAGTTTTTTATAGTCAGTAAATTATAATTAACATGACTGTTGACACATGTGGCTCCTAAATTACAAAGTAAAGGAAAAACACAGACAGGAAAAGTTCTCAAAGTGTTACTAAACTTTCCATCATTGCAACAAAATCACAGAAAAACCGTCTATTTTTAGGGTCGTACTGCTGAAGTAAACCAGAGTGAAGCCTCGATGTGACCGACTCTTTACAGTCAAACTGAGACTCAGCAGAAAAAAATAAACAGGGATGCGCTGAACCAAGAAATGACAGCACTGACTGAGGACGTAGCTCTGTAATCTGTGTACACTGTTGCTTCTTGTGCAGCGTGCTAAACTATAAACAATGTAGTACACGGAAAAGGATGTTTTGGCTTGGCGTAATTATCATACACACAGACAGGAAATACAGAGAGGTTAGCCTTATCCCAGGGGCATATCTCCCTTTGAGAGTAAGTTTTCTAAGACATCTCCTAACAGAACTTATTCATCTTTTTTATAAGTGTGTATGAAAAATTGGCGTTTTTATTCGTTTGTGTGTGTTTTTCCAAAAGGGGTGACCCAGCCACAGTGAACATCACGGATGAGATGTCCAAAGGATCCTTCGGGAATGTGTGGAAGAGCGTCAACCCCGCTGAGAGCGCAAAGAAGGAGCCAAGCGCTAAAAGGTGAGCCCCCTTATTTACCTTACTCTCATATATCCAGATCTCTAATACATCAGTGTCAGGGGGGAGGGGGGGACTGTCTCTTTGGGTGTTAGAGCGAGCAGTGGCAGGTGTTTATTATTAAGAAGTTATGGAACATTTACCTCGTGTTTTTCCAGGAAACCGAGGAGCTAGTATGTTTATATAAAAGGGGTTTATCTTAGAGCAGCCCTGCCCTCGCAGATTTCCCACAGAGTAGACTAACATAGTGTCTCCTGCCTGCCTCTCTCATTCCATCCCACCCCTAAGCTCCCCTTCCTAACCTCTCAGAAGCTGAAATCCCAAAGGTGAGTTCTTCCTAGTCCCTGTAAGCATGGAAAGTATCGTCCTGTGTGCTGCATGATGGAGATGGTGCTGCAGAGTGACGTAGTAAATCAAGAGATGAATCAGTAAAGTGGATGCTGGTTGGCTGAAAAGAGGAGCATGGCGTTGGTGTGCATGTCAGTTCAAGGACATGTTTTATTTTGTCCCTCAGATGTTGTAAAAATTGTTGTATTTATAGCACTGTAGCTCAAGATGGCATGTTTTAAAGTCACAATCTATTGGATGTAACATATTTGCATGCCAGCATCTTGAATCTTCCCAAATCGCTCTGTTTTCAAGAGTCTTCACACTCTTGCTCGGTTTAATTTTGTCTTCTGTGCAGTTCAAGTGGCGGCGGCGAAAAGCGACACAAGCGCCGGAGGCATGACAAGAGCTTGGACAGGGAGACAAGTTTGTGATGACACGTACTGGCAGCGCCACCGTGCTGTGGATCAGTCGTTTTAAAAAAAATAAAAAGTAAAGTAAAAAAAACAAAAAAAATCTAAACCGTGCCACACTCAGCCACCTTTGTACTGTGCTACACTGTGTTTTTTGTCATGTAAGTCTGTGTGCAAGTTGTGTAAAACAAAGATAAATTTGTTAGAAACAGTATTAACACGGGAAACCAAGACACACGTGTGTTCGTTTTTCTATGTATATCAAAGTTTGGTGATACCAGCATTTGAGCGAAGCAAGAATTATATACCACTTACAGAAACGACTGTGTCGACGGGCCAATAACGCAGAAATTTTAACAATTTTTAAATCTACTTTATTTGTATTTTGTATGTTTTTATATTTTTTCAACAGCAACGATTGCCAGTTGTCCTTTTAAACACCTGCCACAGTGAACCACGAATATGTGGGTTTTGTTTGCAGTCTTTGAAGCCGATATACTGACTTGATGCACCTCACCTAAATAGTAGATATTTGCCAAATCTGATCTATTTCACTGGTATCTTTAAAAGTTGGCTCTATAGAGAATCTAGTAATTTTTTGGAAGTATTAAATATACGTTTTATATATTCAGTATAACTAAATGTTTTTTTGTGACTGTGACAACTCATATCATTCCAGAGTCTCCTCCTCCATAGCTGTTCTACCATTAAATGTCTCTCCTTCAGTTCAGTATTTTCCAAATGAGTTGAGGGAAAAGTTTAAAAAAAACACTCGCCTGTTTTCTTGCTGAGAGAAAATCAAATCTGCAGACATGTGTCTTTAAGATGAATGTCGAAGAATGCTCGGTCGAAACAAAATCTACCAGAAGCTTCACTAATTGTTGCTTTATTTCCTGCTTTTATAACCAACGTTCAACGAAACAAAAAGGTATTACATTTAGCTCTCTGCAAGAAAAGGGTACATGTGAATTTCCCTTAAATTCAACTTGGGGAAAATATATTTTCAGGCAGCTTATTTGAAAAATACATTTTACGCGAGCATGGCAGCATAGTTCAAAAACCTTTCAGTAGTGGCTTTTTAAAAACAGAATCAAATTGACGAAACTTTGAGATGACTGTACAGACAGCTCTGTTTTCCACCTTCATACTCTACGTCATCTTTGTCAGTAAGTGTCATCCATGGACAAACAATCTCCTATCCAAATGACCCTCAACGTGTTAGCATCAGAAGCTAATTGTTTTTAAAAAAAGACACCTGCATGACGGTGAAACAGACTTGGCTGTCTCGCTGCAGGACCATGGTTACTTCTAGAGATGCAATAATACCCTTTTTCTGGGAAGGGCAACATGTAATAAACGGTAAAGAGTCTTAACAATGTATAATACATAGTATATTTTATTCATGTAAAATGTTACTAATATATTACTAACATGAATTCAGTGTTGAAGGCAGGTTTTTCGTTGTAGATGTTCTTATCCTCATCGTCTTATTGATGGTTCTTAGTTTTAGAGAAACTAATAATGGGTCAAAATTATATCAATATCACATATTTTGACCACTTCTGTGTGGAATTCTGCCTTAAACTTGGTAGTGATAGCTGTACACTTTCTGTTGAATAATTTAAGTCACCTGTATAGAAACCCATCCGGTCAGATCTGTTGTTATATTGTGATTTGTTTCATGAGAATGAGAGAAAGAGAGAGAGTGAGCGAGAGCGAGCGAGTGAGAGCATAAATAAAGATGTTAAACGAACTCTGCTGCGGTGGTGGCGTGGTGCTTTATTAATCACCTCTTGTCCACAGGGAGGTCAAGGGTCAGGTAGGTAGCAGCAACATTAGAAACTACCATCCTATATTCCCCAGAGTTCTCCTACAGAGCTCTCCCACCCCTGTATGAATACTGACCTCACTGTCTCCACCTTTGACCTTAGGAGCCCTGTGTCTTTGTCCTCATTCGAGACCATGAACACCCTACACCCTCAGGCTGAAGCTCCTCTAGTCTCTACATCCTAAAGATATTTAAGGTGCATGTACATCTCACCCCTGGTGCTGCTCCCAGAGACTACCACCATTTGCTTAAAATGACCACATGAGTGAGAAACAGTAGGAGGGATCCTATGAGATGACTGAGATCAGGTTACATGGCATGACTGCTTAATAAGTAAGTAAAACAGGTTAAAAACTCAGAAACAAGAATCAATATAGTAACCATTATACTTAAATGGGTATTACACTCATTTTCAGGCCTTACATCGTCTAATTCGGTTAAACACAGAATATTCTGATCTCAGATTAGTGTCTTTAAAAACCTGATTTCAGCCCCTCTATGAAGCATTTAATTCCAACTACTGTTTCTTTCAGACTCTAGAAGTCTCCTCCACTGTTGTCATGTTACCAAGTCATGACCACCCATTAACTTGTGTATTTTTTTGTTTGTAATTGCGATCTATAATATGTCCCTGAATCTCTGTCCGATAATTTCAAGAATTTTGTGAATTTTAGAAGCCTCCCCCACTGTTGTCATGCTACAAAATCAATGTCATGAGTTAATTTGTATTATTTTATAAAGGCAAACTAGATAATTTAGAAGCCTCTTACACTGTTGCCTTGATACATACATTACAGCAATGATCTAGCAGGTACCGTGTATTGAGTCACATGCCAAAAAAACAAACAAACTAGAAAAGCACTCAGAGAGCGCAGACCTCCGCCAAGCAGCTCATGTCCTCCCTTATATTCGATTCGAACCCAGGACCTTCTGGTTGTGAGGTGACAGTGCTAACCACTACACCACTGTACCACCCATCTACACCACTGTGCCGCCCATTGGTTATCTTTCAGCATTGAAAATTCTAACGACACCCTTATTTTTGTGTGTTCTGGATCACAGTATCCAGAATTTTGTCCGGATCACCACCAAAATGTAATGGGATCCTCCTGGGGCTGAGACACACCTCTGGTGAAACTTTCAGGTCAATCCGTCTCTTACTTTCTCCGTAAAGTTGCTAACAGACAAACAAACAAACAAACCAACGCTACCGAAAACATAACCTCCTTGGCGGAGGTAAAAAACAACCACAGTGCATGTATGCCTCTGGGTTACTCAGCAACAGTCAGTCTCCATTCTAGATAGTTGTGTTGGGACAGCCAAACACTGATATATCTACGTAGGAATCAAATTTAGTTACTGCCATAAAATAAAGCCATAAACATACAATGAAAAACTTTATTTTGCAGAGCAGATCATTTTCAGTTTTGTTTCTCTAATGTGTCTACCTGAGATTCCTCTTTTTGTGTTCTTCTGTTCAACATAAAAATAAAGAAAATAACTTAAATTTGTAGAAAAATACAACCTCGAATTAAAATCTTTCCGCTGGTGCATGATAAAAACTATGGAAGAAAGTCATTTTTGTATCTTTGCTTAACAAACAGAGTAAAAAAGTCACTAAAATTTAAACATGCAAAGAAAGAATGGCTTCTTATCCTCCTGAATATGGCTTAGTGTGCTTTGAGGATCCTCTCACTGGTCCTCTTGTCTCTTCTGGCTGCAAAACAGAGAAGATTCAGTCATGCAAAGTGGATCACTTCTTGCATTTACAATTAGAGTCACATGACTTGTTGCTACCTCTCCCCTGAAGGCTTGGAGGTCATGACCCAAAGTAAATATTCCTTGGCGGCCATGGAGTCCAGCACCTTGTTCACATCACTGGTGAAGCTTCCATCTACATGCCTCCTGCTCAGCTCTTCACCGTGCCTTTCTGTTTCAGGTCTGTGTACACAAACACACAATGTAAACACTAACCGCAAAGTGTCAGTAAACCCACCGAGTAGAAACCCCTGATTTGAACTTTGATATTTACCTGAGATGCAGCAGAAAATGATCATTTTCATCCTTGTGATTGGTGCAGAAATGCTCTTGCTGTGATCATTTCTTGATTGGTTCTTTGTCACTTCCAAGTTTTTTTTGCATCAACGTAATCATATCAATCATTTTTCAACACCGTGTGAAAAGTTCAGTTGATTTATTTTGGCACAAACACGAGAAACATGGAGAAAACAAAGCAAAGAAAGCAAAATAAGAGAGGGGTAGGAGAAGCAGTTGATTGGCTCTTTATCTCTCAGGTCGCTGTGGAATCAGATAAAGGAAGATATGCAGGAAGGTTGCTGGATTTTGGGGGCTGTAGGAGGAGGAGGAGGAAGGAGGGGCAGCCTACTCTCTTCTGACTTGTCCGGACTTGAGCCTGGCGACAAAATCCTTGATGGCCTGGTCTTGGAGGTAGGAGCTGACATCGCTGGTGAAGGTCCCATCTGCGTGGCGCTTTTCTGCAGCACTGAAACACACAGACAGACCCAGTCAAGACAAATAAAGTATTTTATAGTGTATTTTATAGTGTTTGAGACACCTCGTTCTTGACTACAGAGAATATAATGCAAATCTGGAAAAATTTAGAAGGATTGCTGTAATCCTGTCCTTCTGCTTTTTAGCTGCTTGCTGATACAAAGCACAAACACTTCTGTGTTAAAGCTGTTTTTTCGACTGTTAGTCTTTTGATAAATAATAAGAAAAACAAATCTGAATAAGCCAAAGCTTTAGACAATTTTTTGATCCAGCACTGACCCGCTCCTCTTGTTGCTCATCAGCCACCGGACAAAGTCCTGCGCCTTCCTGTCCTCCAGGTATTTGCTGTAGTCGTTTGAGAAAGTTCCCTCCGAGTGTCTCTTCATGTTCGACAGCTCCCTCGGCTCTTCCTCTAACGTGGCATCTGCCTCCAAACTGAGAGAGGTGAAACACAGCTGAAGAACTCAGTTTGTGAAAAATTGCACGACACAGGGCAAGATTTGTTTTACACCTGCTCATACTTTCAAACGCACCATGTCAAGCTTCTGATTTCTCTCAAATTTAAGCTTCACTGTGCCTCCAATTTCTTTAAATCACCTCAAGAAACATATTGTCTCTTTTAGTAATTTTCTCAGGAGTGATAAAACTTAATATTCTTATTTTTTGTACTCATTTCTTTTGGATCAATATGCCTAAATCTGAGTCTTTTGGATGTCATACAGAGAAAGTTGTCTAATTTTCTTCAGATATCAATTTCCAGCTGCATCCTTTTGTGACAAATACTGTATTTTAGTGTATCTAAACTGCTCTGTAATAGTAACCCAGTCTGATTTAAACATTATTCTGTGATAGGTATAAATTGCTAATACTATGGTCCTTTAGATTTAAGATATAATCTCACTTGTCGAGAAGTTGCTTCCGTACCTTGAGTTGTCTTCAGCCTCCTGCAGAGGAACCTGCCAGCTGCTCTTGACAAAGCACAGGACCAGGAGGATACCAGCCAGAGAGAGGATTTTTTTCATGTTGACAGCCTTGGCTACAGATGAGTACAAACACACGGACACAAAGAGAACGTTTGCATTCAAAGAAGCCTTGCTTTTTCATCGTCGCGAAGAAAAAAATACCCACCTTTGCTTCTGTCTTTCAAGAGAAAGGTGCTGATAGTTCCTCTGCGTGTTTCAGGTGTCTTTTTCTCACCTCACTTACTTTGAACTTATATACAGTAACGGGGGAGGAGGGTGGCTCTGCTCAGGAGGGCCCATTTTTACCACTCTGACAAATCTCTTAACCTATTAGACACGGTTCATGTCACATCGGCCAGTCAACAAGCCGAGCTCTAGCCGAGAAAGGAAAGGTGCTGTTCATGCGTGATACAAGCCGGTACTTAGGTGTCAAGATCAAACAACCTGGGCTCATCCTGTCAAACAGAAAGTAGGGAAGATGCCTTAATGTGCTACTGTGTCATCATGATGGGAAGTGATAGGCCTGTATGCGCTGTCATATCTGGGAGTGAGTCAGTGTTTGTGGATTCATTCCGATCAAATTTAGAAGTGGGAAATATTAACGATGGATTTTTGCATCACTGACCGTTTGCTCCTCAAAGCAAACATGATTTCTTGTAGTGTCATTAACACTGAAAGAAACACACCTAAAATTTCTTAAAACCTTTGATAAATGATACTTGGGGCTCTATTTTTGTGCCCGCCAGCAGCACGGTGGAGGGTGGCGGACCCCGCACAGTGGTATTTTCGTCTGGCGGAGCCCAGTGCACAGCCAAATTGGTATTTTCATAGACTGAGGCGCACCAAGGGTGTGGATGCGTGGCAGGGGAAGGTGATGACTTAATGAGCTGGCGCAGTGACATTTTCATGCTCACCAGCGGTGTAGAAAGTGCGCTGAAAGCTCGCCGATTCAAACCCGGTCAGCTTTCATGATGAAGTTAACAAGATATGTAATTCGTCTCCCTCCTTTTCTTTCTTCCTCTTCCTCTCATTTCTCACGCAGCTCGACCTGGACATGTCTCTGTGTCCTCTCTCCGTCCTGCTGCTGCGGCGGCTGAACAGATGATTTGTTTCAGTGCTCAGATGAGTTTTTTACTTTAAGCCTACATACGAATATTATAATATTCAGTTGCGTGAGTCAAATTTATTTTATATGCCAACATCTATGAAAGAAAGAGCCAGGCCACGGAGCGCGATGCGTCATTTACGCACAGATGGTTCCGATTTTAATGCCATTATTGGAGTTTATGTTGTGATCTGTGCGCTCAAACCACCTTTGTCACGTGAGGTTTGAATATGTGCAACTTTATGTGAGTGTCTTTATTTGTGGAAAAGGGTGTTTGTCTTACCAGTGGGTCCAACATTACACACACCAAATCCATCTGTGCTCATATGAGAGAGTGTGGAGATCGCCCAATGCAGTGCTTACAGCAACACTTGTTGAGGAGCTGCCCTTTGTCGCCATCGTGTGGCATTTTTGTCTTCAGACATCTCTTGATCTCTTTGACTACTTCACGAAAATTGTAATGCGCCTCGCCGGCGGCGGATTTAAAGGTGAGGAGAGGAGCTGATCTGACAAAAACAGGTCTCAGCTGTGTTAAACCCACTCCACGCCCTGTCCCCTCCCTCTCTACAACTTATGCCGCTGGGAGGAGCTGAGTTAGGGAGGGGGGATACTTACGCTGGGCTGCACCGCTCACCAAAATGTGCTTGGGCACGCCTTGTCAATCGCGGCGGACCTGACTTAGGCTGCGCCTACGCCACGGGCGAAGAACGATAATAGGCTTTATATGCAAATAAACAGCAAATACTTCCCAGTAACCTCAGCTGTATTTTGTGCCATCTTGTTGTCTCAGTGTAGCCTCTTAGCTGTCATGTTTAAGAATAAATACAAGTTTCCAACAAGAAGTTTATTTTAACATTAAATTCTTTATTATTTACAAAACAATCATCTTATCAAACAGTCAGCAGTGTGGCAAAGTTAGTCAAACTTGTGCTTTGTGTTTGTGTGAACAGTTTGTTATTATTCTACAAAACCCTGTCATTATGAAGCAGCCAGTGTGTAGTTATAGTTTTACACCTTCACATTGTTACATCAGTGTCCTGGTTCTGCTTAAGCTTGTTACATGATACCGGCTTAAACATAAAATGTAAATGTGTCACAGGAGGAATCACAGTTGTCATTTACTTCATCGCGGCTCTTTAAAATCAAGTCAGCATCCAAAATTTGAGTTTAATCCCCTGATGATTTTGTTCTTATTTACATGAAAACAGATCCCGGTGTGATCGGGAGGACTTCACTCAAAGCACCTCAGCAGGAAGTGGGACATGTGGGTGTAGACGTGCTGATAGGCGGAGCCAGTGAGGCCGTGATCCTTGTCCGTGTACCACTGTAAGAAAAAGGTAAAAATTACTGTTGGTACCAGATTATCAAACATGCTCCTCGATCCTTTTTCTACATCCAACTTTTCCTTTTACTGATCACTCACCATCGCCTCAAAGTCCACGGCCTCGTCAACGAGAGCTTCAGAGATCTCAGCTGCCTGCTGGAAGTGAACATTGTCTAACAAACACAAAGACAAAAGTCAACAACAGCACACCATAATTATATTATCCTGGTCTTTAGATGGCTCCAAAGTCCAAGGATTGTAAGATGCAAATTTTCCAACACAATGATTTCTTTAAAGTTTAAAAGAATAGAGAAATATTTCAAGAAATTCCTTATTTTTCTGCTATATTAATGAGAGGCAGGGGCGTGTCCAGCATTTTCTTGTTTGGGTGGCCTCACCTCCTTTTTTATGGAGGAACTAAAGGGTTGACTTTGACAATCATAGCTCAGGATGTCAAGGGGGTACCTGGGGTGGCCTGTCAATGGGGGCAGTGTCACCCCAAGCCACAAAACTGTACATACCCCTGGTGAGAACACGGAGACCACGTCAGCCTAACTTAAAAGCATAAAGTGGAGGAAACTGGTAGCCTGCTTTGTCTAAAAGTCACAAAATCTGCTTTGGCCATTTATCACATTCGATCGTATTATTTCTATTTTATGATGGATTTAAGTTGTAAAAACGTTTTACTCGTGGTTTTACTCAAAAGGGGTTACAGGACAACTCACCATCAGCTGTGCCATGAACCAGGAGATACTTCACTGCATGGAAGTTTTTGGCCCTTTCAGTTACCGTAGAGTTCTGTGCACAATTACATTAAAATTAACGAGTGATTCCAGGCAATATCAAACCAAAAAAAGATGATCTGAGGTATGAAATAGTTACTTACAGCATAGAAATGTGGATTTTCTGAAGGCTCCAGCATATAACGCTCTGTGTAGATTGAATCTGGGATACATAGATATAAGTGTGAAAATGAGTTTACAAGGTTTAGAAGATTTAGATCGTGGAAAACTTGTTTTAAAGTACAATAAAAAATCACCGTAATATATCCATTTAGAGACAGGAGCGACTGCCATCCCACATTTGAAAACTCCACTTCCAGCACCCAAGACCATTGACGTCACATATCCACCGTAAGACTGTGACAGATAAACATCTCATCAGTGTAACTCATCCCAACTCTAACCTTCAGTACAGATCAGGGAGGTGAAACATTAACTTGTTTTTAAGGCCGTTTATTGCTCTCTAAACTGTAAAATGCCACATGCAGGCTGAATGTTGCTGAAGGAGCATAAAAATCGGATAACATTTTTACTCTTTTACAACTCACCCAGCCCCAAATTGCAACTCTGTCTTTGTCAATGAAGCCCATCTTGATAAATTCCCTAAAACACAAAGACAGACTGTTATGTAATTTGAAAGGTCGTCAACAGGAAAAAGGACGTCTCGTAATCATCATAACTCTGTGACACTTATTTCCTGTGTGTGTGTTCGCCTGGAAGCGTTTTAACCCCATCGACGAGTCGGATCCAGTTTGATCGAGCTTGTACCAGAGGTTGAAGCTGTTTGCTTTCGATCGTGAGATGCGGTGGCTTGTCTTTCTTACCTGGCTGCTGTTATCTGATCTTCCACCTCATAGGTTCCCAGACGTTTGTAGAGAGCGTGCATTATGTCGTCGCCTTGGTAGCCGCTTCCTCTTCCGTCAAAGCTGGCGACAATGATTTTCTCAGTACTGGCCAGATAGGTGGACCAGCCAACCCTGTAGGCGAAGTCTACTTTCTGACTGCAGGGACCAGCATATCTGGAAGATTTGGCGTAATCAGATTAGTTACCCTCTTTTGGAAAGACTCTTAAACACACTGATTTGAACAGTTTTTATGTTCACCCTTACACATCTATCAGCAACGGGTACTTCTTGGATTCATCAAATCCAGGAGGCAAGTACATCTGGTACCAGAGCTCTGTCAGAGATAAAACAACAACACTTAATTACTTCATAAACGTTACCTAAAAGTCTAAATGTCTCATAGTTGCGTTCACTTACCCTTTCCACCAAGTTTGATTTTTTCCCGCCGCATGGTGGGCATGTGAAACTCACGTATGTGCTTTTTAAATTCAATATTGCCCTCCAAAAACATAACGTCTACAAAAGTAGAAAAAGAAAGCTCTTCAGGATAATATTTTCACTGATTATTATCATTTCAGATACCGAAACAGTACGGCTATTTACCTTTATCTTGCGTGTTATCCCTCAGAGAATGCATAGGAATGCCAGGACCTTTGTATAAAAAGTACAACATACATATTTTTCAATATGCATATATATTTTTAGACATAAATGACTTTTAGGGAAATATTTGACTCACCACTGCAGCTCATACGGTAGAAGGAGGCACCAGGGCTGAAGTACACCGAGTTGTACTGACAATCACTTTCAAATAACGTACAAGTCAGACACTTGGTCTCTTGCCCAGTCCTCCTAATATTCAAACACACACACACAGAAAGGCATAAACTTTAAACCTCAAGAATTATTTTTCCATCTTTAGTTATCCTAAGATGACAAGCAACATGAGAATAAAAATAAGATTTAAAAAACAGGCTTACTTGTAAACGTTCCTGCCTCCTGGTCTGCCGCCATGTTCGTTACTTGAATAATAACTGTGGGGAAAATTTCACCATATAAATAAATAAATAAATAAATAAATAAAACTCTTGAAGACTCATAAGTCCAACTTTTATGTTTGACTGTACAGCACAAAGCCTCCATGTTTGCTATAACACAGTAAACATCAGGCTGTATGCAGACGATGCTGCGTTTTTCAACTTACACGCTATCGGCTGTTACTTTCAGAATACTAATGACTTCCCACGGTCCGGAGGTGATAGCTGTAGCCACTTCCTACAAGAATAAGCAAGAGGAGCATTTATGTGGGTGGAGGCATGTTATTGGAAAATGAATGTAGTCTATTTCGTCAAAATTGAAGGATAGACTAAAATAAATTCTCCTCCTACCTTGACCACATGATGGATGTGCTTGTACCCGTTTTTGTCACTCATCAATAGGTAGTAGCTGTTCTTGTCTACGGCAAAAACCGGCTCTGGTGGTGAAAACTAGAAGGAACAAAAAAAAATTTCAATTAAGTCACAAAATTAAAACTAAAACAACTTGTCAGGAGAAAATGTTGCACAAAGACGTTGGATTAATGGATTTGTTGGGGACTTCTTGAGTGCTCGGGTAATGGCGTGGGAAGGGGTGGTGGGGGATACGTGGGCATATACTGTATTTAGATTAGTAGCTTGTACTATCTCTATCTTTAGGGTCTACTTTAGGTGTCATACAGCTGCTGTGCATCTATTGAATTTTAAAGGAAACAAAATCTTCTAAACTTCTTTTTTTTAAGGATTGAAAAGTACATTTTTTCTCCTGAGTCACAATTGAAGGCTCTGGAAAAGTAAATTTGCTCCATTTCAGTTCAAAGAAAGCTGCTGCAGCCTGTGAACACAACCCAAACAGTAGATTTTAACATAAGTCCCACCTTTTATTGTCACAACGTGGTGAGGGGTGTCTTGTCCTGGTTTTTCGGTCTTGTCATTTGCATGTTTTATTTTGAAAAATAACTCTCCTCTCGTTTCAGGTCACTTGCCCTTCCTCTTGTGTCTCTGGTCTGACGTCTCCCCTGATCCCTGATTGTTTCCACCTGTTCCCCATTAACCTCATGTGTCTTATAGTCGGCGTCTCCCTTTGTCCTGTGCCAGAGTGTTTCTAGATCTATCTTCTGTTTCATAGCTTTGTTGTTTTTTCCTCCCTTTTAGAGTGACTTTGTTTTCTTACAGTTTTTTCTAGCTAGGAGTGCAGTGTAGTAAAGTTTGTAGCCTCCTTTTGTTTCCCTCCTTTTGAAGCGCTTTTTGTTCATAAATTTTCATAGTTATTCCTCTGAAGATTAGAGAAGATCAGCCTATTAATTTGTCCTCCCTTTTGAAGTGAATTTTAGTTCAGTCTTGGTTTGTTTTGTTTCTGTGTTTTGTCTGTTTGCCATTAGTAGAGATATAGAAGGTTTCCATAGCCTATTTGTTTATCACTCTATCTACTGAGAAAGAAGACGATTTTCAAAATAAAGCGTTTGTTGATCTTTGAACCTCTGCGTTCAAAAGCTTAGGTTTTTGGGGCGGCCAATCAAAATTTTTTAAAGGAACCCATGCCAGCCCTGAATGACGCTCTCTGGCAGAGACAGATATGATTTGTCAAGTTTTGTTGCACACGTATCACTTGTCAGTCAAACACACGTGGAGAATTTGGGTCTTTCCCAAGAAATTATCAATAAAAGTATAAAAACATCATGAGTCATCATTTATAGTCAACTGTACGTACCCGCCCAATCCAACCCGTGGTACTTATCTGCTCCAGATGCTGTAAAAGGATGAAAGTCATGATGATTAAATTGTTTTTTATGCTTCACTTCGCTACATTTCACAATCGAACACCGGCCTTTTTACCGACAACAGAAACAGATGTTGCAACACAGCGCAGAATTAAGAAACCTTTTGACTAACTTAATAAACTGGAATAGAAAATATCCACCCTCTCTGTAAACATGTTGAATCAACAATAAGCAAGTTGAGCCCAGTTTGATACCAGTTCAGTGTTTGAACAACAACAGTGTCATGTCCTACCTCTGAAGGTGTCCAGCTGGGTTCACTGAAGTTGTAAATCTGAAGGATGGTGTGGTTTTGGATCCTCTTCAACCACTGGACAGCAATGCGGTCATCTGTGACCCAGTTGACGGTGGCCAAGTAGTGTTCACTGCAGGTAAGTAAAAAAAACAAACAATAAAATTATGATTCATAAGCTTTTGATTATTCTGATTTATACGCACCTGCTCGCAGAACTGAATGTCCCGGTACAGAGTTAATCAGAGAGAAATCAAAGTACCTTTTTCCGAATGAAGCTGGAACGACAACCTCTGTGATCTGACTTGTGTTGTCAGTGTTCACAACGAAGAGTTTCACGACAGGGTTGGGGGTACCTGGCTGTACGAGACAAGACGGTGTGGATCACGAGATTATAAGGATTATCCCAACAGAGCTCGTTCAGGAAAGAGTCAAATCACAGATGTACATGTGTCCCACCTTTGGATACGGGATGGAGATGGTGCTTGGGTACTGGTCCTCTCCGTACCAAGTGTACTCAATGTGGTGAACATCCGTGTCGTTGGACTCAATATAGGCCACATACTTTCCTCCAGGTGACCACCAGAGGCCCTGATTGGATGAGAACATCTCCTCTAGAGATCAGGAAACGTAAATATGAGTTCAAGTTTAGACGTAATATTTAATGATATCTGTAGACATGAGATGCTGCGTTCATTCATTAGATGGCATATTGATGAAAAGTGTATTTCCATGTGACATTTACTCTATATCATGTTCAACTTACCCTCATAAACCCAGTCTGGATGCCCGTTAAAAATCACGCCCTCCTTGCCATTATCAGTGACCTGCTTCGGTGGCGACCCCGGGCTGGTCTTTACGTACACGTTATTTCTCCAAACGTAGGCCTGAAATATAATAAAAACGCAAACACATGGTTCAGACAAAGAATTCCTTTCTGACTTCTGAACAAACCCATTTCCGACCCTTTTTTTTTTTGCTCTGCTTGAGTGTTTGGAAAAGGTTGTACCCGAAGCCCTCATCCATCAGCCGAACTGTCACTCAGAGGTAAGAACATACAACCGATGATTTTCCTGTCCACTCTTACCAGTTTGTTTCCTGCAGGAGCCCAGGCAAAGTACTGCACTTCATGAGGAATACCGGAGGATGTGAGAAATTTGCTGAGATGAAATGAAAAAAAAGTCGACGTTTGAATTCATAGGAGGCAGAAAATAAGATATTTGGATGCAGAAATTCAACGTTAAGAGGGTTACCTTGTCTTCAGGTCATAAAGTGTGTATGTAGCTGTGAATGAATGTCTCCAAATCTGAAGGATCAAAAAAAAAAACTCATAAGTTTTGTCTTTAAATGTGTGAAATGTTTCATCTCAACCTTACCTTAGAATAGTTGCTCATGAATGCAACGTGTGTATGGTCTGCAGACAGCTGGTAATCATAGGCGCCTGCTTGATTCTATTCAGGAAATAAGAAAATTGTTGGTGCCCTGTTGTGTAGATGTTTGTTTGATACATTCTTTTTGGTGGACGCACAAAGAGAAAATTAACTTACGAACAAGTCTTGGCTCAAAAACTCTTTGATCTCTCCCGTGTTACAGTTTTGGCGTTGGATTGCACCTTGGGACTTGAACAGAAACTCATTGTCTGGGAATGAGGAACAGAAAAATGAAAGTTATCACATGCAACATTGTGGGCTGAATCATGAATTCCTCATTTTCACTACCAAGTTTAAATTACCTGGAATTTACATTAGACATCTAAGTACTACCATTCCTATCTGCACGAGAACATATCTTTGCTATTTGCAGAGGTGGGGGCTTGACGACTCGACTTGGACTTGAGTCCCGTTTTTGACTTGCTTGATGAATCAAGAAATGACTTGGACTTGCTTGAGACTTGATTGCTAAAGACTTGAGACTTGACTTGACTTGACTTGAGCCCAGTGACTTGAAAAGTCTTTTCAAGTCTTTTCAAGTCACTTAATACCTTACAGCCCAAACCGTTTAAAAAGTGTTGCATCAACTAATAGTCAGGAATTACGGCCGTTGGTAACACCGTGTTGTTTTTGGCTTGTTTCTGGAGGTCTGTTTCCATATTTCTCTCACGAAACTTGGCAACACTGTCTCAAACTCTAGCCTCCCTCATAACGACAACACCGGGAGGACTGAACATAAATCGCTCGCTAGTATTGCCCGCCTGTTTCCACGCGTTGCCTTGTGTCTCTCTTTTGTTTTGGAACAGTGAATTAGAGTATCAGTTTAATGTTTAATTGTATTTGAGTCTTCCTTATTTAAGTTTCCAATTATTGAAGTTTATCTGATTATTTTTTGTATGACATGTAAAATAGTTTGGTTAAAGCTGCACTATGTAACTTCACACAAACAAGAACCCTTGTTTAATAATAAATGCAAACAGTGAAAAATGCTCATGATTTATGTAAATCTTTACATATAACAAATGGTTTATGGCTTTGATATGACTTGTTTTTGACTTGAACGAAACGGTAAGGACTTGGACTTGACTTGAGACTTGAGAACGAAGACTTGAGACTCGACTTGGACTTGAACATAAGGACTTTCCCCCACCTCTGGCTATCTGTGTTACAGAAAAGTCAAGGGATCATAAAGGCATTTGGAAACTTCCTCTTGGGACCATGACAAGGATTTTTGCACTTTTATTCTGTCCTGTAGATATTTAGAAATGTTCAAGAGGAGTAGAAACTCAAATTTGTGTTTTGTTTTACAGAAAAGCCAGGGGTATATCTTCAGATAACCTATAATCTGCCAATCAAAACTGAAGATACTTTGAGATAAGTAGAATATTTAGCACACTAGAGTAACTTTAGGTGGTTTACAAATGACATACTAGAAATGTTGGTGTTGTAATTAATCCTGTGATTGTTATCGATCACGTCACTCCCTTTTTATACCTAACTCTGCTGATAAACTGAGTCTCACCTGAGAGCCACCTCAAACTGAAGGACTTTGGTTTCAGCGTACTGTTGAAGGCGTCCTCCAGAGAGAACAACTTCTTATTCGTGTTCTCCTTGTCCTCTGAAACACATGTTCAATTTGAAAGGTCAGGGGTCAGAGGGATAAAACCTGTTAACACTCACATCATTATAATCATAAAGGGGGAGATAAGTGCCACACGGGCTGATAATGACATGTGGAATAAAGCTTACGTCTGTGGGTTAGGGGGTAATTATGGAAATGTTTACTGAGAGAGGATGAAGCTGTTCAGAGGTATGTGCATGTCGTGATAGAAAAGAAAGGGAAACCGTGACGTACAAATATACATTATGAATCATTTGAGCTTTTTTTATGAACTTGAAATGGTGCATTTTAAAAGTGATCCGTGCGTAATGACGCGTGCGCAACTTTCTTTCAGTTCACCGTGCGTCAAATAATGCACAACTAACGCCAATATGGGAATCATCGATCAAGAGCACAAACTCACCCTTTAAAAACACAGCTGTGGGCACCGCTATCAAAACGACGACCACTGTCACCCCGAAGAGTCCGAGGAGCACCTTAGCGATGGAAACCTGGTGACACAGACAGAAGGAGGATGAAAATCAGCTCCCTGTGAGGAGGAAAATCCCCCAACTTTACATCGACATGTGAGTATCAACAAACAAACACCAACCATTGTGCCTGCGTTTAGCTGGAGCGTGAAATATCCAATGACCGTCCAAATCACAACTCCATCGATCCACACGCGCAGAGGAACGCCAAAGTTGTGCGTAACGCTGTCTGAGCTGTTAAATATTATCTTTACTGAGGTTTCAAAGGTGGGACGATAAAAGTGCAGCGGAGTAAAGTTCGTCAGTCAGTGTTGAAGCGGTTACAGTGTTTTGAGGAAGTGTTGCGCCTGCTTGTCAGCCTGTTCCCTAAACTGTCCTCTGCCCAAGACGTCCACAAGTCATTCATTCATGACTCACGTTCAGGCAAAGTCGGTCTGAGAGCATTTTCAAGATGGTTATCTCTTTGAAACACACCGAGCTCTTACATATTTTTACAGTTATTCTACTTGGAAACAGCAAATATTATCAGACAGGAGGTTTTTTAAGGGTCAGCAGCTTAAGGGGAAGTATCTGGAATTAGAAAGTTAAATGGTCTTGTTTAACAGGGAGTTTTATTGTTGTGAAAAGCGTGAAATTGTTGTAATGCAGCGACGCTGTAAGCAGCCTTTCATATGTGTCGAATCAACTTGAAGCTGTGACTCATAATACTCTGGTGCCTTCAATAAAAAAGGAACAAACGTAGTAATCGAGGCTTTTGTCGAGGTAATATCTTAGAAAGTACATATTAGAGGCAGTTACCATCATACAATAAGGCATCAGCTTCAGTAAAGTGCCACATAATTCAAAGTAAGACATGGAGCATTGTTAAAAGTCTTATTGGACTTGAAAGCAGTGCAATGCAGGTAGAGAAATGTGAGCAATACATGGATGGAAATGATTTAACCAGGCATGCAAATGTGTAACAAAAAGTACAGAAAAGACAATGGACTCTGAATGGGCCGAATCATGAATTCCTGATTCTCACTACCAGGTTTAAGTTACTTTAAGTTTATACTAGAAATCTAAGTACTTTTGATTCACAGTTTAAAATAAGTAAGCAGCAACTTTGACCTTGTAATGACACCAAGAAAAGGCAGGGAACCATGTAAACCAAATGCCGTTGACTCTCTTTCCCAACACCGAACTATTTTTACCTCCGCCAAGGAGGTTATGTTTTTGGTAGCGTTTGTTTGTTTGTTTGTTTGTTTGTCTGTTTGTTTGTCTGTTAGCAACTTTACGGAGAAAGTAACAGACAGATTGACCTGAAATTTTCACCAGAGGTGCGTCTCAGCCCCAGGAGGATCCCATTACATTTTGGTGGTGATCCGGACAAAATTCTGGGAACTGTGATACAGAACACACAAAAATAAGGGTGTTGTTGGAATTTTCAATGCTGAAAGATAACCAATGGGCGGCACAGTGGTGTAGATAGGCGGTACAGTGGTGTAGTGGTTAGCACTGTCGCCTCACAGCAAGAAGGTCCTGGGTTTGAATCCTGGTCAGGGCATTTCTTCTTTTAGGAACATTATGAACAGTGAACATACCAGTTTAAACACAAATAAAAGTTAATAAAAGACACGTAACAGTAAAAGTTTTGCTGTGAATCACAATATAAGGGGGGACATGAGCTGCTTGGCGGAGGTCTGCGCTCTCCGAGTGCTTTTCAAGTTTCTGCGATATTTCCAGGACCTTAGCTTCATGTTAAAGGAAGAACCAAGGACACAAAAGTCATGAGGGTACAGGTAACCATGACTGATGGTCTAAAATCTGGTGACAATCTTTACAGGAGAGAGATGCTTCTTGGACTAAGTTGACATGTGACTGAGTTTACAGGAAAAGTCAGGGTCATGTTTGTCATTGGGGTCCTATCTGCATAGAGGTTGGTTGAGAAATTTTCAGAAGAAGCGAGAACATAAACTTTGCCATTTAGTCAAGGGATCATAAAGGCATTTGGAAACTTCCTCTGGGAACCATGACAAGGATTTTTGCACTTTTATTCTGGGATACATGGACTGAAATGATTTAAACAAGTATGCAAATTACCCTGAATATAGTTTCAAGTGGAGTCATTATTAAGTAGTGAGATGTGTAAGAAAAAGTACAGAGAAGAAAACTGACTTTCTGCTTCTTGTTATTGAAAAGTATGTCCACTAAGTTGTAAACCAAACTAATCCACAGGCCTTTATACTCAGCTTTTACTGCTGTAAGATATGACCTACAGCTTGTCACAGCTAAAAGTATAACTAGCATTTCTGTCACTTCTTAACTGTAATTTAACAATTACCATTATCCTGTAAATGCCCCCTGCAGCTACAGAGGCTGCTGGTCAGCAAAACATAGACGAGCCGAGTCTTAACTCAAAGCTGCATGACTGTAGAGAGAGCAAATCATCTTTACAACTCATTGGTCCACTTCTCTAAATTTCTAACCTCTCCTGTCACGTAGACATGATATGTTCCGCTATTACAGCCCACGAATACCTCAGTTAGCTTCACATATTTGCAAAATGACTGATAGCGGAAGGCTTAATGAAGTGTCTGCCATAAATGCCCTGCTCTGTATTGACATAATCATTAATATCTGTTTATTTCCTGTTTCAGTCGTGTTCCCGAAGGCAGCGTGGGAATGGTGACGTTAACTGAATCACTCAAAGGTGGAAACTTCAAAGGTAAAAATGCAACCTTCACATTTTGTCAGAGTGGCTGAAGAGCTGTTAATAATAAGTGTTTTTGAAAGAGTTATTCAGAAACAGGAGAGTATTTTAGTTCATGTTGCAACAGACTGAGGAAGTGTCTCTCTGTACATACTGTAAATGCTAAAAGCCTGTTAAAAGCAGAACAAATAAAAGCGTGTGCCTTTATGGGGAATAGGCATCATATTGTGCACTCGTTCCCCTCACACCGGACATCCTCGTCAAACAAACAGACACTGCACGTCTCCTCTAATGCAGCACGGTTTGTTTGAAGAGCGTCACTTCATAGGTGTCTCCATTTACTTGACACTTAAGGCGAGTGAAATCGTTTACAGGTGTCACTGAACACATTTGGTGTTACTGGACTGAGTGGAGAAAAACAGGGTGAATGAAAGGGAAAGGAAACAGCAAAGAGGGAGTGATTGAAAGTAAGTGAAAATCATCCTAATAAATGAATTTCTGCTGTAACTCTTCATAATTTGGTAATTAAAGCTGCTGTAAGGAAATTTAGTTTGTGTTGAATCTGGCGCCCCCCAGTGGCAAAGTGATATCTCTTGCTGATTTTGTTTAATGTGTATTTTTTTGTATTATTTTAAATCAGCTTCATACCCATCTGAAAATCCCTCACAGGAGCTTTAATCATTCAAAAACTTAGACACGTTTTAATTAAAAATGACATTAAACATCAACATTTTAAAAGATGTGTCATTTCAAGATCAAACCACTTATCCTGTATGAATATCGTTATTAATTAGCAACTTGTCAAACACTAATATTTCCATAAAGACCCACTTTAAGGGAAATGTTTAACAGTCCCAATGGGACCAAGGTCGAGTGTCCATCATTCATCATACTTAAAGCAGACAGCAGTATTTATCTCCTTTGACCGATGCAGGATATTAGCACTAAAAAGTCTCACTTCTTTGACCACATCTTCATGGGAAAACATTCAGTGTTTACTCCTAAGATAAATAGAAGTGCCTGGTTTTGATTTCAGCAGATGTTTAGTAAGTGTCAGGACTGTGATCGCATTCTTGGCTCAGGTTGAGTGGCGTCAGCGTTCGGGAGTTATTGTTTGGAGAAGTGTGAGGAGATCGCTGGCGTTGGAAATGGGTCAGAGAAGCTTCTACTTTATAGCTGTGTGTGAGAGAGAGAGCGTAATAGGGTGTACCAGCAGCTGAGGTCACTGCCAGCACAGACACTTTTTCCACTCTCCTGCTTCAGTAATTTAAAAAATATTTAATTCAACTGTAAAGTCCGTCCTTGTATTCAAAGTTCTCGTTGTTGACAGAGAAAGAGGTGAAAATACTTCACTACATTTATTAAAGCTCCTGTGAGGAACTTTTGACACTTATGAAACAGATTGAAATCCATACTTGTGCTTATTCATAATATACAAAAGCAAACAAGACCATCAGCAGCAAGACTGAAAAATTCTTGAATGTGAATCAAAGTGAGAGCGAATACTCTCAAAAAAAGAAAAAAGAAAAAGAAGTGATACATTAAAAAAGAGAAAAATAAAAGAGGAAGAAGAAGTTTCTTCAATGACACATTGTGCACCATTCATGTCTCTAAATTTAACTAAACTATAGTACTATGGACTATAGTTCGGTAATCTGGTCCAATACATCACAAGAAAATATAAATAAGTTACAAACTGTACAAAACAGAGCAGCAAGAACAGCTCTGAATTACAATTATAGAACAAATACCACAGTCATGTATAACTGTCTGGGCTGGTTATCAGTTAAAAAGAGATTATTGTATTCATTGCTAGTGTTCTTTCAAAACAGTCTGATAACTAAAAACCCAACAGTTTTGTATAAAAATGTAAATTTTAGTTCTGGTAAACGTAGCTACATCACCAGACATGCGACTAGTGGAGAATTTACGCTACCCAAAACAAAAACAAACATAATAAAGCGGACGGTTACGTACAGAGCCATGCAAGTATGGAACAAATTACCAGAAAACATTAAAAATTAAAACATTAAACAAGAAGATAGTAAAATCATTTTTAAAAACTAAGTCAAGAAACACCTTTTCTCAACAGAAATTTTAAATTTAATATTTAGATGGCAAGTAACGTGTGTGTTTGTATGTATATGTGAGTACATATATACTGTATGTATATATATGTATATATTGTACTTACAGGATATGTAGATACTTTACATGACTGCAGACTCGGGAGCTATCTGTTATTGTTTATGTATTGTTGTATTGTGTACTTGTATGTATTCTGTTTGTTTATATTTTTGTGTTTATTTTATGTATTATTATTATTTAATTTAATTAAATTTAATTTAATTTTATTTTATTTTATTTTATTTTATTTATTTATTTTTTCACATGGAGTATATTATATATATCAGATATTTGCATTGATTTATTGTGAGTTGGTTTAAGGACCCCAGGAAGAATAGCTTAGGCCCGGCCAAGGCTAATGGGGATCCCAAATAAATCAAATCAAATCAAATTTGATGTTCCAAAATCAGCTGGATTCGATTAGTTTGCCGTGTAGCAGCTGTGATATGGTCATTCAGGGGCACACAGGGTGGAGGGTTCACATCCAGTTTATTCTATAAGAGCAGCACAGGGGCAGTCCGTTCACACACTCACAGAGCAGGTTACTCTCTATCTCTACCATTCAGTAGTTATTGTGGTTTTCTAAAGTTTGTCCACAGCTCCATAAGCTTTGCTGGCGGAGGCGGGATTTATGACCTATACTGCAGCCCATCAACAGAGGGTGCTGTTCTCAGAGTGGCTTCACCCAGAGAGGAGGCAGACTCTGTCCATTCTATATACAGTCTATGCCTCTAATCTGTCCTACAAAACAACTACATTTCCCACAATTAATAGTAATAATTGAATTTTAAAAATGTGCTCCTCGAGGGATGCTGTAGCATAACTTTTACTATGTGTCGCTAAACTGGTTGTTTCTACTTCATATGTTGTTAAGTCAATTAGTTAGGGTATAGAAATAAAAACAGAATAAGCGACAATAATGTGATTTATATTTATAGACCTGTACGCTGTTTTGGGATTTATTGGATGGTTTGACCTTTTGCATTTCGAGGCTTATCAAAATAATCCAACCACCAGCAGTATTTGGTTAGTGGGACTGCTGACAACTCAAACACATGACGGGTGACTTAGGAACTCAACTATTTACTTTCCGTCTTTCTGTGAGGAGTAACAAGCTGATAACACTGCAAAGCTCCAGCTTGAGCTTGTAGTTGAACTGTGCATTATCCTAATAACATATATTGATCTGTAGCTTTCTATACCAAAGCACAGTGCCAGTCTATCACATTCAGATTTCACTGTTGGTGTTTGTTGGTTAGAAAGTAAACGTTTCCTGCTACATGCATTTGATGAAGTTAAAGTCATGAGACCTGCAAAGTTCAGCAGGAAGCTGCTGCGTCCTCTGCACTTTTTACCACCCACGCTGACCTCAACCTGCTCCCTCTGCAACCCAATACATGTCTTTTCTTCTGAATTTACTCAGCACTTCCTTTGACTTTCACTGAGGGGGTGGAAAAAACGGTGCAGATGTGGCTTTTCTAATTACTTTCACTCCTGTGGATTCTCACTTTGCTTTTGTTAACATCCAAAGTATTTTATTTGGAGCATTTTTGCATAAAGAAAGGCACTGAAACTTTTATATTGTGCGTCAGATTTACTCTTTTAAGTTCTTGTATTGCAGTTGGCCTTTCGCCTACTTCGGTTTTAATTTCTTGGCGTGGGAAAAACTCTCAACACCGCCATCTAGTGTTAAAAAAACGCCCCGCAGGGAAGCTTGAAATTGAACCGGATCTTTAACTTGGTAAAACAAATCATATCGAAACGATTGTGAGATCGGTTTTGCTGTGATCTTTTGGTATTTATTAAACATGGAAAAAACATGAAAATAAGGTCGAAAGGAAAGCGCAGGGGAAATACTTCACTGATGCGTTAAAATCATGGGAAAACGGAGCTTCTCGAACTTTCTGGCTTTAACTATGTACGACTTTGTACCATTTTTTTTTATTTTTACATCTTAAAGATATATTCAAAGATATATTTTACTATAACTAATTCTATCTTTGTATTATTTATTAAATATTTCAAAAACTTTGATCGCATCTTTAAGGAATCTTGAATATCCGAGGAGTTCATGAATGCAGCGTAACGACATCTCAAATATTAAGTGGGCGGGTTCTTTACCCTCATCTACGCTCATTGGTCATCTGCCTAATCAATCAGTGGACTTCCGACAAGTCCCACTCGTTCGGATGTGATGTAGCAACTGTTCAGACTTGTCGGAAGTTATAACCGTGTAGCGAAGTGAACGCTAATTAGCGAGTTAAACAGAAAACCTGTGAGATTTTACTCCTTTTATTGAACAAATGGCTTATCCAGGATACGGCGGGGTGAGTGAATGTTCCTAAAATTGTGTATTTAAAGCGGTTAAGTAGCTGAAGGATTCACAGTTCGAGTGAATTTCCGATAACTTGTCACAAGATGTTCTCTCCTCGACAGGTTTCTCCCACTTCTGCTTCTAAATGTGGAGTTTAGTGACTTTTTGGGCTTTATTTTTGTCTTAAGAGTCATGTTATAAAACTGTGAGGAAAAAGTCTTTCTGTGTTTGATACGTGCTTTAACTTGTTCCTGATTCTTTAAAAATGGGCTTTAGCTGCTGTATCTAAAGCGTAAATAACCTATTTTAATATTTACACATGGTTTCATAGACTTACCCGCTATTATTATACTATTTGAGACATTACAGGCCAATTGACTGTAAGAAGTCACAGCTGTTGAAACTTTAATTATTACGTGACCTGTGTGACCTGTGGACACACCTTACTTTATTTATAACCTTCTGACCTTCTCCCTGAAAAGAAAACACATAATAGGAGCTTTATGGCAGCTCCTGCATGACTGTATTTGTCAGATCACACTTTGAGTTTTCTCTTCTTCTCTTCTTCAAGTCTGAACACACTGAGGAATGTTAATACATTTGATTATCTAAAGAGCCTCTTAATCCAAACTGCCTGTCATCTCCTCTCTCATCTCCTCTCTCCTCAGTATGGGGGTCCCATGCCAGGCATGCCAGCGCAAGGGATGCCGCCCCAGGGAATGCCAGGAGGACCCATGGGAGGCCCCATGCCCGGACACATGGGAGGCGCCCCACCTCAAGGAGGCTATGCCCCGTACGGAGGGGGCTTCCCGGGTGGCATGCCCGGATATGGAGGCGCACCTCCAGCTGCAAACGATCCAATGTGGGGTTACTTCACCGCCATAGCAGGCCAGGTAGGTGTAGAGTCAACTTTGTGAAGGAGATCTCGTTGACTATGATACTGTCCAACCAGGAAGAGAAAAGGACCGTTACATGACTCACCTTCTCTGTGTTGAAATCTTGATCTCGTATATTACACCCTAAAGCCTAAATTACTGCAGAGGTGCTTTCACTTTCACATTTCAAGTTCAGACTGAGTGCGACATACTCACCTGATTTCAGTCACATCATGGTGAAGAGAGTTTAGGTCTGAACTTGTTTGGAGAAGAGTGTGTATTAGGTCTCTGTGTGAACTTGTTTTGCATCTGTGGTCCCCAGTGTGAACAACAGTTTTCAGCCTTTGCCAGTTTGTAATCATACTTCCATATTTTACTCAGTTGTTCTGTTCTTGGGTCCAGATTCACAAACGTACTAAAACAGGACCCTACATGGACATCTGATCAGAATTAGAAATACTTTGATTTCCTTGGGGGAGACTAATTCAGGGTCAGAGTGAAGCATTCAGGGTGTCAGTGCCTTGCTGTCATGTTGCTTGTGTGTCCCTTTGGGCAGTTTAAGCTGTTAACGCTAATGAAGTCTGTCATTAGCATATCCTCTCCGCAAAACCAGTTAGTGTTTACGGTACGCTAATGAGCTTACACACACATGCATAAGCTGAAAAAACTCCCCTGTTCGAACAGCCTGCAGCAGTAACACTCAAAATAAAAAAGTTATGTTTTATTTTGTCTCTAAATTGTTTTGTTTTTTTCTCAATGAGAGTGACTAACTCTGTTTTTCTGCTCTGTCCAGGATGGTGAGGTCGACGCCGAGGAGCTCCAGAGGTGTCTGACCCAGTCTGGTTTCACCGGCAGCTACACTCGTAAGTTCCCCTCCCTCTCCCCTCACAAAGAAAATATCTAACTCTTGAGTCACACCTCTCCTAAGAGTTAACTTACACAGGTAGTCGGGGGTTGAACTGTTTCAACGCACATGCATTTAAAGTGAAAAGAGATCATGGAAACTTTTGGAGTGGCTGAGTCTCGGAGGATTTGTGAAACTGTCATTGTGAAAGGCAGCGTTTGCAGATGGCCACTTCGTTTTTCTTGTGAAGTGGTTTTGAACTTGACACTCTCATGGGGGGGTTTCCTTTTAGGGGAAGGGGAAGTGGGCGAGGTCGTACAAACCAGTGAAATACCTGCAGCGATTGACCGACCAGTCTGTGTCAATCATCGTGAAATGACGGAGAAAAGCTTCGAGTTTTGTTCGACAAATTACAAACATGGAATTAAAGTGAAACTGCCTGGAACATCATACTTTGATCATTGTTTACCGTATATTTCGCACTATAAGGCGGATTTAAAATCCTTTAATTTTCTCAAAAATCCTGAGTGCGCCTTATGTATGAATTTTGGTTGTGCTTACTGACCTCGAACCGGTTTTATGTGGTACACAGCGCTCAAAAATCTGTCAAAATGTTTTATTACAACTTCGGTAAGATACAAAGCCGCACAGCCTGATGGCTTGTCGGAGCGCTGTAGCTACCGTCGCCTCGTGGAGTTATTGAATGAGTTCAATAAAGTTTGACTTATCTCACTGCTTTGTTTGGCTTAATGAGCTTTATAATCCGGTACGATTTATGTATGAAAATAGATGTGAATAGATGCGTTCATTGATGGTGCGCCTTATAATCAGATGTGCCTTATAACCCAATGCGCTTTATAATCTGGTGCGATTTATGTTTGAAAATCGATGCGAACAGACACGTTCATTGATGGTGCGCTTTTTAATCCGGTGCGCTTTAAAATCTGATGCGATTTATGTATGAAAATAGATCGTATAGACGCGTTCATTGATCGTGTGCTTTATAATCCGGTGCGCTTTATAATCTGGTGCGCCTTACATATGAAAATAGACACAAATAGATGCGTTCATTGATGGTGCGCCTTTTAATCAGGTGTGCTTTATAATCCAGTGCACTTTATAATCTGGTGCGACTTATGTTTGAAAATAGAAGCGAACCGACGCTTTTATTGATAGTTCGCTTTATAATCCGGTGCGCCTTATGTATGAAAATAGACGCGTTCATTGATGCGTTCATTGATGGTGCACCTTATAATCTGGTGCGCTTTTTAATCCGGTGCGCTTTTTAATCCGGTGCGCTTACGTACGAAAATAGAATCTGGTGTGCCTTATAATCTGGTGCACTTTATGTATGAAAATAGACGCGAATACATGCGTTCATTGATGGTGCGCTTTTAAATCCAGTGCGCCTCATAGTGCGAAAAACACGGTATTGATTCTTCACCTGGCTGTCATAGCAACCTTCCTGTGTCACTCACTCACTCAGCCTGTCGGGTAAAAACTCTAACTGCTGGGTTAATGCCTCAAGATACAGGAGCAGGTTGAGCAGCACCAGGTCCTCCACCATCCTTACTTTTCACTCGATTCGTGACTCAAAGACACGGCTGCATCCGGCTGGATTTGATATTTAACATGTTTGTTGTCCTCACAGCCTTCAGCCTGGAGACGTGCAGGATCATGATCGCGATGCTGGACGTATCCTTTCTGTCACACCGTGAGCTTGAGTCACTCAGAGCTGGCTGACTCACTCTCTCCAACTCTCCATTCAGTGAGATTTGTTTACAGTAGGTGTGGTTTCACTCTAAACCAGCTGAGCAGGCTTTCGCTCACACTGCATGGACGCTGGTCAGCGGTTGTTAAACCTTAACCAGGCCTCCACTAGAGGGACTTCACAGGGAAGATGGGATTCAACGAGTTCAAGGACCTTTTCCAGGCCCTGAACGGGTGGAAGCAGAACTTCATGATGTTTGACCGGGACCGAAGCGGGACTGTGGAGCCTCACGAGATGAATCAGGCTGTCAACGCGATGGGTGAGACAGAGATGCTTTTGAAAGCCTGATGATCGTATTTCACTGAATATTTGACCGGAGAAGTTTAACCGGGTGACCTTTCCTCCCCAGGTTACCGCGTCAGTCCCCAGGTTCTCAACACCATCGTGAAACGCTACAGCAAAGGAGGCAGGATCTTCTTCGACGACTACGTGGCCTGCTGTGTCAAACTGAGAGCTCTCACAGGTAGATTCAGGCAGACACAAACTGAAATTCCACCTGAACAAAGAAAACATGATTGTTGGTTCTGCTGGTTTCTGTTGTGGGGTAAGCTTTATTGGCTTTTTCCGTTCTAGACAACTTCAGACGGAGAGACACCATGGGTCAGGGAGCCGTCACTTTCCAGTATGATGATGTAAGTCCTGTTTTCTCCTCTGACTTTAGCGCCTGTGTCCACTGATGGTTAGGTTGTCTTGAATTTGATTGTCTACAGTCCCAGCGTGCTGCTAATCCGCCTGATTTGGAGCTCTTTCACTCGCCCTGTGGTTTTGAAAGTCTGCTTCCTGTTTAGACCACTTGTCAGTTGACGCTCTCCCTCCCCTCCCTCTTTATCTCCTGCGAACAGTTCATCATGTGCACGATGGCGATCTAAAGAGCTGCTGCGTGCCCCACACCACAAGGTCAGGGTGTCAAACGAACCAATCAGAGGTGGATTCTGGACCACCTCACAGGAATGCAAAGGGAGGCCAGTATGTTGGACTGAGCCGCTCTGAGCTGCTGTAGGAAAGTACCCGGCGCTTGTAATGCTTAATGTAATGCTTTAGTGTTGCTGAAGATGTATCAGGTGTACACACACTTACTAATATAGAAACGCATCATGTATCCAACCCGGAGGACATTTTTGTGCATTTCGGGGACTTTAAAGACCTGATGAGCTCAATTTCTGCTTTCAAAATAAAATTCAGGGATAGAATTAGAGTCAGAAACATTCAAACAAAATCTGTAAACACGTAAAAAACTACACACGGGGGCTTTAACAGGGAGGGTTGTGGATTTCATTTGCTAGATTGAATCAAACGTCCAGCATGTGTTGAATTGATAATCAAAGAATCATAAAACCAGTGATACACCTCTGTGCCATTATAGTCTCTGAATGTATTGTCTAATATATTAAAAACATACAATCAGGTCCTCAAATTTTGGGACATCTGCACACGTCTCATCTTTCTGACTGTAAACACCACCACGATGGATTTATACTGAAACAAACAAGATGTGCTTTGACTGCAGACATGTTTCAAATCTCCTGTGGTGGTGTTTACAGCCAGAAAGAGGAGTATTGTGCTGGCGTCCCAATATTTCTAGACCTGACTGTATAACTATATAACCATGTATGAGTAAACATCATAATATTCTTGTACACTGAATCTCATACAATCATAATGTTGTTAAAGCCAGTACTTTTTCTCATGTGCATTATTTGTAACGGTGATTTTTATTTTTTTGCACCCATTTTTATAAACCTTGTATTGAGCCTGATTCTAGATCATTACAGACACATATTAGTTTGATGTTTAACATGCTAACACACCAAAGTAACTGTGAGCGGATATAAAACCACACTGATACCTGTTATTAATATGTTCATATTTTCATTTAAAAACAGCTGGTTTTGCACTTTTAGGATTTTAGTGAATTCCACCTCTTCATATAACCGATGTTGTAGTACAGATCATATTTTGTTACTCACAATAAACACTTTTTTAAACCAGAATATTATTTGCTTGTTTATTTAGTGACATTTTAAAATCTGAATAATTGAATAAGCTGTAGTTGTATATCTATTTAAAAGTATTTAAAAATGTGAATGAAAGTTAATGAGAGAGTGGAACGCCTCCGGGTTTGAGGGGAATTCTTTCAGTTCAGTCAGCAGCTTTGACGAAGAAACAGCGCACCCCTGTGGGCAGAGGTCGTAACTGCGGGCACCACTGTAGTAAACGCTGAAGAGAGACTCTGGAAGCCTGCTTCATGTTAGAAAGTCAAGCTGAAAGTTAAGGAAAGGTAAAAATACCAGTTTTTAAGCTTTTTATCATGCTACGTAAAGCTTTATTGTAGTTTTGATTATTTAGCACTCTAGACACCTCCTCCATTGTTGCAGTGCTGTACAGTTTAGGTTGAGCACAACTTTATAGTTATATATTAACCATCTGAACTAATATTGTGGCTTTGTATGATTTTCAGCCCCAGCACTCCAGAACACAGGTGTCAAACTTAAGGCTCTGGGACCAAATCTGGCCCGTGGAACAATTATATCTGGCCCACAAGATCATATCCTATTTGTATTATTATTGGCCCACCAGTATAAGGTCTGCAGATTTCCTCCAGTATAATAACGTAAACTTTTTGCATCTCAAGATTACAAGCCAAACATGATTGGATATTTTATTTCATGCTTTGATTTGTTTAACTCGGTATTTAGACTGTCATTTTTATACCTTAGATTCCAATTTTAAATTTTAAGTCATATTTTGACCTTTTAAACCTGATTTCAACGTTCTGCTCATGTATTTGCTCTTTAAATGCATTATTTTTCTATTTTTAATATCATGCTCTGATCTTTTAAACTAATAAATGAAATGAAATGCAAAGTGTAATTATAACATTTTAAAATAAACTGAAACTGAGATAAATAAAAATAGACTAAAAAATTAGAAAATTAGTATCTTTTTATCATGTTTGACTTAAGTAATTCCCAACAAATGACATGTTTTCAAGATTTGGTGAAAATTTGCTTCATTCTGTTTCTTTTCAAACTGTTGTTTAGAGACATACTTATGTTAGTGTGAATTTCTCTTTGACATGTACAGTAGTTTGATGTTCATACAGCATGTATTATTTTTGCTTTTACAGAGAGTTAAGGCCAATGCTTTCAAGTGTAAAAAAATATTAAAGGTATATGTAGAGCCATTCTTAACATTAGGGGGGAATAAGAGGATGAATCCGCAAAAATAAGAGTGACGGTTAGTGAAAGTAAATGTATGTGGAAGACTTTGACTGATAAAGTTTATGTAAGTGGTAAAGGACAAAAGTTTACTAAAATCCCAGAAACTTGTTTCAAATGAGCGGCAAGCTCAGCTGATTAACTTTTCTCCTCCCAAAATTTAATTTCTTTTTTATATTCCTTTAATTTATCATTTAAAAATTTTTGGACTAAATTAAATAAGCAGTCTTACAGTAAAAAACAGGAACATCATGCTAATAATAATACATTTTCATCTTTAAATCTTGAATTCCAGCTGTAAACTCTGGTGGTTTCTAAAAAGAAAAAACTCAAGCAAATATAAGTGATAAAAATGTCCTTCTATATGGTAATTGGTATAGAAATCTGAGGAAGTGATGACTAATCATCACTTCCAATGATGAACAATTCTGATCGTTACTAATACTCTCAAGCCATGAGCTGGTATCAAACCAGGCCCCATTGGGTGCCAATAGACTTCCATGCAGGGCCATGGGATAGGATCCACACTAGGGCATGCAGAATGCCCGCTTTTATCTTCTTAGAGATTAGAGAGAGTTAAATAGGAAAAACACGGACGTACCCTGTGCGTCCCCATGGCTCAGAGGATAAGAAGACTGACTAGTGCTCCTGAGGTTGTGTGTTCAAGCCCAACCTTATCCAGGTCTAGGAGAATTTTAAAGTCTCGGAGCCAAAGTAGCAAGGTAAAAGGGCGCCCAGCTCCTACCTAAGTGTGGATCGTATCTTGTAGCATGTGTGTTAGTCAATTGACTCTCAATGTGTGGACCCCGGTTCGATTTCAGTTAGTGACGGGGTAGTTAAAAGTAATGAAATGATGAAAATTTCCTTCTATACCGTAATCGGTATAGACTCCTGAAGAAGTGATGATTCACTTCTAATGATGGCTAATTGTGATCGTTACTAATACTCTCCAGCCATGAGCTGGTATCAAACCAGGCCCCATTGGGTGCCAATAGACTTCCATGCAGGGCCATTAGATAGGATCCACACTAGGGCATGCGGAATGCCCGCTTTTATCTTCTTACTTTGGCTAAAGGACTTTTAAAAATTCAACTAGATGTAGATAAGGTGAGATTTGAACCCACAGCCTCAAGAGTCTCAGCCAGTCTTCTTATCCTCTGAGCCATGTAGACACATAGAGTACAACCGGGTTGTTCCTATTTAACTCTCATTTCTAGATGCTAGACTTTAAATTTCACCTTGACCTGAATAAGGTAGGGCTCGAACCCACGACCTCAGGAGTCCCAGTCCATCGTCTTATCCTTTGAGCCATGTGGACACAGAGGGTGACTCCGGGTTTTTCCTATTTAACTCTCATTTCTAGACACTACACATTAAATTTCACCTCAACCTGAATAAGTTCGGGGCTTGAACCCACAACCTCAGGAGTCCCAGTCCGTCTTCTTATCCTCTGAGCCATTTGGATACACATGAGGAACCTGTTTGTGAAAGGTTTACACTCTCCTCTCCTCTCTACACTGGACTTTAAAATTCACCTGGACCTGGATAAGGGTTCCAACATTCAATGTCAGGAGTCTAAATAAGTCTTTTCCTCTCTGAGCCACAGAGACAGGTACAGGTCTAGGTTTTTAAAAGGATCTGACTTCTTTGTTGTCAAATCTCTGGAGAACGCTGTGAAGGAGGCCAAGGAGAACACCACAAGGGACTACTATATAAGAGGCGTGGTGACTTTCTCCCTCCCTTCCTGAACTTATCTGAACTATTTTAAATTTACTGCTTAATAAAAATATCACAGTATAGTATGATATTTAAATGTTATCGTAAAGAATGATAAAAAAAGTCATGGTATAGTATGTCAAAAATGTCATTATAATTTGGTGCGCCTTATGTATTAAAATAGACGCATTCATTGATGGCACGCCTTATAGTGCGAAAAATAATTTCAACAATTCCTGATTTATTTGCCTGAAACATTTGCGCAGGGACAGAAATGATTGAACAGAGCAGCCATGCTTTATTTCTCAGGACATTTAGACCAACAACAGCAGAAAAAAAAAAAAAAAAAGATTAAATTAAAGCTCTCAACCTAACAGTCAGGGACGATGACGGGCTGTAGACGGCTGCAAGTCCCCAAAATATACACAAGCTTGTTGTAGAGTCAACACTCAGTCACCAGTCTGAAGGTGGCTACACGAATCAGTCTGATACAGCAGAGAATCCTCCTCCTTCAGGTCTGCTGCATCAGCTTCAGGTAGGTGTGATAACTAGACTGGCTCCTGGTTGTATTTTAAGAATGGATAAATGTTCTCTGTACACACAAAGAGTTTAATTCACTTTAAGTCCAACTCACGGCCTGAAAGTTGGCATTTAAATCCCCAGACCAGCTGGGAAACTCCTGGCGTGGGTGAATGAATCCGTTTCCTTTGAGCAAGGCAGTGAAAACTAGATTAATATGGACACAAGACTGTCAGTTTTGAACTACGACTATTTCACTGTAAGGCTAAATGAAACGATTATTCAAAGACCAGCTTTATAATTTCTGCCTGATAGAGGATTTTTTTTTTCATGTCTAGAGTCAGAAAGGCCATGATGACGAGGAAATCCTCAGCAGAGAGAAGCTACAGTTCAACTAATGATGATTCCTGACTTCACACCGACAATAAGTTGTGATTTATAGTTTCTAACAGTGCTCAACAAATCCATATTTACAGTGTTGATCAGAGGATGATCTGTACAGACTAGTCAGTGAGGTGATGAGGAAGAAGAAGAAGAGAAATGTCAGAAATTAGTGAATCTCACAGGACAGAAAACGACTCAAGTCTGATTCTCCCTTTCATTCTTATTTTGTGTTTCGCTTCCTCTTTCCTCACACGGAGTCCAGCGCTCTCTCTCTACTGGAGCATGTCCACGAAGGCGTCAAACTCGTCGATGTTTTTCTCGTAGACGGCCAGTTTCTCTGGCAGAGAGTCCTGCAGGAAGAAAAGAGAAAAAAAATCAACATTAAGGGAAAGGTGGATGGATTTATTTTAACTAGGGCCCCGACCGATTTATCAACGAGCCGATTAAATCAGCCAATTTTAGCCCATTTGAGACTAATTGGTAAACGGCCAAAAATCGCGGATTTTCACCGATATTTTCAGAAATAAAATGTGGAGAATAAGGCCGTGTTCACGCCTAAAGGTCAGTTTCCTGATTCGAATCCAAGGCAAGACGATACATTTGTTTTGATTGTTTAACTGGTCTGGTTTGCGTTCACAAAGGACAAACTCAATCGCCCCAGAAAACGGAACAGGAAGTCATGTGACCCTGGGAAAACAAACCCCGCTCTGCTGTCTTCGCCCGTCATGGAGCATCGTAGACTGATTTTGCTTTTGCTACTCATCTGGAGCGCGTATAATCAGCAGTGGGCCCTAATTTGAACATAAGAGGACAGGAAAAAGAAAAAGTGTTACCAGGTCGTCGGCCATGGACTGTGAGCTGATGTGCAGAGAGAGGCTCGCCAGCTGTGGAGGGTTCTGAAACTCCCGGTAAAAAGTTCCCAAATCCATCGGCAGCAGGTCGTCTTTAGAGAAGGCTGGACGCTGCACAGAAGATGCAGAGATGTTAGTGTACAGGGGGAGTTTCACATCAACCATGTAAGATATTTAATTTCTAATGTATAAACGTACAAAGTCGATCATGACAAAGTCGTCCTGCGGTCCTGATCCTTCTGAGCCCTGAGAGTGGAGACTGGCCTGCAGGGGGGAGTGGCAGGGAGGAGAGTCTGGAGGCTGTACCTGAACAAACAAACAAACAAACAATCAATCAATCAATCTTTAGAATGCTGAATGAATAAAGACAAAAGTTTCTGCGGTGTGGAAAAGGGTCTGAAAACTGTCAGGTTACCATAGGATCATTCTCCTCCGAGTCCAAGCCTCGAGGAGCAAACGCAGCGAACGGGAGATCCAGACTGGCTGCTGTTATCTACACAAACACAAGAAACCAGGCAGCAAACTCAGCTCTAAAGTTCAGAGGCTTTTATGTTTCTTATTTACTGAAAGGTTTCTATGTTTCAGATCATGAAAGCTGCGTGGTAACTAAGGTGTGTGTTTGAGGTACCTGTGCGCTGGGTTTATTCACAAAAGCTCCGATCTTCCTCGTGAAGGCGTTTAGAGACTCCACAGGGTCGGAGGGAGAAGCACACCTCCGTCCTTCATCCCTACGCCCGTACCCGCTGTTTGACAGACCGTCATCATCACCGCTGAGGAGGGAAGAGACGATAGAAACTTTAATCAAAATCTGGACCTGGTGGCGCAGAGGTTCTCGGTTCAGACTCCTAAGATTTGGGATTCACAGTCTTGGTGCTGAGCTGAAATTACCTGCTGCCAGGTGTGTTGGGGGCGTGCTCTACTGTCAGATGGGCATCTGCTCCATGAGGAGGCTGCGCAGGAGCCAACACGACCCCGCCTTCTTTCCCAGCATGCAACACCTTCAGAAAGACCACACATAGGCCTGTCACGATAACAAATTTTGCTGGACGATAATTGTGCTACAAATTATCACCGATAAACGATATTATTGACACCATTTTTTAAATTATAGATAATGATATTATATGGCATAATAATGCGAGTACACCATGTCAAAAGTGATAAACTTTAATTTCCACACGAGAACAACACTGGTTGTTTTCGTTGACTAAAATATTTCCCTTTTCTCCCACGACGAAGACGTAACGTTGACGAGCTAAACATAAGTCGGAGATGACTAAAATGTGACGAGACAAAAGTGCGTTTACGTTGATGGACAGACGAAAATGACGAACAGAGTTGCAAAACTCAGTCAGTTAAACGCTAAACATATAGGAGCAGCTTCAGTCCGCTCTGACAGCTCTCATCAGCCTGCTGTGCTCCTCCAACACACAGACACACACACGCACGCGCGCACGCACACACGTGGAGTTTTGTGGTTGACGAAAACAAAACTGGTTTAAAGCCGAAATATTCCCACACTTGGGCTGTTGCGTTCGGTTTAGACACCAAAGCTGTCGTGTTCATTCTGTTAGCTTGCTTTTCACTCACGACGCTCACTTGCAGCACTGTATCCAAAAAGTCTGTGTCTGTGTACCTGTGCGTGCCAGCCCCCTCCTGACAAAGACACTGAATGACTGACAGGAGGGTTCACTAACTCCGTTCATTCCGCTATAGAGCCAACGCCCCCAGGTGCCGAGAACAATGCGCAGAGTGAGACCTCTTCTCTCATCCAGCGTGTTTGGTAGCAAGAGAGGAGGAAAACAAACGCACGTCAATTATCGAGGCTGGCAAAGTTATCGACCTCGTTTTTATTTACCGAGCGATAAGGCGATTTATTGATTATCGCGACAGGCCTAACCACACATCAGTGTTTGACTCAAGATCTTAAAGAGTGAAAGCGTCAGATGGAACTGACCATAGACATTATACACGTAGATGCCTCATTACATGCCGGAGTGTAATCTAGTGTCGCCGGAGACACTAGTACAGAAGTGAGCAGTTTGCGTGTGGTGTAGCATATGGTTGGGCATTCCTACCTGTTTTAATGCACTGGAGGCACATGGGGGACCCATCCAAGATGGCAGCTGCGCTGATACGTGAGCTCAAGTAGGCAGCGTCAGGCTTTGAGGCGTCTACGTATATTACGTCTATGGAACTGACTGGATAGTGAGAGATGTCTTACCTGGTTTGGATTGGCAGTGGGGTGACTCAGCTCAGCAGCTCCCCCTAGAGCTGGAGGCTGGTATGATAACCTGGAAGCGTAGAGCTACAGAGGCACAAACAGAAAAAGAGACAGAGACAGAGAGAGAGAGAGGAAACAAAATGAACAGAGCAGACATGATTCTGTTATTTAAGGCTCAGCTCTCTAATATTACCTGCCACTTTTGTATCAACATTTACATTATTTTATTTGTATCCTTTGAGATTCATTTTTCTGCATAGATTTTGTCTCCATGTTTGTAAAATTTAGCGCTTCAGGATCAGTCCTTGATATTTTTCACACCGTATTGAAAGACTTACATGCAAAGAGGAAAAAAAGGGTAAAATTTTAAGAATAAGTGTCAGAGATAAGTTTTAGACACAGTGAGAAAAACGTTGCAGAAAGGTTGAACACACTCAGGAGTAGTGCTGGGCGATAGGACGATACATATCGTGGGCACGATAGAAAATGTCTATCGTGCCATTTTTATTTTTATCGTTTCGGGCGATAGGCTGTATTTTATCCATAGGGCTTGTGCCATCAGATGATTCATAGTAACAACAACAATAATTGCACATTCAGTAAGTGTATTTGGTTTCGAACGGGAAAGAAAACAATATTTTCTTACAAAGAAAAGGATGCGTTGACATGTAGGCTTGCATTTCTCTTTCGATTTTGCGACATGACGCCGCTTTACGTGCCCTCTTCGTGTCCAGCGTCTCCCGCCGTTGCGGGTTACCTGGGTTACACACGTGAGGGGATCATTGTAAGCAGTGCTTAATTCTTTTGATCGGATCCGGGACCTATTTCAGCCGCTCCGGCACCTGTTTCATCTGCTCCGGGACCTTCCCTGTAGAGGATGACATTTTTCGGGAATTCCCGTGGGTCACGTGATTCCCGCGGGAATCCCACGGGATGGGAGTCATTTTCTAATTAATCCCTTGATCGGGACGGGACGGGGAAAAAGGCAACGGGAGTGGGCAGGAGCGGGGACAACATTAAAAGATGATCATTTTCAGCCGTGTTTAACCACCAGCTGAACAGGTGCGTCCATTTTTGTAGTCATCTCTCAGTGAGAGCCAACACTCTTGACCGCGCTAGCAACACAAAAGAACTACAACAGTGGTTTGACTTCCTGTCAGCTGGGAGCGCGGCTGCGCATTTCTACCCTTCAAGCCAGCAGCGAGGAAACGTAATTTTGTGACATTCTGTAGTTTTTCAATCATTTCTGGAGTCGTGGCGAATCAAATCACCTTACCTGTCTGCCCCTGATAGGCGAATAAAGCGCTCGGATTCATGCTCGGGTCTTCCTACGTGCTTCAAGAGTAAAGTAAACAATGATGGAGGCAGAGAGCAGCTTTGGAAGAGAAACATCTAGCAGTGTGAACAACCTCTTCAAAAGAGCCCTAAAGACCTACCTTTTTAATAAAGCCTTTGGTTAACTTTCCTCTATGCTTTTACTACCTTGCCTCTTACATTGCAACTCTATATTTTTTTTTTTTTTTAATTCTTTTTTTATGCCAATCTGTGACTGTCATTCTATTGCTTTTTTATTGTTGCTGCTCTTTTTTTACTGTGTACTGTAGCACTTTGAGATTTTTTGTAAATGTAAAGTGCATTACAAATTAAATTTATTATTATTATTATTATTATTATTATTATTATTATGGAGTGCTTTGGCTCACACTATCGGCGTTTTCTGTGAGTGTTGCATAACTTTGGGTGAGCACAGACATGAACGCACTTCGGCCACGTATTTATTTATTCATTTTTCTAGTTTTAAGTGCTGGTCTTGTACTGGTACTGTACTAGTGCAGCTGTATACACTTAAATTTTTCATAGAACTGAAAGCATACCATAGCTATATCGTGATATATATCGTTATCGTGACATAAAATGATCCATATCGTGATATACATTTTTTTCCATATCGCCCAGCACTACTCAGGAGCGACACGCACACCCCAGAATAAGACGTGAAATCACTCTAAAGCGTTTCACACACAGTCACACTCTCACAGCAGAGACTCACAGTGTGAGTGACATGTCCAGGAGCCAATGGGATCTGCAGACTGTCCAGAGGGAGGGGCTTAGACAGTTTAGAGGGCGAGGGGCTCAGTGTGCACACACACTGGGATCATGCAGCACGCACACACACACAGATACAGTAAAAGACAACAGGAAAAGAGACAAAGAGAGAAAAGAGAAAGCAAAATGAAAACAGAGAAGGAGTTACAGGATAAAGACAGAGATCATAAAGAGGAGTGAAGGAGTGTTTTCTCACCTGAGAGGGAGGGGAGGTGGAGAAAGAGGTGGTGCAGACTTCCTGTGAGTCCTGAACGCCTGCAAACGGACCATCATCGTCTTCTGGAGCTCTGCACAGACATGTACAGTTTCTGTAAAGATTTCCAGCCAGCCTGATCTGCTGCAGAGGAAAGGAAATAACACTTACCTGTAGTTGCAGGGCTGTCCCATGTTTGCAGGCCGCTGGCTATTGCAGGGAGGATCCACAAAGTGATCCACGATGATCCCCATGATGGGGGCTGAGCGCTCAAACTGTCTGCAGATGACAGAAGACACTCCAACTGTTTACGGTTTGTTTCTCTCTTTTGTGAAGCAACTCCTACATCGTCGGCCTACATTTAATATTCCTCTGTGGTGCTTGACGGGTAGTGTGTGAATTACCTGTTGGACATAAAGGCCAGGTTGGTGCGATAAGCGCAGGAAAGTGTGACTGTGCCCACAGGTGTGCCGACAACACCGACTCGCACTGTTTGGAAACCTTCAAATCAAACAAACAAAACTCAGCGAACAGACGGATCAGGGAAAACCAAACTGTCAATTTCATCACAAACTTTATGTACAATCACTTCCTTAAACTGCTGGTTTTAGAAACGCACAAGAAAGTTTGAGGTAAATAGTTATTAAAACCACCTGTTCTGATATCATTTTGTTTTTGTTTGAAAACCTGTCGTACCTGAAAAATTACTTACTGTATTTTTCGCACTATAAGGCGCACTTAAAAATCCTTTTGGCTTGTCGGAGCACTGCAGCTACCGTAGCCTCACGGAGTTATTAAATGAGTTCAATAAAGTTTGACTTATCTGACTGTTTTGTTTGGTTTAATGTGCTTTATAATCCGGTGCGCCTTATGTATGAAAATAGACGCGAATAGACGCGTTCATTGATGGTGCGTCTAAGAGTGCGAAAACTACGGTACTCTGTTTCCGTCTTAGTTTACAATCTCATTTTGAAGGTGTTTAAAAGAGTGTTTCTGTGATACTTTTCATGCTTTTAAAAATTCTCTTTTGTGCATAAAGATAAATCTATAATATGTGACAATATTCTCAGTGGCAGAACCACTGCCCTAGTAGACGCCTTTCCAGTGTATTCAATGTAAATAAAGTGCCCTTAAAATGCAAACAAATTGCCATCAGTTTACAAAATGCCCTCTGGATACCCAACCATGGTATTAAATGTAAATGAACAGCCTTCTGATTGCTGCTCTGGTAGATTAAATGTAAACTAAGTGCTCTCTGGTTGCTTTTTTAGTGGGGAAAGAGTAAATAAAGCCCCCCCTGAAGTTGCACACAAGTAAAAAATAATGTAAACAAAGGGCCTAAATACCATTCCTGTGTACAAACTGTTAGCATGGTTCCCTCTGGATGCCTGACCAGTGTTTCAAAAGTAAATTAAATGCTCTTTGGATGCTTCTTAGGGGGACATGTCAAATTATTGTATTGTAACATGTCAAAAGGAAGTAGCACAGGATGAGCTTCAAAAAGTGGAGTTAATGGTTACCTTCTCCAAGTCCACTCAGCTGAACTTCACCAAAGTAAATCCTGGAAAAAAGACTGACATGCTTACATCGGATTTGCAAAGATGACAAAGATCAGCAGTTTGCCGAGCAGTCAGAGATATTTGTTTTATAAATACGTGGGTTAACTCTGTTGTCGAATGTCCGCTCACCTGTATAAAATGACGTAGTCGTGACCCTGCTTTCTGGACAGTTTGTAGGCAGGTGTGACTCTGGTGATGGCGAGCAGAGACTTCAGGAGGACAGAGAGACGGTTGTAGACAGTGTATGACACCTTGATGTCTTTATCACACCTGCAGAGGAGAAAACAAAAACCCTCTGATATCTCACTAGGGTTGGGTATTGTAAACCCTAATCTGTTTTCTAAAATGTGCACTTGCTTTGTCCTTGGTTCTGCTCATCTTTTATTAAACGTAAAAACAAAATAAAACATTGTCTCAAACTTTATTAAGGTGTTTCGTACTTTGCAATTTTGTTTGGTCGCTGTTAACAGCTTATTCAGAGCAAAAATGCTCAAAATAAGAGCTAAATTCACTCACTTTTCATTCATCTCCAGGCACCAAGTCTCCAACTCCATCGAGTCTCCCTGTAGGAAAGACAGAAAGATTAATGCAGGAGCCCCAAAAGATGACGAAAGGAATCATTCATATTGATTTTATGTTTCTGTATAGAGAGGTCTGCCTCCTAAACAGCTCTTTATTTTAGACTTAGAAAGGATTAAAGGCAGTTCAGTTTTGTTATTAACCTCTCACGTTCATAAACTTTACACTTCAAATTATCATGTGTCATATTTCGCATTGGACAAATGCAAGAAAACTAGAGAGCATGAACTGAAAGAGAGGACGTTTTTACCTCTGACGTCTTCAGGGAGATCTCCACACACATGGAGCGTCCGATGCCGGGGAGCTGTCCGGCGAGCGCCTTCTTGGCTTCATGAGTCACCTCTGGGATGTCTTTGATGGCCAAATTAAACTAGAGACGACAGAAATAAAAATAATTATGACTTTTCAACACGAGCACAGAGAGAATGTGAAGGAGATACGAAGAATTGTTTCTGTGTTTGCTGCTCCTTTGATGAATGTTTACCGTTTGGGATCTGAGAAGTGTCTAGAGAAAGTATCTCATTAACAGTACACATTAGTGATCAAGCTACTTCTCTTATTGAGGCAGCTGGAAATTTGTCCTTAAAGGTGAAAGAAACTTTCTTACCCAATCAGAGCCTGTTGGCGAGGAAGACGAGTGAGTGCAGATCTTCTCTCCAAGACGAGCCTGGACGATCACCTGGACGGTCTACACAGAGAGTACATAACAAACAGAGATGCTGTGAGCTGCAGAGATAAAGTTGATCTGAAGTTAAAGAATATTCAGCCAGAAATACCTCAGCTCTAGAGCATCTAGAGAAAACACTCAGATGAATCATTTCCTTGCTGTTTTTCCAACCTTTGCCCTTTCTATATATATTTTGAGGTCTAACAAGTTCAACATGACGGTGGATTGATTCACTTCACACCAAATAAACTCACAGATAAAGGTAGAGGTATACCATTAACTCCCAGGTTCTTTCAGGTAAAATCAGTTTTTGTCAGGGGAGTCTGGTGGATTTATGGTATGATAATAACAGACCTTACCTTAACATTAGTGTGCAGGGTGCATATGCCATACATCGACTTTTTTTATTCTTGTTTTGTCACTAACTGGCTCAGATTGTTAATTTTAATGTCTGAGAGAGACCTTATTGATGAAGATCTGCTTTTTCATAGGGATCCATTTCACAATCTGAGCCTGGCAAATGCTCATTTTTCCGAGGATGGACTTCAACCCTTCATACTTGCACCACAAGATAATATTCCTGTTATTACAATCTGTTTCCCAGCTTGTGAATCTAAACGAGGGAAAATCTTTGACTTTTTGTGCAAATTCAAGATGACGTCAGTGTAAGAACAGAGCCAGGGTTCAAAATAAACTGAAGACTCTTTTTCAGAGCAGCAGGGTAAACCAAGAGACAAGAACATGATGTCCCCTCAGAAACCACAGACTCTACATTCATTTTTTATTTACAAAAAAATCTGCTGCTGGAAAAACAACATCATACAGATGTCCTACCTTCAAGGCGAAAAATTTTATGAACTTGTCCAGGTCTTTTTTATCCTGCGGACTCAGGCCACTGTCCATGTTGTCAGGACCCTAAAAACAAACATATATTAGAGTCAGACAACTTCATAACTATAACATTATCTTAACAGGTCTGTCATTGGTGGAGTTCTGACTCCCTCTCTGTCAGACATCAGACTTTATGATGTTGCTGCTTAAGCACTACATGGTTTGGAGATCATCTGATAAATAATGAACCATCCAGATCATTCAGAACTTTTGGGATGTTTCTGTTTACTGTCCCCAAAGCCAGAGCAGAAAAATAAAGGAGCAGTATTCAGTTTTTAAACAAAGGGCATTTCATGCACAAAATGGAGAACAGCAAAACGATAAATGTGACTTATATGCATCTCTGCATTTAGAGCATATTCAGAAAACCTGAGGAGGACCATGCAACGAGGCATGGACAAAAATGAAGAAATGTCAAATTGCACAAACTAAAGACCAAAAAAAGGAAAAATAAACAATATTTTTTTTACTGCATTCAGTTTTTCAAAATAATGATCAGCTCGTTTTAAAGCTCTGCAATGGCTTCATAACAAGCTGATCATTTGAACCAGGTGTGTTGGAGCAGGGAAACGTCCAAAACATGCAGGACAGTGGGCCTCGAGGACTGGACTTGAGAACCACTGATCTATACGACTGGTGATAAAAGCATGCATTAGCTTCTCCGTGTTGACCTGAGAGAGAATGGGGCAGACTCTGGCGATGTTCTTTAGGTGATAATAACCTATTTTTGTTTTGTTCTCAATGTGTGGACTAAAGGTCAGAGTCAAAAATGACGCCCAGGTTTCTCACTTGTGGTGATGGATTAAAAGACAGTGCTTGTAGTTTGGGTAAAAGTTTCTCTCTCTGGGCCTCAGGCTTTAATGTGCCGTGTCTGTCTTGTCTGTAAAATTTAATAAATGAATAAATTGTCCATCATAGAGAAACATTATGTAAAAAATAGAAGCCTGGTTGTTAAAAGAGGAATAAAATTAGCTCTGTAAAACTCTTACTGGCACCTACAATTAGTAGAATAAAATAAATAACCCTAAAATGTCTAAAAAATTGATTAGAAAATGTGTTGATAAGAAAATTTGGTGTTATTGAATGTAGCTGACCAGCTGCGCCTGAACGAAACAAGCTGTTTTTTTTACAGCTTTTATCAATAACATACGATATTTATTGTTTAATTCATAAATATGCATTATACAACTATATATGTTGCTGCTGCTGCTAAAGGAATACCATACTGATCATAATGATTGTAGCATCACACTGAGTGAATGTTTGTTTTTATCATGAGTTAGCATGTGAGGCCTCCATGTTCACTTACTATTATCCCAATAAAAATGTAGGTCATGGTAAATTACTCATACTGACAACCAACTCACACGACACAAAACAGCCAAGGGGAACCATTACTATATAAACAGTTGTTCTATCAAAGATTACTCAACATTTTTGTGTCAATAAGGAGGGGCAAACACACACTCGGTAGGTGGTAAACTAGCGTTAGCATTTAGCTTATGTTCGCGAGCTACGGTGATACGACACACTCTGGCTTCATGACAAAACATGAGAACTTACATTAGCTGTCCCCTTTACAGCGCGGCTTCAATGAAAAGCAAGTTATTTTCAAAATGAACACATAAAACCCTGTTTTAAAAAGTCATTTCCGGACGAAATTGTGTAATTCACAACGTCAACGGCTGTGCTACTTTTCTGTTTATCTTCTCCATGTCTACGTGTTTAGATAGTAGGAAGTTTGGATCAGCACTTTCGATACTTTGGAATTATAAAAAGAAAAAGAAAAAAAAAAGGCATTAAGCAGTATATCTAAGATGGTCGAAAAAATACAACATATGCTTAAACTTAAATTTTAACTTTTTACTGTTTAAATCTTTTTTTTTTTTTTTTTTTTTACATTTAAACAAAAAACGCAATACAAAAACAACTCCTGTCAAACAAGTGTCGAATCCGCGGATGCCAAACCAAGATAGGTACCTGTGGCTTGTGTTTGTTGACAAATGTAGCATTAGCTCTACAAAGGTAAGAGTCTTCTTAAAAATGCAATGCAAAAAAAAAAAAAAAAATCAAATTTTTTGTCCTGTTTGCAGCAGTTTATATACGGGTATTACACACGTACATGTACGGACACAAATAACCTATGTTGTGGAAACAAAAGCGGAAAGTGGCGAGCTAGTTAGCAGGTTAGCTCATCAGGGTTCAGTCACACAGCAGTACACCATGAAGTGAGTTTATAGACTATCATAGTCTTCTACACTGAACAAAAATATAAACGCAACACTTTTGGTTTTGCTCCCATTTTTCTTGAGCTAAATTAAAAGATCTAAGACTTTTCCTTTGTACACAAAAGACCTATTCCTCTCAAATATTTGAGATAAATAAATGTGTTGACAAATTTGTCTAAATCTGTTTTAGTGAGCACTTCTCCTTTGCTGAGATAATCCATCCACCTCACAGGTGTGGCATATCAAGATGATCAGACAGCATGATTATTGCACAGATGTATCTTAGACTGACCACAATAAAAGGTCACTCTAAAAGGTGCAGTTTTATCACACAGCACAATGTCACAAGTTTTGAGGGAGCGTGCGATTGGCATGCTGACTTGGCATGTTATTTAACAGAACAGAATATGTTATCTGAATTTTTCAATCCCTAAATTATTTTTTTCTGAATCAATACAACAGACAGGGTTTTAAAGATTTTGTGCTTGTGCACTTAAGGTTAAAAAACATAAAGCAATGAATAAAATATTTGTCGATTCTTGGTATTTCAAAGTGTGCAAACTCCCCAACTGAAACTTGTACTTAACATGAAAGGTTTATTAAATGCAAATTCATTTCTACCTGCAGCATGGCGGTCTCTATAGCCATCTTAGACTGTGATCTCCTCCTGCACGGTCGAGGCCATAAAACCCTGGACCGGTTTGACCTGGAATCTGTCTCAGATCATTTCCTCCTCTCACAGTTTGGCTTCCCCAGACACTTTATCCTCTACCTGGTGGAGCTGCTCAGAGAGGTGATCAGCAGTTTTAAATAATCTTGCGCGAAAACCTGCAGATTCATCGCAAATGTAACTCTATGGTTGTGTTTGTGTTTGAGGCTCTGTGCAGACGAACGCAGCGCTCCAGAGCCATCAGTCCTGAGGTGCAGGTGTTGGCTGCTTTGGGTTTCTACACATCTGGATCTTTCCAGACATCCATGGGCGACACTATCGGGATCAGCCAGGCGTCCATGTCCAGATGTGTGTCCAATGTGACCAGAGCTCTGGTGGAGAAAGCCCCGCAGTTCATCACATTTAACAGGCATGATATGATGAGAATATCTGGACTTATATCTAGCACTTTTTAAACCTCTGGATCCATCAGCAAGTTGAAGTTTTAGTTTATCCAAACCTCACTGGTGATTTTAAAAAAGATAATAGACATTTTCAGCAGTGACTCTAAATTCTACAGAGGAAAATGCATAAAAGGTCAAAGTAATGAAGTTTATTTAATTCAGTTTCTTATGTAGAGTTTATTTCCTAGGAATAACTTGTTTTCTGCAGAAAGAAGAATATAGTAAATAAAAGCAGTTATCGTCTCGTTTTCTGAGCAGAGACCAGTCCAGCAGGGACCAGGCCTTTCAGGAGTTTCAGAGGGTGGCTGGATTTCCAGGTGTTCTGGGGGTTCTGGACTGTGTTCAGGTAGATTAGCGTCTCTTAACACTTTTAAACGCCCTGTTTGTGTTTAAAATCCTCACCTGCGTTTCCTCCTGTTCTCCAGGTGACCATCAAAGCTCCAAACAGTGAGGACTTCTCCTACGTGAACAAGAAGGGCTTTCACTCCGTGGGCTGTCAGCTGGTGTGTAACGCTCGAGGTCTCTTACTCAGTGCAGAGACCTGGCCGGGTGGACTCAAAGACGCAGAGATTCTGGAAAGATCTGCTCTCTTCAAACAGCTGCAGGACATCCAGGAGGGCTGGCTGCTGGGTAAGCCTTTTAATGCCAGACAGGATAAGTGAAACTGCAGAGTCCAGAAAGGCTAAAAGTCTGATTCCTGTGTCATAGGTGACCGTCGTTACCCTCTAAGGAAGTGGCTGATGACCCCGGTGGAAAACCCAGAATCCCCTGCAGAGTTAGGGTTTAATCTAGCTCACACTGCGACTCATGAGATTGTGGACCGAACTTTCAGAGCCATCCAGACCAGGTTCAGGTGTTTGGATGGCACCAAAGGATATCTACAGGTGCTTATGTCCACTGTTTTCCATGTTGAGGAGTTTCTCTTTAAAGCCACCAGACATCATTGACAAAATGAGTCATTGATACAGAAGCTGCTGCCTGTCGTATGTATTTTAGTGTTTTGGTTTACCTGTATTGGTTATTTCTGCGGGAGATTATATTAGTTACAGTTACTGTTCAATACAGTATCTGTAGGAAATACAATTATGTGATACAAACATAGACTGTATATAGAATGGACAGAGTCTGCCTCCTCGCTGGGTGAAGCCACTCCGAGAACAGCACCCTCTGTTGATGGGCTGCAGTATAGGTCATAAATCCCGCCTCCGCCAGCAAAGTTTATGGAGCTGTGAAGTCATTTAGACCTTCTCATTGAGCTAACTCTCTGTCCCTCCTCTGTAGTATTCTCCAGACAAGAGCTCGGCCATCTTGATCGCCTGCTGTGTCCTCCACAACGCCTCCCTTCAGTCCGGATTGGACGCCTGGACCCTGGAGAGGACAGACCCTCTGGAGCAGCCTGAGATCCTCGAACAGAGACCTGAAGACCGGGACAACCAGGCTGAGGACCTACGGAAACAGCTTATACTCAAACACTTCAGCTGATCAGCCGGATCAGATATCAACAGACTCAAAACAAACTTGAACTTGAAATAAAAGACACAAAAAAGGCCCCACAGGAGACAGTGATGCTGATGCAGTTTTTTAATATTTTGCTGGTTTCTACTCTACGGACTAAACTACGATAACATAGTTATATATGGAGGAACATGCAAGACGCTATACAACAAACCCAGACAACACTGGAGCGTGACACGTTTTGAAGAACTCCCTGGAAAGAGCTCAGTTATTCTCATGAAAAGGTCAGAATAAAGAAGCAGCTACTCGAGTTGTACAGACATTCAAACTGTGTTCAGCTGCTGTGTTATCAACGTTTCTTTACAAGTGGAAAAAGTCACCCTCCCTCAGTTTCGATCCTCACCGTTTCCCACCCAAGATTTGTCTTTATTCTCCCCTTTCCCACATAAATCCACAGGTTTAAATCTTGGACAGAGTCACAATACAAAAACAAAAGGCCCTTATTTACAACAACTGCACAGTTCGTTGTCTTTACTTATGTACACTGGTGAATTAAGACTGTTTAGGGGGGATTAAGGTCGTGTCAAACCTGGGCTCTTTATGGGGATCTGAATGAGTCAAAATATTTAGAGGCACTCTATTAGATGACCGTGAAACAGGCTGCAACATACAGGACGAAAAAAACAGTCAACCTGGAACAAAGCCTTGCAGTTGCATTTTGGCGACCATCCAGCTCTCCATGTGTTAAAAATATCTACGGCTGCAGCACCTGTCTGACAGGTCTCTGAATATTTCTCTGTTGTACGAGTAAGAAAATGTCGACACGTGTTTTGCATGTCTGAAACTTTGTGTTGCTGCCAATCCTGCCTCGGACGTTCTTTGAAATGAGATTTTAAATCTCAGCGAGGTCTTCCTTGTTTAACCAAACTTGAATAAAAATAAAGAGATATTAAAAATGTGCTTTCCCCTTTCTTAAAAAAAGTAAAAATCATATTTAAACTCTTAAGTGAAGGTCAATTAGACGTCTCAGTCTGCAGAGATGATAGACGTAAATGAGAATTAACGTCTTCATATTTGAGCATACTCCAGATTTTTGCATTTCCATAAAATATAACCAAATAAAGAAAATGGTTTACATGTTTTAGACCATGTTTGTGCATAAATTATTTACAAGCGAGTGCTGCTCTGGGTCAAAAAAAAGTGCAGAAGTTTTATAGTCTTAAGTTTTTTGTACCTTTCAGTGATCCATCCATTCAGCATCTACACTATCATCCCATCTAGTCCTGCAGGGAGCAGCTGGATCCGATTCCAGTCTGTTTTTCAATCATTGAGACCCCAAAGTATATTAAAAAAAAACCAGCCCAGGTTTGAGACTTTCAGAATCCCCCTTTAAAGGTGAGGATGACAGGATGATTGTGCCCTGGTTGCAGTCACATGAAGGTTATAACAAAAAAAACAAACATTTAAAACAAGTCAGACACAAGAAATTAAAAAAAAAACAAGACTTAAAAATTAAAAAAGAAAAAAAGAAAAGTTCTAGACATTATTGGGACAGGTGTAGTGAATGTCGTCTTTTAGAGTATTTAGATTTGCAGGAATTTAAATCTGTAATATTCTCTAACTTGGTCAGAATAGTGGTGAAAAACAAAGACGAATGTTCCCTCTAATTTTGTGGTGTTTTCAGTGGGCGGGATGTTTGAGTCTCCTGATTGGGTTCAACAATATATACACACTTTCTACAAACAGGAATAAATACAACATACACTGCCGTCGCATGAGCACAAAAAGCATCAAATAAAAGGAGGATTCGTGCCTAAAAATCTTAATTACTGTTGTTTTCTTTCGTTTTGAGCCTTTTCCAGATTGAAAACTTCAGCTTAGTGGTAAATTTTGATGTTTTTTTTAAAACACGAGGGACTAAAAAAGAAGAAGAAATCTGCGCTTTTCATGCGACAGCAGCCAAACAAACACTGTATTACAGTTAAAGACAAACAGATCAAAGTTTTACACTCCATAAAACAGCATGTAAACCACACACCATCATGTAAAACTTCATCATCATCCTCAAACACGACACACACTTTCTCTTTTTTTGTGCATAAAATAAATATGCTCTTTTCTGATGCTCAGAATATATTATAAGTCCTATTTTTGAGATTTTTTGAAACATTATTTAGAAAAACAAGACATGAAGATAAACTAACTTTAAAAACAGTCATTTTTTTGTTGCATAAATTAAATATGCTCTTTTTGATGCTGCAAATATATTATATGTACAATTTGAAACTCCATAAAAAATACTTTTTCTGTCATGTTTCCCAACCTCTGTCAGGACCCCGTTAACCGTCCCTGATACGAAAATACGAGAATTTTGTTTTGATTGAACTTGAAAAACTAGATTTGACTTTAAAGACGGATGAAAAAAGTTAAAGTTGAGACAGAAACACAATCTGAGAAAAAAAACATTCAACTAAATCTGACAGTTGCATCTACAGACATAAATCCTCCCACATTCATCCAGTTTTTGATTTTTCTAAGACATGAAATCAGGGAGATTCTAACAATTAAAAAATATAGATATTTATATAATTAGTGTGAAGCTTCAGGTGTTGGTCATTTGTGTGTGTTGGCTATTGTTTAAGGCCGAGTCGGTCATATTAAATCTTAATACGTGGAAGGCACTTAAAAACTTTGAAATGGCACAGCAAGTCAGAGCTACGGCTCCGTCACAATTTAGAGAATAATTTAAGACTGATTCAAGTTTCTCTAATGTCCAGATTTTCTCTTTTCATGAGCAAATTATCTCCATGTTTTTGGCTTTTTAGTCAAATGAGGCATTTATAGTTATATTCATGAAGAAAATAATCATCACTAATGGCACGTTCTTATGAAATCAAAGCAAATTGTCATATCTACATGTGGATTCATACCTCAGTAGCTTTTTTTTGTTTGTCTCCTTAGCAAAAGTCTGAGTAGTTCCTGTTATTTTGTCTCTTAGATGGTACAAGCTACTGTATTCTGTATTTATACTCCAGCTCATAATCCCTTAAATGTCAAACATGAATAAACTGTTGGAACTAAAAACTGATCGGTGAGGTGAGTGATTGAAATCATCCTCCTGTTTAAAGGCTGTGATGTGAATTCAAACATTGCGGTCCCTTTAAAATCAAGTGTATTCAGGTGGATCAGAGTGTGTTTTAAGGTGAGCAGTGAAGCACATACAGGCAGTAAACTGTGAGGATGGGGGGGGGCAGAACCAGAAGGGAGTAACTGAGTCTATTATCAATATGAAAATGCAGATTTTGGTTGGATGTTGGAGTGAAACCTGTCGAGTTCAGGAATCTGGAGGTTTTCGGGGTCAGAGATGAGAAGTCATGGGAGGAGGGGTCAGGCTGTGTCAGAAAATCTCTGAGACTCCTTCTGCTTTTGTTTCCCTGAGGAGAGAGGAGGAACTCTGGTCACTAACAGATCAACATGTTTAAACCTGATAAAATCACTCTGCTTAGACAGTTTTGATACCTGTGGTCTGATTTAGCCCCAGTTTGGTTGCTGTGAGCATCAGCTGTGTATCTGCTGATCTGGATGTGGGAGTGGACCTCTGCCTGTATCCTGTCCCCCTCTGAACTCTCCTCCAGCGGAGACCCTTCATTGTAGAAGAGCAGGCTGCGGGAACGGACTGTAAAACAAGCAGGAACCATATTTGATTCGCATAAAACTCAGTGAATCCTGAATTATGTGCTTATACAACCTGACTTCAAAATCTGCCGTGCGACTAAGAAATCAGGTCAGAATCGGCCTGAATATATAGAGACTCACCCTGGCTGGTGGTGTAGAGGTCCGCTGATGGAAGAGGAGCAGAGGGGGAGGATTGGGAGGAAGAGGAGGATGAAGACAAAGAGGAGGTGTCAGCGAGGAAGGAGAGAGGAGAGAGGCAAGGGGAGAAGGAGCCCAACACCAGGACAAAACACAATGCCATCATCTGCAGAAAAACACAAACCGAACACGCACATAAATGAATAAACGTGACAAACAACAGCTTAAATCTGAAACTGCATGAATTAAAACATAAAGATACACACACACAACAGAAACAAATGTTCTTTCTGCACTTGAGATATTTGATTCCCTTTTTACGAGACCGAATGACGTTATATTGCACGATAAACTTGAAGTAACTTAATTTACCATTAGGCACGTCCCTGTTTGAGTTGAGGCCATTTTACAAGAACGAGGGACGACTTTCCCTGAAATCAGCGACTGAAGCTTCTGCAGCTGCTGTAGGAGAGACCTGGAGGGAGAAATGAGGCATATTAGAGGGCGACAAAGTGTGTTTACTGCATGAATCTGAGCTGGCACTTTAACTAAAAGTCGGACAGAGACAGATCAGCAACTCCTGTTTTCTTTCAGGTAAAATAAAAGTAGAATCCAGAACCAAAAATATGTAAAAATGTACAGGCTGCACAAAAGTAGTGATGGACGAAAGGCCTCATGAGGTTTGAGTCTTTTTTAATGGTTGTGCTGCAACCTTGAAGCGTTAAACTGCAAACCGTGACATTAGTAAACTGAAATAATGGCCTGAGGCGAAGCTACACCTCTGTGGTTTTCATATATCTGAGAGTTTAAGGTTGAAAAAGCTTGTGCAGCACAAAATTAAACGATCTATTTAAGGAGAGAGAGTACCGCTGGGAGAAAATCACATGATTTGTACAATGCCAAGTGGGCAAATTAAAGCCGATAACTTTCCTGTTTTTTGTTGCTGCCACTTCATTCTAAAACACAATCAATCAAATGACATTTCCTGTTTGATACGACATGGTTTACTAAAGTTACACAAGAGAGATTCAAACAATAAAAACAAGTATTTCTGGCTTCGGTTGGATCTGGAGAGCAGGGCTCTGATGGTTAAACCCTTGGTGACTGTAACGGCAAATTCTGACCACTAGATGGAGGCAGACTAACAGTCATTCAGTCAACCTGAGACACCGACTTAACCAGACCACTAACTGGTCAGCAGTCAGTCTGTAATGTTTCATTTTTCCCTGCAGCAGAAAAACCACCGCGCTGCCAGCTGTAATAAACTTTTTATGGGACGATTCTGACCAGCATCACTCACACAACACTTTGAAGTCAACCCGCAGTGATTTACTGCTACAGTTGTTGCTGCTTTAAATAAACTCTGCTCACAGAGGTCACACTGGTTGACTGGGTGAACATTTAAATATCCAGAACAGAAGTGGAAAGTCGAAATCTAAACATCAGACTAACCTGTGCTTTGATATTTTTATTACTTTGTCTGAGGAGTCACGCTCGCTTTTGCACTCATGATCTAAATTTAAAACTACTTTCATGCATATCTTACGCAGGATGGAGGTGAAGATAGCACTAATAGTACTAACTTAAGGGAACAAAAGGATCACTAATTGCTGCATTTCGAGCATTTTTAGGGGCTTAAATTTAGCTCACTTGTTTAAAAACTTGATTTCAGACATGAATAAACTCTGGGTTTGATGTGAGAGTGAGCGTGCTGACTCATGTTCCCCAGTTTGCGCCAACTCATTGTTCCCCTGTGTGGTGGTTTAACATATTCATCAGCGTGTGTGTGTGTGTGTGTGTGTTGTGGGAAGGGAGGGGGCTGCCTTCATGATGAAAGCTTCTGTTAAGTCGCAGCTTTAATGACAGACTGAAACCAACTCAGACAGACACACAGACAGACGTAGAGACAGAACCCCCCCCTCAGCCCTCTGTCTGACACACCCACCCACCCGCTGGAGATAATAGCAGATTGGTTTCATATTGTTATAATAACAGAGCTGGATGAGTCTGCACATTTCTTTTGGAGCAGACAAATTTCTGTTTAGAGGCTCATAAATCTCGAACTGTTACACTCTGCTTATAAACTGCAGACAGATCATAAATATCGGCACGTTTAACCTACAGTACAGTAATTTTTCTCCTTTGAAGACTACATGACTAATACTTATGTGGTTCACTGCTTACAGCGAGAACATTTTTACAACCCTAGGTCCCCAAAAAGGTTTGGAAGCAGTGTCAAATATTGATAAAAGGGATATTTGGATGTTTTGAGACTCTGTATTGAATAGGAAACAGTGAAAAACAAAAGGTGGATTTTGTTATGAAAAGTATTAGTTCCTTAATGCTACAAATGTTTATACAGGTGTCAAGTCAGGACTGCAGTCAGACCAGTTCATCAGCTGGACTCTTGTACTACAGAGCCATACTGTTGTAATTAGGGACGGGAATTGATAAAATTTTATTGATATCGATGGGATTATCAATTCTGCTTATCGATTCTTTAATGATTCCCTTATCAATGCCTTTCTTTGATTTAAAAAAAAGTAGACTATAGGTTTTCACCATTAACTCAAAATAACAGAAACTAGAAAAGCACTCGGAGAGCACAGACGTCCGCCAAGCAGCTCATGTCCCCCCTAAAACAAGAAATGACCTGACCAGGATTCAAACCCAGGACCTTCTGGTTGTGAGGCGACAGTGCTAACCACTACACCACTGTGCTGCCTATCTACACCACTGTGCCGCCCATTGGTTATCTTTCAGCATTGAAAATTCCAACGACACCCTTATTTTTGTGTGTTCTGGATCACAGTAACCGGAATTTTGTAACAGGTCTGCGCTCTCCGAGTGCTTTTCTAGTTTGTTGGTAGATTAGTTTGTTTGTCTGTTAGCAACTTTACGGAGAAAGTTACAGACGGATTGACCTGAAATTTTCACCAGAGGTGCGTCTCAGCCCCAGGAGGATCCCATTACATTTTGGTGGTGATCCAGACAAAATTCTGGATACTGTGATCCAGAACACACAAAAATAAGGGTGTTGTTGGAATTTTCAATGCTGAAAGATAACCAATGGGCGGCACAGTGGTGTAGTGGTTAGCACTGTCGCCTCACAGCAAGAAGGTCCTGGGTTTGAATCCGGGTCAGGGCATTTCTTGTTTTAGGAACATTATGAACAGCGAACATACCAGTTTAAACACAAATAAAAGTTCATAAAAGACACGTAACAGTAAAAGTTTTGGTGTGAATCACAATATAATGGGGGACATGAGCTGCTTGGCGGAGGTCTGCGCTCTCCGAGTGCTTTTCTAGTTTCTTTTAACATCTTCTCTGTCTGTGTACTAACTTTATTGAAATACATTGCTGGCAACAAATTTAAAATGAGCATCTAACTTCCACATAACTATATATATATTTTTTTTTTGTTTCAACATTTGATAAGTTGTTTTTCCACCTTTTCAATTGAATGGAGGTATTTACTGGTTTGTAATCCTGTCTTATCTTGGACTCAAAGTGTTGGAATCTTTCCTGTAAGGTTGTCAGACACTTTAAATAACCACCTGAGTCTGCCAGCTGAAAAACAAGAACTTTGAGTGGGTGTAATTTGATTGGACTCATTTGCCCTAAAGGCTACAATGCAGCTGTAACCGCAGCAATGTAATCCAGAGGAGCACTCCCCAAACTAACGTACCTGTTAGCCATTAAGACTTAAAATATGTGAAGAAAAGTAAAAGGGCCCGGGTTCAAAAACATACGACATGAATTAGTCAACTCTCATCATCTGAAGCTTCAAACTTGGACATCGTGTTGCTGTTTTAAATGACGATAATCCAAACATCATTAAAAAATATCCGCTCTGTGTTTTCAGGGTTCGAAGCCAGAAAAAAAACAACTTTAGCATGTTCAGAGAGGAAACAGCAAGACATCACTAATGTTCACAACATGTGTTTCTGCGTGTGTCTCAGCCTCACCTGTTTGCCGTCTCCAGGTTTTCTACTTTCCGCCACAGATCGCTGTTTTCTGACGTGTAGTTTTCCACCCTGAAGCACACACAAAAGCAGGGTTTTGTGAGCGTCGGACCGTTTTCAGATCTTTCACTTTCACAGCAAATAAAATCACTCATTCATGCTGAATCACAAATGGTGCCAAGAGGAGAGAAGAGGGTCCGAGAGGCTCTAAATGTGCAATATGTAAGTGTCTATCATGGGGGGATTTTGGCTTCACTTTTGCACAACAGAGAGATGTGGACACACAGGATATCTAAAAATCTTGCAAGCTATCATTTCACTTATAAAACATGGTGTTAATGCCAGGAAATGATTTGACGCTGTGACAGAAATATTGCCCATCCTCATCTCTCTACTCCGCCTTTGTCACCTGCTGTTATCCTCATCGATTTCTCTATTTTAATCATCCGCACACGGTGTTAATCCTGCACCCTGTCGCTGTGATCTTCTCCTGTCTTTGGTCTGAATGCAGCTCTTTCAAACATGACTCTTTGTGCAGGTCCGTCTCGCTGTTTTCTTCACGGATAATCCTGTCCTCATGTCCAAAAAGGAAACATCAAACAAAGAGGAGATAAAGGTAGAAAGGATTTTTGTTTACCCTTCTTCTTTTACTTCTGTGATCTTTTAGTGCGGATTAAAAACTCTAAACTTAATGCTGCTTTTGTTACCACTTATGTAAACCTTTCTGGGTACTTTTGCCACACAAACCCAAGCCCAAATTTTCTTCTTTCTTTCCCTGCATCTGACCCATGTGTTCAGCAGGTTACTGGAGTCCCGCCATCGCAACAAATGTCCAGAATTACCCTGAACGAGGACAGGAAGGAGTTTGTGTCCACTTTAAGTGATGAAACACATTCTCTGAGTATTATGTGTTCCTCCAAATAACTGCACCTGACCCCATGACGACCTGCGAGTTAGCGGTTGTACTTCTTCCAGCTTCAATCCCCTGCTGAGATCTCATGTCTGTTACCTCACTCTGCAGCTTCATGCCGCTAAGAAAACCTCTAAACAGAAGAGAAAGTCTCTTTAACTCAACTCCACCTGCCAAGTTGCTGTCAGCTTTCCACATCTCTATCTTTTCCCTCTGTTGCTGATTGCATTCTTTATTCTTGGGTAAAAATAAACACACAATTATGTAAAACAAGAGCTATGGTTAGGCTGAGCTGAGGGGAAAGCTCGTTAGTCAGATTGGCTGTTCTCTAGACCAGATTCAACGCTCTTAAAACCCTCGTTTGGCCAGTCTGAAGAAATGAGGGAAAATTTGACATTTATTGCAACAACATCTCCGTTTACTGGTTCGAGCTTCGTCAAGCGTTTGCATGAGTATGACACAGCAAGCTTCGAGCCAAACTAAATGAAATCAGTCAGGACCACTCTCGTCAGAAAGGATTATCACTTTCACGCAAAAAGATACGTTTGGTTTTATCTGTTCTGAGAGCTCCCTGCCCTTCCGCGTGCATAAGTGGAATGCCAAGGCCTCAAAATAAGGATAGCAGGTAAACCTCCCCGCCGAAGCAGTTTGCAAAGAAAGCTGTTTAAACGGAACGCTCCATTTGACATTTGCAAATTGGATGTGGAGAAGTTGGCCCACAGTCAGCTGATGTACCGTGGGCTGAGCTTGACCTTCTGGCCTGCCTGAACTAACACTATCCTCCAACCCCTTTTAAAAACCTTGACCCCTCTGATTTTAACAATTTTAGACCAATTTCAAAACTTCCATTTTTATCCAAACTTTTAGAGAAGGTGGTTTCTAAACAGATTTTAGGTTTTATGTCTGAAAACAACCTCTGAGAAATTTCAGTCTGGTTTTAGAGCAGGTCACAGTACTGAGACACTCCTCCGTGTGACCGATGACCTTCTAGAGACAGAGGGGAGGGCTCAATTTGAATCCTTTTAGATCTCAGTGCAGCTTTTGATACAGTTGATCATGCTATTTTAATTGAACGTCTTAAAAACTGGGTGGGTATCACGGGTTCTGCACTTGGCTGGTTTCAGTCTTATCTTTTAGAACGAACCTTTGCGGTCACCATAGCCAATCACACCTCCTCCTCTACTTCTGTTATCGCCTGTGGTGTTCCGCAAGGTTCAGTTTTAGGTCCAATTCTATATTCTATCTACATGCTGCCCCTCGGCCAATTAATTCCGCGCCACAACGTCTCCTTTCACCTGAGGACCCGAGAGGCCGAGCTGCCGTCATGGACTGTCTAAGTGACATTAACTGTTGGATGGCACAAAGTTTAAAACATTTAATAAATAAAGTTATTATTATTATTATCATGATTATTATTATTATTACAGTTCACGATCCTTTCCCAGCAGAAAATTTGAGCGTCTTTTGTAAATATTTTCTGAGCCTCGATCAGTTTTTAGTTTTAGAGTAATCTGAGATCAGTTTAACAACATTAACGTGATGTTTTATATCACGATCTGGAACTCTGGAAATTGACAACAGTTTATGGTCTCTGTTATATAACAGCATGGTAAGTTTTAGGGCCTCCAATGAGGAAATGAAGGATCAGATATCACAGAAAGACAGATCTGAAATGAACCCAACGAGAGTGGAAAAGGAACGTAAAAAAGGGGGACACATTTTTTCCAAGACTTACTTTTTCTCCAGACATTCCACATACTCTTTCTTCTTCCTCCGACTCTCCTGAGCTGAGATCTGGAAGGAAAACAGAAAAATATCAGCACGATTCAAAAGAAGTCTGTAAAATAATCTTTATTTCCTCTCAGACCAAGGAGTCTGAATATACCAACTCAGATCGGTGATTTTTTTACAACCACCTCTTTAAGCTCTATGAGTCAGGATGATTCTGATTTTTTTTCCCAGCTTGAGATATATTTGGAGTAAATCTGATGTGTAATATAGCTGTGAGCACAGACAGACTGAAAGGTTTGGTGTTCACCTTGTTTTTAATCTTCCGCCTGACTCTTTTCAGTGCCTTCTCCTCACTCTTGGTGAGAGGGAGTTTGTTTGGGACAGGGTATCCCTCAGCGACCAGGGTCCTCTTCTCCTCCTCTGTCAGCATGAGGGGTCCTGAGCCCTGCAGCTTCTGCACAAACAAACAAAGACGGCATCAACTTGTTTGCAACTTTTAATCAACCTGAAGCTTTTCTTTCTCACGGTATGTCCACAAAAGCAGTGAAAACCCTGAGTGTGTTTTCAATCACAGTGATCGAATAATTTATGAAGAAAAAATGGACCTGGTGCTCTGATACAGTCAGCTGTTTGCTGTTTTCTTTGCAGATTATTTTGATGCCCAAAGGGGTTTCTTATGGAAATTACGCCCCTCTTGTATTAATGTTAAATTTCTCTCCAGGCTGAAGTTGTTCCTCTAAACTCTGCCGTGTCTAATCCGTCTTAACTCTGAGCAGGTTTGAATAATTTTTGCTTTTTAAAAAGAGTAAAGGAAAACTCAAAAAATAGGAAAATGAAGCTCACAGAAGAGGCCAAAAGGGGGAACAAACTGGAATAGGTTGTACTACAATGTGACTCTGACAACTTTTAGTTAAATTACGGACTTGTTTTGAAAATCTTCCTTCAGCTGAAACCATAAATCAAGTCGTCAATTCGGTGTAAAAAAGACGCAGGTTGTTCTTTTACTCACATGTGGAGCGGTGAGGAGGGGTGAGGAAGAGATGGCTGAGGAAGAAGACGAAGAAGAGGATGAAGAGGCTCGACCTCCTGGCCTCTGCTGTGGCGGAGGGGAGGACGGGGGCAGAGGAAGATGCGGGGAGGAGGGAGGGAGGGAGCCGTCGCTGTCGCCATGGTTACTGCTGGGAGGAGTGGGTGGGAGCTGGAGAGCATCGTCTAGAGGAGAGGAGGATGTGTCAGAGCTCTCCTTTGATTAAAGATTGATTTTTGAGAGTTTTAGCAGCAAATAAGAGGAAAGTTCATGTTTTTATGGATGAAGATGATCTTGACCAAATGATGCTGGAAGGCTCACAGGGGTTCACATCAAAACAGACCTTTAGTTTATTTTCAGAGAAGGCTTTTTTTTTTGGATGATGACCTTTTTCAAAATATTTCCAATATCTTGTAGCAGTGTGCATCCATGAAAAAAAGAACCAAATCACTTATCTATTAGCTTTCTTTAATCTTGGTTTTAGTCCAGAGATAATCTATTTATTTACGTTAGCGCATGAGGTTACTTATCGTTACTCTATCCCATTTAAGTTGTGATCAGTGGTACCTTTTGGAGTACTTTCCATCTTGTTTTGATAAGTTTCAGAGTTTCTTTTATTACCTCCGCCAAGGAGGTTATGTTTTCGGTTAGTCTCAAACAGGCTAAAATTGTTGGTTAGATGTCTCTGCAGTGATAATAGCTTAGTAACTTTTTATGGTTTGTTGGATTTGTCCTTATTTCATCTTGTCCATTGTTTCCTTTCTTTCTTGTTTGCAGTAACTCCACTATGATAGATAGATAGATAGATAGATAGATAGATAGATAGATAGATAGATAGATAGATAGATAGATAGATAGATAGATAGATAGATAGATAGATAGATAGATAGATAGATAGATAGATAGATAGATAGATAGATAGATAGATAGATAGATAGATAGATAGATAGATAGATAGATAGATAGATAGATAGATAGATAGATAGATAGATAGATAGATAGATAGATAGATAGATAGATAGATAGATAGATAGATAGATAGATAGATAGATAGATAGATAGATAGATAGATAGATAGATAGATAGATAGATAGATAGATAGATAGATAGATAGATAGATAGATAGATAGATAGATAGATAGATAGATAGATAGATCGATCCCTAGCTGGGAAATTCACATTGATCAACTGCTGCTCAACATGAACAACCTCGACATAATAAAGGAGGCATCTAGAAACTGGTGATATGAAAAGCATAGACACTGCATTGCCGGCTACAATAAGGATTTCAGGGAGATACAGACAATGCATTGAGAACACACAAAGGACAGTACATCGTGTCTTTCCTTCAAAAACCAGGTGACTCTTACTCAGCAGCTTTTTATGTTCTCATCTCCCCGTCTTGAACTTGCACTAGATGATGCATTTGAAATATTTATGTTTAATTTAACTATATTTATGTGTATTTATGTGTCTGTCTAAGCTGATTGAGTACCGGTGGGCAGGCTGAGGTACTGTCCCATCTCTCTGGGTTCATCTTTTATGGCCTTTGGCTTCACATCGTCTGGACTTCGCTCCTGCAGACACACGAAGGATGAAGAAATTTCGTTTTAAAAACAACCCATTAAAAAAAAATCGACATTATTCAAGGTGTTTCATTTTCCAACCTGATGATCGCTGACTGTGTGTTTCCATGCGGATCCTCTGTGTGGTGGGGCGGGGTTTAATATAAGAGGCGGTCCTTCCAGAGGCTGAGGATCTAACCTTTGACCCACATCAGGCTCCTCTTGTTTCACCAAGATGGCTGAAAGGTCCTGAGAGAAGTTCCATTCAAATTCTACAGGAAAGACAAACAAAATCCAGAAATAAGTCAGAATCAGTGCTTAAAAAAGAGTTTCTCTGCATTGAAATTATTGCATTTGTGTAAAATTGTGTAAAACTCTTGTGTAAGGCTCCTTTTCTCTTACTCATTATCAAAGGTTTCCATTAGTCTGTTTCAAATTATTTGTCTTGGTTTAAAAGAGTTATCTAAAAATGAAGTACAAATGAGTCAGATGGGTATTAACCAAGTAAATGAAACCAGAGTGAACCTGTCTAACCGAACTCTCCATCTCCTCAGGGGAAGCTTTGCTGTAGGTCCACCGATGGGAAGTAACTGGTAGCTTATAAATCACATGTTCAAAGAGCTTCCCCAAACATTTGAGCACTTCCTGACGAAGCTGGTCATTATGGACTGCTGGACGGCGGCGCTCTGGCAACTCTGGTGCATAATTTGTCTGTGTGTATCAACCCTGAAATAAAAGCTGGGCTGAACCAGCAAATCAAGCTGGGAGTAAAGCAGCTTTGGTATTAAAATTAGCTGAAAATATGGATATGTGAGGGCGATTTCAAAGAAAATCTAACAGGACACTTTGAAGTTATTTTCTTCTAAAAGCATCTCACATACAGTTTGTTGTTTAGTCTACACTTCGATAAAGAAAGTATTTTTAGGGGCCTGAGTGCCACTACAGGAGAGTTAGTCAGTGCCACTCTGGGTGTAGTTTGTGTCCTTGTGGGAAAGATGATGAAAACACTCCCATCATCTCTGCCGCCAACACCAGCAAACCTCCTGGAATGACCTCGGATGATCCGAAGCACACTGGGATTTATGTCTCTAATTCTGAGGACGCCTTTACTCTTTATCACTGGAGGGGAGAGCATAAATATTCTCAGGATGAGTAACAAATCAGGATTACCTGATTTAACCACACATCAGGCTGATGAGGATGAAAATTTGTTAGTCGTCATCGTTGTCATTCGTTTATTGTTGTTATTATTATTGCCAGTATAACTATTGATGTTATTATTGATGCTGTTGTCGTTGTTGTATCGTTGCTGTTGTGTCAGTGATTCGGGGATATATATATATATATATATATATATATATGTAATTATTATTATTAATTTTATTATTATTATTATATATTTCAATGTAATCCAATTAAGATTTTTATTTTATTTTATTTCATTTATTTTTTATTCTCTATTATATATATTTTTTCCCCCTCCCCCCCTCACAAAAGTATTTTTGTTAATTTTTTTATTATTATTTTGTTGTTGTTTTTGTTGTTGTTGTCGCTCTGTTTTGTTGTTAAATTAAAATAAAAAAGAAAATTTGTTATTCGTTTGTTTGTGGTCTTCTAAAGGGAAACTCAATCTCTTAACTTTTTTTCAGCAGGTTACAAAATGTTCAATCTAGTATTTCATGAACGTTTATACGATTTAGGCTCCGAGTTTGCTGAGAAAAAAATCTGACATAAAATGTTTTACCTTTTTAGACGCCGTAAAGATGAGCAGTCAGCCCTCGACAGTCAATGTATTTTTCAAACATGAACTCTTTGACAATTTCCTGATTGTCTCAGGACATTCAAGCCCAGATACTATCAGGAGGATTATCAGTGCAAATTATGTTAACTTGTAAATCCCTTCACCTCCCTTCACTGGCTTCCTGTCAGTTTTACAATTGATTTGAAGATTTTATTGATTACTTTTAAAGCGCTCAAAAGACTCGCTCCAAGCTACATTTCAGAGCTTTTAATCCCTTATGAGCCAACTCGCAGCCTCAGATCCTCTGCCGAAGGTCTACGGGTCGTTCCAAAGTCGAGACTCAAAACTAAAGGTGATCGATCTTTCTCCATCAGAGCTCCTCGACTTTGGAACGACCTGCCAGAGGAGATAAGGCGTACAGCAGAGACAGTCACTTCTTTTATGTCAAATTTAAAAACTCACTTTTACAGACTCGCTTTTACGTGATGTTGTCTTTTATCTTTTTTTATCTCTATCTTTTATCTGTCTTATTTCGGCTTCACAATCTTATTATCTTTTGTTAAACTTGTGCTCTTTTCTTAATTAAACGTTAAAGCCCTTTTATTGTTTTATATCTTGCTCATTTCTATTGCTCTATTTTGTCATTCCTTTTATTATCAGGATTACCCGTTATCATTTTATTATCAGTTTATATTTACTATCCTGTTTCCACTTTCCTCCTCCCTTTTAATTGCATTTTTCTTTTTTCTTAACTGTTTTATGTTTTTATTTTGGTCCTCATGGTCTCATTTATGGTTCCTTATGACATGAAAATAACCTTCAATTTATCTTTTACTGACTTTTTTGTTTTTATTTGTCTTTTTCCATGTGCTCTACGGCTACATGTCAAAGATCTTTGTAATCATCTGTTTTTTTTAAAGTGCTATACAAATAAAGTTACAATTATTATTATTATTATTATAAATCTCCAAAACCTCCGACTGATCCAGGTGACGGGGGCGGCTTGGTAGATGGTGAAAAAGCCAAAAGAGTCTTTAGTTACAATGACTGTTTCTGTGATATGATGGGTCCACCAGAGCTGGAGGTTGGCTGTGTCCGTGCCTGTTTTCAATTAAGGCTCGTTTAAATGTGAGCTGATTGGGCACTGCGCCAGGAGAACCTCATTAGGTAAATGCTTTAAACTTAGCATTTAGTTTCAAGTGGAAAGTGAAACCATGTCTATGACATAACTTCTTTAGAGTGATGAAGTTAGCGGACGGTATCCACGGATGGAGAGAGTCATTCAGCGTTTTTCCATTTTAAAGACACACACTTTGATGTTTGTCACAGCACACACGGCTAAAAGGCTTCCGTGGCGTATGGAAAGAGAACGGTAGCAGTTTAACGAGACGAGAGCTGCTGTGTGCGAGAGTGAGCGTCATTTTAATCGCCTCAGGGTTGCCTAGCAACATTTGGCTGGTTAAAACACTCTGAAGTTTACAAGCTGTGTGTGTGTGTGCGTCAGGTAAAAGCTAGTCCCTTTATCCTGTCCATCACAAAAGCAGAGAGACTGACGGTGCAACACATCTGGTGCCTTTAATAGGAACCAACACTGACTTACAGATTATGGTGGTTCACAGATTTGGAGGTTGGAGAAGCTAATTATTAATAAAACCAAAACTGTCAAATTTTAGCCGATGAGGCAACAATTGGGAACTGATTTTGTATTTGTCATTTTGTCATTTGTGCTTTAGTCAGTTTGGTGGCTGAAATAGCTCAGTTACATGACTGCCTGAGTACAAAGTTGGATGAGGAGAGACATGCATATTCAGTTTTAGTTACAACATCCTCTGTATGAGTCAGAAACGAGGGTCCTGCTGATAGCCTGAGCCTCTTTAAGCCTCCTGACCTCGTTAAGCTTCCTGAGTATGATTGGACGACCTCTTCTTAATGAGGACCAGAAGTTTTTGACTGCTCGCCAAAGTAAGCTCGTCCTGAACATGGTGGTTTTTTTCAAAGATGGAAAAACAATTTTTTTGACACTGTTGAAAAAAAGTTTTTAAAAAGTAAGATTTTATTTATTTTCAGTTTTCAACAAGTCTTTTTTTTGAATGTTTTTCCTGCTACTTCATCCATCTTTTGCTTTGTTCAGCATGTTTGCTTGATTACGGGAAAAGTAACAAAAGCCAGGTCCGCAGAGACAAAATCTGGCAAAGAGAAACTTTAAATATTGTTGCAAAGATATTTTCAATTAAAATCTCGGAAACTTAGCTTTGGCAGCAGGCTTTTCATGTCGATAATCCAATATTCATACAGTAGACTGGGACAAAGTTCATTTCAAACCTCACAGGACAGTTTAACGCAATGATTTAAAGCTGTAAACCAACCAGACTGAGCTGTTGTTACTTTTTAAAGATCTTTCTTGCTCAACAGGAGTTACATTAGCCATTAGTGTGCCCTTAATATTGATTTAAAAACTGTAATCATGAGTTGAAGTCATTGTGTAATCTTGATTTTTCAACCAAAAGACAAAAGACGTGGAACATGTATTTGTGTGGTCCTATGCAAAGTAACAGTAAATGATTTTGTGGAATAAAATAATGCAAATCCTCTCATTTTCATGTGGAGGATGCTGTTGTTTAACCAAAGTCAGCCAGTGCTGCTGTGAAAGCCTCCTCCTTTCACTGAGCTAATGGCTAATGACCACAGAGCTCCTGGCGGTCATAGCGGGGCGCTAACAGCAGAGGGGTGGTGACTGTGTTTGATCTCAGCAGGACAGGAGGAGCATTAAAACAATACATGGAGCCACGCTGCAGGAGCGGCAGTAAAACACACAGCTTCTTTTTGACTGAACACGAGCAGCGAGAAGAGAGACCACAGGCCAAGAGAGAAAAGAGAAGCTAAGGGGAGAGTCAAACACTCACTATCAAATATCAATAACATGGAAATGAGTGTACGGAAAACGATAAATCAAACATAATTAAAATAGATGAAGATGACCTTTTTACTCAAACACTTTTCAAAAGATATTTATATTTTCATCCCTCAAATTAAGCCCAGTAGTAGAAACTTTACAAGCAAACCATCTCTGGAGGATTACCAGCTGGGAAAAACGATAAACTCGCCCTAAACCGCAGACTTCCAAGGGACAAAAAGCCTCAGGTTCACCGCGGGTTCAGAACTTTTTGGTAATTTCATAACATTTCTGGAAACTTATACCACCCAAGTGCAATATTAAAAGGGTCCTGCATTTATTCTTGGGACTCTTTGATATGTGCCTTTGATATTCAGTGTTTATTGCGCATTGTCCTACTTCTATTCTCGCTACTATAACATGCAATTTCGAAATCCCAAAAAAAAACAGTGTGAGATTTTTAAAGTTTGTTTGAAGCTCAACATAAATGTAACAATAACATAAAAAGCAGCTCATGAAACTTCAATAACAAAGCTGAAGTCTCCTGTTGTGGCAGGTTTCAGCTCCTTTCATAACTTTAATTTGTCATAAATGCTCTTTCTCAGAAAAAGCTAACTGTCACAGTTACTATTGTCACCACTGCAAGACTTGATTCTTGAAAATTTACACATTTATTGCCATAAATGTACATCTTTCATTTAGAATTTTTCAGGTTTATTGTTACAATGTTCAACTTTATTCTAAAAATGAACTTCGTGGGCTCTATTTTCGTGCCCGCCGGCGGCACGGCAGAGGGTGACGGACCCCGCGCAGTGGTGTTTTCGTCTGGCGGAGTACCAATAACATAAAAAACAGCTCATGAAACTTCAATAACAAAGCTGAAGTCTCCTGTTGTGGCAGGTTTCAGCTCTTTTCATAACTAATTTTTACCGTCAATTTGTCATAAATCCTAAACTCTTTCGCAGAAAAAGCTATGACAACACTGATAAGACAAAAATGTTTGTCTTATCAGTGGGTCCAACCCTACTCACACCAAATCCCTCTGTGCTTATATGAGACAGTGTGCAGGCGGACCTGACTGACACTGCGCCTACGCCACGCTGCCGGCGAGGCACAAAAATAATAATAATATAATATAAATTTATGTTTAATTACATCTGTATTCTTTAAACTTGAAATTAATTTTCCTAATGAGGTGGCCCCTAATGCTTCATTATGCTTAACAGGCGTCAACTGCAAGAAAAACAAGTTTAGGCAGTGTCCTGCAAAAATAAAACTTCAGACATAGAGAATTATATAGAAACCTGTGACTGGAATATGTGAGGACATCTACTTTTTTAACACACCAGGCAATACAAGAACCCTACAAAATAAATGGGACCATGAGGACCAAAATAAAAGCAAAAAAAAGAAATAGAAAAGGAGGGAAGAAAACAGGCTAGTAAGTATGAAAGAGGATATTAATAATAATAAAATCATAATCAAATAAAATGATGGTAATATAAATGATAAAGTGGAATTAAATATATATATATAAAATAAAGGAAAATGAAAACATTAAAATCAATAAAAAGATTATAAGTAAAACAAAGGCTAAAAAGGCAGTAAGTCTAAATAAGAAAGAGGTGAAAGAGGTAAAAGAAAAAGGAGAAAAATAAAAACGGTAAAAGGCAATAAAAGATGAAAGATGGCATCACATAAAGGCAAGTCTGTAAAAGTGAGTTTTTAAAATTGACTTAAAAGAAGCGACTGTCTCTGCACGCCTTATCTCCTCTGGCAGGTCGTTCCAAAGTCGAGGAGCTCTGATGGAGAAAGCTCTATCACCTTTAGTCTTGAGCCTCGACTTTGGAACGACCAGGAGGCCTTCGCCAGAGGATCTGAGGCTGCGAGTTGGCTCATAAGATATTAAAAGCTCTGAAATGTAGCTCGGAGTAAGTCCTTTGAGCGCTTTAAAAGTAATCAATAAAATCTTAAAATCAATTCTAAAGCTGACAGGGAGCCAGTGAAGGGAGGCTAAAATTGGGGTGATGTGATGCCGTCGACTAAAACCAGTTAAAAGTCTAGCTGCTGCATTCTGAACTAGTTGGAGGCGAGAGAGTGATTTCTTGTTTAAACCAGGGAGGAGAGAGTTACAATAGTCCATTCTTGAGAAAATGAAGGCGTGGATTATCTTTTCGAGATCTGGTGGGGTGAGTATTTGTTTAATCTTTGAAATGGAGCGCAGGTGAAGGAAACAGGACTGGACAATCTTGTTGATATGGGTGGAGAAGGTGAGGTCTGAATCAAAGGTTACTCCCAGATTTCTGGCTGTTGGTTTGATGATTACTGAGTGTGGACCGAGACAAGACTGAATGAGGGGGGAGTTTTGTATGTTACAGAGAATTATTTCAGATTTTGAATAGTTTAGCTGAAGGAAATTTTGTGCCATCCAACAGTTAATGTCACTTAGACAGTCCATGACAGCAGCTAGGCCTCTTGGGTCCTCAGGTCTCAAAGGAAGGTATATCTGTGTGTCGTCTGCATAGCAGTGAAAGGAGACTTTGTGGCGCTGAATTAATTGGCCAAGGGGCAGCATGTATATAGAAAATAAAATTGGACCTAAAACTGAACCTTGCGGAACACCACAGGCGATAGGAGAAGTAGAGGAGGTGTGATTGCCTATGGTGACCGCAAAGGTTCGTTCTACGACTGAAACCAGCCAAGTGCAGTGCCCCTGACACCCACCCAGTTTTTAAGACGTTCAATTAAAATAGTATGATCAACTGTAGCAAAAGCTGCACTGAGATCTAAAAGAATTAAAATTGAGCCCTCCCCTCTATCTGCTGCTAAAAGAAGGTCATTGGTCACACGGAGGAGGGCAGTCTCAGTGCTGTGACCTGCTCTAAAACCAGACTGAAATTTCTCAAAGAGGTTGTTTTCGGACATAAAACATAAAAGCTGTTTAGAAACCACCTTCTCTAAAAGTTTGGATAAAAATGGAAGTTTTGAAATTGGTCCCATGACTTCGTTTTTGAGTTTACTCTTATAAATTTATGTTTAATTACATCTGTATTCTTTAAACTTGAAATTAATTTTCCTAATGAGGTGGCCCCTAATGCTTCATTATGCTTAACAGGCGTCAACTGCAAGAAAAACAAGTTTAGGCAGTGTCCTGCAAAAATAAAACTTCAGACATAGAGAATTATATAGAAACCTGTGACTGGAATATGTGAGGACATCTACTTTTTTAACACACCAGGTATGACTTTAAATTGCTCTTTCTGCAGTCATCCAAAAGTACATACCATGATTCAGAAATTCCTTCATGGAGAAAAAAAATACATTTCTGAAAGGTCAACAGCTTTAACATGTCAAGGTGGTTATTCAATATGATTCATAGAGACGGGCAGTTTTCTTACTGTGTCCTGTAGAAACTGACGAACGATGAATAATTAAACTGACTGAAATAAAGGGGGGAAAAAACCTCAGCTGTTGGTGATAAACACTTAAACTCCTGGAGACTTAAATACTTCAATGATTGTATATTTTTACACATCTGATTCAAAACGCAGTGCCAATACAGTGAATAATTGCAGTTCTAATGACAGTTTTTGAGACGGCAACACAGAAGGTAAAGGGAAGTATAAATTAGGAACAGCTCTGTAGTTGTATAAATCCTCTATACATAGCAGAAAAGTAGTTTAACTGTGCATATAAATCTAAATGTGTTTTTTTCATCATTCTGATATGAGAAAAAGTTGAAGTTCAAGTCTGAAAACACTTAAGTGTCGTCTGAATATAAAGGTTTGTTTGTGCGGTGGATGCACTAAGGTAGAGATGTAAAAGCAGCTTACAGTCAGGCTTTGTGGAGCAGGGTCAGGTTATAAATTGCATTTGGATAAAGTTCAATACTGAGAGGCTGGAATAGATTCAAATGCATATATATGACAGATGGGAGAGTGTGTTTTCCATATGTGAACTTAAGATGACTGCTGCACAAATACAGACAGGCAATATGAAAAAAAGTTTGAATAAATTACCTCTAAATTAAATATGATTCATCTGTTTTGTTGAAGACTTTGTGATGATGATATCTGACACCACCCTCCATAGACAATAAATACTTGTTTTACCTTAAGCTTGTAAATGTTTTTGAATTTGAACTACCTGAACTCAAACAACGCAGACAGACAAACCAGCTGAAATGGAAGTCGACCAGCGACTCCTGTTGAATCAGTGTGGTGGCTTTAAAAAGAGCAATGTAACATCTGTCTCTGATTGTAGCACATCAGAAACTCTAAGTTACTACCATTAACACTAACATAAAGTGAGTATATCATTCTCAATGACTGTTTTTATCATGTACAGATACACAAATACAGTGTGAACTAGGATGTTCTCAAGTACTCAGTAAAAAGTCAAAAAAATAATATATTTTAACAACTGCAGGATCACAGAGTCGAAACAATTCAAAACTGGTTTGCCCTGCGTGGCTACCAACAGTAGAGCTAGCACCACCAGGCTTTGGTCCTACCCCACAGGTTAACACCCACATACCTGAGCTTATTACACATTGTTTCAGTCAAGTTAACATGATTTATTTAACATAACTTGACAGGGCATCTTTGAGACTGTAGATAAATAATGTGACATTTCGCTGTGTGGCTAATATTAGCAGAGCCTTCGGTCCTCCTATCAGGTCCTTCAACATGCCTGTGCTGGTTACCCCGGCTGAGTAGTTTCATTCTACCCAGTTCAAAATACGGATTAACTACCCCACACCATGAGACACCATCTGTCATCTGTGTTAGTTTGCATCCAGGTAGTAAAGTGTTGTGCCATTTAGCATTTAGCATTTTAGGCCTAAAATTGTCAAAATATTGATAACTTGCCCAACTTGAGTGGTAAGGGTGATGATTCCTTTAGTCGACTGAGGACACACATTCCTAATATTGTTTGTTTACAGGATCCTTTCTATGTGTCATCTAGCTCCGCCTCTTTTCCTCTCATCATCAACACATTGGTCACGATGGTCAAGTACCACTGTGTTGTCTGTCGTGTGTGTCAGTCACAGCACAGATTTATGGCCCCGTTATTGCTTAATCTGTCTTTGTGACCATCATAACAGAGACAACTAGAAAAGCACTCTGAGAGCGCAGACCTCCGCCAAGCAGCTCATGTCCCCCCTTATATTGTGATTCACAGCAAAACTTTTACTGTTACGTGTCTTTTATTAACTTTTATTTGTGTTTAAACTGGTATGTTCACTGTTCATAATGTTCCTAAAACAAGAAATGCCCTGACCCGGATTCAAACCCAGGACCTTCTTGCTGTGAGGCGGCAGTGCTAACCACTACACCACTGTACCGCCTATCTACACCACTCTGCCGCCCATTGGTTATCATTCAGCATTGAAAATTCCAACGACACCCTTATTTTTGTGTGTTCTGGATCAAAGTATCCGGAATTTTGTCCGGATCACCACCAAAATGTAATGGGATCCGCCTGGGGCTGAGACGCACCTCTGGTGAAAATTTCAGGTCAATTTGTCTGTTACTTTCTCCGTAAACAAACAAACAAACCAACGCTACCAAAAACATAACTTCCTTGGCAGAGGTAATAAAAAGACACAGATTCATCACAGGTTTTTGTCAGGCGACACCAGTGATGCCTTTTCAGCGAGTTGTACTCATGAATATCTGGGAAACCCCTCCTCTCTCGCATTAATTAAATAGTTGGAGCTCTACCTTAGACACAATCTAGCACGCAAATATAGTGAGTGAAGACACAACATTAAAGCATCAAATGCATGTGAATCAAGTATCTTTATTTTATTTGCCGTGGGAAATAAAATAAATGTTAACCAGGAGGGAGATTCCTCTTTCTGCCTTCGAAAGTTTCATAACTCCAGAGACTAAACAGTTATTTTTCTTGCTAAGTGAAATCAATGGACTTGTCAACAGGCTGTTTCTGGTTAAAATGGATCTTACATTTCAACAAAATAGGTCTCTCTGTACAGAACCTCTTTGTAATGTTCTTAGACACTGATATTAACAGTCTGTCAGAGACAAACACAGAGACTTCATGTGTTTTAATCAGCCATTACAGCCTGTTTCACAGCTGCAGGCAGAGACAAATCCACTGGAGATATTCCAAACCCTGTTATTAGTCATATAGACCTAAAATACCTCTGAATAGTGCTCAGGTTTATTTACCTTGAATAAGTCATCTTTTTGTTTTATAAATCATTTTCCTGTTTTGCTGAAGCTTTGCCATCTAAAGGTTCATCCTGACTGCAGCTGACATGTTAAGTTTCCACTGATTGTAGTGATTCCCACTTTATCTAACTTTGATTTATTCAGTCCAACTTTATTTTATTTCCTCCTGAGACCAAAGTACAATCTAAATAAATATTGTGGTTCAATACAATCCACAAGCCAGACGGTTGTTTTTACATGTGAGCCAGATTTTCCTTTTTTTTCAGTGTGGTATTCTGGCAAAACAGGTAATTTGATATTCAAACCAATAAAGTGGATTTTATTGGATTAGGCCCATGGGAGACAGAGAGGGGGGAAGATAGAAAACAGGAAAGAAAGGGAGAGATAGACGGAAAGAATCGAGAGAGATAACCTGACAGAGGAGAGAAAGAGAGTTTCCGCTGGCCTCGGCTCGAGCTGCAGACTCAAAACCATATGCTTGTCATAGCGTTGTGTGAGAGTCTGAGTGTGTGTGTGTGTGTGTTAGTGAGTGAGTGTGTGTGTTAGGTAGGCAGGGCTTAGCTGGAGGAAAAACTGCTCAGACTGGGAACCTGCTGCTCAGACAGCAGGATCCCCAGGACAAACGGAGAACAGACAGACAGACAGAGACAAAGAGACAGACGAGGAAGAAGACAGGATGAGATAATGAGGAAGATGAGTCATTAAAAAGAGAGACAGGGGCATTGGAAAGACAAAGTGTTTTCATGTCAAACTGCAGGAGGCGCCTGTGACAACATAATCCTCTTCAATACCGAGGAATAAGCTGACAGAAATTAAGCTGGAAAACAAACGAGCAAATCAATCAAAGGATCAATTAGCCTGAATTAGGGAGATTCCAAACTGGGTCCAGGACTTAACAACAGGATTAAGATCATCATCATCGAAAAAATTTACGGATCTGCCGTCAAGATATCAAGCAAGCTTTGGCAAACCAGAAATGTCAGATCAAAACAAATGAAAGATCATATTCAGACCAAAAGACATGTCATTTTTTGTCTCCTATCATTTAGTTGGACACGTGACCTGAGTGGGAGGCAAAATATGCTGACGTTTGCCTGATACCCCTCCTTGAATTTTGATCATTATCGTCACGCAGTTGATATGTGAGAGTCAGAATTCAGTCACGCTCTGCTCTACCGGGTGGTATTTAAGGCCGTGAAGATAATCACATGCAAAGAGACGTGAGCAGAATCTTCATATGCAAAAACTCTCATGAGAAGACGAACTATAAAGTATATTTTTGGTTGTTACCTCCGCCAAGGTAGCGTTGGTTTGTTTGTTTGTCTGTTGGTTTGTTTGTTTGTCTGTTAGCAACTTTACGGAGAAAGTTACCGACGGATTGACTTGAAAATTTCACCAGAGGTGCATCTCAGCCCCAGGAGGATCCCATTACATTTTGGTGGTGATCCGGACAAAATTCTGGATACTGTGATCCAGAACACACAAAAATAAGGGTGTTAATGGAATTTTCAATGCTGAAAGATAACCAATGGGCGGCACAGTGGTGTAGATAGGTGGTACAGTGGTGTAGTGGTTAGCACTGTCACCTCACAGCCAGAAGGTCCTGGGTTTGAATCCGGGTCAGGGCGTTTCTTGTTTTAGGAACATTATGAACAGTGAACATACCAGTTTAAACACAAATAAAAGTTAATAAAAGACACGTAACAGTAAAAGTTTTGCTGTGAATCACAATATAAGGGGGGACATGAGCTGCTTGGTGGAGGTCTGCGCTCTCCGAGTGCTTTTCTAGTTTATTATTGTGATTTCCAAAAAAATGGGCAAAACATTAGTAAAAGAATGTGTGCACTACCAATACAACCAACTTATGTATCCTCGTGGCATCGAGGATGCTGGCTTTTGAACTTGAGGCTGACAGGGCAAAGGATGTAGCATCCATGGTTTCCAAAAAATAATGTAAAATGTTGATTTCTTTCATCATCTTTGCTGGATGTGGTTGTAAACTCTGCCAGCATCACATCTCATTTCAGAATAGGCTTTTCAATGATTTGAATTTCAACTCTCTGGCCCAAGAAAAACCTAATTTCTCACAACAAATAAAGAATGAAATCCATTATTAATGTTAAATAAACAAGAGGATCAAATACATCTACAAATCCGCTTGTTATTCTGTAAAACCATGTTGAAATATACCCTGTTTTGAAGCTGAAAAGAAAGCATCAGGGCCAGAAAACGCTGACTGAGAGAGAGCCAATCACCACAAATGATAAGATATACTTTGGAATAAGCCAATCAAATTCAACCGATCACACATACACTGACAGGATAAGACTGCATGTCAAATATCAGACAGAAAGTTGAGCCAACAAGATAGCCAGGAAACAGCTGGTTTGATAAAGAAGCAGACTCAACATCAGCAGCAGAGCTTTCTCTGGCTTTTCATTTCTCCAGAAAGAATAAACTAAGATTAGAGGAACATGTGACTATATCAAACTTTGTGGGGTTTATTAATTGCTTGGATGACCTACCAGAGTCTTGGTCCATTTTGATTGACAGGGCCGGGCTCTGGGGGGCAGAGTCTTCACTCAGAGAGTAGCTGTGCTCTGCTTGAATATCTGTAAGATTCAAAAGCCCCGTTCAAAGATGACAGAAACTTGACAGTGATGGCTTCTGGGAAACCACACGTGTATTAAAAGGCTGTGTTATTCTTCCATGAAGCTTTCATGAGAGGAAATTTAATGAGTGTTCGATGAGTTGTGGCAGAAAGTGACTGTTCTGCAGTAGACACGTCAGGTGAAATCACAGGAATATGGATCACCTAGAGATCATTTCCTTTTCGCCTAAAGGTTTTCCAGCTGGGGACAGGTTGTCTTATACTAATAAGGTTACATTTAGAAACAGAGCAGATCTTCATGTAAGGTCAGATGTGGGTGAGATGGCTGGACATTAACCCTGAAATCTCTGCAACAGAAGTGGTCCATGACATGAGCGCTGAAAGCTGAATATTAAAGTGTTTTATATCTCTAGATCCTTCACAGCCTTTGCCAAAAATCACGAGTTTCTGAAGATTTGAATTTAAATTTCAGATATGCATTTTTTTCTGTGAGGTGCAAAGATTTTTTTTTTATTTAATTTAATCTGATAGAAACAGAAATACACCACCTACATTAGTGTTTTTGATCTTTCACAAAAAGGGGTCAGGGTGAAAAACGAAAAACAAGTTCCTCATCCGATATTTCCCAAAATTAAGGGCAGGCATGTGCATAATTGGCCGGCGAACCAATTAACGTTGTAACCTTTGCTAATCCAAAACTCTAATGATATGTCTTCTAAACTCATTGTTAAATTTTTTTCTTTTCTTGGCCTTAAATATCCACCGTATGCTGCATCAAAGCCGTGGATCAGATTTCTTTCACTGACCAAGGCTGTGGCTTGACTTAGTGTCGACATATACTGATACAACCCTCTACTATCCAGATGTAAACAAGCACAGATGACAGATGACATCGCTGCACAGCAAGGTTTGTCAGTATTGTAGTGACATGTAGACTCTGTTTAAATCACCAGCACAGACATGTGAATGTTAGCCTGCAACGGGACCGAGAGATGGTGGTGCTAGCTCTGCTAGTGTTAGCCATGGTGTATAATTCAATGTTGTTTATTGCAGTAAAATAAAAGTGACAAAGTGAAATTTGGCTGTAAATATTTGGAGAATGAGTATCCATCTATTCATGATGATTAATTAATGGTAATTTTACATGCTCTAAATTATTTTCCGTGACCTTTTAAAACATCAAAGTCCCAATAAAAGATTTTGTTTCAGTCTAAGTATGACAAAGGTGGACAGACTGAAACAATAAGTCTGTGCAGGCCTGTGTGTCCAGCTCATGAACTTTATCTTGGAGTGGATCATCTACTGGAAGCTCAGCTGGTTGTAGTCTGAAACATCACCTGCTGTGTGTGGGGTGGACGTCCTGTGTGTTTCCTTCTGGTTTAAGCGCAGTATTTTTAAAGACTCTGGCAGCAGAAACTGGCTCTCATGGTGGAATCTGATCTAACCAGGGAGCCAGGGCCGATGTCAGCGGTTTAAAAGTTACAACTCGATATAGTTGGTCTTTGTGTTTTGGCTTTTTGAATCAATCCAAATAATAGGATTTGGGTCTTTTTCCACCCAGACGCTGGCTTAGAAGTGGAACAACAGGCTGCTGCTCAGGCTGGAGTTGATCCAATGAAACCAGAATGTCAATTAAACCGGACAATTAGATGCAGAGGGGAAAAATTTGGGATTTGGGGTCCTATAAGCATTTCAAAGCAAAACATCTTTAAGACAGCGGTTTGGTTTTGGAAAGAAACTACACAGGCAAACTTAATTTACCTGCTGAGGACTTTTAATTGTTTCAATAGACTGCTCGAGCTCTGGAGAGATGTAATTTGAAGGAATGGACCCTGATTGATTTAAGGATTTCATGGATTATTCTTGATTGGCATGTCTTTTCATTTAAGGATCCCTTTTTTCTATTAAGAAAGCAACATACCTGGGCTGCTCTCCATGTCAGTGTCCATGTGTAAAAGTGGAGGTCTGTCTGCCACAAGGGGGCGCTCTAATAGATGGTCGTCAAAGAAACTGCTGAATAATTCACTGCTGAAATCGTCCATCTGGTCTCCTGAGAAAGGCTGCAAAACACAAGGAGAAAGATGGAGAAAGAGATGATTAGACAGTTAAACATTATACAGTTCAGTTAGTTATTGTTTTTCACAAATGACTCTCAAACTGTGATACAAAACTTTCAGATAAACTCAAAGATGAAGTTCACCTTTAGAAAGCTTCAGGACTATTTTTCCAAACTTATCAGAGAGAAGTGCGACAGACTTTCATGATTGTTCACAGTGTCCAAAATTTTCAAACTTGAGGTCCTTACACACCAATTATTCGCCTTTATTCACCTTTTTTTTTAAGACAGCATAAAAGTCAATGCAAGCTTCCACATCGGCGGCGATTTTTCCGCGGGGCGAAAAGCGACTTTTATTTTTTCGCTCTTGTGTCGAATTTTTCGGAGATTCACAGGCGAATATCTGGACCTGCTAGACCTCTGGCCAATCAAAAGTCATGTTGTTGATGACGTCACAGACCCATGCGGCTTTTGGGGGGTGGAACTTCAGCTGCTGGATGGTGGTGTGGAACTCGCCCATCTCCTTCCTCAAAGTCAATATGGGATGTACCCAAACACTCCTTTGATTCTTCTTCTTCTTGTTTGTTTGTTTGTTTGTTTGTTTGTTTGTCTGTTAGCAACTTTACCAGAGGTGCATCTCAGCCCCAGGAGGATCCCATTACATTTTGGTGGTGATCCGGATCGCCTTCTGGATCCAGGAATTTTTTGAAGGATTCTTTATCATTGTGAGATAGATATTTTGGAATTTTTGCATTTAACTCTATAAAAATGTCCAGAGTCTTTAGTAAAAAATGACACAAAAGGATCTCAATGAGTTTGATGAGGTGTCAAAGGTTGATCCTGATCCAGACAAAATTCTGGATACTGTGATCCAGAACACACAAAAATAAGGGTGTCATTGGAATTTTCAATGCTGAAAGATAACCAATGGGCGGCACAGTGGTGTAGTGGTTAGCACTGTCGCCTCACAACCAGAAGGTCCTGGGTTTGAATCCGGGTCAGGGCATTTCTTGTTTTAGGAACATTATGAACAGTGAACATACCAGTTTAAACACAAATAAAAGTTAATAAAAGACACGTAACAGTAAAAGTTTTGGTGTGAATCACAATATAAGGGGGACATGAGCTGCTTGGCTGAGGTCTGTGCTCTCCGAGTGCTTTTCTAGTCTTGTTCATATCATGGAAAAATCTCATAAATCAGTTAGGCTGCAGATTGTTACGATTAAGATTATAATTATTTTGTCATTGGCTCAAGCTAATCTATTGACAAATGTAGACTGATATCAGTACTATGTTGTAACAGTAGTATGAAGCAAAAATAGCAAATTTATAAACCACGTCTCAGAGCCAGAAAGCAGACAGACTGTGTTGATGGCATCAAAAAAAAGCTTAGACAGATCCATCTTCAGTCTGGATGAATGAGTCACCGAGCAGCAAGAGAAAGATGATGTCCTGGAAGCCTGGGACAGCATGGTGCTTTCATTCACTGGTTTACACACAAACACACACAAACACACATAGTATGACTCATCTTCGTCTTGAGCAAACATGCACAAAGTGGTTTTCAGTCACAGATGGAGTGTTTGGAAGTGATCAGCTGCAGCAGTAAACTCCACTGTGAGGTTTCTGACAGACACAATGACAGGAATAACCTGATCTCATTAACAAGAGAAACAAAGACCCACTTTCAAGTTTCATTCCTGGAAATGAACCTCAGCTCTGTCCCTAACACTGCCATCGGTGTCTGAGCAGATCAAATCAGGCGAAGGATAATAAATTCAGAGCGAACATTAATATTTTTATTATCAACAGTTGGGGAATAAAGGCTGGCGCTGCAGTTTCCTCTCAGCTCTGTGGAACTTTCTGGCTTCTTTCGGTTCATTGTTTTGGTTTTATGTCCCACAAAATGATCAAGAATAAGGAAGCTGGAACAAAACGCTATAATGTTCTGTTCAGGATTTATTAGGTCAAGTGCAAGAGGAGAATATTTTGGTGAGTAGCTTTATTTTGGTAGGAAAAACTGAGCACTCCTGATGAACTCAGAAATTTGGAAAAAGAAGTACAACATTAGTAAAAGTTTGAGCGCTTGATTGTTTATTGTTGAAGTGCTCATCACTGCAGTTAAAGAGAGTAAAAAGACAGCAAAGTTAGCAGGCTGTATTGAAGGTTTTACAAGGACTGTTTGAGTTTGGGAATCAGAACTGTTCTGTTTCATACTACTCAAAGTGTTGTCTTCTCATTAGGGCTGGGACGATACGCATTTGTTCCGATTGGATTCTTCTACGATTTTCTGCATTTTTAACACCAGTGAAACGGTTGAATGATTATGATTGTCTACTGACTTTTCCAGGAACCATATTTCCCCCCAAAATACTCAAAACATGTAAGTCAGGTTTTAAGATTTATTTTTAAATGTGAAAAAAAAAAAATTTTTGAACATAAAAAGCAAAGTCGTCAGAAATTGTTTAGATCCGCAGAAGACGTAGGATATAAATGATTCCTGCCGACTTTGCAAAGTCAACTGCAGAATTAATGGCGTTCTGAATGAACGGCGCTTTGAAAAGTCCCGCAGCATGTGTTAGACGTCACCATCTACACATGGACCAATCAGGGGCTGCCTTTCCCTGTTGTCTGGGAACAGTGGAAACACAGTCACTGATTGGCCCGGTTATTTTCTGATCGCTAATACACGCTCCCAATGGGCCGAAGTCCAGACTGTTGTGGGAAGGAACGGCAAGTGATTCACGCAACAGGATGGCCCAGCCAGGCTATCAGGACGCCTCCCGTTAGAGGTGTTCCAGACATGTCCCACCGGGAGGAGACCTCGTGGCCGGCCCAGAACCAGGTGGAGGGACTATATCTCTCGCCTGTCCTGGGAGCGCCTGGGAATCCGCCTGGTGGAAGTGGCTGGGGTGAGCGACCCGGACCCGGATGAAGCAGAATAAAAAGACAGCGACATATCTCAGGCCGTTTACTATCTGTATCAACACAAAAACTACAATTTTTGTGGTTAAGATTCATACTTTCTGAAGCACAGTTAGAAAACCACTGAGGTTGTTGATGTTTTTCTACACTCATTGTCTATACAATTTAGTATACCAGAAAAAGATGTTTTTGTCCAGATAAATGCACGTCAAATGCAGAAGAAACAGCAGGGTGTTCAAAAACATCCGGCGACAGCGTTCAGACAGCTCTGCTCGGTGTGAACAGAATACTATCTAAAATATGAAACAGCAAAGAAAGAAGTATAAAGCACGAAGGGATTCAAGTTTTTCAAAGCAAATGTACTTCGCTGTATTCAAACTGTTCACAAAGTACGTAAACACTGAAAAGAAGAAGCAGTCAGTGACAAAGGATGCAGCTTACATCTTCAAGAGTGTCTTAATTTATGAGTGTGCGGAGGAGGTCATGTCTGTCTGTGGTGAAACTCTCTAATGAAACCATGTGGAGAAAGCAAACACACACACACACACACTTCCACATGCACACAGACAGACAGAGGGCAGACACACAGATGGTGGGTAAAATAACACATGACACATGAAGAACTGCTGATGCTGGGAAACTCCGCTGACCTGTGCTGTGTCGAAGGATTACTAACAGCAAGCTTGGAGGAAGGCTGGACTGGACGCTTGATAATTTATACGATATCAAATCTGTGGAGCGAGATTAAACAACGCCAAACGATCCCATATAAGTGTTTGTATCTTGGCATAATCTTGCAGCTAAGTCAAGGGTATAAGAGGATAAAGACGCTACTCAGCCAGGTGTGCATGCATACACTCGGTAATCCTGCAGACTCTTGAAGTGAATGCTCACTCATTCATAAACAAAACACAGGAGGGAGTAGTGCTGACAGAGGAGCCTTGTTCTCCTGCTGAGCTGACTGATGACACACACACACCCTTTAAATAACCCGGACAGACGCTGCCCCTTTAACTCCGAATATGGGTCACTTTCTAACCGGACTGCTCAAAAATAAACAGTCAAAGTTTCCCACATGGAGAAATGTGGGTGAGATCGGTTTAATGCGGGGAGGGAGAGGAAGCAGTTTGACTAAATTTAGCTCTAATAGCTGCAAAACAACAGTGTTAGCTTTTACTTTACCCTCAGTTGACATTTCTGAATGACTGAATTTCTTAAAAGCTCCATGTTTTACATTTCTAGTTTGTTTTTTGTTTTTCCTCTTTGTTGATCTTTGGCACACCTGGAGCCTGTCTGATACACAGCTGTTACCTTTCATTACTGTGTTGAACTTTTCTGACAAATCGAAGTTCCTTTTTGCCTTCTTAGTATTTCACATTTGAGTGTCTGTGTCCCACACCATTTCAGTTTAATAAGAATAAGAATAAGAATAAGAATAAGGAGAACTTTATTAATATGTCTCTAAAAGTTATCTACTATTTACACAAGAGTTATAAAGTCTAATGTCTGTTGGTACAAAAGATCTTCTGAATCTTTCTGTCCTGCAGCGAAGAGAGAGGAGCCGTCCACCACCATTGGCCCTTTGGTCCATCAAGGTGTTGTGAAGTGGGTGATCCATGTTCTTTAGAATAGTCTCTATCTCTCCATCACATCCTCCACTGAGTCCAGCTTGAGTCCTACCACAGAGCTAGCCCTTTTTCACCAGTTTGTTAATATGCAGAAGGGAAATCTGTTAACTGAGTTTTTTGCTCATTTCAAGACTCCTCTCTCCACATGTGGCTGCCTGACATTTTGTACCACTGTACATGAAGAAGATACAGTGGTCTACTAATAATCTTTGCAGGAGCAGGAACTTCCTGGTGCTCCCAATCGTTATTTCTCATTGATTTGAGCTTCTTATGATGAAGTGAGAGTGAGAGCTGTTTGAGGGGAGGAGAGAGTCTGTGCCCACACTCTGCAGTTCATTCAACATGTAGTACATAACAAGGGAAAGAGCAGGCAACTCAATATTGTGCATTCTCGATTCTTATATTTCTATGATCGTGGATGGCCAAAATCAAAATTGAAATGTATCATACTAGTTTTAAAAGTTGACAGAAAGAAAACACATTTTTGTATTTTTCAGCTGGCATACAAACACCTACATTTAAGAAGAAAAATGTTTGATTTTGTTAACTTGAAACTAGGGCCCGATTTTAGCCCGTTTGAGACTAATTGGTAATTGACCAAAACTCGCTGATTTTCGCCAATATTTTCAGAAATACAATGCGGAGAATAAGATTCAGTTTCACTTCGAAAATGTTCCGCTATTTGAAAAGTTCCCCAACTTATCCTGTAGATGGCGCAGTGACCTCATGACATCCACTAACTACCTCACAGCACAGCAGAGTGACGGATCTGAAGCAGGCAGGAGAGTGGTCCACCTCAACAGTAAATAAACCAGTTTGTGAAATACACAATAAGTCGACAAGTTTCAGTTTAACCCACTTCACCATGTTCCCCGCTGTGCTGGTCTCAGTCCCGCCGAGTTAACGGTGAATCACCATGTAAAATGCAAGCTAAAGGTAGCATAAACAACAGTACACATTAGTGATCGAGCTGCTTCTCTTACTGAGGCAGCTGCATGTCTCCAGATGAGACAGGACCGGAAATGAGGCGGCCGTGGGTGTGGGTGTGGGGGGGAGGTATCTATAGTATATCTATCTACAGTAAATACATATATATTTTTTAAAACTTCATGAAAAAAATTTAAAAATCGGCCGATTAATTGGTAATCAGATCCCCCCCCCTAATAATCAGTATCGGCATTGGCCCCCATGGGTTTCCATCTATGCAGGTTTAGGAAAGGTGTCGGGGTTGGAAGGATAAGAGAGTGGCTGTTCTCGATGTTTTAAAGGTAAGACTTGACAAACCATAACTAAACATCACAGGAACACAACAGCTGACAAAAGGGCTGAGCAAGAGAGCATTTCAGTCTAGAAATGACCTCTGAATATGGCTAAATATTACACACTGTACCTTTAAAAATGTGCAAAAGTAAGACAGTGGTTTAAAAATGTCAAAATTCCTGTTACAGCCAAGCATCGAGTGATCAGTTTAGTCGACAAAAAGCTTTTGGGTTCTAAAAAAAATGGAAAATATTCAAATTAAAACCCCACGGAAAACCTGGAAAAGTTTTGCAAGATATCAACTTACCAAAATATTGACTGTTGCATCTGCAGTTTAGTTTAACTGGGGGGGGGGGGGGGTTCATTCTTTAAACATTAAAAGACAAAATAATATTATCAGATAAAAAATACAGATATAAGAAAATGATTATCAGAGTTGATACCATCAAGTGTTTTCTGTCTTTTTGTTTATTCCAACTGGAATTTCTCTATTCAGTCAGGCGTCTTGTTCCATCTACAGCTCAGCTTTTAAAAAGAGAGCGATAAACAAGCAGTGGAAGCTGTTACCGCTGTTATTAGGAGAGGAAACTTAGTCTTTAGTGCAGGAACATCTGCAGTCAGTGTGAACAGAGAAACAGACGTCTGGACCTCTCATTACCTGACCCCTCTCCGCTCAGAAAAGGATCACATCAGGGAGGAAGAACCGTGTTAAAAAGCAGTTGACAGTTTTTACGGCTTATTTCAGAGGTGCTGTGTCATTAAAAGGGGATGGGGGGCTGGGATGGAAACCACACAGAGTAGGAGAGCTGAGAAAGACAGATGCAAGGAGTCATTATAAACGCCTGTAATTAACAGTGTTCAGTCTCAACATATCTCTCTGCTCTTGTTTCATTTTAAGGAACAGAAACAGACTGAATGAAAGTCTGCAAATGTGGACTTCTAAGAGTCTATCATAGCAGTCATTTCTTTAACCCAGTGAGGCTGGAATATGTTGGTAAGAGGGGCGACCTCCTGCAGTGCATTCAGACAGCAAATGAATCATGCTCACCAGCGGAAAGAATATTTACTTCACACTAAACCAGACCAGAAGCCAGACCCAAAACTAGAAACCTTTGTGGACTCCTCAGAACATCATGTACAGGCCAAACAGAAACATGTTCATGTAAACTTGAGTCTGTCTTGTTTAAATTTTTGCTCAGGTCAGAAGAAGAAAATAAAACCCGCTGAAAGCCAAAAGTGGTCTAATTTTCAGCAGGTTTATGCTGAAATAAGCAATCTGTGTTTGGCATGAATAAGTATTACAAAGGATAACCAATAACTGATTCTGACACACTATGACTTCACCTGCAGATATTTTCTACTGGACTGCATTCAGACTTTCTTTTTGCATTAATGTCTGACACCTTGGCAACATTTCGCAGCATAAACGTAGTATTTGGAACAAAAAGACGACTTTTTCACACTGACAAAAACTTGATTCCTTGTAAAATTTCTGCATGAAGTCGGGGTCAGCTGATGTGAGAATACAGCTGGAAATATTTGGGAAATAAGCAAGTCTGGGTTTTTTTTTTTTTTTTAGGGAACTGGTTTGAACCCAGAACAGCAACATGCAAAATGATGACTAAAAACATCTGAGGTTCTTGAACAAGAATCCTTTTCAAGATGAGAATAGTAAAATTGTCTTCACATCTGTCTGTCTGCACATAACAGTGATATAAAAATGCTCAAACTGATATCATAGTGGAGCTACTTGCCGCTACACCTTCCAGCATTCTGACTCACCTCTCCACCACCCTCATGTTAGACAGGGAACGCTTCATTCCTTAAAGGCATGTGGAAAAAAAATTGGGGGCAAAGCTCCTAAAAATTTCTTGCAAATTTTGAGATTGTACATGTGAAATAGGCATTAACTTAATTTTAAGGACAATTGAAGTGTTTTGAACAGTGAGTCTATTCCTATTCCAAGGTCACCATATTTTAGTTGAAGCAGTACAATTTGAAAACAATCAGAACGGAGCAGCAAAAAAGCGGTAGACGTTTATTTTCCAAAGTCATACTTTTATTAGTCATCTGTTTTTACCTCCCCCAAGGAGGTTATGTTTTCGGTAGCGTTAGTTTGTTTGTTTGTTTGTCTGTTAGCAACTTTTCGGAGAAAGTAACAGAGGGATTGACCTGAATTTTTCACCAGAGGTGCGTCTCAGCCCCAGGAGGATCCCATTACATTTTGGTGGTGATCCGGACAAAATTCCGGATACTGTGATCCAGAACACACAAAAATAAGGGTGTCGTTGGAATTTTCAATACTAAAAGATAACCAATGGGCGGCAGAGTGGTGTAGATAGGCGGCACAGTGGTGTAGTGGTTAGCACTGTCACCTCACAACCAGAAGATCCCGGTCAGGGTATTTCTTGTTTAAGGGGGAACATGAGCGTCTTGGCGGAGGTCTGCGCTCTCCGAGTGCTTTTCTATTTTTTTTTAGTATAAAAGCAAATTTTTCTTTTCCAGCCTTTTGATATAAAGATCTGTACTTTTCTTTGTAACTCATAATATCTCTGAGTTTGACATAACAAGGTGTCTCATGGATATAATGGCCTTTTTTAAACTTTTTGGGGATATTTTAAAAGCAGAATCAAGAGAAAACATTAGAAGATAATTGAAAATACATGCAAAAGAGCTGTTATAGTTTTCTATACGCCGTATTATCACACAGTGCTATAGCTATAGCTAACACCCAGACGTTTCCTCTGGTTCTACATGAGACATTAAAAGTCAAAGAGCTCACAACTCGATAAATGATGGAGATTTTTTGCAGTGTACAGTTAACTGAAACTACAATTGTGAGAGTCCTTAAACATCGTGTTATTATGCTACAATCCTGGCTGCCACAGATAAGAAAATGGCAATGTTCTCTACTGTATTTGGCCTCATGTGGCGGCATGTGGCTGCAGCGGTTTGGCCGCGTTTGGCTTCATTTGAAGAAGCAGCAAGTGTGCGAGTGAGTGTGTGTGTGTGAGACAGAAGTGAACTCCGATTCAGGTCTCAGTAAAACAGCAGAAGAGGATTTTTCCTTCACACACACACACACACACACACACACAGAGAGAGCTGCATGCCTGCTCGCATTCCATCTGGTAGTGCAGTGGCCAATCAGCAGCAAGCATGCAAATGAGAGGGGTGTGTGTGTTTGAAACTGGAGTACAGGGTCCGAACGGAGAGTAGAACAAAGACGGATAGAAATGAAATGATTTTTGTGGAATATTAACGCAGAAAATACAACAGGGGAAAGAACAGAAGTAGAAGAATATGAATACAGAGAGAAACAGAAGAGAAATCGGCGAGTATGTGAGTGTGTTTCTCAGTGAAAGAATGTGTGTCTGAACTTAGAGCTGCTGAAAACAGAAGAATTAAATCAAAGCAGAAGTCTCCACCGATCAATTTACAACTCACAATGTCCTGACTTGACCTTATTCCTGCAGTTGCCTGATACAAAGTTTTGCAAAACAGTGAGCAAGGGATGCACAGTTTACCGTATTTTGAGCTCATACTGATGGATACAATCAATATTTTTCTTTATCAAGTTGAAAATGTATGCACACCTGACTTTTAGGCTTACAGTTTCATTTTATCCTTGAAAAGAAATATTCTGTCTGTTGTGATTGGTTTGATTCTGCAGCAGGCCTCAAGTAGCAGAACACTATTCTTGCCTGCACGCTACTTCCATAGGTGACCTGAAAGATCTCATTTACCGGTATTCTTGGTTGTTTATGATATGTTGTAGTTTCTCTTAGTTTCCATACGGTGATCTGAGCGAGTGCAGATGTTATGATGATGAGACACTGCACTAATTGGCTGCCTCAGTGTTGTATGAGGGAGCAGACAGTGGAGATGTACGTAGAGGCGGAAAAACACAGCCCCAAACTTGGCAAGCCCACTCTATAACACATATGATTGCACATTAAAGCTGCAGTAATAGTTACAAGAGGATATCTCTAAGTAGTACCAGAATTTAAAGCAAACCCTCCTTAATGAAGCAGTCTGAGTAAAAGTGGTTGGCACAAACTAACAAATTTTAAATCAACTATTATTGGCACCATGTTGTGTATCAGTGTCTGATTTTGCCACCAACAACAGAGCAGTCCGCCTCTTGATCCCTCTTGTCACTGCAATGTCATAAGAATCCATTTGTATCACAATTAAGTAGCTCGGGTTTCCCATTAGGTGTGCTACAGAAACAATGCAGGATTTTCGATTCGTTTGGACTACAATTGAGCAGAGTTGAGAGACACAATCACATCATAAAGATAATAGCTGTAAATACTGCATGTTTAATTTTATCTTAACATTATATGACCCTCTTTGAACCATAAATCAGTGAGTAAAATACCCATAATACACAACTATTAAAATGAATGAATCTGACTTGAGACAGCATCTTGATCACTTAGCATCGAGCATCAATGCTTTTCGTACACCAGCTATAGCAAATGTGTTACCAACAGCCTGTGTTTACCACCCTTTAAATTTTCAACCTCAAACCTGGGGCTGCCATAAAGTTTACTTGATCAGTTCCCCAAAATGTAGGGTAGAATTGAATGAGTCCTCTCTGTACTTATCCATAGAGGGCTAACTTAATTACCTCCGCCAAGGAGGTTATGTTTTCGGTAGCGTTGGTTTGTTTGTTGGTTTGTTTGTTTGTCTGTTAGCAACTTTACGGAGAAAGTTACAGACGGATTGACCTGAAATTTTCACCAGAGGTGCGTCTCAGCCCCAGGAGGATCCAATTACATTTTGGTGGTGATCCGGACAAAATTCTGGATCCAGGAATTTTTTGAAGGATTCTTTATCATTGTGAGATAGGGCAAATTTTGGAATTTTTGCATTTAACTCTATAAAAATGTCCAGAGTCTTTAGTAAAAAATGACACAAAAGGATCTCAATGAGTTTTATGAGGTGTCAAAGGTTGATCCTGATCCAGACAAAATTCTGGACACTGTGATCCAGAACACACAAAAATAAGGGTGTCGTTGGAATTTTCAATGCTAAAAGATAACGAATGGGCGGCACAGTGGTGTAGATGGGCGACACAGTGGTGTAGTGGTCAGCACTGTCACCTCACAGCAAGAAGGTCCTGGGTTTGAATCCGGGTCAGGGCATTTCTTGTTTTAGGAACATTATGAACAGTGAACATACCAGTTTAAACACAAATAAAAGTTAATTAAAGACACGGAACAGTAAAAGTTTTGCTGTGAATCACAATATAAGGGGGGACATGAGCTGCTTGGCGGAGGTCTGCGCTCTCCGAGTGCTTTTCTAGTTACAAGTAAAAAAGGTGAAGCCTCAGTCTTTCATTTTTAAATGAACTGGCATGAAAACGGCACCCTGCTTCCTTCCAAGAGGACCTTTTTTTAATGCTGTAAATGAACACTTTTGCAATTAGTTATTTTGCAGATGCTCATTTCGAAATAGGGATTAATCTGTGGCCATTGAGCAGCAGTCCCAATGCCACACACTTTCTTCTCTCCTGATATTGCAGCTAATGTAATCAATATTTTTCATATAGAAAAGATGAAATGGCCGTTTTGAATGCAGGGGAGTAATCTGCACTAACGAGCCAGTCTCAACTCTGCTGCTATTTGAAGCTTTTTCACCATCTTTCATCTTCATGTTTTGGTTTTACAGCCCACAAACTTCACTGTTGTGGTCCCGGTGTCATCATCACTCACAGACAGAGTGGGCGCATTACTGGCCGTGATTCATCAAACACAAAATCAAGATTTGACCTTATTTCTGTATGTGTAAGTGTGCCATCCTGCAGCACAGCTAACCATCTATCCTTTCCCATGTCCTCAGTGGTACAGCCCAGCCTAGTGGCTTCACAGTAGAATAGACGTCTTTATTTAGCTCAGAAACAGGGGGGTGTAAACCACGAGCAGACTACTGGGCTGACTCACTGACCAGAATAGAGATCTGCGCAGAAAACCTGCACTGATTGAAAAAAAGAAAAGGCGGTACGACAGTGGACGAAGACAGGGACAGTGGGTCATTTAAAGAACAGCTTCTGATAACTCTCAGTGTGCAGCACCCTGTGAATTAAGGTGCAAGATTCAGTCAAGCATGGGCACAAACGCAACAAAAACACACTCGAAAAGAAGACGCAGATGAGGAGGAATTGACGTAAATCTTATCAGACATCAGAGCACAGTCACTACAGACAAAACTAGGCATGAAACAGCTGATTCAGAGCCTGACATAACCTGACATTTCCAAGTGATAATCCACTCATTTGTATTCATTTGCATTGCTTTTGTTTATATTTGTTTACTTATTCTTCATTATAGCTACAGACTTCACTTGAATTGAAGATGCCTCCAGTGCAAAAAGGCTAATTTTGCACCCTGTACCCTGTTTTTTATCGATATGAGATGGTAGTTTTAAATAATAATTAATAATATAAAGAAAAAAGGGCAGGAATCACAGGGTAACTCTTAATATGAAACCATATGCTTGGCACACAATAGTGATCATATCACAGCAATCCTGTGACACTTGATGAAAAACAAAATGACCCTACACGCTAAAATGTCACCGAAAGCATTATTGGTTTTCGTCAACGCCCCTTTTTTTCCACGATGAAGAACTGACATTGACGAGCTAAACACAAGTCTTAGATGACTAAAATGTGAAGAGACGAATGTACGTTTACGTTGACGAGACGAGACAAAAACGTTAGTGGTGGACGACGAACAGAGTTGCAAAATTCATGAGCATTTCGTCAGTCAAACACTAAACATATATTCTGCAGTGTTGTTTTCGTTGATGATGGCGTTGAGGAAATATTTTCGTCAACGAAAACAACACTGACCGAAAGGAGTATATTTTTTTCCCACCTTTGCTCTGAAGAACTACAGTTGATTGATTAGTTTCTTAACTATTGTGCTACCTGCACCCTCACTGTTTTATTTGCTGAATTTAAAATATATATAAAATAAAATATGCATGTTTATTTTGCGGGCTGCACAGTGGTGTAGTGGTTAGCACTGTCGCTTCACAGCAAGAAGGTCCTGAGTTCGAGTCCGGCTCAGGGTGTTTCTGTGTGGCGTTTACTCTGCTTTACTCCAGTTTCCTCCCACATCCCAAAAACATGCCTAAGTGGGGTTAGGTTAATTGGCCACTTCCAAATTGCCCGTAGGTGTGAATGTGAGCGTGGATGGTTGTTCGTCTCTATATGTCAGCCCTGCGATGAACTGCCGACTTGTCCAGGGTGTCCCCTGCTTTCGCCCAAAAGATGCTGGGATAGGCTCCAGCCCCCCCGCGACCCCGGGAACGGGAATAAGCGGTAGAAAATGGATGGATGTTTATTTTGCAAGAGTACTGGGTTGGTTGAACAATATTTAGTTTAGATATAAGCTTTAGATATGGCATACTCGACTGCAGGTTTGAAGGACATGCCTGTCAGGGGTTGCAGTTTATCGAAGTGTTTAAGAGTTACATGCATATTAATGTGCAATTTACACACAGAACGTACCAAAATAAGCCTGTTGCACGAGTTAGAGATTGTTTGTTTGAGTTGACCAATTCTGAACCGCACAGTGAAGTAGAAAATCCAAGACTACATTTCTGAACATGTGTGATTGCAAGACATACTCACATTCAACTAAGTCCATACTAGGCTTGCAGGAAATTAGAAAAATGTGTGATAAAATTTTACATTTTTGTCTAACGATTTTGTCTAATGACTGCTGCAGCAAACTATTTTGTGTCCCTTTGCCTTTTTGGATGGCAACAGCTAAAATAGTTCATGTCATGGATCTTTTTGATCAAATATTGCACCGTGCAAAGTAAACAACCCTTTCATCAGATTTTGGAAGACAGTAGTTCTTTAGAGTCTGGAAATATTCACATTTATGAAGGAAGACCAGGGCAGTCATTACTTTACGAGATAATGTTTTAAAGCTCTTGTGAGGACCTTTTGGTAAGTATTAACTTTAGTGCCCCCAGTGGACAGAGCAGTTTCTGCTTATCTTATCCTCTACATGCGAAAAAATGATAAAAAAAATAGCACAATTCTGACTTTTAAAAGTGTTGTTTACTTTATATTGTGAATATTTCATCTGGAAAACAAAAAAGGGTTCATTCTTCACCAGTTTGGTTGGCAGCTACCTTCTTACAAAAGTTTCAGGCATTTAAAATTACACTATAATAAATGCAAGTCTTGTTGCCGATGGTCTTGTTTATTTTTGTCTACCTTAAAATGGCATCAATATAAATTTATTTCAGTTTTACACACATGAAAAAACTCCCCACAGGAGCTTTAATGAGTATTTAATGAAACAAAAGCACTCTGGGAGATGATAGCAAAACACAGCATGGAAAGACAGACTGTTTTGATTGGTTTCCCAGTCACACACAGTCTTCATTAAAAGTCAGGTGTGCTGCTGAGGACGGCAACACCTGCCAGCTGAACACACACTCACACACTCACACACACACACACCTCCAAAGTTAACCAGTAACTCGCTAGCTTGTGTCCCTGTTCCCAGTCTTATATACTGGCTTGCACGATTAAACACAAATACAGACGCATGTAGCAGGGTGCGAGCCCCGGATGTTAGTCAGGATCTAACAACAACACCGCCCTGCTGAGGTCCGGCTCCGGGCGGAACAGGCAGAAAGGGTGCGTTTGATTTGATATGACCAAATGGATGCAAACTTCCAGCAAAAGAAAAAAAACAACGAAAGTGACATTTTTGACCGCGCATGACAAGCTCATAGAGAGAATCTGATGCTTAAAGCCTGAAAACTCACCACGTTTGTGAGAAAATCTCCGTCGCTGAGTTCCTCCAGGTCCAACAGGTTGGTTCCTCCGGGCGGGTACAGTTTATCTGTAAAACTGTCTAAAATAGACTCCATCATGGCTGTTTGGGTGGTCAGTTCAGATGGTCAGTCGCTGATTAAACGTTAATCTTAAAGTCAGCTCATTAAAACGGAGCAGTTCGTCTTCTTAACGGCTGTGGCGTGCGGTGTCAGAATTCTGCCGCTATCTCAAACTCCTGATCGTAAACCCGTGTGACGACCTGAGTCCAGCTGCTGCTTCTTTAAACAGTAAAACTTACAAAAAAAATCTACAAATTTACATCCCTTTTCAGCGTGCAACGGACACGATGTTATCCATCTAGCTGTGTGCGTCCAGTTGAGCGTCTCTGCTCTCATGCGCCGCTGTCGTCCCCATGCGCTAATGAATATTCAGTGAAGCCTCGCCCCCGTGGCGTCAGAATACATGCACGCCCACAGAACACACAAAAAGTAGGGTATGTTTAGTAAGGAAAACCTTTATAGTAGGAATGAACCTGTCCTTATTTTATTTACTTGACCGTGAAAAAATAGAAGAAGAAGAAGAAGAAGAAGAAGAAGAAATAAACTAAGGCTTTGTTCACACTGCAGGTCAATTCTGATTTTTTAACCATATGTGACACATATCTGATTATTTCATGTAAGTGTGAACAGTGCAATTCAGATTTTTGTCAAATCAGACCCAGGCCTTTTTTGTTTGTGGATATAAATCAGATATGTATCCGATGTGACCGCAGTGTGGACGCTCAGGTCGCGTTCATCCGACCTATACGTCATTAAAATGCGACAAACGTCACCATTGTTCGACAACACAAACAGGAGCAGAAAGCAATTTGTGCTTTGTGTGCATGTGGGTCACTTCACGGACGCATTCTGTTCACATTAGATGCCGCATTCCCTGTTGTAATGTGAACGACCGCACAAAAAGATATTAAATCATGAAATGCAATAGCAGCAGTGTTGTTTTCGTTGCAGTGATGTTGACGAAAATATCCTCTACAGGCCCAGCCATCCTCTATAGGCTAGTCATCCGCCACCAGGCCGATTCCTGGGCCTGTACATGTGAAAAAAAAAAAAAAAAACTCATCTCCTTGTCTTAAACAATGTCTCTGATTACTCACAGCAAGTTTAAAAAAAAGTCAGAAAAGTTCATAACTCAGAAAATAACTTTTTTCTAGTTATGAATGTTTACCTCTCTGCATGTTACTTCTGCAGAAGATATTTCACGCCAAGGACATGAAGTTTGTAAATCAAAAACACACAAACACACTGTGACTCTGTGTCGCTTAATTTTAATAAGATCCTGGTCCAATTGAATTTTAAAGTTTTGTGTTTAAAGAGGAGGGTGAAAAAGAAAATAAATAGAATCCTGTGTGTCCACATGGCTCAGGGGATAAGAACACTGACTGGGACTCTTAAGGTTGTGGGTTTGAGCCTTGCATTAACCTTACCCTGGTGAAGGTGAATTTTAAAGTCTAGTGTCAACAAAGGACAGTGAAAGAGGAAATAAACAGGATCCTCCTGTGTGTCCATGTGCCTCAGGGGATAAGAGCACTGACTGAGACTCTTAAGGTTGTAGGTTTGAGTCTTACCTTAACCAGTTCTCGGTTAATTTTAAAGTCTGGAGTCCACAAATGACAGTGTTATATGAAAAAAAAAAACATTTCTCTTGTGTGTCCACATGGCTCACAGGATAAGGAGACTGACTGGGACTCTAGAGGTGGTGTGTTCGAGCCTTTTTCGGGACAAGGTGAATTTTAAAGTCTAGTGTCTAGACAGGACAGTGAAAGAGGAAGCAAATGGTGTGATCCTGTGTGTCCAAGTGGCTCAGAGGATAAGAACACTGACTGGCACTCCTCAGGGGTTCTAACCTTATTAAGTCCAGTAGCAAAAGTACCAACATAAAAGCAAGCAGAGCTCATGCCCAAATGTGGATGTATCCTGTGGCGCAGTGTGGTAGACATCTAATACCCTAATGTGAGCCATGTGGTCTGGTTGATGACCGGCTCCTGGTTCGAAACCCGCTCAGCACAAGTGAGATCCTCAAGCAAATCATGTGGAACCAGGGCCGGGAGGGTACTCGGTGTTTCCGGAGACATAAAATGGGGGGGTTATGCAACAGGAAGTAAGAGGTGGCTGAAGTTTAGAGTAAAGAGGGGCGGAAATATTTCATCAACATCATCGTCAATGAAAACAACACTGCAGAATATATGTTTAACGTTTGACTGACGAAATGCTCATCTGTTCGTCGTCCACCACTAATGTTTTCATCTAGTCTCGTTTCGTCAACATAAACTCACATTCATCTCGTCACATTTTAGTCATCTAAGACTTCTGTTTCGCTCATCAACGTCCATCCATATCTGTCATGTCTTGTCAGTGTGAGAATACCCTCACTGTAGTGTCTCAAAAAGGTGTATTGGGTTACTGCTGTTGCAAATCACCGCACATAGTTGCTGCACACAGGTGTTGCAGAGAACCTTTCAGATGTCATGCCGGGTTCATTTGCTGACAGACTTTCTCCATGTTTCTGTAGAAGATTGAACTAAGCCCTCATTAGAGTTATTACCGCCATTTTGGCTTTTCTTGCTTTGACAAGTCTAAATGTCAGCCAAAAGGTCTCCCAGCAGGCTCCAGGGATTTAATCAGAGAGCTGAGTAGGATGTATTACCCCCCACAGGCCTGAAGTGTCATTGCAGTTTAAGTATTCTACCATATATGAAAGAATACATCTAAACCACTTGTCTGAAAAACACAGCATACATTTATGATTAAAGAAAAAAAACATGGGACCATATAGAGGCTGTGCTAACAATCTGAGATACTGCTTACAGCAAACACACACACGCATACTTCCCTTCTCTTGCACACACACTGCAAAATAAGAATGAAAGAGATGTTTCTCTCAGACTGGATTGCTCTTCACTCTGCCTTGGATCATTTACCCACTGAGAAACCAAGACAGAGAGATAACAGGATTGAAAACACAGAAAAACAGCATCCATTGTGCAGCAGGTATCAATGACTATGTGTGTGAGCTCCACCTCTGACCTGTTACATAATCTGGGTGGATTTCACTGGAAGAGGCAGGTAAGAGGGGCTTTTCCAGGTGTTGTTATTCACGGAAATATGTACGAATTAGTTTTCCAGGAACTTTGCTGCACATATTCATGGTTCCCAGAGGATGATTCATTTATTTAGACATCCTGGACAATACAGAAGGTTTAAAATTTACTGTCACACTAAAATATCTGCACTTCAATATGCACCACCACTGAGATAATTCAAGGTTTTTCTGTAGGATGCTGATCAAATGATGGATGTACTGTGGTTAAACGTTGTACACAGATTCCTTCTTTAAACTTTGGCTTGAGCATCACAACCTCAAGGTGATCTCATAGCTTTTAAGTGACATGAAACATAAATTTTGACCTAGAAATGATCTTTAATACCCACAAAATATGTGAAAACAAACCAACAAACCCAACAATATTTATATAAATCTGTAACGTACATTGAGGTTAATGTCACTTTTAATATGTGCATGCTTAAGTGCTACAATAAAATATTACATCTGCTGGGTTTTTTATGATTTATTAGCGGCATTAAAGTTTGTACTCACCTGCGAATGCCTCTTTTTTGATGGAAACATATGTTTATTGATTCTACACATTCAACAGCTTATTCTAGATCCTTCTAAATGTACATTGAAGTTTACCTGAAATTCAGCTTTACCTCTAACATCATGTCATGAATCATAATTTGAATTGGATTTGAATGACTTGATTGAAACCCAAGAGGGAGAATATCAGAGAGGGGGTGCTTGGTCTGTTGATGGATTCCCTCTGACCCTATTGTCCACATCGAGGCCATCCAGAGGATGTGCTCGAGGTTAAGAGACAGAATTCTTTGTTGTCCTGAACTACATTGATTACCATCAGGTATACCTGTGTAAATTGTGTTTTGTTACAACCTGTTATGTAATAGTCTCCTGTTTCATTACATTCCTATTCCACCCCAGCTTGGCTTCCTCTTGTTGTTGCCTTTTTACCTCAAATATCACTTTACAGAGGTTTTCCATCCTAAGGGATTGGATGTCTCTCAGGTTTTATTTACTCACACATTTCGGTAAGATGACCTTCTGTTTATTCCAGTCAGTACGGCAAATACAATGACTACTGTGATCCAGTCAAATGCAGTAAACCTCTGTCTAATTTTTGACTTTTGATAGGTAGCATTGTGGAGCAATGTGTACAGTACAATGCTTTTTCAAACATCCCATGAACAGCTTTATGGGGATTCTGGTGTAATCAGTAATTGGTGATGAACAACTTTCAGCAACAATCTTTTTTTTTTCCATGCAACTTCAGAACTAACCATGTGTTCAACATCACTCAGACCTCAAATCATACAACTTCTCATAATGAAACCTGGACACCCAAAGCAGACTTGCAATCTCTTAAATAAGGTCACAAGAAAAATGGACAAAAATTAAAGGTTTGCGCCAACCAGTTAATTGGCCTCATGTCCAGGTAAGTCCTCCCAAAAGCAAGATGGCAACAACCCAAGAGGCAGATTTTAGATGTGGATACAATCAACCATGAACCAATGGATGATTTCAAACAAGCCAGGTCTACATTTTATTCACAGCCTTTGCATTTTATTTGTTTTATTTTATTCAATGTAGTCCCTGGCTTGAATTTATTTGCCACAGCATGAAATTAACTCAATTTCCAAAAAGAATGGAAAGAAATGGCAGCCTACGGGGGGAGGAGAAACTGGATTATGAAATGGCATCGATCTGCTGATAAAGAGCCATCCAGCGCCTTCTGGGGAGGAAACACAATCCAGGCTACAGAGTGAAGCCAGTATACTTATTACATTCACATATTCCTGCAAATAAAAGCAGATTTGTACCAGCTTGTACGATACAAAGCTGATTAAATCTGTTTGAATGAAAGCGCTCTCTGGTTGGTTGCTCACGTCTTGATGCAGGTTGTGGTAGGCAGCTCTCTGATTGGCTGTTTGGTGTAATGATGCAGGTGTGACTCATCCTCTATTCTGAGCTGGAGCGGTAACGCGGGGTGCTGACCTTTTGTCTCCGTGGTGACCGCTGTGATGTCACATATTCATTGCTGTCATCATCCCCTCTGTTTTCTCCATCCGTCATATCAGATCAGGTCTGCTGGCATCACAGAGCACGGAGGTGGAGACAGTGTATGTGTGTGTGTGTGTGTGTGTGTGAAAGTGCGTGCGAGTTAATGGAGGGTTCACTCTGTCTTGTTATCACTATCAGACAGTTACTGATGTTCCTGACACTCTGTCTCACTCTAGCTGTGCGTTCTCCTATTAACAGACCAGAGTGTATTCGCTGCAGCACCCGTGCATGTTGATGAATATGAATTAACTCTTTAGTATTAATGACTTTAATTTAAAAACACTGTGTCCTCCCTCAATCCCTCTGTCTGTTTTAGAGTCTAACCTGTGAAAACAAATGTAAGACTTAAAAAATGTTTGAACCCACAGTGATACAAGCTCAAGCAAAAAAGCTGGAAGATCATCTCCAGTTAAATAACAGCAAGTTAGTAACATGGCTGGGTATTAAATCAGAGAGACACAGGCTGTGTCTCATTTCAAAGACCGCATCGGGATAAGCGCGCTTAACGGCACTTAGCTGAGTGCACTGCCGTTTTGTGCCGTGATGTGCCGTTTTGCGTCGTTATGTACCCTTCCTGTGTCCCATTTCAGAGACCGCAACCGTCGAACGGCGCATTTGAAGCGTGCATGAGGTCATCACGCGGCACGAATGGTGGCCCTTTTGGCACAAAATACTAAGGACTCAGATGTGGTTTCAGAGCAGCAGAGATCGATTCCCTTTTTCCTGCTAAATAAATCAACGAGAGACTTTTGTACTGGGTCAGGTATACGACCTCCATTTGAGCCATTTTCAGTCATGCATTTTTACACCCTAAAGAATGTGTGTACCAAATTTGGTGCTTTTATCCACCGCATAACAATTTGGCCATTTTTTCAAGTTAACAGACCCTACTATGAGGTGGTGTGTTCGAGCCTTTTTCGGGACAAGGTGAATTTTGAAGTCTAGTGTCTAGACAGGAAATTGAAAGAGGAAACAAATGGTATACTCCTGTGTCTCCAAGTGGCTCAGAGGATAAGAACACTGGCTGGAACTCCTGAGGCCATAGGTTTGAGTCCTACCATACCTAGTTTTAGGTGAATTTTAAAGTCTTGAGTCCACAAAGGACAGCGATATGTGAAAAAAAAACACTTTTCTCTTGTGTGTCCACATGGCTCACAGGATAAGGAGACTGACTGGGACTCCTGAGGTGGTGTGTTCGAGCCTTTTTCAGGACAAGGTGAGTGTTGAAGTGTAGTGTCTAGACAGGAAAGTGAAAGAGGAAACAAATGGTATAATCCTGTATGTCCAAGTGGCTCAGAGGATAAGAACACTGACTGGAACTCCTGAGGTCATAGGTTCGAGTCCTACCTTGCCCACTTCTTGGTGAATTTTTAAAGTCTAGAGTCTACAAAGTACAGTGATATATGAAAAAAAATATGATTGTCTCGTGTGTCCACATGAGTCAGTGGGTTCAATCCTTATTGTGGTTACGCCCTCTGCTCAGCCCCCGGCCATCGGCCGCGCGGCTGATGGCCAACGCCTGAGCAGAGGGAAATGATCAGCTCGTTATCAAGCTCTGTAATGGCTAAATAACGAGCTGATCATTTGAATCAGGTGTGTTGGAGCAGGGAAACATCCAAAACATGCAGGACAGTGGGCCTCGAGAACCACTCAAGTAAGGGAAGCATCATAACACAAAAATAGGACAAAGGAGACCCTGAACTGTTGAGCAGCTAAAATCCTCTGTCTGACAAGAATGGGACAACCTTTGACTTTAAAACTCCAGAAACTGGTCTGCTGGGTTCACTAACGTTTACAGAGTGTTGGGAAAAGGAGAATTGATATGCAATGGGAAACATGAGCGTTTAACAACTTTCATGAAACATTTTCAAACAATTAATTCAATAAAATGAGCATATATTTTTCATAAAGCAACATAAGTTTTAGTTTCAACATTTGACATGCTGTCTTTGCCCTATTTCTGATTAAACCTAAAATTTTTGCAAACCTTCAGTTTCTGTTTTTATCAACTTGGTATACAGCCTCGCATTCTTTCTTGGAATTAAGGTCAAACATGGCAAATAAATGGAACTATGATTTCTAAAAGGAACATCGTGCTGTATTAAAATAGAGTTACATCTAGAGATTGAGATCACAAGTTAATCGGGAAAATGTTTCAACTGAGAAGTAGGCCTGTTTCTATACAATAGACCTTTCTCACAGTACGCGGAAGTTAGCATCCTGCTCACTTCCGGTGTTAGCATGTGGTGGAGCCACTTAGCATCGGAATAGACGGCCATTCATATTAACAAGCTCGCGACTCATTTTTTTGAGAGGTAAAGTAAAATTTTATGCTTTGTGCTGTTTTACTAACTCCTGTTCTTCATAATACTGTCCAGATTTTGTACTTAACTTTTCGGGAATTATGTTTAATAGGTCTGGAAATTGTCTGATGATCTTCAGTAATGACCTATTAAACACAATTTCCGAGTTAGCATTCTGCTCACTTCCGCGTACTGTGAAAAAGGTCTATCACACTTTTTCAAGAAGTGGGGTCGCCCCCTGCTGGGCATTAGGAAGAGATTTTAATGCTGGGTTACCCTTTTATACTATTATGTTATCAGAACACAACAAATGACTAATCCCTGAAAAATCCTTGCCATAACAGTGTAAAATGTGAAATTAGTAAGAACAGCACTCTGTGTTTTTTTTTCCTCCTCTGCGCTCACACATGCTGCTCTGTGGGGGTCTGTGGTCTGTTGGTTGGTGGTAGCTGGGTGGAGCAGTTGCTATATGATAAAGTGATGGTGGGATTGGAGGTAAACACACTGACATTTTCCCATAAGGCCTTTACAAGTGACTGCAGAAAGAGTAATGTGACTGAACAGTGCAGCCTGACTCACTCTGGCTGCAGCTGAGCTTTTCTTCTTTCCTCTAAAAGCTCCCTCAGACAAACAAGACGCCAAAAAAGCTCAATATTTTCCTCTCCGTTACAGCCGCTCTCATTTTCTCTGCTGCTTTTCCTGTCCTTATTTTTCTCTCTCACTGATCTTAAAGTTCAGGAGTTCAACGCTGAGGAGAGATGCACAGAAGAAAAGCAGCTGAGTCGAATAATGCCAAGACAGTAATGAAAGCCAGCCTGGTGCTTTACACACTCTTACATCATCTACACACTCCTACTACAAGAAGCATTAGCTGTTTTACTCTCACACTGTTGCACTTTATGAGGTCAGGTTTCTGTGTTCCTGTACAGACCGTGCTGGAAATGTTAAATAATAAAATGAGCTTTGAAGCCGACGCACTTATATTACAACCACATGTGATTATTAATAACCATGGGCATCAATAATGATATTCTTTAATGATGAAAACCTGCTCTCTTTGGAAAGTCTCTGTCACATTTTGGATCATGAGATGATGAGCAGAAGGAGAGAAATCTGATTCAGACTTAAAAATGGGGGAATTACTCCCCCCAGTGGTCATCTCAAAAGCTGCAATAGATGTTGACACTCAAAGTTCCTGTGAGGAGGTTTTTTACACGTTTGAAAAGGTTGAGATTCATATCGTTGCTTTTTTATGAAATAGAAAGGCAGATAAAAAAAAAAAGTTGGTCTTTTGATGGGACTTGAAGGTGTCCTGCATGAAGTATTCCCTTGCCAACCCCTCAATTTGCAGAGGTGGGGGAAAGTCCTTATATGCAAGTCCAAGTCGAGTCTCAAGTCTTGGCTCTCAAGTCTGAGGCAAGTCCAAGTCCTTTGCTCTCAAGTCTCAAGTCAAGTCCAAGTCCTTACCGTTTCTTTCAAGTCAAAAACAAGTCATATCAAAGCCATAAACCATTTGTTATATGTAAAGATTTACATCAATCATGAGCATTTTTCACTATTTGCATTTATTATTAAACAAGGGTTCTTGTTTGTGTTAAGTTACATAGTGCAGCTTTAACCAAACTATTTTACATGTCATACAAAAAATAATCAGATAAACTTCAAGAATTGGAAACTTAGACAATGTGCACAAAAATAAGGAAGACTCAAATACAATTAAACATTAAACTGATACTCTAATTCACTGTTCCAAAACAAAACAAAAGAGAGACACAAGGCAACACGTGGAAACAGGCGGGCAATACTAGCGAGCGATTTATGTTCAGTCCTCCTGGTGTTGTTGCTATGAGGGAGGCTAGAGTTTGAGACAGTGTTGCCAAGTTTCATGAGAGAAATAAGGAAACAGACCTCCAGAAACAAGCCAACTGCATGACCAACTGATGCAAATACAGCGATAAGACCGATGGAGGTAAAACAAGAAAATGATTTTAATGTTAAAACACATCCAAAGCTGAAAAAACAAACAAACCAAACATTTAGAAATAAATTTAAAAAGTGTACCACACAAAATCTGTCTTGCAGAGTGTCACCCTCCTCATGCTGTATGCTATTTAACTGAGGTCAGATGTTGATACTAGGGGAACCGGCTGCTGATTGGTTAATGGGCCGAGTCCGCAGGACCAATCAGGGATGAGTGATGGGAGCGCTTCAAGGGCAGGCACTCGCGTTTGCTAGATTTTTTGTAAGGAAATCTGTGTTAGCATTACCTCCTGTGACATTACACTCTACTTCCCTCTGCTGGTAAAATAAACAGCCAAAGTAAAATGCAAACACAACCTCAGGGGGATCTCTCCTTTCATGCTGCATGACACAAAAGTATGACAGGCCGATCAGATTAAGTTGGATTAAAACTGATCAAATTGTTGAAAAAATAAAACTGCAGTGTCTTTCAAACTGAAAACAGACAGTCCACTCAAATTCACTGTTATAGCTGCTGTTTGAACACAAAAGTCACCACTGCATGGTCTTGGATCGGGTCAGTTTCCGGGTCAGGGCATGACGAACACTTAGCATGTAGGAGCGACGATCAGGCAGGGGCCGCTGCTGATCCAACACCAACCTTTACCAAAGACAATAAGTAAAAAAAAAAAAAGAGGTTACGGGATCTGGAATCTGCAGGTAAGATTAAAAAGGTGACAGATGAGAAGCTTCAACATTTTGCCGATGCCATGCAGAGTCAAAATCAGTGACACACTCTGAAACACAGGGGTTTTCTGGTTGGTGGTTAGAACGAAATGACCAATATTCCCAGAACAAAAACCAAGATCTTATATGAGGAAATTTTTATGAGCAATATTTTTATTTAGACCATCTGAATTTTGAGGGATTTTCCACAGCTGTCTTTAGAACATACAGAGAACATCTGGAGGCCTTCTAACTCTTTCTAATTCAGTTAAGCTGAAAATCCTGGCGAGAATTGAGGTGTTGTGTGCATTTGTGAATACAGCTATGGACAACCTGTTAAAATTTCCATAGAATTAAGAAATACAAAGGTGAAATACAGGCTCTACTGTGGCGTTAAAACCATTTTTTCTCTGTCTGTCACCTTTAACTTCTTTTGATTAAAGCAAAGTGTGAAGTTGTTATACACACCTGATGAGCTGAAAGACGGCTGCCTCCACGGCTAAGACAGCTTCTGCTACTGATAGCTCCCGGAAACCACACCTAAACACAAAAACACAAACTCTCTTACCTAATTTAAAAAGTGAAACGGCTGTTATAAGAATAATCCACAGTGAGTTTAAGACAGATCAGGAACTTTTCAGACAGGAACCTGTGATAGAAACACACCATAGACTGTATATAGATGAAACACACAAACCTTAAGTCTTTGGCCAGTCTCTGTCCTTCCTCTGTAGTCACCTGTCTGCCGATTTCCAGGTCTGCTTTATTGGCCACCAGCATTGTGGGAACAACTGCCACAAACACAAGTACACAGGCACACACACACAAGTACATAGGCACAAGCACACGTGCACATGCCATGAGTTTAGGTGACAATAAAGCAGAAGCCTGCAGTTAAAAGTCGATGTTATCAGGATGTTAACTACAGACACCAGGACACTTTACCAAGTATGGAGAGCACATCTGCTACTTCTGTGCACCGTGTGTGTGTGTGTGTGTGTGTGTGTGTGTGTAGGTGACACTCTGCAGATGTAACATCAATGCAAACACACTGCTCCCATTGAAACTGAAGGATTCAAGCTGTTTCTTATTAAACTTGTAAACAGTTTTCTGCTAAATGTATATCAAGAAGAGTTTTACAGATAGAAACACAGAATGGACTGTTAAAACATGTGGGTGCAGAAAACAATTAAAACAGTTTGATATCACATATCTATCATGTGTTAAATGGAAGACAAAGTTTTTAAACTAATGCACATCTTTGGCATTAAAGTTGTTAAGACTACAATAATACCAAACATCTGATTCAATTCCTCACATTTTTGGGACATTTTCACGATTATTTATATCATCTTTTTTTTTCTAGTATAGACTACAAGATCAAAAGGATCTTTAAAATTTGGGGATTTTGTCCATGTGTGGAAATGAAAGTTACTGCGATCCAGATTCGAAAACTTTTTCAGTTCTTCAGCAGCACCAGAAATAAAAAGTAAGCTTATATAATGTTTCCCTAACAACTTTTAGGAACAAATTTGAAACAAATAAACAGTATTTTCAAATATTTCTGGAGGCATAGTTGGTGTCAAGAGACATTTGAAGAAAGGAAAACTGGTTTATTGACTGATTCCAAGACAAAAACTTGCTGAAAGAGATTTTTTCCCCCTCAAATAGGAAAGTATCTGAATGGACTGAATTTGTTTCTCACCCAGACTCTGTTTGGTTTGCTCAATAAGTTTTTTTAGCCGAGGGACCTCCACGAAGCTGAGGCGATGTGTGATCGAATAAAGCAGCAGGAAACCGTCTGCCCAGCGGATTGAGGACTCCAACGACGCCGCAGAGCCCTCCTGAGGAAAATCATGACATTAATTATAATCACATTTTATTTCTCACAAGAAAAATGTGGTAGAGCATTCGGTTGGCTTAATCTCATTGACTGCATCTGATAATAAGATGTAGCAAATGCATTATGCAAATACATGCAACAGGAGAAATGAGGGGTAATCCTGCCCTGTCTGTTATTAAATATCTCAGAATTACGATCCAAATTAACTGGATAAATTATCTTGTTTATTCAGAAAACTTTCAATTTGAGATGAGTTATTTATTTAGAATAAAGTGTTGAACATTTAATTTTCTCATACTTATACATTATATATATATATAGATATAGACCAAAACTACCTTACGAGCGATATCCAAAATCTCCAGATCCACTGACTCCTGATCTACAAGTCGACTGCACCTGTAGGTCATCTCTGTAACAAAAACACATGTTTAACACATTTATCCTGCTACAGAAAGATCGATATAAGTCATGAATTTTAAAGCTTTATTTCCATGTTTATAATGTTTATTGTCTCGAGTATTTTACCCTTTTTATGGTCGTATTCTCCAATGAAGCGTTTGGTTATGAAGCGAACACAGAGAGCTGGAGACATGAAACAGACAGAGAGAGAACCATCAGCCAGAAACACTGTCTGACAAACGGACTGTTCTCCTGTTTTAAAGTTTGATTTACACTTTTGTTTATGAACCTCACGTGTTAGAGACCTCTTAGAGACGGTTCCTGCTTTCTTTAAATAAACGTAGAAGTGTTTTCTCTGTTTTAGAGGACAGGGTCTGGTCCGGTTCATGTTTGTTTGACGGCTGAGTGGGCTGACACTGGATTTAGGACCGACACTTTAAGAGGGTTTTTAAGGCTTGTAGGAGCTGGACGATATGCACCTTCACGTATTAAGTTCAGATTTATTATAAAACGTAATCAAAAATGTGCACACAGGATCCTATAAAACAGTGGTTCTCGAGTCCAGTCCTCGAGGCCCACTGTCCCACACCTGATTCAAATGATCAGCTCGTTATTAAGCCATTACAGAGCTTTATAACGAGCTGATCATTTGAATCAGGTGGAGCTGGAGGTTTTAAGATCAGATTAGATTAGATTTCAGCAGCAGTACACACAACACACACATTCACACTGGGTACAAAAAAACAAATAAATGAGATAAAGAACTCGTGTAAAAAAAGAAAGAACAGTATTAAAGACAAGTATAAGAAAAATATAAAAAGATCAGTGCCAACAAAAAACAGGTATGGATGCTGATGATGATATTGATATTGCACATGATTGATAAATAATTAGGGGTGTATGATAAATATTGCACTTTTATTGTTGTTGGTAAGAGTTTCAAGTGTAACAATTGTCGAGGGAATATTAGTATAATTAATATTATTCATGAACTACTGCACCAGCCCCTCGCCTGTTACTACCTACATCAAGTACTCTACTTCTACCACATGCTGTCAAAACCCAACCAGGCAAAGCTCTTGCGTGTCACCACCATCGCCAGCAAGATCATCGGCCTCCGCACACCCAACCTCTTGGAACACAATAACCTGGCCATCACCCGCATTGCACACTCAATAGAACAGGACCCCACACACCCACTTTACCGCCACTTCCCCCTTCTACCCTCTGGGGTACGATACAGGACATACAAGTGGAATAAAGCACGCTTTGGGAAAAGCCTGGTCCCCTCAGCAGTTGCTGCCCTAAACAGCAGACCACGCTGAATGACTGTCCATTGTTGATGGTGTGGTTGCTCTGTTGTCTCTTGTCCATTGTTGTTATCTGGTTGGGTGGTGGGGATGTCTGACTGTCTCATAATGTGCTGTCTTTGACCTATCTTGTCTATTTGATGTGTCTATATGTACAGTCTGAAAAATGAATGAAGTGGGATAATAAAGTATAGTCTAATCTAGTATTGATGATCTAGTGTTGAAATAAAACCTAATTCCCTCTACAGTACATAATATCCCTGTACTAAAGGGACAAAGACCAAAACCAAGACTGGATGGTCCTGATCTCAAGGCCTGTAGGCAGCACTGCAATAAAACCAGACAGAACTCTGTAGTGGATGAACTCAAAATCACTTCCAAAAACCATCGTCTGTGAACACAGTTCATCACTGAGTCGACAAATGAGGTTAAAACTGAACCATGCAAAGAGGAAAACAGATAAAAACCTGATCCAGGAACACCAGAGAGCTCTCTGGACCTGAGCCCATTTAAGATGGACTGAGAGGAAGAGGAAAACTGTCCTGTGGGCTGATGAATCAAAGTTTGAATCCTCACTTTCAAACTCCAGAAACAGGGGGGAAAATAAGAGCTAATGAAACACAACAGCATACACACACCTCCATTCAAAATGAAATTTTTTTTATAAAATTATATGAATTTCTTTAGATTTTCTTCAGGCTTTTTTGTTTAATCACGCCATCATTTCTGTTTTCCTTTAAAGGATTTCATCTCAAACCTATTAAGACTTTCAAAGTGAGGTCAACTGCAGACCAGAGTGAGGTTTCCATATTTAGCAAATCCTCTAAACCGTGACCAAAACTTAACCCCAAACTTAACCTCAAACACAACAGTGTTCAAGTGATGATCATGTGACGGGAGGTCTAACGTCTGCTGCTGTTACATAATCCAAAATGTGCACTGACACATTCCCATCCCGCTGCTACACCTTCATGATAACATGTTTTTTTTAATTCTCAGCGCATCAGTGTGTAAGTTTTTCTTCTACCTGTTTTTCCCGTGTTCTGAGCTCCCAGTACGAGGAGTTTAACTGGAACCATTTTTTCTGTTCTGGTCCAGTTTCAGTCCACTTTGTGTTCCTGCATGAAACCCTTCAGAAACAAACGTAGGAAACAACCTTAAGACGCAGGAAAAAATAAAATAAAATAAAACAAAAATAACTGAGAGGACAAAATGAGAACAGACATAATACAGCTTGAATTTTAGTATTAGTGCAAATAGTACAGACCTTTATAAGGAGAGAAGAGGAGTTCAGGTTCAGACACTGAGCAGACACTGAGGAGGAGGTGTGACTGTCTCCTCTAAGTTTGTTTGGTTATAAGAGCTCCTCTCTCCCTCTCTCCCTTTCTCTCTCTCTCTCCCCCTCTCTCTGAATTTTGCATAAATGTTTATTAGAAAGAGACGTATAAAGATGGCAACACAAATCTTCCAAGCTTCATTTTTTATCATTGCAAAAAGGTGTTTGTCTGAGTCACATGATAAAAAGGCAAACTGCAAACAACAGTTTTAGAAAACCGTGGGGATGGCCAATCAGATTTCAGTGTGGAGCTGTGGTATTGAGGGATACCTGATGATTTATACACCTGTTTGTCAGACCATGTCATCTATAAAACCCAATTCCATTGAAGTTGGGAAATTGTGATAAATGTAAATGAAAACAGAACATAATGATTTGCAAATCCTTTTCAACCTTTATTCAATTGAATACACGACAAAGACAAGATATTAAATGTTCAAACTCATAAACTTTTTTTTTTTTTTTTTGGCAAATAATTAACTCAGAGTTTCTGAAACCTCAGAAGTTTACTGAAACTTGTCAGCAGGGTACAAACAACAGAATTTTTACCCGAGAATTCATCCTCAGTTTTTCCTTTCCTGGCAGCCCCCCTTCAAGCATTGTGTTGCCAATTAATATTGATTTCTGTCTGTTCAATAATTAGTTAAAGGTTACTTTGAAACACCCAAACTGACCCATAACTCAAAGAAACTTACAAATAGATGCATCAGTAGAGCTGCAGCTCCTGTGTTTTATGAGGTAGAATGACTTTAAAGTTAGAAGAGCCGACTTTACATCAAATGTAATAATGAAACACACTGGAGTGAAGACATTTGTAAGATTTTATTCATATAGTATACATTTCTCACCTTTTTTCAACAAAGATCGTTCTGACTGTGGGAGTGAAAACGATTTACAACAAGCATCGAGGACGAGTTTAAATTAGAGACAGACACTGAGTTCAGAGAAGTGTGTTCTTCTGGCAGCAGATGGAGAGTTCATCGTTGGTCTTTTAGTGTCTGTTATCGTACGTTCAGCAAACTGACGGCTCTTCGACGGCGGCGGCTCCTTCTGTCACAGCTTTGACACATTTGGCCATCGTTTGTGAAGCCCTGCTGATAGAGTCTGGATAAAAGGAAAGAGAAAAAGGAAGTTATTCTCTATTCTTTAGCTCAAATATTCATGAAAATGTGTGAAGACAAACTCACCTGTCATGTAGAAGTCCTTCGCTGAGAGTTGAGGAGGAACAAGAGGAGCAGTGAGGAGATCCTGGTTCACAGCCTGAGGAGAAAAAACAGAGTATATTATATATTATATCACTGATTTCACTAAATTTGAGCTTCAGCAATCTTGAAGTTTGTACCTGTGAGAGTTCATTGGCTTGTTTGAAATAGTTTGCCTCCTCTACGTCGTCATATCGAACCAGGTTAGGAGAAACCTCTGCCAGTCTGGACCGGACCTCCTCCAGAGAGTCGTAGGGCAGCGTGACACCAGCCAGCTGCAGGAACAGAGACGGGTTTTTAAATTCTGAATGTCAAAATTAAAAAACAGCAACATCAACCTTGTCTGAGTCTTCAAAAGTGACTCCCTGCGAACCTCAGACACGGCTCTAATGATCCTCCAGTCCTCTCTCGCCATCCCAGGAGCCGTGACGGCCACGCGGGTGTGTTGGCTGCGGCCCTCAGTGTTCACATAGGTAGCGTTTTTCTCTGTGTACGCGGCGCCAGGCAGGATGATGTCAGCCATTGGTGCTCCTACGTCACCGTGATGACCTGGAGGGTTTAATATTTGACATTTGCAGTGTTAGGGCTTCAATTTTTCATTCTTTTTCTCTGTGTGTGTGTGTGTGTGTGTGTGTGTGTGTGTGTGTGTGTGTGTGTGTGTGTGTGTGTGTGTGTGTGTGTGTGTGTGTGTGTGTGTGTACCCTGGTAGATGATGAGGCTGTTTTGAGGAAGGTCAGCTCTGGTGATGCAGCCGGCGTCAGCTCCCAGCAGGAACAGGACTTTGGGAGGATTGTTCCTGATGGCGTCCACACCAGCTTTGTAGCCGAGATCTAATGCAGCCACCTGACTGGCCACTCTGCTCACACACACACAGAAACACACACAGAAACACACACAGCATTAGCAGTGAGCATCTGCTGTATCGATCGATGTGTCTGAGCAATATAGACCAAAAAATTTAAAATCAGGGCCCGAAAGCACCTCTGGGTGAAGTGAAGCTAGCCCATAGTTCATGGGAATTTCTTGGATTTACCTGTGTAGGACGTTCAGGACCTTCCAGCCCTCCTCCACGCCGCTGCTGGCTCTGGCGTTCTGAGCAATGGTGGACACAGTACTCAGGATGGCGGCACCGTCTTCTCTCTGCAGAGCGCTGCTGCCCACGACAATGACTGGACGTTTCGCAGCTGAGATGGTCTGAAGGTGCGAAGAGGAAAGGATGTGTTAGTAAAAAAAAGATGCTATAAAGGTCAAGTCGGCTACAAATGCACCTCTTACCTGGCAGAAGGGATGTGTGCCGTCGGCGAGCTCCTTTAGGATGGACGTCGCCTCTCCGAGATGGTCGTAGGAGTAACTCAGATCGACTTGGTGGCCCACCATGGCGACACGCAGCTCATTGTGCAGCCAGCTGAAAGAGGAAGAGGAGGATTAATACAGACACATGACATTAGATCAACTGTTGTATCTTCATTAACAACTTAATCTCTCGAGCTCAGTGGTTCTCAAGTCCAGTCCTGGAGGCCCACTGTGGGCCTCGAGGACTGGACTTGAGAACCACTGCTCTAACTCAAACCCTGACTTTAAAGGAATAGTTTGACATTTTCCCTCATTAAAAAAAAATACTTTAGGCAGCTGGAGGACCTAAATTTGAGAAAAAACAGTTTCTCTGACTCAATACAACTGCAAAAATATCTTTCTGTTTGCACCTTTAGAGCTCACAAATTTACTTTTTACTTCCCATTTCTAAAGTTCATTAAGAAACAGAAACTAAAAACCAAAACCATAATACCTTTTGGTGGCCTTTTTGTTCATCTGACATATCCAACATGATAAAAACAGGTTTTTGCAAAGAGAGAGGGGTTGTTCTATTTGACTTTCTTAAAGCTTTTACCAAGATTTTTAATTTTAAGCTCATTAAACTTCTCGTTTTTGTCTCTTGCAGTGGATTCCTGCAGATTTTATTTGCAGATTTGATGGAATCGAGGTTAATTTTAGAGGTTTCAACTGGTGCAGTTGGCAGAAACGTCAGTCTACTTCAGAGTAGCTGCAGAGGAAACAACAAAACTGAGAGCTGGAATATTTTACTCATGAGAAAATGTTTTTAAAAAACTCATAACAGATCTGCTGTGAAGATGCATTTTTTGAGTGTGATTTGTGATTTTACCTCTTGCGGATTCTTGCGTTGAAGAGCGGCGCTTCGTACCGCGGGTTTGTTCCCACGAGCAGCAGCAGGTCGCACTCCTCGATGCCGGAGATGCGAGAGTTCAACAGGTAGTTTGAGCGCAGGTCGGAGCTTAAGAGAGACAGACAGCATGATGTAAGACACCTTCACAGGCTTTTATGTCACATCAAACCATTTATTTCCCATCCTGCGTTGCTTCGATTAAAACCTGCAGACAGTCTCACCCTGCTCCCGCCGTGGGGAAGAGCTCCTCGGTGCAGAGACTCTCTGAGTTCAGTCTGTTCAGGAGATCTTTGAGGGAGACCAGAGATTCAGCATCAGCCATCCCTCCGGCAATGGCTGCGACCTCGCTGCCCTGAACACTCTGCAGCTACAAACACACACGCACAAATGCTGTCATGCATACAGGCTCAAACATTACAACAGTTTGGTTTAGAAATCAACAAAAAGGCATTGTGACCTTTGGAAAATTTTGATCAACTAAATGAAGGGAATTGACCAACTATTTCTGCAACAAAAGATGATTCTTTATTCATACTGTCATGAACTCATGATGTCCTGTAAGTGGATATTTTGTGAGATAACTTGCCCCTTTTTTTGTCAATTAATCTTGTGTCTTATCTGACAATGGAGTATATAAATATCACCTTTTTTTGCCCCCTAAAAAAAGAATATAAAAGGAACTAGAAAAGCACTCAGAGAGCACAGACCTCCGCCAAGCAGTTCATGTTCCCCTTTAAACAAGAAATGCCCTGACCGGGATTCAAACCCAGGACAAACAAACTCACAGACAAACAAACCAACGCTACCGAAAACATAACCTCGTTGGCGGAGGTAACAAGCTGACAGAGAAAGACGAAGACAAACACTTACTGCTCCTGCAACACGTGTTAAAGCATCCTCCCATGTGGTCGGGGTCAGCTGACCTGAATCGTCCTTCACCAATGGCTGAGTCAACCTTTGCCTCTTCAGACCGTCATATGCAAACCTAATACGAGCAGAATATATGAAGTTTTTGTCGGTTCTTTTTATTTGTGAAACAAAAATACTTGACAGACATAAAACTTCTTGTGCCATTGCAAAAAAAAAGCTGCATAGCAAAAGAAAAAGACGTGTGGAAAAATCCCCATAAATCGTCTAGTTGACACGAGTTTTTGCACAAAGAAGAAAATTATCCTTCTGCAAAAATATAAGGGTTAAAAATAGAGAACATGTGCAAGGGAATAAAATCAAACAACAACAAAAAACATGTGTTCTGGCTCTCATCTTGTTGTCTTTACCTGGTCTTGTCAGAGATCCACTCTTCATTGACCTCCTCGTTCAGCCGGGGCAGCACCCTCATCACCTCGCCACCTCTCGTGCTCACCACGATGTTACTGCCCACAGCGTCCAGAACATCTATGGATTCTGTTTTCCTGCAGAGAGAGACCTATGCTTTAAAAAAAAAAAAAGCAGCAGGATAAAATCTGAAAATTAAGAGGCTGAGGTGTCAAAACTCTTTCCTACCGGGTCTCCCAGGGTCGTGCGGTGAAAGCGTAGGGTTTGGAGGTGAGCGCTCCCACGGGACAGACATCGATGACGTTACCCGACAGCTCCGACATGAACATCTTCTCCACGTATGTGCCGATCTGAAGGTTGTTCCCTCTTCCTGTTGTTCCCAGGTCTTCGACGCCGGCGATCTCGCTGGCAAATCTACAAAAACACGCGATAACAGTTCAAGTGACAGCGAACGATCTTGAAATACGAGTGGACTGAGCGTTTGTGACACACATACCGAACGCAGCGTGTGCACTGGATGCAGCGGGTCATGATGGTTTTAATGAGCGGCCCGATGTTTTTGTCCTCCACCGCTCTCTTTCCCTCTGTGAATCGACTCCGGTCTGAACCAAACTGCATGGACTGATCCTGGAAACATCAGATAGAGGGTTAAGAAGGACATAAAGAAGTTGGAAATGTTTTTTTAACTTTTGTTGGGCTCCACAGATTACACTTTTGTTTCCATAAAAAATAAAAAAAAAGTAGCAAACACGTGTTTTTATAGTTGTGACTTATCCCTGTTGACATGAATTAACCTTCTAATCTTTGAAAGTTGGCTGCTGTGTTACCTGCAGGTCACACTCTCCTCCCTGATCACAGATGGGACAGTCCAGAGGATGGTTGGCCAACAGAAACTCCATCACTCCCTCTCTGAGGAGACACACACATCCATTTCATGAGTCTCTTTTCTGCAGTTAAGTCATGTTAAAGTCTGATAGAGGCAAAGTCTGAATACTTTGGTTTGTACCTGGCTTTGCGTGTTTTCTCTGAGTTGGTGAGGATGTTCCAGCCTTTCATGACGGGCATGGCGCAGGCTGCTACAGGCTGCAGAGACGCATCACAGCACAGCACATATAAATAGGAGGGTTATATTGGAGAAATGTAAGTGCTCTTAAGCCTTGCTGCAGCAAAAATCAGATAAAGGATGCATTATTTTTACCTTTGGAGCTTTCTCGATCTCCACCAGACACATACGACAGTTTCCAGCCACTGAGAGGCGCTCATGGTAACAGAACCTGGGGATCTGGATTCCTGCTTTCTCACAGGCCTGAAAAAGAAGAGAAAGAAGGTGAGCACCTTTGATCACTTGTAACAAGCATGTGCAGCATTGCTTTTTTTGCAATTTTTGCCAGTCACTAAAATAAGAGATAAATCTTTGACTCGTACTGATAAGGATTAATTCTTCCATGTCAAAACCAGGTGTTATTTTTCCACAACAGGGACATTCATGTTGTAAACTTTAAGAGGGTTAATTACATGAGCCGTGAGGGTATGTAACATTTCTGTGTCTGTGCAGAAACAAGCTCTTTACCTGCAGCACAGTGGTTCCAGGCTCCACCTCCACTGGTTTCCCATCCACAAACACTTCCACCATGTTGCTGGCAGCACGCACTGAAGTACGCACTGAGATGAGAGACGAAAACATCAAAAGAGGTCAAATTCAATCGAACTCAATCAGGAATATCAATGTTTCAGAGTTAGTCTCTAACAATGAAACATCAGGGAGAATTCAGAAAATACACTTTCACTGTTCAAAGTACAGAACAGAATACCTTCAGTGCAAACAAATTCCTCAAGTTGACATAAAGACTTGAGGAATCCACCAGACACATACTTTAAGGTTACAGTTGCTTTGACCTTGACATAGACTCACACTCATATACGCACACACAAACACATACACACACTTAACTCTTACCAGTGTTACCAGCCAGGCTGCTCTTGGCGGCTCCGGCCAGAGCCCGGCCGACGTTCGGCAGACGCAACATGACGCACGCTGTGAGAGACAAAAACAGACCAAACCCCTTACTATCATAATCTTAAAGAATAATAGTTTAAACACTGTTCGAATTTCTTTCCTGTCAATTTACCAAAAGTCAAAGCAAAACTGTAAGAGGAGATGCACGATATTATCGGCCTAATATCTGTATGAAAAACTGAAGTAGGGCTGAAACGATTACTCGAGTAACTCGAGTAACTCGATTAATAAAATTCCTCGAGGCAAATTATATGCCTCGAGGAATCGTTTAAATCCGGAACCATGTGCAGCGCACGGTGTTTGACACGGACGGTTATTTCTGTTGCGCAGAAGCGTGCTCTTTCCGCTCCTTCCGCTGCCGCGCGTTTGGTTCAATCATGGAGGGAAACGAGGACAGACAGAAGCTGTGTCCGAAATGGCATACTGCCTGCTATCTACTTACCTACTCAAGCAGTAGCTACTGCCTACTGACTACTCAAAGATGATTTGAGTATGCCGCGGCTGCCCGAGCGTTTACACACATACATACTAAATACCCCAGAATGCATTTCGTGCCGGCCGGACGCAGCGCCGGGAAAATTTAAATAGTCCTACCACAAGCTACATAGAACGACTGCATACCGGACAAATTATATAAATTCATTCAATAATAATATTTTTTCTAGCGAGAAAGTAAGTGTTTACATCACGATTATGAGCCCAGTTGTTTGAAATAGTGGCTGTTTGTAAATTTGTCTCGGCGTTTTCGGAGACCGAAGCGTCCACTTGGTCGGTGTTTGCGTCTATTTACCGTAAACACCGGGCAGCAGCAGCTCCCCCTTCACGTTTCCAAATTATTGCGAAGTGTTTTCATAATCAACATCTACACGACACAAACCGGGCGGCAGTGGATGAAAAAAATCACACAAACATCCGTGTATCCATGGTGATAATGCTATACACCACCTGCTAGGCGTGTGATGAGCAGCAGAGGGCTGCAAAATGACCAACACACAACAACATGTAAATAAAAATGTAACACTTTTATATATTGAATAAATGTACATTTGCTTGTCAAATTATGTTAGTATCCAAGAATTATATTATTTCAGCCTATTAATTAAACAAGTAAAATTAGATCCAAAGCCTGGAAATAGTTGTGACTGGTTTAGTGAAAACTGCAAAGATCATTACCATAGCAATTAAAAGACCATCTGCAGACCTTGCCTTCAGTAGTTTCATGTGAACTACATGGTAAAATGTAAAACTTTTGGTTCCTGATTTATGCAGTAAAAATATTCATTTGAAAGACCTGGCCTATTTCAGTTTTGTGTGTTACTGATGGTTTTTAATGAGGCAAACGTGATTCAATGCAAAGTATTACAGTGAGAGCAAAACATTTCTTATCCGATTACTCGATTAATCGACAGATTAATCGATAGAGTACTCGATTACTAAAATAATCGATAGCTGCAGCCCTAAACTGAAGTTAATCATCTGTATTGGTAGATTGGTTTGTGCTGTGTATTTGTTTTGCACATGGGATGGCTTATGTGAGTCAACAACAAGCTTTAACAAACAGCTGATCAAATGTGATTTGAAGTAGCGGCCCGGCCAATTTTAGCCTGTTTGAGACTAATCGGTCATCAGCCGAAACTCGCTGATTTTTGCAGACATTTTCAGAAATAAATTGCGGAGAATAAGATTCGGTTTCACTTCAAAAATGTTCTGCCAAAAGATCCCCAACTTAACCTGTAGATGGCGCAGCAACCTTGTGACAATCTTCACTGTTAGCCATGTCAGTAACGGCAGAATAAACAACAGTACACATTAGTGATCGAGCTACTTCGAGTTTAGACGCGAAGGCACAGATCGGCGCGCAGGGGGGTAGTCCGAGTTTGATCAGTTGGTCTTCCTGTCAGCGTGAAGAGCAGTAGCCTACATTATATCTACAGTATATAGTTTACTGTAGATATCTACAGTATAGTATCTGCCAATATCTACAGTAAATATATTTATTTTTTTATGTAATAAAAAATCTAAAAAAAATCGGCCGATTAATAGGTAATCGGATTTTTCCCCCCCTAATAATCAGTATCAGCATCAGGCCCAAAAAATCCATATCCTAATTTGAAGTGAAGGAAACAGACAGCAGATACAGGATTGAATGTCTACATTTTTTAAAAGGAAAACAGCTATAAATTATGGTGGAATCAAGGTTGTTTGTCCTGTTACTTCTCTGTTTCTTAAACCTGAAAACAAACAAATAAATGCGATGCTCAAATTAATAGTTACTCTCAATCAATAATCACTAAAATTTCAAGATTTTTTTTGGATAAATGAAATTTTTAAATTTTGTCTAAGGTGATTTTTAGCCTTGTTATTATACACAATAAAATCTCATACCTAAAGATAATTTCTCATATTCATATAAGCGGTCATATCTGGAACTTTAAAGTAGGTTTATACAAGGACGAGGTCAATATGGACCCTTCTGTTAAAAAATCCATTTTATCTGAGTCCATGCAGAGATAATACACTCAATCAAACAGATTTGTACATGAATACTATAAAAACTCTACCGCAGAGATTATGTTTGTCATTACAGTCTCAATAACAAACATCATCACTGCTCTCTCAAATGTCAGCGAACAACAACAAGCTATCAACGCTTCATTTTGACATCTGGAGGAGACGAGGTATATTTTCAAAGATAAGATAACTGGAGCATAGTTGAATAGTGAACCCTAACAGAGCTCTGTTTGGACACATAAATACCATGATCCGTGCAGGGGGGGACAGTTAGCTCGAAGGCTAACAGCGTTAGCTAACGCTGACACTCAAGGACACTGCTTTGTGTAAGCGGGTTATTCAGGGTAATAAGGTCAAACACTCCACTTTCTTCCGCTCTGCGGTGATAATAATTTATAATTCTAGAGTTGCATCAATGCATCTTTTGTTTCTGGTTCTTACCTTTCGCTATTTGGCCTTCTTGACCAGAACAGCGTTGATAGAAGTTACTCCAGTCAGGTAGCTGACGTTTTTAGCGGAACTAGCCCGGCGTCTGCTTCTTCTTCTTCGGTGGTTTTTAATGGAGGCGAGCGCGCAAGTGTCGCTTGACCGTCAACTGCTGGACAAACGTCATATTTATCTGGTAGTTGAATAAATAGGTCTTAGGTATATTTGTAATCTGTGTCAAACTTCTTGAAAGTTAATAGGGGAGAAAAGATAGTGAGTACCATTGTAAGCGTTGTAATAGCTACACAGCACAGTATTTTTTTCTGTGAAAATAAAACCTTGAATTTTCTCATATCCCACTCATGTTAGCTCTACAGATAAAGAGTTCTTAGTACTATTTGTTTAAATTTAGATGTTTTCTTTCAGCAAATTAGTGCAATAAACCCTGTATCTGTCAACAAGAGTTATGATTTCTTACATGACAAAGCCATAAAAAGGACAGCACAACAACAACAACAACGACAAAAACAAGTCTCTCTTTCTTTCTTTCTCTTAATTTCTTTTTTCTTTCTTTCTTTCTTTCATTCTTTCTTCCTTTCTTTCATTTTTCTTTCTTTTGTGTTTGTTTGTTTGTTTCTTTTTTCTTTCCTGATACCCCGTGATTAGGCTTGGTTGACACCGTGGACTACATTTCCCGTCATGCACTTACACTGAACCGGATGTTTCTACGTGTTCACTTTCGCGACAGTTCAGGAAGCACCAACAAACGATCAGTGGTATAAACAAGAGTCGGTGCTTTCTCCTGTTAAGGAGTACAGCAAACCAGGTAAATATAAATTTTATTCTAGACTTAAATCAGTGTAGACTTATCACGTCAACCAGGGACATTACTTTTCCGCTTCTTTGTTGGAATAAGACTGTCCAGGCCTTCTCATCTCGGTTTTCAGTTAGCACCGAGCTAGTGATATCGGTTAGCAAACAGCTTCAGCTAACAAGGAAATAAACTAAATCTGTTTTCTGAGAGTCATTTTTCTGTTCTATATAATGTTAAAATGTTTTATAGAAGAGTGCATGTGATTTATCGGGCGTTGCTAGACGACATACAGATTGGCTATAGTAAAGTGTTAAACAGCATCCTCTGAAGACCTGCTGTAGTTCAACCCTCTCCATAATCTTTTTTCTTCCCCCTTTTTCCTTTTCCGTAATATTTTTTTATTCCAACCCTCAGCACCATGTTGCCGACCACCTCGCCGCACACAAACGGTGCCCTGGGTGCCAGGGACGCTGCACGACACACAGCGGGCGCCAAACGCTACAAATACCTGCGGCGGCTGCTCCACTTCAGACAGATGGACTTTGAATTCGCTCTGTGGCAGATGCTTTACCTCTTCACGTCCCCACAGAGAGTCTACAGAAACTTCCACTACAGGAAACAGACTAAGGACCAGTGGGCCAGAGACGACCCTGCTTTCCTAGTCCTGCTCAGCATTTGGCTCTGTGGTATGTTTGATTACCGATTTAATCGTCTCACTGATAAATCTGTTGGGCCCTTGTATCTTTTCATTTCCACTGGAGCTGCTTATTACCTGTTTGTTTTCTATAGATGTATCCCATAAAAACGGAACACTTTCTCTATTCCTCTGTAGTGTCAACAATAGGCTTTGGTCTAGTTTTGGATATGGGGGTCCTGGAGACTCTGAAGCTGCTCCTGTGGGTTGTTTTTGTGGACTGTATAGGTGTTGGTCTCTTCATATCAACTCTAATGTGGTAAGTAGATACATACAGTATTACAGTAATGCAGTATTTACATTTATGGAACAGAGGTGGATGAAGCCATACTCAAGTAAAAGTGCTAGTTTTATACTATTGAGCCTCAAAAGGGCTCTAAGTAAAATTTGATTTTGGGGCCCTCTATTTCTGCCAATCATATTGATTGTTGATCATTCACACACCTTCACAAATCTCTTTGATTAACCTTCCATGACATGCAAAAATACCTTGTATCTTGGCATTTTTTTTCTTTCCTCTGCTTCTTAAGGACATGTCCTTTTTTGCAACATTGCTTTGCCCCACAATTCCCTTTGCTTTGGATGCTCAGTGCACATTGCACAGCAGAAGGCACATCACAGTAACAGATCTTTGACATATCGGCAGTAAGAATCATAGGCCTACATCAGCAGCAGCACTAAAATGTTTTTACTCTATTTTATTTTTACAATAATACATATTTGATCATAAAAATGTATAATTTTTTGATTGCTCTTGGGGGGGCCCCCTATTGGCCGCAGGGCCTTAGCATGTCCTTGAGCCTGCTTTGCTATCAAAGGTTTAGAAGGATAGATGTGATCATATACAGACAGTACAGTTGAGGCTGATAATCATTTATTTCCAAAACAAATCAGAGTAAATTGATGCTTATTGTGCAGCTACGTTTGGAATGATGGCGGTACGTGTGCACATGTAATTTGCATGACTTTTAATGAGTAAGTAAACAGTATCACCATCAAGTTATCTCTACCCACATAGTTGCAACTTTCTCACAACTGATGTGCCTTGAACTGATTTAAAAACAAATGAAACAGCATCTTTAGATTAAATATCTTTTTTGCCTTTTTGCACATGGATAACTTTTCCTCTTCTTCTTTTTTCCTTTGTCGGGGTTTTTGTGACATTTGCTCTCCACAATGTTGCATCCATACCACTCGCAGTTATTTCGCTTCTTTTAATTTCAGTAAAAATAATCCAGCATCTTTAGTCTGCAAAATCCTCCTGATGTAGAGGACAAAGATTCTCAGGGGACATATATTGGTGTAAAAGTTGACTTTATTCTCAGGAAATGTTTTGGAGTCAGAGTGGAAGTTGACAGAAAGTTTATACACTTACTGAAGTACTTTGGTATGGTACTTTTACCCATGGAGATGTGTAGTTTGTATCAGTCCTTGTTTTCTTTGATTTGTATTTTCAGTACAGCTGACTCTAAAGTTGGACTCCAAACAGCCGATGTGACATGTTGTGGTTTTATTTTCTGTTCAGGTTCATCACTAACAAATACCTGCTCAAACATCCCAGCAGAAATTTTGACGTGGAGTGGGGCTACGCATTTGACGTTCACCTGAACGCCTTCTACCCTCTCTTAGTCATCCTTCATTTCCTCCAGCTCTTCTTCATCAATCGTGAGTAGACTGAGGCTCTGTGGGAATCAAACCCCTGAAACTGAGATTTATTCATCCAACTTAAAGCAGTAAACAGTCTTAGAAAGAGTCTAATCTAAATGGGCACTTGTGTGAGAGTGACGTGCAGATTGAAATTGAAACATAAATCTCTTCATTGGACAATATGACTCTTAGTTTTTTTGACATCTAGTTAAAGTCTTTGATCCAAACAGTGTGAACCACACATATCTGAGGGTTCTGTATGAAAATTTGTCAATTTTCATGTATTAATACTCAAAAAATCATACGCTTGAACCTTTTTCTCCCAAAATTTCTCCTGTTTCAGACATTGTGGTGATAAACTCAGACTGGTTCCTGGGATATTTTATCGGGAACACTTTGTGGCTCATCGCTATAGGTTATTATCTCTACATCACCTTCTTGGGCTACAACGGTAAGTCATCTTTAAGTGTTTGAAAGGACACTCTGCAAATGTTTCAGGTGTTCCAGGTCACCCTTTCAAAAGAGATTTTTAATCTCAAACTGGCTTTTCTGGGTACATAAGTTCAAAAAATTAGATGAAAAAGTATTAACAACATAATTATTGTCTGAAAAGCTACAATTCCCTGTATGTCCACCAGATGTCACCTGTAGAACCACATTTACACTCATTCAAAAAAAGCCAATTTTAAGAGTGGAAATAACACATTTGCAGCTCGATTCAAAAAAGGGTTTTGGTCTGATTAGCTCAGGGCTCCCACAGCACCCACAGTCAGGGAGTGATTTTTTTTTTGTTTGGTATTAGATCAGGACACTGTTAAGATTTGTTTGACATTGTTTGCATGGACCTGGAAACAGTTTGAAATGCAAAATGCAATAAATTTAAAACATGCTGTAACAAATGCGACCAATCATGAAAAACAAATAATTCTTTTGTAACTGTAACTGCAGAATATTGAATCTCTTTTGATTGTTTTATGTGCTTAAAACTCTTCCATTCTTTTTATTATCAACTTAAACTTATGCCAATCTTTTTGTTCAAGCTAGCTTTTAATCTTTACTTGAATGTGTCTTTTATTTATGTGCAGAATATCGAGTTGCCCACGTTTTTGAAAGTTGCTAATAAATTGACCATGCCTCGACTCTGACAGCTGCAATAGTAATTCCACAGAGATCTTGAGCAGAGATTTGCAGACTTTGAATGAGCTTAAGTGGGTTTACAAGATCAATTTTTTTGATGCTGAAGTTAAGTTTCCTGGCTGCAGCACAAACATCTTAATACTGACAATTAAAGCTTAAATGGAGGGGAATTAGACGCTATCTCCAGCTATACTGGGATGGAATCTGAATTGTTATTGTTGTCTACGAGCTTTCTGCATAATTCATCTGAAAGACATCCAGATGTTGTAGTCATGAGTGTTTATTTATTTTGGTAAATCCTTCACCATGTGTCCTTTTAAAAAAGTATAAACTTACTATTTACATTCCAGTGCTTCTGTACAGACCTGTGGTGTTTACTTTCCTGATTTATCCCTCTTCTGTTCCAGCCCTCCCCTTCCTGCAGAACACGGTGGTTCTGCTCTACCCGTTCGCTCTGCTCGGCCTCATCTACGTCCTCTCAATCTCTCTGGGCTGGAACTTCACAAAGGGTCTCTGCTGGTTCTACAAGTACAGAGTCCAGTAAAACCAGTTTGTCTCTGAGCTCGGACACTAGTTTGCTCCTTTTTTCACTCATATCCTGGTGACAATGAATTCATTCCCAGCTTCTGTGAGTCATGTTGGGGGAGAGGGACTTGGACTCGACTTGACTCTCAGCTCGGCGGTGACTGGCTTGGACGGTTGACTCTGATTTTCAGTTTGGCTCTTTTGTTGAGCTCTAAAAAAATATAAATGATAACATGTTTGGACTAGTAACAGGAACGGGGAAAGTAAACAGCTTTTATTGTTATTCTTTTTGTATGAATTGTAAATATTTTTCCGACAGGTTGTAATATCAACAACAACGATTGTTTCTGAAGAGGATGAACTTTGCTTTTTCTTTAGAAAAAAGAAAGACTGAAAAAAATCCTGATTATTGAGCAGAAAAAGGAAAGTGGAGGAAACCGGGATGCAAACTTTATTTTTCCTTTTCCTTTTTCTTAAAGTGTACATTCCAGAGCACTTTCAATAAAAGGTTTTATTAACTTAAACTGCCTCGGTTTGATACCCTGGAGGGAAAGATCAGATCATTGCGCCCCTGGGTCATTCCATTAAATCGGGGCCTTTTGCGTCTCCAAGAAGTAATCATTCATAAAATTATGATAACAACAGATTAATATGTAATTTCAAAATATAACATTACCGTGTCTTCTCTCCTTAATATAACATCAAATTAAAGTCAATTAAATATCATTTTAAATAATATAAATTACTTTTATGCTGATGAGGGTGAGGTTTTTGGCCTGTCCCTCACTACTATTGCTGCACGTATACAGGACTTTAAATTTGTAAAATGTTAATTATGTTTAATAGGTCATTAATGGAGAGCAATGGTTACTATCATCAGAAAACTTCCAGGCCTATTAAACATAATTCCCGAAAAGTAAAGTACAAAATCCGGACAGTATTATGAAGAACAGGAGTTAGTAAAACAGCACAAAGTATAAAATTTTAGTTTACCATTCAGAAAAAACGAGTCGTGAGTTTGTTAATATCGGGAAAAATGAATGGCCGTCTATGGGCGATGCTAAGTGGCTCCAAAACACGCTAACACCGGAAGTGAACAGAATGCTAACTTCCGCGTACTGTGAAAAAGGTCTATTGATATGGAGTTATTGGAATAAACACTCTGATAAGTCTTTACCATCAAAAAGACTGGAAGCTCAAGATAAACTGTTGTTGCAGGAAAGAAAAAAACAGTCTTTTGTTTGTCTGTAACATGTTTTATTTCTGCAACTAATTTTATATCTGCTTGAAAACATGCTCATCTCTTAGCCTAGCTTGTATCACTTGTTGTCATAGTAAACATGTCATGCAACCTCATTCATGAAATGACAGTGCCACCTACTGGCCAATTGAAATATTATCTCATCATGACACCCACCACCCTCAAAGCTTTTGCGTTATCATACTTTTTGTACTGTTTGCGGCAACTACTTGTATGACTTGTGACTGCAGATATCGTAACTTTTTTAATTATTTCAGAGCGCTCATTAGCATGTCCTTGAATATCTCCAGGTCAAATTTCTTTAAGATGGTGACCTTGTGTTTATTCGGCAGGAGACCTATGTAGTCGAGCACCATCATGCCTCGGGTGTATTTCCCATTCAGCTCCACTGACACTGGGACCTGAGGAAGGAAAACAAGAAGTCATGAAGTCACCTCCTCCATTAAACACATCATACAATTCATTGAAAGAAAATAAGGAACTCTAAACAATGGTTTCACCTCTTCACTGGCTTTCACTACACTGGGATTGATTGCTGCAGCCATGGTGTAACAGTCACAGGTGTTGAATCCAGGCTTGCCTACCGTCTCCTTCTCGTATTCAGCAGACTGGATCACCTGCAAAACACAAATCAGTGAAGGAAATTAACATGAATCTTGTACAAGATACTGAGTCATGTCCCTTTGATAGAAACGAAATTAAACGCCTTCAGTCTGTCAAGCTTGTCAAGTGTAAGAACAATACATCAAAGATGCAAATCCCCCAAGGGAGAGATTGCATAAGCACAGTTTGTTTACAAGATTAATTATTTTACTTAATTTGCCTTCTGTGTGAGCTGCTTTTGCTACTGGATTTCGTCTGTGGAGCATTTTTATCCCATCTAACCTGATGGATTGTATTTAATAAGAAAGTCCTAGACTCTTGTGAAGTTTCTCGCTCACGTGCTGCTTCATTTTGTGTTTACAGAGATTACATCAGGAGACGTCAAACGCTCAGGTGACCTCCTACCTCTTGAGTGTGCTTGTAAATCTTCTTCATGAAACGAGCCTTATCTGTGTCTTGAGCCAGCCACTTGTCACAGAAAGACTAAGAGAGACAAAGAGACAGGTAAGTGAAGCTGAAATCAATGTGTTGAGAAGTAAATCAAGGGCTAGTGTATCCTCTGGCAAGTATTCAAATTTTGATTCTCATGATAAGCTTAGCACACACCCAGGGCAGACTGTTTCTGCAGCTGAACTCCCAGGTGGCGATGTAGGTGGGGCAGGTGACACGTTTAAAAACGATGTACGCAGCCTCGGGGTCGGCCACAAAGTTAAACTCTCCACACGAGGTGGTGTTTCCTCGAGCTGAACACACACACGCACACATGAAAAGTTCCTACATGTTTGCTTTATCAAATAATAACAAAGATCTTTGGGGATTCAGATAAAGAAAAACTCACATTCGGTGTTTCCTCCCATGATGTAGAGCTCTTTCAGTTTTTTAGGGAAGTAAGGGTCCAATACCATCCCAGTGGCCACGTTAGTGAGGGGCCCTGTGGCAACGAGAGTCACCTGCACACATAGAAAAAAGTGATTAAAAACGCCATAGTGTTTACTGACTTGGTTCAAACTATTTGATAACTTTTTAAACATGAACAGGATTCAAACATTCCCAACAAACTGGTCTGGTTTCTCCCACGATAAATAAACAGTTCTGATTCTGATGATTATACTTTACATTTAACCATGCTGCCAAAACACTGCTTTCATTCTGACATTGATCTTATTTAGAGTATTTGAATAATAGATTGAATTTTTAGAGGATATGTAGATATTTGTATTTTTTAATAAAACCTTCCTGAAAACTTTTTTTCTCATCTGCACCAGTGTGCAAAAAAAGGTTCCTGTTTGGAAAAAAGGAACCAGATGTGCCAAATGTGCCAGTCTTTAAAAACTCTATTATACATAATAATTTGTATTTCCTCAAGTACCATAATTGAAATCAATTCATTACAATTATTACCCAAGATCTGAAAAATGACACCAAAATGAATCATTTATGGGAAAAAATAACCAAAAGAAAAAAAAAAAATTCCTTAAAGTGCTAAATAAACTCTTAGATTAAAATAATAATGAAACCAATATGTGCTCACCAATTTTAAAATAGTGCTCCAGACTTTTTCTAATGATTTGTTTCAATTGTATTTGAGTCACAGTGAATGAGCAATTCTTCTTCTTCAGTTTCTGCACCGAAAGTGTAAGAAACTCCTTGTGCATACGATCTTCTTTACCCATAAACCTGGTTATGACTTTTAAAATTCCCTGCGAGTTTTTTCTTTTTGAGTTTTATCATCCACCAACCTCCCCAGGGTTTTCTTTTACAATCTTGATCATGGCTTGCACAGCTTTCCTCTTCTGCAGCTTGTCCAGGCCTGGGGCGTTTGGATCTGGGGAGTCACCCAGCCCATCTTTTCCATGGAAATCTGAAGCTTCGCGTTTTTCATCAAGCATAGAGTATTCACAGCCGCGAAACACTGGGATCTGTACACAGGCAACAACATGAATGAGTTTACTGAGATACAGTTCACTGGAAAGGTTGTCATTACATGCAAGTTTGGACATGACTTCTACTCACATCCATCCTGCCGCAGATATCTAGCACCCTGAGTGTGTTCTTGCAGGAGTTGTCCAAACTTGTGTTACCATGTGTGCATGTGATGCCCAGGATCTCCACGTCAGGAGATGCCAGAGCCATCATGATGGCCTGGGCATCATCCACACCAGTATCCACATCGATGAGCAACTTCTTCTTCATCTTATCTTAAAGAGAAAGAAAAAAGAAAAAGTTTTGTCTTTGAATTAGACTTCCCCTTAAATCTGGGCCATCCCTGCTTCTTGCTTCCTAATAAAAAAAAATAGAAAATAGTACAATTAATAGTAAAAAAGTAAAAAACAATTAATAGAAAAAAAGTACAATTATATAGAAATCTATGAGAAAATGGTCCTCCCTCTCAGTTGACTTATTCCCTCGGAAACATATTGTCCTGATATGTTTATGATCTCAATCTTTTCAAGACAGCCTGAGGTGACTGCTGTAAATTTTTCAGCATGAAGATTTTATGTTGTTGGAAACCGGGAGACTTTATCTCACGAGTAAATTACAGACTCCTGTATTGAATTTTACAGACACTGTACAAGGGGAGAAAAGGCAGGAGACAACTGATACGCCCCCTAAAGCAGAACCAGATGCCTCAGCACGCAACAGGGCTTGGTGTCCTTTCAGAAAACTTCAGAGAACAATCTGTACCACCAAATTTGGGCTCAGTCCAACTTCCATTACACAAGGTGTGCCTGGAATAAAGGCATTGAACATCTACAATGAAGCTTTAAAAACATTCAGTGGTTTTTATTTGGAACCAGTTCCCCAGTTCTTTTTTCTGAAACAGAACTGAAACCACTTCATTGGAATCACACATCAGTAATTAGTTTTTCTTTGATCCTGACCTTGCGTGAACACCAGATAACTCATAAGTTTCTCTGCAGTACTTTCAATTAAATTGATATCGGTTTGCAGATCATCAAAATCAGTTTTAATCAACATTTCCATCGCGCCCAGCTCTTTTGGAATTGCCATTGTGTTACTGTTTTTTAAAAAATGGATGAAAACTAAGAAAGTGCTGAGTAAAGCCTAATTTAAGAGGTGGTGAGACTTGGTCTGTTTTTTTGTTTTACTTAGTATTGCACTTAAACAGCTTGACGTGATAAAATAATCAATCAAGAGTTCATAAGATAAAGTTGAACTAATTTATCAGCTGTGTTCAACTCTTGGCAATGCACCTTTAATATCATTCAAATCAGTCAAGCGTATCTTTAACTAAGTGAGGATAATCTGCAGTTTGCTTTAAGTATAGACAGTTTACGATGCTAAATGTATATAATTTAAGTTTGGCGCATTTTAGTTCCTACACGCTTGATTTATTAGTTCTTTAAAGTTAAAACACAAATGCACAAAGGCAAAGTGCAGACTTACCTTCACAAGATGCTGCCGCAACAAGTCAGACTTCCTTCTTCTCTCTCTGCCCAAGAGACAATGTGGCTTAATTTACACAACAGGAAATATAAAGATGTGCCCTCATATGGTACCAGCTAACCAGAAGCAAGATGAAGGAAAAAAAACTCTGAGTTTTAGGTTGCTCAACAGCATACAGCCCCTCCTACTGGAAAAACCTGTTTGTAATCGTCTCTGGCTTTAAGGGAGTTTCGCATAGTTATGTGCTGCATGTTCAGATGCAAACAAACCAAAACTGCTTTAGAATCTGTAGAAAATTATAAGAAAAGTCTGAGGAACGTGTTGATATGTCATGAAATCTCCAGTTGTGGCACCTTCTGTGCCAACGGATACTTGGCAACAGCTCCTATTTTGACTCCTCACTTTCATTTTACTCTACAGATGGATTTGGACTAGATGGGGTGTCAGAAATGTAGGAATGATGTTTAGGCAAGTAATTACCATCGCCAAGGAGGTTATGTTTTCAGTAGCATTAGTTTGTTTGTTTGTTTGTTTGTTTGTTGGTTGGTTTGTTGGTTTGTTTGTCTGTTAGCAACTTTACGGAGAAAGTTACAGACGGATTGACCTGAAATTTTCACCAGAGGTGCGTCTCAGCCCCAGGAGGATCCCATTACATTTTGGTGATGATCCGGATCACCCTCTGGATCCAGGAATCTTTTGAAGGATTCTTTATCATTGTGAGATAGGGCAAATTTTGGAATTTTTGCATTTAACTCTATAAAAATGTCCAGAGTCTTTAGTAAAAAAATACACAAAAGGATCTCAATGAGTTTTATGAGGTGTCAAAGGTTGATCCTGATCCAGACAAAATTCTGGATACTGTGATCCAGAACACACAAAAATAAGGGTGTCGTTGGAATTTTCAATGCTGAAACATAACCAATGGGCGGCACAATGGTGTAGATAGGTGGCACAGTGGTGTAGTGGTTAGCACTGTCGGCCTCACAGCAAGAAGGTCCTGGGTTTGAATCTGGGTCAGGGCATTTCTTTTTTGGGAACATTATGAACAGTGAACATACCAGTTCATAAAAGACACGTAGCAGTAAAAGTTTTGGTGTGAATCACAATATAAGGGGGGACATGAGCTGCTTGGCGGAGGTCTGCGCTCTCCGAGTGCTTTTCTAGTTATAACTGTGAAAAGTTCAGGTATTAAACTGCACACAAGAAGCAAGAACAGGCTAGTACAAGAGAGAGGGAGGGAAAGTCTCTGATGTCTAAAAGTTGGATGCAATGTGTTGTGGAATCACTCCAGAAGTAAAGGTTAAGCTATCAACCAGCAGCTGCAGGCTATAAAGGCTGTAACATAAAAATGAGGGTGAATGCACATTCAGTAAAGCTGGGTGTTTTCAACAATCAACAAGTTCACAATCAAAAAACATGGCAACAATCAGTAGTCTGATCTCAAGGGTAAAGGCTGTAAATGTTCAAAAGTACAGTTGTAACTCTGAAACTTGCGTTCTCTGTCTGACAATGAAGGATCGCTCCATCTGGTCGGAGGGGAAGGGGTTTGAGTATCTCAAGATTTAATTAATTAAATTTTTTTTGGAAGTCCATTTCCACCAAAAAAGATAGGGAACTTGGCCTTTAAAAGAAACACTCTAAATATTAAGGATACTGAGAAAATGTCATTAATATATTCAGTCATTATTAAAGATAGTAAGTTATGATTAGGAGATAAAAATTCAAAATTATGAGATTAAAAGGTTATGACCTTTTAATTATGTTATTATGTTAAGTTATGACCTTTCTATCCTCCAATTATGATTGGAGGATAGAAAGTAGCAATTATTAGTCAAAAAGTCATAATATAGAATAATATTTCATAATCATGTATTAAAAAGTCACAATTATGATATAGAAAGGAATTATTAAGAGTTCAAAATAACGGAGTATGAGATGATGAGTCAAAATTATGGGTTAAAAAAATCATGACTATATAAAAAATACCATGATGAAATATCTGAGATACAGTCAATAGAAAAAAATGCTAAAAGATAAAAAGTCATAATCACAAGATAAAAAAGTTAAAATTGGGACAGTAGGGCAAAATTATAAGAATAATTACCCATCATTATGAAATAAAAATTAATTATCATTTGATAGAGTCATTGTCATGCAATTAAGAGTTAGAATTATGAGTTAAAAAACATAACTATGAGATAAAAACTCATAAATTTGAGATTCATATGATGTAAGGTCAAAATCATAAGAATGTAAGTGTTTATTTTGGAATGAAAACCAGGATAATTAAATTACAAGTTATATGCAAAACAGGTCATAAAATTATGAGGAAATAAGTCATCTAACCTTTGTGGTGAAGATGGAGGTGAGCCAAATGCAACCTGAGAAACGGCCTCACCTTCAATCACAGGGGCATGAAGAATGAGAGCAAGTGTTATACAAATAAAAGGGTTTGGATACAATCCAGTTGAATAGTGCAACAGTGTCTCTGTGCCAGAGCGGATTTATCAGTGTATGATTGGAAATTCAATGTTTCCCTTGGTTTTCTATTTTAATGCAGCCTGTTATGATGTTAATATCTCATGATTTCATGTTTGTTAAGCAGACTTTGCCATTTTGGATTATAAAAGAAATGTCAAAACTAAGTCAAATTACTTGCAAATATATTTTTTCAAAGAGGCACTATTTATTTGATCACTTTAGATTACATCACTTCCAAGTTATCAGGGTCGCCCTGTTTAGCGTCTTTGTTTTCAGCGCAGTGCTGCCTTAAGGTCCAAAGATCATGGTCGTCCAGTTCCATCTATTGCCGTGGTCATTCTGTAAGCTTTGGTCCTCTTTGTGGTTTAACAATTAAAATTACAGAACATTTCTAAACTATATGCCCACTGTTTGACAATTATACTGAAAAATGTAGTTTTAGAACAGGTCTGTTTATTTGACGCTATATATTGTAACCTGTCCAAAAATCTTTACTAGTTCTTTTCATCCGTTTTTTATTATTATTTAATTTTTTAAATATTTTTTAGTTGTCTGAAGACAAAGACGGAAAGAGAGCATTAACGGTGTCTTTAATGATAAAAATAGTTGAAAGAATACAACAAGAACAAGAAACTGTGTACATTTGATCGTTTCTGTGTATGATGATAGTTTGGTTTGTTTAGTTTTCTCAAATATCTTTTTATGATGTCTTTTATTGCAGCAACTTTTCACAGTAACAGAGACCAAAAACATTATTGCAACATCACTCCATTTCGTGTCCTTGTTTTCAGTCTTTTTGATCATCTTGTGCACTCGCTCCACACTACCCAGAATCATCTACAGTTTGTGCATCAGGCCTGGGTTTGGCAAGATTTGCTCGAACCCGAGCCTGGTCAACAGCATCCAGTAGGTTCTTGGAGTCGAGAGCAAGTGTGTGAGCGGCCGCCAACATCTGCCGCTGACACTCCTCCTTCAGGGACGTGATGGAGTTCTGCTGCGCCAGACGCATCTTATTGATCAGCTCGCCCAGATCTTTGTTCAGGAGCTTCTTCGTGCCCTCGATCTGAGACACAGAGGATGTTTGGAGTTTTGATTCATGTATGAAGAGGTTTAATGTTCAAAGTGAAAGACAGTGAGATGTGTTGTACCTCTGTGGTGACAGAGCTGTGCAAAGAGGGCAGGATTTCATCGACACTTTGCATCAGGCTGCGAAGGCTGATACCCACCGCCTGGAGGAGGATGAGGGAGGACAAAGTTAAAAGGTGCGAAACGTATCATTTAAAGGTTCAATGTACCACTTTTTTTGTTTTTGTTATTTTTAGTTTATTCTTTCATATTTTTATTTTTTGGAGTGTAACTGGGGGAAAAAGAGAGATGAAAAAGACAACATCCAAAGACATGTGGTGACTGACGTACTTTCACAGCGTTCGGATACTCAGAGGCAGGCAACCTGTTGACATTGTTTTTCAGCTGCACCACCTCTTTGACCATTGCCATGACGCCGGTGTAGACCTGATCACCCGAGCGGTCCAGCTCAGCTGTGGGCCGAGGCTACAACAACACAGCAAGAAACAATTCAAAACTCACTATTTCATGTTCTTAACTGAAATGTAATCCTAATCTGAAATATTATAACTCCCATCCATTTAACCATTTTTTTTAGCCCATTCAAGGTGCCATGGGGTGCTGGAGCCTATCCAAGGTGTCATTGGGCAAGAGGCAGGGTACACCTGGACTAGCTCACATATATCATACATCCGATTACCGATTAATCGGCGATTTTTTTTACAATTTTTATGAAGTTATAAAAAATATGTATACTGTAAATATCTACAGTATACTATATACTGTGTAGATATACTGTAGGCTACTGCTCTTCACACTGATCAAACTAGGACCAGAAAACCGTTTTCAACCCCCGCCGCCTTCGCCGATGGGTGCCTCTGCGTCTTCACTCACGTTACTCATTTCCGGTCCCGTCTCATCTGGAGACATGCAGCTGCCTCAGTAAGAGAAGTAGCTCGATCACTAATGTGTACTGTTGTTTATTCTACTGTTATTGGCACGGCTAACAGTGTAGCATTGCTAATAGCAGGTAGCTAACTCTAACTTTAGCTTGCATATTACATGGTGCTTCACCGTTTACTCGGCGTGACTGAGACCAACACAGCGGGGAACATGGTGAAGTGGGTTGAACTGAAACTTGTTGACTTATTGTGTATTTCACAAACTGGTTTATTTACCGTTGAGTCGGACCACTCTCCTCTGTGCGTCCCTGAGCTGTCTGCTTCAGCTCCGTCACTCTGCTGTGCTGTGAGGCAGTTAGTGGATGAAGATTGTCATGAGGTCGCTGCCCCATCTTATTCTCGGCATTTTATTTATGAAAATATCGGCTAAAATCGGCGAGTTTTGGCCGATTACCGATTTGTCTCAAACGGGCTAAAAAATAAATCGGTCGGACCCTAATTTCGAGTGACCACTTAACCTGGGGAGCCATTTTTGGAGAATCTGCAAATGCCACTCAGCAACAGTGCTGACCACTGTACCACCATGCAGCCTCATAATTGAACTTTTTAAGCTCATCTGTAGTTTTCTATTCTCTTTAAAATAGTAAAACACGTGAATATGCTTCAGAGGACGTTCGTATAACTGTCTTTATGTACCTGTGTTGCAGGAGGAGGAGCAGGAGGCTTTTCTGGAGGACCTGACAAAAAGAGATAAAGCTGCTCAGTTTGTAGAGCCACTCATTTCCCATGCAAAGAGAAAATATTCTGTAATACGGTAAGCCTTCATGTATTATCCCTTATTTTTATAGTTCTGACATTATATGCTCAATTTTATTTGAACATTTAATGAACATTCAATTTTTGTCTCTCAGAACATGAAACTCACTTTAGGTGCTGTTATCGGTTTGTTTAAGTAATTTAATCAGTGCATTTATGATCAAAGTTAAGTAATCAGAGAAAAGGAGCAGAGCATGGAGTGCTGCTGGGTGTGGCAAAAAGGAGTATCCCTCATGTGCTCATCAGTCAGGGGGGTCCAGGGAAAGCAAACAAAAAGAGAGCTGAGGCGCTCATGAGGGTTACACTAAAAAGCCTTTATTGTGACACGGCTAATCTATTAAAAACATGCCAACACATTTTGGCCAGACAGGCCTACGACAGGGCCTCAATGTTGGCATGTTTTAAATAGATTAGCCATGTCACAACAGAGGCTTTTTAGTTTAAACCTCATGAGTGCCTCAGCTCTCTTTTTGTTTGCTTTTCAGTATTAAGTAAATCTGATTTATCCCTGGGATTTAGCTTCTTAATCTGGACTCACCATTTTCTGGACTTTTTTCTGGAGGCTGCAAACAACAAGTATAAAAACACACAAGAAAAGAGTGAAAATTTACTGCTTTGACAGTTTAAATCAGATTTGACATTTGTAGCAAAACACCACAAAAAGAAACCAGAATTAGAAATAACCTGTCACCCAAAAAAAGTACATAAACAGTATAAAAAGTTTAGGATTGGAAGCTTCAGCTCCATCTGAAATGCCCCAAGATGACTGAAAGTGTCATTACAAGCATTATTCTGCTCTCTAGTGGTGATAAAGCATCAAATGAGAGTATATGAACGTAAGACAATACTCACCTTAATGTGTGAATCTACTCGTACGACAGGATCCTGAAAGAAAAATCAGTTTGTGCAGTCATGACAAATATTGTGAAGTCATGTTATCGATTATATTTATACTATTTAATAATGGTGTTTCAGTGTAAAGTGTGTGTGTGTGTGTGTGTGTGTGTGTGTGTGTGTGTTTTCTCTCACCAGTTGTCTCTCCTCCTGCTCTAACCACTGGTTGTCCATCAGCATCTCTTGTCTCTGTCTCTGCAAAGTGTCCTCCACATGCTCACGCTCCCTCTCCCACTGCGGCCTGTTGTCTTGCTTTTTTTTCTACACACACACAAACACACACACACAAACACACACTTTTACACTTGTAGTCTAAATCAAATACTCGCGGTCTAAACACGCCGCCCTCTCACTTCAGCTGTCCATTTAGTAAAAGCAAAAATACCTCAAAACATCCCTTTAAGAAAATGTGTTTTGCATATTTCGTTAGTTTTTTCTTCAGTTACTTTATTTCCAAGTTGTTGCTGAATCATCCAGTTGTGTTAAACTTGTGTTAAAGTTGTGCAGCAGGGGACACAACCAGCTGCTTGATAACAAATTTACGAGTCAGGCTTGATGCAGTTTTGAAATGTATGAAATGTTGACACAGAGCAGTTTTATTCCTCTAATGTAAAAGAGTAAATCTTCAATATTTATTTGGCTGCAGGTTTGATGGTTTGAGTTTTGTGTCATGCAGGGGAGAGTGGTGGAGAAGTTGTTCATTTATGCTGATGTGTTGATACCTGTATGTCTCGAGGGAGAGTGTTTCCTTGTATTCTGGACGGCTGATGAGATAGAAAGACACAGAGGGCATGTTAGGTGTTATTTGATTACTTTTTTTTAGATCGTTGTGGATGCTTCTTGTACTTCCCTGGACCTCTACACTCTTAAAACAAACTGTACTTTTTGTGTTTTTGTGTTGTACCTTGGGTGGAGGCTCTGCAGGATTCGAGTCAAACCCTGATGGGTTGGATCGTGATCTAGTCCTCCTCGTGTCTTTCTCCTGCTCCAGCTCTGTCCTGTAGATGTCACTGTCACACACACACACACACACACACACACACACACACACACACACACACACACACACACACACACACACACACACACACACAGGCTTCACTCATAAACGCGTCCTCATCTCTGATGTATAAGACAAAGTTACATTTAGCACAGGCGTGTGTGTTTACTTGAGAGAACAGGCAAGGTGGCTGAAGCTGGGTCTGGTGGCCGGCTCGTACGCCCAGCAGCGGGTGAGCAGGGAGTAGACATTGGGCGGGCAGTGCTGTGGTTTGGGGAGTCGAACCCCTGACTCGAGCTGGATGATCACCTGACCGTTCTCCAGCCAGAAGAATGGCTGCTGGGCCTGAGAGAAGACCTCCCACACACACACACCTGGTCAAATACGGCACAGAAAACAAAGTTTAAGGAGTGATGTGCCAGCTGAATGCTTTTTCCGCTCCGCGTAAAGTTGAGTCCTCTCTGTCAGCTCTGTTTATCCAGTTTGATGGAATTAACATTGTTGTCTTTTTATGATCTGAAAGAGAAACTTAGACTATCAAAAAGAAGAGTGCTTATTTCTGTAGTTATTTTAAAGTATGAACGGAGTGGCAGGGGGGTAGGAGTCAGACAACATTTAGTCTTTACACTTGTGTTACTATCAACTGCTGCTGATACGTGAAAAGAGAGCATGTTGGATTGTGTGATTGTGTACATTTAGATGTCTATTAGACCTCTTTTAGACCAAAAAATGCTCAATGAGTGAGTGGATCATAAAAAGGCATCAGTATAAATTTTAGTCTGATTAGTTGATGTTACAAACTTCACACTGGAGCTATAAGTATTATTATTATTATTATTTTTTTTTTTTAAATTTATTATTATTATTTTTTTTTTTAAATTTATTATTATTATTATTATTTTTTTTTTTACAATTTGTATTTATTATTATCATTATTATTATTATTATTATATATTTTTTAGACAACTTTAAAAAGTTGAAAAAGGGAACCAAAAAATGTTAAGTAATCAATTTTCAAACCACACAAATTTATGACAGAGTTTGAGGGCCACATTAAAGAATAAATAGTGTGAGTGAGCGTGTAGATAAACTGTTTCCTACCGAACATCCAGACGTCACTGGCTGAGGTGAAGCGTCTGAAGTTGATGGATTCTGGTGCCATCCATTTGATAGGTAATCGGCTAACAGAGGCTTCACACAGAGGAAAAAAATATGAAAGGAGATATGAACAAAATACAAAAGACAGAAGATTTATCTTCAATTTTAGAAAATAGTACTAAAGCATAAGCATAAGCATGCCCTGGAGGAAAATAAACTCATAATAAATTGATTGAAACTCCTGAGAAGATTTAAAAAAAGGTTTGTTCTGTATCGTTTTTAGATGAAGGTGTACCTTTATAATACTCTTGTTCATCGATGTAGCGAGACAGGCCAAAGTCACCGAGCTTCACACAGTCAGGGGATGCCACCAAAACATTTCGTACCGCTATATCTCTGCAGACAGAACAGAAACCAGGCAGAAACCAGACAGATGAGAGAAGAAGTGAAGAAACACACTCCAAATATTAAATGAATGAAAACTTTATGCTTTGTTTTCTGTGCTGTGATACCTGTGCACCATACTGAGTCCCTCCAGGTAAGCCAGGGCTTTGCAGATTTGAACACAGTACAGGATCAACGTTGAGTTTGTCAACATGTACTGTTGCTCCACAAGGTAGTTCCCCAGCTGCCGAAAGAAGAGAAGCAAATCAAAGCAAAGACAAGATACAGGGGCCTTCTACTAAATTATATGTATGTTTGCATTAGAAAAAAGGGAACTCTGGTCAATTTAACCCCTTTTTTTACATTTTTTAAGAATTAAAAATGACTTCTAGAAAAAAAAGAAACTAAATGAAACTTTGAAATTGCTATGGTAACACAATACAGTACAATATTGTATGGTACAGCACAGGACGATGCAATATAATACGGTAGGATATAGTACTGTATGATATGAACCAGCACATAATGATCGATGACACAACGTGATTCCACACAGTGATATTTTAATATGAAATAATATGATGTGATTGTTCATTAGCCTGATTATGATGATGATGATGATCAATAGTGTATCCTCTACTCCAATCTTCTTTCATTGTAAATAGAGAAAGCAGCAATTCAAACATGTAGGTCCAAAAACACACACCTCTCCATGTTCGTAGAGCTCCATAACAATCCAGACCGGGTCGACCTCGATGACGCCGATCAGACGTACGATGTGAGGATGATCCAGATTTTTCATGAGGCCTGCAACAGACAGAGTAAAACCTCATCATCTTACAAAGATTTCTTATTGATTATTAGTACCAGGTATATTAAGGTATCAGGTAGTTTAGAAAGTTTATGAGGAAATAACTCTAAATTGCTGATCAACCGCTGAAGAAACGATATCTAAAACTGAATCTGACAAATGTTTCTTTAATTCAAATCAAGCATCAACCTTGTGATGTTAATAAATGAGCTTTTTAAGAGTCCGATGGTCTTTCGCCGTAAAAGTAATCGGCTGTCTTTTACTCGCTGTCTCGGCTCAGGAGAAAAAATCAAATGCGCTCTTTCCTCTCGCTCTGAGCACACCGCAACCTTCACTCTAAATTTAACACAAACCACAACCTGCCAACCGGAAGACAACGACAGGAACCTGCTGACTGACTGACTGACGAAACCTGCAAAACTCTGAAAAGATCCAAATGTTCCAGTCCTTTTGCTCAACTCGGACTCTCTCTGTTTTCTGTTGTATTTGACTTCAATAATCCTCAGAGCATCTTTAAACGTTTCTGTACAGAAATAAATCTTTGCAGTCACTTTAAGGGTCTCAAACTGAAAGAAAATCCTGAATGTGTAGGTGAGTTGTGTAAGTGCTTTGTAGGAAGTAATCTCAGCAGCTCACCGGCTTCACTTAGAAACTTCTCCTTTACATCAGCGGAGAAGTCTTTACAGGTTTTAATGGCCACGTTGATCCTTTCTCCTGTCTAAAAACACACATGCAGACACATGTTTCAGAGGATTTCATGCTTTAGAGTTAACTTTGGTGCCGGTTTGATGATTCTGGTTGGAGATAGATTGAAATAAACTCACTGGGCTTTTATAAACTCCTTTGTGAACCTCTCCGAAGAATCCCTCTCCGAGGATTCGACCCAGAACAACACTGTCCCTGGAGATTTTGTGTTTCTCTGAACACAGAAAAAGAAAAAATTATTGTGAAAGTTCAACTAATTTAGATAATAATGTTCCTCGAATCAACAAGACGTTTAACTTCTCAGTCCAGGTAGAAAACTAATTTTGCCAGCTGTCTGATTCTCGCCGATGAAGGGCTGATTTTTACTTTGTTTTTCAGGTATTAGGTTCAAAGTGAAACCTGAGAGAAAAGAGCTGAGCTAACGGAAGCTAACAAGTTTTAAAGGTAGACTCTGAGGCTTAAAGTCGTGGTAAATACCAGAGGTGGGGGCTTGACGACTCGACTTGAGACTCGACTTGGACTTGAGTCCCGTTTTTGACTTGCTTGATGTTCAAGAAATGACTTGGACTTGACTTGAGACTTGAGAGCAAAGGACTTGGACTTGACTTAAGACTTGTCTGTGTTGACTTGGACTTGACTTGAGAGCCAAGACTTGAGACTTGACTTGGACTTGAACATAAGGAACCCCCCCCCCCCCCCGGTAAATTGTCAGTAAAACACTCACCGCTACAGTCTGCTCCGCCCTCTGGAATCTCTGCGTAAATATCTGAATCTGGAAGAAAGAAAACACGTCAGAGTTGGTGATTTTGTTTTGTTTTGGTCTCGGCACTGCTTCAGAGAAACTTGACATCATTGTTAAAAAGGTGGAAAATAAACGTAAACATCCACAGCGAAAGGAGAGAGTGAAGGCAGAGGCCTTTATAAATCGACTCACTGTGACTTTTCAAAGAACTTCTCGAACGACCGCTGAAAGAGAGGGAGAAGTTTATCATTTTTTAAAACCTGAACCTACACAATGAATGTTTCCACTTTTATTATTCCCATCACACTCACCGGTTTGGGATTTCAGGTAGTTTTGTTCTTGTGTCTCGTCCTGCATGCAAAAAACACAATCATCGTTTCTCATCATTTGAACCTTTAAATTACAGTTAAGATGATTTTTATCGTTCTCTCTGAATCAGCTCTGTTTGCGGAATGGTAGCATTGAATAGAGATTTTTAACTTTTGGGAGCCCAGGAGTTCATTTACGTCGCTGTGGAATCAAAACTGTTAGAAATGATGTTTGATTTTTATCATTATTTTAGTGGAGCTTAAATTTGTGTGTTTTCTTGTTCATTCATGACTTTCTCGCTTGTCTCGGGTTGAACTGATACCAGCGCAGGTGCGGTTTACCTTTGCTGGGCCGGATGATGAGCGACTTTTCTGAGTTTCCCTCCAGCCGACAGTAGCCGTCGATCAGGTTGGCCATGTTTTCCGCCATAGCCAGAGAGGAAGTGCTCACAGACAGAGGCTGGGGGTAAAAAAGGAGAAACGTATTCAGTCTGTGAATAAAAATGTGACTCTGACCTATATGTATGTTTAAAAGGTGTGAAAAGCAACAAGAGGGTTTTTACACCTCCCTCCCCCTGAAACCACAGAGGCATGACTATTTCTGTAATAACTCAAATTTAGTCAGGAAGTTCTCACCTGTTTGGCTCCGTCGATGTGCACAGTGAGCAGGGCCCGGCCCTCGCTGTCTGCAGAGCATGCAATGCTCTGAACCTGAGAGAACGAGGCCAAACAGACGGGCTGTAGAGACAGAAAAATATCAAATATTAGGCATCAACAATAGGATATGTCTGTATGTTATGATAGTTTTGGGAGGTAGAGGGAGGGAGTCTCTGAAACCTGGAATCTCCAATCTTATCTTCGATAAGTACGTTTCCTCTAACCTGACCCTCCCTCTGCACCCTGAGCTACGAGTGTGAGTAAACCTCATCATCACTTGTTATAAAAAAGTTAAAAGTTATGACTGATTAAAAAGAAACGGAGTGTGATCTCACTGTGGAGTTTTCAGTTTGCTGACTGATGCCTTCAGGGCCGATGACCAGGTCGATGGTTAGATTCCAGCTGTGCTGTAGAGACGGGACACAAACAAAACAGACATTTAAAAAAGCATCTCATCTGTTTTTGTTACGGTGGGAGAGGATACAGATCTTTCTTCCGCTAAGAGCCGAACCCTAGCGTTTGCCTTCCTCCTGACTCGATGTGCGGTTCTCCTCAGATGGAGGGATGCTGCCCCGCCCACTCACAGTCATTGGCTGAAAGACCTTACGTCTTGCTTAGACCTTGAGAAGATCCGTTACTCGATTGCAGGCAATGACAAGAAATTCGAGAAGATCTGGGGACCTTTCCTAGATCACGTTCAGAAACTTTCATCATTTTGAATCAGCACTCTCCTCTTCTAGGTGTTTTCTTTTTAAAATATATTTCTGTGATATTTTACAATCATACAACTCAAATTCTTCTCTCTCTTATGGACCTGTCGCCGCACAACCAGAAGGTTCTGGGTTCAAATCCCAGTCAGGGCATTTCTTGTTTAAGGGGGGACATGAGCTGCTTGGTAGAGGTCTGTGCTCTCCGAGTGCTTTTCTAGTCTAATATGTTTTCTTTCATTTTATGCTTGTTTGGACCAGTTTCTTAGTTCTAGTTTTTTTTGCTGTTTTAAAGGACCCTTTAGATTTTTTTTGAGTGCTGTTTAACCTTAACCCTTCAGCGTCCATTTAAAGGTCTGTTTTCTTCTCTTTTTACACTTTTTAGGACTTGTTTAAGGTTTTTTTTTCAAATGTTTATTTGTTTTGTCATAGTTATCTTGAAACTGTCTGTTAGTTCAGGTCTGAGTAGAAAACACAACCTGGTACCTGTCAAAACGACTCATGTTTAACCTTTTTGTCCCACACAGGACCAAGTCCCACACACTCAAATGATGACATCAAAGTTTCCAACTTCTTCTTGTCCTGGTTCAAAACCCTAAAAGCTCAACCTCAGGTAAGAGCACCAACTTTTTCATCCCCTTGTGACCCGAAAATGCAGGAAACAGCAGTTTGTTTCTCACCACCAGCTGGCAGGCGAAGCTCTCCTGTGTGTAGCTGTAGCACTGAGCCAGAGTGGTGAAGAACCGGGACATGCACTGGTCCTGTTTCAGCGTGGAGTAGCCCTGAAACGTCTGCTGGATCAGCCGACGTAACTGCTTTGGCTGAGACAACAGAAAAAGATTCAAATCAATCCTTTTAATTTTACAAACTACATCCAACAACTGATCTAGTCCGGAGAAAGGACATTTAAAGTCTCTACCTTCATGCTGTTGATCAACTCTCTGGGAAAGAAGAGATCCAGCCCCACATCCTTCCTAACGGAGGGACATAATTGTAAAATAACGCACTTTTTAAAAGCAAAACCAGACAGATTTAGACACTTATGCAGATTTAGACACTTATGCGGTTCTTTTTTTTAGGAGTCCAAATCTTTTAGTGTCATTCCTAAAATCCGTCTCTAGGGGAGCCTCTGAGCCGGTTTACTGACCACCCTCTTTGACCCCAGAGACAGAAACTAGAATTCAAACCAGGGACTTATTTTTACAGCAGTAATATCTGTCCGCAGAGATGACTAACAACGCGGTTTTCCTACCAAACCAAACACTGTGTCGGTTTAAATGTTGACCTGTGATTGTTTCTCTTGATCATATCTCTGCGGCGTGTGTGGTGGTTCGATATCTACAGCTCAAACACTTTGATCACATTCAAAGAGGAGCGGTTGTGAGCTATTTTAGTTTGATGTGTCACAGTATTTTGAATAAACCTTCCACCACTGCATGGCCCAGAAGAGGTAACTTAGAAGGAAACTTTTCTACTCACTCTAAAAGTTCAAAGTTGGACTTCTTCTCCAGGCCGTTTGGGTTCATGTCTTTGTAGAATCTCCTGCAAACAAGATAAGAAAAAAAACAAAATCATTTCCTGGTTGACCCGGTTTTGTTATATGCTGCAGGGATTTGGGGTTTTGAGGAGGTCTCTGGTTGTAATTCTGTTCAGATGTTTTCTTGGTGTCCATGAATATGCAGCAAAGGCAGCAACTGAAGGGGATGCAGGATGGGACCCTTGTATTGTAAAACAACATTGTGAAATGATGCGACTGTGGAATCGTCTGGTCAGTCTGCCGGAGGAAAGGCTAACTCGGAAAATTTTTAACTGGGACAGAGCAAATTATCATCCCCGGTCCAGTGAGATTTCAATGATCTCGAAGTACGAAGACCAATAGAAACAGGATATATGGAAGAAACCAAAGCTCAGAAATGATGTTCAGTTCAAGAAGGATGATATTAGAGAACCTTATATTTTCCTTCATTTAAAGAGAAGACAGAGATCTCTCAGTGCTCAGTTGGGAACAGGTACCTTACCTCTGGCAGTAGAAGTGGGACGATTTAAAGGTTTACCTGAAGAAGCACGTTTGTGTGAATTCTGTGATTTACAGGTTGTTGAGGATGAATTTATTTTGTTTTCAATTGTCCCGTGTACGATGACTTAAGGAATGTCATTTTTGAATCAATTCAGTTTAAAAATCCTGATTTATTTTGGAAGAGTGAAGGTGAGATTCTGGGTTGGTTGTTTGAAAAGGATCTTTTTGTTTTGGCAAAATTTGTTGAAAAGGTTCGGCATGTGAGGCAAAGTATTCTGTGTCCTGTAGGATGAACTTTTTTTTTTTTTTTCATTATTCTCATTGTGTCACGATTCTTATTGTTGTATATTATGTCGCGTGGCTGTCTTGGATACACTGTGTTATGAATCTGTTGCCCATGTGGTCTGGGCACCAATTTTGGTGAATGACACTTAAATAAAATTATCAAATCAAATCAAATCAAATCAAAGTAGTTCTAGTTTTGTAGCTGAACCACTCAGAGTAGAAATCTCTCTGTGAGGTTACGTTTGTACCTTATTTCCAGACAGCCGAGCTGCAGAGCCATCCCGTCACTGACTTTTGAGGCGTACTGCTGCATGTAGTCACTTCGTACCTGTGGATTTAAACGTACACCAACTCATTGAACAAATCCTAATCATTAACCCTCTTAATGCCTAAAAAATATGACAGGATAATGTTTTTCTAAAACGGAAAAATAACCAACCTGCTGGTAAAAGTAGAGCATAGTCGTCCTGTCGTCTTTAAATTTCTCCATGAAGTCTGATGGGATGTATCTGATCCTTAAATCGTACCTGGACAAACAAGGGTCAGATTTAGCTTTGCAAAGCTGCAGTTTCACAAAATTTGTTGTTGTAAAGGAAAATAAACGAAAAGAAAAGAAACTCTGACCTCCACTCAGCCTCCAGATGCTGCTGCTCATATTTCTGAGTGAGTTCAGATACAGTCAGGTCCAGGTGGAGCCAGTGTATCTCTGAGGACTTCAGGTGTTTGAGGAGGAGGCCGTAACACAAGCTGTACTTAATATCTGGACCCACACAGCCGCTGGACAGAACCACGTTGATCACAGCCTGGAGGAGAAATATTTATACAGTGATGTCGAAGGATCTAAGTGCAGCATTTGAAAAATTAAAACTGAGAAGTTTCTAGGAAAAAAATAATGTTTTCAATAGGTGTCAGGACTCTTCTACTACAGAGCCATGATGTTGTAATCCCTGCAGAATGTGCTTTGCTGAAATATGAAGGTCTTCTCTGAAAAAGTCATTGTCTGGATTAGGCCTGCATGATATATCGTTTGAACATCATCATCGAGATGTACGTGTGCGATAGTCACATGCAGAGCCTGCGATGTCGGAGGTGAATGAACTCGGTTAATTTCAAGGGTAACTGACTGAGATACACTGCATGTGACTCTGCATGTGCTGTGCAGCGATCCACCAATCACCTTCATTCTTTACTCAGTTGCCAACCAGACTACCCTGCCAGCTGTCAATCAAAATCAGAGAGGAGGAAACCCACCCCTGCACATGTTCTGCACATGGAGGGAGTCACTGGCGCTACCGGAGTTGAGCCGAGAAACAAGATGGATAATGTCGACCAAAACACGTGTTCTGTGTTCATCTGTCACAACAATAACGTCCCAGCAGGATAAAATCTAAAAATATCTCTGAGACAGACAGAAGCCATTCTAACATTCACAAAAAGAGGTAAGATCAGTGCAGGTTAACTGTCCTCAAGACTTCAGCAGTGCAGCATAACATTAAGTGCTATTCAGGTCATCTGGTGAAAATTCCTGTATTTTTAATATCGCAATAAATATCGCAGGGATGAAAAAAATAGTGATGTTAGTTTTTTCCAATATCGTGCAGCCTTAGTCTGGATGGCAGCAGATGTTACACCTAAACCTGCAGATATTGTCCAGCATTAATGGAGCCTTCTCAGATGTGGAAGATACCCATGACATGGACTCTGATGATCCCCATACCATCAGGGGTGTTGGCTTTGAACTGTATGCATGATTTCCAAAAAGGATGTCATATTTTGATTCTTCACCCCTCAGGACAGTTTCTACTTTCTCCTTGTCTGTGTCACACGGGCATCGTGTTTGTTTATGATTGCCTCTTTGCATTGTTAGTGCTAAGTGAATTTTAGACCGAATAGAAAGCAATACTGTGAAGAAAAGGGAGTGTACTGCAGTTAAGCACATTAGATTACAATGCAGTTAAATGCAGTGAAGCGCAGTGAAATACAGAAGAGTGCAGTGCTGGTAAGAGAAGTAAGAGTTCTTGTTACCCTGATAGTCCATCCCCCTTCACAGCGGACCAGTTTGAAGTTCTTGCCCAAGTTGGAGCTGTTACTGAGGAAACACACCTTGATGATCTTCACCGGGAAGACGCTTTCTTTGACCATGTTTGTCACGGGAGACAAATCCGAGGAATCCGATTGGCTGGTAGGAGACATGCTCCTCCAGGACAAGGTACTGGTGTCCCCTGACATTACACACTCACACACACATTCACACACGCAGGCAGGGCTGGTACACTACTGCATGTCGACATACATCACTGTACGGACATTTAAAACATAAACAGGAAGGAGATAAATAAAGGCAGGTGTAATGTTGTTTGAAGATCATGCAGATAAAACGATCATATCTTCATATTTCAGTAAATAACTTCTGCTGCAGAGTCTCTGTGCTCACCAGTTCTGCAAAAGCTCCACCGCCCAGCGTTACTCGTCCAAAAACACACTTAGAAACAGGAAATTAGTTCATTATTTAGTCCTTCAGTGCGTAGTTATCCACCAGTTTTGCAGTTCGATAAAACAGACTCGTTCAACGCGTTGACTTGGAGCAGTCAGTCGGGCTTTCATCAGTAAATGAAAGAGGAAATGCGGGCAAATAAGGAAGTCAAAGAGCAGCGAACAGAAAAACTGAGAGGACTGATGAAACCGTCGCGTCACCCCCCGTCTCACATGTGATGGCACACACTGACACAAAAACCACAACCACCCACTCATTGTGCAAAAAGGGCATGGCCTAAATTCCACTGAGTTCCTCTCACAAAAGTTTGATGAGCAACAAAGGTGAGAATTATGGTTCGATCCAAAGAAGTAACAAAAAACTGATCTTGCGAAACATTTGCAGGTTTTCACCCTTTTAGTGTCGCTTTAAGAGTTCAACAGCTGTGACAGGAACAAAGTGGACTGGTGCACATGGACCCTACCTAGAAATGCTTTTGTATTTGGCATAGCTTTACACATTCATCTGTGGGGGAACTCAGGCTGGGTTAAAAAACAAGCGGCTAAAGTCATATTCTAAGGAGGCACTTTGTTTACACTTGATCCATGAGAAGAGCGTTGAGGGAGGCCATCACGGTTCATAGTCTGCACCGCAAATGCACTAGAGAACGGTTATATTTTACATTTATCCACAGGAAGGGCATCCAAATAGATTTGTGGACATTTTATTTGCATAAAGAAATTGGAGGTTCTTTGTTTACATTTTATCCACCAGGAAGGATTTCAGATTGAACTTCGTTATCGCTCTGTCCGTACGAAGGACTCAAAGGGGGGCGGTTTGTTTACACTTATCTAAATAGAAGAGCATCTAGAGGGGACTCAATGTACAGATTGTCTATTGTAAGAGCATCCAGGGCACACAGGGTTTATAATTTATCCACTGGATTACTGTACTTTTACTCGATGAATCACACACTAAAAAACACTTCTGCACTCTTGACTGTTTGTTTACATCTCTATTTGCAGGCATCATCTCACACAGTTATATTTGTCAGGGTCCACACATTATGCAGTGGTCTGAGTATTTTGGCCGCCTGATATCTGGGTCATCACTGCAGAAAGTCAGAAAGAGAGGGAAGGATTATAACCCACCACAAACGGGGAAATTTTACTGAACACAAACCCACACACACACACACACAGAAGTCATAGCTGTGGATACATGGTAGAGAAGTGTTAACATGCTAATTTCGTGTGCATATGAAGGCGTGTGCACAAACATGAAAGTTCAAACCAGCACACCAGGAAACTACAGCACTTGTTACCAGAGGTGGGGGCTTGACGACTCGATTTGAGACTCGACTTGGACTTGAGTCCCGTTTTTGACTTGCTTGATGATCAAGAAATAACTTGGACTCGCTTGGGACTTGATTGCTAAAGACTTGAGACTTGACTTGACTTGACTTGACTTGACTTGACTTGAGTCCAGTGACTTGAAAAGTCAAACAAATGGTTTATGGCTTTGATATGACTTGTTTTTGACTTGAAAGAAACGGTAAGGACTTGGACTTGACTCGAGACTTGAGAGCCAAGACTTGAGACTCGACTTGGACTTGCATATAAGGACTTTCCCCCCACCTCTGCTTTTTACTGCTTCAATTTTAATTTTCTGTGTGATTTTTACAGATTCTACAGAACAAAAAACGATCTATCTGCATTTTTGCTTGTGCATTCATTTGTTTTCATATGAGTCTACACAAAAGTACGACTCTGTTGCCTCTAAAATTGTGTCTAAACCATGTGTAGAAATGATTCAAATATTATGATATGAGTCTTTTTATGGTTTTACAAGCTTGTAATGACACATAAACCTGATAGAACAAAAACCTATGTGCTGCAACTGTTTTCTTGAAAGCTTCACACGTTTAAATGAAATGAAGCTTCCTATGAAAGCCTGGTGTGACATCCTGTTGTGCCTCAAATTTTCACATCATCAGCTTTAGCCTCAAATGGTGCAGGTGATTAAAGACATGCTCAGTTGTTAGTGTAATTAAGGTTTGATTGAAGCCTTTTTCTGCAGTTTAGGAAAAAGGAGTCAATGGAAACAGTGTGAAGGTAGATGCAGACACATCTCCCCTCCTCTCCTGCTGTTTTATACCTGTACTTTAAATATATTCACTGTATTTTTGCAGCTTTGGCTGAAAAGAAAGTCCTTTTTTCCTGTGTACTCACATATGGAAGAAACTGACCAAAAAAGCTTGAATCCCTTGAATTATACTGCATGTGCACCATCAAGAACCAATATTTATTTTGTGTTTTGCGATGACTGTCTTAATTTCTAACTCTGTTTCATTTTTATATCATTCTATTTCAATTCTATTTCACTTAAATACAGTCGAAATGTCCATTTTCTTGACACAAAGGTTAATTATCGTCAGTTTATTTCAGGCTAAACTCAGCCACCAGGGGGAGCTCTAAAACCTTTACTCGGCCAGCTTTTATTCTGTCCACCAGAGGGCGGTAAAGTAGTGTTAAACAGGTGCATAGAAAGGCTGTCAGCCAATAAAATCATGTTTTATGTCGCAAAATTTCAAGAATAAAACGACAAAACAGATGAGCTGTTGGTCATTATACTTCTACTGAGAGTTTAGCCTCACTGAAAAGTTTTATAGGATACAGAAGCAAGAAAAAAGGGGAGTTTCTTTGGGTTACTCGACAACCCTGAATCCCTATTTAGACAAAAACTCATATTGAAATCAAAGTAAGGTCTTGAATTTAAAGATTACTCTTTCTGCTCTTTTACAAAACAATTTAAATCTTAAATCTGAACAGAGCTACCGAATAAACCACAAATCAATTGCGATCGTTGAATGGGGTTTAGTGTCAGGCATGTAGCTTATATTCAAAACACAAACAAAGAGAGAAACTTTCTTAATGAGGTAATACACGATTTTAGTCAAACTGAAAAATCTATTTGATATTTAAACCCATTATTTCTCCGTACAGTCTGGTTTAGTTAGCTTGTTAGTATGGGACGGTCCTGTGATGTACTGCTGTCAGCATAATCAATAACACAAAAGTAAAAACGGAAGCGTCATGTTCGCCTTCAAAGTAAAATACTGTCAAAAATCTGTTTTTTTCTTAGTCTTTGGTTTTACACATGGCATTATTGCATTAACTTCAAATTTTCAGATTATAATTTACTTCTCTTGATTTTGAAATAAATAACGAGTCCAAGACAACAAAGAGTGAATTACGAATACACAATATAAAACCCTGGTATCTTTGTGACCCATTTGCATATGAAAGAAAATAAATAAATAAATTCCAGAACACAAAATATTAAGTAGCATACTGTATATATTTTGTAATTAAACTAACTGTGTCCTGAATAAGCAATAACTATGAGCGTTATGGTCGTTGTCTCTCGTGCTCTTATTCTGAAAAGCATTAAAGGAAGCAGTGTTGAACCATGTCCGCCTTGACTCTGTTTTGACTCTCACAGTTGTGCACAGAAGCAAAGGTGAAGCGAACATCCTCTTTCAGACAGAGGGGGAGAGAAAGCTGCCAGAGTGGGTCAACACAGAGCCGTTAGAGGAAGGAAACGCGTTTTTTCCCCCTCATTTCCTCCGATTTTGTCTATTTTCGACAAACGGCTCTGTATCCCCGCGGTGAGGGCGGACTGTGATGATCAAACAAGGCGGGGCTGACCCCTCTGTCCCGGTCTGGACGGAGCTGAAGTACCGCAGACGCTGAGGAGGAGAGAGAGGTTCTGCTGCTGCTGCTGCTGCTGCTGCTGCTGCTGCTGTCTCTGTTGTTTCTGTTGTTTCATGGTCTCACACAGTCAGACATGAATTCAGCCGAGCAGACGGTCACTTGGCTCATCACGCTCGGAGTCTTGGAGTCTCCCAAGAAGAGCATCTCTGACCCGGAGGCTTTTCTGCAGACGTCCCTGCAGGATGGAGCGGTGCTGTGCCGGCTGCTGGAGCGACTCCGACCCGGGACGGTGGACAGGGTGAGTGGAGGGAGGAAACGAGGACTGTGGAGACAAAAACAGTTGTATTAATGAAAAAAGATAGAGAGGTGAAAACATGGGAACAATTCGATTCATTCGAAATCACTGCAAAATCTAAATTAACAAATTGTTCTGTATTTCAAAGAAGAAAAACAGATTTTCTTCTTTCTTTTTTTTATGGTTATGACGGTTTTAGTCACATTTTTCTTTAAGTTGTATAAATATACCTCTTTTAAAGCTCCTCTGAGAGGTTTTTAGATGATTTTAATTAGACTAAATACTAGTCGTGTCTCTATTGACCCTTTTACACGAACCAGACCATCAGCAAGATAAATTTTTTCTGAAAAGTATTTTTTAGAGTCTGAAATTATGACAGCTGGGTAGAAGTCAGGCAAAGTTGTCAACAACATACTGCAAGAAACACCTTTTCATGGCAAACAATCTCTTCATATTGATTTTTTGGCCGTAGATTGACATTACTTATTTACTTACATAAGTAATGTCAATCTACGGCCAAAAAATCAATCAATTAATCTTAACCATAGACTGTATATAATATGGACAACTTGGTTCCGCCTGTATACAGAGCCAAACAGGGATTTGTCTTCATTTCCTAAAACCAGCATTGCGCAGCAGAGTTGTGTGCATTCGGCAGGAGAGTCGCTGTGATGATGCTCGGCTCAATCAGCGTATCCCCTGAGTCAGGGCCAGTACCAGATAAGCACATGAAACTATGGTAACAACCATTTGCTTACGTTAGCACAGATGAAAGTTAAAACAAAGACGTTTATCAAACTGTTCAAGCACACAAACCATCGTCATATGAGAAATCCAGCGCTATGACTCTCCACAAGTTGTCCTTCAGGTCGTTATCTTTGTAATATTTGTGTCTTTTATCCAAATGTACTCTGTTTCCGACACGTAAACAATCAGCAGGTCGGATATGTTGGATATACCGATAAATCAGACGTCGCAACAACACGCAATCTGATTGGTCAGAAGTGGACACACAGTCTGCGAACTTTAGAAAAATCGACCATGATGCGAAAAAATAAATGCCGCAATATCACAGAATGGTAAAACGTCGCTGATGTGAACGCTTGTATTGACAGGATATGGGTTCAAACAGTCCCAGTCGCAACCAGGGGGGGAGAAAAATTAATATTCTGTGTAATTAATTTCTAAAGTTTGTCCACGGCTCTATAGGGATTGCTGAAGGAGGTGGGATTTATGACCTATACTGCAGCCCGTCACTAGAGGGTGCTGTTCTCGGAGTGGCTTCACCCAGCGAGGAGGCAGACTCTGTCCATTCCATGATCTTAAATTACCTATTTTAGGCTCCCGTTATTTTTGTCTTCATCTAAGAAAAATAAGAACCTTTTATTACAAAATCAATCAGAGTAGAAAATCTACAGAGTGAGCATGATAACCTTACCTGACAAGTAAATGAAACTAAATTTATAACGGACCTGAATGAGTGTTTTACTTTGAAAGTTCGGACCGGAAGTGTAGCAGATTAGCTCGCTTGATTCCTGTGTACAGCAAGTGCACAAACACCGCTTTGGAATAAGAGTGTTTTCACGCGGAACACCTTCATGAACAGCTTGTTAAGAGTCCACGTCAGTATTTTATCCTCACTTTGGTGACTTTTTGTGTCCAGTTTTTCCAGGAGCCGAGAAACGAGAGCGAGTGTCAGAGAAACATCAGCGAGTTTATTAAAGGCTGCGGAGCGTTCGGTGTGGAGGTGAGTTCACTGATCAATAAAGCGTTTACTAACAGAGGGAAACCGATAAAACACCTTAACCTCTACCTATACAGGGATATTAGCGGATTAAATGAACCTCTCTCACTTATTTACCCCTCTGTTTGGCAGTAACATCTCTCTGAGCCGTTACTCTGCAGCAGGTGGCTCCAACTGTCCTCTCCAGACACCTGCACAGGTGTCCTATCAGTAAATATGGCTGCTGCCTTCACTTAGCCTGAGAATTTTATCATCATTTTTATCATGGTTTTAAATACGTGAAGTCTGTATGTATAATGCTAGTTTGTGTAACAGTGATTTAAGCTGCTTTTTGACCTATTAACATAAAAATCTCAAACCGGAAGCTGGCATAAACAAGACATAGTGATTCTGGCAAAACTAGTTATTTGTTAGGTAATGCAATGTAGTTTCTGCAGACTGAGTATTTTTTGCTTTGTTTGGTATAATAAGGCAGCAGTGGATCCCTGAGGTAGACAGGAGAGGTGAAGGATCAACATGAATGAACACAGGCAGCAGGAGCCATCAGGCCATTATTGTGTGTGTGTGTTTTTCTTTTTCTTTTTACCATTATTGTTTTTTTTTCCCATCCTGGGACAGTAAGCAGAGTGATGTTGACTAGGGCCCGACCGATATGGATTTTCTGAGGACGATACCGATTATTAAGGGAAAAAAATTGGATTACCGATTAATCGGCGGATTTAAAAAAAAAAATTATGAAGTTTTAAAAAATATATATACTGTAGATATACAGTAGGCTACTGCTCTTCATGCTGACGAGAAGACCGCAGATGGCGAACTCTAACTTAAGCTTCATATTACATGGTGCTTCACCGTTAACTTGGCGTGACTGAGACCAGCACAACTTGTTGACTTATTGTGTATTTCACAAACTGGTTTATTTACCGTTGAGGCGGACCACTCTCCTCCGTGCGTCCCTGAGCTGCCTGCTTCAGATCCATCACTCTGCTGTGCTGTGAGGTTGTTAGTGGATGAAGATTGTTATGAGGTTACTGCGCCATCTACAGGATAAGTTGGGGAACTTTTTAAACCAAATCTTATTCTTCACATTTTATTTCTGAAAATATTGGCGAAAATCGGCGAGTTTTGGCCGGTTACCAATTAGTCTTAAACGGGCTAAAATTGGCCCTAATGTTGAGATTGAACTATGGGTGAACCTCATGCACCAGTGCATGTGCAGATAGTTATAATACTGCATTTCTGCAAAAGTGGTTGACCAGTATCAATTTTCAACTGTCTTTATTGATAATCTGGTGTCTAACACTTACCAGTAACTGTTTTGAATTTGATATGTTGTGAGTGCAGAAATCAGCTATTGATGATTATTTACCATTGATTGATCTGATTAATCAGCCCATTTGATAAATCAGTCTGTCGTGGATCTGAGCTGGCAGACACTGCAGTTTAAGGGCTTCAGTTCTGGGACTGCATCTCCTCGTGTACTTGCAATATTCAGGGTTAGGGTTGGGAAATGAGTGGTATATCATCAGCTGGTGGACTTCCTTAGCCTGAGTACATCAGTTTAGCTGAATCTTATCATGGTCATCTCATCTATTAATGATTCTGTAATAATGTAGAAGAAACCCACTGAAGATCAGCTGTGAGGCACGAACTACAACAACTTTATAAATACTCACGTCTTTCTCGTTTTTCCATGAAGCCTGTAAATCATAAAGTTATGATTGAAGTTATAAAACACGACTTTCCTACATCATGTTTTGGGATTCTCTATTTCAAGCTTTAGTGATTCAGGATGAAAATGTGAGCCCAGAAAAAGAACTTTTAGTAGGTGGACTTTGGTCAGGCATGAGGATTAAACTGAAGTCACTGCAGTCAGGGTTTTGTGGCTACTATTTGAAGCAAACGTACGTCCCTGTGAGTCATAAACACCCCCAAACAGGTAAAAATAGGTCCTCAGTTTGCAGATATCATTGACTCACCGGGTCTGCAGTTTTTCAGATGTTTAGAATCGGTATTAAAAGGTTTTGGTGCAGGTGGGCTCTAGGCCATTTATGTTTGATTTAGTCAGAACAACATCAGGAAGCTGGGTAACTCTGAGTTCATACAGGAATCAGGCTAATCCTTGAACTTGGCTGGCTCTGCTTGTACTGAGGTATTTACTATGAGTGGATGTTTTCAGAGGAAACTGGAAAAAGCTTCTCATCCAAACTTCTGTTTAACCTTTCAAACGCATTTTACTGCTGCTTGAGGATGCTTCTGCTGTGTTTGTGAGGACTTTAAACATCTGATGAAGGTTCGGTCTTCAGATGAGAATAATTAGGGCCTAGTAATTTGGCATTTTCCTCCTTTAAATTCAAAGATTTGTTACAGACGAAAGCTTATTTGTGTCTCTATCAATCCAGTCTGTTGGAATCCTTTTTTTTTATCAGATTAGCCAGTTTTGCACGAATATTATCACATTTGTGGTTTCCATGCTTGCTGTTGCTATCTGTGGTTGTAATTACACAACTCTCGCCGCCCTGATGCTCTGTAATCTTCCTACTCTGATGCAGAAATCTTTGTGGGAAGCAGTCAGAAATCTTTGGCGCAAAGAAATAGAAATGCAAAGCTGGAAATATCTAAATCAGTGTCTGTTTTTCTGTTATGTGTCTGTTTGTTATCAGAGTTTAGTGAGCATGCCGTTGTGTGTTTGTAAAACAGTGAGTCAGAGCAGATTTTATTACCCGGAGCTCGGCGGATGAGGAAAAAGGGCAAGTGAGTAGTGTGATACAGAATTACCTCAGACACATACAGGCAGAGTATTGATTTCTACTGTGGAAAAAGCCACCGAATCATTACGGAAAGGGGCAGATTATGCAAGGCAGGAGTCCCCGAGCTGCAGACCTTTAACAAGGTTTTGCTCCAGACTTGGAAAACGATTTTTGACGTCCTTGAAAATCCGGACAGCAAGAAGAGGGATGGCTTGAGAAAAGGAAAACCTTGAGTTTGTTGTGAGGAGAGGAGGAAAGGAAAGGTTAGGCTGATGTAATGCAACTTGCCAGGCAGCCAGTGGATTTTCCAATCAGGTTGATTAGAGGCTTGTCATCCATGTAGCTGGAAGCTGGGGGCTGACATCAGTGGAGTAATTCATCCAGACAGTCTTCAGACAGGCAGGACGAGCCAACATGAGCATTACAGAGTGGACGACAAGAGTGGGTATATGACTGAGGATGAGATCCGGGTCCATAATGAACCAAAAACACACATTTCATCTTCAGAAGCATAAATCTGACCCTAATTCAACTTAATTCTCTCTGTATTTGGGCTTTAAATCAACCCTTCCTCTTTGCTCCACCTTCAGGCCCTGCAGAGGGCGGTGGGTGTGGGGTTCACTCAGGATTAGGGGGCTTTGGAGGTATTTTGATCGTGTTGGGCTAATCACAGAGGTTGTTTTACTGTAAGCATGCTCAGATTATTGTCTCACAAAGCTGCAGAGGAGAGTATTTTCACATCAGCCTGCAAGATGGACATGAAACGCTGTGCTTACTTTGTAGTTATTAATATCTCTTCCTTATTCCCTAAAAGTAGCTGCATGACTGTTATTTATGAATATCACATGGACTCAGTTTTTGTCACCAAAATTCAGTCTGATTGAAAGATTTTTTCAAAGTGTTTCTTTCAGTTATTTCTGAAAGTCTCTTCCTCTCTTCTAACTTTTCTTTCAGTGTTCTGAGTAAAACCTCCTTTTTTTCTCCTTTTAAGGGTTTTGTTAAAAGGCACAGAGCAGAATGTCTTCAGAGGAGTTGGAGGACAAGATTTATGCATGGCACCCGGCTACTCTGCTAATTAGCTACTTTTAACGGCCAATTCATAAAGTCCATGGCTCCCAAAAATAGGCAGACGTTTGCAGAGACCAGCAGCATGATGAGGAGAATCTCTGATAAAGTAACATATTAAAGTGTCCGTGTATGCAGTAACTTACAGTGTCTGTTCTTCTGCAGGTCTGCTGGTTTTCCACAACACTAGTGTCTGCAGCACCAGAATTAAAATGAAAACTAAAAGCACTAATTAGCGATTATCTGAGTGTATCTTTTGGTTAACTAGTGTTTCATCATTGTAGCAGAAGTGTGGCCAACATACTCAAGGCTCTGTGTTAGTGCGAACATTTACACCATGGAGGGGAAAAAACACTGTCAAAGTTTTTCTTATTCGCTGCAAGATGCCAGATTTCTTTTTTGCATCTGTACTTTCCATGATAACAGCAGAACTGTGATTTTCCTGCAGTTGAACGGATTCATATTATACATGATAAAACCATTATTATTACTGTCTTTGTTACAATTTATTTTTTAATCAATAGGAGGAAAGATCATAACTTCATTTTGAAAACAGGCCTTTTTCTTTTTCTAGAAACAGCGACTTTATTCTAGAAAAATCACATAAGATAAGAATAACTTTACTGATGCCCAAAGGATATTTAAATGGCAACTTTATTCAAGAAAAATGGCTACTTTATTCTAGAAACATAACAAATTTATTCTAGAAACATGACAACCTTGTTTTAAAAACAGGGCAACTTCATTCTAGAAACATGGTGACTTTATTCAAGAAAAATAGTAACTTTATTCTATAAACCAGGAAGACTTTATTCTAGAAACATGATAAAATTGTTTTCGTTAAACAGACTAGCTTTATTCTAGAAACATAACAACTATATTCTTCAGAATAGGTGACTTTATTTTAGAAACATGGCGACTGTGTTCTATTCTAGAGACATTTATTTACTCTGAAACATAACTTCTCTCTCTTGACGTATTCCTCTAATCTTACAATATAACGACCTTATTCTCAAAATTCTCAATTCTTGAAACAAGATTTAATTCTTGAAACTTTATGTTTGATACACACTGATTTAAATCTAGTCAAGTTTTGCCTTTATTCCAATATGACCTCTTTTTTTATAACATAACAACTTTATTCTCATGACATTAAGAATTTATTCTCAGAACATAACAATGTTGTTCTTGTTATATAATGACTAATTCCCTGTTTAGTTTAATGGTATGAATGGATTTAAACTCCTCTTAATACTCGACTCTGCTCAGACATCAGCTGCACCTTCTGTAAAAGTCAGAGAGGAGCTGCAGCACACACACTTACAGGACGGGTATCATCTGTCTGAAATGAGCCTGATGAGGTCATCCTTAGAGATAATTAAAATATCTATCACACCAAACCCTCCATTATCCACCAGAGCTATCTAGAAGTTCAGTATCCATCACTGCTTCTCTTAGTGAGGCTTTTAATGTCTCAGAAGGACCTGACACTCTGCATGTTCTTCTTAGTGTCACTCCTGATCATGATCATTCATATCTTATAAAAAGCAGCGTCTAATACCTAAATGTATTCAGATGTAAGGATAAATCTCAACTCCTGCTGCGGCGGGACATAAAAAGGTTTTATACTGTATGTACGGGGCTCAGTGCCAGCAGAAGAGATGAAAGTGTGTATTAAGAGCGCGGCTCGTACTGCTCTGAATGCTAACCAGCCTGTGTACATTAATCAGAGCGAGTGGGTTCTTAAAGGAGGGCTGCATTAAAGAGCAGTGTGTGTTTTTATGATTTGATTAGAGAGAGATGATCCTCCGGCTGCTGCGCTGTGTGTTTCCTCCGAGCTCGAATTCAAAATAATTCAGCGCAGGATCAGGATGTTTGACTTCGCTCCACCTTCACGCTTCAGAAACGTAGAAGTCAGGCAGTGTGTGGTGCACACAAGATTAAGGGGGCTTCAGAGGTATTCTGATTTGTGTTTGTGTGTATGTGTGTGTGTGTGTGTGTGTGTGTGTGTGTGTGTTTGATGGGGAGATTAGACGTGGGAGCTCAGACTCGGAGTAATCCTGCACCAGACTGCAGTTGGAGCAGGGATGAAAACCCTCTGATGAACTTTGGATTCTTTTCTTTATTGGCCAACATGGTGTAAACTGAGTTCATGCAGGTTTTAGAGGAAACGAAGAAAGATGTTTCTCAAATGTGAAAGTTTCGTTTCTGTTGTTTTTGTTGTTTTCTTTAGGGTCTCAGAAGTCCCTCTCCTTCTGGTCCCTGCGTGAGAAACATTCATGGATATTTGAGGAACACAGCTCTGTGGCCTCGTAGTCGCCTCTCACTATAAATTTCTCATGAGTGCGTTTTCCTCTTTTCTCCTTTATGTTTTATTCCTGATCTGAAATGTTTTCGCTTTTCTCTCCTTCAGGCTTTCGAGGTCAGTGACCTCCTGCAGGGGCTGAACTTCTCAAAGGTCCTGAACTCTTTGGTCGTCCTCAACAAAGCGACTGAAGGTGAGATGGGGTTTGTTCAGCGTATATTTTTAAATTTTACTCCGATGACGAAATGTTGGATGCAGTTATTGTTAATGTAATCAAAAAGCAGCTGTAACAGTAAATTATAAGAATCATTTATATTAGGTTTTATATCTGCCACATTTTGTTTCCAAAAATCAATCAGCTCTTCAGTCTATAAAGAAGAGATATCTGATATTCAATATGGTGGACCAGTATGGCTTCACTTCACTCTCATGTATGGGTCATTCCATGTGAAGTACTTTTGATGTATAAAGGAAACGTTAAAAGGGCTCAGGATAAATAGCCTGGAATACTTCACAGGGAAACCAGCAACAACATTTCAGGGTGCATAGGTAGAAGTTCTTTGTCAACCCTAGGATCCAGGACATGCAGGTATGTCCAAATGATTCTCCCATGAAGCTAAGATCATTCATATTCTGGGTATAGGTGCAAATAGAAATGAAATGCGATGGAAAACTGAGCAAAAATATGCTACTCTAGCCATTTTTCATATAAATATGGGATAACATACAAATGAAAAGACTCAAAAAAAGCATTTTGCACTATGAGGAAGTAATATTTTACACAAGCAGGCAAGTGGGGCTGACTCCAGATGAGGTCAGGACTGTATAATGTGCCAAATATGGTGTTTTCCACCTAACGTACCACACATTTTGACTGATTACTCAAAAAGTTATGGAATGCCCATCATGAAACTTGCAGGGATGCTAGTGGACATGATAGTCTTTCTTTAGTGTGTATATGAAGAAAATTGAAGGACGCGCGTTTTTGGTCTTTTATAATTTTTATCTGGTCCAAATTGGAAAAACTAATGTTATGAACAAAAAGATAGAGCTTGAAGAGAGCTTTAAAATGACATCTGAATCAGCTCTCTAGGTGCCATACTTCCAGAGATATGAACATTTTTGTAACGCATGTCATGCTAATTAGCCAAAAATTCATTAGCCCCTATCTCACTAATTAGATGGCTTTAAACAAAAATATTTGAGCTCTGACAGTTTCTCCTGAAGGCCAATCACTCCACCAAATTTCATCAAAATCTGTGACATGAGTGGAGATTCTCGGTTGAATTGACCCGTATCCATTCTGTGCAGAATTGGGTGTTTCTGGAGACACGGTGTGTGCGCCTCACCCCTCTTCATCCAGGATCAAATCATTCGACTCTTTGAACACTCAGACTCGCTCCTCCAAACTGCTGCAGCCTCAGTACCGAAGCCTGGTGAGTTACCATGACAACAGCAACCACGCATCAAAGAGATAAGACAGTACACAAACACAGGCCGAGTTCAGACGAGAAAAACTCATAAGTCTGTTATGAAAACGCAGATATGAGATATGAGCGGTCTTGCAAATGTCTGTTTTTCATCAACACAGAGATTTATTATCCTCTTTTCCCGTCTCCGTCACAGGACATGTCAGAGGGCAGTGGCTGCGGCCACATCCTGGTCAAGGCGCGCTTTCCCTTCCAGCAGACCAATGAGGACGAGCTCTCCTTCTCCAAGGGGGACATCATCAGCGTGAGCCGGCAGGAGGACGGGGGATGGTGGGAGGGCTCGCTTAACGGCAAGTCCGGGTGGTTCCCCAGCAACTACGTGCGGGAGCTGAAGGGAGGAGGTGGGTGGAGCTTCTTATTGATTAGGTGACGGCTGTTTTGAAATCTTTGGTCCACAGCAGGATTATTTATCGAACATCGAAATGATCAAGGGTCAAAATTAAAGGTCACAAATCTTTCACCGGAAATCTGAGATTATTCTGACTTTGTACTTTGTCCTAAAACTTGAGTAACAAAGTTTGTGAAAGTTGGGTCTCTACAGGTGCTTGGCCGTACTTTCACCTCTCAGAGTTTAAAGAAAATCTGTAATTCATATCATGAACACCTTTGCATACATGAAGCTTTGACTCCCTGTGCCTGAAAGAGCGTTACCCGTGTGGACTGTTTGATTGTTTAGTTGTAGAGGAGGCAGGAATGACGGGAGGAAGGAGGGAAGGAAGCTCCCCGAGTACACAAAGACGGGAAGTTCCAGAGCTGCTGTATAGAAAACAACTTCCTGATTGAAACAGCAGAAAACAGGACAGAGCAGGGAAGAGTATGAGAACCGAAGGTGAAAAAGTGAGAAAACGGGTCTGCATGGGAGCAATATACACACAAGAAAGAGAGAGAGAAAGAGAATAAAGAGGGAGAGAGAGAAATATCAACATTCACAGTAGACTCATGAGTGTCAGTTTGAAGTAAAACTCAAGATAATCACTTTATTTTTCAGGTTTATACTGCTGAACTAAGCTGAAGTATAATTTACTGTTTACATAAAAACTCAGACTCTCCAAAAATAGAGGATTGATGGTTTACATAATAACCACAAGAAAACAATCAACTTTTGGTCTAATGCTGCTAAACAGAGTCAGAGCGAAGCCTCTGTACGAGTAACTATTTACAGTGAAACTGAGACTCTGGAGAAAATGATTAGATTTCAGTTGTAGTTAAATTGAAAAAACAAAACAAACAAAAACTAGAAAAGCACTCGGAGAGCGCAGACCTCCGCCAAGCAGCTCATGTCCCCCCTTAAACAAGAAATGCCCTGACCAGGATTCAAACCCAGGACCTTCTTGCTGTGAGGTGACAGTTCTAACCACTACACCACTGTGCTGCCTATCTACACCACTGAGCCGCCCATTGGTTATCTTTCAGCATTGAAATTCCAACGACACCCTTATTTTTGTGTGTTCTGGATCACAGTATCCAGAATTTTGTCTGGATCAGGATCAACCTTTGACACCTCATAAAACTCATTGAGATCCTTTTGTGTCATTTTTTACTAAAGACTCTGGACATTTTTATAGAGTTAAATGCAAAAATTCCAACATTTGCCCTATCTCACAATGATAAAGAATCCTTCAAAAATTTCCTGGATCCAGAAGGCGATCCGGATCAGCACCAAAATGTAATGGGATCCTCCTGGGGCTGAGACGCACCTCTGGTGAAAATTTCAGGTCAATCCGTCTGTAACTTTCTCCGTAAAGTTGCTAACAGACAAACAAACAAACCAGTGCATGAACAAGATTGTTCATCAAATCCTGTGTTATTGTTGAGACCAACCTTTGTAAAGATTATAAAAAACAGATTTTTCTCGTAGTCTTTATTTGTCACAAACTACATAAGAAAAGAAACCTCCGTGTATCTTTTATCGCGTCCTCATTATACTTCCTTTGGCTTCACGTTGCTCATTCGTTCTCCAGTCAGCCTGATACTGTTGAAAAGCACAGAAAGCAGCTTATTATCTCAGTCTTCTTCAGACTTTAAATGCAGGGCCCTCCAAGAAGTACGACAGCGAGGGTGTGTCTCTTGGGGTCGAGATGTTAAAAAAACAGAAACCAGGGCAGGAAAATGTCACAACGTGAGTCATGAAATTAAAGCATCCAGTCAGTGGTTGTCCTACATTTAGCTGAAAGGCCCCACAGGGAGAGTTTGTACCACAAATGGAGAGATTTTATTGAATGAGGGTGACAGCTCTGCCACCACAGGAGTCGTCATGTTGACACTAAAGCGTCATCAAGATAGAAAAGAGGGTGCTTCAACATGAATATGTTTTTGTTTTTATTTTTTATTACTGCTTTTAGAAGTGTTTAGAAGGAGAATTTGAGTAGTAAGATTTGAGCTTTGTTGTCTTTCTTTTTTACGCTTGTGTGTTTTTTAATTTTTGTTCAAATCTGGCTCCAAAATCAACTGTGTCTCCAAATAAACAGAAGATTTCAGAGCTCAAAGGTCAAATTTACACATAAATGTTCGTGTGACTTGGGTATTGACTGAACCCTCCCATCATCGTGTCTTCATTGAAAAAAAACAAACATTTAATTATTCTGTTTGTGAACGGCCCTGAAATTGAAAAATGACCCCTTAGAGTCACGTGTCAGAGTTTAAAAGGTCACATGTGAAGAGGAAGGGCATTTCATAACATCAGGTCAGGTTTATTTTTAATTTTTGGTTTGTCTGAGAAAACGCTTCCTGTGTGAGTGAGTGAGTGAGCAACCTCCTTCCTCTTTAGTCGGTATTTTTAATAGAAATATATCTCCTCTCTCCTCCTCAGTTATTCTGCAATAGATGGAGGGATGTGCTGTAAATTTATGAAAAGCTAGACTTTCAACAACAAAAATGATAAAACACATATATGCAAACTCCACATGGTGAAAAAAGAAAGAGCCAAAGTCGGGCTCTAATATTAGTAATGTAATGTAAGTCTAACACGATCAAATAAGGCTCATAAATAAAAGTAAAATAAATGTAAGCACACTTTACAGAGAGGTAAACAGACAGAGATATCTGATGAATGAAGTATGAAGTGAACCTTTAAGTGTTTTTTATGCCCTTTTCTATGTTTTGCAGACAAAACATTAGAGAAGCAAAAGTCCGGCACTCTGAAGAGTCCGCCCAAAGGTTTTGACACCACCATCATCAGCAAGACCTACTACAACGTGGTGAGTCTCATGTCCTTGAGGAGCTCTGTTTTTCTGCATGAAGGTGTGAGCTTAAGCGGTATTTATTCCTCGATGGTGCATGAGTGTTTCATACTCGTGAAAGGAGGAGGAAATCTGCAGGTTTATCATTCGGGGTTTAAACCTCAAAGTCGTCATGTTTTAAAATTTGAATCCTCTCGTTTTGAAACGATCCAGCTTAAACTGAACAGTCGTGTCCCTTCTCTGTCACGTCTGATGCAGCTTTTAACGCCCGACTGATCTGAGTTCATGTGTCACATGTGTGTGTGCGTTTGCAAACTGTCACAATTGATTATTTGTCGTCCACACCACCAATTAATGATTGTGCAGCTGTGTGTATGTGCACAGCACCCCTGCATGTGTCGTCCATGTGAGGGATAAAATGTAGGTTATCTCTTCCATTCCAGTGGTTTCTGGGGCAGCCTTGCCGCAGGCTTGGTTTCTGCTGGTGTGTGTGTGTGTGTGTGTGTGTGTGTGTGTGTGTGTGTGTGTGTGTGTGTGTGTGTGTGTGTGTGTGTGTGTGTGTGTGTGTGTGTGTGTGTGTGTGTGCGTGCGTGTGTTTGTGTGTGTTTTTAATAATGCAACAAGCTGCCACAGTCTCTCCAGACTGTCCATCTTGAGTGCAGAAACCTGAGTCTGTCTGGTACATGGGACACAAGCACATCAACACAAACTCTGCCTGGAGTCAGAGCTGTTCCTTCATAGTGAAACAAAACAACAAAAGCTTTTAATAAAGAAAAAGCTTTTGTTTCTCTCTAATGGAGCCTCTGGAAAAGCTTTCAAGAAGAAGCTTTTGAGTAGAAGACTCAGGCTTTGAGGGCTTGCTGTGTTTGAGCTCTAATTTTAAAAATAAAGATGAATCAACCAGAGCTTTGATGCCAATGCCTCCATTTCTCTCCAGCTTGTTAATTTTTGATGAAAACTAAATAAATATTGAAGATAATTTGAGTGTCTTTGGTTGAATTTGTAGTGCCTTAAGATCAGCGGGTTGATGACATGTCTATAATGTGAAAGATAATGATGTGAAACCTCGTTTTTTAGTTTCACTTTGGTGTTTCGGTGAGCCCACTCAGTTATTCACTGGGTTCGAATCCCGGTCAGGGCAATCATGTTTAAGGGGGGACATGAGCTGCTTGGCGGAGGTCTGCGCTCTCCGAGTGCTTTTCTAGTTTGATCATTGCATCTTGACAGTACTTGCACATGTGTCCAGATAACAGGTGTGTAAGTTGCTGACAGTGCCACAAAAGTCTTGACAGTGACGCAGGTGATGGTATTTACACCTGTACACGGCCCACCCTCACTGTGACGTCAGTTTGAATCAGCAGGAAGCTCGGTGGTGTGAAAAGGTCAACAAAGAAAGGATTTACTTTATTGACGCATGAATGAAAGAGAGCGTGGGCAATTCATTTATTGTATTCTAATAAAATAGTGTGAGCAAATCAATTCTGAATGGGCCTGTGTTCATGTGGTTCCTCTGACAGGTCCTTCAGAACATCCTGGAAGCAGAGAGTGAATATTCCAGAGAGCTGCAGAGTCTGCTGGGTTCATACCTGCGCTCTCTACATCCCACAGACAGGTGCGGTTATTTTTACACTTCTGATTTATTAAACAGATCAGAGAAGCAGCGGTCACACAGCAGCATGTCTGTCGCTGAGATAATGTAACTGGTCTGATTTTACACACAAACTGCACGAACCGAGATGGTTTTCCGATTTTATGAACGAATGATACACTGATACAAAAACACTCAGTGAGGTTTGAGTTGACTTATGAAGTCTTGGCGTCATGCCCATGAATACATAAATGCATATGAGCTTTATTAATAAGAGTCAGAGCCAAAGACGCATAATAAATGACTCCCTGAAATCCTCCCCCCTCCTTCCTCTCCTCCTCCTCCTCCTCCTCCTCCTCCTCCTCCTCCTCCTCCTCCTCCTCCTCCTTTCTGCAGACTCAGCAGTGTGGACATCAGTCACATTCAGGGAAATCTGGAGGAAATCTCAACGTTTCAGCAGATGTTGGTTCAGTCGCTGGAGGAGCACACAAAGTCAGTACAACCGAAACGTCATCATGACACAAACCTTTTTTTGTAAAATATGTTAAATATTATAGCCTGAAAGATGCAGTTTACTAATGTATTATTTCAGTCTTTTTAGGGATACAGCTAAACCACAACGATGGTTGTCATAGGTTTGTACTTGTAGAGAAAACATCAACAAGGAGAGCTAAATAAACGAATCAATAAGATTTTCCTGTTTTGATATATGGGGGGTTATTTTCAGTTGAAAAGAACTAAAATCCCTTTTATTTGTGAATAGATTCCTGTTTATTAAATAATAAAAGGGTCTGTACAGAGAGCACTTTTCCAAATTCAAGTTTAAAAACAAGAGCGTCAAAAATCCTGAGAAAAAGCAAAAATTTCAGGAAAAAAATGTAAAAAAAAAAAATAATAATAATAATAATAATTAAATTACTTAAAAAGAGCTTTTTCTACATCATATTCTTTTAGGAAACTTAAAAAAAATAAACCAAATTAAACAATTATTGAAGCTGAAATGGATAAAAACCACTGAGTTAGAGGTTTCGGCTTTACTAGAGTGACAGAGACACCCAGTGGCCGTCTGAAGCAATGATCTGAGTTCATGTTTGAAGCTTGACTTTTATTTAGTACAAACAGCGACTGATCAGCCATTGTTTGATGAGCGATCCACATCTAAGTTTTTTCTTGGCCTTGAACAAAATCTTAATCTGGATGTTTTTTGTTTTTTTTTCTCAAACAGATCAGAGTTTGTGTTTTGAAGCTGATTTTTGCCTCCTTATGTTTGCTCCATTTCACACACTCAAAGCTCGTCCCTTTTGTCGTTTCGTCTCCATATAATGAGTCCTCTTTGTGTGTTTTCAGACTGCCAGAGAGCCAGCAGAGGATCGGGGGGTTCTTCCTCAATCTGATGCCTCAGATGAAGATCATCTACGTGGCTTACTGCTCCAACCACCCGTGTGCTGTGAACATCCTCACTCAGCACAGGTACCAGCTGCTTCATACTGTATTAAATCTGAATAATCAAAGCACCGTCTTCCTGTTTGTTGATGTTCATTGTTGTTGTTGTTGTGCAGTGAGGAACTCGGGGAGTACATGGAGTCAAAGGGGGCATCCTCTCCTGGGATCCTGGCTCTGACCACCAGTCTGAGTAAACCCTTCACCAGACTGGAGAGATACCCCACACTGCTCAAAGAACTGGACAGACACATGGAGGTAAGATGGAGAGATTTTATCATTTTTGAGTTTTAGTTTTTGATTGATCTCTATACTCTTTTTGTCATGTTTACATGTTTGTTTGTTATTTTCTGTGTTTTAGGAGCAGCACCCGGACAGAGCTGACATTCATACCTGTATTGCAGCCTTCAAAAACTTCGCAGTAAGAAGAGAACGCTCAAAAACACAAACAAAAGTTGTATTCAAGTTAAGCATGGCAGATTAATCAGTCTTGGAAAGGTTTCACATCGATTTTTTAGAAATCAATCCTGCAACTAATAACAATAATAATAATAATAATAACTTTATTTTTTATAGCACCTTTAAAAACAGAAGTTTACAAAGTGCTTTGACAAACAGAACATCAGCACATGAATATAAAAACAAATAAAAACAAAAGCTCAGTTAAAAACAAAGCCTCCGAAGTGAAGGCCAATTTCATTTTTCATAAGAATGGCTCCAACAGTTCCTCAACAAAGATGTTTGTGTTCCTGAAATGTGAGATTTGATGTCTCCAGACCTTTACAGACCGCTGTGTTTGTGTTTGCGTTCAGATTCAGTGTCAGGACGTGAGGAAGAAGAAGGACCTGGAGCTGCAGATTTTAACCGAGCCAATCAGAAACTGGGAGGGTGATGACATCAAAACCCTCGGACCCGTTCTGCACATGTCTCAGACCACCATCCACACACAGAACTGTCAGGTACTCAGCTGAACTCTTCAACGGTTCGATTTTTAAAGAGAGACAGAGAAGAAGTTTGTTTTGTTTTTGTTTGTTTTTCAGGAGTCGAATGAACGCTACCTCGTCCTCTTCCCTCACACTCTGCTCGTGCTCTCTGCCAGTCTGAGGATGAGCGGATTCATCTACCAGGTGTGTTTACAGTCGGATAAAACTTCAGTGAACAGATTTGTTTGATTTAAGAAAAACCAAACTGTCACTGTAGAAAGTATTCAGACTTTGTGTCTGTGGTTTTCCGCAGGGGAGGGTCCCTCTGTCAGGCATGCTGATCTCCAGAATAGAAGACGGAGAAAACCTGAAGAACGCTTTTGAAATATCTGGTTAGTCTTTACTCATAATAATATATATATTATTATGAGTATTATATATATATAACTATATATATAGTTATTATTATTATATACTATTATTATTATATATATTTCAGTGCAATCCAATTAAGATCTTTTTTTTTGTATTTAATTTTTTTAATTCTCTATTATATATATTCCTTTTTCCTCCCCTCCCTCACAAAAGTATTTTTGTTAATTTTTTGTTGTTGTTGTTTTTGTTGTTGTCACTCTATTTTATTGTTAAATTAAAAAAAAATAATAATAATAAAAAAAGAACAGTGGGCCGGGAGGACTGGACTTGAGAACCACTGGTCTCGATGGAAGTCCTAAAAGAAAACACCAGGATCTCTTTTAGTTTTAATTTAGAATCAGCCACTTGTTTCTTTGTAAATGAGTGTCCAGAATTTTGAGGAACTTGCTGTATGTTGCTCTTTACATTTACTCGCTCTGTTGTGTTATGTCGTGTCGTGTCATGTTGTGTTGTGTTGTCTTTCAGGTGGGCAGTGTGAGCGGATGCAGGTTGCTTGTAACAGTCAGCAGGATCTCCAGGACTGGCTGGATCTTCTTACCAAACACACACACACTCCAGCTGTGCACACACACTCGCACAAGCCTCAGTCTGTCTGCCACACAGTAAGTCTGAATAAATCTCTGAACCTGCATCTGTCCTCCTCCTCCTCCATCACACTGTCTGACTCTGCGTCTCCTCCTCCTCCTCACAGCTGCCCTCCCATCCCGTCACTCCGTCCAGACACTCAGAGTCTCGAGCAGGCAGCACAGGAAGCACCTACCACACCCTCCCTCACCCCTCCTCGTTGGGGACCACACACACCAGCAGCCCCATGTGGGGACCTCTGGAGCCTCCTAGCACCCCGAAACCCTGGAGCCTGAGCTGCCTCCGCCCCGCACCTCCTCTCCGGCCCTCTGCTGCTCTCTGCCTGAAGGAGGTACTGATACACCTAAACAAAAACAAAAACGTTCTCACCCTTTACTTTTCTGAGTCAGAGCTCCTTAGTGTATTTTTGAGGTTTTGTTTCAGTTTTTGACTGTGTCTGTGTTTGAAGGATATGAGTAAAAGTCCTAAGAACATGAAGAAGCTCTTACCCAAGAGGAAACCTGAGAGGAAACCTTCAGAGGAGGATTTCACCGTCAGAAAAAGTGAGTGAACAGCAGATGAACTTCCAAAAAATATGTTGCAGGAACAAAAACTTTGTGAACTATCTCTCCTGACTTTGCACAGGCTTTCATTGCTTTAAATTTTTTGACTCATTAGTGGTAAAAGCAAAGTTACAAACTCACTTCAATATGTGGACATGTTAAACAGAATGTCTGTATCATACGCTCATTTTCTTGCAGCCTTCAAGTACCAGAAATTATCACTTTAAGAGACAATTATCAGATCTGTTCAAAATTAAGACAGAAAAACAGGATCTGTGTTTATGTTTTTTATTTTTCACAATCATGGGTGTTAAGTGGTAAGTTTCAAGAATAATAATAAAAACTGGTTTGATGTTGTGACCTTGTTGGTATGTCAATAAATGAAACATAGTCCTTTTGTGTGTTAAAGAGTCGAGCCATGTTGCAGGTAGTTTTTCGGATTTCTATTTTGAAGAACTGCAGCTCTGGGTCCAAAAACTTCGGATAAACAAAAGCTTAACTGTCTTGTTTGTCGTGTGACTCATAACCAGTCGCTGCGTTTGTGCTGCAGGTGTCGCTGCAAACGTTCAAAGGAACAAGGTCTCTGCAGAGTTTCCGTCTTCGGTTCTGCAGGGCTGTGTTGAACTCTGCGCCGTCTGTCTTGTTTTCTTTCCGTCTCTCTGCACATCTTCACTCCCGTGTTTTTCGTCTCTCAGGCACGGCCGCTCTGGAGGAAGACGCTCAGATCCTGAAAGTGATCGAGGCGTACTGCACCAGCGCTAAAACACGACAGACTCTCAACTCCAGTGAGCGCACACCCCTCTGCAGACTCAGTCTGAAAGCTAACCCTCGGTTGTTCTCTGCTTTTGACTCTAACGATGTTTTCTTTCTCTTCTCTCTTTTTATGTCCTCTCTTTTAAATATTTTGTCTCTGTTTAACCCCTCTAACTCCATAAATCCTTTTTTCACACACTTTCTACTCCTGTTTCTTTGAAATTCCTCACTTTTCTTCCCGTACAACCCATTTCCTTTTATTTTTGGTTGCATTTGTATCAAACTCCGAAATCACAAACCCCCCCTTTTTGTGCAACATGATTTGTACCTTTCCCCTCATCGCTACGACATCCATTTTTGTTTATCCCAACCTTTTACGTTCACTTTACGGTCCAGCCTGGCAGGGGACTGACCTCATGCACAACCATGTGCTCGCTGACTCCAGCCTCACTGTCGCTGCTAATCCTGCTAACCCCCCTTGTTCTGACCTATCAGAAGACTCGGATTATGACAGTATCTGGACCGCCACTAGTTACAGGACTGCTTCGTTTTCTCGTAAGATATCAGTGTTTCAAACCCCAAACGTGTTAGCAAGCAAGATAGAAATAGATGTCCTAAACCTTTCAGCGTCTGTGTGAATGTCTGTGTTTGGTGTCAGTAGTATTTGTCTTTGTGTAGCTGTGTGTGAAGCCTCCTTTGACAGTTTATCTGCATATGCATGCGGGAAAATAAGTGAGTAAACAGAGAGAGCAGCAACTGAGTCATCTAAGTATAAAAATGCTGCCGCAGATGAATCAATCCTGATCCTGATTTTAGATAAACATCAGTGATTGATCTTCTTTTAGGAGACCTGGACAGATCTGTTTGCATAAGTGTCATTCAGTGAGCATGTTTAAGTTTCCATGCACGGTGTAAAGAGTTTAAAATCTAAACTTGATCACTGTCGGATCAGGCTCCAGCAGGCAGAATGTCCACATGCTGTTTCCAGAGGAGGAGAAGATCATCGTGGAAGAGACGAAGAGCAACGGACAAACTGTGGTGGAGGAGAGGTGAGAGAGGAAGGAACGTAGCTGTGTTTTTATTGAAGGTTTTCAGACCTCCTGCAGAAAATGTAAGGATAGAAAAGTCTGAAAAATCTTTTATTTTTTACTCATGAATGATTTTACTCTTTGAGGGGTCGCCATGCCCACACCCACTGAGTTAAATAAGCCCCACCTACATGAGTTGCTATTTGTTTTACTGAGCAAAACTGCATCAAACTGTCTCTCTTTGGGTCTTAAATTTGATTTTAAGACGTGTGGAACAGCGTCAGTATAAGGTGTGTGTCACAGTAAATCAGAGGTGTTGTGTTCCCGCAGGGGTCTGGTGGACACCGTGTACTGTCTGAAAGATGAAGTTCAGGAACTCAAACAGGTGAGTCTATAGTTTTCTGAACTTCTCACTGTCATCATATTTCTGTTTTTACTGTGAGGTCCTACTTTGTCCAGCTTCAAACTGTTAGGGATTAATTTGGAATTTTTTACCAACAACTTCTGGGACAGACTCTTGCTAAACTTTGCAAACAGAAATGAGTTTCTCTGGCTGCATTATTTGGGTCAACTTCTTGACACTTCCCAGCTTCTGTCACATATTCGTTCTTTGTCTCTCCTCCAGGACAACAAGCGGATGAAGAGGACGCTAGAAGAGGAGCAGCGAGCGAGGAAGGAGCTGGAGAGGATCATCAGGAGGGTCCTGAAGAACATGAATGACCCCACCTGGGACGAAACTAACCTTTGAGATCAGCATGTTTGGACAAGACTAATTTCAAACTTTAAAAATGGGCCAAACGACCTTTCAACTCTGGACAGAAGCTGCCAATCAAACACTTTCAGCCAAACCAAACTGGACCAAGAGAAACACCTGCCAGCTGTCAGCTAAAGCCATCTAACAGACCGTAAAGCTGTGACGCCAGATCAGCTGGTAGGCACGATGACATCACTTCCTGCTTCAGCCTTCTATAATGCACTGATATAAAAATAACTTTGTCTTATTTACTTTTGTATTTATGTTTCATTCCTCTGTATGTTTATGTAATCTAACTGTAAAAATCAACCAGGACAGGATTTATTTGACGCGGCTGAAACATCCCTGCTCCTTTGGAAGAAGAGGAACATGTGGGGATTCTTCCTTCTTAAATCACTTCATTTGGTTAATCAGCTGCTCAATTTTCAATCATTTAACAATTCTTCTTTATGATAAATACAATCAGTTTGAAGTCCAAGTCAGCTAACAAACTATCAAAAGCATTAAAACAAAACTGAAAATATACCAGCTCTTCTAAGTGACCTCATGTTTACAGGATGTCAAATAATCCCTGCCTAATATTTTGTAAAAGACCTTTTTTTCCCTCCAGTGCTTTGCTTCTACATATATTCACATGATTAATGGTGATTATTTTGCTCATTTTCAAGAAAACAATAGTTTCACAATTATAGTTGGTTCTATTTTTGCACATAACCGATTAAAACACGGCTAAAACTGAAGATAAATCTACTTTTTGATGAGGATTTTTTTTAAGTAGCTGGAGGGTAGATGCATTGATTAAGGTTGCAACTAAAAAAATTCACAGTTCCAAAAAGTGAAGTAGCTGGAAATGGCGTTCTTGTCCTTAAAGCAAAGCTGGAGAGAGATGTTCCCAGAAATCCAAACTTCAAACAGAATTATAGATTCTTGAAATCACTGACATGAAATCGTTCTCTTTTTTTTCAGTCTGAGGAAGCTAAAGTCAGTGTGGTCGATGAAATGTTTCACAGTAAACTTCATAAACTCTTCTGGAGCTTTTTTCCATCACACTTTCCTTTATTAACATAATGTTTCAAGACCAAAATCCAAACAATGCAACGCTGTAAAGTGTTTTTTTATCATATGATTTTTACTGTTCCAGTATGCAACTATCTGTAAAATGATTTCTTATTTTTGTATATATGATTGTGTTTTTATTTTTAACAGCTGGTTTCATTTGTGTCTGTTTTCTATTTGACCCTGTTGCTCACACTGACTTATGATGATTTATACAGAAAAAGACAACATTTCTGTCACTACTCTTATTTAAATCCTTTACTGAATGATGACACTAATGAAACAATTATACAGTATGTGAACTCTTATTAATGTATTTAACAAAAGTGACTGAAGTTATGTGTGTTATTAGAAGAATCATCCCCATCTGTCTATTTATTTCAGCCATCTGTCTGTGAATGAAACCTTATATCAAACATTCCAGTCTCCTGATTTTTTATAACTTCAATTTTCCTGCTAGGGAAAAAAAAAGATCAAATATGTACAAACATTTATCAAAACTTTACAAATGTTTGTACTTATTTGATGTTTTTTTTTTTTTTTCTCTACAATTCAAAATACTTTGATAGGTCTGGAAATTTTGTGATGATTGTAACCATTGCTCTGGCTTATTTACCATGGTTTATTCTTATTTTACGCTTTTAACCCTCTGATGCATGAATTATGAAAGCCCTGATCAAGATTTTTTTCATAAGTGTTTTTATCATTCTCAGGACATAAAAGAACATGTAAAATTGTTTTTTTCCAAAAATGTTATTTTTTCACAAAACTACAGAAGTGTCCATTCAAGTGGACTATATGCGCCTGAGCACTCAACACAAAACATTATGAACTTACAGTAAAATGTACAGTACACCAAAATATGCCAAACTATCTCCAACATTGGAAACAACATTGTAAATCCCCACAGTACTATAAAGATTCAGGACTGATTTTACCATGCCCTTATACGGGCATGTTGTTTTCAACAACAAAAACTGACATTTTAGTCCCTGCATCTCCAAACATGTCTCTGCTCATCACACCTAGGATGTATGAAAGTTGGCAAAGCATCCAGGGCACAGTGGCACACAGGCTTTATATGAGCACAGGATTTGCTCATATCTGTTTACAGACATGGCATTTGCAATCATCCCTAGACGAAGGCCATCCTCACTAGACCAGTACATGTGTGCCCTGGGATAACGAATGTACCCCATGATCATGTTGATTCCTAAAAAAGTCTGCATTTCTTCTCCTGTCACTGCCACATTTTCTTCCCCTTTCTGGGGAGCATACAACTTGGTGTTTTTCACTATATCATCAATGAGATCTGCTGGAAACAGATGTCTGGTCTATAGGTCTATAGGCTCTCTTCCCTCCACATTGAATTTCCACTCTCCTAGAAAAGGAGGCAAATCTCTATCAAAGTGATTGTCTTGGACTTTCCAGATATTTTTGCGAGCTTGAGAATGGTCAGGTGTCATGTGCCCATTTTCCACAGCTCCCTGATCATGCTGACCTTCCCCTGCATCCTGCCTCTCATCATCCTGGTCCTCATCCACTTGACTATAGGCATCTACCCTTTCTGCACCCTCACTGTCTGTATCTCCATCATCCTCAGCCCCTACATGTCTATTCTTCTCTGGCAGCCACTCTTGGTCACTGCTACACACTGATTACACTGTATACACTGATTTATAACCAAAACAGCCACAAGTATCAGTGGAGCAATTACATGACTCCTGTTAAAAAAAATACTGGGTGATGCATGATGTCCACTCAGTTGGACACATGGTTAATTGTAATTTTCTACATATTGGACATGGAATTTTCAATTCCAAATGGATAATATCCTTCCTTAGATGTTACAGTATATCATCATATTTTTTTTACAGCTGGGGTTCTTCTACTATAGAAGTATTGACAGGACATGCCAGCTGTAGTCAGCAGGGGTGGCTGTTTCTCGGCCATCTTGGATTTGTAGGAAATTTACTTGCAGTTACACTGATTACTCACTAAATGTAACTCAATGGAGTAGGGCAGTAGAGAGCACCCTAGAGGCTGATATACACTTCCACCATAGAAACCATTGCATTTAAGAGAAAAAGAGTTTTTGGTAGCTGTCCATTGTAGTGACCACTATGAACCAGAGGGTTAATGCACCTAAAATCCTCATCTCGGCTCACAGTGGCTGAAACAGTAAATGAGTGAAACAGCGCCCCCTCATTTTTGACGGTCGGTCAGGGTAGTGTAACCTACAGTTCACCGCACACACCTGCAGCTGATCAATTACCGACAGTTTCCTGACAACGAACACTAGCGTTATTCACATTTCATAGAGTTGGACATGAAATAGAACTTTTACTAAATGAGGGACAGAAAACTGGACTTCAACAAAAAAGTAAGTCAGTTTTTATTTATATTATATTCGCTGTTTACCTGACTTTCTGCTGTCAAATAGACCTTTTTCACAGTACGCGGAGGTTAGCATTCTGCTCACTTCCGGTGTTAGCGTGTGGTGGAGCCACTTAGCATCGCCCCTAGACGGCCATTCATTTTTCACGATATCAACAAGCTCGCGACTCGTTTTTTTGAAAAGTAATGTAAAATTTTATGCTTTGTGCTGTTTTACTAACTCCTGTTCTTCATGATACTGTCTTATACTTTACTTTTCGGGAATTATGTCTAAAACAGCACAAAGCATAAAATTTTACATTACCTTTCCAAAAAAACGAGTCGCCACTCGCGAGCTCGTTGATATCATAGACATAATAAAAGATTTTATTATGTCTATGGTTGATATCGTGAAAAATGAATGGCCGTCTTTTGGCCGTCACACGCTAACACCGGAAGTGAGCATTCTGCTCACTTCCGCGTACTGTGAAAAAGGACTATCACAGCCTCAGTTTAGTGTTTGTACCTGTGAAGTTGTTTGAGTTAGAGGTTTAATATCGCTCTTTGACTGTTTAAATGCTGTTTATTGTCTGCTTTAGTGTTTGATGGCTGAAAAAGAGCCAGTTGAAGCAAAACTTTACATTTCTTGGTTGTGTTGTCGCCTGTCAGTTGGTTCTTGGTCCTGAAGTTGTCTCTGTTGTGAGCTGTTGTAATTTTTTCTTGCTTATATTTAGCTACAAACCAGTGTTTTGAATAAGAGGTTATAAATTATGTTTTTGATTCAGGCTGTGATAGTTTTTATTGAACCAGTGTTTTAAGTATGTTAATGTTGCATTCAGTGTCTTTTGCCTGAGAGTGAATTTCTGCATACGACTAAGACATTGTGTCGCTGTTCACTCTAACCTTATGTCTTCAATATTTTCATGTTGGCCAAAAAGCGACCACGGAAAGAGCAGCCTAGTTGCCTTCAATGTAATGTTGCACAGCTTATAAAACGTATATATCCAATAGAGCTGAGCGATAAAATGGATTTCAATTTCGATCATTATTATGGCTCCCTGCGATCTTAAAAATATGATAATTTAGACTGAATGACCGTATGCTTCCTGATGTGTTTGAGTCTATATTCTCTGAGTTTTCTGCAGCCTCACTGCGCCCCAGGAGAGACACCTGTACCTTAGCATCCTTTTCAAAACCTCTACAATAAATGATCCCCTCACATGCATTTTTGACATCCCACAATGCACCAGCGACAGTTTGATGGTTAGATGTCTGTTATCAATACAATCAGGAGCATCTTGCTGCCAAATTGCCAACAGGTTTTGGCAGGTAACCGGTGAGGAGCTTTATTCTCTGAACAACAGAGGAGAAAGGCGTCTTTGTGGAGTTGTCCGGACTAAATTGACAAGGCCTTTTACAGCCTTTGATACGGGGCCGGCTGCCTCACACAATGGACGGCTTATAAATTTGCAGATGTCGTCTGGAAAGCTCAAATGTCAACGCTTTTCACCACAGCACCAGGGCCCTGCGAGAGGAATAATTGATCGGTTCACCTTTTGTCTCTGGCCAAATATTCATACAGTCAGGACGGGGAATAAAAGGAGGCAAAGAAAAGACGAAAGAGCATCTTCCACGGTCAGAGTGTGCAGACACTATTCATCTTTTAAAGTCTGGAAATACAGACCAAAACATGCTGTGTGCAGGCCGTCTCCTGCAAGTGCAAATAAAACTAGTCAGGATTTAAAGTCAGTCAGTCAAAATCAACAGAAAACCCTGCAAACATCCAGTTTCTGTGGATTTAATGTGTGGAAAAAAAGTCAGTCTGTATTGGTTTTGTCAACAACATACATTTTATTATGACGTTTGTTACTGTCTCTGCTCTGCTGAGACAGGAGGCCCTAATTGGTCGGACCAATAAAGATGGCAGCCTCCATCTTACATAGCCAGCTAACAATAGATATGACATTATTTCACTAAATCATCACCGATTTATGTTATTTTTGAGGGTTTGGATCTAAACAGTCTAAAAATAAACTGATTTTCTCTTTGTGGGATAGAAAAGCCTCTGGATTTAACACCCAGGAGTTATCAAAGTGTCAGTTTCCCTCTCTAAGGCTACGTTCACACTGCAGCTCAATTCCGATTGACGGAAATAAAGAATGTGAAATTACGAAATATTCTGTGGTGAATTTTGACGCGCCTAACTGTACACATCAACCCGATGCGATTTTGCGTGTTTCCGGGGGGCAAAAGGAGGAGGCAGACTCTGTCCGTCTTATATACAGTCTATGATCATAACCTGCAGTGTGAACGTAGCCTAACTCTGTGGTTGATGTGTCAGGTCATTGTTTTCTAACTGCAAGGCCAGAGTCGTTCTTGCTCTGTTTTTATAACTCCGCCCTTCCACAAGCATCATTGCTGTCAGGTTTGCCGACGACTCCATAAATGACAACTCTTCTTCTCTCCAGATTCAACTTTTTGTCCAACGACTGTCACCTTAAGTAATGAAACACTAGATTACCCTAAATCAGTGAGATGTGGTTTGAGCTTGTGGGCCAAAGTTTTGAGCTTTTATCTGCTTAAATCTGTCGTCCTGTCTCCCAAAGAGCCACTTTGTTGTGTATAAACGTGTTTTCATATCATAGATCAGAAGTTGTTCATGACATCTTGGAAAAGTTGAGGTATTTCATGTAGTCTTGACCCTAAATCTGAGACCTAAACTGTGTTGAACTAATCATTATTCCCTCACGCAGTCTCTGACTATAGACAGCTCTTTTGTAGATGAAATGACAGTGAGTCACTGAGTCTCTTTGTTTTTGGCGGAGCACCAACAGGTGTCTGTGTTTAGCTGCACATTCAGCCTCCTCTGGGTCTGTACAGTACCTTTCAGTCTCTGTGCTGCGTTCAATAGCCAGTGATCATTCAGATTTGACTCGTATTGTTGCATTGTGCCTCCCTCCACTTTCTCTCTCTCTCTCCCTTCAAAGCCGCGCCGTTAATTTCCAGCCTCTGCAATTTTCCTCTCCAGTGGCAGAAAGGGAGCGAAAGAAAAGAGAAAGAAAAGATGACAAAGACGACACAGGACTCCTCTCTTCTCCCTCGCTCGGCCTGTTATTGTACGGAAAAAGCCAAGCAATAATTTTTCTCCGTCATTGGTTTACTCCTAAAAGCCCGTTTGACGTTGGTCCTGAAAAGAAAGCAATAAAGAAACCTTTTCAGCGGCGTTGAAAGAGCGAGAGACGCAGGAATGAATCCCTTTGGGACGCTGCGACCGGAGGGGCCTTTTTATTGTCTTTGCTCTGCTAATCAAATGGAGCTGAAATGAAAATAGGGTTTTCTATGAAAACAGGGGCCTTTGTTGGCTTTGGGAGGCTAGTAATTCATAAACAATAAGCCGGCTCCTTTTGTTTGGGTTATAATATATTCCTGCTGCTCTGAAAGGGCTCTCTCTCTCTCTCTCTCTCTCTGCACACGCACACGCACGCTCACACACACACATACACAGTGAAGTCGGGGTAAAAGCCAAAGCGAGGCAGCAGGCAGAGAGTATAAAAGGAGGCAGAGAGGAAAGCTTTTCATTCATCGTGCTGGCTGAGAGTCAGCAGGATGCTCCACTCTTCAGCCCGTCATCCTTCACACCTCTCTCCACTCTTCATCACTTTCTTCCTCTTTCAACCCTCCAATATGCTTTTTAGTGGAAGTCAAACTAAACTTCAGCCAACAGCCAGCCAACAGGTGTGTACTGATCTGTTTCTCTGCAGCAAACTTGTCGTCTCTGAGGATTTGGAGTTCATGCACCAACCAAAGAGTGTACACAGTTTCTACTTTTCTTTCTTGCACTAAATTTCTGCGAACAGAGAAGGATTAGAGGTGTGTTTTTGGAGGTAATGGAGCGTCACCGTATCCCTTCTCTAGGAGATGAGGACTCTTGGAGCTTAACTTCAGCCTGTGGAGTAATTTGTGTGCACTTTTTGACACTTTATGGCAAACACTGTGGATATCTGAGGATCGATTTTCAGCAAATTTTCATCGCAGGGAATGAGCTGAGAGATTTTTTTTGTGATTCCTGGAGCTCCATTCATGTTCTTCTCCTCCTTTTCTTGTGTGACAAAACCACAGCTGCACCTTGGACCAAACTTTCCGGATGTGTCAGTCTGAGTGATGTGGATATTAATGAAAATATCGGATTGACCTGACATGATGTAAGTTCAGCATTTTTCATAATCGATACTAAATACATCACTGGATTTCTGCAGTTTCTGCTTTTCTGCAAAAATTAAATAAATAAATAAATAAAGACACTAAATCATCAGCTGTGAGCCGCATGATGAAGAAAGAAGTTGGAAGTTTGTAATATGAACAATTTTCATGATGCAAAAACCTTTATTTCTATATGTAGAAATATAGGTTTTTATACCATCATGGGAAACTAAAACTCCTCATTCTAGCAGCTTTGACTTGTATGTTTCCAGTCTTTTTAAAAAGCCAGATTCAGCTCATTGTAGCAGTTGATTTTGTGAGTTGTTAGAGAGATCGAAGGGAGAGTTTTCTAAAATCAGTTTGGAGTATGGAGTTCAGGTTTTTGGGTTTTAATGAAAATAATAGATGATGAATTCCTGTAGAAGTGAGTCCACATCAGCCTGTGCAGACTGTCAGGCTTTATTTTTGACCTCACCAACCTCTCTGAAGGCTTTTTATGTTGCTGACATTCAGTAAGTGATCACTGAGTATTTGCTGCTGTCATAGAACATAAAATTGTGCATAAGGAGATGATATTGGTCACATTTTACAGTTTAAAAGAGTGTGACTGATAGTGGTTCAGTACCTGCTGTGTTGTATGAAGACTTTTCTGCAAACAGAAATGTGTGCAGACATTTGGGTATGTTTGGGTGCTTTTCATTCCTGTGTCATGTGATGCTATGTTTGTGTTAGAAGGCGTCTGAGATACACAGCTGTGATGGTGGAGAGGTTTTCTCTGCTGCCCTATATAGGGGTGGGCAGTTTTTGGTTTTGCTTTAAGAGGTGCTTTTGTTTTGTCTGATGTAAAAAGTTTTGTTGTTGCCCGCCTTACCCCCACATCTTCTGCACAGTTTTAAATCGCTGTAATATCTCCAAACTGCTGAAGTTGAATCGTGGTTCTTGTCATTGGTGCTTTGAGCTGGTCATCTCTGTGTTTTCTTATTTTTCTTCTGTTTTAAATGTCCTTTGGTCTGTTTATCATTGTCCTCTCAGTATTATTGGCTGTATGTCTTCCTCCTCTTCTTTTATATGCCAGGTACTAACATGTGTTTAAGGTGCATTAGTGCCCCCTTTATAGTGTAACTGCAGGTTTATATCTTTTGGCCTTTTAGTGAAGACTGGTTGTTAGTCTATAAAGAAACTTTAAACCATGATAATTACCTCCGCCAAGGAGGTTATGTTTTCAGTAGCGTTGTTTTGTTGGTTTGTCTGTTAGCAACTTTGCGGAGAAAGAAACTGACGGATTGACCTGAAATTTTCACCAGAGGTGCGTCTCAGCCCCAGGAGGATCCCATTACATTTTGGTGGTGATCCAGACAAAATTCTGGATACTGTGATCCAGAACACACAAAAATAAGGGTGTCGTTGGAATTTTCAATGCTGAATGATAACCAACGGGCGGCACAGTGGTGTAGTGGTTAGCACTGTCGCCTCACAACCAGAAGGTCCTGGGTTTGAATCCGGGTCAGGGCATTTCTTGTTTTAGGAACATTATGAACAGTGAACATACCAGTTTAAACACAAATAAAAGTTAATAAAAGACACGTAACAGTAAAAGTTTTGGTGTGAATCACAATATAAGGGGGGACATGAGCTGCTTGGCGGAGTGCTGCGCTCTCCGAGTGCTTTTCTAGTTATCATAGTAATCGTTTTCACCCTCAGCTGGAGTCTCACCCTCGAGTAATGTAACTTCTTGAAAAAAACGCCCCTTTGGTTTCTGATGATCAAACATTCAGCGCTTGCTCTTTAAAAGAAAGTAGGAGCTGCAATAACTTCACAATGAAATAAAAATTTCAACTTTCATCCTGTAAAGTTGTTATTTGGACGTCATAAATTCAGAACTTTTATCTTTAAAAATGAATGACCTCATTCTCTATAAAAATATATTCAATCTCATACATAATAAATGTAAGACTTTAATCTCCTTATTTTATAGCTTTAACCTGAAATATATAACTCTTATCTTATTAGAGCTGTCATTAATTAATGACTTTAATGTCATAAATGCAGAGCTTTCATCTCCTAATATTCAACCTTTAGTCATGTTATTTCTTTTTCTTCAAAACTTCAAAACTTTAATCCTGTAAAAATTTGGACTCAAACCTTGTAAATCAGTGACTTTAATTTCTTATATTTAAAGACTTTTGCTCCTAAATTTGTGAGTTTAATGTCTTTGATTTAGGACTTCAGCCTCATAAATTTATACTGTAACCTCATAAATTTGAGTTTTATCTGTAAAGTTGTGTTTATACCTTAAATTTATGACACAAATGTATTAACTTAGTCTCACAAATTTAGGACTTCATCATTTTAATTTACAACATTCATCTGGTTAATTTAGGACTCAAATCTCATGCTGAAGTGTCTGCTGAAACCAGCTGATAAAGTTTGGAGGTGAGAGGGAGGTTTTCAAATATTGGTACCTGATACCTGAGCAGAACTGGAGGAAAGGTGTTTCTTTTCTGTCTATTGTTTTGGATGGAGAAACTCTACAGCAAGGACTTTACTTCGTTAATGAGGACAATGAATATGAACAGGGTTGAATGTTAGTGCTGATATGTGAGGGCTTTACTACTTTCTGAAACTGTGCTTGTTTACAATATTCAGCCTTTCACTGGGACAGAAAAGCAAAGATCATGACACTCAGGCTTTACCAGGTAACATCAAACTGATACTCTATCTTAACCACAGAGGATGCTGGGAAATGCAGTTTTGATCCTGGGAGGACATGACTGATTTCATCCAAAGGGGTGAACAGAATCAACACAGCATTAAAAACTCCTCCATGATTAAATTCAATGAAATGAAATAGGAGTTTTAAGCTTTACAGTTTAACTTTGGCTAGTAGAGGCACTCGCATCACAGCTGGGTTGTTTGCAGTGGTCAGCTGTACATGTAACTGCTCTAAAATGTTTCCAGAATTTGTAAAAACTAGTTTTTAGTTCATACGGTTTTGTCTGGCTTTACTAGATTTAGTTTAGATTTGTTGTTGAAGGATAAACAACATGAACGTTTAACTTAATGAGATACATTTCTTTGACTCGTGGTAATACAGAGAAGAAATGACAGTATATTGGGATCTTCATTTCAGTTAATAGGGAGTCAGGACAAAGTTTGATGATGGACGGTGTTCAGGTTCATCTACTAATAATCTTTGTCTGCGATTTGTTTGACATTTAACAAATGGATTGGTTTGTTATAAACGCCAGAGATGTAGTTATGTTTCTGCATGTTTACGGATAATTATAACCATGGACTTTCATATTAAATTAAAAAAGGAGATAGTAGAGCAATACCTGCCATAGCTGCACACATAGACACAAAGTGAAATTAAATTATCAGTGTTTTTGATATTAAACATTTAATAGTTAGATATTTTATAGTTCTATTTAATACATCTATTAAATATAAAGGGGTAAGTTGACCCACATGATTATTTAAACTTAAACTTAAAACTTAAACAAATAATGTATATATACGGATGAAAAATAATTTTATAAGACATTTCCCTTTTTCAAGTAGTCAATTATTTTCTTTGGGTTACTAAACAATATAAAACCAATTAAAGTTTGTTTTTCAGAACCTTTTAATATTTGCAATTATTAATATAATATTGAAAACTTCTCTTGAATGAGTGTATTTATCAAAAATGAAAGATCATTCTGCTAATTTGAGTAGCAAAGACCTAATAAAAATTATACCAAGCAGAACCAAGTTGTCCATAGTATATACAGTCTATGTGTGCACACTTTATTCATTAGAGGTAGTGACTGTAAAAAGGTTAAAATAATAATACTAATAATATTAGTATGAAGACCACCTCATTGGAAGAAAAGACTTACATTTTAGTCATAAATTTGATAAGAAAAACGTCATTATTTAAGGGTGAGTGTAAATTCTGTGTGTTATTTTAGGGCACAGATCAGAAGAGCCGCCATGCATCAAAACTAAAATAAGAGACAGATTATCCAATGAAGTTATAAGAGTCATAAAAACTTCACACTCAGTCTGAAAGCGTGTGAAGACGTCTGAATTAGTAGTGTCATAAATAAAGTTCATCCTGAAGAGGGTCATTCTGTTCCATCTGTTTATTTTCAGCTGCTGAGTTGAACTTCACAAGATGATCCAGATGATGAAGATGATGAGGATGATGTTATTAACATGTAGAACCATCTCCAGTGAGTAGGACATCTTTTACATGATAAACCTTCATTCTCTTTACTTTTATTTCCAAAATTTGTTTCTTAAATATTGTAAAATCAATCCTAACCTTTAAATCTGTAGTAACACAAGTTTCTTCACGCACCTTTACAACTTTAGTCTCATGAAATTTGACCTAATAGCCAAAGATTTACAGCTTTATGACCAAAATGTTAAAATTAATGACTTTCATATTATAAATGTAAAACTATTAAAATCACATTTTTCTCATTTCGTTTTGATTTTACCGCTCTCTTATATTTGCCGACTTTGTTCCTGCAAATTTGACTTTAATCTCGTCTCTATATCTCATAAACTAGACTTTTTCTCTTGATAAGTAATGATTTAAATTTAGTCCTGTTAATTTGTAATGTAATTTACAACTCTAATCATTTATATTTATGGTTTTAGCATCATATTTGATCTTGGTATTTGAATAGTTATAATTTACAACCTTATTTTTGTTACTTTATAACTTTATAGCTAAACAGTTTAACAAATTTATACACATAAATTTACAATTTTACTTTAGCTTAAATTTAGGGACTTATTCCACCTTTTCTCATCAGATTCTTCAAACGTGTCTGTATGGATTCATGACATCTTTGTTGGGTCAGACTCTCTCTCTGCAGACTTTCACTTCCTGTTAGGTATCACTGAGAGAAACTCATCACTCTATTTGTCACTAGAAAGAAAATTGAGTTGCACAAAGAGCAACATTTTCCTTCAAACTCCAGAAGCAGTTTGCCATGTATGAGCGCAGCATTTTTTGTTCATGTTTCTTTTTCAATACGACACCCTAAACTTCCCTCATCGCTTATTTGAAACTGTCAGATTTGGTTGCAGTTTTTCCCCAGATGTAATCTCAGAAGACTTCATTGAAAGAAATTATGTTTAATGTAGTTTGCTGATGTTTGAAGCCTCAGAAGTCCAGTTTTCAGGGATCCGTGAGAAGTTTAAATCACAATAACCCAGCTACATATGAAGATCAGAAAAAAACAGGTTTAATATATCAACCTACATCTACATGTTTTTGTTAAAAACTGAAGAAAAGTAGGTGCTGCAAGTCCTGATAAAACCACTAGATGACAGCAGAGCCAAACTAGAAAATCACTCGGAGAGCGCAGACCTCCGCCAAGCAGCTCATGTCCCCCTTATATTGTGATTCACAGCAAAACTTTTACTGTTACGTATCTTTTATTAACTTTTATTTGTGTTTAAACTGGTATGTTCACTGTTCATAATGTTCCTAAAACAACAAAGCTCATATTAGATACATAAATGCATGATTTATTATGCAATATTTGTAAGCGTACACTTCCTTGTATCTTCATTGGTTATCTTTCAGCATTGAAAATTCCAATGACACCCTTATTTTTGTGTGTTCTGGATCACAGTATCCGGAATTTTGTCTGGATCAGGATCAACCTTTGACACCTCATAAAACTCATTGAGATCCTTTTGTGTCATTTTTTACTAAAGACTCTGGACATTTTTATAGAGTTAATGCAAAAATTCCAAAATTTGCCCTATCTCACAATGATAAAGAATCCTTCAAAAAATTCCTGGATCCAGAAGGCGATCCGGATCACCACCAAAATGTAATGGGATCCTCCTGGGGCTGAGACGCATCTCTGGTGAAAATTTCAGGTCAATCCGTCTGTAACTTTCTCCGTAAAGTTGCTAACAAACAAACAAACCAACGCTACCGAAAACATAACCTCCATAACAGAAGACTTTTCTTCACTTCTGAGAGAACTTCCATCGTGTATTTGTCTAATTCTTGTGAAAATATCTCTTGACTCTTACACATCTTTGAAAGTGGCGGCTAATTCAAAGTTTCTTGACATAAATTTTGACATCTTAAGTCACAAATCAGATACGATTTGAATTTGAATTGATTGATAGTCTGAAAAAGTGACTGAAGATACAAAATCCCATGCCTAAGGGTGCAAGACCATTTTTAGAGTTGCCAAATATCATGATCTTTACAGTTTTACATCATGGCTATTTAAATGGGAAGACTTCAGACTTTGTTTTCTGCTACAAAAATAAGCACAAAGTTAATTTCTGGGATGTTTCTCAGTGAGAAGGTGCATTTACCTAAGGTGATCATTCAGTACGGTGGCCCCAGAGGTCAGTTGCATAAATATTTCAACCAAAAAAATTTTGATGAACCACAAAATTATTTCCCATCTTTTTGCAGCATGACATAATAATACAGTTGACCTCCATGGCCACTGTAGTTCACGCCTCTGTGGTCGACTCCAAACCTGCTGAAAAAGAAAACTGTAAAACTGTTTCATATTATTGCAAATTGAGAAAGTGATTCACAGTAAAAGAAAAACAGCTATGGTCTTCTTTTCTTTATTGTCCACTAGAGAGCGCTCTACATCCACTCTAAAACACAGGGCGGCCTCTGAAACCTTGAAAAGTTCAGTTGCTCCTGTTGGTGAACAAACTGAGTTCATCACCTGCAGATTGATGTTTTCACACCCCCACTGAGCATGTGCAGAACTATCTGAAGCTTTTGTATTTATCTGTATTTGTATTGGCGTTTGTGCGACAGGCTTTAAACTTAGTTAAACGTGTTTGTGTGACATAAGCTGGAGGAGTGAGTTTGATATTTTGGACGTTACATGGTTAATTGCTCCTGATCCAAATCTGGTTAGAAAGCTCTCAGATTTTCTGTCTCCTTCATCTGGAAAAATCTGCAGTCTGGTGTCAGATTGAAAATCGCACATCAACCTGAATGACTTTAAAATTTCGCTTTTAAAATCTTTGATTTAATTCAGGCTTTGTGTGGGATGTTTTTTCAATCCTTGAATGAGGTCAGTTTGATTTTTATAAAAACGTTGGACCTGGAAAAATGAAGGTTAAAGAAAAATATGAGACAGATTGATGCACAGCACATCTTTATTTGGTCTGGATTCAATTTCTGACTTTAATGCTCTTTTAATTCTGTCAAATACAATTAAAATTTCTTGTGATTTTCGCTCTTTTTTACACGATTCTGTTTTTAAGTTTCAATATGAGATGTAATCAGTTCATTAAGCCTATATCCCTTTGATTCTCCTCTTATAAGCCCCCCCAACAATCTTTTAATGTGTTTAAATAATTTCACTCATTTTAATCTCACTGCCTCACATCTTTTTTTTTCATCACTTTTTATTTCCAATAATGATATCTTATTTTTCAAAACTCTTTTTTATTGGCTTTTTTTCCTCTTTATTTACTATGATTCATGATTTAACTCCATTACTGCTAAAATAATCATCTATTTCATGACTTTATTTGCATTTCTTTTCATTGACTTCTGGTTTTGTTTGAACTTTCTCGTCTTTCCTCTGTCTCGCCTCACCTTTTTAAATCATGAGTCCCTGCCTTTATTCCATCAATCAAAGCACTTAGTTAATATTTGTTTCTGGAGGTGCTAAATGGAAAAATGTAGAACTATTTATAAGCAAAGTATTCATAGCATGAAGATGCGTTGAGATCAGTTGTAATGTTAATGTTCAGTTTTTAATTTTTAATGTGATATAGGATCTTGGAAGTTTGCTGAAGACTTTGCCGGTTTTTTTTTCTCGCTACAAACAAGTCCAATTTGATTTTTATTTCCTAATACCTAAAATTACACATTAATTTGGCTGAATGTGGCTCGCATGTTTTACATCCTTTTGGACCTTCAGGGCCACCATGTGCTGTATAAAGATAGGAACAGACTGTTACTTCGAATGTGGAGCCTTGGATTTGAAAAGCTTTAAATATCTCTGCTCTGACAAATATTCTCGGTTTATTGACTCCATACAAACCTGTTTGAGTTGCCTCTTATCAGAGTGATTTTGTCCAAGTATTCTCTCGCTGAAAAAAATCACATAATCTCATTTAATTTTTGGATTACACACTCAAATCCCATCCTGAGTCTTCTGAATTTGCTTTCTTTCTGTTTTGAGTCTTTCCATTGTTGCACTTTGAGGAAATTGCTGTAAAAAAATGAGTCATCTGCTGTTTAAAAAGATTGATATCTGGTTTTTGTTAGAGTCAAGTGCACTGGGGGAAATGTTGGGCTGAATTGATGTTGTTACCTGTTGAATATCAGCTGTAATCTTCAGAGCAGAGACCTAACAGTGTGTGTGTTCTTCTGTAGATGTTTGAATACAGGAAAGAAACCTGTTGAGAGCCCAAACAAGCAGATCTACTGTACGCTCAAATCAAACACGGCAGTACAGAGATGGTTTCAGAAATAAAAGCTGCAGACATAAGTGCGTGCGGTGTTCAGAAGCGCTTTCAGAGTGAGCACAGGACCGGTGGGATATGAGAGCCTTCCCATGGACTGAATTGCCTCAAAGTGCCAGGCTGCTATCAAAGCGCATTAATGTGATGGATATCCGGCGTTCTGCATTCATTCTCCATGCAGTGAATGTGGGAGCTGACAAACACAGCGCTGTAAGAGGGCCTGCAGCTCTGAGCAGCTCTCTACCTCTAAAGCAGAGACAAATATAGATGCGGCTCAAGAGCGTTTTATGTAAAACACAAACAGACGTTTTTCTTTTAACCCAATTTCTGTGATTTCCTCTGAGAGAGCAGCTCGGTGCTCTTCAGTCCATGTGATCGACAACAGGGGAGTGCTACTCGCCCTCAGGCAGGGAGGAAAGAGTTCATTTAACTTTATCTTATTCATTTATTTTGTTGCTTTATTTCCCGATAAAAGATGATTTTTTCTTGCGATCCCTGCTAGCTGATTTTGCCAAAAAGAAAAAAAAAAAAGGAAATTCTAAAATCTACCTGGCACATCTGGTGCATCTTCAACTCTTTCTGTTCTGTAGGAGGTCTCAGAGTGTCTTTTACCGCCAAATGAACATCTGCAAATTCAGTTATTTATACCAGAAAACGTTGGATTGGATCAGATTAGTTAAGCTGCAAAAGAAACATGTGGCTCAACTGTAAAAAGAAATCCGACCACAAACCAAAACAAGTGCTTCGTAAAATCGAACAAGACTGGACAACGCTCTTTAACATGTACAACAATTAAACATCATAGATTTGATTTAGAAATAACCCGAATTCAAATGTTTCTTAAAAAACAAAGCAAAGTGGGGAAATATGAAGACCAAGTTGGAATGAGGTGGAAGTTTTAGAAACAAAAATAGGCAGAAATGCATTACAGTAGAAGATAAGACATGTTAGAGACACTTCCACTAACTGGAGAGGTTTGCATGAGGTGAAATGAAGCGGTAATCGATACTGGCGCAGAAAAAGATGCAGGGTTAGAAATCTGAATGCAGCTCCGTGACATTTTTATCACTGAAGGTCCACATAATTCAACCCCGTTCCTCCAGTTAATGAGAGAAAACCTGTAAATTAGCATGAACTTCAAACTCCTTTCTGCTTCTCACCCTTCTAGAAAACCACTTTCCATGAATTTTCCAGACTTTACCTGAAGCATTCTCTCATTGGTCATGGTGTTTTTGTGCAGAAAATCATCTTCCATGAATTTTCCAGACTTTACCTGAAGCATTCTTGCATGGGTCATGGTGGTTTTGTGCAGAAAACCACTTTCCATGAATTTTCCAGACTTTACCTGAAGCATTCTTGCATGGGTCATGGTGGTTTTGTGCAGAAAACCACTTTTCCATGAATTTTTCAGACTTTACCTGATACATTCTCGCATTGGTCATGGTGCTTTTTGTGCAGAAAATCACCTTCCATGAATTTTCCAGACTTTACCTGAAGAATTCTCACATTGGTCATTGTGTTTTTGTGCAGAAAACCACTTTCCATGAATTTTCCAGACTTTACCTGAAGCATTCTTGCATTGGTCATGGTGATTTTGTGCAGAAAATTACCAAAAAGCTGGCTGGAAAAAGTGCAGGTCCACATTTAGTTTATTTGTGCAGCTCATTCCAAAAACTTTAAAGTGAGGAAACTCCCCATCTTGTTTACGCTCTTCCAAACACACCTGATACTGAAAAAAATTAGCTGTCACATTTGATGCTTCAGTCGATTTCAATCTCTGTTTTCAGCTTTTTCCAAAATCTATAAACGCAGCTCTTAACATGGACCGAGAGCTTGATAAGTGAGGGGTTAAAGGAGGTCTGGGCTCTGCAGGGCTTGGGTTAACTGCAGTGTCAAAGTGCCTTTTTGTCGTCTGAGGGGGTGGAAGGCAGCTGTTCCAAAGGGATGCTTCAAATCAGTGTTTTTAGGGAGGAAAAGTTGTTTTTGTAACCGAAGCTTTTAAGGCTCCGTCACCCTGAAAAAACAGACATGTGGTTGTATATGTTGCTGTTGTGCGATCAAAATGCATTCTGGGACTTAAAGCAGGCGCTAACCACAACAGAAAAGCCTCTCCAGCCATGTATCATAGCTGTCTCACAACAAGCCTCGCCTCAAAATAATTTCTTAATCCATTAATTGGCGTGGAGCGGCGTGCGGGGCAGGGCTTTTTGTTCAGTATGTTTTTCAGAGATGCATACTAATCATATAAAGTGATCCTTTGTACTCAGGTTGACAGCAGCGACGAGGGCTTTTAGACGACACACACACACACACACACACATACATATACACTCACACACATGCATAGAGGCATGTGTCTGGGAGCGCCGCTGGCAGAACGAGTGTATTATTTTCCCTGAAGAGTGTTATTTTCCTGTCAAGGCTTGATGGCAACGTGCCAACAGATGTGACAGCGAGCGATCATCCCTCCTTCATACAGTACAGGGAGAGAGAGGGAGAGAGAGAGGGGAGGGACAGATGAGGACGGAGACACTCTCTTAGTATCCATCCCTGCTTTTTCATGCAAATCGATCGTATATTGAATCTAAAAATATGATAAAATGTTTTTGGTGAAAATTTCAAAGTTTTTCCAAAAGTCTGAAGTTTGATGAAACAAATTCAGGCGTCATGTATAAATCTATTACTTCATGCACATTAAGATCGAATAGTCGTGGTAATTTTAGCCAGTAAGATGTTTTAAATAGAAAACATCATGTTATGCAGGCCTTCATATCATATTCCACCAACTTATTAATTGGACTGTCTCTCTGTCAAACTATCCGAGTGATCCGTCTCAGTGCATTAGGTGTGTTGGTCTTTGCTTTGATATCATATTTGTCTACTAAGGTGTGCAGCAGGGCTCTGTATTAGGTCCGCTTTTGTTTACTATTTATGCAAATTAACTGGGACGAAATGTATTAGATGTAAGATATCTTCTCTGAACTCTTGCAGGATGTGTTTGATATTCAGATTTAACTACTGAAAAACTGCAAACCGAATACTGCATTTACTCCTATTTTAGTGACCCTTCACTGGCTCCCAATCCGCTTCCACATTGATTTTAAAATTCTTTTAATCGGTTTTAAAGCCCTCCCTGGTCTTGCCTCTCCTTACCTGTCCGAGCTCCTGTATCACCACTCTGGCCAGCTACTGTTGAGCTCAAGTCTAGAGGTCACAGGGCCTTTCCAGCGGTCGCCCCAAGACTGTGGAACAGTTAACCTGCTGCCATATTAAAGCCCCTCAGACCTTAGGGTCTTTTAAAGCATCTTTAAAGACCCACATTTTCTCCCCTGCTTTTAATAAATGAGCACACAGGAATCAGAGACACTGTAGCGTTTATTCTTTTACTGTCTGTATTTTATTCTATTGTTTTTAATTTTATTACCTTCGCCGCCAAGGAGGTTATGTTTTCGGTAGCGCTGGTTTGTTTGTTTGTTTGTCTGTGAGCAACTTTATGGAGAAAGCAACAGACGGATTGACCTGAAATTTTCACCAGAGGTGCGTCTCAGCCCCAGGAGGATCCCATTACATTTTGGTGGTGATCCAGACAAAATTCTGGATACTGTGATCCAGAACACACAAAAATAAGGGTGTGGTTGGAATTTTCAATGCTGAAAGATAACCAATGGGCGGCACAGTGGTGTAGTGGTTAGCACTGTCACCTCACAGCAAGAAGGTCCTGGGTTTGAATCCGGGTCAGGGCATTTCTTGTTTTAGGAACATTATGAACAGTGAACATACCAGTTTAAACACAAATAAAAGTTAATAAAAGACACGTAACAGTAAAAGTTTTGGTGTGAATCACAATATAAGGGGGGACATGAGCTGCTTGGTGGAGGTCTGCGCTCTCCGAGTGATTTTCTAGTTTTTATTGATATCTATTTATTTACTTCTTTTATTTATCCCATGTACAGCACTTTGTTTGACTGCTGTCTTTTTAAGGTCCTTTATAAATAAATTTTGACTTGACTTTACTGTTGTAAATGCAGAGAAAACCTGGCTCATGTTGTTTTCAAAGGCATGTTATAAAATGTGCCTGTGGTCATCACTGCTACTGGAGGAGAACTAGAGGTTGTAAACACTTAAATATACCTGGCATTGTGAAAGAGGACTTAAATGAGGTGCAAATTGAAACAAGTTGTGTTCTCATTGTTGCTCTGTTATTTTTCAACGTACTGGATTATGGTGATCTCTGGGATACAGCTTACAATGCATCCCTAGTTACCGTTTCTTATGTGCCACTCTTGGCAGAGTGAGTTAGGATATGCCATGTTTCATTGCTCAGGAAGTGAACCCCTGAAAATGGTCTAGTGTCTTATTGCAGGCAGTGGACGCTTTATGCACAGGGGTCAGTTTGCTTCATGCTTTACTGAAGTTTTCTTCTGCACGGGTCATTGCAAAAGTAAGAACTCGCAGCTATTAAGTTGCTGCATGAGTCATGTGCGGAAAATTTTGCATTGCTTTATGTGGAGTATTCATATCTAAAAAAAATATTGATGTCCGAAAAAAACGCTCTCTGTGTGTAAGGACCTTAAATCTGTATTCCTCTCTGAGTGATCCGATCTCCTGAGCCAGCACACAGCGCTGCACAGATCAGCGCTGCTATTCAGAGCTACCTGATAAATAACAGCCTCTGCAGATCAGATGATAGTGTGTGTGTAATGGCACTGTTCTCTTTTGTAAAGTCTGAAAGTAAACTGATTCTCTCTGTTATCTCTCTCTCTTTACCTCCGTCTCTCCCTCTGTGCATCTTCATTTACTTCTCCTCTGACTGAAAAACAAAGAAAAAGCAAAACAAAGCAGCAGAAGACAAAAGGGAGAGAAAGAGGAGCGTGTCATTACGGGTTTTGTTTCTACAACGGCACAATACCCTGACCACCCTCAAACGATGGAGAGAGAGAGATCCTCTGCATGCAGTCGAGTCGCAGAGAGAGAGAGAGGGAGAGAGAGCGAGAGAGAGAGAGAGAGAGAGAGAGAAAAGGGAAAGGCAGTTTAATTTAGATAATTATCTCACAAATTAACCACAAACTCCTTCCCTCTTAATTACCTGTCTTAGGGAGCGGTGCAGGAAAACAAAAAGCCGAGCCGTGGAGGTCTTTGTTCAGGTCTTCTTGGGGGGTGTAAATTGGTGGCTCCCCTGCTGAAAGGCCAGATAAACCTTGGAGGGGACGACCATTAAAGCATTTGATAGGCTAATGGGGAATACTGTTAGCATCCGCGTTTGTAATTGGACGTCATAAATCTGGAACAGGTGATGGGGGAACAAAAGAGGGGTTTTGTGTGGGTGTCGAGGCCACGGCATGACTTGTAAATCCTTTCCCGGTTGAATGGTGCTATCTGATGGTCCACGGATCTCCAGCATTGATTCCTGTGAGTGTGTGGAGCATTTATACGTCCTCAGAAACACAAGCAAATGTTCGTATGATCGGGGCTAATAAAAGGCGCCGGTCTTATCTGGCTGTCTGCTGGAGTTGATTCTGTCAGTAGCGATTAACCTTTCCCTGACTGTGATGGCTCACCTGATCAGTTTCAACTCTTGAAACAACTGGAAACCAAAGATACAGAAGCTTTAAGCTGTTTGACACAAGGTGACATTTGCACTTACATTGATGTGCAAGAAAATGTAATGGGGTTGAATCGTTGACTTGCTGTGACTCTCCTTTGTAACTGAAACAATCCTGTGTTCAAAACTCAGAACTAAGTATTTTCAGTTTTTTTCATTTCTGTCCTGATTTCGAGATTGTGTCACTTTGACTACAAGTCGTAGCCTCAGCTTGCTTCTGGTCATCATTTTGGACAACAGCAGTACAAACTATCAGGCAGGAGGAGAGAGGAAAGCAGGGAGAGGAGCAGGAGGAGGCAGGTGTGTGTATGTGTGTGTCTGAAAAGTCAAGGGACAGAATGAGCTCAGCGAGAGAGGGGCTGTTGTGACCGTGAGTTCAAATCAGCTTCTGGTTTAAAAATAAGGAGATATGATTAGATATAGGGCCGGGCGATATGGGAAAAAGTTCATCAAGTTATATTTTTTTCATATCAGTCATTTCATATCAGTCATTTCATATCGATACATATCACGATTTAAGTAAAAATCACATATCAATCTTAAATTTTCCTTGTTACTCTTAAATGAAATTTCACAATGTTTATTGGTAGCTTGTCTTTTGCAATACGATAAGCTACTGCATCTTTGAGGTCTTTGTGTCTCTTCGATGTTTTGTCGTGAGACATTGCGCTAGAGAAAGCGGACTGAATGATCAGCTGTTTTGGCTGCACAGGCGCCATGGGGGTTTGTAACCTTTTGCATTGTGCATGCTCTGCCACACTGCTTCAGGTGGTGAAAAAGATCTGAGGTTTTCCCCGACTTTGTGAGAACATGTACTCGACATAATTTACAGTGCTCATTACTCTGCATCATGTCCAACCTCAAAAAACCAAAGTACCTCCACACCACCGACGTTTTCATGCCAGTGTTGTCGATGATGTCGTCATCTCTTGAGCCTTCATCTGCATTTCTGTCGGGGGTAGCACTCATTTCCTTGTTTCTCACTAACAGTGTTGTCGGCTTCACATGCTATAGTTGCGTATATCTGCAATTTGCTACTACGCAGTTGTTTGCTACTTGGTTCAAATTCAGCACATGATTGGTTCAGTGTGAAGCGGACCTGGAGCAACTCCCCTTTTCATTGGCTATTCGTATAGTCTACCAAAGCAGAATGCAGACAATTGAAAAGGATATTGACCATGTTTTATATCAATATTGAGGGAAATTAATTTTCAATACTGTTATCATTTTATTGCCCAGCCCTAATTAGACATAAATTATCATTCATAACTCTTAAAGCCCAAGTCTTGAAGCTTTGAAGGAGGTTCTATCAAAAGACGCACCTCTGGTGAAAATTTCAGGTCAATCCATCTGTAACTTTCTCCGTAAAGTTGTTCACAGACAAACAAACAAACAAACAAACAAACCAACGCTACCAAAAACATAACCTCCTTGGCGGAGGTAAAAACATACTTTAAGTGAAATCTGACTGACAAACATGGTAAACAAAAAAAGCTAGGCTAAACACATTATTATGATATTGCCTGTTTCATTCCTCTCTGTTTTCTATATAGATATAGATATAGTCTGTATAATTGTACAGATATCAAGTGTGTACTGTTGTTTGTTTAGTGCAGGCCTCATGATGGTTAATTTTGTCCTGGATTTTTTTCTTGGTCAGTGTGGAGAGTGAAGTTCGGTGATGTTAAAGCACAAACAGCCCACAGAGTTTTCACTGAAATCATTTAACTTCATGATTTTTTACTCTCATGTGGACACTGAATCAAAACAAGCAAACTTAAACATTTAAAGCTCATATGACAACACTGTTAGTGCAAATCTGCAGCCCTTTTCTCCACACCAGGTGTGAGAGCATAAGAGCGCACACACACACGCACACACACACACTGAGTCCTGATACTTCACACACACCCTCGGAGCTGCACCAATATTTGTGTTTGGCTTCTGTCACGTATTTGTCCGAGTCCTCGTCTCTGCTCTCCACATCCAACCGCCAGCAGGTGTGAACAACTCTTCTGCTGAGAGGGACGCACTCTGCTGCTCTCTCCTGTCACGCACACACACACTGTGAGGGCGGGGGAGGAGGGGGGGAGGGCAGGGGAGAGATCAATAGTAGTGAGTGTGGAGTTTGGATAATTACAGTTGTTAGCAGGCAGAGGAGAGCAGCTATAGTGGCCTCTCCACTCACACTCTCTTATCACTCTCTGGCCTGTCATTACAGCTTTAAATGCTGCTCAGTGTGTGTGTGTGTGTGTGTGTGTGTGTGTGTGTGTGTGTGTGTGTGTGTGTGTGTGTGTGTGTGTGTGTGTGTGTGTGTGTGTGTGTGTGTGTGTGTGTGAGAGAGAGATTTTCACTACTCTTCTCTCTACACTTCTCTCATTTCTCCTCTGCTTGTTTCTTTTTTATTTTTTTAGATAAAGTATTTCCTCTCCTTCCTCTTCAGTCTTCTCCTAAACTCTCTCCCCTCACTTCCATGTCTTCTCTGTGTTCATCTGTTTACAAATATTACATCAAAAATCATTTTCTAGGTATAAGTCTGAGAAGTGTTTTGACATCGGTTTGTAGTATATTTGTAGTCTGAGGAGTTTTGACCAATTAGGATTCAGCAGGATTTAGTATTTTAAGGAAAATCTTGATCACAACATCACAACAAAGTTTTTTTTTTAAATTTAATTCCGCTTGAGTGATACCTTAGTATAACTTAATATTTACAGGAAAACTGAGACTCCCAAAAAGAAATAAATGGATATAAATCACAAATCAATCACAACAAATCAGATTCTTTAACAGATAAATGTCTCTGAAATGATTCAGAGGGAAGCCTCTTTATGATTTACTAATTACAGTAAAACTGAGACCCCTTAAATCATTGGAGGGATGGATAATATTGATTAGTAATAGTGTAGAGCAAAGCCCATGGATTACTTTCTACTTAAAATGATGATACTTTTTCCTCCGTGCACTGTGAATGTTTACATGTTGTGTTCAATAAAAAAATGAAAACATATAATTTCTGTGCAGTATTAGTTTAAGCAGAATGTGTTTGTCTATTGTTGTGACTTAGATGAAGATCAGAACACATTTTTTGCCCAATTAATGCAGAAAGCAAAGTAGTCTTAAAGGGTTCACATACTTTTTCTTGTAACTGTATAACATCCCTGCCTCAGATTTGACCTTGTAGAAAGACAAGCTCTCAGAACAGAGTCATACCACTAAATCTAACTTGTCATGTGCAAATAATAACCCACTGTGACTGAACTGACAACATTTCTTTGTTACTTTTTATCTCTCTAAACTTTTTTTCCATCTCCTTTTAACACCTCTTACGTATCTTTGTCTCTTCTTTCACCTTTCTCCTTTCTTTCACAGCTTCTTTTGTCCTTGTCTTTCTTTCCCTCTTTTTTTCTCATCTTTTTTTATTATATCCTCCATTCTCTCCCTGTCCTCACCCTTTTTCTCTGTCTTCCCCTCCTTTATGCCCTCTCTACCCTCCAGTAATCTTTCTACATCTCTTTTTCCTCTTGCCTCTCCTCTCCTCTCCTCTCAGTGAATCACCTCCTTGTTGTTTGCTCGTCCTCCAAGAACCTCTCTCACCTCCGCCCTGTTGAAACTTATTTCTTCTGTCCTCTTCTCTTTTATTTCCTTTCATACAGCAGAATTTTCAAACTTTGCTTCAGTAAATAAAAAGCTCTCTGCCAAGCTCAGACAGTCCTTGGCAGGTTTTAAAGGTGTACACTTGAGTATGAACCTGCTTGATCCCTCTGAGGAGGCTGAGGGTCTCTGTTCAAGTTTCCTGAGAAGAAAAAAGAAAAGATCTTACAGGAGAGTTAGCTTTATTGGTTTGTGGTAGAGCTTTTTGTCTAACTCATCAACAGCTTCCTAGGTCTTGTGACACTTCCAAGTGTCAAATCATCGACATACATTCTTCGTGTACTTAATTTTAAAGAGAACTGAGCATAGAGCATCAAATTTGGTCGACCACTCTTTGTTTCACACTTTTAGATTTCATGAATATAAAGCTATATAAAAAGTAACACCTACAAGTAGGGCTGGCCAATATCGATATAAAACATGGTCAATATACTTTTTGATAGTCGGCATACTGCCATGTTTTGGTAGACTATATGAATAGCCAATGAAAAGGGGAGTTGCTCCGGGTCCACGCCGTGCTGAACCAATCATGTGCTGAATTAGAACCAAGTAGCAAACAACTGCGTAGTAGCAGGCAGCAGCTACACGCAACCACAGCAATTCTTTTATTTCATTTTTTTTTACTATTATTATTATTTTTTTTATCTAACAACAAAATAGAGTGACAACAAAAACAACAACAAAAAATTTAAAAAAATACTTTTGTGAGGGAGGGGAGGGGAAAGGAATATATGTATAATAGAAAATAAAAAGATTAAATTAAATTAAAAATTAAAAAAAAGATCTTAATTGGATTGCATTGAAATATATATAATAATAATAACTATATATATATATATATATATACATACACACATTATTATGTGTTATTATTGTTGTCGTCATCATTGTCATTTGTTTATTGTTATTATTATTATTGCAGGTATTACTATTGTTGTTATTATTGATGCTTTTGCCGTTGTTGTATCGTCGCTGTTGTGCCGGTGATTCGGGGGGATTGTGTGCGTGTGTGTGTGTGTGTGTGTGTGTGTGGGGGTATGTGTATATATATATATATATATATGCAACCATAGCACTTTAACAGGTGAAGCCGACAGCACTGTAGGTGAGAAAAAAAGAAAATGAGTGCTACCCCCAGCAGAAATGCAGATGAAGGCTCAACAGATGATGATATCAAAGACAAAACTGGCAGGAAAAGGTCGGTGGTGTGGAGGTATTTTGGTTTTTTGAGGTCGGAAATGAAGCAGAGTAATGTGCACTGCAAATTATGTCGAGTACATGTTCTCACAAAGTCGGGGAATACCTCAAATCTTTTTCATCACATCAAGCAGCGCCACGCGGCAGAGCACGAACAGCGTTGTTTTCGTCAACGTCATCGTCAACGAAAAAAACACTGCAGAATATATGTTTGGTGTTTGACTGACGAAATGCTCATGAATTTAGCAACTCTGTTCGTCGTCCACCACTAACATTTTCATCTAGTCTCGTCTCATCAACGTAAACACACATTCTTCTTGTCACATTTTAGTCATCTAAGACTTATGTTTAGCTCGTCAACGTCACGTCGTTGAAGAGACACAAAGACCTCACAGATGCAGTAGATTATTGTATTGCAAAAGACATGATACCAATAAGCACTGTTAAATTTCATTTAAGAGTAACAGGGAACTTTTAAGATTGATGTGTGATTTTTTTATATCGTGATATGTATCGATATGAAAAAATATATTGTGATAATTTTTTTTCCATATTGCCCAGCCCTACCCACAAGCTGTGCCTACATTTATATATCAGTCAGTCAGAGTAGGACACCAATATGAGATAGATAAGAAGTTTTTGGAGCTGCTCATCATGCTAAGCTACTCTGCAAGAGTCCCAGAATGAAAGATGAAAAAAGGAATAACGGGTCTTCTTCAAGTGTTGTTATTTCTCGGTGAAGTTTGGAAGAAGTAAGAGTTCAATGACAGGTTTTAAAAAATACAGTAGATGTCAGATAAAGCTGTCGGATCACGGTCGAGGATTCTGATGTGGAGACGATATTGTTACGTACGGGGATTTGAAGTTTGTTTGAGAATCATGCCACATGAGGGGAAAGACATTTGTGGGGGAAGGTTGAATGAAAGTGAACTCATTTGTTGCTGTTTAGCTAATTTGCTGTTTTGTCTCTCTCCTAGTTTAATTTAAATTGAAGATTGTTCAGTTTGGTTGACTGTGACCCCACATTTCTGCCTTTTTTCCTGATCATGGGTCCTTGTTATGCTATTTTAGTTTTTTTCTTGAACTCCTATTTTTTGTATCTCTTCCTCAGTTAGTCTTTCTCTTTCATCTCTCTCCTTTCTCATCTCTCTTCCATCATCAATAATCTCGTCTTCGTCGTCTTATTTTGCTGTCTCTCCTCTCCTCACATCCTCTCATCTCCACTCATACACTAATTTCTCTTTATCTCCTATCTCCTTTTCTGCCTCTCCTCTCCATTCTTTGTTTCCTCCTTCCCTCCTTTTTTTTGACACCGGCATCTCTGCCAAGAAGAGGATTTTACTCCGTCAGATCCACGCTCTAATTTCTCTCTGAGAGGTTTTCACTGTCCAGCCAGACGGGATTTTCTTAGTTGTTGAGTCTTAACATGCAACACTGAAATAGGCCTGGAGAAACTGGAGTTAAATCCCCTTCAGATCACTGCACACTCGCACAAACACACACAGACACACAGTTAGTGTTTTGTTGATTTGCACTGATGTAGAGGATTCTTGTCAGACATAAGAAGGAGATGAGAATGATGGAGAGAAGGATTAGATGAGCGAAAAACAACAGCGGTTTGTCCCCTGCGGGCTGTTTGCTCTGATTTAGATGGCGCAGGATTAGCTGAGGATGAGGAGATCAGGGTGCCGTGTGACTCAGTGTGTGTTTGTGTGTGTGTGTGAGGAGAAGTGGGCTGCTGATACGTCGACGCTCGAGGCGAAGCTGTCAGATATTCGACCAATTTTCTTGTTGCGATCCGTAGGTGGTGCAACATATACCATGAAGGTTGCACAAACACTCTTACACACTCTTACACACACACCATATCCAGCGCCTCGAAACACAAGTGAAGTTTTAAAAATTTAACTCCACTGAAATTTTAAGTTCTTGTCTTCCTTTCACTACGAAAAACTCAAATCTTAGTCTGTGGTTTTGTCTTATTTCGAACAAAAAGTGTCTGTTTGGCTTAATTTGAGCCACATTCACCTGACGAGTCCCTGACAAGTCCATAAAATGATACGTAATAAGGTAACCTTTAAAGAAATTGTTGTAAAGTCTATTAACTGCTGTTTAAATTAGGTCTATCACTGTAGGGCTCTTTACTGTAATGTTTTCAGGGACTCAAAATTATAATCAGAGCTGGAAAAGCCTTATGTGACTGCACTTTGAAGCAACCCCCAAACTTTTTGAACTTGTTCAACATTTAGACACAAAAATGTAAAAACTTGATGGTAGTAAACCTGCAGATGATGTGAAAACCATGTGAATCTGGTCTTATGAAACAGACTGTCAGCTGTCTCTCAAACCTTGTGTGTGTGTGTGTGTGTGTGTGTGTGTGTGTGTGTGTGTGTGTGTGTGTGTGTGTGTGTGTGTGTGTGTGTGTGAGAGGAGTATCACAATGAGACAGGAAATCACTGCAAGGATAAAATTCTCTCCCTCTCTCCTCTCATAGAAAAACACTCACAAATAACCGGCTAATCTCTGCCTCTGCCCGCGTGCCATTCAAGGCTCCCTCCAATTAAAAAGCATGGGGGACTCGAACCCGCCATCTTATTTATCATATTAATTAGAAAGTCCCCCCGACAACAAAGAGAGGCGTACAGCTGTGTGGCAGCGGAGAGGCCTGGGAAATGAAGGCTGGTTTGATTTGTTGTCTTGCTAATGTGACACCTATTATACAGGTTAGGCCTCAGATACAGCAGCAGATGGTGATTCAGAGTCTGTGCTAAATACAGCAGCTTCAAAGAGCTGCTCTGAGGAGGGGTTGTATTTAGTATATTACAAATTAATGTATTTCATATCAGTAACTCATCGGTCATGAAGCCTTGGTCCCCATCAATCATCACCCTCCCTCTGAATGATGCTGTTCTTCAGGTCTGACGCTGTAACTGCAAAAATGAATAACCATGAAAAGCCAACTGTGGAGCGTGGTAGGCTGCTGTTATAACCTCATCTTATTCCACATTATGTTGGGACAGAAACATAGCGACTACTCTGGTGCTTTACTTTTATGGGAACATTTCAGCCTTCCTCAGGTGAACTGCCTCAGCTTTAAAAACCTCGAGTGATTGGGGGTTCAGACTTGTTGTTATCTTTGTAATATTTGTGCACTTTGTTCTCCGACACGTAAACAGCCGGTCAGCCATGTTGGATATACCGGTGAATCTGACGTCGCAACAACATGAAAAATGTTTGGTCAGAAGTGGACACACAGTATGCGAAACTTCAGAAAATTCAACCGTGATCTGAAAAAATAAAAGGCCGCAATATCGCAGGACGGGAAAACGTCGCTGATGTAAACGCTTGTATTGACAGGATACAGGTTTGAAAAAAATATTGACGTCCGAAATAATCGCACGAAAAAAACTCCTTTTTTCCTCTAGTAGAAGATGTCTCAGGATCATGAGGACATTAATGTTCAAGTTTTACATTTTTTCATTCCTATTACAGGGAGATGTTTGTGTGTGCAACACTTTATTTTTGCTAGTTACACCAGTTTAACATTGACAGGAGTCTCAGGACATCATCTGTCTGATGTCATGTCCTGAGGCCCCTCCCATCTGAGTGAGATTTGTGAACACGCAAATCTATGAAGTTGTAGAAGAAGAGCTCCTGAAAATCTTAAGATATCTTCACAAGAGCATGCGAGAAAAAGCCTGAATTCTGAAGCTGGTGGTCTGACTGTAAAGATGACTCATACATTTAAAAAATCTTAGCATGACGTCCCTCACTGCTAACTGTGTAAAACAAATAGTTTTTCAGTTCAGAAACCTCTCTGATGTGTTGAGTTTGCTAAAGATGCTAAAAGAGAGAAAGAGAGAGAGGGAGAAAGAGAGAGACGGAGGAGGTGAAGAGCTTTAAGAGTGATAGAGAGAGAGAGCGGTGGGGTGTGGAAGTGGGGGTGACGTGCTCTGTAATCATGGGTCTATTAGTCTGCTCTCTTTATGACTGATGGAGCTGGAGCGCTGCCTTATGGAAGATAGTCGCTCAGCATATTTAACAGCTGACAGGTGTGTGTTTGTGTGTGTGTGTGGGCATGTATGCTTGTGTGTGTGTTGTTTATGGATCTCAGTATTATGAGCTTTGTTTCTGTGTGTGCTGAAAAGTAGAGTATGGTCTAGTTTGATTTGACAGACTTACTTCAGTCCAGTTCATTAGAACCTCTGATCACTTCTTACCTTTTGTAATATCTGTCATTAGCTGTCATTGCCTCTTTAAATGAAGCTGTCATGTATTTTATTACTGATAAGTGCCTGTGAAGTGAGTTTTTTGGTATTAATAAGACAGATTAAAATTAATGTCTTTGTCTTTTTATGATAAACAAAAGCAAGCAAGAACACAGCTGACAAGAGTGGTGATTGTGAATAATAGACCTTTTTCACAGTACGCGGAAGTTAGCGTTCTGCTCACTTCCGGTATTAGCGTGTGGTGGAGCCACTTAGCATCGCCCATAGACGGCCATTCATTTTTCACGATATTAACAAGCTCACGACTCGTTTTTTTGAATGTAAAATTTTATGCTTTGTGCTGTTTAACTAACTCGTGTTCTTCATAATACTGTCCGGATTTTGTAATTTACTTTTCGGGAATTATGATTAATAGGTCTGGAAATTTTCTGATGATGGTAACCATTGCTCTTCAGTAATGACCTATTATTCCCGAAAAGTAAAGTACAAAATCCGGACAGTATTATGAAGAACAGGAGTTAGTAAAACAGCACTAAGCATAAAATTTTACTTTACCTTTCACAAAAACGAGTCGCGAGCTTGTTAATATCGTGAAAAATGAATGGCCGTCTACGGGCGATGCTAAGCGGCTCCGCCACACGCTAACACCGGAAGTGAGCAGAATGCTTACTTCCGCGTACTGTGATAAAGGTCTATTGTTTGGATGTTTAAATAGATCTCACTTGGATGGTTGACATTGGACTGAGGTACAAGGACTGTTTCAGGATTTAAAATGTTGTTGCTTTTGTCAGCTATTAATAGATGGAAGATGCACAGAGATTCATAACCCATAGATAACTGGCTGAGTAAAAAAGTAACTTGAAATTTTCTAAATGACATGCTTAAACCTTTGGCTTGCAGTGGTGCTGAGGACTATTGCTCAGTAATGACAGACTCCTGTGTCAAATAGTCTGAAATTGGTCTTACTTGTTAAAGGGACTCTTTGCCAAATTCATTTGCCTTTTACGCTGTCAGTTTCTTTTAAACCAAGAATAAGAGTGTCCTTTGAGCTTGGCCTCTCATAAGTGAGCAGAAAAAACTGAAGGATATGCAGAGCGACACTGTCCATGGTGCTGAAAGTGAAGCTGCTGCTTTCAGCTGTCCATGGTGCTGAAACAGATGAGTACACTGTGTAGATCTCCATTTATCACAGAACCTGTGGCTATATTCAAAGTGAAACCGAATCTTATCTACGCATTTTATTTCTGAAAATATCGCAAAAATCGGTGCGTTTTGGTCGATTACCAATGAGCCTCAAATGCGCAAAAACTGTCTGATTTAATCGGCTAGCTGATAAATCGGTTGGGCCCTTATGTTCACAAAGCTTTTTAATGCAGCTCTAGTTTCTTATAGGGGAAGAAATTAGAGATGCAACAATTCATTTGTTTGCTTTATCTGGCCAAAGAAACACTTAAGAGTTTTTTTCCTAGTTCAGACCACATCATTGCAAAGATATCTTGCAGGGAAAACACAAGAGACGTAAACACCGCAGTTTATTAATAAATGCTTTTAGACTTCTACTTTTCAGTTTTATCTGAAGGCATGTGTGTCAGTGTCAGCAGTGAGCAGGAAGAGGAGGCAGGAAAACAGAGATAAACAGAGAGGACGAAAGTGATGAAAGATGAAGAGAAGGACACTGAGGAGTGAAACAGATGATGATAAATGAGTGGAGGAGATCTCAGCGTTAAAACAAGCCTCTCACTCTGTCTCCTCATAAAGTGTTTGTCTCTCCAGCCAAAAGCTGTTTAGATTTGATGGACACTGTGAAGAGTGTGTGTGTGTGTGTGTGTGTGTGTGTGTGTGTGTGTGTGTGTGTGTGTGAGAGAGAGAGTGTGTGTGTCAGTCCAGCCATCTGGTAACCAGGGCATTGTTTACTCTGTCACTGCTCAATATTTACCCATCCATCTCTCGTCCCACTGCAAACCACAAGTGTGTGTGTTCACAGTGAACTCAGGGTGTGTTTTTTTGTGGGTTAAACACTATTTAAATAAAGCTGTTCATGTTTAAACAAATTTCATTCTAACTTGTAGATTAACTTTTCCATATTTTTTTGTATTTTCCTATATTGGTAATAAGCTTTTGGACCGACAGCCTAATTACTGTTTGAGTTCAGGTAAAGTTATGAACAGGCGGATGAAAATGTAATCAGTTTGGTCTCTTGTGTAGAATTCCTGACATCCACATATTGATGTAAATTTAAAAATTTTAAAAACTCAGGCACCAAATTCACTTGATGATGTGACACAAAACCAATCAGTGTGAGATTTTCTGACTTTATGAATCTTCAAACTTCTTCCAAAAAGCTTTTTTTAACTGTATGCAAACATAATTACAGGCTAACATGCAAAAGCAGTTTTTTTATTTGCATTCCTGACAATTTCCAAAATTGTTTCAGACTTTTCAGCCCTTAATTTGAATTCGTCTTAGTTTGTGCATCCATCAGCAATTAATACTGTTTTTCTTGGCCCTCTGTCCCCTCAGATTGTATCTTAAAGGTGGGGTAGGCAGGATCTGAGGAAGTGCCAGTCCCTCTCTGCTCCAACAAGCCCCGCCCACAAACAGAAGCTCGCGCTCGTCCGTATTGTTCCAATTAAATTCAAATATATTGCAGATAAATACTTCAGATAATTACAAATGGGGCCCAGTCAAGGTGAAAGTCAAAAGCATTGGTGCTACTGTAGATGCCAACAGACTACCAGCAAACACAATGTTTGCAGGACTTCTATAACGAGGATAAAGTGACATAGTCCAGGACCCGAGGTCAACAGTTTAGCGATGGCGCTACAACACGCTACAGCAGGTCGGTTTGACAAGAAACACTTCTGTTACAGACACTTGTCTTACTTTGTTAAAGCGGTTTACCTGTCCAGCAGAAAGGTTACAGGGTCACCAAGATCCCCAAGCGTCCCCCATCATTGTTGACCCGGCTTTTTAGCTCTTGTCCGGTCTACCTCCGTTTTAATCGCCTTATTCCTCCAGAGTCTCCGGTATTTACTTTGTATTCTTGCTTGTGTCGGCAGTCGTGGCCAAAGGAGGATTCAGACCATTTTCCGAACTTTCTGGTTGGTTTCTACTGTCCGATATTGTCGCACGCTAACTTTGTTTGGGCTCCTGAACGACACGGGGGGCAGCGTCTGCCTCACAACCAACCAAACCAAATTTTATAATGTTGACTACACAGACACAACAAAACACAGCGATATCGTAATATTACCAAATGTCATCAATAACAAATAGCTATTGACTGATATCAAAAGCTTTTTTGTATAAACACCACAAAAAAAGATGCTTCTTTAACCCCACCTTTAATCCAGCGTAGTGTCACTCAAAGATCATTCAAACTTTCCTTCATAGCTTCTTTTATACAATAACTCAGGGCCATGAATTAGAGCCTGAACCATTACTGACATTCGACACCCTTCACATATCAGATGTGTTGTGGAAAAAACTATCATGGTGAAGTGGAATGACCCATCTCAAGCAAACCTAGAAGAGGTGACAGGCATTTCTGGTGTACTCTATCTGTAATTCTTTGTTTGGCCGCTGCAGAAAAGGATGCATGATGGCTCTGCTTTCTACTTCCACAAACATGTCAACATGGAGATTCTTACTCTTGAGATGCTTTCACTGTGCTGCAGCAGACTAAATGCTCAGCTTTGTCAAACAGAGAGCAGAGCACTTATCAGAGGCGGAGATATCTCTGCAGCCACAGATCGCCATCTCTGTTTCACTCTCCCTCCATCTACGTCTACTTTCTCGCTCTCTCATCTCAACCTGTTGTTGTTCTTCTCTATGTCCTCTCCCTCCATCCCCCTCGTCTCTGATCTTCTGCTGCCGTCTAAGCTTCAAAGGTGGTGAAGAGGTTTGCCATCTCATCTTCCTCGCCACAGAACCCTTCATCTTCTTCAAACAGCAGAGTGCAAAGGCTAACGGAGGGTTTCAGACATCCTCTATTCTGTTGCTCTGTGTCTCTCTGCAGAGACACTTTGACAGAAATGCTCTCTGGGTGAAGACAGGGCTGATCTTCAAATTGACCTCAGACCCTCTCACTCTGATCCAGTTTATATTTTATAATTCACGTTGTTTCTGCTAGTTTGGTTTCAGCGATAGTTTCCTGAAAATGACAGTCTGCCACCTGGTACCACAGTATTAGAGCATGGTGGACAACTGTTTTACCGTGGTCGTGACGTCCTGTGAGAACTTTTCTGCTCACAGCCAAATTGAAGAAAATAAAAAGAAGAAAACCATCTGAGGGTAGATGTAAATTTGGCACCGAATAGATCCCAGTGAAACACAACAATTTAAAGGGAAGTTACTGTTAAGTTATCAAGTTGGAGGAACTCACATTGGTTTTAAAAAATTCCAGTTCCAAAAAAAAGTGAACGTTTATACTAGGGCCAGACCAATATGGATTTTTTTGGGGGCCGATACCGATTATTAGGGGGGAAAAAATCAGATTACCAATTAATCGGCCGATTTTTTCAATTTAAAAGTTATAGTATATATATATATATATATATATTGTAGATATCAACAGTATACTTTATACCGTAGATGTACTGTAGGCTACTGCTCTTCACGCCGACAGGAAGACCGACTGATCAAACTGATCAAATAGCTCAGTCACTAATGTGTACTGTTGTTTATTCTACCGTCACTGGCACGGCTAACAGTGTAGCAAGGCTAATAGCAGGTGGCTAACTCTAACTTTAGCTTGCATATTACATGGTGATTCACCGTTAACTCGGCGTGACCGAGACCAGCACAGCGGGGAACATGGTGAAGTGGTTTGAACTGAAACTTGTTGACTTATTGTGTATTTCACAAACTGGTTTATTTACCGTTGAGGCGGACCACTCTCCTCCGTGCGTCCCTGAGCTGCCTGCTTCAGATCCGTCACTCTGCTGTGCTGTGAGGTAGTTAGTGGATGAAGATTGTCATGAGGTCGCTGCGCCATCTACAGGATAAGTGGGGGAACTTTTCAAATGGCAGAACATTTTCAAAGTGAAACCGAATCTCATTCTCCGCATTTCATTTCTGAAAATATTGGTGAAAATCGTCAAGTTTTGGCCGATTACCTCAAACGGGCTTAAATTGGCCGATTTAATCTGTTGACGCACCTCCCTTCCTACTGGCTCACTCAATAAAAATGCAGTAAAAGATGAAGTTCAAATATTGGGTCCATAAAATTTTTTTAATTAAACCAATAAAGGCTGTAAAATGTCTTACAGATCTTAAAAAGGAGAATTAAAATAAAAGCAGTAGCTCATCAGTGAAAAGTCAAGTTCTTTCTTAAATCTGTAACTCACACCTAACTGTTTTATTCGGGAAATATAATGTCAGACTTGAATTTTAATTACAAGGATGAGCGATATAAAAGACCCAGTCCGTTTAACCTTATTAATACATTTATCTATGTATTTGTGTAGGATTAAACGGGATTATACAACATGTTTTCATGCTAAACCTCTTGGGTGTGATGCACCAGAGGGCCACATGCTAAACACACACTCTCACACACACACATTCCTCATCTCAGTGCGAGCAGACTGACTGAGTAGTCTCACTAAAGGCTTTTTAATAGACTGCTTTGTGTGGGAGGGGGGACTCTGGGTGACGGGTCGAGGTCTCGGGGGAGACTTAGATTGGGGGTGGGGGGATAAACGGCTCATTGAAAACCCAACAAAGCAGAGAATCTATGTTAGCTTCACTGCTGAAACTACAATAATTATTCAAAACAACAACAACAAAATCATGATGAGATGAAAAAGACTCCAGTCTGCCTGCTCCATGGCTTAAGACTTGGAGGTGCACAGTACAACTTTAAATTTGAACTGGCTAACTTCTACTACTTTGCTTTCCAAAAGAGCAACCTGTTGTTAAAAATGATGCCAATGTGTAGTTTTAAAAGACTGCAGTTCCTAGAGTGTCCACTAGAGACCTGAAGAAAAGTAATACTGTGTCTACAGAGCCCAAGGCTGCACGAGTTAGGCTCTCACTTCTCTCCTTTCTTGGGGTGGAGAGATGGAAGAAGTGAGAGGAGAAGGAGGAGACAGGGTTGTGTTTTGGTATGAATTTAATATGTAAACGATCAGCCGGTCAGCCATGTTGAATATACCGGTGAATCTGACGTCGCAGGTGGACACACAGTATGCAAAACTTTTTTAGGGTTCAAAAAAAAATATTGACGTCCGAAATAACCGCACGAAAAAAAAGCTTCCGGTAGGTAAGGACCTTAAGTTTTGGTGTTTTAAAGGGCCGTTTATTAAAGCTTGTTTAATTATTGGATTTCTATTTGATGCGTATTTTAATTTTTTGTTTTGTTTTGTTTTTATGGAGAGATATGGCAGGAAATCAAAAGCTGGTTGTAGCATGAGAAATAGCTGTTGCTGATGAGTTATATTAGGAAACAGGGCATGTAAACTGAGCTTTTCATTTGGGTTCGAGGTTTTAGTACCCTACATATCTATTTCCAGATGTCCTGTTGTCCAATGCTGTGTCCAGAGCAGATGTCATTTACATAAATATGATATAAACACCTCTTTAGCGGTGAATTTGAGAGCAGTTTTGAGGATTTTCTTTTTCTAAATTACAAACTGAGGTTGTAACTTTTTGTCAGCCTAATGACTTGTCAAAATGTTCCATCCTGATTAGACATAGGTGTGAAAATAAACAGGAACATGCAGCCACTTTCTAAAACTGGAATAGTTGGGGGAGATTCGACTGGTCCAGAAGCTCCAGTTTCAGGTCATCAGAAGGTGACATGTTTGACTGCATCATCTCGGGGAAGGCGAGATGTTTGGCTCTGGCGCGTGTTTCCCGTCCCCTCTCTGCTGCAGAGAGTGTGAATGAAGACGTTTATTACAGCGGAGACACAGAGGATTAGCACAGGGCTTAAACCATTCTCATGGTAATGCGTGGAGCTGGGAGCGCGCAGATAAACACAAACACTCACCTTATCGAAACACCCAGACCTGAAAGACTACTCCTTAACAGCAACCACAGACCGGCTGAGAGACGCCGCAGACAACAGGAAGCAGACTCAGAGTGAGGAAGATGTCAGTTTGTGGAGGCAGATTACGGCCTCTTTCAAAAATAATGTCTGGACAATAAAATCATTTAAGGTACATCCATCACACTCAGAGGAAGGTGGGAGGCCATTGTCAAAGCTTAGGCTAAAAAACAACAACACATGGACCTCAGTTCAGGGCTGCAGGACTGGACATTTAGAGTGATATGTGGTTTAAGTTTTTAGGTAAGGTCCCCATGCAAGAATAATGAAGCGTTAGGATCTTCTTCACAAGTTAAACCTGAAACACCAGGAGACCTTTTTGTTGCCTTTTTTATATGAAAACTTGGGACAGTCTCAGCAGATGACTGTCTAACATAAATCTGGTTCCGCTCAAAGTTTCTGCCCTTTAAAGAAAGTTTTTCCTCTCCTTCAACTTGGTAAAAGCGGCGAAGTGTTACACTCATGGTAGATTGAGATGGATCAGAGTGGGTTTGATTTTATGAGATGTGACAATGGTTGGACATGGACAAGGTTGGACAAGTGATACTTTAGGTTAGTGCATGCAATGAGAGCTTACCTGTGCCAACATTACTGTATGAAAAAGGTGTCAATTTTCTAATTACCTCCGCCAAGGAGGTTTTGTTTTCGGTAGCGTTGATTTGTTTGTTTGTTTGTCTGTTAGCAACTTTACGGAGAAAGTTACAGACGGGAAATTTTCCCCAGAGGTGCGTCTCAGCCCCAGGAGGATCTTTATCGTTGTGAGATAGGGCAAATTTGGAATTTTTGCATTTAACTCGATAAAAATGTCCAGAGTGTTTAGTAAAAAATGACACAAAAGGATCTCAATGACTTTATGAGGTGTCAAAGGTTGATCCTGATCCAGACAAAATTCTGGATACTGTGATCCAGAACACACAAAAATAAGGGTGTCGTTGGAATTTTCAATGCTGAAAGATAACCAATGGGCGGCACAGTGGTGTAGATAGGCGGCACAGTGGTGTAGTGGTTAGCACTGTCGCCTCACAGCAAGAAGGTCCTGGGTTTGAATCCCGGTCAGGGCATTTCTTGTTTAAGGGGGGACATGAGCTCCTTGGCGGAGGTCTGCGCTCTCCGAGTGCTTTTCTAGTATTGGTATAGCTCTTCACAAACATCTCTGTCTTGTAGAGGTTTAATCAGCAGACTGTTTTCTCTCATAAAGTGGTTGTAATGTGCGCTAAAATGTTTACATGATGGAGCAGAGAGGACAGCTTACTCTCTGCCATCATAATCCACGGTATCGTCTCTGCTCCAGGCCATCCTCAGCGCTCACTCGTACCTTCTTCACATTGTTGTCCGACAACAATCTCAGCTCACAAATCCATGAACCTTCAAATCTTCTCTCTTGGCGTTGGGTTTGTTGTTTTGTGTTTTGGCTCCTTGAAGAGGAAATGGGGAAGAAGCTGAGCTCTTGGGATTTTTTTTTTCTGATCCCTCTTTTCAATGAACTCTTCATCTTTAAACATCAGGGTAACAGCAGATCATGGAGTGAGGAAGACTCCAAGATTTGTCTGCCATCGTCGTCTGAAAAAGAGGAGTGAAGTGCGTGCAATTCAGAGTCTGACACTGATGACTCTACAGAGCCGTGAGTTTATATTTGATGCCCTGAAACAGTCTGGCGCCAACACTGATCGTATTTACAACTCGACTGATTTTAAGGGGCAAGTCTAGGTCACATCTGGAGTCTCTCAAGGACAAGTTCACGTCAGGGTTTTGGGACCAACATTAACGTTTAACCTCTGCAGTATCCTTGCCAGAACTATGAGGTATGGACACATGCTCTTTCTCCTCCTCCCTCCTCTTCCTCTCCCCCACAGTGACAGAGATGTAGCTTCCAGATCTCTCCCCTGCCACCTCTGATTAGAGCCGGCGTGGGTGAGACACACCTGTACAGCTGATGGGAGACAATGCGGCCGCTTCCTCCCAGAGATTGATTTTCTCCATTAAAACGGGCCCTTTGTCTAAAAACCCTGCACCCCTTTTGTTATGCTAAAGAGAAGATGGAAGATTTCCAATTCAATTTGGGCTGAGACGAGGGCCGGTCAGCTATATGGGCGGCCATTGTTCTGGCTGAGCCCGCTGGGACGACACTAGCGTCTCCCAAACGCCAATTAAGCTGGACGGAGAGACGGACAGGGGGATAATTGACAGGCAGGAGAAAGGCAGCCGTCTTCCTCTCTGTCTCATCATTGAAAAAGAAAATCAAAGAGAAGGAGCAGCAGAGGGGAGGAAAAGTGAGGGATGAGAGGGAGAACAAGCAGGAGAGGAGTAATAACCTGTAATATGCTGCCCAGAGCAAATTCAGATTACAAGAAGTGTTTAGCTCACGGACGCGACTTTGACCCGGGAGGCCGAGTAAAGACAAAGAGAGCCGTGATTGAAATCGGAACTTTGGTTTAATGATGATTGATTTCATATTTGAGAAAATAAGGCCAAGTCTTCTCAGAAATGACACGTCCTTAAAGAGCGCGTTTTACATTAACTTTCATTATCTTCATCCTTCATCATTAACCTGTCACAGGTCCACTCCTGTTTTAATCACTTAAGATGCATCTAATTAAGGGTAATTTAAGGCAAACTCTTTAATACTTTCACACTCATCTCAGAGGATGTCTTAAGAAAAGGTGGACTTGTCATCTCTGTTTTATCAGTAAGCTGTTTTAGGGCAGCCTGAGCATACCAACAACTGATATAGTCTGTTTTGAGGTAAGAGAGTCCATTCAAGACAGTCAGATTCTTCACTTCTGTCAGTGAGACGGGTCTGTGTCACGTATCTGATGTAGGACAGCGTCTTAAAGGGACATGAGACCATAGTCTACCTACACACATCCAAAACCAACTCTTATTTATTTACTTTTTTGACACCGAATATACCGATACGGGCAAAATGATGTCCGTTATTGTTGTAAATTTTGGTATCGATAAATATTCAGTTTATCGCCCAGTCCTATGATGAAGTAAATGGTATCCTATCTTGATTTTAGTGTTGGTGGATGTACAACAAAGGGCATAGTCTGAACCTCATGAGGGTATAGGGATTACACATCTTGGGACTCAGTGCTTTTTATTCAAAGTTTGATAAAATAATAGATTTTCTCCCCGCAAAAACGTTTAGCAGAGGTGGGGGCTTGACGACTCGACTTGAGACTCGACTTGGACTTGAGTCCCGTTTTTGACTTGCTTGATGTTCATAAAATGACTTGGACTTGCTTGGGACTTGATTGCTAAAGACTTGAGAGCAAAGACTTGAGACTCGACTTGGACTTGCATATAAGGACTTTCCCCCACCTCTGCCATTTAGATTGTGTAAAGGAATGCTAGGATGTTTTTTTTAGGTCTGTTTCCCTCCTTTCTGATGAAAGGTTTGGTCTGTTGGGGATGCTTGACTCCATCTTACCCTTTTACCCTCTGAGGGTACCCAGAGTCTAAACTCTGTTTTATACATTTTTTTGCTACATTTGTTTGTGGTTCTTTTCTTTGTTTTGTTGTATGATTGGTTATTAAGGTACCCCTTCTTTTTATTTTTGCATCATTTTACCAACTTTATTCTGAATTATTGAGTGACCAAACGTCCTCTTATACCCAGACATGTCACCTTTTTGGGGGGCTGTCCGACCTGTCCAGGAGGAGTTTATAAAATCCTTCAAATGTCCGAGGTTTTGTGTGGAAGTTGGACTAACTGAGTTAAAAGCGCTTAAAAACACTCGACCCGACCTGAAAAACCCTCAAAATTTTGTGTGCGACTCTTCCCCACATAGTAGTGTCCTCTTTTTTGGGGGATTCAGAATATTGTCACCCTAGAATTATTTCTGAGATTCTCTGGTCAGGGTCAGAACTCAGACTCAAAAGTGTACCTTTGTCTACGTCAGACCATAAGGTTCAGGTTTGGGATTTGAGAACCAAACAATCTGCAGAGGTGAATCAGTCTAATAAGAACAGTGAAATCCAGCTTGCAACAAGTCTTTGTCAGGGATTGCTGCTGGATATGCTTTGTCATGCCTCTGTTCAATCAGGATCAGTGCTCAAGCTTTTAATTAAAGGGTTATTACGCAGACTTTAAGTCAAACATCCACCTGTGCATGAAAAGCACCTTTTTAACATTTCCTTACTGACAAATCCAATTAGCTCTTTCCTCAGCTGCTTTCATATATGAGACCTGAGCTGAGAGGCTTGATTTGGGCTCAGAAAGGCTGGAATTCCTGGTTTTAAACCCAGAGATGATTACAGTGATACAGACACAAAGACGTTCAGTACCTGCTCTCCTTCATTTCTCCACAGAGAGCTTTGTGAATGAATTAAATTCACCATAGACTGGATACCTGCTCACTCTCAGTGGGAGCCTCATAACTCTGTGAATTATATCTCTCCAAATGCGTTTTTATCCGTCTGGTATCTGAAGAGAGGTGTATTGATATGTCACCTGATAACGCGTAACAAATTGTAAAATCACATGAATCTTTTTGGGATTGAAACCTGTATCTTGGTCACTTTTTTTAATCTCATTTTTATGCTGTAAGTCAACTCAAACTATATGCACCCTGTCATTGACTTGTACTGTACATATCTGCAAAAATAACATGTTTTTCTCCACTTTCTCTCTTCCAAACCAATTTTTTTTTTTTTTGGTGTTTCTTACTGTTTCTCCTTCAAATCATAATTTCTCTCGCTTTTATCCCTCCACCCCTCCTTTTTCACTTTCCCTCTCTCTGCTGGCTTGTGACAGACGGCCTAATAGGATTTAATAAGCCCCATTTGCATGTCAGCCTTTTAAATTTTCTGTAAGAAAGAAAGGCAAAAGGAGGGACGGGGGGGTGGAGAAGGAGGGAGGGAGAGAGGGCGTGAAGGAAAAGAAAGAAAGAGAGGAAGAAAGGAGGGCGGGATTGGAGTGAGCGTGACGGCGGACGATGATTTAAAGACCCTTTTCCTCTTTTGATTCATGTAGAGAAGCATCAGAACTGCCAATATCTGCATTTTTCCTGGACTTGTCCATCATGATTCTCTGGCAGAGCGAGCAGAGATCTGATTTCAGTGCGGGGAAAATAGCTCATTATTTTTTTATTGGCATTTTTTGGTCTGTATGTTGTTCCAGTTTGTCTCGAACACGACAAATATCACATTTTGTTGGAAATTTTATTTTCAGTGAGAGCTGGCAACTTCACGTCACTTTCACTAAGTGGCTTTTGTGCTTTTGTTTGGGGTTTTTGAAGGTGGAGTGCAACAAAAAGGTCAAAAATTCATCACTGTAGACAACGAGATATCGAGTAATACAGGACAATCAATTTCAGCCACTTCACAGAGCTCCTCTCTGGTCATTTGATGTTCAAAATGGTTGAATGTTCTCACTATGAAACACAACAGGTACAGCTTTTTACTAATAACTCTCTTCTTCAAATGTTGGTCAGGGATTTAACCTCTTTCCCCTCAAAACAGTGACATTTTTATTGAACGTTAGTTTTTTTGGAGGTGAAATCAGTACATCGTGTCAAGCCAAAGTTTGAAAAAAGAGGAGGCACATGACAGAGCAGCTAAGTAAGATCTTATCGAATCTTATTGAATTTCCTTTCGGGGATCAATAAAGTTCTTCTCATCTTATCTTATCTTATCTTAGTTTCTCAATATCTTTCGGGAGCCATTTTTATGGAAAGGGTTCTGCAAAACTTATAGAATAGAATAGAATAGAATAGAATAGAATGCTCTTTATTGTCATTATACAAACATTGTACAACGAGATTGGAGAGGGTCTCCCATTCAGTGCAAGTAAAAAGTAAAAGTAAAGGTTTAAAATATAAAATATAAATATATATACGGAAAAGATGCAATAGAGTGTTGAAACATTGTTGTTAAATAGATTCCACACAGTGGACAGTAGCAGCGACGGTAAAAAAACTTATTGCACAGTAGGTATGGCTATGTAAAGATGAATACAACAGTGTTACATGCCGGAGTTCAGGGTGGTGATGGCTATGGGGAAAAAGCTATTTCTCAGTCTATTCGTTCTTGCTTTGAGACATCTGTAGCGCCTGCCAGAGGGCAACAGCTCAAACAGCTGAGAACCAGGATGTGAAGTGTCTGCAGTGATGTCACAGGCTCTGCTGAGACACCGGGAGGTGTAGATGTCCATCATGGACGGTAGAGGACAGCCAACGATCCTCTGTGCTGCTCTGAATGTTCTCTGAAGCCTCGTTCTGTCAGCCTCAGTGCAGCTCCCGTACCAGGTGGAGATGCAGTACGTCAGCAGGCTCTCGATGGCTGAGCAGTAGAAGGCCAGCAGCAGCTTACTGTCCGAGTTGTTCCTCCTGAGGTCTCTCAGGTGGTGTAGACGCTGCTGAGCCTTCTTGATGACAGTTGTGTGTCCAGGAGAGGTCATCGGAGATCTGGACTCCCAGGAACCTGAATGTGTGGACTAAAGTATTAAAGTTAATGAAAAATTAACTTTAATACTTTATGGGAATCATGTGACCCACGGGAATTCCCAAAAAATGTCATCCTCTAGTTTATATCGCCCAGCCCTATTTCTTACAGGAGCTTAAACTTCAGCCATGCAGGTTGCAGCTCCAACAAATGCATGTAGTCCTCTATGGTTTCACACTACATCAAGATTGTTGTTGATGTAATCTTTGTCAATCTTTTGTTCATGATGAATTACTGTTATGTTTTTTTTTGCAAAAAAGTGTCACTGAGTAGATCGAGACCTGCTATATATGGTTTAATGTTAATTGTACAATTTGGCATAGGTTTAATATTTGAATTGTTGATAGCTGGAAAATCTCAATTTTTTTGTTTTAATCATGAGAATTAATTTTTTCCGCAAAGAGTTGAAATTTTTTGGGACGGTGTTTTTTGCTCCTCCAGCTCTGGAATGAAGAGAGAAATGTTAGGCAATAACAGTGTGTGTGTGTTTGTGTGTGTGTGTGATGGGGAGGCTGTCGCTCTGTAAGGAGGATAAAAGGTCCAGCCAAAAACCATGAGAGTCACACACACACACATCTCCTCTCACACTCACACACTCGGTAATCCCCATGTTGGTAGCTGATGTTTATTGGCGTGTAATAGGATCAGGATGAGGCAGCGTCAATATCAGAGCAAACATCTCACACCCTCTCTCTCTCTCTCTCTCTCTCTCTCTCTCTCACACACACACACACACTCACACACACACACTCAGCCGCTGATCAAACATAGCCCAGGAAACATTGTGATCCAGGAGAGATGAGAGGACTAATCCTTTTAGCCTTCTAAGAAGACTCTCCTCCTCCTCCTCCTCCTCCTCTTCGTCTCTTTCTCTCCCCGGCTCGCTTCCTCAATCATTCTTCTGTTACTTTTTTTTTTTTTGCTTGACAACATTGTTTCCCCTCTCTCTGTGCCACTTTCACTGACAGGGACAGGGCTAAAGAGAGAGAGAGAGAGAGTCTGAGCTAAATATACCCGCTGTGTGTTTGTGTTAAGAGCAGATTGATCTGCTTGGTTTGCTCAGAGATTAGACCTGATAAATCCTCCTTTTTAAACTGAACCAGCCCTCATCAGCCTCCTCCCTCCCACACTGCATTCATGTGTGTGTGTGTGTGTGTGTGTGTGTGTGTGTGTGTGTGTGTGTGTGTGTGTGTGTGTGTGTGTGTGTGTGTGTGTGTGTGCCATCATCCCTACAGGACTGAACCATCAGAATTTAGAGTTTTAGTTTGGGCTATTTAAATTTGAAAGGATGAAACCACTTTTGGGGGCACCACAGAATCATGGCTGATAACCCAATATTTGATGCAAAGTCAAGATTTGTCTCCTCCTAATTACAGAAAATCATGATTAATATTTTCTCTTTTGATTGTATGAAGAAACTAGAAAAGCACTCGGAGAGCGCAGACCTCCGCCAAGCAGCTCATGTCCCCCCTTATATTGTGATTCACACCAAAACTTTTACTGTTACGTGTCTTTTATGAACTTTTATTTGTGTTTAAACTGGTATGTTCACTGTTCATAATGTTCCTAAAACAAGAAATGCCCTGACCCGGATTCAAACCCAGGACCTTCTTGCTGTGAGGCGACAGTGCTAACCACTACACCACTGTACCACCTATCTACACCACTGTGCCGCCCATTGGTTATCTTTCAGCATTGAAAATTCCAACGACACCCTTATTTTTGTGTGTTCTGGATCACAGTATCCGGAATTTTGTCTGGATCAGGATCAACCTTTGACACCTCATAAAACTCATTGAGATCCTTTTGTGTCATTTTTTACTAAAGACTCTGGACATTTTTATCGAGTTAAATGCAAAAATTCCAAAATTTGCCCTATCTCACAATGATGAAGAATCCTTCAAAAAATTCCTGGATCCAGAAGGCGATCCGGATCACCACCAAAATGTAATGGGATCCTCCTGGGGCTGAGACACACCTCTGGTGAAAATTTCAGGTCAATCCGTCTGTAACTTTCTCCGTAAAGTTGGTAACAAACAAACAAACCAACGCTACTGAAAACATAACCTCCTTGGCGGAGGTAAAAATGTGCTCAACTTTCAAGTCATTCATTTTTTAGACTTCCCTCTCGATAGGAAGACGAGTTACCCTCCCTTAGTATCTATCCGGTAACTACACTGGATTGAAACATGGCATTTTCATGGTAACAATCTGATGAATTCAGTGGGGGTTTGGGGGCTGCGAGCTGAGCTGATTCTCACTCTAGTTCAATTGCTGACTTGTTTTTCTGGATTAATTTGTATAGAAGAAAATGAGACGGAGTAGTAATGGCCACTGGAATTGAATCCAGTAATTGTTAAAAACACTTAAGCAAATTAATAAACAAAACTTTAACTGGTGTTGGGGGGCTGTGAGCTGAGCGAGCTGACTTTTATTTTAGCCAATTTTGACATGCAAGTTGAATATTCTTTTTTGCCAAACAAATGTAAATCAGTTCAGTAATTAAAATCGTTTAGTGCTCTAAAACATCGTCTCTTCCAGACACTTGCAGTCAGGTTCAGAGTCCTATGAGCTGAGCAGACCTCAGCTCACCAGTTGACTGTATTTCTCTGGATTGACGCATAATAGAACTCTATTTTATATACAACCGTGCCGTCAGATGCATGTTCGGAATGACTGGTCAGAAGCATTAAATAAGCATGTAATGCAAAGGTTTACATGTACTCCCACTGCAGGAGTACACATGCTTGTGAACATGTGTGTATGTCTTCAAACAGAGCTGTGAGTGCTTAATGAATTTACTCTGCTCTGATTGGAAATTAATTAAAACAGCCTCAAACAGACAGCCGCCCACAGGGAGCCCCAGCAACACACTGACAGACAGATTACTGCTCCGAGGGGGAGGAAGGGGGAGAGACAAGGGGGGGGTCCAGAACTATCAGGTGCACCTTCTGCAACCCCACATGCCATGAGTTATAAGCACCGTCTACTTGTTGTCAAATTTAGAAACTGTGCTCTGTGGATTTCAGCTGAATTATCTGTTACTATAGTCTAAAGTTTAAACAATATACTGAAAAAAAAAATAGCTAAGCTCTTTAGTTTTGTTATCAGTGTCACAAGCCTCCAGACTGTATTTCTTATTGTAGTTCTCTTGGATTTGTAAGGTCAAATGAAACTCTTTACACCAAGGTATACGTGCATAACTCTAAGGCTTACATTAACCAAACATTTCCAGGGCAAATCTACTTCAATTATTTGTTCATTTTCTTTTAAATGAAGTTAAAAAAAGCTGCAGGGACCAAAACAGGATTTGTGTACCAGGTTATGAACATGTTAATTTCTGCCATAAAGTTGGTCATTGTCAAAAAGGGGACCCAATAGGGATTGACTCACTTTCGGAGCCAGCCTCTAGTGGACATTTGAGGAACTTCATGTTCCTGAAGGCTGTCAGTAACTACTATTAAATGTGTAAATATCTTCGCATTTGAAAGTGTCTCAAGCTGATGATAATAAAAAAATATACATCAGTGTAAAGTTTCTTAAAGTTAAAACATTTTTACATCTGAATGAACACAAACATTAGTTATTTTCATGTGTTTGAGCAGTTTTTAAGGTTGATGTCAGTCCAGCTTATTAAACTGTGAATGTAAATAAAATGAACCGAAGTATTAGATTAATCCCTATGACAGCTGAAACTGAATGCACATCTATGAATGATTTTCCTCCAGCGAGACAAGTGTGAATGAGACGAGACAAGTAATAAGACAGACAAACAACAGACACGTCAATAGTGACAAGTTACTGTACTGAAAGAGGACAAATCTGACCGCGTCCTTTCACATTATCACATTGTCCTTTCAATCAGAGAATTTGAAAACCTCCTCCTTCACATGCATGGATGCCTTTTGATAGGATTAATACCATTAAATAACCAAATGACTCACACAAGTCTTCGCTGAAATACTTTAAATCCTCGTCTTTATCCGAGCTTCTCTCTTTGCAGACCCCAAACATACAAAACTGTCACTGGATCACTTTGACACCAGAAGTAAAAACACTAATCATGACAGAAAAATAGTAGTAGTTTATTTGTCCCATAGGGAAATTGAATTGCAGAAGATCACACATTTGGCATTTCATCAAGAACAGTACAGATAAAAAAAATAAAACAGCATGTAAACAACTTTCACACAGAATTAACAGTAAAAATAAGTAACATCATAATCACACTTCCTAAGTCTCACCTTTAACCTGATCAGACCAGCTGAGCAGGCTTTAGGTGACTAACTATGTGTTGGGTCTAAAACCTGCAACAAATGACTCAAACACAAAGAAGAGAAAGACAATGGTATCAGATTTCTTACTCGCGAGGAGAACGGACAGAGATACGTTCAATTACAATCTCCTCCCGCTCTAAAGTCTATCTTGTCGTCTCCTCTCTTTTTATTATCCTTAGGGTGGTCCCTACTTACATGACGCTGCATACACTAAAGGGTGGGGAATCAATCTGCTGCAGCGTATTCACTTACATAACACATAATTATACTAGAGTAAATATGTGCAGACTTCTTCTGGAGATGTCAAGATGACCGCTGACATTTCACAGTCTCCTTTGTGGTGGTTAACTGTTCACAGCGGAGACAGGTACCCATCTGCTTACAGGAAGAAGGCGAGCTCAGAGATGTAAGAAAAACACACGAGTTGCAAAGCAGAAGCTGAGTAAAGCTACTGATAATTTCTATAAACTTTTATACACATTACCCTAACACTATGGCTATTTGGTATTTAGGCATTTAACGTTTTTCCTGTCCTGTCTCTGTAGATGTCTTCCATACATGGTAGAGTAGTGCCCAGTAACTTACTGGATATGGATATAATTTGTCTAACCCTCTTTTTCTGTGCCTCTGTGGCATTGCCAAACCAGCAAGTAACACAAAAAGAAAGAATCCATTTGGAGCATTCTCCTTTCAACAGTAAAAGACAGAAGTTTCTTTAAGTGGAACATTCTTTGTTGAGACTTGGTACCAATCCAATCCATTTTATTTATATAGCACGATTTAAACAAACACAAGGTTTCCAAAGTGCTGCACAGCAAGATAAAAATACAGTAAGTAACAGAATAGAAGCACAATAAAACAATGAAGATAAAATAAAATGAGATGAAAACACAGTACAATCAAATAAAAAGCAAATAAAAGACAATAAAAATGAAATCAACCTTCTACTGAGTGTTAAAAGCCAAGGAGAAGAGATGGGTCTTAAAAACAGACAGAGAGGAGGCCTGTCTGATCTGCTGAGGCAGGTTATTCCAGAGTTTAGGAGCAGCGGATCAGCTGATCTGAGAGAGCGGGACGGAGTGTAAAAATGTAGAAGCTCAGAGAGGTACGGCGGGGCAAGACCGTTGAGGGATTTAAAAGCAAATAAAAGAATTTTAAAATGAACCCTAAAACGTAAAGGCAGCCAGTGGAGTGAAGCTAAAATACAAGAGCATGCTGGGATTGAGCTGATTTACGACAGAGAAGCAGATTTAATATTTTAGTATTTGTTTCTCTCCTCTCAGATTCCCTGTTTGGACTCATCGGTGCTGTCTAAGAGGACTCTCTCTTTCAGATCATACCATTTCTTCAAAAGCTACGAACAGACCACAAGGTAAGACAGCTGGTTGTTCCTGAACCTGCATGGTTTTGACTTTGACTTTCATAAGCATTTTTATTTTCATTTCTTAGTGGGCGTAAATCACTAAAACTCTGAAATAACTACCTTTAAAATGTCTATAAGATTACTTCTGCATCAAGGAAACCCCACAAACACAACCCAAGTTTCTTTTCTTTTTAATTGAAGTAGTTTCATCTTTAAATTAATTCTCTGACGTGAGCATGTAGTAAAAAAACGAGGCCAGAGCTGAAGTTTCTGCTCCACGTGATGCTCTGCTGCAGACGTTGAAGCTAAAAGCATCAGGACTCCACCTGTTGCTGCGTCAGAGCTCTTCCTCCTCCGGTTCAGGAAGTGTTAACTGGCGAGGCTCGCTCAGGCAGACAATGATGTTAAAGACTAATTGACGAGCACTTTAAATAAGTCCTAATTAGAGCACGGCTGGTAATAATTGGGCAGGCAGTCTGAGCACTAATTAGCGTTAAAAATAAGCCTGCTATGTGCATGTGTGTGTGTGTGTGTGCATGTGTGTGTGTGTGTGCATGTGTGTGTGTGTTACGGTGTGGATGAATGATCTCTGCAGGGGGGCTGATGAAGAAGCAGACGGAGTGAGAGAGGGAGAAAGGGGGAGATAAAATGCCGCCCCTCCTCGCTCTTTTGTGGTGGCGTGCAGTCTGTGGGTGGCCCCCTCTCTGCACGAGGTGGAGGGCAGGTGTTATATCTGTGTGTGTGTGTGTGTGTGTGTGTGTGTGTGTGAGTGAACTTGCTCCTAACAGGACTAATTGATTCTGTACCCTCTCCTTTTCCTGCCCAGTCTTTCCCTCTCTCGCACACTCTGTTTTTTCTCCTCCGCTCGGCCTCTAATTGCAGAGAGGCAGCTAGGAAACAGCAGTAATAGATTTGCCACCTGCTGCACAGACACATTAGTAACACACTCGAATGACTTGTTTGCCTCTCTCTCTCTCTCCCTGCTGTTGTCTCTTCATTGTTTACAGCGAGTCCTTTCAGCCAGCGACCCAGGTGTACTGATCCCCCATCTGGATATCAGCCAGCCTGCATGTTAAAAATACTACCAGGTGGCACTCCTCTTAATGTATGAGATATGTTTTCGCCATATTTCTTCGCTGTGACTCTGTTGAGTTAGTAGAGCTTGAGTCATGCACTTTATTTCTGAGGAGAGCTTTTAGCAGCTGTGTTGTCAACTATCGGTGAGAAGCTCTGAACTTCGTTTCGGTCCATTTCTCGTTTCTATTCATGTAATTTACTGTAACTTTTATTTTAAAAAGCGGTTATTTTGAATTCGATGCTGGAAACATGGGGAGATAGTTGATATGGGATCATGTTTCTTAATATGTGTCATCAGCTCTTCTCCTACCAACACTCTGTAAACATTAGTGAGTCCAGGAGACCAGTTTCTGTACTCTGACAGTGAGATATTGTCCCATTCTTGCCTGATAGAGGAAGACTAGAGTCTCCTTTATCCTACTTTTTTTGTCTTGAGGTACAAAATATTTTTAGTGGGTGTCAAGGTCCTTACACACCGGGGCTGATGCGAATATAGAATGTGAAATTACGAAATATTCGGCAGAGAATTTTGACAGGTGCTAGTCCGGCCTCCTTTGCCTCTGATTGGCAAGGAAATCTGGAAACGTCATCACACGCTCAAGCCAAATGGTCAGCACTTATAGCAAGTCAGAGGCGATAAGATAAGCACATGAAACTATGCTAACAACCGTTAGCTTACGGCGACCGGTTGATTGTTTACGTGTTGGAGAACAGAGTGATTTTTGATAAAAGACACAAACATTACAAAGATAACACCCGGAGGACAACATAGTGTCGGATCTCTCATATGACGATGGTTTGTGCGCTTTAACAGTTTGATAAACGTCTTTGTTTTAACTTTCATCTGTGCTAAGTAACTTTAGCTCGTAAGCTAACCTGTTCAGATACAACATACCATATGTATTTTCACTGTAAACTCAAACTCAATCACAGCGTTTCTGTCACAGCACCATTAGGTCTCAGTTGCGTTGTTCCCGGTGTGTAAGGAACGTAACTGTGAACACGGCGCTCAGATGTTTTTAAGAGTAAAATACTTTGTCATGCGGCGATTACAACTGGTATAGCTAACAATAACTAACAATGGCTAACAGTAGGCGTCTATCTTAGTTTTCTGACTTGTTTACTGGAACGCTGTCGACTCGGGTGTAACATCATTCCCAGCTTCGACAGCCGACTTCCGAGGTAACAAGAACGCAGCGTGAGACCTACTGGAAAAGAAAGTTAGTATGAATGTCATAGTCTCTTTCCTGGAGATAAATGTGTGTGGATGATAAAATGACTTGGACTAATCTGAATATGGTCGTTCTTTTTTGTTAATATTTGATCTAATCTGTTATCTTTAGTCTCGTTGGCTTATCTTTTTAAGCTTCTACCCACATTGCCAAAACTACAACCAAATGGTTTGATATCCAAAAAGAATGTAAAATTTCCATCTCTCAGACCATACAACATTTTTTTTCAATTCCTCTCAATCCATCCTAAAACAAATGGTTATTGGGAGTGATTTTGAACCCATGCAGTGATTTCCACTATAGAGTCATGTCTGTTTTCAACTTAGTACTGCTTAAGGACTTAAAGATTACAGCCATCCACTCTTGTTTTTATCCCTTTTTGTACAGAGATTTTCTCTTTTGATGATATGAACCTGCCATTAAACCTCAAACATCGAAACTGTCGACAGAATGTGGAATCTGCTCTTTCAAAAGGGAGTGATCTTGAGACATATCGAGCTGTTCTGAAAGACCCATTTTCTTCAAGTTTATGAGTATTTTGAACTGTGATCAGTGGTGAGGTCTGCTTTTCAAGTCCAAGAACTTGAAGTCGTGTCCTCTCTGTGTAACCGCAGCAGGATTCATCACTCACTCAGACTTAAAATTAAAAATTATTTGAACCACTAATTAATGGCACAGCAGAGCCAGTCTGAAATGAACTGTCTGGTTTGGAACATGCCAGCTGTGCAGTTGTTGGTCTCTAATTGCTGGTTAATTAATTAAACATCCAGCGGATTAGAGGAATTATGGGCAATTGTCCTTTAACAACTCTTAACAAGGTCTTGATTATGGCCTCAGCTGTATCCTGTGGCTCAAATGATCCTTCAATTAGTGATGGAAAGCTCTAGAAGAGACACATTTGAGGATGAGATGATGAATATGAGATGCAAAGGTACTTTTTTTTCCATTTCGCAGCAGCAAACTTTTTATTCCTTTTTTTTAACATTAACACATTTCCAATATGGGAGTAAAAGGGTTTCTACAAGACCTTGTCCAGCTACAGGGTCATTGGTGTTAGGTTTCAGTTTTTCAACTAATGAGAATGTTTTTATTCAACAGCAGTCCACAGCAATTTCAATTTTTATAAGATTTAAAAAACACATTTATACTATTATTCTACTTGGTGCATTCAACTGATTACCTCCACAAAGGAGGTTATGTTTTTGGTTGTGTTGGTTTGTTTGTTTGTTTGTCAGCAACTTTACTTAAAAAGTTACAGACGGATTGACCTGAAATTTTCACCAGAGGTGCGTCTCAGCCCCAGGAGGATCCCATTAAATTTTGGTGGTGATCCGGACAAAATTCTGGATACTGTGATCCAGAACACACAAAAATAAGGGTGTCGTTGGAATTTTCAATGCTGAAAGATAACCAATGGATGGCACAGTGGCGTAGATAGGCAGTACAGTGGTGTAGATAGGCAGTACAGTGGTGTAGATGGGCGGCACAGTGGTGTAGATAGGCGGCACAGCGGTGTAGATGGGCGGCACAGTGGTGTAGATAGGCGGCACAGTGGTGTAGATAGGCGGTACAGTGGTGTAGTGATTAGCACTGTCGCCTCACAGCAAGAAGGTCCTGGGTTCCAATCCAGGTCAGGGCATTTCTTGTTTTAGGAACATTATGAATAGTGAACATACCAGTTTAAACACAAATAAAAGTTAATAAAAGACACGTAACAGTAAAAGTTTTGGTGTGAATCACAATATAAGGGGGGACATGAGCTGCTTGGCGGAGGTCTGCGCTCTCCGAGTGCTTTTCTCGTTTTTGTTATGTTGTAATTTTGAAGTAAAGCTGCAGTTTGTTCTACAACTTTTTCCTGCAATTCCAACTTCACTGCACTATAATAAACTGGGGTGTTTTTGAGCTCTAATAGGGCCTCATACTTCCAGCTGCATTCATGTATAAAACCGGTCGTATTTCAGGACTCTGACACATGGTGACGGGAAGATTTCTCCAGCCTCTGCAGCCCTGTCACAGAGATAAACGTTGTAGATTTCCCATCATACACACATGCACGCACACACACATACACTGGTTGTATGGAGATAGGAAGGTGGCTGACATTTGTGGAGCCCCGGGTGAGGACATGGCCTTTTCTCCTCATTTCTCCCGGCCAATCACCCAGACTGAAAGGGGACGAAGATAAGGCCTTTTGTTTGGCCTGACAATGTCCCACTGATACTGCCGTGGGAGACCATTCAGTGTGCGAGTCTGTGTGTGTGTGTCTGCGTCTATATGTGTGTGTGCATGCTGGGTCCCGTCCCTTAAAGACAGGGAGCCCCTCAGAGAAGTCATTACAGGAGCATTATTCTCATCAGAGCTGCCTCCAGACACTAAACTTCTACATGCCCACGATCACAGAGCTGAGGACAAGATGGCGCACAAGATCAGACTTTAAACTCAAAGTCCTGTGAGGAATTTATGATCCTGTTTTTTGCATAAGTTAACCACTGCCTAGAAGAAAGAGTTGTCCTTTTAGCTCAAAAGCTTTGATATGTTCATAAATTCATAGAAAATGTTGTCCTACACCCCGAACAAATCAGAGCTGTTGTCACTTTGGTTTGATGACAAAAAGGAGCTGGGCTGTGAGCTACTGTTGAGCTGGAGTACATTTTTCCCCTCTGTGTTGAAACCATTATTCTCTTTTTTTACATTGAGGCTGCCATGACAGTGACTGACAGCTGACAGCGAGCACACGACTGCTGCAGAGTACGATTTGCACTGCCTGGTTGCCTTGACGTCTGAACAATGCGACTCAAATCTGACAGAATTCTCCTTCCAAGATGTTTTATTTTATTTCATGTGCAGTTTTCTGTATCACTGAAGCAGAAAGAAACGCAGGAAGGGTCAGGTGAATTTGAACTTAGGGCCACAACCTTATTGTCTGTGTTAGAAAGATAAGCCAACTAGACTAAAGATAACAGATTAGATCAAATATGAACAAAAAAGAACGACCATCTTCGGATTTATCTCCAGGAAAGAGACTATGACGTTCATACTAACTTTCTTTTCCAGTAGGTCTTACGCTGCGTTCTTGTTACCTCATAAGTCGGGTGTTGAAGCTGGGAATGACGTTACACCCGAGTTGACGGTGTTCCAGTGAACAAGTCAGAAAACTAAGATAGACGCCTACTGTTAGCCGTTGTTAGTTATTGCTAGCTATACCAGTTGTAAACGGCGCATGACATAGTATTTAACTCTTACAAACACCTAAGCACCGTGTTCACAGTTACGTTCCTTACACACCGGGAACTAAGAAAATATAGGACGCGAAATTATGAAATATTCGGGGCGAATTTTGACGCGCCTGACTGTACTCATCAAGCACGATGTGATTTTGTGGCTTTCCAGGGGGGAAAAAATACCCGCGGACATACAGGGTATTCTTTACGTTTGTTTTGCCCTTTTGGGGTTAATTTCAGCCTCTCAAGTGAACCTTGTTTTATGCAATTACATCCACCAGTCAGCCAGCTCACAGACGCGTCTGCTGCGCCCAATACTTTAATTGGAGAGCAATCGTAACGTTAACGTTAGGCGTTTTAAAGTTCGCCAGAAGCCTAAGTTTTGGGACAAACCCGGTCGGACCAGCAAGTGGTGGGACAACTTCGTTAGAGGGGCTGTGCCTGCAGATGACACTGTCACATGGACCCGACAAAATGGCGTAGCTTCCGCAAGCAATGCATGACGCATCACGCTGTTACGATTCATCGGCCAATCAGGTAGCTTTGTTCCTGAATTTTTTTTAAGCGGCACCAGATAGGATTGAGTTTGAACTAACTTGAGTTGAGAACTAACACGTGTGGACAGATACATTTATTTAGACGAGAGGACAAAAATATCCTGATAAATAGGATTGGGTATCGTTTGATTTTGAACGATTCCGATTCCAATTTCGATTCCTCATTTCGATTCCGATTCCTATCGATTCTCTAATTTGATTCTTTTAAAAGGCAGGATATCAAAAAGAAAAAAGAAAAAAAAGCATGGTTTGAATGAGGGTGCTAACCGGGGCTCTTCTTTTTGGATGAAATTTCTGAACTTCTCCATGAATTTTTAAATCCTATGAACTTTTTAAGAACTTTACTATGAATTTCTCACAGAGCTATTTTCAACCAGTATATAAATATCATTTTTTGTTTTCAGGTCGTTTGTCTATGAAAAAGTACAAGGGCTAACGTTAGGTGGATATTTAAGTTTACTCACCGTACACAGTTCAATTTGTTTACCGCTTCAAAGTTAACAGAAGTAATTTATTGTTTCACTTATCTGATCCTGACTGGTTAGCGGAAGACAGGTGTTGTGCTGTAGAATGCACCCCTGCCATAGAATGCCTCCCCTCCACTGATTAGCTTCTTAGTGGAAGAAATATGATCTCATATTTAATAAAACACGGGTATTAGATCATGAAAACGTGTCAAATGGAGCAGTAAACTTTCGTTTTGTTTGTATGTGTCTCAAAAATGCACACATAAAGGTGTACTTGGGTATATAAACTGTACAGTAAGCTGTTAATGTAGAGAACATTATATTTTCCGGACAGTAAATATTCCGAATCAGAGGGCTATTGTTTTCGGCATATCGGAATAGCCTGAATGAAATCATTAAAGGCACACGCTTTAGATTCCGTCCAACGGTAAGAAAAACTTGGATTGTTTCGCCTCGTTGTGTACTTTCAACCGCGCTCCCGTCAGGGGTGCATTCTACGACACAACACCGGCGAAGCGCGTCAAAGACGAGCACTCGGGTATTTCTCCTCCATGAATCCTGAGGTGTTTAATCATGTTGGTCGTTTACCCTCCTTTGCATGATATAACTGTATTGCTAATGTTGCATTGAGATAAGAGTTCATTCTTCCTGCTAAAGTTAGCCAAACTTTTGACCAACGAAGAAGAAGCTGCCGAACACCAACGAGGACGGAGCGTATGAGACGAAGAGAGGAGAGAGACAGAGAGAGATTGTAACCCACAGCGGCTGCATTGCTGTGGGTTGCAATGTACTTTCTCTCTCTGTCTCTCTCCTCTCTCTGTGTGGCTTCGTCTCATACGCTCCGTCCTCATTGGTGTTAAGCGGCTTCTTCTTCGTTGATTTTCGGCGGCTATTTCTTCCGGTCGGCGGACTCTGGCATCGAAACTTGGAATCGAAATTTTAATATTTGAACGATACCGGAAGAATCGAAGTTTTAGTCCCGATTCCCATCGATTCTCGATTCTCGATTCCCAACCCTGCTGATAAATAAATATCTATATACGTGTAGTCCAGGCCTGAGTCGGGGCCAGTACCAGATAAGCACATTAAACTATAATCTATAAACGTAAGGTAACAACAGAGACCTAATGGTGCTGTGACAGCAACACGACTGAGTTTGAGACAGTGAAAATACATATGGTATGTTGTATCTGAACAGGTTAGCTTACGAGCTTAAGTTACTTAGCACAGATGAAAGTTAAAACAAAGACGTTTATCAAACTGTTAAAGCATCGTCATATGAGAAATCCGACGCTATGACTCTCCACAAGTTGTCCTTCAGGTCACATTGAACGGACCTGAATAGTTTGCTGACCATGATATAACCGTAATTGTCATACAGCATGACTTAAACTCCGTGGATAATCTCTCTGTGGGATATTTATCTAGAAAAAGATGAAAAACACCAGCTGAAGGCTATACCAGAGCTTCTTGGGCTTCACTAACATCCCAGCAGATCTACAGGCTCATCACCTCCGTTCAATGTAAAGAAACCTCTTTTGCTGTGTCAAATTCAGAGCACTAGTAAGTCTATCTAAATCATGCGGATTCATCCAGTTTAAGAAGAAAATGGCGACCAAAGAAAACTCGATCAACTGATGCTGAGAATCAAAAAAGAAAAAAACGAACTTGAAATCCAGATCATGATCCTGATCTTGACTAAACCTCTCCAACATCCGTGCTCTGGACACCATGTTTGGGAGATGTCATCCCATATCGTGTGGATAGCTGGATATTATATTGTTAGCAGTAAATGGTGTTAAGATAGTGTCAGGTGGGAGGGGGAGTGCTCTCATTTAAGATGATATCTCTCTGGGAAAAAAGGGGCAGCAGCCAAATGCAGCAGGTTTGATAATTTTGTCAAATTGCCAGCAGCACTTTGAGGCCTCTCTGCAGAACATCTTAAAGAAGACCTGCTGTAATATATGAAACCATCTTCATAATGTATCAGGACTGAATGGCTGCAATGCCACTTAAGGTAGTGGTGCTGTAATTGGTGCTCAAAAAATCTTAATAGTATCATATATCCTGAGCTGGGCTTTTAAAAGGATCTATTGTGAGGTTTTGCCTTGATCTCTTACGCTCACACACACGCACGCACGCACACATAAACACACACACACACACACACACTCACACAGGATAATGCATTCAAGCCATCATTTCATCGTAGAAATCCCCGGCGTATCGGGACACCACATGCTGTAATGATCGTCTGTAAATGGCTCGGTTGGACCGCTAACTTGTGTAAATAGTGCAGGCTGAGACTAATGTACTGTCTTGTAATAGGGGGAAATTGCGCACCTATTACAGCTAGACCCTCACAGAGAGGAGGAGGAGGAGGAGGAGAGAGGAAAAGGAGGTGGAAGAAGAGGAGGAGAAGAGAAATAAGAAAAAAGGGGAATTAATGAGGAAGATGAAAGAAAATCAGTGGAGGGAGAAAAGAAAAGTTTGAGTGTGTGTGAGGAGACTTTTGAAGCTCAACAGGAGGGCGTTATTTGTGTTGTGGTAAAAGCTGAATGATGAATGTAATATTTTTGTATTTCTCTGGATTTGCGCCCAATATCAACTTTGGGACATGGTTGATAGGAACAGTTTTTAATTGTTTACAAATCATTCAGAGCCTCTTTTGAATCAAAAATAATAATAATAATGCATCAGATTTCATATAGCGCTTTATCAGAGACCCTCAAAGCGCTTTACATTGGATACATCATTCATTCGCTCACACAGTCACACTTTGGTGGTGGTGGAAACGTGGCTGCCATTCTGCGCCTACGGCCTCTCCGACCACCACCATACAACACTCACAATCATACACCAGTGGAGGACACACACTGGGAGCAAGGTGGGTTAAGTGTCTTGCTCAAGGACACAACGGACAGACTTGGATTAGGGGGGAATCGAACCGCCAACCTTCCGGTCATTGGACGACAGCTCTACCTCCTGAGCTACTGCCGCCCCACGAAATAGTGGAGAGACAACATGTAAACTGTTGATACCGGACATGTCAGGACTGCAGTCAGGCTGGTTTAGCAGCGAGACTCTTCTACAACAGAGTTTGTCATTTTCTTGCTGAAATATGAAGGTCCTCTTTGTCTGGATGGCAGCAGATGTTGCTCCTAAACCGGTAGTGGAGCCTTCACAGATGTAGAAGATACCCATGACATGGACTCTGATGATCCCCAGACCATCAGGGATGCTGGCTTTGAACTGGGAGCTGATAACAAGCTGGGTGGTCCCTCTCTTCCTGAGAGAGAAGGAGGATGGGACATGTGTGATTTCCAAAAGCAATGTCATATTTTGATTCATCAGACCATAGGACAGTTTTTCACCTCAGTCCATCTTAAATGAGCCCAGGTCCAGAGAAGCCTCTGGTGTTTCTGGATTTTGTTTCCACCTGGTTTCCTCTTTGCAGTTTTCATCCTGTATTTGTTTTGATCGTCTCCCCTTTAACATTGAGATTTCTCCAGATCCTCTGAATCTAAATTCACTCATTCTCTTACAGAGTGGTGAACCTCTTCTCATCTTTCCTTCTGAAAGACTCAGCCTCTCTGAATGTCCTTTTTACACCCAGTCATGGTACTAACCTGTTTTTTTTTTTTTTTAGCATTACAACTTTGTATGAACCTGTTGCTGAATCACATTTAAAGAAATATCAACACCAGTCCCTAAAGGTCCTTACACACCGGGAACGAAGCAAATATACAACATGAAATTATGAAATATTCTGAGGTGAATTTTGACACGCTTGACTATAAATCAAGCACGATGCGATTTTGTGAGAAGACTGAGCCAACAGCAGACGGAGTGTTTTTCAGTTCTGATTAGACTCTAGTGTTGAGAAGTCTGTCTGTCATGATAGCATGAACTGAGTCGGGGCCAGTACCAGATAAGAACATTAAACTATAATCCATAAACGTGAAGTAACAACCGACTGAGTTTGAGACAGTGAAAATACATATGGTATGTTGTATCTGAACAGGTTAGCTTACGAGCTAAAGTTACTTAGCACAGATGAAAGTTAAAACAAAGTCGTTTATCAAACTGTTAAAGCACACAAACCATCGTCATATGAGAAATCCAACGCCATGACTCTCCACAAGTTGTCCTTCAGGTCGTTATCTTTGTAATGTTTGTGTCTTTTATCAAAAATCACTCTGTTCTCCGACACGTAAACAATCAGCTGGTCGGTCATGTTGAATATACCGGTGAATCTGACATTGCAACATCACGAAATCTGATTGGTCAGAAGTGGACACACAGTATGTGAAACTGAAGAAAATTTGACTGTGATACGAAAAAATAAATGCCGCAATATCACAGGACGGGAAAATGTTGCTGACGTGAACGCTTGTATTAACAGGATACAGGTTAGAAAAAAAAATATTGACATACGAAATAATCGCACGTAAAAAACGCTCCCGGTGTGAAAGGACCTGAAGTATTAAAAAATGTCTTTTTTGGGACACTAACTTGTGGTACTCCAGATGTTTAAGCTGCTTGTTTGTTGCAGTTTGAGCTTAGGTTAGCATTTGCTCATTTTCATTGTTTGCAGTCATGCATCTAAAGTCAAAATCAAGAAACCTTAAGGTTGTAGATGTGGGTGCTTTTCAATGCCCTCTCGCTAATAATATGTAAAGAAACCAAAGAAACGTCTGCTAATTGAAGGTGTTGTGATAAAATATGAATGAAAGCTCTGATAACAGGCTTACAGCCGTTAATGAAACAGATGAAAACAGAGTGTCATTCATGGTGTTTGAGTTCATGTGAATCACACTGAAGTGAAGTATGAGGCTTTTTAAATCTGCCTTTTAAATCGGGGTTTGTTTGCAGACAGAAACCCCTCTCTTATAGGTGTTTTGTCACGTTGTTGTTGTTTAAGGGAATTAATTGAAACTCTGCAGAGCCGGCTCTAATACACGCTCATTTCCTTTAGCTACTGTTAAGCGTAAATTGGCAAACCTCTGCATAATGTGTTTGTGTGAATAGACAGTTTAGATCGTTGTTTGTTGGAAATATTTGTTTGCTCAGTTATTGTGTTCATGCAGACGAATATGAAGCCTGTCTCTTTATGCTGCTTCATTTCTTCTTAGTTGTTTGCTATTATGATAACAAGGATCCATTTGATGTCAGCAGGCCTTTTATCTTCAAATGAGCCATTTAAATGTCATTACTCTGTGTGTATTTTTGTGTGTGTATGCGCGTGATCATTCCTCTTACACGGCCCATTCATGTCTCGTCATTTCTTCTACAAGGAGAAATTACCAGCATTCACTCGGATTCTGCAGCAGCTACTATTTTCACTTTTTATTGTTCAGTGGCATAAATTTGAGCTTTTGTGCGTCTCTGTCCTCACTTGTTTACTGTTCAAATATCAGGCCAAAATGACGACACAAAGATTATTAGAGTCATTAACATGGTAAACATTTGTTTTGTCCTTTTTTTTCAATTAAAAATTATCCATTTAGCATTGACCAACATTAATGATGTTTGTGATAAAAAACCTTTTTATACCTCTTGGATCGACACATTGACAGTAATCAGAAATATAATTCCCTTCAGGGAGGAGGTGTTCACCAAAGCCTGAAGCTGACTTGAGTGAAGGTCTTTACACACCGGGGCCAACGCGAATATAAAATGCGAAATTAGGAAATATTAAGAGGTGAATTTTGCATCCCGGGGAAGACTTTTCCCGGGGAAAGTCCCGCCTCCTTCACCTCAGATTGGCTAGAAAAGCTGGAAACATCATCACACGTTCAAGCCAAATGGTCAACACTTACAGCCAATCAGAGGTGATACGATAAGCACATGAAACTATGGTAACAACCGTTAGCTGACATTGGTACAGATGAAAGTTAAAACAAAGACGTTTAGCAAACTGTTAAAGCGCACAAACCATCGACATATGAGAAATCCGACGCTATGTTGTCCTTCAGGTCGTTATCTTTGTAATGTTTGTGTCTTTTATCAAAAATCACTCTGTTCTCCGACACGTAAACAATCAGCTGGTCGGCCATGTTGGATATACCAGTGAATCTGACGTCGCAACAACACGCAATCTGATTGTGAACGCTTGTATTGACAGGATACGGGTTTGAAAAAAGATATTGACGTCCGAAAGACTTCGATGTACAAAAACTAAAAGTTAAGTTACTCTTTAATAACTATTGCAGCAGTCACACTCACACTCTTTAAGTCACGTTTTCCTGAGTCATTGGACCATTTTTTTCGACATCTTTAAAAGTGCATGAACTTGATTTGTTGATCTACATCTCATGCCACCTCTGTCTATTTCCTGGAGTGGCAGATAAGCCATAGGGCAGCTCTCCCAGTGCTCTATGGGTAATTTAGGACATCCCATCTGGCAGGTTGAGTTGACAGGGCCTCTGTCTCTGCAGCAGTTCTCTGTAATTTGCTTGTTTTCTTCTCTGCCATAGAGCTGACAGACTGCAGGAGTATTCCTCTCTCTCTCTCTCTAACTCTTTCTCTTGCTCGCTCGCCCTTTTTCTAAGTGTGCTCTCTCTCCTTTTGTTGTCATTGTGTTATTCAGCTCAGCTCTGTGGCCTCTGAGTCAAGAAGAAAAACACAGGCTGCAGGCAGCATAGAAATCAACCCTACTCTGTCAAAGTGAAGAAATCTAACACAGCGATGAAAACACAGTCCTCCAGCAAACACCCGGGGCCTGTTCTACCAAGCAGGATTACTGCTTAGCGAGGTAACTTGAAGGGTAGGTTAGGGGTTTCCTGCTCTTCTTAGCGAAGTGAGTCTCCATGGCAACGTACGCTGAACGGCTAACCTGCTCCGGGGCAGGTTAAGTTCCAGATTGAACTCACAGAGTATAAAAACCCCACCCACTGACCAATGAGCTCTCTCGAAAAATGGCTTGTCCGTTCTTGGAGGATCCTACAGATTTCGGTGCTCGTATTGTCCGAGGAGCACTCCGGCGCGTGAGAGTTTTCAGGGACTGCACGGACGCACTTCCTTTTCCGGATGACCACCTTTATGAAAGAGAAAATTCTGGATACTGTGATCCAGAACACACAAAAATAAGGGTGTCGTTGGAATTTTCAATGCTGAAAGATAACCAATGGGCGGCACAGTGGTGTAGTGGTTAGCACTGTCGCCTCACAGCAAGAAGGTCCTGGGTTTGAATCCGGGTCAGGGCATTTCTTGTTTTAGGAACATTATGAACAGTGAACATACCAGTTTAAACACAAATAAAAGTTCATTAAAGACACGTAACAGTAAAAGTTTTGGTGTGAATCACAATATAAGGGGGGACATGAGCTGCTTGGTGGAGGTCTGCGCTCTCCGAGTGCTTTTCTAGTATTAACAATGTTTCTGTCAAACACAAAGATATACAATCTAAACCTAAAACTGACAATGACCAGGGCAAAATAGGTTAAAATCCTTAAAATTAGCCACACCATTCATGCATTTTGGTGTTATTGTACGAGTTGCTTTTACACCTAATTCACTCTTTTAATGCTGATGCATCTCCAGTTTTCTAGAAATCTTGCAGCAGCACTTAAATGATAGGTTATGCCATTTTATGTAATATATGTACGACAAACTCACACCCAAGACATAAACAGAGTTTAGGAAAAGCTTTTATCCTTTTATAAAGTGGTAAATTCCCTCGTTTCATGTTGTGGTTTTAAATCTTCTTGCAGCGTTTTGTGAACAGAACGATCCGACTGTGATGAATTTACGAGAAAAAGGAGTGTTGGACATAAGCTTTAAGTGCGTGCGCACTGTACAGTGTGTGTGTGTGCATGTGTGTCAAAAGAACTTTGACAAACAGCTCCCCTGTTTACCATGGCGACGCCGCGGCCTGTGTTCTCCTGTCTCTACAGCAACCAAGGTCCTGGGCTCTCTGATTGGCTGAGCTGTTGAACTCACAGTGAGAGACAAAAGAGAAGGACCCGGCTCTGCTAATTTCTTATCACCGAATCCCATTAGGCTCAGGGCTTTTTTTCATTAACACACACAAAAGTAAAGTGGAAATCACCGTATTCAGCCGGCTCAGCCCCCACTGAGAGCCTGGCCAGACCCCCCACAAACATCACCCTGCTGGGATTAATACCAGAGGAAGAAAGTGACAAAATACAAGCCTCATTACCACAAAAATACTTATACCTTTCTGACAAAATACATGGAACAAATGAGACTTTAATGGGTAGAAGTGATAAACACCATTTAAATCAGTGATACATGTAGGTTTTTAAGAGTCATGTTATCAAAACATATCCAAATACTGAGTTCACCAATCGTAATATATTATATGCTGTCATATGTACATCCAATTATGATCACCTTTGGCTTTGAGGAAAGAACAAATAAAAGGTACCGTGATTAAATGTAGATACAAAATAAAACCAAAAGCCTCGTTTTGTTTGCCAAATCAAGGCTTCCAATTTATACAGCAATTACCTTGAATAACAGACATTCCTTGCTAACCTAGCTAGCATCAGAGAATAACTTGTTGCTGGCAAAGCCTTCCCTTTTCTCCAACCTCATCCTTTCAGGATTTCTAGCTCCAAATTTAAAGATGGTGACAGCCAAAGAAACAAATATAAGGAATACATGTTTTTTTCGCTTGTATTTCTGAGTGTGGAAGGTGGAATGTACAGGGTAAGTTTCCACTGAAAAAAGGGCTTCTGCTGTCCCAGGTGTCTCTTTAACATCTCTCTGCAAACCCTTATCTTCCTTCCCTCGATCTCTTCTCTACCTAACATGTCTTTCCAAAGCAGAGCAGGGGGAGGTAAAGCATACAGCCAAGGAGGTTATGTTTTCGGTAGCGTTGGTTTGTTTGTTTGTCTGTTAGCAACTTTTCGGGGAAAGTTACAGACAGATTGACCTGAAATTTCCCCCAAAAGTTCGTCTCAGCCCCAGGAGGATCCCATTACATTTTGGTGGTGATCCGAACAAAATTCTGGATACTGTGATCCAGAACACACAAAAATAAGGGTGTCGTTGGAATTTTCAATGCTGAAAGATAACCAATGGGCGGCACAGTGGTGTAGATAGGCGGCACAGTGGTGTAGTGGTTAGCACTGTCGCCTCACAGCAAGAAGGTCCTGGGTTTGAATCCGGGTCAGGGCATTTCTTGTTTTAGGAACATTTTGAACAAATAAAAGTTAATAAAAGACACGTAACAGTAAAAGTTTTGCTGTGAATCACAATATAAGGGGGGACATGAGCTGCTTGGCGGAGGTCTGCGCTCTCCGAGTGCTTTTCTGGTTAAGGATACCCATTAGCTGAAGCCATAGCAATCAACTAGTCTTCCTGGTTTCTTCATAACACGAGCAAGTGCAAACCGTGTACAAAATACAATATCACGATAAAAATTATACAATCAATATTCAAAAAGGTTAAAAACCAGAAACTCAATCTGGCAAACAAAATACAGTAAAAAACATCCACAGAGAGAGAGACAGACAAAAAAAAAACCACATACATACATAAACAAAGCATAAACAAAAAACACATCACAGATTCAAATATTGTTTGATGAATTATCAAGACCCAACCTAAGATGGGATTTGGCCCATCTCATCGAACATGAGTCTAACACAGTATGTGAAAATTCAACCGTGATACGAAAAAATAAATGCCGCAATATCGCAGGACGGAAAAACGTCACTGATGTGAATGCTTGTATTGACAGGATAGGGGTCCTGTGTGTAAGGACCTTAACCCAAAAGGTGTGATTTTAGACAAACAGACTTCACGTCCTCGCTCTGCCTTTCCTGTCTTCTCTAGAACATCTCTCTAAAGACACTTGACTGTTTCCTCTCTTTGCATCAAGTGCGGGACGTGGGGGTAGCAGAGTGTACAACCTAACATCACGGGGGTGAGGTGTAGCTTATGCCGGTAAAACACTTTCTATTGAACTCCACATACAGAGAATTTCACAGTAATACAGAGTAAACTGATGAATACCTTCAGAGTCTTTTTGACACTTCGACCTGTTCAGTCTTTATGTCAGCTCTACGCTCTCCATCTTTCACCTGTCACCATTCCTCTACTGCTCCTGACAGGAGGTGGTGGTTACACATATATGCTCCTGTGTGTGTGTGTGTGTGTGTGTGTGTGTGTGTGTGATAACGGCCTGTATGAAGCCGGATTGACAGACAAAGGCCTAATCGCTCCTCGGCTCCGGCAGCCAAACAGCTCAGAGGAAGTATTGACCCAAAAGCACCATAATCCCCTTCACCTAACGCGGGCAATTTCATGTAATACCTGTAATAACACGCGTTTAGCTCCAAGTAGTCGTCAAAAGAGCGCCGAGCATCTGATTTTAAGAGGTGAGCGCTTTGAATAAAAGAGACCTGAAGAGTGTATCAATCTGTAATAACAACATCACGGCCCTGGACTGGCTTTTCTTTTCAAAATCTCCTCGTCTCTCCCTCTTTGTGTCTAAATGTGCAGCTCCGGTGACATCCAGACTTGTTTTAAAGAAACATATGGAGGCTCAGATGGTAAAGAAAAGCCATGTCAAGCACAGGTTCTCATTTTCCTTTAGTTCACATGTGGATATCTGACATTTGAAATGCCTGAAGGTTGAGGTTAGATACTGTTTGTGCCTCACTTGTCAGTTTTATGCTCTCTGCTGTCAGTAGGGGTTTTGTACCAGTGTTGCGAAAATCGTGGAAACAGCAGAGGCACGGAGGCTGGGATTTCCTCAGAAGTTGACAGAAAGAAAGGATCGTTAACACTCGAGAGTTTTTTAACCAAAGATGAAGTAAAATTTTGGGTAACGTGCACAATTTACGCCGTCTTATACTACCCTCAGACCAGGACTCTTCTACTACAGAGTCATGCTGTTGTAATCCCTGTTGTCAGAATGTGGTTTGTCATAGTCTCGCAGAAAAAGTCCCTGAAAAAGTCATTGTCTGGATCTCAACAGATGTTGCTCCTAAATCTGTAGATATGCAGCATTTTTGTCCCATTGCCAAAATTTTCAAAATAAGTTGCTGGAACTGATTTTAGAATGAGAATATATGTTTCTGGGAACGCCCTAAATTAACAGTTTTCTGGGGAAGTATCCACAGATCACTACGCTCAGTGTTTAATACTCAAATACCCCCTGATTTCGCTACCTTGTTTCTAGGAAGGGTTGAATGCCTGAGCCAGTTGAGAGATACAAAACTAATATCTGATGATCCCGTGCCAGTCCTCCGCCCAAGCTGGGAGACTGGCACGGGATAGTCTTGGAGATCTTTAGAATGGAAAAGCTCACATACCAGATAAGAAAACAGGAGGATAAATTTTATCAAATTTGGAACAAATGGATAACGCATATCGCCCCTCTAAGTGCAGATTTCATATGATCCCGCTGGCTCCCCTGCTCTAATGTAGAGTGCTTTTACAGAAAATCTGAGTTTCTCTTTTTTTTTTTTTTTTTTTTTTTCTTGTTACCCTCACTCAGCACATTTGTAAATATTTTCGTTTGGTGGTTTCTTATTTAAATTTTTTTTTTAAATGTATTTATTTATTTTTAGTTTATTTATTTATTTTTGGTGCTGTTTTTTTTTTTTAATTTATGTATTTTTCATTTATTTATTTATTTTAGGTTCTGTTTTATTTATTTATTTTTCATTTATTTATTTATTTATTTTTGGTGCTGTTTTTTATTTTTTTTTTATTTTTTTATTTTTTCATTTATTTTTTTTATTTTAGGTTCTTGGTTGCACAGTGGAAGTCAGGATGTTGATCTTCCTCCCAAGAATATGCCCTCGACGGGGGAAAGGTTAAGGACACTGACTATAATGGACATGGGGAAGGACGCAATCTACCCAAGATGTTGGTTAAAAACAACATGGAATATCGTTTCTGTTGATGTTGTTTCTCTTTAATAAAGAAATAATTATAAAAAAAAAGAGAATAAAGCTGTGAAATTGCTCATTTTCAATGACTAATATGCTGTTTTGCACCTTTTTCATTTAAATTAAGATTTCAAATGATTTGCAATCCATCAAATTCTGCTGTTATCAACATTTAACACAACTCAACGTCTTATTTTGAATGGTGTTCTTCAAATTTCTGCTGTTTTGGGGGTTTTTATGCACAAGAAGTAAGAAACTCTTCAAATGTTTTCTTTGAATAGTTTAGATTCTCATTTCTGATGCAACCCTGGAAAGCCTGGAGAATTCACATGCAGGCTTTCTGACACATTAGCCAGCATCTTTCTGGCTTCAGCTGCAGAAATTTAACCGGAGCCTGAATATGCGTTGCATCATTCTCATCCCCGAGTTTAAATCGACCCTGTTTTTTTTTTTTTTGCACCATGCATTAAATTTCTCCCCCTATTTATAGGAGACAAATTTCTTTGGCAGTGGATAAAACTTTCAACGGTAATGATTCATCAGAGCTGGAGCCCGCATACTTTCAGGCTGTGTGTTTTGCTGCTGCACACTGAGTGTGTATAATGTGAGGCTTAGCCAGGAGGAGAAGTGGTGCAGATGATGGAGCAGGTGGTATTTTCTGTTTGTGCTGGCCTACAAATACAAAAAAATGACAGGACAGATGGAGTAACAATCATTCAGAGCAGGTTTAAAATATTACTGCCACACTGTTAAGTCCGATAAATGAGAAGTTTAATCAGAAACCTTATCAGTGACATCGCCTCGATCATAGCAGTCTGCGTTTACACTCTTAAACACACCTTTTTTAAGGCGGATTTGTTCCATGTGTCTGATATAAATCAACCTGCTCGTCCTCACAATAAAACACACACTGCACTCACACACCCTTCCTGCGTGTGTGTGTGTGAGAGTCAGATAGTAAGAGGCCTCTATCATCAATCTGCATATTAGCGCTGGACCGTCCCTTTAATTTCCTACAGCGGACGATAACCATCACGTCGTCTCTGCCTCTCACAGACTCAGACTTTATAAGTGTGTGTGCGGCTCTGTTTGTGTGTGAAGAGGTTGTTGGCTCACGCATGTATTGATCTGCTATTGATTTAGGTTTAAGTGAAATGATGTGTGAGATATTAAAAGCATCGACGAGGGAGCGGAGAGGACAAACAAGCCGTCTGAGGAGATCAGAAACATCATTCAATCATTTAAAATCATTACTCGACCAAAACAAACATTATCTCTACATTATTAGCTCCCACAGGTGATTGACTGTGTGTGTGTGTGTGTGTGTGTGTGTGTGTGTGTGTGTGTGTTTTTCAATGTTAGTGTTTGCTCTGCGTGTCACTCAGGTGCACCCGTCAGCTCCAGAGCAATGATTGTTTCACCTTAATTAACTCTGTGAGGTCCAGGTATGTGGCCTCGCTGCAGCCTGCGTGAATGTGCGTGAGTGTGTGTGTGTGTGTGAGTGTGTGTGTGTTTGCATTCAGTTGTAGCACATTGCTAGCAAGAGACGAATGCTAATCTCCGTCGTGCCATTATTCCCAGAGACCTTGGGTGAGACGAGGAGATGGAGGTAGATAACGAGGGGAGAAAGAGACGATGCAGGGAGGAAGGTTATGAATGAAGCTTTTGTGAGTGTGTGTGTGTGTGAGGAGAAAGAGTGTGTGTGCATTAGTGGTAGAAAAGAAAGGTAAAGCAAATTAGAAGTATGAGAGGAAGAAGCAAAGAGGGGCGTTACATGTGGTTTGCATTGTGCGTCTTCATTTCTTCAAGGCCAGAGAGAGACAAAGATGTTTCTGTCTTCAGAATGTATACTGAGTGCAAAACAAGGTTACGGTGAGGTGATATGAAGGTTTAGCTGAGCCACAAGTCCGTTTAGGAGGAGGGAAGAGTTGGCGAAGGCGATTGTATCATCGTCAAAAAGCAGGTTTGCTGCGTAAGATGTTAATAAAAACTGAATTTGATGGTTTGCAAGTCATTGAAAGCCGACATTTTTAATCGGGAATAGATCTATGACGACTACTGTCCCATGGCCTTACGATACTACGCCACAGACTTGTTATCAGCTCAGAGTTCAAAGACAGAATCTGGGGGATCATATTGGGACAGGATGGATCTGCAGTAGAAGAGTCCTGCTGCTAATCTGCCCTGACTTGTCGACCATTAAAAACAGCTTTAAATGTGGTGCGAATCATCAAAGTTGGTTTTAACCGATAATCTACACACACCCCAGCTAAAAAACATAAATGACACGAGGGAAGAATATGTCTGGATTCTGGAGTCCACCCTTTGTTAATGACACCTCCATCTCAACGCCAGTAAGACAAAAGAGATGGTTGTGGATTTCTGCAGGAGGAGGACACCTCAGACTGTTCCAGTGAACATCCAGGGTCTGGACATCGAGATGGTGGAGTCTTACAGGTTCCTGGGTGTCCACCTCAACAATAAACTGGACTGGTCAACCAACACAGACGTCCTGTACAAGTAAGGGCCAAAGTCGTCTCCACCTGCTGAGGAGACTGAGGTCTTTTGGAGTGTGCAGGACTCTGCTCAGGACTTTCTATGACTCTGTGGTAGCATCTGCACTTTTCTATGCAGTGGTCTGAAGGCCAGTTCTGTCCTGGACTGTTCTTTGGACTCCCTGGAGGTGGTGGGTGAGAGGAGGATGTTTACAAAGCTTGTATCCATCATGGACAATCCCTCTCGCCGACTGCACCAGACTGTGGGGGCTTTAAGCAGCTCCTTCAGCAGCAGACTGAGACTTCCACCTTCCTACCGCAGATCATTCTTGCGGAAGAAGAATTTTAGAGGTAAAATGAAAAATTCATATTTTGGTCTGAAAAAAAACCCCGACATAGTATACTATGACGAAAGTTTCAGATTTTAGGCTGAAAAAAAAATTCAGATTTTAAGATGAAAAAACATGCCATAGTATTGTCTGATCACATTGCCATAGAATAGGATGTTAAAAATGTAATATTTTATATGTTTTATATGTTATATTTTATAAGTTCTTAATATTAGGATCTTTATTTTTATAACTGCATTTTTGCACTTTCTTTGTCTGTGATGCTGCTGTGACAAAATTTCCCCCATGGGGGATCAATAAAGGAATATTCTATTCTTCTATTCTATTCTATAAAAAGTCTGTTTTCCGTTTTTAAACCCATAAATAAATAAAAACCTCCCTCTGTTCAAAGCTGTAGGCAGAGTAAAGGGAAGAAAAGAGTCATGTCTCTCTTCAACGACCTCATCTTTTATCTATTTCATTCTTTTGAGCTTTATTTTCTTTTCATTCATGAAAAAATTTTATATCCCTTAAAGAAAGCTGCATGAGTTTTCAACAGATCAAACGGAAAACCTCTGTCTGTGTTCTTTGTTTTCCTTTCGCCTCGATTTTTCTCACATTTCTTGAAAAATTTTTTAAAAAATTCAGGTGCTCCCCTTTTCTTTGTTGTAGTCCAGTGTGAATTCTAGTAACCCAAATCTTCTGGTATTTTCCTGTTTTCCAGGTCAGAGATGATCATGGTGTCTGCGCTGAAGTTGACACAAATACCTCAGAAAAAATCCAGTCCTGTGCCTGATGTGAACCCTGTATCTGAAGGTAAGAGATGCCAGAGATTTTTCATGAAATGAACCCTCTGAGTTTGTCCTAATAAGCGCTCTCATTGTCCGTCTTTGTCGCTTTATAAAAGTGAAATTTCAAGATCTGCTCTAAGTCATAAATGTGAAAGACATTACATCCTTCTGTGGTCAAGCTCTGCTTAGATTCTCGCTCTATCAAAAGTTCTTTCTTTTCCTTCCATATACGCTTATACTGTGGACAAGTGTGTATGAGTGTGTGTCTTTCAATGAGATAAACACTTGAGCTGCAGATTCAGCGCAGAAAGGAAATCTATAATGTTTAATACCAAGGTCAGAGTCATTGTTTCTCCCTCTCTGCCTGCTCGCTCCAGCACAATACGACTACTTTCTCCTCCTCGGTGAAGAAAAGTTTCCAATCAAACACTGCAGCTGGAGGTGAAGAGTCAGTCCCTCCATCTGCAGCTCAAATCAGCGGCTAATAACTCAACGTCCTTTCACTGAGAGATTCTTTAGTGGTGGTTGGATGTGGGAGAAATTTCTGCACGTTTTGTTTGACTGAAAGCTAAAACTTCTTCTATAGTGAGTTTGAACTTTGGAAACACAGACACAGAAAACTATGCCTTGAAGGACGGGGTCGGTGATATTTGTATTTTTGTTTCAAAAATTCCAATTAAAGAACCAAAACTAACAATAAATTTAGCTGACATGTTGCTCAGTGCCACAGACCTCAGGTTTTATTCAAAACAGTTTATTCTCAGTTTTCTAAGGCCCCAACGACACGAATGTGGATATATTTCAAACCGCACATATTTATGTCGGATTAGGCCTCCCTACCACACCAAAACGGGAGTTTGGAACACTCAAACCGGATAAATCTGAATCTGAAAAAACAGGTGGAGAAATTTTTTTTAAGTGGCACTAGATAGGATTGAGTTTGAAGCCTACGTGTGGACGCAGATATTTTTGAGAACTAACACGTGTGGACAGATACATTTATTTAGACGGGAGTACAAAAATAAGTTTGCCTTCTCCAGCTGCCTAATATGGTAAAAGCTAGATTTCACTACGGAGCTAGATTGCCTGTCGAATTTAAAATCACTGTCCATCTTAAAACCCAAATTTGAGACGGTTGGCTTTAAATAGTCTGCTAAAATACCCCAGTCTACAATCAGCTGATTGGCCATGTTGGATATACCGGTGAATCTGACGTCGCAACAACACGAAATCTGATCGGTCAGAAGTGGGAACATAGTACACAAATTCGGCCGTGATACGAAAAAAATAAATGCCGCAATATCGCAGGACAGGAGAACATCGCTGATGTGAACGCTTGTATTAACAGGATACGGGTTCGAAAAAATATATTGACGTCCGAAATAATCACAATAAAAAAACGTTCCTGGTGTGAAAGGACTTTTAGACTCACCTGGATCAAACGGACATAAGTTACACGACGATCTTTTTTTTTTTTTTGAGGGTTCATCTCACTGAAGTACGCCAGAGTGCAGCTTTCTGATAACTGTTTACAGAGAAACTGAGACTCAGATGAACAGGCGCCCCTTTTTGGGATGTTATGTACAGAATCAGAAATGATTCTGATTCTCTTCTGACCCCCTAATACAATACTCCTTGCTGTACTTTGTTGTAGTACTCATCAGCTGGAGTTACTCCACCTCTACTGCTGTATTTTTTCCCATTTCATGAATCAGTCATGTTTGATTTCAACACCTTGTATTAGGAGTTGCCCATTTGTCTTCCACAAGGCCCAGTATCTTTCATTTGTCTCTTTTGTGTTCCATTTTCCACCTGATAGAGTCAGAGAGAGCTGAGTTTAGTCCCCTCGGCCCCCCTCCTCACCCCTTCCTCCCCCTGTTGTCCTCCTGTCATGCTCCTGATCCCTCCATCGCTGTCATGTCACAGCTTTTATCCCGTCACCCTGAGAGCGCGCGCCTCCTTATTGTCCTGCTGCTCTCTGCTCTGATTAGGGTCAGGGGGTCAACCGGGGACTCATCATTAGCTGAGAGCGTGCACGTGCATACATGTGCAGGTGAACATGTGTGCACGACATAATAAGGTGCTTCAGTGATCGAGAAAGAGGGGAAATTTGCAGAGAGGGAACAAAGACTTTGAAGAACAAATGAAGAAAGTGTGTGAGGAATTCAGTTTTGTACATTTATCAGATTATTCGAGGTTTTTTTGCTTAAATACAGAAAAAAAACGAGTCATTTCAGCTTGAAATCTTTGACGTGTGCCTGAGATATGAGCGACAAAATCAAAAGAAATAAAGAAATTCCTTCTTCTAAGTTTGCAAATGAATGTTAAGCAGAAAAAAAATGTTAATAAATAAAAATCCTGGTGAGATTGTAAATCAGTGATGCCAAGTCATGTAGGACTTTATATACAGTCAATGGTGGGTCCTTCTTTTTACAGATTTTTAACCTGAATTTAAAAAGTTTCTGTCACTTGGTGAGGGGTGTCTCGTCCTGGTTTTTCTGTCTTGTCATTTTCATGTTTTATTTTGAAAAATAACTCTCCTCTCGTTTCAGGTCACTTGCCCTTCCTCTCGTGTCTCCGGTCTGACGTCTCCCCTGATTCCTGGTTGTTTCCACCTGTTCCCCATTAACCCCATGTGTCTTATAGTCGGCGTCTCCCTTTGTCCTGTACCAGTGTCTCGTTTATTCGTGTTCCTCCAGCCTTCATGTCCACCGCCGTGCCCGATAACCATGTTTGTATTTTGGATAATCCTTGATTCCTCTTTAGAAGAGTGATTTTCTGTTGTAGTTTTTCCTCTTTAGTTTCTAGTCTTGGTTTGTTTTGTTTCTGTGTTTTGTCTGTTTGCCATCAGTAGAGATATAGAAGGTTTTCATAGCAAAATAAAGCGTTTGTTGATCTTTGAACCTCTGCGTCTGAGTCCTCCCTTAAGCCCAGGCCTGACAGTTTCTAACTTTGTGTCAGGTTTATTTGAATATGTTGCTGTATGTGATCATTTCAGATGCTCGGGCTGCTGTAAAACTCAAATGCTGCAGACAGAGGGTCTTTTCACCAAAAATATAAAACACTGAGAAACAACAACACATTTTGCGGTGGCTGCATGTGTCTGCATATGGCAGCCGCGGTGGCAAATGTGGAGTTTCTTCCCTTGCTCCTGGATGAGCCGTCTTCACTGTTGATGGTCAATGATGAGGTGACTTTTTTTCATTTTAATAAACCACAACATGATTAGAATAACTTTAAACCCATGCTCTATAAGGTGTGCTACTGTGTGTTTCAGACATTCAGTGGAAACACAGCCCTGCACATCATCAGCTCTTTGAGGAGCCTCGACACAAAAAGGAGCTGACCCCGGGACAAGGGAGTGTCCTGCCGTCCCAAATAATAATGCATCAGATTTCATATAGCGCTTTATCACAGACCCTCAAAGCGCTTTACATTGGATACATCATTCATTCGCTCACACAGTCACACTTTGGTGGTGGTAAGCTACCTTAATAGTCACAGCTGCCCTTGGGGGGCGGAAACGTGGCTGCCATTTTGTGCCTACGGCCTCTCCGACCACCACCACACAACACTCACAATCATACACCAGTGGAGGACACACACTGGGAGCAAGGTGGGTTAAGTGTCTTGACCAAGGACACAATGGGATAGGGATAGGGGGGAATCGAACCGCCAACCTTCCAGTTATTGAACGACCGCTCTACCGCCTGAGCTACTGCCGCCCAGATGGACCTGTAGGTGAAATCGTATGGTGTGTATATATGTCAATAATACTGCAGTCAACTCCTTTTTCCCCCTGGGATATTTGTTCACAGTGATAGTCTGGATTGACTCTTTTTTTCAGGTGCAGAGGATCCTTAAAGGGAAGTACTGCCGAGCTTAAATCAAGTTCAGAAACGCTGTCAGTCAGACATTCATACTATAATTCTGTTTCCTCAGTCAGTTTTCTTATCCTCTGAGTAAAGGGAAAATGTCTAGAATGTCCAGTGTCTAGAATGGAGAGTGAAAGAGGAAACAAACACAGTACTCCTGTGTCTCCACATAGCTCAGTGGGTAAGGAGACTGACTAGGACTCCCAAGGTCGTGGGTTCAAGCCAAGTCCAGGTCCAGGTGAAATTTTAAAGTCTTGTGTGTAAAAAGAAGAGGGAAATAGGAAACAAACAGTGTTCTCTCATGTGTCCACATAGCTCAGAGGATAAGAAGACAGGCTGGCACTCCTAAGGTTGGGGCTTCAAGCCTTATCAGGGGCAAAGTGAATTTTAAAGTCTTGTGTCTAAAAAGTAGAGTGAAAGAGGAAAAAAATGCTAAACTGCTCACTGTCCACATGGCTCAGAGGGTAAGAAGACAGACTAGGGCTCCTGAGGTTGCCGGTTCAAGCCCTTATCAGGGCTGAGGTGAATTTTAAAGTCTAGTGTCTACAGAGGATACTCAAATAGGAAAAAAACGCAAAGCACCTGTATGTCTGTGTGGCGCAGAGGATAAGGATGCTGGCCTTGCACTCAGAAAGTCGTGGGTTCAAACCTTATCCCTGACAAGTTTAAAAGTCCAGGAGCCAAAGTACCAGGATAAAAGGGCGCGACGTTCTACTCAATTGGTATCCCGTGGCACAGGGGGTATGCAACTGACACCCAAATACCAAATGCTGGTCAGGCGGGCAGCCCTAGTTCAATACCCACGCGGCACGCAGGAGATCCTGAAGCAAATCCTGGGGAACCAGGCCCTGGGGGGCGGTGTTTCCTGAGAGCTAAAACAGGGGGGTTATGAAGCATGTGAACTTTTGAAGAAACCACGTCATAATATTTTAGCGGGAAAATGAAAAATTCATATTTTGGTCCAAAAAAAAACGACATAGTATATGTCGAAAATTTCAGATTTTAGAGTGAAAATAAAATTCTGTTTTTGGGATGAAAAAACATGCCATAGTATTGTCTGATCAAATTGCCATTGAATAGGATGTTAAAAATGTAATATTTTAGCGGGAAAATGAAAAATTCATATTTTGGTCCGAAATAAAAAACGACATAGTATACTATGTCAAAAATTTCAGATTTTAGAGTGAAAATAAAATTGTGTTTTTGGGATGAAAAAACATGCCATAGTATTGTCTGATCAAATTGCCATAGAATAGGATGTTAAAAATGTAATATTTTAGCGGGAAAATGAAAAATTCATATTTTGGTCCGAAATAAAAAACGACATAGTATACTATGTCAAAAATTTCAGATTTTAGAGTGAAAATAAAATTCAGATTTTAGGATGACAAAACATGCCATAGTATTGTCTGATAAAATTGCCATAGAATAGGATGTTAAAAATGTAATATTTTAGCGGGAAAATAAAAAATTCATATTTTGGTCGGAAAAAAAACGACAAGGTATACTATGTCGAAAATTTCGGATTTTAGAGTGAAAAAAAAATTCAGATTTTAGGATGACAAAACATGCCATAGTATTGTCTGATCAAATTGCCATAGAATAGGATGTTAAAAATGTAATATTTTAGCGGGAAAATGAAAGATTCATATTTTGGTCCGAAAAAAAAACGACATAGTATACTATGTCGAAAATTTTAGATTTTAGGCTGAAAAAAAAAAATTCAGATTTTAGGCTGAAAAAAAAATTCAGATTTTAGGATGAAAAAACATGCCATAGTATTGTCTGATCAAATTGCCATGGAATAGGATGTTAAAAATGTAATTTTTCAGTGGGAAAATGAAAAATTCATATTTTGGTCCGAAAAAAAACAACATAGTATACTATGTCGAAAATTTCAGATTTTAGAGTGAAAATAAAATTCAGATTTTAGGATGAAAAAAAATGCCATAGTATTGTCTGATCAAATTGCCATAGAATAGGATGTTAAACATGTAATATTTTAGCGGGAAAATAAAAAATTCATATTTTGGTCCGAAAAAAAAACGACATAGTACACTATGTCGAAAATTTCAGATTTTAGAGTGAAAATAAAATTCAGTTTTTGGGATGAAAAAACATGCCATAGTATTGTCTGATCAAATTGCTATAGAATAGGATGTAAAAAAAGCTATATTTTAGAGAGAAAATGAAAGAATCATATTTTGGTGCAATAAAAAAAAAAAAAGACATAGTATACTATGACCAAGATTTCAGATATTTAGGCTGAAAAAAAAATTCAGATTTTAGGATGGAAAAACATGTCAGAGTTTTGTCTGATCAAATTGCCATAGAATAGGATGTTAAAAATGTAATATTTTAGCGGGAAAATGAAAAATTCATATTTTGGTCCCAAATAAAAAACGACATAGTATACTATGTCGAAAATTTCCGATTTTAGGCAGAAAAAAAATTCAGATTTTAGGATGAAAAAACATGCCATAGTATTGTCTGATCAAATTGCCATAGAATAGGATGTTAAAAATGTAATATTTCAGCGGGAAAATGAAAAATTCATATTTTGGTCCGAAATAAAAAACGACATAGTATACTATGTCGAAAATTTCAGATTTTAGAGTGAAAATAAAATTCTGTTTTTGGGATGAAAAAACATGCCATAGTATTGTCTGATCAAATTGCTATATAATAGGATGCTAAAAATGTAATATTTTAGCGTCAAAATGAAAAATTCATATTTTGGTACAAAAAAAACAACATAGTGTACTATGTCGAAAATTTCAGATTTTAGAGTGAAAATAAAATTCAGATTTTAGGATGAAAAAACATGCCATAGTGTTGTCTGATCAAATTGCCATAGAATAGGATGTTAAAAATGTAATATTATAGCGGGAAAATGAAAAATTCATATTTTGGTCCGAAAAAAAAACGACATAGTATACTATGTCGAAAATTTCAGATTTTAGAGTGAAAATAAAATTCTGATTTTGGGATGAAAAAACATGTCAGAATTTTGTCTGATCAAATTGCCATAGAATAGGATGTTAAAAATGTAATATTTTAGCGGGAAAATGAAAAATTCATATTTTGGTCCGAAAAAAAAACGACATAGTATACTATGTCGAAAATTTCAAATTTTAGAATGAAAATAAAATTCTGTTTTTGGGATGAAAAAACATGCCATAGTATTGTCTGATCAAATTGCCATATAATAGGATGCTATAAATGTAATATTCTAGCGGGAAAATGAAAAATTCATATTTTGGTACGAAAAAAAACAACATAGTGTACTATGTCGAAAATTTCAGATTTTAGAGTGAAAATAAAATTCAGATTTTAGGATGACAAAACATGCCATAGTATTGTCTGATCAAATTGCCATAAAATAGGATGTTAAAAATGTAATATTTTAGCGGGAAAATGAAAGATTCATATTTTGGTCCGAAAAAAAACGACATAGTATACTTTGTCGAAAATTTTAGATTTTAGGCTGAAAAAAAAAAATTCAGATTTTAGGCTGAAAAAATAATTCAGATTTTAGGATGAAAAAACATGCCATAGTATTGTCTGATCAAATTGCCATAGAATAGGATGTTAAAAATGTTATATTTTAGCGGGAAAATGAAAAATTCATATTTTGGTCCGAAAAATAAACGACATAGTATACTATGTCGAAAATTTCGGATTTTAGAGTGAAAATAAAATTCAGATTTAAGGATGACAAAACATGTCATAGTATTGTCTGATCAAATTGCCATAGAATAGGATGTTAAAAATGTAATATTTTAGCGGGAAAATGAAAAATTCATATTTTGGTCCGAAAAAAAACGACATAGTATACTATGTCGAAAATTTCGGATTTTAGAGTGAAAATAAAATTCAGATTTTAGGATGAAAAAACATGCCATAGTATTGTCTGATCAAATTGCCATAGAATAGGATGTTAAAAATGTAATATTTTAGCGGGAAAGATGAAAAATTCATATTTTGGTCCGAAAAAAAAACGACATAGTATACTATGTCGAAAATTTCAGATTTTAGGCTGAAAAAAGAATTCAGATTTTAGGATGAAAAAACATGCCATAGTATTGTCTGATCAAATTGCCATAGAATAGGATGTTAAAAATGTAATATTTTAGCGGGAAAATGAAAAATTCATATTTTGGTCCGAAAAAAAAAAATAGTATACTATGTCGAAAATTTCAGATTTTAGAGTGAAAATAAAATTCAGATTTTAGGATGAAAAAACATGCCATAGTATTGTCTGATCAAATTGCCATAGAATAGGATGTTAAAAATGTAATATTTTAGCGGGAAAATGAAAAATTCATATTTTGGTCCGAAAAAAAACGACATAGTATACTATGTCGAAAATTTCAGATTTTAGAGTGAAAATAAAATTCAGATTTTAGGATGAAAAAACATGTCATAGTATTGTCTGATCAAATTGCCATAGAATAGGATGTTAAAAATGTAATATTTTAGCGGGAAAATGAAAAATTCATATTTTGGTCCGAAATAAAAAACGACATAGTATACTATGTCGAAAATTTCAGATTTTAGGCTGAAAAAAGAATTCAGATTTTAGGATGAAAAAACATGCCATAGTATTGTCTGATCAAATTGCCATAGAATAGGATGTTAAAAATGTAATATTTTAGCAGGAAAATGAAAAATTCATATTTTGGTTCGAAAAAAAAAAACGACATAGTATACTATGTCGAAAATTTCAGATTTTAGGCTGAAAAAAAAATTCAGATTTTAGGATGAAAAAACATGCCATAGTACTGTCTGATCAAATTGCCATAGAATAGGATGTTGAAAATGTAATATTTTAGCGGGAAAATAAAAAATTCATATTTTGGTCGGAAAAAAAACGACATAGTATACTATGTCGAAAATTTCAGATTTTAGGCTGAAAATAAAATTCAGATTTTAGGATGAAAAAACATGCCATAGTATTGTCTGATCAAATTGCCATAGAATAGGATGTTAAAAATGTAATATTTTAGCGGGAAAAATGAAAAATTCATATTTTGGTCCGAAATAAAAAACGACATAGTATACTATGTCGAAAATTTCAGATTTTAGGCTGAAAAAATAATTCAGATTTTAGGATGAAAAAACATGCCATAGTATTGTCTGATCAAATTGCCATAGAATAGGATGTTAAAAATGTAATATTTTAGCGGGAAAATGAAAAATTCATATTTTGTTCCGAAATAAAAAACGACATAGTATACTATATCGAAAATTTCAGATTTTAGGCTGAAAAAAGAATTCAGATTTTAGGATGAAAAAACATGCCATAGTATTGTCTGATCAAATTGCCATAGAATAGGATGCTAAAAATGTAATATTTTAGTGGGAAAATGAAAAATTCATATTTTGGTACGAAAAAAAACATCATAGTATACTATGTCGAAAATTTCAGATTTTAGGCTGAAAAAATAATTCAGATTTTAGGATGAAAAAACATGCCATAGTATTGTCTGATCAAATTGCCATAGAATAGGATGCTAAAAATGTAATATTTTAGTGGGAAAATGAAAAATTCATATTTTGGTACGAAAAAAAACATCATAGTATACTATGTCGAAAATTTCAGATTTTAGGCTGAAAAAAAAATTCAGATTTTAGGATGAAAAAACATGCCATAGTATTGTCTGATCAAATTGCCATAGAATAGGATGTTAAAAATGTAATATTTTAGCGGGAAAATGAAAAATTCATATTTTGGTCCAAAAAAAACGACATGGTATACTATGTCGAAAATTTCAGATTTTAGGCTGAAAAAAAAATTCAGATTTTAGGATGAAAAAACATGCCATAGTATTGTCTGATCAAATTGCTATAGAATAGGATGTTAAAAATGTAATATTTTACCGGGAAAATAAAAAATTCATATTTTGATCGGAAAAAAAACGACATAGTATACTATGTGGAAAATTTCAGATTTTAGGCTGAAAAAAGAAGTCAGATTTTAGGATGAAAAAACATGCCATAGTATTGTCTGATCAAATTGCCATAGAATCGGATTTTAAAAATGTAATATTTTAGCGGGAAAATAAAAAATTCATATTTTGGTCCGAAAAAAAAACCCCACATGGTATACTATGTCGAAAATTTCGGATTTTAGAGTGAAAATAAAATTCAGATTTTAGGATGAAAAAACATGTCATAGTATTGTCTGATCAAATTGCCATAGAATAGGATGTTAAAAATGTAATATTTTAGCGGGAAAATGAAAAATTCATATTTTGGTCCGAAAAAAAACGACATAGTATACTATGTCGAAAATTTCAGATTTTATAGTGAAAATAAAATTCAGATTTTAGGATGAAAAAACATGCCATAGTATTGTCTGATCAAATTGCCATAGAATAGGATGTTAAAAATGTAATATTTTAGCGGGAAAAATGAAAAATTCATATTTTGGTCCGAAAAAAAAACCCCACATGGTATACTATGTCGAAAATTTCGGATTTTAGAGTGAAAATAAAATTCAGATTTTAGGATGAAAAAACATGTCATAGTATTGTCTGATCAAATTGCCATAGAATAGGATGTTAAAAATGTAATATTTTAGCGGGAAAATGAAAAATTCATATTTTGGTCCGAAAAAAAACGACATAGTATACTATGTCGAAAATTTCAGATTTTAGGCTGAAAAAATAATTCAGATTTTAGGATGAAAAAACATGCCATAGTATTGTCTGATCAAATTGCCATAGAATAGGATGTTAAAAATGTAATATTTTAGCGGGAAAATGAAAAATTCATATTTTGGTCCGAAAAAAAAACGACATAGTATACTATGTCGAAAATTCAGATCTAAGGCTGAAAAAATAATTCAGATTTTAGGATGAAAAAACATGCCATAGTATTGTCTGATCAAATTGCCATAGAATAGGATGTTAAAAATGTAATATTTTAGCGGGAAAATGAAAAATTCATATTTTGGTACGAAAAAAACGACATAGTATACTATGTCGAAAATTTCGTATTTTAGAGTGAAAATAAAATTCAGATTTTAGGATGACAAAACATGTCATAGTATTGTCTGATCAAATTGCCATAGAATAGGATGTTAAAAATGTAATATTTTAGCGGGAAAATGAAAAATTCATATTTTGGTCCGAAAAAAAAACGACATAGTATACTAGGTCGAAAATTTCAGATTTTAGGCTGAAAAAAGAATTCAGATTTTAGGATGAAAAAACATGCCATAGTATTGTCTGATCAAATTGCCATAGAATCGGATTTTAAAAATGTAATATTTTAGCGGGAAAATAAAAAATTCATATTTTGGTCCGAAAAAAAAACCCACATAGTATACTATGTCGAAAATTTCGGATTTTAGAGTGAAAATAAAATTCAGATTTTAGGATGAAAAAACATGTCATAGTATTGTCTGATCAAATTGCCATAGATTAGGATGTTAAAAATGTAATATTTTAGCGGGAAAAATGAAAAATTCATATTTTGGTCCGAAATAAAAAACGACATAGTATACTATGTCGAAAATTTCAGATTTTAGGCTGAAAAAAAAATTCAGATTTTAGGATGAAAAAACATGCCATAGTATTGTCTGATCAAATTGCCATAGAATAGGATGTTAAAAATGTAATATTTTAGCGGGAAAATGAAAAATTCATATTTTGGTACGAAAAAAAAAACGACATAGTATACTATGTCGAAAAGTTCAGATTTTAGGCTGAAAAAAAAATTCAGATTTTAGGATGAAAAAACATGCCATAGTATTGTCTGATCAAATTGCCATAGAATAGGATGTTAAAAATGTAATATTTTAGCGGGAAAATGAAAAATTCATATTTTGGTCCGAAAAAAAAAAACGACATAGTATACTATGTCGAAAATTTCAGATTTTAGAGTGAAAATAAAATTCAGATTTTAGGATGAAAAAACGTGCCATAGTATTGTCTGATCAAATTGCCATAGAATAGGATGTTAAAAATGTAATATTTTAGCGGCAAAATAAAAAATTCATATTTTGGTCGGAAAAAAAACGACATGGTATACTATGTCGAAAATTTCGGATTTTAGAGTGAAAATAAAATTCAGATTTTAGGAAGACAAAACATGCCATAGTATTGTCTGATCAAATTGTCATAGAATAGGATGTTAAAAATGTAATATTTTAGCGGGAAAATGAAAAATTCATATTTTGGTCCGAAATAAAAAACGACATAGTATACTATGTCCAAAATTTCAGATTTTAGGCTGAAAAAAGAATTCAGATTTTAGGATGAAAAAACATGCCATAGTATTGTCTGATCAAATTGCCATAGAATAGGATGCTAAAAATGTAATATTTTAGTGGGAAAATGAAAAATTCATATTTTGGTCCGAAAAAAAAAAACGACATGGTATACTATGTCGAAAATTTCAGATTTTAGAGTGAAAATAAAATTCAGATTTTAGGATGAAAAAACGTGCCATAGTATTGTCTGATCAAATTGCCATAGAATAGGATGTTAAAAATGTAATATTTTAGCGGCAAAATAAAAAATTCATATTTTGGTCGGAAAAAAAACGACATGGTATACTATGTCGAAAATTTCGGATTTTAGAGTGAAAATAAAATTCAGATTTTAGGAAGACAAAACATGCCATAGTATTGTCTGATCAAATTGCCATAGAACAGGATGTTAAAAATGTAATATTTTAGCGGGAAAATGAAAAATTCATATTTTGGTCCGAAAAAAAACGACATAGTATACTATGTCGAAAATTTCAGATTTTAGAGTGAAAATAAAATTCAGATTTTAGGATGACAAAACATGTCATAGTATTGTCTGATCAAATTGCCATAGAATAGGATGTTAAAAATGTAATATTTTAGCGGGAAAATGAAAAATTCATATTTTGGTCCGAAATAAAAAACGACATAGTATACTATGTCGAAAATTTCTGATTTTAGGCTGAAAATAAAATTCAGATTTTAGGATGAAAAAACATGCCATAGTATTGTCTGATCAAATTGCCATAGAATAGGATGTTAAAAATGTAATATTTTAGCGGGAAAATGAAAAATTCATATTTTGGTTCGAAAAAAAAAAACGACATAGTATACTATGTCGAAAATTTCAGATTTTAGAGTGAAAATAAAATTCAGATTTTAGGATGAAAAAACATGCCATAGTATTGTCTGATCAAATTGCCATAGAATAGGATGCTAAAAATGTAATATTTTAGCGGGAAAATGAAAAATTCATATTTTGGTCCGAAAAAAAACGACATAGTATACTATGTTGAAAATTTCAGATTTTAGGCTGAAAAAATAATTCAGATTTTAGGATGAAAAAACATGCCATAGTATTGTCTGATCAAATTGCCATAGAATAGGATGTTAAAAATGTAATATTTTAGCGGGAAAATGAAAAATTCATATTTTGGTCCGAAAAAAAAACGACATAGTATACTATGTCGAAAATTTCAGATTTTAGGCTGAAAAAAGAATTCAGATCTTAGGATGAAAAAACATGCCATAGTATTGTCTGATCAAATTGCCATAGAATAGGATGTTAAAAATGTAATATTTTAGCGGGAAAATGAAAAATTCATATTTCCGTCCGGAAAAAAAAAAACAAAATAGTATACTATGTCGAAAATTTCAGATTTTAGAGTGAAAATAAAATTCTGATTTTAGGATGAAAAAACATGCCATAGTATTGTCTGATCAAATTGCCATAGAATAGGATGTTAAAAATGTAATATTTTAGCGGGAAAATGAAAAATTCATATAACCCCCCTGTTTTACCTCTCAGGAAACACCTGTGTCAATATCACTGTCGGCCCATTCATCTCCTGCGTGCTTTGTGGGTATTGAACTAGGGCTGCACGCCTGACCAGCATTTGGTATTTGGGTGTCAGTTGCATACCCCCTGTGCCACGGGATACCTTCTGCACTTTGGGACGAACGTCGCGCCCTTTTATCCTGGTACTTTGGCTCCTGGACTTTAAAAACTTGTCAGGGATAAGGTTTGAACCCATGACTTTCTGAGTGCAAGGCCAGCGTCCTTATCCTCTGCGCCACACAAACATACAGGTGCTTTGTGTTTTTTTCCTATTTGAGTATCCTCTGTAGACACTAGACTTTAAAATTCACCTCAGCCCTGATAAGGGCTTGAACCGGCAACCTCAGGAGCCCTAGTCTGTCTTCTTACCCTCTGAGCCATGTGGACAGTGAGCAGTTTAGCATTTTTTTCCTCTTTCACTCTACTTTTTAGACACAAGACTTTAAAATTCACTTTGCCCCTGATAAGGCTTGAACCCCCAACCTTAGGAGTGCCAGCCTGTCTTCTTTTCCTCTGAGCTATGTGGACACATTAGAGAACACTGTTTGTTTCCTATTTATATCTTCTTTTTACACACAAGACTTGGGACCTGGACCTGGCCCTGGCTTGAACCCACGACCTTAGGAGTGCCAGTCAGTCTCCTTACCCACTGAGCTATGTGGAGACACAGGAGTATTTTGTTTGTTTCCTCTTTCACGCTCCATTCTAGACACTCGACTTAAAATTTTCCCTGTACTCAGAGGATAAGAAAACTGACTGAGGAATAAAGAACAAAGAATGTGATTTCTGAGCATCGACCGCATGTACACAAAGTAAATAATCAATTGTAAAATATTTGCACCACTACAATAACAAAAGCAATGAATGTATTAAGTCATGTAAATAAAACTCTTTCTCTCTTGTTTATGCACTTCTCAAACTTGTTAATATTTTCCGACAAAACAGGCCAGGTGTCATGACTTTAAAAAAAAATGTAGGATCCAACAAGAGACACTTAGTTAAGTCCATTTAAAACATGGTTTTTATTAGAGATGTCAAAAAGTGAAAGTAAACCCACATAATCATTAGTACTTTTAAAATCGAACCCCTGATATCATGCTTCGAGTCACCTTAATCTGCTCTCAGAAACATAATCCAGATTAAAATAACTTTCAAACACTTTCAAGAAAGAGAGAAAGTTTAATTCGGTTCAAACTTTACTCCTGTCTCACCAGATTTCCACCTCATGACCTTAGATCTCCATCTTTACAGAAACATGTAGCTGTTGTTCTGAATCTAAATCAGTTTTCTAGAGGTCTTATTTTCCTGATGAGCAGCAGAATCAACGGCAGAAGTCTGACAGATGCAGATTTGAGATTTGTTTGGGATTTTCCTGAGCCGAGTTGCTCTACCAGGCCTTTCTCTTTGTGCCGCTCTCTCTGCTGACCCGTCGCTCTCCGTCTCTCTCGTGGTTTATCTGCGTCCGCCGGACAAAAGGCCGCCACAGGAAACTGCTGATGCTGTTCTGGTCGATGCAAACAAACAGCGTCCAGATCCGTCCACCGGCTGAGTGCTCAGTCCTCTCGTCTCTGCTCCAATTTGACTCTTTTCTGTCTGAAATATTCAAAATAAAACACTCAGGAGTGTGTGGAGGCTCCTGCAGTGTGCACTTTTGTGTGTGTTTGGTTGTAACAAGAGCTGCTTGGTGTGTGCTGCCACTGTCACTACGCCTGTTTGTTTAGGTGTGTGCGTGTTTGCATACATGTGTACAGCGTGTGTGTTTGGATGCTGCTATTTGTTCAGCTTGGCCTCTTTTCTCAAGGCTGCCTCATCGCTGCCAGGAGAGGAGGATAATAGAGCTCAGTGTGTGTGTGTGTGTGTGTATGTGTGTGTGTGTGTCTCAGGGAATAGAATCCAGAGTAAACACACATGTCCGTCTCTCCCCCAGGTGGAGTTCGTTGAATGAATGGGCCGACAGTGATATTGACAAGCTAACCACAGCTCATGAGAATGTCTGTGCATGTGTGAGTGTGTGCATGTGTGAGTGTGAGTGTGAGTGTATGTTTTGCTCTATAACAATGACAGAAGTAGGAGAGGTTTGAGCTAAGTGACCTTTTTTTTAATCAGATGAGAGGAAACTAGGGACTCACATTAGAGTTATTAAAGCAAATCCTGATTTAAACGTCGGTAAATTTTAGATTGAGCTGCTGAGTTTAACCGTAAGTGATCTGGATAACCTCTGAGTTCTCTACTGAATAGTTACCTCTGCCAAGGAGGTTATGTTTTCAGTAGCGTTGGTTTGTTTGTTTGTCTGTTAGCAACTTTACGGAGAAAGTTACAGACGGATTGACCTGAAATTTTCACCATCATTTATCATTGTGAGATAGGGCAAATTTTTGAGTTTTTGCATTTAACTCTATAAAAATGTCCAGAGTCTTTAGTAAAAAATGACACAAAAGGATCTCAATGAGTTTTATGAGGTCAAAGGTTGATCCTGATCCAGACAAAATTCTGGATACTGTGATCCAGAACACACAAAAATAAGGGTGTCGTTGGAATTTTCAATGCTGAAAGATAACCAATAGGCGGCACAGTGGTGTAGATGGGCGGTACAGTGGTGTAGTAGTTAGCACTGTCGCCTCACAGCAAGAGGGTCCTGGGTTTGAATCAGGGTCAGGGCATTTCTTGTTTTAGGAACATTATGAACAGTGAACATACCAGTTTAAACACAAATAAACGTTAATAAAAGACACTTAACAGTAAAAGTTTTGCTGTGAATCACAATAGGGCTCCGTCCTTCCCTCTCCCCCAACACCGCCTCCATCCTCGTCCACAGTCTCGTCACCTCCCGTCTGGACTACTGCAACTCCCTCCTCTTCGGTCTCCCTCACACGTCTCTCTATAAACTTCAACTGGTCCACAACTCTGCTGCCCGGATCATCACCAAAACCCCTTTGCCCCACCACATCTCCCCCATCCTGCAGCAGCTCCACTGGCTCCCGGTCCCACTAAGAATCCAGTTCAAAATCCTCCTGTATACCTTTAAAGCCATCCGCAGCCTCGCCCCTCCTTACCTGTCTGACCTCCTCCACATCGCCACTCCATCACGCCGCCTCCGATCCTCTTCCTCTCTCCACCTCACTGTGCCCCCTGTTCACCTCAGTCCAAACTCAAGACACACCTGTTTAAACTGGCCTATCCATCCCACCACCCCTAACTCACTCTTTTTATTTATTTTAATTGGTATTATTTATTTCTTCATTTATTCCTTTGCTGTTGTTTATGTTGCTTTGTTGATTTTAACTGTTTTGATGATTGATGACTTTAATTGTTAGTAGTGTTTTATTATTGTTTTATATGTTCTGTAAAGTGTCCTTGAGTGACGTGAAAGGCGCTTCAAATAAAATGTATGATTATTATTATTATAATTATTAGTATTATTATTATCATCATCATGATTATAATAATTATTATTATTATTATTATTATCATGATTATTATTATTATTATTATTATTATTATTATTATCATCATTATCATTATTATTATCACGATTATTACTATTATTATTATCATTATTATCATTATTATCATTATTATTATTATTATTAATTATTATTATTATCATTATCATGATTATTATTATTATTATTATTATTATTATTATTATTATCATTATTATCATGATTATTATTATTATTATCATCATCATGATTATTATTATTATTATTATCATTATTATCATGATTATTATTATTATTATCATCATCATGATTATTATTATTATTATTATCATCATGATAATTATTATTATTATCATGATTATTATTATTATCATTATCATTATCATTATCATTATCATAACCAGTGATCACTGGTGGTGGATTTCCCTCTGTGGATGTCCCATCATCAACATTGAACAGCGTGAACAGGGACAGGACTGTCCCGTCACGTGACGCGTCGAGCTGCTGTGATAACGTCTCTGTAAAAAGACAGAGATAAAGAGCCTTTTCTCTGCTCCACATGCCAGCCAGCTCCCAGCGGCCTCTTTGTTGACACAGTCGCCACAATGGGAGCTAAAGGCCTCCCATTATGAGGCTAACCCCAGGCCCGGCCGCTGTGCTGCAGGGTTATCCAGTACAGGCCGGCCAGCATTGGCCAAAGCCCCCTTGAATATTAGGCTGGATATATAAGACTGCCCCCCTGCCCCCTGCTGCATTGTTCAGCCTTATTCTGCTCCCACAATGGGACATCACAGTTTGGAAGTAATTTTCAAAAAGGGGAAGCCAATCAAAAATAATGGCACTTATTGTTTCTCTTTTGACACACATTGCTGAGCGGCCTGCCCCTCCCTCTGCCGCAGCTTTCTCTGCCTGTGTCGCCCTAAACCCCGGGGTGCATTCATGTCCATTATACGGACAAATTAAATAAAACCCCGAATGGGTCGGAGGGGAGCAGAGAGCCACACTGGCCGTCGTCTGCAGCGGTGTTAGGGTTAGGAGAGTTGGAGTCCGGGGAAAGGCTGGGGAGGGAAGAGGAAAGAGTGAATTTAAGGGTAAAACTACAGAAAAGGATTCAAAGAGAGTCAGGAGGGAAACAACTCTGATGGAGGGGGTTGTGCAAGCAGTCTTGTTGCAGGAGGTCTTCTCTAATTGGATTCTTGGAGTACTGAAAAATGTAGACCTGATGTCGCAGCTCATTAGCGGCATTTAGCTTCTTGATGGGATAAAACATACATCTTGGGGATCATAACTGCAGAAGCAACAGATCCTCTTTCATCCTGGACTGTCTCATAAACGTGCGGATGTATACTCTGTCACCTTGTTTGTTGGCTGTTCCTCTCCTTGGATTGCTTGAGGCCTGCTCAAAGAGAGAAAGGTATGTTACCGTTTACCAAAGAGGGAGGGTCTTCTCCTGGCAGGTGGTTGAGGCTCATTGGCTCGCAGGAATCAGCCAGAATGTTTCACATTTAACCGTAAAACTGGCCTCTTCTGAGTGTAGAAAAATCAAATTTACTTTTGCATGGAGAAATAAAAAAAAAAACGCTCACCAAGTCATTCAAGAGTCGGTTAAAAACGAGAGAAGTGCATCCAGGTCCAACCAAAGACATGTCTGTGTAATGGAGCTCTGTGGATGAAGAAGTCAGGAGTGGAACAGGAAAAAAAAGAAAAAACATCTTCAGTTTGATATTTTTTTAAAGGCAGGAGCTCCTGAGTACGACTGGTCTCACTGTTGGTCGTCTTAGTCTGATAGAGTGGGGATTCATGCATTGATGTACGATAAAATAAACACGGCTGCAGAGAGAATAAGTTTGCTGATTATACGGTTAATATCATGATTTTGATGGTGAAACCAGACGTGTTTCATTCAGAGCTGACTCAGTTATTATGAAAGTTATCAATCTCTAAAAGGTCAAATTAACTGTGACGAAGAAACACAGTCTGGTGTTGCAGAAATAATGAGCAGGAGTGATCTGAAACAGTTCGAGGAGACCTGCTCATCAATGAAATGTTCACTTTCATGTGAAAATAGTAAATAAGCAGGCTTCAAATGTTCACGTCTTGTCCTGGTGTTTCCTGTGGTGTCCACTCCATCAGGCTTCACCGTGGATTCAGTGGATTTTAGTCACTAATTTTGAGCCCTGGGCCTGTTGCTGTATTGTTTATTTTTGTTTTTGGCCAAAGGATAATTCAGGATTATTAAGGTAAAAAAATAAATAAAACTTGCATGCTTGATAAGATTTGGTGGGATGGGTCTGATTTGAGAGCTCTCATGTGGAAGGGAGGGGTGGAGGCTGAGAGAGCAGCAGCAAAGTGTCGGCAGGCCAAAGCAGACATTTGCCAATTGGATTTAGACCAACAATCACTTAATTCTTAGGCCCGGACTACACGTATATAGATATTTATTTATCCGGATATTTTTGTACTCCCGTCTAAATAAATGTATCTGTCCACACGTGTTAGTTCTCAAAAATATCTGCGTCCACAAGTAGCCTTCAAACTCAATCCTATCTGGTGCCGCTTAAAAAAAAATCAGGAACAAAGCTAACTGATTGGCCGATGAATCGTAACAGCGTGATGCGTCATGCATTGTTTGTGGAAGCTACGCTAGTGCGTCGGGTCCATGTGACGGTGTGGCGGCTTTGACCCAAAACTTAGGCTTCTGGCGAACTTTAAAACGCCTAACGTTAACGTTACGATTGATCTCCAATAAAAGTATTGGGCGCAGCAGACGCCTCTGTGAGCTGGCTGACTGGTGGATGTAATTGTATAAACCAAGGTTCACTTGAGAGGCTGAAATTAGCCCCAAAAGGGCAAAACAAACGTAAAGAATACCCTGTGTGTCCGCCATCGTTGTTGTTGTTTTTCTTTTTAATTCACAAGCTGCGGTTTGACGTCATCGATCCCTAAAAGTTCAACCACATGAATCCACTTATACGGATATTTTTTTATTTCTCCACTTGTTTTTCCGGATTCAGATTTATCCGGTTTGAGTGTTCCAAACTCCCGTTTTGGTGTGGTAGGGAGGCCTAATCGGACATAAATATGTGCGGTTTGAAACATATCCACATTCGTCTTGTTAACAGGATTAGCTCGTCTTCCGCTGTCTAAATCATGATGTTTATTTATGTGTCGTCGTTTGATTTTGTATTTCAGTGTTACAGACATATTTTAGTAGCCCTCTGGCTCACCAGAGTCCACACTAAAAAAATTTGCAGAGGGGCGGAGCGAACCTTCCAGACATTAAGCGAGATAGAGTTTAAGAGGAACTCGAGGTTGAAGAAGAAAAGGTTGCTGAAGGAGGGAGAAAGGGCAGGTGGAGGAGGGTTCGCTCTTTGGGCTCTTTGAAAGCAGCAGATCCTGACCGAGAGCTCGACCCCATTTAGGAAGAGCGAGAGACATGGAGCAGAATGGGGAGAGAGAGAGAGAGAGAGAGAGACTCTTCACTTAAAGGTCCTCCACAGGACGTCCTCATTCTTCCCAGAGCGCCACCTCCCCACAAACCCCCCAACTCTGGCCCAGGGGATGAGGAAAAGCAGGGAAAAGGCCTCATTTAGGACGAGTGGGGAGAGAGGGAGAGGGAGGACCCCCATCATCCTCTGAGGGGGGTCCTGATATCAAAACTTCCTCTCAGCAGGACGCAGAGAAATGTCAGCAGAAGGAGAGCTTCGGTGTCTTTTATGGTTGGATTTGGGTATCGATTTATGCTAGTAGAGGTTATAATCAAAACATGTAACCTTTTCTGGATTTTAAGAGCTGAATTTAAAAGTGAGGGACCTCGTTTAACGGGAAGAAGAGAAGGAAGTGGATTTTTCTTGATCTTCAAAATATTCTCTAGCTAATCTGAGTCACTTGAGTCGCGGCAGAATTAAGCCCATTTTTGATTTGTAGTGTTTTTCACCAGCTTCTGTATAAAGTCAGATGTCAGACTGATGATCGAATCACTATCATGAAACAAAGAGAAACTCTCTGGTTGTTGTTTTCTGGTTCGTGCTCCACAGACTTATTTCTGAGGCGACAGCTGAATCAGGACGCTGCTGGTCAGGCTGCGGCAGCGTCGGCTGTTTTGCACACACAGGTGTCAGCTCAGTGTGTTTAACCTCTCTAGTTGACAGTCAGCTGTTTTCTCTGCTGTTGTGCAAAATCGGCAGAGTTGTGTGTTTGAGTGCGAGCAACACGAACTACAAGCCTGGAAAATGACACAAAAATAGATGTGAACTAAAACAGAATTAAATAAAATGTGAGTGTATGTGATGTTGATTCTTCTTCTTCACCTTATTGCCATGGCTGCTTTTATTTTAGTTATTTCATTTATCAAAGTGACGATCATGACAGAACATGACCGGCTTTTGAGTGATTGTTTAATGTGCTTATCTGGTACTGGCCCTGGTTGTTGGTTTATTTTCAGTTGTGTTTTGGAGTTGGTTTGTCTTTATTTTTGCCTGTGAGGTGATCTGAAGGGTCTTTTATTCCTTATTTGTATAATTTTCAGCAGATATTTTGAAACTGGACCTTTATTCAGGTAAAGCTGTTGAGCTGTTACTGTGTGTAAAACTAAAGTCTGCAGCTCCAGATGACTTTTACTTCATTTAAACGCTCTTCTTATTTGCAGATATCATGTCTGAGAGGTTTAGTGTGATACTGGGGTATGTGTGTGTGTGCCTGTGTGCATGTTTGTGTGTGTGTGTGTGTTTGATCTGGCTGGGGCTGACTCTGTTCCCTCAGAGGGACTATCATTGCTGGTAATCCTCTTCATGGTCCACTAATCTGTTTTTCCTGGGGTCACTCCATCCCACTTCCCCCTCCCTCCTTTCCTTTCCTTTCCTTCTCTTCCTACCTCACCTCAGTTTCTTGTTCCCCTCCCTTTGCTCTGCAGTCACTCCTTTATTGTTTCCTCCTGTCTTCGTCCGTCCCTCCCCTCAGTCTTCAGCTGTTTTATCCCTCTTTATCAGAACCCTTTGCTGTTTATTAGACTAAGAATCAAAGGTGTCAAAGGTTGATCCTGATCCAGACAAAATTCCGGATACTGTGATCCAGAACACACAAAATTAAGGGTGTTGTTGGAATTTTCAATGCTGAAAGATAACCAATGGGCGGCACAGTGGTGTAGATGGGCAGCACAGTGGTGTAGTGGTTAGCACTGTCGCCTTACAGCAAGAAGGTCTTGGGTTCGAATCCTGGTCAGGGCATTTCTTGTTTTAGGAACATTATGAACAGTGAACATACCAGTTTAAACACAAATAAAAGTTAGTAAAAGACACGTAACAGTAAAAGTTTTGCTGTGAATCACAATATAAGGGGGGACATGAGCTGCTTGGCGGAGGTCTGCGCTCTCCGAGTGCTTTTCTAGTCGTCACTGAAGTTCTGATAGATGGTATAACTGTTTTTGCAAAAACGCACGCTGTGGTCAGAGCTGACTGTAAGCAAGCAAACACAGCTGTTAAGAGTTCAGTGCGATAAATAATGTCTCTGCAAGTGTTTGAAAAAAGCAGGCAGAGCATCCATCCATTAGGACCTTAGGATGTCTCTGCTCTGTTTTGAAGACATAAAGCCTGTCTGTCTCGCACTAATTTCAGAGCCGAACTGCCGGCTTCTTTCAGTGATGAGAAAATTGGTCTGTAATTGTGAAAGTGCTCTGAGAGAGATGCCGTTGAAAATGACTGGCAGCCTTGTTTACATTATGCGCTGGATGCTGGATTGTCTTTTTCATGAACTTGGAACAGATCTGAATGTGTAAGTGCCGTCCAGCTCAGAGAGAGTGTCTCGAGGTCGGTTCAGTCAGTGAGGGGCGCTGTCAGGACGCCGTAGCTGTGTTCGAAATGATGGAATAAATGCTCTTAAGGCTCCGGTGTGAGTGCAGGCTCGTCTGCCTGCAGCCCGGTCTGTCTAACAGACAGGAGAAACCCATTAGCAGGGCTGTGTTAGCGATCGTCTTGTAAACCGAGGCCCCGGGCATTCATTAGGCATCAATCAAAGGACGAGGTGTGATGATTAAATGATGAGTGCGAATGCTTCACAGTGTTCGCTACACCAGGCCACTTTACTCTGACACTTGAAAATGGATGAGAGAAAGATGTTGTTGGCCGTGTGTGCGGCTGCAGCTGGTTAATTTATTCATGCAGTTATTAAAGAAAGTGAATCGTGGAACCTTGAAGTCAAAGCTCCAGGATACCTTCAGCGCCGGTGCAGCAGCAGGAATGCAGAGAGCTCACGTTGGCTTTCAGTGCTTATTGTTTAACTGCTCTCCATTTAGGAATTTGCAGATTCAAGGCTCAGAAAGGATCAGTCGGTACGTTGCAGGTTGTGTCTTTTAGAAAAATGTGACACCAGAAGTGAGTTTTAGATTTGTACTGTTCGAGAAATGTTAACAATCCTGGAGGAATCCACCTGTGAGAAAGTGGTTCACCGGGTTCAGGGTCAGAGGAATGAAGAGGGAACTTTACATGCTTTAAGTTTGAACAGCAACACTCGCACTCAGAGCCTGCAGCAGTCAAACCGGAACATTAGCTCAAAATCTTTAAAAGGACAGTATCAGCCTGGTTTTTCACTAACGTTAGACCTTATTTTACTCCTTCTGTCTTCATCACACACAGTGGTCTAAACTATCAGGCAGCCACAGGTGGAGAGAGGAGAGCTGGGAGGACACAGGTGTGAGTATTAATGTGTGTCTGTGTCTGTGTGCTCCTGCAGACAGCCTGAAGTAGGAACTCAGGGAGCTGCAGTTTCCAGCACTCCCACATCAGCTTCATTTCTCAAGTCTGGAGGCTGCTGGAGATCTCTGGGAGATATATGAAGAGGCGAGGGTCTCCTGTTTAAAAGAGTTTGGCTCTGTGGAAGGTCAGCACTCTTTGTTGGCTCTTTTGAGATGTCTGTGTTTGATGAGGCTGTCCTCCGATCATGACGCTCATCCCTGATCTTTGACTCCCATCTTCTCTTTTTGGGTCCAGTCTTTTAATCATTTCGATAGAATCAGTGGATGTCTGGGGGGGGCTTTTCTTTTCTACTGACACCTTTCAGAAAATGTTAACCTGCACCGAGGACTGATGACTGAGGGTACTTAGATTATTACTTATGTTGTTGCTCTACAAACAGACATGAAATCCTTCTATTTAAGGTCACCAGATTACAAAGACAAAACCGTGTTTTATGGCTGGGCGATAAAACGATAAAATTAATTCCACTCAGTATCAATATAAAACCTGGTCAATATGCTTTCCAATAGGTGGCATTCTGACATGTTTTGGTAGACTGTATGAATAGCCAATGAAAAGGGGAGTCGCTCCAGGTCTCCGCCAGACCTCCGCCAAGCAGCTCATGTCCCCCCTTATATTGTGATTCACAGCAAAACTTTTACTGTTACGTGTCTTTTATTAACTTTTATTTGTGTTTAAACTGGTATGTTCACTGTTCATAATGTTCCTAAAACAAGAAATACCCTGACCAAGATTCGAACCCAGGACCTTTTTGCTGTGAGGCGACAGTGCTAACCACTACACCACTGTGCCGCCTATCTACACCACTGTGCCGCCCATTGGTTATTTTTCAACATTGAAAATTCCAACAACACCCTTATTTTTGTGTGTTCTGGATCCCAGTATCCAGAATTTTGTCTGGATGTAAACAGCGAGCGCTACTGCCCCCAGCACATCCTGTAGTGCACTGCAGTTATAGATGAGCATGAGGCGCCAGCATGTGATTTTCAACAACAATAACACGATGCGTCGACGCTTGAGTTTTCTTGTCGATGAATTTTTCGTGTCGACGTGATCGATTACATCGACTAATTGTTGCAGCCCTACTTTGAGGTCTGTTTTCTCAGATGTAAAGCGCATTATAAATAAAATGTGTTATCATTATTATTGTTATTATTAGTGTGTGAAAGGGTTGTTGGAGTGCGGTATTATGGTGCTTTAACCTTTAAATATTTACACTGAACAGTTACACACTGAGGCTCATAAACAATGTAAATAGTGTTGATTACTGTTTCATTATCAGCCATGTGAAACTGCAGTCGTATGTACTTGTTTTCTGAGCCCTCAGTGTGACACATGTCATAGCATGCTGTTGTATGTATGTACTGTATGAGCGCATGTGTGTGTTGGAGCTCTGTGAGCGAGCCTGAACTCCAGTGGAGCTGACAGCTTGCTGTGACAGACAGCCTTAAACAAACCCGCTGTGTTGGCCGCTGCACAGGAGAAATGCCTTTGATTCTATTAGGCCTCAGTGTGTGTGTGTGTGTGTGAGTGTGTGTGAGTGTACGAATGTGTAAGTTGGCTTTGAAACCTCAGGACTAATAACCCGGGGTGCTTTAATCTGTTTCGTTAATTTTTAAAAGATTTAGGTTTGCTTTTAAAATCAATTAGAAGTCATGATTTAATGCATAAAAATGTATTTGGGGTCAAATGTAAGTTTGACAAAGAGCGACTCGGTCCGTGATGCAACATCGACTTCCAAAATGTACGTCAAAACTAAAGAACCAGGGATCGTTAAGGTAAACCAAATGGATGCTATGAAAATGAAGTTTACATTTGTGGCTAGAGAAGTTATCAAAACTAAGCTAAAGCCATGATCTTAAAATATAGAAACTTCCAACGAAAAATCGAGGGGGTGTCTTCCATGTTTTTTGCTAATGCTGGGAGAAACGCGGCAGTCACGTGAGCTAAAGTCCTCCCACAGAAAAGACTGGGCAGTCCCCATGTTACAATCTCAAGGCTGTTTTTGTAAAATGTAGGTATCACATGTTTTGGGGTAAAACTGCGCTGGAAAGTGCACCAATGATTGACTGGTAGGTGACCATGTTCTCTAACAACGCCATTGTTTTGCTTAATTTCTAACAGGTGCTGCTCTGCTGAAGAAACTTTGGGGACACAACCGAAAGAAGACATTTCTTCTACGAAAGACACTCAAAACATGCAGACATGCAAAATCTGCACGGCTGGTCTCTTTTCAGGCACAGGATGTTTTGCAAAAACCACCACATTATAAACTAGAAAAGCACTCGGAGAGCGCAGACCTCCGCCAAGCAGCTCATGTCCCACCTTATATTGTGATTCACACCAAAACTTTTACTGTTACGTGTCTTTTATGAACTTTTATTTGTGTTTAAACTGGTATGTTCACTGTTCATAAAACAAGAAATACCTTGACCAGGATTCGAACCCAGGACCTTCTTGCTCTTCCACAGTGATAATCACTACACCACTGTACTGCCTATCTACACCACTGTGCCGCCCATTGGTTATATTTCAGCATTGAAAATTCCAACGACACCCTTATTTTTGTGTGGATCTCCATGATCCCAATCAGCTGTACTACGAAGCCGGTTATCAACTCGATAACTGAATCCAGGTGTGGCCACTTCAGATCTGTGCCCGCACATGTAAAAGAGGCGGGGTAAGCGGCACTGGACCATTTTCCACAATGGACAAAACGGCGAGAGCATCGTATTTCACAGCTGAGGAACAGGATATTATCCTGCATAAATACGAGGATCCATGATACAATCACAGCGAGGCCGCCAGAGGGACTGCTGGCAAAAAATCGCAGATTGTGTCAAAGGTTAAGTCACTATGATGAAGATATGAATGTGTCATCACGATGGCACGGATAGATGTCGCTACATTTGTGCATTCAGTAATTTATGGTCCCCAAATGTGTTGTCATTCACTGTTTGATCACCATCATCATCATCGACCTCATGATTTCAGATACAGAACGTCATCTGGTAAATCAAATGGATTTGAGCGATCACGAAAATAACAATCCGAGCACCGACGTCCACAGGATCCGGCCAAAGTGGGCAGGCCATTTTCCAAGAGAACCGATTGGTCAGTGGGCGGTCTTTAATACCCGCTGAGCTCTTATCCTCAAACATAACCTGCTCCGGAGCAGGTTTGGCGTTCCGCGTAAGTTACCGGGGCAACGGACCCGGATAAAAAGAGATCCACCTTCATAGTACGGAAAATCCAGAAGTCATCCAGAAGTTATCTCGCTAAGACCAAATCCAGGACAGGACAGTGGGCCTCGAGGACTGGACTTGAGAACCACGGCTTTAGACAGTGACGAAATCCCTGTATCGCCATCAAATCAAGAGATGGGAATATTATGTACCAACGCAGTGATTTGCTCTTCAGTCCTCCTGATCACTCCAGTCAACTTCTGGAGCTAAAACTGATCCTGTTTCTATTCACACCAACTGCAGAGAAAGAGGCGAGAGTGTCACAGTCTGAGCTAAAACAGAATCTACAAGCCACTCAACCGCACAGCATCCACCTGGTACACAGCAGCGAGAGGAAAATCCAGTCCCTGCCAGCGTGCCAGGACAGTTTTCAACTCTCTGAGAGGGAAACACCTGACAGCTGCCACTCTGGGAGAAAAATCCCAGAGGGCTGAAAAGATCCTCCACATGACGGGAAGCCAGCCGAGCGGGAGCAGAGCGGAATACCAAACGACCAAAAAGCATCTGGGGAAGGAGTATGTGTCTGTTTTAGTGACTTCAACTCATGGTCTAAAGGTCTTTGACCATCACCTGATCATGTGACCAGAAGAAGAAGGGATCACTGCTCAAACTCAGAAAATCAAATCATCACATCAGACATCTTAAGCCTTTTTAGGTGACAGAGACCAAATTTCTAAAGGTTTTTATGCAACTCATGCTCTTATATGATAGTTGAATATTTTTACTTTTAAAGCTAAATGAGGGATTTCAGTTTTATTAAAGCTCTAAACGAGATAAAGATTGGGTTCACTGTAACGAGTATTTATCATCTTTAAAGCATTAGATCATAATGAATTAACATTAGAGTCAATTTAAGTTTTGTTTTTGGTTTCCTAATTAAAATGTAGTTTCTGTTTTATAGAAATAAGGACATGTATTATTATTGTTGTTTTAATTTGGCTGTTATTCATGTATAATATATCTTACACAATTGTGATAAGTTAATACTGAGCTTAAACCATTTAGATTTACTGAACAAATTAAAAAAGACAGCACACACACCTAAACAAACCATAACCAATACTACAGGGTATAAATATATACAAGTATGATTTGTTTGATCTTATCACTTAAATGTTTTGCCATTTGTACTTGTTCTGATTTTATTTCATGTATTGTTTATTGACTTTTTCAATTGGATTAGGGCTGTCTGCATGAACGCATTAATTCTGTTGTGATACAGTCTATAACAGCAGTTTTAAATCATGTGCCGTGTTTGCTCCCTCACAAATGTAGCTTTATCTAACAGATATCCTCAGGTTAGCCTGTGCTGACCTGTCTTATGACTTAATGTCACATGGAACAAACTTTCACACATGCAGGACCAAACTAGAACTCCTGACAAGTGTAAATAATGTCGCATTAACCAGGAATTACTGGACATCAGTGACCGAGGCCCGGACTACACGTATACAGATATTTATTTATCAGGATATTTTTGTTCTCCCGTCTAAATAAATGTATCTGTCCACACGTGTTAGTTCTCAAAAATATCTGCGTCCACACGTAGCCTTCAAACTCAATCCTATCTGGTGCCGCTTAAAAAATTCAGGAACAAAGCTACCTGATTGGCCGATGAATCGTAACAGCATGATGCGTCATGCATTGGTTGCGAAAGCTACGCTAGTGCGTCGGGTCCATGTGACGGTGTGGCGGCTATAACGAAGCAGATGCCTCTGTGAGCTGGCTGACTGGTGGATGTAAGTGCATAAAACAAGGTTCCCTTGAGAGGCTGAAATTAGCCCCAAAAGGGCAAAACAAACGTAAAGAATACCCTGTATGTCCGCCATCGTCGTTGTTGTTTCTTATATATTTTTTTATTTCTCCACTTGTTTTTCCGGATTCAGATTTATCCGGTTTGAGTGTTCCAAACTTCCGTTTTGGTGAGGTAGGGAGGCCTAATCGGACATAAATATGTGCGGTTTGAAATATACCCGCATTCGTGTAGTTGGGGCCTGATTGGTCATTTTCCTGTTCCTGAATGTTTCTCAGTGTGTAACAATCATGAAAACATTTGATCCCTCTTAAGTTAAATATGTTTTATGTTCAATAATAAGATTATTTCTGTTTGTTTTCTCTTAAAGCTCCTGTGATTCACTTTCAGTCCATGTTAATTTTACAGACACTTCTTGCTTATGTGCTGATTTTGGACAGTCAAATGTGTCATTTAATGTAAATTCTTTGTGTGGATATTGTAAAATAAGGCCTCTTTGTTCAGCTTCCTGGTTGACACCTACCCCCCCTTAGTACCCATTTCAGATACAATAACGTACATCATAAAAATGGTCAATCTTGTAACAAATAGTTTTATTTGCTTTTGGATATAATAAAGATTGATTTATATGAATTTTAGCCTTTTTCATTAATGTCAAAAAACTTCCCACAGGAGCTTTAACTGGTTATCCAGCGTAGTTTTCAATGTTTAACAGCATTATCCTGTGAAAATAATATAATAAAGCAGCATTTTTTTTTTGACAAAATACATATTTTGAGGCTGTCTCCTACCTCTAAGTGATGGTTTCAGACCACATTGGTGTAGCAGTGCAGCAGTCATTCGAATATTTACTCTTAAAAGTCGACATTTTAAAGTATATTTACCACTTTTTAGTGTTAACATGTACTCATTTACTGCTTTGTAATGAAAATAATGAAATTTCAAACATGCCGTGATAATTTATTGATATTGACTGTTTGGGAGCTGTAGGTTGTATTTTGTTATGTTGTGATGGTATAATTAACACTCTCATGGTAGAAACTGTGACATATTGCAGTGATTTTAAGACCTCAGTGGGTTTTGTGTGTTTGACAGCAGGCCTCTCTCCTCACTAGAACCTTACAGGTGAGTCTCTGTTCTGAGTCCTCAGTATAAACCGTGCAGGAGGATGTAAACAGAGCGGGGCCTGCAGCTGATTAAGAGCTGTATTCCAGCGTATTTATTAAAACAAGATATTTATGACGGGAGCTCGAGTGCCGCACGAGGGTTAAATCTCTCCCTCTTTCGCTCCTGCTCCTCTCACATCAGCTTTGGGTGAAACAAACAAAAGGGCTGCTTTGAATGGGCACGTGCTCCGGGCGTCAGTCACCTGTTTCCTAGCAACGGTCACAACAGAAAGGCACCTGTGGCTCTGAATAGGGAAGCTGTGAAGCCCTCAGTTTAACAAAAAACACAGACACAAAAAACACGGACTTTAATGACTGTTTTCAGGCTGTTCTTGAAGATGAACTCAATTTAACTCACTTTAAATTAGACTTTTTTCATTCATTTTACTTTTATTCGCAGTTAATTCAGTTTTTTTCTGCTCTAAATTGTTTGAAATCGTGATAGAGACTCGTCGCGCACACGCGTGGAAATGTCACGCGGATGAATTTGTTGACATGTTTGCTTGTTTTGAGCTTCGCCAGCCAAAAAACACATGATAGAGGGGAGTCATTTTTAGGTCTCGCGCTCTGACGTCACCGCAGCCTCGAGCCCCCCTGCATGCAAATCACGTCTGCGCTCGAGCCTCTCCATTGGCCGTCCCTCGCTCATTTAGCTGCTGTCAGAGCGCGCGGCCCGGGCACGCTCCGGTAACTTTTCCCCGTTCAGCTCCATCCAAAGTGACGCTACAACACACCGGCTCCGTGTCCTCCGAGCGCGCGTGGATGACAGGAAAAGAAGAGGAAGTTTACCTGAGAGTGGATTTTAAAGCCCGGCACCTTTTCACCTGTGCGCCCCTCACTCCTCTTCCTCCTCTTCCTCGGAGGCTCGGCTGAATGTTTCTGCGTGTCTGAGTCCACGCAGACCAGGTGAATGTACAGCATCATGATGGAGACGGACTTGCATTCCCCCGTGGTGCCCCAGACCAACCCGTCCAACCCGGGGGGACACGCGGGAGGAGGAGGTGGGGGGGTCGGCGCTAAGGTCCCCCAGGACCGGATCAAGAGACCCATGAACGCCTTCATGGTGTGGTCCCGGGGCCAGAGGAGGAAGATGGCGCAGGAGAACCCCAAGATGCACAACTCGGAGATCAGTAAGCGGCTGGGCGCGGAGTGGAAGGTGATGACGGAGGCCGAGAAGAGGCCGTTCATCGACGAGGCGAAGCGGCTCCGGGCCATGCACATGAAGGAGCACCCGGACTACAAGTACCGGCCCCGGAGGAAGACTAAGACCCTGCTGAAGAAGGACAAGTACTCTCTGGCCGGGGGGCTCCTCGGTTCCGCCGCGGGGATGGGAGGAGGGCAGCGGCTGGAGAGCCCCGGAGGAGGGCACGCGGGGGCAAACGCGGGCTATGCCACGCACGTGAACGGCTGGGCCAACGGCACCTACTCGGGGCAGGTGGCGGCGGCGGCGGCTGCGGCTCATGCCATGATGCAGGAGGCGCAGCTGGCATACACGCAACACCCGGGCGCCGGAGCTCACCCGCACCACCCGCACGCCCACCACCACCCGCACCATCATCCACACAACCCGCAGCCCGTGCACAGGTACGACATGAGCGCGCTGTCCTACTCCCCCATCTCAAACTCTCAGAGCTACATGAGCACGAGCCCGCCGGGCTACGGAGGCATCACGGGCTACACCCACCAGCACCAGAGCTCCGGGGTGTCTCCGGTGTCCGGGGCCCTGGGGGGCACTCTCGGGTCTCTGGTGAAATCTGAGCCCAGTGTGAGCCCCCCGGTCTCAACCGCGCGCGCCTCGGCGCCCTGCCCCGCGGGAGACCTGCGGGACATGATCAGCATGTACCTGCCGACCGGAGAGGCGGCGGGGGACTCGAGCGTTCACAGCAGACTGCACGTGCTTCATCCGCAGCACTACCCAAGCGGCGGCTCCGCTCCGGTGAACGGGACGGTCCCTCTGACTCACATTTAACCCCAAAGTACCAAAAAAATAATAAAAAAAGAGAAAAGTCCGGCGGCGGACCGAGGCGGGCTGCTGATGAAGGGGAAGAGAGTAAAGTGAGGGGGTGGGAGCTCTAAAGTCGTCCCCCTCTGATCAAACTTTTTTACGGTTATTTGAGGCTTTTCTCTCCGCTGGATCCGGTCTCAACATCAGCCCTGCGCTCTCTCTGCTCTCTGGAACAGAGCATGCCAACTTCTGACACCATCTCAAATTATTCTCCGTGCAGGCTGGTGCTTTTTTCTTTTTTTTTTAAGGTTAATTTTCCCGACTTTTTCAGTGGAATTAAAGGCACCAGCTGTGTGTTAAAGGGGAGGCGGTGTGAAGGCTGCGGTTTACATTGATTTCCACTTTTAATGCTTGTAATCATGTGAGTCAGTCGTTGTAATTTGAATTTGTTTCTGTTGTTGTAAAATCTTGTAAATTGTGAATAAATAGGCCTACTGAAAAAAAGAGTTATGAAATGGGACATAATTTAAAACAGGCTCCGTTTTACGCACGAAGATGGAACGATTTTACGCACATTTAAACCGCTTTCTAAAGCAGTAAACAGTGCGCATTTTTCCATAAAAGGCTCGATAAAAATGCTTTATTTAAATTTATTCCACATGTTGAATTTCTACATTGGGGCTTCATGTTATATTGCGCTGAATGTAAGTCATTTAGTGTCGTTTAAATGTCTAAGCTGCTTTAAATCTGCAAATAACACCAAAATTATGACAATAATAATAATGGAGGGGGGATTATAGGGTTGAAAACATAACTATGAAATCCTGTCGTGCGCAATTGTGCGTCAAAAAACGCCAAATTCACAATGTATTTGTCCGTTTTTTTATTATTATTATTGTTGTTGAATCGTGCTGGACATTGTGATGCGTAATTGCGCACATTAAAGAGTTATTTAAAATGAGCTCATCTAATGTGCAAAATCCGCTCTGAAAGATCGTTTTTCTGAAAGTTTCATTTTTAATTTTTTATGGCTATAAAGTTTATTCTAATATCTATAATTGTAAGAATTCTGTCGAGTTAGCCTTTTGTGCGCAGGAGCGAAAACAAGTTTGTGCCGGTGGATAAACACTTGTTGGTTGAGGGTTAATTTGGAGAGCTAATATTTTTGTTTGGAGGGTGTAAAAACATGTCAGCTCTGACAAATACTTCTAGACTTACTGTGTGAGGAGTTGCACTACATTTGTATTTAAATTTTTGTTTATTAAAAGGCAGAAAATTTACACCAATCAAGGCAAAAACAGCGGATTCAAGAGATTCTGTTCATTATGATCATTAATCTAGTTGTTCTTTTGATTTGTCAGTGTTTTCTTTGCAATGTTTGACAGATGTCAGATATTTTTAAAAGACAAATCTCAGTTTCATCATCTAGTCTGATATTTACCTGTGTGGAAAATGCACTTTTGGAGATAAAAAAGGCTCCTTTCAGAAGGATCTTTGCCTTGATTCTAACAAAGTACCCCTCTGCATGTCTGAAAATTCTTCAGCTTTGCACTGTCTGAAAAATTCCTGTTTTGCTTGAAACACTTTTTAAATTTGACATTTTCAGGCCGAGCAGAAAAAAACAACAACTTTCTTTTCCTCACTCCCTGCTCCGGGTCGTGGCCTTGCTAATCTAGATCTCAAAGGTAAATCCCACAACAAGAGTATCAGCCGTACCGTGAATGTCTAATTCTTCAACCCACCCCCCTCCATCCTGAGTCCTCCAACCTCACCCCTCTCTTTACCCCCGCAGTAAACACCTGCATATATGTGTGTGTTAAATGATTTCCTTCTGCTGGGGATGAATGAGAGGAGGAGAGGAGGAGGGGGAGGGAGGGAGGAGGAGGTTTTTGTGTTGGGGGAGAAAGGGGATTAGTCCGGGAGTAAGCTGGAGGGGGTCATTCCCAACAAAAAGCCGGCAAACAACACGGCTGGTTTTAGCGGACTAATTCCCACTCGGGTGCAGACTTCAAACCAGGAGGGCAGAGAGGATCAAATCAGAGAAATAAAGATGTTTTCTGAATGTCAGGGTTTAAACTGGAGCGTTTTATTCGACCTTAATGTGCTTTTATTCTGTTCCAGCTAATATCAGACAGATCAATATTTGTCTGATTTTCACTTAAAAACTAGATCATGAAATGTAATCCTAAAGATAATAACTAATATGAAAGAAAGCGTCTTCATTTACTCCTGACTGAGGTTGAAGACAAATTTCAGAACTTCTTTTTGCATTTCTGAAACATTTCATATTTGATCTTTTGCTTTGGATGTTTTCTGACGCAGTCTGTATGCGTGCAAATCTCCTTTCCCTAAAAGAAGGGTCATATATATTTACACCATGTGTTTGTGGTTTTATGTTATTCGAGTGGCATCACTGACTCAGTGCACTCTCTTCTCAAAAACTTGAGTTCAGTCTTAAGGTTTGGTTTTTGTCCTCAACTTTCCAAAAGCATCCTAACCTCTAAACGTTATAAACTCAGAAATCTGATTGCTCATACTGAACAGAAGCACTCGTAGTCATGGGAGATTTTCTATTTAGAAACTGGAGCTAAAAAGAATTCAAGAGGAAAGTTTTATCACTAAAAACACAGATAAAATCTGCTGATCTGAGATGATCTCACTCCAAAATAAATTATCTGAGGGGTCAAACATGGAGCAGAAATTTGTCATCTTTATTTTTTTATCTTACTGCAAAAGAACAAAATTGCGCTCATGGTTTCTCACCGGTTTTGGAAATCTCCTCTCTTGTAATCTTGCAGAAAACCTTTTGCAACCTGCAGCACAGCTGTTTATAAATCCCTGAATACACCTACAGTTACATGTGGAGTGACACTCATGCATTTACAACCTTCTTTTCTGTTTTAACATGTCCTCACTCGAGGTCTAAAAGTCAGATTGGCCCCCATAACTGTGCACTTAAAAAATGACTGATAAATTCATGTCGGGAGGATTTCATGCAACACCGAAAGGCTGCAGACAAATTCCCAGAACTGGGAGACTGAACCTCGAAAATAAATCCAGAGAGATCTTTTTAAACTCGACATTAACTCTATCCAAAACTCACGAACGTCACAAAAACACTGAACAGAGCGGTTATTTTTGCCCGCTAATGCTGGATCTGGTGGAAACTGCAGATCATTTAATAAGAAGTGTTTCACAGACATGATTTCCTCAAAGGGATCTAAATTAAGAAGATCAATAATGAATATGTGAGGGAAAGCAGAACGGTGTGGAACGTTTCACTCTGCCTGTTTCCTAAAGTTGAGATTATGACCTCTAACTGCTGCTTTACTGACACGATAAATGAGGTGATCAATAAACTTACAATAGCTGCAAAAAAGGGAAACTTTCAGTGATGGATTAAAAACCACGAGACAAAAAACATTTAAATCGTTCTTCCACAGGTCTGCAGCGTCAGTGTTGGAGTGTTTGAGCTCCGTTACTTAAAGCAGAGTCAGATGTCAAAGTCTGAAAGTGGACCTTTAAAATAAAACTGTAACGCAAATCAAACCCGGGAGAGTGAGGGAATAATCTGTGACGTTATCGACCCTGAAGAGGGGGACAAATGAATATTACTGGGTAGTATCAAAACAGCTCAATCGCACCACAACATTTTCAGCAACAAACTCAAGTTCTTGCATTTTTTTATGCACCAAATTGCAATTTTTCTGCATCAGATTTCAGTCACACTTAAACTGAGTTAAAACAGCATCACCAACAAACTCGGGTGACTGTCTTTTACACCATAATGATGTTTTTGATCGTGTGGACGAACAGTCAGAGATAATGACCGCTTTTGGAGTAAATATCAAACAGCTTTTACAGGCACCAGTGTGTCATTTTATCTTCCAGTTCGTCTCTTTTTTTAATTAAAAAAAAAAATGCAAATTTGTGTTTTTATTCCAGCGAGGTAAGTTTCTTAAAAACCACCTGAAATAATCATGTTGAGAATTTTACACCAAAAATATCCTACGTGCAATTTTAAGTGTCAAAAATTATATTTCATGCATCCTTGTGCAAAATTTTTTACATTTTTTTTTGTATGCATTTTGGAATCTAGGCATCACATTCCTGCAGTGATGGGAGAAAGATATCAGCAGAGTTGGGAAAAGACAAATGTTTCCATGAGATACACGAACCAAAAAGATAAATTAACAAGATTGACAGTTTTTATCAAAGTTTCACAATTATTAACAAGAACTGATGCAACAGTTTAGAGGCTCTGCGTCTGCACAAACTAAAGTCTCTTTATCAAAGACAGAAATCCCAAAAAATTCTTGAACAAGTTTCTAAATAAACTCGAACACCAACCAAGAAAAAGCCCGAAGTGAGTAAACTCCTACTGCGAATCCTCGGTGTCAAGACCAACGTTTCTTGCGATTCAGATGCCACCAACTGTATGTTTTTTCATTCATAATTTTGCATCAAAGGGTCGTGTTTGAAAGCTTTTATGTGATGTGTTTGAAGTGATATGTTAGCCGTGTCAGCTGAAATCTTTCCCACTGCAAACTAAAAGAGTAAATGTCCATCATGTTACAGGCCTGAAGAGTGTTTTTGGGGTTGATCGATCATTAATCAAAGCAGCTTTGAGTCGTGACAATATCAAGCAGCTTCATATTGTAGCAGATCAATAAAAAATAATAAAGCCCATCTATCAGCGAAACCTTCAGCAGGTAAAAGAATCACTGAAATGACAAACTCTGCAGCAGGACACGTGGGTCTGAGGGGTCAGAGACGCAGACTTAGTCAGGTCTAAAGTGGTCCAGGATGCTCCCCTCACTCAGCCGTGTGTCTGCAGGTCTCCTCCCTCCTCGTGTCTGTTTGGACCCTCCTGCTCTGGCTCTTATAACCTCATACACCCCCCTCTCTCTCCCTCTCTCTCCCTCTCTCCCTCCTTCCTCCTCTCTCTCTGTTCCCATCCTGCGTGCTCCTGGTGTCCTAAACGTGGCTAATCGGCATCAGTTTATCACGCCTCCGCATACTTCCCTCCCTCTCCTCCTATAAAAACGCTCACCTCCGTCGTTGGACCCAGCTCTGTCACGGGAGATTACGGGGGACCGATTGCAGCAGACCGAATGTGGCGCGAGGAGATTAGCCAGGACGCCATAGAAAATAGCAACGGGGCCAACGGATTCCTCGCGAGGGGGCCTTATCGTGCAATTACACGTTGACACGTTTTAACCATTTTTCAGCCTCTTAATCCGAGAGCCCTCCTCCCATCTGTCCCCCCCTCCCTCCCCTCTGTCTCCAAAAGCAGACCTATCTGTGCAGAGGGAGCTGCTCGGCTCTCCGTCTGCTCCAAACTCTGACTCATTTTCTCTTTATCAGACAGAAATTAAACCCCAAACATTTCAAATGAGGGAGAAATAATAAATCACACCGTCCACAGTATGACTCTGCTGAAATTTGAACAACTTTTACGCCAAATCAGGAGGAAATGTAAAAGTTGAGCATGATTCACAGATTATTGAGAAAAAATGACGATAACAAAAGAAAACATGTTTAAAAAATAAGGAAAAATTTAGAAAAAAAATCACATTTAGAAAGAAATATTTTTCCTCCTGTTTTTGGAGGATGACCACGGCGAACAATAACTGTGGCCTTTATGTATTTTGGAGGCTATGAGGAGGTTTTTTTTAGCTAATTTGGACGTGAATTTCAAATAAGATGAATTTGAAATCTATTTAAAGATAATTGCTGTGATGCAGATTTTATAACAGAGTGATTTTAACTTATTTCCATTCAATCAGACGGGCTCAAAAGAATAAGGCGTGTGTGATACTTTTCTGTCATTTTCGGTCGGTTTGGTTGCACATTTAGTTCTGATGAATATAAGGAAAAGACACTTCATACTCAATCTGCTGCGCCAAACTTCATCACATTATCTGCACAATCATAAAATGCATTTCACATCATAGCTTTACTGTCTCGTCTACTTTTTCTGCTTGCTAACATGTATTTTATCTCTGTTTTATTGTAAAACAAAACAAAAAAAAACAAAAAAACATATTTGAGCAAAAAAATACATCAGCTCTTCATACACAGTACGAAGCAAAACTCCGTTTTCTGATGACTAACAGTAAAAGCTGATTTCTTAGTTGTGTTACAGCAAATTATACCTACAGTTTGTCGACAAATATGACTGTGCTGAGCTGGGTCCTTCTTCAGTTTGATATAAGCGTCAATATAAAACTTTGTCTAGTCCTTCTTACCTGTATAGCTGTGACGCTCTGCTGCTCGTGATGCAGACAGTGCAGAAAGTATCGTTCATTATGGACTCCGATCACCCTCTGCTGGACAGACGATACGTTGACAATGACTCTAAATGGAACAAAACAAAGTTTTCTTGTTTTAACATCCTGCTAAAACAGTTTTTATACGACAGTAAACCTGGAAGAGGAATAATAAGCAGCTCTTCCATTATTACAAAATTAAGGTTAAGGGTTATGCACACACCTGCATGATCAGGGGCGTGGCCATGTTGCAGCTGTTAGCCAATCGGCACCATCTCTCTCTCTGTCTCTGGATTGACTGAAAGACAGTTTTAGTCTGCATTTTACAAACAGTGATCACCATCGTTAGGCTTCAAAACATCTGTTCAGAAAGGTCACTGAATTAACCTCCATGATGTCTGCAGATGTCTGAGTCAGGCTTTTAGCACCCCAATGCGCGCTCATGAGCAAGGATGGTTGAAAAAGAGCACTGTTGTATCAAAGTGCACCAACGTGGACTGGTGAAGTCCTGAAGGTGTGGAGTATAGGAACATTTCCAACAGGGATCCAAGAGTACAAAGTTCTACTGCATGTTCAAATTTATTTTAAATGCCTATAATGACGCCCCCTTCTGATATGTACGGTAGCCCTGAAGGTCAATGGCATTAATGTATCAGGGAGGAAATAAACTGATGTTTCATGAAGCATGAAACATTTAGTACAATGCAAAAAAAGTATTTCAGAAAATACAGAAGCATATAATATTTCACATGGTCCTAAAATATATTTATGAAAGTGAACTGTGAAAACGAAACATGAAAAAAAAAAAAGAGGAAAACAAAATCAAGTTGAAAAAAAAAAAATAAATGTTTTAGAAATGCAAAAAAAAAAAAGAACCAAAATATTATTTTTCAAACCTCTTCATGTTCCTAAATAACTTTTGTTTTTTTATAATGTATCTGCATTTCCAAAATATTTTGATGTTTTTTCCAATTTTTTTATAATTTGTTTTTTGGAGGGGGAAGTGTCTTTCAAAATATCTTCAATTTTGATGTATTAGTGTTTTCTAAAATGTATTTAAAGTTTCTAAAATATATATTTTTTAATCTATTTGCATTTTAAAAAATATATTTTATATATTTTCCGTTTTGTTTTTTTTGTTTTTTGTCTTTCCTGAAAAATTTGAAGATCTCCTAAATCAAATTTTGTAAGCATAAGAAAAAATGTCATGCTTTGTAAAATGTCTTTGACCTTTATAAAACATTTGTTTATTGCTTTTCTGAAGTAAATCGTGACCTCCAGGACCACCGTAGCTCTGGTATCTCACTAATCAGAAAAACAAACTGGAAAATATCAAGTAGTCTACTGCTTTACGCCGAGATTCATCGGTCATTTACTGTGTTTTAAAAAGTCTCACAGTATGAACTGAAGAAGTTCTGCTTTAGTTTAATCTGAAAACTGTCCTCCTCACTGTTTTTTTCTTCCTCTGAGTCAGCAGGCATCAAACGGACTGCACGGTGTGTTGTTCCACCATGCTGCTCAATTCAATTAGAGCCTTTCATGACAATCAATTAGGGAGTACCCCCTGGATCTCCCCGGGGGCCTATAATCATCACACACCGTCTGCTCTCTCAGACGGGCACCGGGGAGCCCCGCCCACCAGGAACAAGGACGCCTGACTGAGAACCAGAGGAGACAGTTTGTGGCTCATTTGAAGGCGTTCAACTCCAGATTAGGTTTATTTCTCCTCTGTCTGTGTGTTAAATGAAGATTTTACTCATTTAATTCCTGCTTTTTAACATTCAAAAAGCTTTTTTTATGGAAGTTTGTGCCGCCTGTTTCCTCTTGGCTTTTGGTTGAGGATGAATCCTCCAGCTGGTAATCAAATTCAGAGGTTAAAGTTTGTTTCTGGAGCGTATCCAAACACCACCATGCACCCTGACTGCTGTGATTATCAATGTTGTTTTTTTTACTGCGGAAGTTGTTTCTGCTGCTTTTGATAAAGTCTGAAACACACTCACTTTAATTTGACGCTCCAGAAAGAATAACCAAAACTGCAGACCATAGTGAAGCACAATATAAGGCCAGAGCTGATGTAAATGTGAGCAAACTGAATCAAACAACCCAACAGAATTAAAACCACCTGCAAAAGAAATCAGACAAGACTCTAAGCTGTGGATGCCAACACTGAGAAAGTGAAAAATACTAAAGCAGGACCTGACGACATTTGCTGATAAACATTTTGGTATTTTTCAAACTCTTCTGGAACTATTAAGCTGCAGTTACATCATTTTCTCACTAAGATAAAGTTGTTTCACTATGGTTTTCTTATGATAATTAAGTTGTTGTATATTATAATTTACATTACAATAAGTACAATAAGTTATTATATTCAATATGTTTCTTTCATCCTCTGTCTGACAGCTAGGAGACACCTGTGTGCTTTGTATCAAACCACCGGAGTCCCTCAGGGGTCAATATTAGGCCCCCTTTTATTTAGTCTTTATATGAATGATCTGCCCACTGTTTGTCCTGAAGCTGAATGCTTAATGGATGCAGACGACACGGTTCTTTGTTCATGGTCACACCAAAGACACTGTTGCAGCTAAACTTATTAAAACAACGTCCTGCATTACAACTTGGCTGCAGGAGAACTGTCTGCAGCGAAACGTTTCTAAAACTGTGGGCATGTATTTCACAAAAACAAATAGAGTATCATCTGATCCCGACATACATGTTAATGGAGAAAGAACTCAAATTGTCAGCCAATATAAATATCTTGGGATAATAACAGATTCAGAGGTTTCCTTCAAAGCCCATATTGGTAAACTGTGCAAAATAATCAAGTTTAACCTTGTAAATTTTTGTGCAATTTCGCAATAAAATGTCAACTGAAGACGCAAAAATGTATTTGCATTCAATGATATTAAGCCACCTCAACTATTGCCGAACCAGCTGGTCCCAGAGCTCAAAAAAACCATTGGAAATCTTGTACAAACAAGCAATTAAAGTTCTGGATAAAAAACCTAGGCACTATCATCACTGTGCAATTTTTTTTAAGTTGGGACAGTCTTCACACATTCGCAGACTTAAAACTGACCTATAAAGTACTGAATAAACTGGCTCCAGATCCTCCAGCAGAGTTCATCAGCCTTGAGCGTGTCACTCGAGGCTCTGCCAGAGGTGACTGTTACATTCCTCTGCGCAGGAGCACTTTCAGGAAGTCAGCCTGGTCAGTAAGGAGTGCACGTGCGTGGAACTCAGTACCTGAGGAGGTTAAACTGCTTCCAACGTACAAGGCATTCACAAAAAGATTGGAAATGTGGCTCATCAACACCTACAGCTGCCAACACTAAAAGATACGCCTGTTGTGATGTTTTGATATTATGATAAATTGTTGTGTTGTGATGTATTTTTTCTTAATTGTATAGTGAGTGTTTGAATATGTATTTTGTTTTATAGTGTACATGTATTGTGTTGTTTTTTTAAATTGTAATTTTCCTGCCTTTTCACATCATTGCCGGGGGACTACAGATGAAAACTAGCCTTATGGCTAATTCTGGCTTTTTAAATCATGTGTAATCATGTGTTTTATGAAAGTGCTCTGTCCCCTTTTAAATAAACTACTCTAATCTAATCTAATAAACCACAATGTAGCTCGTGACTGTTGTAATTCCCCCTCACAGGAGCTGTCCAGGTGCTGAAATGAAGTAAATGTGGATTTCTGTTTCTTCATGATCATATAAAAGTAGTAGAGAGTATAATGTTCCTCTGTGGTTCAACAGGAGGAGAGAAACAGCTTATATCTATGTGTTTATCATTTTTATAACATGTTAAATAGCCTGCAAAAATATCTGATTTGAGTCCAAAATGCAGGACAGAAAATACCCGGGAAAGCGTTTCTCTCTTTGAGGTGATTATAAATTCAGGAGGAGAAGTGAGGTCTCCTCAAACCAATTACCTCGAACACAGCGCCGCTGCTCCTGGAGGGTTCAGGCTCTCTGCAGAATAAAGAGCGACAGAGAGAGGGGGAGAGAGGGGGGGAGGAACAGCAGAGAGTGGGGAACACTAACATGATTACACCTGTAGCTGGGGCTCAGGTAATCACTGGAGTTAAAAGGTCTCCTGCAGGTCCAGAGGCCGGTGAACCCCTCGCTCCCTCTCACCTCCGCCGAGGAGGACTCTGTCATTTACAAACTGCAGGTGAGATCCGGTTCACACCTCTGCAACCTCCCTGCAGCCTCAGCACCAAAACCACGACTCAATTAGTGCCAGTCATCAGCAGAGGGGCCGTAATTACTCAAGGACGTTTGACACGGGGGACCTCTGTGTGTGAGAGGGAGCATATTTAAAGACCGGATTTTTATGGAGAATGTGACAAAGTCTGGTTTTGAGCTCTAAAAAGCGGCTATCCAGGGCTTTATTATCATCTATTAGACTGTAATACTCAAGTTTTTTCTGAACCGAGCGTTTCTATGGCTTCACCTTCAGATAAACCTGATGTTAGGATTCAGATTTTATTTAAGCAGTGATACTTTGTGTGTTCTGACACTTTTCCACTCCCACTGCACACATTCCTGAAACTTATAAACCAAATTAATAACCTTAATTTATCAAGCCTAATATCACGTCTCATGGATCCTGTTTAGTAAGGTTATATTTCGAGTAAAACCGTGTCACATGAATTAAACTAAAGGTGCATACACACTGATAGACTGTCTAATAAAGGGTAAAAACTAACAGCTAACTTATGAGGAAAGAAGAATTGTGGAGGTCAGAAAAAAAGAAGAAAAAGAAGAACTTTATCGATCACTGAAGGGAAATTAAAAAAAAGTGGCTGCATATCAGTATGTTCACTGTTCATAATGTTCCTAAAACAAGAAATGCCCTGACCCGGATTCAAACCCAGGACCTTCTTGCTGTGAGGCGACAGTGCTAACCACTACACCACTGTGCCGCCCATTGGTTATCTTTCAGCATTGAAAATTCCAACGACACCCTTATTTTTGTGTGTTCTGGATCACAGTATCCAGAATTTTCTCTTTCATAAAGGTGGTCATCCGGAAAAGGAAGTGCGTCCGTGCAGTCCCTGAAAACTCTCACGCGCCGGAGTGCTCCTCGGACAATACGAGCACCGAAATCTGTAGGATCCTCCAAGAACGGACAAGCCATTTTTCGAGAGAGCTCATTGGTCAGTGGGTGGGGTTTTTATACTCTGTGAGTTCAATCTGGTATGTTCACTGTTCAAAATGTTCCTAAAAGAAGAAATGCCCTGACCAGGATTCAAACCCAGGACTTTCTTACTGTGAGGCGACAGTGCTAACCACTACACCACTGTACCGCCTATCTACACCACTGTGCCGCCCATTGGTTATCTTTCAGCATTGAAAATTCCAACGACACCCTTATTTTTGTGTGTTCTGGATCACAGTATCCTGAATTTTGTCCGGATCAGGATCAACCTTTGACACCTCATAAAACTCATTGAGATCCTTTTGTGTCATTTTTTACGAAAGACTCTGGACATTTTTATAGAGTTAAATGCAAAAATTCCAAAATTTGCCCTAACTCACAATGATAAAGAATCAAAAAATTCCTGGATCCAGAAGGCGATCCGGATCACCACCAAAATGTAATGGGATCCTCCTGGGGCTGAGACGCACCTCTGGTGAAAATTTCAGGTCAATCCGTCTGTTACTTTCTCTGTAAAGTTGTTCACAGACAAACAAACAAACCAACGCTACCGAAAACATAACCTCCTTGGCGGAGGTAAATATCAAACCAAAATGCAGAACCTCTGACTTTCTGCAACTCCAACAACTCCGGCTGCAGCTGTCTGACTTTCGAGCAAGCCCTGTTCAGAACTGGAATCCAATGTTGAAATTAAGGCTGCACGATATTGGAAAAAAATAATATTGCGATTTTTTCAACCCTGCGATATATATTGCGATATTAAAAATACAGTATTTTCACCAGATGACCTGAATAGCACTTAATGTTATGCTGCACTGCTGAAATGTTGAGGACAGTTAACCTGCACTGATCTTACCTCTTTTTGTGAATGTTAGTAGAATGGCTTCTGTCTGTCTCAGAGATATTTTTAGCTTTTATTGTGCTGGGACGTTATTGTTGCAACAGGTGAACACAGAAGACGTGTTTTGGTCGACATCATCCTTCTTTTAACCGAAATAATTCCAGATAACTGGCTTTCCTTTTCTTTTTGGCAACAAATCTTCATTTTCGGTGGTTTCCGCTTGTTCGTTGTTCATTTTGCGATCGTTGTTGTTGTTGTTAGCGGTGTTGTGCCGAGAAACACATGTCCTCCGAGAATTGCATGCACCTCGCAAAACGCGCACTGCTTATAGTAGAGTGGTCCACGGAAATGTACAATTTAAAACCCATACAGTTCTTATTTGTTGGGCTAAACAGTGATGAGTAAAGTTCCGAAAGTAATTCTCAGCGGACACACGTCTCCCTCCATGTGCAGAACATGTGCAGGGGTGGGTTTCCTCCTCCCTGATTTTGATTGACAGCTGGCAGGGTAGTCTGATTGGCAACTGAGAAGTAAGTCTGATTGGCAACTGAGTAAAGGACAAAGGTGATTGGTGGATCGCTGCACAGCACATGCAGAGTCACATGGAGTGTATCTCAGTCGGTTACCCTTGAAATTAAATGAGTTCATTCACCTTCAATATCGCAGGCTCTGCGATGTGACTATCGCACACGTACATCGCGATGACGATAGTCAAACGATATATCGTTCAGGCCTAGTTGAAATTCATCTCCAAATTAGTAGGATACAAGGTCGTTTGCCAACTAAGCAGGTCAGTAAAACCGGAATGAAGCTGGAGTGACACCCTCACCCCATCCCTCCAAACACGTTCACACTGTGAACACCATAGTCAGGATTAAGGCCTGACGGATATGGATTTTTTGGGGCCGATGCTAATTGTGGGGGTCAGATTACTGATTAATCGGCCGATTTTTGGTAATTTTTTATTAAGTTATAAAAAATACATATATATTGTAGATATCCACAGTAGATATCTACAACATATACTGTAGATATACTGTAGGCTACTGCTCTTAACACTGATAGGAAAACTGACTGATCAAACTCGGATCAAAAAAGCTTTTTCAACTGCCTACAGTCAGGATTTACAGGATAAAACCCCTGAAACTTTACGGATATTTTCCAGAGTGTCATTAAAAAATGTTTGTGAGGATATTTTGAGAATTCTAGTTGAAGACTTTGTCAGACCTGTAGGAAACCAAACATCAGACTCTGATACTTGTCTTGGCTCTCCACAAAGATGCTGTTAAAAAGGTGTCACTAAGTCTTTCCGAGTCCTCATCTCAGTCAGTGTTTCTCACCACTGATCAAACTGACTGACTCCAGATTTTCAATTGGGCCACGCAGCTTTAAGTGTCGGTCTATCACTATGAGTGTGTGTGTAAACGTGTGTGTGTGTGTGTGTGCATTTGGGTAAAACAATATGCTAATCTGCTGCATGGAGTGGAGGGATTTAGTGCATAAAGGAGAGAGAGGGGAGCATGCTTGTTAGCGATAGCCTGGCTCAAGATTCCTACAGACACCCACCTCCTTGATCCACTTCCATAGGCCTGCGAGTGTGTGTGTGTGTGTGTGTGTGTTTAATGTGCGTGTGTGTGATCTGCTGGAGTATATGGTTTCATCTATACATGCTTTTCCTGTTTCTGTGTCATTTGCGGATGTTGCATATTGAATTATCCCTGTGTTTGGTGTGTGTAGGTGTATGTCTACGCATGTGTGTGTGTGTGTGTGTGTGTGTGTGTGTGTGTGTGTGTGTGTGTGTGTGTGTGTACAGGAGGATGATCTGTGCTGGCAGCTCCTAGTTGTGGACTCAGATTAAACATGGAGAGGGATTCAGTCTGAGGGTATTTACAGATTCTCATTATAGCCTCAGAGTATGAGCACACACACATGCATACACGCACACACTCGTACACACACAAACACACACACTAATCTTATCACCTATACAGCTTAATCTGTTTACTGTGATTACACCCAATTTGAATGATACATATTTTTATTTTTTTTTACTTTCTGAACCTGTTTTCTGTCCCTGAAAGTTGAGCCTTCATAAAAGTGCATCAATGCAGGAGGTGGAACAATAGAAGGGTTTGTGCAGTGCATGCTGGGATACGAGGCCCCGGGCACTGAGTGGAAAACACTCGAGCAAAGACAAAGGAGAAATGACTCAGTAAATCAAAGATGAACACAAACGCTCCTGTGAGTAAACCTGATCTGACCTCAGCTCCTACAACATCCTCCACGTGTCTGCTTTCATCGCTCTCACCAACTCAATATCAAACACACCAATGAGCTGAATCACTTTCTTCCTCCTGTACATTCTCCTTTTTCACCTCCAGTCAAATCAATCATTAAATGTCCACAAAACTTTGAGAACTAGAAAAGCACTCAGAGAGCGCAGACCTCCTCCAAGCGGCTCATGTCCCCCTTATATTGTGATTCACACCAAAACTTTTACTGTTACGTGTCTTTTATTAACGTTTATTTGTGTTTAAACTGGTATGTTCACTGTTCATAATGTTCCTAAAACAAGAAATGCCCTGACCCGGATTCGAACCCAGGACCTTCTTGCTGTGAGGCGTCAGTGCTAACCACTACACCACTGTACCGCCTATCTACACCACTGTGCCGCCCATTGGTTATCTTTCAGCATTGAAAATTCCAACGACACCCTTATTTTTGTGTGTTCTGGATCACAGTATCCAGAATTTTGTCTGGATCAGGATCAACCTTTGACACCTCATAAAACCATTGAGATCCTTTAGTGTCATTTTTTACTAAAGACTCTGGACATTTTTATAGAGTTAAATGCAAAAATTCCTAAATTTGCCCTATCTCACAATGATAAAGAATCAAAAAATTCCTGGATCCAGAAGGCGATCCGGATCACCACCAAAATGTAATGGGATCCTCCTGGGGCTGAGACGAACCTCGGGTGAAAATTTCAGGTCAATCCGTCTGTAACTTTCTCCGTAAAGTTGCTAACAGACAAACAAACAAACAAACAAACCAACACTACCGAAAACATAACCTCCTTGGCGGAGGTAAAAAACAAACCTACCTCTTCCTCCTCTCCCTGCTCTCCTCTCTCAGGTTATCAAATATTTGTGATCATGGAGGACTTTAATTAAAATCCACATTAAAATCTGATGAATCTCCTTGCTCTATTGGTTAACCAGCTCTGTGATTGTCAACAGCTTTTGAGAAACCATTATCGGTCAGCAACTATTTCTACGTCTGTCTTTCCAGACAACTGGGGACACCATCACATTCACCTGATGCTCTTTAATTTTCTCTATTTGCCAACTTAAGCTCTGCAGGTACTCCATATTGACTTTATACAATGGCTGCACCTCCATTGTACCCGTTAAAGGAAGTGAAGACATAATCAAAATCAGGTGAGTACAGTCAGTGTCAAACAGTAAACAATAAACTGAATAATGTTAAAAGAGTGAGTAGAGTTCAGTGATTTATGCACATCTATTCACAGATGTTTCCACTACAAGTCGGTGAGTTAAAGTCTTCTCTGAGATTCTGCGTCCTCTGTGCCAGAAAAAGACCGTAGTTTAAATGTGAATGCCATGATGGAGACGGAGAGTGATTCAGGCGACAGAAGCATGAGGTGAAACCAGCTTCAGACTCCTCACTCGTGTCAAACATCGCAGGAGGAAACTTCCCAACAATGCCTCTATTGTTCAGAGACACAAACTTTCTCTTGTTTTCTTTAAAGTCGACAGCTCGGTCGGAGGAGAGGAGGAAGTGAGGGATGTGGAAGGATGAGAAAAGACAGAAGGAGGACGAGCGGGAGCATCCATCCTTTAACCGGTGGGGAGTTATCGCCCGACAACAGAGCCGCTCCGAACGCTTTAAAAAGCACATTTGAAGATGTATTAGAGCATCCTGAAGCCAGCCGCTGCCAACAGGGGGCTGCTCGCTGGGTCTGTGTGTGTGTGTGTGTGTGTGTGTGTATAAACGAGTGTGTGTGTGATTTATTTTGTGTAGCGCCCTCCAAATTCCCTTAGCGAGCGTTGCTAAGGTGCTTTAGGGATGGGATTAGCTGCAGGCTCATCACACATTCCCTAAGAGAAAAAAAATGTATGAAGAAAAAAGGATGGAGATAGAGAGGAAGAAAGAAAGATGGAGGGAGGACAGAAGAGAAGGAAAGAGTGGGAAGAAGAGAAAGTTATCAGGAAATGAAGGAAGGATGCCGTATAAGGAAAGAAGAAAGAAAAAGGAAAAATAAAGTGCCAAGGATAGAAGGAGGAAAAAGGAAGGAGGGAAGGAAGCAAACAAGATAAGGAGAGTAATAAGAAGGGGGGATAGATGGTGAAGAATAAAGAAAGGATACAAAAGAAAAAGAAGAGGAGAGAAACGCAAATGTGGTCGAGACTGGAAGAGGAGAAAAAGGCATCAAGGAATGAAGGATGAAAGAAAAACAAAAAAGAGAGGAAGCGGTGAAAAGAAAGTCAGGAAAATTTTAAAATAGAAAGAACAAAAGAAGGAGCAACTGATGAAAAGTGGAGGAAAGAGAAGCGAAAAAGAAGCAGAAGTAAAAGTTACTAAAGAGAAGAAGGCAAGACAGTGAGAAAAAAGGCGCGAATAAAGGAAGGTGAGTAAGACTAGAAAAAAGAAAGAAGGGAGGGAAGGGTGTAAGAAGGAAAAAGGAGTGACCACAAAGAAAAAAAGGAAACTGTTTGGAGGTAAAAAGTATGAAGGAAACAAGGAGGGAAAAGAGGAGAGAGCAAAGGAGGTAGGAAATATCTAGAAAACAAGTAGGAGACAGGAACAAAGGATAAGAGGAGTAAAAACGAACGAGAGAGAGACTGCAACTGTTCAAGGACGTAAAAAAAAGGAAAATGAAGATAAACTGGGAAAAGGAATAGGAGGGAAAAAAAGCAAGAAAGGTTACTAGAAAGGAGTGACCGCAAAGAGAAAGGAAAGACTAAAAGTATTTAAAACTAAAGGATAAAATAGAGGTAACAATGAGTACTTAAGAAAGTAAAATACAAAGTCAGGGATATAAAATGACATCCTTAAAGAATTAAAAGGAGGAAAGATGAAACAAGGAAGGAAAACCATGATCAAGTACGCAAAGAAGGAAGGAAGAAAAATTATTTTAAAAAAAAGGTAAAACAGAAAGTCTGGAGATTTTTTTTAAAGGAACCAAAAAAAAGAAAGAATGATGGACACAAAAAGAAGTCAAACAGTTCAAGGAAGGATGGAGACAAAGATTGGGGAAAATATGAGGGAACGAAGGTTGAAGAAAGTGAGCGACTAGAGAGAGGATCAAGATTTGGATCCTCCTGGTCTAAGTCACAGTTATCATTTGCTTCTATCCTTGGTAGTTCCCTAATCAATACTCTCCACATGCACTGCAAACACATGACGTAACACTGTTAGACAGGAGCTATCCAGCTAAGATAAGGCATCTGTAGACCAATCAGAGGCCGTATCTGCAATTAGCTGACCGTTAAATGGCCAATCAGAAACCAGAATTCCCTGTGTCACCAAAAAAGTGAAGGTATTACGAGTAATTATAAAAACTGTGTTAATAATCCACAAGAACTGATGATCGATAAATAATTGATCAGGATAAATAAATGATCAGGATGTAGAGTTTATAATGGTATCGATTAGGGCCCGACCAATATGGATTTTTGGGGGCCGATGCCGATACCAATTATTGGGGGGGGGGGGGGGGGTCCAATTACCGGTTAATCGGATGATTTTTTAAATTTTTTATGAAGTTATAAAAATATATATACACTGCAGATATCTACAGTAAACTATATTATACTGTAGATATACTGTAGGCTACTGCTCTTCACGCTGGCAGGAAGACCGACTGATCACCAGAAAAGCGTTTTCACTTCCCCCCACGCCGATTGGTGCCTCCGCGTCTTAACTTGCGTCCGGTCTCATCTGGAGACATGCAGCTGCCTCAGTAAGAGAAGTAGCTCAATCACTAATGTGTTCTGTTGTTTTTTCTACCGTTACTGGCACGGCTAACAGTGTAGCAAGGCTAATAGCAGATGGCTAACTCTAACTTTAGCTTCATATTACATGGTGCTTCACCGTTAACTCGGCGTGACCGAGACCAGCACAGCGGGGAACATGGTGAAGCGGGTTGAAGTGAAACTTGTTGACTTATTGTGTATTTCACAAACTGGTTTATTTACCGTTAAGACGGACCACTCTCCTCCGTGCGTCCCTGAGATTGTCATGAGGTCGCTGCGCCATCTACAGGATAAGTCGGGGAACTTTTCAAATGGCGGAACATTTTTGAAGTGAAACCGAATCTTATTCTCCGCATTTTATTTCTGAAAATATCAGCGAAATCAACGATTTTTGGCCAATTACCAATTAGTCTCAAATGGGCTAAAACTGTCTGATTTAATCGGCTCACCGATAAATCGGTCGGGCCTTAGTATTGATATAAAATCTGCCAAAAATACACAACGATAGTAGATGAAAAAAAGGTTAAGGACGAATGTGAGTTTGTAAAGAAATAAGAGCTGACAGAGAATAAGCACAAAAAGAGATCAGACAACTCAGCAAGGAATCAATTTTCTGGAAGCACACAAAGAGAAGAGAAAAGATTGAAAAAGAAGTGACACGAGCACTGGAAAAAGTTTACATAGAGGACAAAGTAGACGAGGAAAGAGGGTGAGAAGAAGGGGAGGAATGGAGGAGGAAAGAGTGGGATGAAAGGAGGAAGAGGAGGGGAGTGAAGGAGTGATCTTGCTGACTGTTGCGTCAGCCGTTCACCGAGGGCAGTGTGATGAGAATAAGCTGCATAATGAAGCGTGGAGGAGCTGAGAACCTCGTCTCAAATCCATCACTGCGGCACTTTTTGGCAGGTTCGTCTTCCTGGAGATTAAACGATGAAACTGCTATTTTTAGGGGGACGCACTTCCTAGACATCACCTGTCAATCAAACGGTGTAGGTGGTGCGATGACGTCTTTTTTATTTTATTTTAATTTTTTAAGTGAGACCCTTTTGGTTGACTTAAGATCTGGTTTTGACCAGAAACATGCCTGACAGAACTCACCAAACCCCATTGACAAAAAAATGAATTCTAACTTCAAGAATGTGGGAGTTGCTGCTCTTCCCCCCGACTAATAACTGGATGTATTTGGCATTATTTGTATTAAAAAAAATAACAGTGAAACTACAGTTTTTGTCAAAGGTGTAAGTGGTTTTGAAAGCAGCGGTTAGAAAAGAGAAAAAAACTCTTACTTCAACCAAACGTTTAGATACAATGATTAATCTTTGCGATCTTAAAGGGCTGTTTGAACAGAGCTGGTGAGAGCATCTCTGAGTTGCTGATCCCACAAATACTTGAACTTTATGCAGAAGTTGTAGCAACAATATTATATTGCCTCTTCTCATCAAATAGATGAATAAGAAACAAGGTTTTGGGAGAAAACTGAGATTGATTGTGGACAACAACAGCAGCACAAAGCCACAGGTAGAGAGCGAGGAGAGGAGTGGGAGGAGGCAGGTGTTTTGTTTTCATGTGTGTCTGAAAAGCCAAAGGACAGAATGAGCACAATGAAGGAGAGGACAAGAACAGGAGTGCTGACAGTTTTAAAAGACATTTATCTAGCAGTAAAAGCGCTCAAATCTGTCCATTCTTTTATGACACGGTTTGAAAGTACTTCACAACAAGTGAAATCTGACATTTCATTTATTAATTTCTCATCTGTCTGTCTGACTGTATTCTCTTCCATACTCTCAGTGAGTTTGTTCTGTGTGCATTTAAAGAGGGACCTCTGTCAAAGGTGTGGTCTGTTGGATCTCCTGTTACCCTTCTCTGACACCTGAGCCTGCTCTGTTTGGACACATTTAAACAACAATATAAGCCGGTGAGCAGCCAGATTTTCCCTCTCCTTCCATCTCCATCCCTCCCTTTTTCTGTTTACATTTCACTTACTTTCTCTTTTTCAAATACACCAAAGAAAGATAGTTTAAAAACAGAATTTAGGGGAGAACTAAACTGTATTTCACAACTTTTCATAATCGTCCCCTCAGTTTCTTCTCTCTCTTTTCCTCACTGTGCTTCGATGTCACTTGGCCTCTCTCTCTCTCTCTGTTTCGATTCCCTCGATCCGTCCGTTTAGGGTTTCCATGATCTCATTATGCTGCTATGAAAAGGGACAGGTAATGCAATCTGGCGTGGCGTGCATGACTGTGTGTGTGAGTGTGTGTATTATTACCCAAACAACAGTCAACAGAGTCTCTATTTCAGCCACTTATCCCATCTAGAAATAATCATCTAATCAGCACAAGCACACACACACACACACACACACACACACACACACACACACACACACACATTCACATATACACACACGTATGCATTACATGTATGTAAACTCACACTGCACACTTTATGTGTACACATGGGGTGCAAACATACCTGCTTGCACCAACTCCATTCACTTCCTGACAACTCTAAGCCCCGCCCCGTTTGTTATGTGATCCAACACCAGTTAAGCAAGTTTTGATACCCTGCAGAAAAAATGATCTACCCTTGTTCCTGATACTGACTGAATGCTAAGCGCAAATCATATATGTTAAAATACAAGGTGTAAAGGGTGTTAATTTGTGGATTAGCTTTGAGTCCGACAATCCTCACCAATCCCGATTTGACGACAATGTCAAAATCCAAGAGGGCGGTGCATCAACAGTCAAGAGTAACAGGGAAAACTCTTGTGATGTTTTATTTATTAGCATTTCTGTTTTGTTTTTGTGAAATTAAATAATGTTGTAATACCCAACGTCTTAAGGTCCTCTCACACCGGGAGCGTTTTTTTCATGCCCGTATCTCAAACGTCAATATTTTTTTTCAAACCCGTATCCTGTCAATACAAGCGTTCACATCAGCGACTTTTTCCCGTTCTGTGATATTGCGGCATTTATTTTTTCATATCATGGTCGAATTTTCTAAAGTTTCACACACTGTGTGTCCACTTCTGACCAATCAGATTGCGTGTTGTTGCGACGTCAGATTCACCGGTATATCCAACATGGCCGACCGGCTGATTGTTTACGTGTCGGAGAACAGAGTGATTTTTGATAAAAGACACAAACATTACAAAGAAAACGACCTGAAGGACGACTTGTGGAGAGTCATGGCGTTGGATTTCTCATATGACGATGGTTTGTGTGCTTTAACAGTTTGATAAACGTCTTTGTTTTAACTTTCATCTGTGCTAAGTAACTTTAGCTCGTAAGCTAACCTGTTCAGATACAACATACCATATGTATTTTCACTGTCACAGCACCATTAGGTCTCGGTTGTTACCTTACGTTTATGGATTATAGTTTAATGTTCTTATCTGGTACTGACCCCGACTCAGTACATGCTATCATGACAGACAGACATCTCAACACTAGAGTCTAATCAGAACTGAAAACAGTCAGTCTGCTGTTGGGTCAGTCTTCTCGCTTCCATCCGGGACACGTCTTTTTTTCCTTGATGTGTATAGTCAGGTGCGTCAAAATTCGCCTCCAAATATTTCATAATTTCGCATCATATATTTGCGTCGTTTTCCGACTTGTTTACTGGAACACCGTCAACTTGGATGTTCTGTGCTTCCCAGCGCTGACATTCGCCTTCTGAGGTAACTGGAACGCAGCAGCATAAAGGTCCTTACACACCTTTATGCTGGCATAAAGGTGTGAAGTAGCCTTGCCATTATCACCGCGTTTATATCTTTTGGGAGATATGTCAGAAATCCCAACCCTAACAAAAAACATACTCTCTGTTCTGATCGTGGGGTTAACTTCAGCCGCCAGAGGTTGGTGAGGTTAAGGGGTAAAGGTCATGTGGAACTGGAGGTTTGGGGTTGTTTCATGGAACATCTAACTTCTAACCAGAGCTGTGATGGTGAGGCCTGCTTGAAGAAGTGTTTGACTACCTAATTTCTTACTTTATTTATTTTTAATGTTGTTGTCATTATTACTATCGGATTATTTGTTTCTGTACAATATATTTGTGTATAGGTATATATATGTACTACTATATTATTTGTTTTTGTTTTCTACTTCTGTGCTTTACGACTTCTTTGCGGTTAAATTCCTTTTGACAGGATCTACCGAAATTTGAGAAAATGTGTCCCTTTGACGGAGGCCCTCCTGGTTTCTGTACGATGTACCACTCTGAGCTGTTACTGCATGTGCTTAAATAAAAATCTGAATTACAAAAAAAAACACCAACATTCAAAGATCAGGCTGCTAGAACTTGATGGTATTTTTGAGCAGAATCACCGTATATCTCCACAATGAATGCTGTCACACCAACACACAAGAATAAAAATGTGCCTCAGCTTCTTTTGGCCTTGAAAATCAGCCAATGATTCATTTAATTTAATTCCCAGAAGATTAGAAAGGTGTGTGCGTGTCTGTGCGCCACATAACGCTCAATTTGCAGGTGCCTATGATTTTTAAAAATCACATTTTGAATGGCTGCAAACACGCAACTGTAAGAGAAGTGAAAAATAGATCAATCACGGGGAACGGAGGGAAAGAGAAAAAGCGTTGAAGAGAAAGAAAGGAAGAAAGAGAAAGGGAGGGAGGGCGATCGACTGTTGCTCTGACCTCTCTGTGCACACAAAGCCCCCTCTCCCTCAAAACCCAGAAGAAAAGCTGGAGCATTTCACAGTATCAATCCCCCCCCCCCTCCATCCTGCTCCAGAACCCTCTCAGGCGCCCGCCCCTCGTGGTTGGACAGCCGATAAGTTGGAGGCAAGGACTAAAAGCCCCCGCAGGGCGAGCGACAAAAGGACTCCTACAGTCGAGGAGAGGAAAGTGCTCTCTCTCTCTCCTCCCTCACTTTCTTCCTCTCTGACTCCCCCTCTCTCCCCCGCTGTAGGGAGACATTATGGACGTCATTATTTCTGCCCCTCCAGTGGCCACTAAAGCTTCAGGAGCTTTGACCTGTCTGTGTGTGGGTGTGCGATTGTGCATGTCCGAGCTCTGCAGGAAGTCGTCCTGCCCCCACAGAGAGTGAGATGACGAGAACTAAGAGTCATTTTTCCTTCTTATTTTCATCTGACAGGCAGATTTTACATTTCTACTGTACACACTTCAATATGCACAAAAACACTCACAAACACGCCTGGTGAGAGGTAAACAAGATCAAATGTGGGTTAAATCAAATGTCTTCATCGTAAAAATGGGTGTTTTTAAAAACGGATCATGGGTGTGACGCTGGGCCTGAAAAGCATAAAAGGACCATTTCTATCAGTGAGATTGAAAATGAACCACAGTACCTGCTTCTGAACAGCAGAGGGCGCTACCTGATTTTGAGGAGAGGGTTCACTGCCAGTGTTTTCTACACAATGACGATACGTGGGCAAGGTAGATTCGATCACTATCTAAACATTGTCATACAGTCACTGCTGAGATTTTAGAAACAGGCGGCCGTAAACTGTTGATCACACAGATTAATAGTATTCTGACAATATGTGCGTCAGCAGTCACAAGGCTTGTATCACCATATCAGATTATGAGTATGAAAAATCAATTTAATCATCCTGACTTCCCTTTTTTAATTTAACCCTAATATTTACTGTCTGGCTGGACAGAACTCCAAAAGTCTTTTGTGGTAATATTTTACAGAACTAAATATTTTTCCATCCACATTTATTGGATAAAATGTTCACTGAAGTTCAACGAGTTTGATTCTCCGTTTTTGGTATAATCAAATAGTTGTGTGTATATATATAAAAACAACATTAGCATTATGCATCAGCTATCAGTCAACCTGCTTGGTATTGGGATCGGCCGATTGGCCCAGTCACGCTGTATTGACTGGAATCATATTAAAGTTTTGTTTCCTATCATACTATATTTTACTTTATAGTATCATTTCATCTCTTCTTATTTTGTTGAATTGTTTAGTATTGTGCGTATTAAAATGTTTATTTTGTAACGCATTTAGTGCTGCAACTAACGATTATTTTTGTTGTCGACTAATCTATTGATTATTCTTTCGATTGATCACAACTATCTTCTTTATTTATAAACACCTATTTCCGGGGTGTCGGCGTTTCAGGTGCTCGTGCATCGCCGTGGTGCTGCCATGGTAGGAAAGCTGAGCTTTGCATAGCTTGCACTCAACGTGTTTTTTTGGTTTGTTCTCCGTAAAATGTTCCAAAACTTTTTAAGTTTTGGGTCGGAGTTTTGGAGCGTCTTCTTCAGTTTCTTCCGCCATAATGTGTGCATTCTTCTTCTGTGTTTGCGCCATAGGTTTACTCGCGGGATGTAAACAGCGAGCGCTACTCCCCCCAGCACATCCTGTAGTGCACTGCAGTTATAGATGAGCATGAGGCGCCGGCATGTGATTTTCAACAACAATAACACGACGCGTCGACGCTTAAGTTTTCGTGTCGATGAATTTTTTGTGTCGACGTAATCGATTAATTGTTGCAGCCCTAAACACATTGTATTGTCTTGTATTGTATTGTATCTTACAGTCTTGTTGCATACTGTAGCACATACTAATGAGACTGGACTGTCTTGTTTTGTACCATATATCATTTATATTTGTCATTTTTATCTATGATGTTAAAACTGTACATTTATTTTAGTTTAATATTTAGTGCAACAGTCCGAAGAAAATCTAGGAACCCGATCTTTTGACCCGGTCCTCACTAATCTGCATATTGTGACTGTATTTGTCACATTAAACTCCATCATCAGAGGTTTCTTTCTGCTGTGATCATCGTCATTGTCATCCTCATCACCCTGACCCCATCGTCCCTCTCCTCTCTGAGACCTCTGATTGTTCAGGCCCTCTCATGTCTCTTTATCTGTGTCTGGAGAGCGCCTTTAGCTTTTAGCCTGACCTGCTGATGTCAGAGAGAAGAGGGATAAAGACAGAGGAGAAAAGGGGGAATCAGGATGGAGGCTGGAATAGAAGACGAACAGCAGGGGGGCTGTTTACTGTCACTGGGGTGAGACGGGGGAGACAAGTAGGAAAAAAAGAGTGAGACGAGACGAGGATGAGGAGGAAAGAGCAACAGAATACCCGGGTCTCACAGTGACTCGTGTTTTTAACAGTTTTCATTATATAGTTCAATATAAAGCAACACATGTCTATATTTCACTTCAGTTTGTGGTCATTTCTTCTGGAGCATCAAATTTTAATCTCCTTTTTTTAAAGCACAACCCTTCACTTCCTCCCTGACTCGCTGTCTACCTCTCACAGCTAAAACCAGCAGGCTGAAAACTGTCTGCCAACCGGCGTTTCACCGCGCTGAAGTGTTCATGATTTGGTTCATATGAAGCGGCACCTGGCTCGGTATAAAAAGGATTTCTGAGCGCTCTGTGACAGATCAGAAATTTGCAAAAATCAAAACCGTTTTAGCAGACTAAAGCCTCACTGTAAAAGCACCTGCTCTGACTTTTACTGTCAAATGTCCATTCTGCTCAGGTGCAAACATAGACTTAACATTGCAGCAGATATTGCTAGAAGCCGTGATGTTGCACCAATATGGTTGTCATGATAGGAATGGCTTACAGTAATCACATTTGGGGTTTTCAGGTGAGCTAAAACTGCAGCATGTACCTGTCACCTGCGCCGCTGTTGCTGGGACAGGGACAGTCCTAAACACTGGAAGATGTCACCTTTTTAAGAACTTCTACAACACCGCACAGAAAAGTGTACGAGGAACAGAAAACAGTGACAAAGTTAAGTCTACAGAGGATTATTTTCAAAACATCACACTGGATCATGCTGGCAATAATAGATGCATGGTTAGATTTAACCAGACCTTGCTGGGTATAAACTGAAGCCAGAGGGCTGAGGAAAACATCCTGGTCTGTGGTCAGGAAGCGAACAGGTGTGTTATTCCTCGTAACAAATTCAGCATATGAAAATGAGCGCAAGTATTTTTTGGTAAATGATGTTTGTTGTTGGGAATGTGTTGTATCTGCACTACTGAGTAACTTCAGAGGAACCTTAACTAGATACATTTTTGATGAGCTTGTGACTTAATGTTCTTACACATGGGGAACGATGCAAATATACGACGCGAAATTACGAAATATTCTGAGGTGAATTTTGACGCGCCTGACTATACACATCAAGCACGATGCGATTTTGCGATATTTTTAGCTTTTATTGTTCTGGACGTTATTGTGGAAACAGATGATCACAGAACACCTTCTTGTAACCAAAATAATTCCTGATAACTGACTTTCCTTTTCTTTTTGGCAACAAATCTTCATCTTCTGTGGTTTTCTCTGTTTGTTGCTCAGTTTGTGATCGTTGTTGTTGTTGTTGTTATCGGGGTTGTGCTGAGAAACGCATGTCCTCCTAGAATTGCAACCTAACCTCACAAAATGCGCACCGCTTATAGTAAAGTGGTCCACGGAAATGTACAATTTAAAACCCATACAGTTCTTATTTGTTGGACTAAACAGTGATGAGTAACGCGTTTCTCGGCTCAACTCCGGTAGCGCCAGCGACTCACTCCATGTGCAGGACATGTTCAGGGGTGGGTTTCCTCCTCTCTGATTTTGATTGACAGCTGGCAGAGTAATCTGATTGGCAACTGAGTAAAGAACAAAGGTGATTGGTGGATCGCTGCACAGCACATGTAGAGTCACATGGAGTGTCTCTCAGTCAGGCTCTGTGATGTGACTATCGCACACATGTACATCGCGATGACGATGCTCAAACGATATATCCTGCAGGCCTCGTAAGGACCTGTACAGAGTATTGATTTTTCATATTAATTGACGTCACATCTATGTTAATGGAGAAATAAAATCAATAGTTTGCCCAGTGAGGTGTGAGGTGACATCATGGAGCAGAAGAAAGTTAGTACAACAAATATATATAAGGTTTGCAAGACGTGCTGCACGAAAATAAAATACAGCATAAATAAGACAAACATAAAGGAAAGACAAAAGCTAAATTAAGGAAACAGTTGAAAAAATGATATAGATCGCGACATATTGTATCCTAATACTCACTGTATTGCAAAATACAGTGAGTAGGGCCACTGGTGTTTCCCACCCCTTGTTCTTACCAGCTAAATAATGGTCAATTGAGAGTCAGATCATTAAAAATACTTCTTCTCTCAAGACTCCTGAGGAATAAAAACAAAGCCTCTCTTAGCATTGATTTAATAATGAGCTGATGATCATTTTGTTGCGATGCTCGTAAATAAACTTGTTTTCAGACACATAAACATCCACACACCGATGCTGATGTTTGCGACTGCCTTGAAGTTAACTAAAAAAAAAAAAGGAGGGAGATACAGAAAAGAAAACGTGTGAGGGGTCTTGTTGTGCTTTCTAGGAATCAATACCAAAAACAAGAGTGGTGTTCAGCCTGTGCAGCCTCTCAGTGAAGTATCCTCACATCCATCTTTGTCTGTGAACCCTCTTCATGGCTGATTCTGTGTGTTTTAGACATCTGTGCCTGACTGCATCAGTCTCAGGTCAAAGATCAGGGTGAAAAATGAAGAAAAATACAAGAAAATAAAAATCTGCCCCTTCAAGAGCGTGCTAACATTTAAAAATTGCCACTGACCTCCAAAACTCTGCATAAAAGGTTCTGTATGAGGTTTACAGGGGGTGTAAATATGAGAAAGGAGACGTACAGTAGGGATGAACTGCAGGTGAACACTTCACATGGTTAACATTGTTCCTGCTGTGTTTGAAAATCCTTGAAGACTTGTAGGTTTTTACAGAAATAAAGAAGGAAACCTTCTGAAAGGGAACAGTGACCTTGAAGGAACTTGATGTAATTTTCAGACTTATAGAAAAAGAAACTTTGGAGGTATTCAGGAAACTTTAGCTGCAAACGATTCAGAACAGACTGATGTCACATTTGCATTAAAAGATCTTCATTTATGACCTGAATGGATGTCCTGAGTTTCAACAGAGGATTCAAGGCTTTTTTTTAAGACGTCAGGACTGTATATCTGCTCAAAAACATAAAACTCCTACAGTTAATATTTACCTCCGCCAAGGAGGTTATGTTTTCGGTAGCGTTGGTTTGTTTGTTTGTTTGTTTGTTTGTTAGTTTGTTTGTCTGTGAACAACTTTACAGAGAAAATTACAAACAGACTGAACTGAAATTTTCACCAGAGGTGCGTCTCAGCCCCAGGAGGATCCCATTACATTTTGGTGGTGATCCAGATCGCCTTCTGGATCCAGGAATTTTTTGAAGGATTCTTTATCATAGTGAGATAGGGCAAATTTTGGAATTTTTGCATTTAACTCTGTAAAAATGTCCAGAGTCTTTAGTAAAAGATGACACAAAAGGATCTCAATGAGTTTTATGAGGTGTCAAAGGTTGATCCTGATCCAGACAAGATTCTGGATACTGTGATACTTCCTGAGACTTTCTATCTTATTTTTTTTTATTTCTACAGCTTTTAAAATGTAAAATTTCGCCTTTTTATCTGACTAAACCCCAAAACTCACAAACTTTCACCAGGATTCACTAGAGAAAACCTTTAATTCCTACATCAGAGATACAGAAACCTTTTACATTGTTGGAAAGTCCCTGAAACAAACAAACGATTCTCCGCTCAAGGACCTGAACCCCAGAGAAAAGGAACTCATTGAACCTTTTCAGAGAGAAACACAGAATCAGCTTCGTCTGCTTCTTCTAGTAAGTGTATTATGGATATTTTTAAATAAATGTGGAAGTATTCCTTTAAAGTAGGAAACTATAGTCATAATAATCAAAAATCGTTTTAATAAATTGAGCAAATTGAAAATCAGTTTGTGTTCGTCTGCAAAAACACTTTAAAACCCTACGACTGATTTGTTGACAGGTAAAACAGCCTTGCACTGTGTTATACTGTACCTCTCTCTCTCACACACACACACACACACACATACACACAAACAAACATACTCCAGCTCTCAACTGTCGAGCACTTTACCTGCTGCTGGGATCGGCTCCAACAACTGTCAATCATTCGTAAAACAATCGCACAACTGATTGACGTCTGGGAGAGCGGCGGATCAAGTTCGGTCACCTGGGGATGTGTGTGTGTGCGTGCATGTGTGTGTGTTTGTGCAGGTGTTTGTGTGCGATCAACTAGCAACACTGCTAAGCTCTGACTTCAAGCAGCTCAGGTTGACTTAAAATTGATGGGCTGATAAAGCCGGCAAGTGTGTGTGTGTGTGTGAGCAGAGTGAGACTATGGGAACATACCACTAATCCTTTAACCAGCACAGACAGAAACGACCACTTTAACACACAAGATGCTCATCAGTCTGCGTGCAGCATCTAATTCAGCAGATCTGTTTTTTTTATTCTTCCTCCTTTTCTGCAAAATATCTGAAAATATTTCAGACCTGATTTTAATTTTATTTTGTATTTTTTTGCTGCTGTAACGTGAATTTCCCAGTTTGGGATCAATAAAGTCTGACTATCCATCTGTCTGTCTGTCTGTCTGTCTGTCTGTCTGTCTGTCTGTCTGTCTGTCTAGACCTTTAAGTTCTTTTTTAATGTTTTTTTACGGCACTTGAAAATTAATTCATGTTCAGCCTGAAGTTCGACTGAAACTTTCATGAAAGTTTTCGAACAACTCAACTCTGAAAGGATTCTAAAACCAGGACAATGACAATCCACAGAAAAGGTTCAAGCACGGCTCTTGCAACCTATGAGTGTGTGTGTGTTTAGTGTGTGTTTAGTGTGTGTGTGAAGGGCGTGGGGCTGTATTAATGTCCAGAGTTAAACGCTGTAATTATTGGCCTTTTCTGTCCACATAATACAGCCTATCAATCACAACCTGACTCTGTGTTTGTGTCTTTGACGGCTGAATCAAAAAGGAAACTTTCAACTCTGATCAGGTGACCCTGTGGGAAGAGGAAGAGGAGAACAAGGAGAAGGATGAAGATGCACAGCTGCAAGAAAAGAGTAAGACTAAGTGAGATTTCGGCCCCAACTACACGAATGTGGATATATTTCAAACCGCACATATTTATGTCCGATTAGGCCTCCCTACCGCACCAAAACGGGAGTTTGGAACACTCAAACCGGATAAATCTGAATCCCAAAAAACAAGCGGAGAAATAAAAAAATATCCGTATAAGCGGATTCGTGTGGTTGAACTTTTACAGATCGATGACGTCAAACCGCAGCTCGCACATGCGTATTAAAAAGAAAAACAACAACAACGATGGCGGACATACAGGGTATTCTTTACGTTTGTTTTGCCCTTTTGGGGCTAATTTCAGCCTCTCAAGTGAACCTTGTTTTATACAATTACATCCACCAGTCAGCCAGCTCACAGAGGCGTCTGCTTTGTTATAGCCGCCACACCGTCACGTGGACCCGACGCACTAGCGTAGCTTCCACAAACAATGCATGAGGCATCACGCTGTTACGATTCATCGGCCAATCAGTAGGGTTGGGAATCGAGAATCGATGGGAATCGGGACTAAAACTTCGATTCTTCCGGTATCGTTCAAATATTAAAATTTCGATTCCAAGTTTCGATGCCAGAGTCCGCCGACCGGAAGAAATAGCCGCCGAAAATCAACGAAGAAGAAGCCGCTTAACACCAATGAGGACGGAGCGTATGAGACGAAGCCACACAGAGAGAGGAGAGAGACAGAGAGAGAAAGTACATTGCAACCCACAGCAATGCAGCCGCTGTGGGTTACAATCTCTCTCTGTCTCTCTCCTCTCTCTGTGTGGCTTCGTCTCATTCGCTCCGTCCTCATTGGTGTTCGGCAGCTTCTTCTTCGTTGGTCAAAAGTTTGGCTAACTTTAGCAGGAAGAATGAACTCTTATCTCAATGCAACATTAGCAATACAGTTATATCATGCAAAGGAGGGTAAACGACCAACATGATTAAACACCTCAGGATTCATGGAGGAGAAATACCCGAGTGCTCGTCTTTGACGCGCTTCGCCGGTGTTGTGTCGTAGAATGCACCCCTGACGGGAGCGCGGTTGAAAGTACACAACAAGGCGAAACAAACCAAGTTTTTCTTACCGTTGGACGGAATCTAAAGCGTGTGCCTTTAATGATTTCATTCAGGCTATTCAGATATGCCGAAGACAATAGCCCTCTGATTCGGAATATTTACTGTCCTGAAAATATTATGTTCCCTACATTAACAGCTTACTGTATAGTTTATATACCCAAGTACACCTTTATGTGTGCATTTTTGAGACACATACAAACAAAACGAAAGTTTACTGCTCCATTTGACACGTTTTCATGATCTAATACCCGTGTTTTATTAAATATGAGATGATATTTCTTCCACTAAGAAGCTAATCAGTGGAGGGGAGGCATTCTA